AATCATGTGTTCCGGCACTAAAGCCTACCCCTCTCTCCTCCTCTAAACGTGCTCAAATAGCCAAAACCCTGAAAAGTGGTAACTCTTTTTGTAAACCCGTAAGCTATCTTGATATTGAGCTCAAGCTACAAAAACTCATTGAGAAATCTGTGAAGGTTGTTTTCGCTTGCTCTGCCGACCTCTGCGTTCGCAGAACCTGGTCAAAGGAACACATCTACAAATACATTCATTCCAGAAACTAAAACCTCCATAGTTTTCTAGTAGTGAACAGAAATGCTCGACATGTAACAAAACCTCTAAACTTCCATCTCATAGAGTAACATTCACTAATACTATGTAATTCTGGTAAGATGTAGTACTTAAGCGATGTAGAAGTACTCAAATATTGGAATTGCAAACAGTGAACATAAGCTCGACATGCAGCAAAACTTCAAAGTTGCGGATTTTTCCTCTACCATTCAGACGTCTTTGTAAGTTCATTCCACATCTTATTAATACCGTAGGAAAATCTGCGAGTTATTGTGCGACATAAAGTTGAACTTTTAGTCCTGAAGAGACGTAGATTATCAATAATCGAAAGCAGTGATTTAAACTCCAGATCATTTAATTGTGTAACATACCAAGCAGGACAAGAAGTCCACTGTATGCTGACCATTAGATTAGAAACTGTTGTAACTCCCCACAATGAAAGCCAAAACATAGTCAACCATTTGTGCGCAAACACATATAGATTTTAAACCACCAATGAAAAACAACTTAAACAACTCATCCCTCCTCTGACTAACAAATTCCTTTCCCAGATGTATCAACTCAAGAACCCAGAATTCCGAAAAACTTGGTAAATTATCCAAAAGTGCATCACAGAGTCAGAATACCTCTCATCGAACTCCCTACCTTTCAGAAATAGCTTGTATAAAGCAAGTTCTCCAAAAACATTGTGTGAAAATCCGCACATTGACAAAAAGTTAGCTATTCCTTTGAGCAAAATACAGATTGAGAGATAGGTATATCTCATCTCTGTACTACTTAACAGAGTGAATTCTTATTTAAAGGGTATGTTTTTGAAATGTACAAGGTTTGACATCAAAGCCCAAGGAGACTGATTTCTTCGAGAAAGAAATCAAAAGCATACAGCAGCCCTTGAGTTCAGAAGGAAAAGAGTGTCATGTTTTGGGGAACATTTGGCCAACACACACTGTCTTCGAAGCTGCTAACAAACCAGAGACTGCGGACGGGCAAGTTACTGCTTACTTCTTTGTACTTGATGACAAAACAATAGGAAACCGCAAATGAATGACTGAATGGAGCGGTGGTATACTATTAGTGATAGTTATCCAATCGGTTCTGGAGACTCAAACAGAATACCACTAATTTAATGTTCAAAGCCGAGTAGAAAACTTAGTACAAAGAACACTGACATCTATGCTTCTCATCCTACATCCCAGGTGAACAGCAGAACTTCATGATATAATATCCAATAGAGCCTACTAATTGCAGCGACTAGCCAAGAAAAGAATCCTCGACCAACTAGAACACGTTCCTGAATTCATTCATTCGCTATTATGTTCTTAATTACATTACCATGAAATAACACTTTTGATGCCTAGAATAGATGATCTATCCAAGACTTTAAATCTAGAGTGAATTCTCTCAGAGTAAGAATAGACTTCCCACTCCACCTTCCTATTAAACAAACTATTAGCGCTCGCCTCACCATCTTAACCCCCCCTCCGAAGATCATCTCTCACTCTCATTCCTTCCCAGCATACTCCACCCCCACACGATCATCTCCATCAATTCTGCCAATCTTCTCGGTACCGATCCAACAAGTGGCTGAGACCCTATACCAATGCAGGTCGACCAGACCCAATGTAGCATGCGCTCCACTTCCCAAAGGCAAGACTGTAGTCACCTTTCCCGAGAGACCGGGAGTCTATGCGCCTCTGAGAAGTGGTGGCTGGGTTCTAGAACGCGAGTGTTATTGGGTGATGGGAGAGTGTGGAGAAGGGTGAAGGAGGAGACGTGCATGTGTTTGGGAGGCGGGGGATGGGTAGATGTTTCGGGTTTCGGGTGTTGTGAGAGTTAGGTGAGGGAGGATGAGATGATGAGGTGAGGATGAGACGGGGAGATGGATGTTTTGTGTATATTAGGAGGAGATTGAATTGCGGTTCGAGATATCCAGGAAGCTCGAAATGGATTCTAGAAACCGAGACAGGGAGAAAATAAACAGGCACATGACAAGCTGAAGAGAATAACACGGAATACAGACCGGAGTGGCCTACAGTACCGAAAAAAAGAAACAACAGTGACATACATTCTTCACCAGTCTAACCAAGAAAACGCACTTGCAGGCACAGAGGCGCTTAACAACAATTGAGGCTTATACCACGAGAGCGATCCCAAGGAAGAGGCAAGACGCGAATCTCACCACATCGACATGAATCGTCATATCGCGTTTTCCATAGCTTCATATCTCAGGTAGTGTGATTCTCGCTTAGCTGAAAAGGGGGAGGATTATTCGACCGAGCCAGCCTTCGCATACCACTGGTCGCTAAGCGTGGGGCAACGCAAGGCTATGATTTGTCGAAATGCTTTCAACATCAACTTCCCCCACGTCTCTTATTCATAAAGAAGAGGCGTTTAGACTCCTTCTAGAAGCTTGGGAAGCTTCTATGACATGGATGAAGAATCTTTGGCTCGTGATTGCTTTCAGGGTTTGGGTACGGTGACACCGAAATCCGCCTCATCGATCGTGCTGTATAGGCTTTCTCGGGATAGTCCCAGCGTCATCAAACCAAAATACCCAAGTAAGCATGTAATGGATGGCTGTCACTTACTTTCCCTAGTTCAGTGTGCGGGAAAGGCAGTTCTAGCCCAAAAACCACACTTGTACTTTCTAGAGCCCTCTTGTTAGGACCATGAGATGTGACTTCTATGTCGTAGCTCAACAGGTAATAAGTAAGGTGCAGATGTCTCTCCATGAGTTGAAAGACAATAAGTGTTGTCTAGACATACAGCTCAGAAAGTGTTTGTACATTTCTTGCGCGGGGCAAAGATATTCGGACTTTTGTTCGTTCCTGATGTAACTGCAGAGAGCCATTGGCCTAATGGAGGTAGGGAAGAGCTTCCCGTGCATGCGAATGCCGCTATTCATGTAGATGCGGTTAATTGTCAGGGTTGAGATGACCCTGAATCAAGAAGCCCGCTGGCTGGATAGACAGTCCTCGAATGGCATGCAAGGCTGCTGCTGACCTTGGACCACTGCCTATGAGAGGCGAGGAGATGCATCTTGAAGCTGGGGTGGGGTAGGACAGCGTCTATTGAGTTCAACCATGGACCATATAATGGACGAGGCGGTATTAGGATGGACTTTACCTATAACTGAAAATCTTTTGATTTCAAGTCTTTCAGTCAACAAACTGGTGTAGATCTCGGCTATTACTGAAGTGAAGGTGCCCAGTGGTAAAGACTGACAAAGACTGAGCCGGGAAGTTCTGAGGATGGCGACAAAATAAAAGTCTTCGCCTCTCCACAAATCGGCCAATTCACCGAGAAGGAGGAGGAGGGGTTTTGTACCACCAACCGACAGCTAAAGTGGCTTGTACGAAGTATGCGAAGTGTATGCGATGGAGGTTTTGAGGAGCGCAAAAGGAATCACCCCCGCGCATCCACCGCATCCACCCTGCCCGCTATTACTCAAGATGCAAGTGTGAAACCCCTGGTGACAAGCTCCAGCTGTTGCGCTTTTTCCGCCAGTTGCCCGTCGTTCGAGAGTTATTGAAGAGCCTGCGCGTCTGCTCAGCTGTCATGCCTTCTTCCTGGATTTCCACTATCATCAATATCATCGTGGAGCCCTTTGAGTGAGCTCTCCTTTCACACTCGGCACCATCGTTCTATCCACCAACACACGTCCGTACACACGATATTAATACGATAATATTGAGGATCATAATATCCGCAACACATCTACTTCTCCGCCTAGTCGTTGGCCGTACCGTTCGACCTAGTTGCGATTCTCGAGAGCAAGTCCCTGCCAGGATCCATTTCGAAGCACGACAGCCGCGGAACCAGGCCTCGATTGCTGTCGCCCAAAGAGTAATTCATTTTCGAGGTGCCCCAGTCTGGAGATTGTCTGGTAGTGTGGGAAGAGTGTCTCTTCTCACTTCAGAACCTTGTGTGTCCATGGAAGACTTGTGTCAAGACGCTATCGACCAAGACTACGGCGACGACGACCATCAGAGCTAGAGAAGAGAAGATAACGTCGGTTGCACTAAGGGTCTTTGCCGGTAAGGGGGGACGAAGCGAGGCGTAGAGAAAAACACAGCTAAAAGCGGTGATAGAAACAACGCGGACATCATCCTCGAAATCATACTCGAGCAGGTACTCGTCCTGGCAAAGATTGTTGTTGCATCCACTCCATCTCCGTGATCACGATCTTTGCAGACCTGAGACATCGCTGTCTGCCCGTATTCTCCTCCCACTATTACTCCGTACTCCACCGTCCACCCCACCCTGCTCCCTGCCCACCTTCCCTTTGGGCGCCCCCAACCAGCTCGCTTTGGTGACATTTGGTAACGGAATTCAATTCCAATTTTCTTCACCACCACCACCTGCACAACGCGATCGCAGACTGGCGAGCCTTCCCACTCAAATCGCTCGGTCGCCGCTGCAACGACTACTAGCGATTTGCACCGCCCTTCCTCTGCAACTATCCAACCTTTCAATTGACACCAACCTGGAAGTCTCGCGTCCAGTGCAACTCCCGATAGAACTATCGATAACGAAGCCGAAACCTCAGGTGCAGCCGCGCCAATCGAGCATCCCCCACCACCAAGACCCTCTGCGCGTTACGTACGAAAAGTCCAGCCACGCATGGACAGAGCCTCATAAATTCCTTTTAGATCATAGCATCTTCATCTACCTCTCCCGCGTGCCCTCGAGGCTGATTCCTCGAGAGTTTTATCGGCGCGCACACATTCGTTGGAGGAAGGACGGTCACCATGATGGATTCATCCGGTGTGTGGGACAACCAAGACCCGACCTTGTCAGTACCCTCACAAGAAGACTTCAACCAGTTTCTTGATATGGGCATGAACAATCTGGGCGACCCTCTTCAATTTGATTTCCCGGATTTCAACTCGCAGCAACCGGGGCAGGCGGCGCATCTCATACACCACCATGATTCCGAGGCAATGGATCATTCTGGGTTGGAAAATGGTCGAGGGGTGGTACATGATACTACAATGCAAGAACACATGCCCTCAATGACGACGGCGGCGAGTCACCCATCAATCCTCGGGGCTCCCATCAGCCATAATCACCCCTCAAACGAGAGCCTGGTGGAACTAGATGCGCAAATTCAGTATTTGCAACATCAAAGACAACAGAGGCAGCAGCAGCAAGCACAGCAACAACTGGAAGAGCAACAGCGTAACTATTACGCACAAAATAGAATGATTCCTCCGACACCGAATAGCATGGAGCTCCACGGAGCTTCTTCGCAATTTTATCCCCAGAGTGACCCCCAGCACCAAGCAATGTACGAAAGATTTAGAATGCAGATGAAAGATCAAGAGGTTAGTCACTTAATGTTCCCTTTGAAAGCAAGATATGCGTCCTTGCGTTCGGTTACCTACTGTATCTTCCCGTTCTCGTTGCTCTAAACGTATCCAATCATTTCTCGTCCTAATCATCTCTTAGATGGCTTTTACGCCTCTGGTATCACCTGCGGTGACTCCGCTCGAAGCTCATTTCAACATTCCGGAGTACACTATACCTGGAGCGTATTTCAGTCCAATCAGTTCTCCTGCGCTTCGTGCACAGAATGAGCAACAGGCAACTGCCTACGACCAGAGGCTTTCTGCTACGACAAATTCTCCAATAGACATGAATATGGACTCTCATTCTGCGTCAAATAGCTCTGGTGCTTTGTCAAGGAAAACCAGCAAAAAGTCCTTGTCCAAGCCCAGAGCTGCCCGTGCTGTCAGACAATCTCCAATCGTCAAACCGAAGCGAACAAAAAAAGGATCTCTTGCCGCTCAAGCCCTTGGTGATATTATAGAGCCATCGCATTTTCAACCAGCACGAGAGAAAGAACCCAGCTCTTCGCTCTCTGCTCCCAGTACAGAAGTCTCTGAAAACGGATCAATATCTCCAGAACATTTGTCAGATATGGCACCGCCGCCTATACCTACTCCAGGGTCCTCTACAAGGTCACCTTATATACCATCACAAAAGGAAGATCCACGAAATCAGCGTCTCATACTTGGTTCTCCTGCTACTCCAGCTTCTTTGATGAGGCTGACAGACTCGCCTCGAGCCCACGATCCTATAAGTGGGACTCAACTTATGGATATTGACCAAGGAATGGATGAATTCGCTTTGCCTGAAGCTGCTAACTCGTCGAGGCCCCAGATACGACGGATAGATACCCAGTCAGATGGTCAGACAACTCCAACTCTAAGTTCTAGTGGCGCTAAGACTCCTGGATTTCAATCACTCCCGTCGCCTTCGTTAGCTGGTCCTAGATTGACGTCGGCCACCTCAAGTCCTCAAATTGATGCGATGAATGGAATTACAGGCACCAACGGAACGGGAAAGAAAGGGAATCAAGGAGGCTCTCGTGCCATTAAAAAGCGATCTGGCAGCTCTGTTCTCGCTTCACCAGCACTTCTTCCTCGGATATCGCCAAGCATAAAGCCATTGACTTCAAATGGCTCTAAAGTTTCGGACAATACTGCTTCGCTCTTGCTGGCATCCAAGTCCAACTATCAGAATATTCTGGAAGGGACTCATCTTCCAGGTGTCTCATATCCTTCCGAACTTTCAACTAATCTCACGTCCAAACGAACCTCCCATAAAATCGCTGAGCAAGGTCGTCGGAACCGCATAAACTCTGCGCTACAAGAAATCGCCACTCTGTTGCCGAGAAGTGCCAAGGACAGTTGTGGTGAAAAGAGTGGGAGCGGTGATGGGGCAGATGGCATCGATAATGCAGGAAGCGCGAAAGGCGGTGGGCAAAGTTCAAGTAGTAAAGCGAGCACGGTGGAACAAGCTATCGATTACATCAAGCAATTGAAAAAGGATCTTGCGGATGCGCAAAAGCGGGCGGAGGAAGCGGAAGAAAAACTCACTACGAAAGTTTGAGGGCGTGCTGCATGGGTGTGAATATGGGCTTTTTGAATTTGGCGTTGGGGCGCTTATGATACCTATGGGATTAAGTTAGTGGCAAGTTTAAGACTAGATTTGAGCGCGGGTAATCCAGATGGGATGCTATGGAGTTGATGAGGGTTGTACATTGAGATGACTGGCACAATTACTTATTACGGCGATGCCCGATAATGGATGGTATTTAGGTAATGGCGCATGATTTACGATGAACGGTGGTTGAAAAAAGCGGAAGATTCTGGCACAGTGCTGGAATGGCGAAGGGGAAAATATGCCCACTGGATGTAGTCGGTTGAAGTAAATAACATTATGTTTAAAGTCTATCAGGTTTATTGTAGATTATGTTTGACTGCTGCTCGCTAGAGCGGATCTTATCTACCTACATAAACCGTTTGAACGGTCCAATACCCCGCATCCGCGACATGTCGAGGGTCAGGTCATGTCCGCACGAAATATTGCGAATTTCTCAGGAAGTCCAGACACAGTTCTTTTCGTCAGAATGAGCCGTCAAAGGCTTCTCCGCAAGTGAAAACACATCCCCTTGCGTCCTTGCTCCTCAAAAGCACGAGCCGGACTCAGCACTAATTGATGGACCCATGACTTGGATTGTCACCATCTATCAGAGTCATATACTTCCGTGTGATGTTCTTATCGAGCGCATATATCGCCCAAACGGCCTAGTGACAGCGGCTTCATTCCTTCGTCGTTTCAAGAACATCGACATCCAACTCCTCCATAGCACCCAGGACTACTGTCAGACTCTCCATGAACCCATTCACAGCAACCCTCAGCATCCTATTCGTGGTGGCTTTGTACTCTGTGCGTAACACTGTCTCTGATCCTGATGAAGAATGTGGAGGGGCAACGGTAGAGAAAGATCGGCAGACAAGAGGGGAAAGTTCTTTATCAACGCGCAAGGTTTGGAGAGCTATGGATGCCAGACGAGCGGTAGGTAATGGGAGGTCGATAGTTCTGAGGAAATGGTTAGTTACTTGAAGATATTGACATTGAGGTTGCCCGAAGAAGGACGCACAGAGAACATGGGAATTCAAGGTCCATCTGATGGGTCGCCATTATGCCTGTCAATGTTTATTTTGGTGATCTATCAAGGATGTTGGGGCAACAGCGCCGCGCATTGAGATCAAATGTCCTGGTGGTCGGGGGTGTTTGAGAATTGTTGGTGGAAACCCTTGACGCAGCCTCGAATTGCAGGTTTGCGGTCTGTGATTGCTATGGCAACGTCCTAGGGACAACACACTAACCGTTTACAGATGGGGCAACCACAACCCAGACCTCTTTGCCAAAACATTCTTGACCTTGATAAGTTGCGATACATCACTCAAACATTCTCTTCCTTTCCAACTATTCCGTTGTTGAAGAACATTTCTATTCCTCAGTTCCCTTTCGCTTTGGTTCTGCATTCGAACGAGCATGCTTTAGAAGCTCAGTAAATAAACACAAATCGCACGCATCACCGCAAGTTCGAGTAGCGAAACTCTAACATCACCGAGGCACGCGATACTTTCTATCGGCCGTCACATTGGAAGGAACGACTGAAGCACCCTTCGCGCAGTAGCATACTCTATCAAGATGTCTCCTGCCGTCAGTCAGCTTGGGCAGATCGTCGAGTACATCCCAGGTGAGCAATTTTCATTGTTATGGTACCACCACATCCTCATTCTGGCCGCGCCCTCCAACCCAGCTTGTACAGCTGGCGCATCATTAACACATCATTACACTCTATTATGGATTATCAATCAATGATGGAGTGGGCAATGACAGTTTCAAGAAGTGATCCGGATGACTTCATCGCAAAAATGTTTCCAAAACAACAACAGCAAATCATAACAAACATTCTTCCGGATTCATGGCTAATGTATACAGACCGATTGTATCTAGCATCTTATACCTCCCCGCCAACTCAAGACACTCTTTTCCCATATCCCGAACGCCAACCTACTCGACGATCCCCCAGCAAGCGGTCTGCCAGAGCTGTTGATGGTCCAGCGGCTGTATCCGACAGAGACCGCACTCCACCATATTATTTCTCCATCGATGACTCGCTCCTCTACAATGCTTTCCACCACGATTTCGGACCATTACACATTGGGCATCTTTACAGATTCGCCGTTCAATTTCATGATATCCTAGGCGCCCCAGAGAACAAAGATAAACCAGTCGTGTTCTGGAGCAAGGCCGATGCGCGGAGTATGTCTCTTCACTCAGAGCTCCAGAAAACAACTGCTAACATATTTGCCTAGGTCGAGCGAACGCTGCTTGCATTCTTGCTTCGTACATGGTCTTAATTCAAGCTTGGGCACCACATCTCGCCCTCGCACCGATCGCACAAGTCAACCCTCCCCTCATGCCTTTCCGCGATGCAGGTTATAGCCAGGCAGATTACGGCATTACAGTACAAGATGTGGTATATGGTGTTTGGCGTGCAAAGGAGCAAGGATTCTGCGCTCTGCCATCCTTTGATTTGGAGGAATATGAAAGATATGAGCGAGTGGACCAGGGCGATTTCAACTGGTTAACTCCAGATTTCCTCGCATTTGCGTCACCACAACATACTCCAGTTGCACCAATATTACCGTCCTCCCCATTATACGCCACTCTTCCTTCGACTTTGGAGGCTGTTGACGCTCACCCAACACTCCCGGGTCCGTTTAAGAATGTCTTGAAACATTTCTCGCAACGTGACATTGGTCTTGTTGTTCGTCTGAACTCCGAGCTTTACTCCCCATCATACTTTACCGCTCTCGGAATCGAGCACTTGGATATGATTTTTGATGACGGCACTTGCCCCAATTTATCTGTTGTTCGCAAATTCATCAGACTGGCGCACGAAATGATTACAATCAAGAAGAAGGGAATTGCTGTGCACTGCAAAGCTGGTCTTGGTCGCACTGGATGTTTGATTGGAGCGTATCTCATCTACCGATATGGATTTACTGCAAACGAAATCATCGCATACATGCGCTTCATGCGTCCAGGTATGGTCGTAGGTCCACAACAACATTGGCTGCATCTCAACCAAGGCACTTTCCGAGAGTGGTGGATCGAGGAGCAGTTTGAGATCAAGATGAAGGAGAAAATCGCGAGCCTTACTCCAACAACACCAACAAGAGTCAGCTCCAAGCCATATCTGTCCAACAACCAGATTGCCACTCCACCTAATGCTAGCAGGCGATCACCACTTGGTGAAGTTGACAACGAGCAGCGTAACAGCATTGGTGTCCAGGAAGATTGCTTACCAGCTCCTACGCCTGGTCAACCTCGAAAGACAAGCAAGGCCATCGACCGCCATCATCCATACAACCGAGCTGTTTCAAGCTACACCACAACAGAAGATGAGCACACCATTCAGCGAGAGACAGAAATGATCTCGATTCATAGACAATCGCTTGACGATCCAGATGGGGAGGACGAATGGACGATGAGAATGAAGACAAGCCGAAAGTCATCCCGGTCACCAGGCAGAACAACAGAAAAAAGATCCGTCAGCCACCAGACCACCACAACAATTTACTCCATCGACAACGACAGCAGTAATGATATCGAAAACATTGGAGCTTCTCGCCCCAAGGTCCCTGGAACAATGAAATCGGGCAGCGGATCGAGCACACTCAGCAAAGTCCGTGGCAGTCCAAAGCGAACAGGTGATAGCTTAAGAGAAAAGACTGGAGTTCGAAAGACCAGCGGAAGAGTAGGCAGTGTATCGGCATCCTCATCTCGCAAAGTTTCGGGCCTGTAAAATATAGTTGCTGTTGCGAATGTTGCATAAAACGGCGTCTTCGGTCATGCATATGAAAAATGAGGGGTTAACGGCGGTGTTCCTTGGGGTTTCAATATATTGTCAGCCTTTGTCGAGTATAATCACGAGTTGCGTATGGCAGAGACACACCACTCCTACCATACCCAACCAGAAATTTTGGGCCTCGCACTTTGTGCCTTTCCTCGGATGGATATGGAGTGTTGGTTTCGAATTATCGTGTTGTTGAATTTTTGTGTCTGTGGATATTCGAGATGGACTTGCTTCTGGAGGTTACTTTTCTACTTTGCTTTTTGGATTGCCTGGGATTTTTTGTTAGGGGGTGTTTTTGCTGTTCTGCTGCTTTCTTCTGAGTATCATGAATCATGAGCATTGATCTTGCGTTGCGTTGCATAATGAGTTGCAGGTTAGTGTAGAGGAATTGAAATCACAACTTTGAAAATTTTATGAGATGAGATTGCATGTGACTGTGATGGTGAATTTGGAGGTGCTTGTGTAACCGTATTATAACAAAATCGGTGCTCTCCAACCAATAATTTACACTAACAGCGATGGATTTCGATATTGCCTCACTGCAATCAAAATTTACCCACATGACCTGTGCCACAAGATTCATTCCCCAACTACCACGACCACAACTCCAGCGTGGAATCACTGTCTGCAACTCTAAATCCAAGGACATTCTCCCCAAAACATGCCACACAACAGTCTATCTCTATCAAGCTTCCCCTCTTTTGCGAAAGAAGTGTAGAAATATATCTCGTCGAAAGAGTTGACGATGCTTCTAAAAGTTCTGTACTACACGGGGGATAGGAGAATAAAGCAGAACGCACATGTACGAAATTGGCTGAAGGAGTTCTTAATTTTTGAGCTAAGATCATTACGATCTGTATCATTTCACTAGAACCTGAACCATGCAATAAAAAAGGTTGAAACGACATCAAAAGACACCAAAATGTGTAAGAACTCCCAGAAAGGAGCCTGGTTTTGATTGGATTTGCTATTTTTTTGGTAGTCTAATCGAGAAACAAACAAGCCAGCGGGAAAACAAGAGCGAGGAGACCTGCATCAATCGGATCATGACATGAAGAGGTCCGTCGAAATAATGGAAAGATGCCGGCTATCTCTAAAGTTTTCGTGGCAGTGATATGAAAAGGGTCAAGTGCAATAATGCGCATTAGATAGGGTTAAAAAGCAAGCAAGTTGCGAATCAACCTCCCAAAAAGCGCTTCGGTTGCTCACCCTTTCTTCATCTACACTGCGTAAAAATGCAATACCCAGCCCCAGTTCCTAAGCTCACGTGTACCCAGAGACACCAAACATCAACGCCTTTAACCGACAATTTACTCAGCAGCCTTTGTTTCCGCTGGCGCCTCGGCAGCGGTCTCAGTCTCCTTTGGTGCTTCAGTGGCAGGTGCGGCGCTTGTCTCGGCAGCAGATGGCTCGGCCTCTGATGAAGTCCAGAGAGTCTGAAAAGAGAAATTAGCCATTGGACCCATATCAATGTTTCCAGTAAACTTACCAAGTTATCTCTCAACAGCTGCATGATCAATGTTGAGTCTTTGTAGCTCTCCTCGCTGAGGGTATCGAGTTCTGGGGAAATGTTAAAATGAATCACGTCAAACATTGCTTGTGAGACTTACCAGCAATAGCGTCATCGAAAGCCTGTTTGGCAAGATGGCAAGCTTGGTCGGGTGAGTTCAAGATCTCGTAGTAGAAGACTGAGAAGTTAAGTGCAAGACCAAGGCGGATTGGGTGTGTTGGTGCAAGGTCTGTCTGGGCAACCTCGGTGGCATTCTTGTAAGCCTCAAGAGACTTGTCGGCAGACTCCTTTCGCTTATCTCCAATTGCAAACTCGGCGAGGTATCTGTGGTAATCACCCTTCCTATAACCGCATTGTCAGTCTACGGTAAACCAAAAATCAACGGTCTCAACAAACATCTTGTGGTAGAAAACCTTGGACTCTCCGCTCTTGGCAGAAGGAATTAAGTGTTTGTCGAGGACCTCGAGGATATCTTCACAGATCTTGGCGAGCTCGGCCTCGATCTTTTGACGGTACTCCTTGATGAGACCAACCTGGGATGAGTTGCCTTTTGATTCCTCCTTTTGCTCGATCGAAGTGACAATTCTCCACGAGGCACGGCGAGCACCAATAACGTTCTTATATGCGACGGAAAGGAGATTTCGCTCTTCAACAGAGAGCTCTTGGTCCTCAGAGGCGACCGACTTCATGTTCTCCACCATCTCTGCAACAAACGATCAGTATTCGTGTAGGCTCGACCAGCCGTAGGAATGCTAACCTTCATATCGCTCAGCCTGCTCAGCGAGCTTGGCGAGGTAAACTGAATCTTCGTATCCCATGATTGCGGTTGGAAATCTATAGAAAGAAGATATTAGCAGAGCGCACCGTTGAGGTGTTCGTTTTAGAAAGTAGTGTGTCGCTTTCCGGAGTTGAGTGCGGCCTGTGCGAAGAATATATGCAGCGAATTGGCAGTTGGTGCGCGTTCCAAAGACTCGACGTATGCGCCCCTAAAGATAATGCACCCACATCGAGGTAGACGGTGCTCACTGCTTCGCAGACGTCAAAGAAAACCTCTGCCACCTTCGACCGGGACTAGTGGCTACCCCTCATAAGGGTTGAGGGGCAATCGCAGTATTGAGAGATCTGCGGCTGACGCCAAAGCAAACGCAACCTGTCGGGTTCGTCTTTCCCATTGACACAGATCGCAGATTCGGAGGCGATTGGCATTTACAGTGGTTGTTGATGCGGTGTTGATGTCCAAGGGGTTCGCGGGAGGGAATGACGGACTAACAAAAGGGAGATGCTTACCGGATTGTTGAGGATCGAGTATGTGCTGATATTGCTAGAGATCAGCGGAAGTTTTATGGTCGAAAGATTACGTATGCGACGTTGTCCGGAGGAGGTGAATGTGGATGGGGTTTGGGTTGAGAAATCGAGGGAGAGCGAAGTCGAAGAGGAATTGGAGAAGTTGATCGAAGCAGGGCCAACTGAACGCTTCCTTTTCACGCTAGTGGCTCTGGTAGCAGACGAAGCGACGACCGCAGTCAAAGGCCGCCAACGAACCTAGTCGCACCTGCAATTTGACAACAAACGTTGAGGATCGAGACCGCGGCTGCGATAACACGCGCTGGTGCAGCCTGTCGATGGCGGTTTTTGTATGCGATATTGATATTGCCGCTGGGCGAGAGTCAAGATGGATATGGACCAGTATTTCAGGTAGGTGCTTCGTGTTTCTTGGCGCGAATTGGTCAGTCTTATCGATTACAGTGATGAAATGGAGACGGGTCAGTCGCAAACACTTTCAAGGCGAGATGTGGTGACCTTACGGAGGCAACTGTTGTTGTTTTTATATTATTTGCTTTAGCTTCGTCGCATTTCTATCCCCTCTCATCCAGCTCTCCAGATGTGTTGCGTTGGTAGGGTCGATGAACCCACGACAATGCCTCCATCCTTGTGCGTTTGATGCTATCAGATTCTTCAAACTGGCCGCATAAGGCGCAGGTACCACTCAAGACTCAGACGTGTTGATCTCCAGATTGCCCAGGTGCTCTTCATCTTCTCCGCGTCAACGACGACCCCTGATTTCATGGAAACCCACCAGCTGTGAAACTCGGTCGGCGAGCTAGCAGGCTAACAGCGAGGCCCTTGTTGCATTATTGTGGCAGTGCTTGGAGCTCATTCCGAGAGCCTCGATTCTCAAGTCGTCGAGTTTGCCTCAGCACAATGACTGTGTGATGCAATTGCTTTCATGAAGAACATGTCTTTCTTGACACGGCGAAGCCTCATCAAGATGGAGGAGCATATTCATACTGGCTTAAAATCTACAACAGTATCTCTGTCTCAGGGTATGAACGACGCGACTTCGGTCTAAATTGCTACTACTGAGGATCTCGAATACCTCGTTTCAAAGTTCGATACAAGAATATCAGTAAGAATGGCGAAAACATTTAGGAAAGAAGCACCGTGAAGACGAGCAAATGGTATGCTTTGGGCTTGTAGAATCCTATCAATTTGGTAATTTTACAATGTCCAAGGCGTAGTGACCAGCTTCTACGCTAGGGTTTTTCATCCTCCACTATATTGGTCAGTATTCTGTCATTCTTTTTTTTACCTACGGTATGTAGTATTGATTGGATTAGCAGATCGACCTGAGTAGAGCAGAAAACCTTCACCGAATTAACATGCTGAATTAAAAGCTAGTTCCCATGGCCCATCTGGGGAGTTACTGACAAATACATAACAATTCCTATCAAGCATGGCGCACCGTTCCTTTCTTTGGAGCAGACACATTATTGCCTAGCTACGGTTTTATAGAACCCCCACTGAGCACCACCACCACAGCTATCACTAAAGCTCCGAGCAAAACCACATCTTTATTCGCTGTTCCTGCACCAGATCTTGCCGTTGTAGATGTAGGTGTTGTAACCGCGGTCGCCTGAGCTGTGCCGGGGGCGCTAGTAATGGTACCGGACGAAGAGACGACCCGAGTCGCTGGAGTCGAAGCAGACGAAAGTCTTGAACTATCAGATGCTGTTGGGGAAGAAAGCGATGCCGTAGTTGATGGCGAGCCCAGCACGGTTGTGCTCGCAACAGTACCCGCAGTACTTGAAGCTCCATCTACAAAAGTTCCTATAGTTGTCGCCTGGCCATTTGCTAAGGTGACTATGCCAGTTCTGAAGTTTCCGCTGCTACCATCGTCATCGTGGAAATCTCCTTAAAGAAGAAGAACGCCCAATCAGTTTCAGTCACATCGGAATGTTAACGGGTACATACCATTCTGAAGATTCACGCAACTGAATGTGGCATCGGGAAACACAAAGCATGTCTCTCTATCCGCACAAGCTATGACCGCTCGAGCTTGAAGACCCCTTTTTCTCGCACCTATTATACTTGTATTACTTCCGGGATCGCACTGGAGGCTGGATTAGCAAAACGAAAGAGATTTGACAACAATGTAGCTTACAAGGTCAAAACATGCTTGTGAGTTCGCACAAAGGTCGGTACAGACGTTAGAACCACCGGAACCCCCAGATCCAGAACCGCTAGATGTGGGCCAGGAGATCGCATTGGATATGGTACAATCAACGGCTAGTGTAAGAGGGAGCGCTGCTAACCAAACGAATGTGTTTTTTCCGAACAACATGATGTATTGACAACAGAAACAAGCAAATATTATGATTATTTGAAAGTACCAATTTACTTCTCAGCCGCGCCAGAAAGAATTGGTCAACAAGTACCTAGGTACCTCCGAAGGACTGCATGATCATGTGACTTGCCTCGCCGTTTAATTGTGGCCTGATTGACCACACCACCTCCCTCAGGCATTTACTACCTCGCCCCAATCATCATCCTGCATCCACACCTCAATCAAGCTTCCTCACGACTGTCGAACACACCACTCAGAGTCCACCACTGAATCAATCGTACGGCAGAAGCTGCACCCCTCTCAGACTACAAAACCACAAGCATCACCCACACCCATCCCCCATACCACAACGCAAATATGCTTCGCCAATCCATCAACAAAGCTATCCGTCCAGCACAATTCAGAGCTTTCTCCATCTCGGCACGAACCATGGCTGGTGGTGATACTGGAGCTCCAAGAAGCGGAGGGATTGCTCAAGGGTACGTACCTCCCACAATATACATCCCATCTCAGGTCTGTCTTTTGGATGGAAGCTTCAAGCTTGAGCTGGCTACGGAGCGGGCCTGCTGGGAAACAAAAGTAGTTCATAGGCTAATGTCATGGAAACTACAGAGACGCATTCAGCAAACGCGAGAAGGCGAATGAGGACTACACCATCCGTATGCGCGAGAAGGAGAAGTTGCTTGAGCTCCGGAAAAAGGTTGCCGAGCAACAGGATCACTTGAAGAAGCTCGAAGACCACATGTTTGTCTCCCATTAAATTCCTACCATTCCTCCACATCCATAAGCACAGAACCACCAAGCCATCCATATCATGTCCAAACGCCTACCTGCCCCGAACTCCTTAAGCTCTACTTGAACCACCCATTACAGATACCTTCTCTTTACGTACCCGAGCTAACAATCCTCTCAACAGTGACGAACTTTCCAAATCTTCCGGCGGCGAGCAAAAGTAAGTATCATATGACCAGAAAGCATTTCGGGTTCGGGAAATTTCGGGGTCCTACCTATTCTCTTTGAATTACATATGTCAGCTTTCGTTTCCATCGAAACCTGATCAAATGCTGAACCTGTCACTGCACCAACAGTTGATGAGAAGGGTGATACCGTGTTACCCTTGGAAAGCGTTCGATATCGCGGCAAGAGTAGCAGATGATGGATGATATGATATAATAAGCGTATGGGTGGATATTGTATACAAATTGGACTTTAAAACTCCACACTTTCACAATTGCATTTTTATAACACGATGAAATTAGCATGTTGGATCGCTCTTCATCTTTCTTCATTTCTCGCTATTTTATTATACACGCTCATCAGCTTTTTCATGCCATGTTCCCTCGAGAACTTTTCCACAAAACATCCATGACAATCAATAAAATGCCGATCACCCAGATGTCCAAATATTGCAAACAACCACAAAGCTTGTGTCAACGAACGCCATCCTCAAATGCAAATTAACCAAACACTACCGTCTACTTCCATAAGTCGACCGATAGAAGGACTCTATATTGTCATTTTCTAGACCACCGTAACCGTTTGAGCCAATGTTCAGACCAACTCGTTGAGCTTCAGCGACCTTGGTTTGAAGAACGCTGGCGTTTTGGTCGATCCATTGCAGTTGCGTCAGGTGATCATTGAGAACTCGTACGATGTGTGAAAGCTGTTTTCGTGTTAGTATCTCGGTTAAGATAGAATTTTGGGGGATGGAACTTACAGGATCGTCGGTTTTACTGCTCTTACTAAGCGAGGAAGAGGCATCATTGATAGCTTCAATCATACTAGTCAGATTCTTGCCCATATCGTCCAAGTTATCAGTCAGCTTCTCCGCGAGCTTGTAAGTTCGTTCTCGTTCTTGATCGGGACCCTGTAATTGATCACCTGGACCTAGCTGACGGCTGAACATCTCATCAACCTCTGCCTCGTACTTGTCCAACCAGCCTGAGAGTTCGTCCTGCTGGCTTTCCACATTTGACAGTTGTCGTTCAACTTCTGCGGTTTCCCGCTCTGCTTCGTACGTGTTGTGATAGAGCTTTTGAATCTTCTCGGCGCTGTCGACTAATAACCTATCCCAAGTCGCAACTTGCTTTGCTTGGTCCTGGAAGTCTTTTTGATATTTCGAGAGATCAGACGCCCATCTCGTGATAATTTCATCCATCGTCTTGTTCTTCAGTCGTGAAATTTGCGGTGTTGGGCCAGAGGTAGATGCTCCAAGAGTCGATGCGCCTAGCGCTGGAGCTCCGCCGGCTGTTGAGGCTCCAGCTCCAGATGTTGTCCCTCCAAGACCTCCTGTAGCAGCAGTGCTTGTCGCAGGAGTCGTAGAAGGCTTAGCAGTAGATAGTCCACCAAAAGCTGGCGCAGGAGTGCTTGTAGCTGGGGTAGCTGATGTTGTTGTAGATTGAGGGAATAGTCCTGTCGGAGCAGCGGTAGTGGTTGCTGGTGCTGCTGTACTTGGAGCGGTAGATTTCGCAGCCGCAGAACCGAAAAGGTTTGACGAAGAGGAAGCAGGTGCAGTAGAACCTCCAAGTCCGGAAAATAATGAGCCACCAGCTGGGGCAGACGATGCAGGTGTGGCCGAACTAGTTGCTCCCATGTTAAAGAGGCTTTGAGGGGCAGAAGAAGCTGCTGTTGTGGGAGCTTGTGTTCCTGTTGCACTTGGCGCTGAAGGAAAACTGAAAGCAGGCTTGTTGTTAGAGGTTGAAGTAGACGTTGTCGCTGCTGGCGCGGATGTAGCAGTGTTATTATTCAATCCCGAGAAAAGGGAACTGCCACCTGCCGCTCCACCAGCACTTGATGTTGGGGCTGCTGGCTTGCTTCCGAACAACGATGGTCCCCCAGATGTTCCTGCGTTCCCGAACAAACCGGGTCCGGCCTGGGTAGTCTTTGCGGGAGGAGGGCCAGCAGGTGTAGTTGAGTTCCCTAGTCCGAAATTTCCAAATTTTGTAGGGGCCGGTGTACTTGTCGCTGCGCTGCTAGATGTTGTCCCGCCAAACATTGGTTTGGCACCACCAGTGCTTCCAAAAAGCCCCCCCGATGCAGCCCCAGTAGACGAAGGAGTGCCAGTATTCAAGTTGGAGAAAAGATTGCTTGTCGATGGTGCGGCGGACGTTGTGGCTGGCTTGTTCCCAAATAACGAAGGAGCAGTGGTCGCAGCTCCAGAACTAGCACTTGAGGTCTGTCCTCCTCCAAAGATGTTGGTCGACCCGCCTCCAAAGCTTGGTGGCTTCGCAGCCGTGGAGCCAAACAATCCTGCGCCTGAACTACTTGGTGTTGTTCCTCCAAACAGGCCAGTCGTTGGTGGAGCCGTAGACGTTTGTCCTGCTCCAAACGCTGGCGCAGAAGTCGTCTTGGTACCAAACGGATTGTTGGGTGCGGCACCCCCATTACTAGGGGTGGGGTTGAAGTTGAATGACATGTTATATTGCTTTCGAGGAAACGGGTTGTTGCGTCCGCGGGAGTTAGCTTTGAATCTATGGATGAGTTAGTCTTGGGATCGGTCAGCGTGTAGAGGTTGTATTGGAGAATTCTTCGTACCAGTAGCTGTATGATATGCAAACTCAGAGCATGCAGGAGAATAGCAGTCAGGCGCATCAACGGCGCGTGGTGGTCAAGGTTATTCGTCTTATTCAACAGGCGCTTTCTATCAAAACAGGCGCGTCTGCGGTAGCTAAATTTCTAGTTATGTAAGCCCGTTCTCAGCCTCGTGGTCGTAAAGCGGCTCTGCAACTCGACTGACCAGGGTGCACTGTTACAGAGTACTGTAGATGATCCTGGTGAAGATAAATTAATTCACAAAAAAGTCACCAACATTAGTGGAAATAGTATGATCACAGCGACTATTTTCTGCATCTCCACAATTGCTCAAGTATTTTTGGTAACATGGAAAGGAAAGCTGAGTTTAGTTATTCGAATTCTCCCGGTATTAGGATGCGGCTTTTTGAGTGCCGCTTTTCTACATCGGGAGGCAGCTCCTGGTGGCTCCTTCGAGGGGAAGTCGAAAATGGGCCACGATCTAGATCCAGTGCCTTGGCTCATGGAGATCTTGCCCTTTCTTCACCACGTTCTCTTCCAACGTTGTAATTATTTATATTCTTATTCACTTCGCGGGTACATAAACATTTAAAGCAACATGGCAGAAGATCATCACACAACTTTAGAGCCTCCCCCGCGGACCAGTATGGACGATCCAGGAGCACACGACCTTGGTAGATGCTCATACCCCTGATATACCTCACAGTCGCAAAGTATTCTAACACCAATCTGTAGAATCTTCCGACTCCGAGGACCATTTTTCCGATGCTCAATCAGACTTGAAAAACTCAGGAGGAGCTTCCCCAGTTGTGCCCATCACTCGCATCGAAAAGGTCGATAACGATCCCAGCTACGGAGAAGTGCCCGGCACGGAAGCATATCATATGAGGGAAAACGACGCCGAACCTGATGAGATTGCTGTTGTTGGCGACGCCAGCACGCCAGCCGTTTTGGACTCAGAAGAAAATCCCTCCACTCCTGGAGGTCAACCCATCCCCATAACCGTTGTGGAAAGAGTAGATGATTCCGCGAGTTATGGTGAAGTGCCTGCTACTGAAGCCTACGAGAAGCGTCAGGCAGATTCCGTGCCGGACTTGGTAGTTAGAACTGGGGATAGAAGCCGGTCTACCAGTACCAGCACCAGATCAAGAGCGGAAAGTACTCCTGGAGACCTGCCAATCCCTATAACAAAGGTTGAGAAAGTGGACTCCAAACCTAGCCACGGTGAAGTTCCTGGAACCGAGGCATACGAGATGAGAAAGGGTGATGCGCAACCAGACGTCGTAGAAGAAGTAGGGGATGCTCCAGGTGAGAATGCTCATGTTTCTTCTGCATCAGAGCGATTGACCGGATCAGGGTCGCCAACGTCTCCTGCTGCTAGGTCCCCACACATGAGCCACGCAAGGCGAAAGTCATCGGCGGCGGGAAAGAAAGCTGCCCCAATTGATGACTATAACGAAGACGAGGACGGTTCGGATGGAGGATTTGGAGACGATTTCGATGATTTTGAGGAAGGGGAGGAGGATACGGAATTTGGCGATTTTGATGAAGGTTTTCAAGAAGCAGATGCGGCACCTCAACCTCCTCCCATACAGTCTCTACCAGCTAAACCTGCATTTGTGAGTAGAAATCTATACTATTTGGATCTAGACATTGCCGTACAAATGCCCATGTGACAAATGCTAATATCACTCAGTCCGTCCTCGATTTTGCTGATCTCGACACGCCCGAAGAAATCATTGCTGCAACAGAGCCATACATGGATGCTCTCTTCCCACCGGACACAATCGATACCTCAGTGCTGCCACCATTAACAGCTGAAAATCCAATCTTTCTCACTCCCCGTAGCGCGTCACTTTGGTCCCAGCTTGTAGCACCACCTCCACTCCAACCTCCAGACTGGATACGTTCCCGAATTCGTCGTCTATTTCTCGTCTCCCTCGGCGTCCCAGTTGACCTCGACGAGATCTTACCAGCCTCAAAACAAAAGAAATTGATCCTACCCTCCATCAACCTCCCTAATTCCCCGCGAAACTCAACAGACTCACGCTCCATCTCCCGTCTCAAGAACCAGGACAACGCCTCTTCCACATCTCTCGATTCACAAGGCAAAGCCCGTTCTGATTCCCGGCGTCGGCGTGGTCCACCGCCAGCTCCCCAACTAGATTTGGTGTCTGCAAGACAATTATGTATGATTACCGATGAAGCTCTCAACGGGTTCACTATTCAGGAATTGAAGGAACATGTGAAGAAGTTGCAGGCTATGCAGGAAACGGCTAATGAGGTGCTGGAGTATTGGACGAAGAGGACAGATAAACAGCTAGGTGATCGCGAGGCTTTCGAGGGGGTGATTGAGAATTTGGTTAAGCATGCTAGGAAGACCAGGAAATAGAGGATCTGTATGGGAGGGGTAGAGAGAGGTGAAGAGAGTGGTAATTGTAATCAGATTATGCAGAATGCATTGTATCTCATCAGCTGGACTGAACACGACACTGTTCGATCAGACGGAATAAAATACAGAGTCCTATTTTTCATTTCACCAATGTCCTCTTAAATTTACACTGTCCTCAATGCGACGGTAATATGATATATCTGATTAGCTAGACTGGACCCGCCACCGTTCGATCGAGTAGAATATAATGCTAAGTGCCATTTTTTATATCCTAAAGCTCTTCGTGCCACGTGGGTGTAGCCTGTCCTTAATGTAGTGGCAATGTGATGTATCTCATCAACTGGACTGAACACGACACTGTCCGATCAGACCGAATATGATACAGAGTTTTATTTCTTGTATCCTCAAGGTCTTCTTCGTACATATAAGAATTACCTTGTCCTTGACGTAACGGCAATATAACACATCTCATCAGCTGAACTAAACTCATCGCCATGCAATCCGGCAGATTAAACCACATAGTTCTACTTTTCATCTCATCAAATCTTCATGAATGCAACCTTTACTTTACAACATTTTCGCCATATCAAAAGCCATAAACAGCTTTCCACCGCTACCAGTATCCACCGAATACATTTCCGTTACCCGTGCCAGCTTCCTCAATCTCGGCATCTGTTTATCCGAGCGGCTATACAAGGCTTTGTTTTTGTTGAGAGGATAGTGAGTTCGGATTTTGAAGGTGAAAGAGTAGGTGAAGAGGTGTTATATAAGGGATATGTTGGGTGGTGAGAGTGTGTTTGAAAGTGAAGAGGCGTGGGATTGTGAGGGTTTTAGTTAGACGTGTTTTGCTTTGGGTTTTTCCTTAGGGGAGCATCAGAGATCTTGATTTGAATGATATTTGAGGGTAAAGCTACACCATATATCTCAATCCTAATCAGTGTGAACGCCCTTTGAGATACATGAGATATTTCAGTCTCTTCCTACGTCAGATATCCCCACCCTAATAACATTCCAGCCTTCCTAGTTACATCAGATAATCTGAACCCTAATCACTTTCAATTCTCCAAAGCCGTGTCCGATTCCCTGCTGCTAATCCACCTTCAATCAGGTCTTCCCAGCCAAGTCGAAACCGTCGATAATCTCAATCATGTACATAGAAGAGTAAAAATCAAGAATCGTTGCACGTATATACATGAGGTCTTCCATCCAAGAGACCTGAAGGTGTCCAAAAAGTGAGCAAGCCCATCAGCAAATCAAAAAATTCAAATCACAAGCACAGTAACACCCAAATGCAAAAAACATAAAATCAACGAACATTTCATTATCGATCTGTGAAAACGAAGAACTAACTAAGCATTTCCCTGCGCAAACAAGAATAACAGTGTCCATCCATCAAGCAAGCAAGCAGTAAAACAATTCTGATAACTTCGATAACCCAAGGCCCCAAATCTCCCTTTTCCATGCGCAAATTCTTTTCAATTGTCCTGATTGATAAACCGCTCGCGAAAAGAACAAGAACAAGAGTAAGATGAAGAAGATTACAAGGTGACCAAAGAGCTCAAAGATTTTTCCACCCAAGAATTAAGCGTCGATGTTGTTGCTGCAACAAGAAGTGCAAAGAGGAGTTCATTCCCATGTCGTAATGTATTAGTTGATAAGTCGTGTGTGTGTTTGTCTTCGATGACAACGTCTAAAACTTTTTGATATTGCGACTGGCTGGCGAGAGTAGACATGATCGGTCTGTAAAAGGAGCTTTTTGGAGAAAAGACATTGTCGAAGATGATGAAAAGGAAAAATGTGCAAGGAAGAGGCAATCGATGTGTGACAGTGTAATGTTGTGCTCTAGTAAGCCGTAAAAGTGTAGGACCGGGTCGCAGATCTAGTCCCTCACTGAACAGATGAAAAAATCAGCCCAGCGAATTGATGAGACTGCAAAGCTCGAACCAAGGCGTAAATGTGGCTCATCCCATGAGGATACATGTAAAAGAAATCGAAAAGCAGCGCAATAGATTCTTCGTGGACGCGTGATAAAGAGACGTCTAATGCACTTTTTGTACATGGCATTCGTGTGAAAATGCAAATCCCCACCCATCCGATACTTTTGGAGTAACGCTAACAGGAGAACGAAGGCTATCCAGGCTTGGACGCGCGCAGAATCGAAAGCCATGAAAAAGTGGCAAATTCAAGAGCAGAAAAACGCAATGATCGCTTCAAGAACTCCAGTGCGAAACACGTATCAATATTTACTAAATAACAGTTAGGATTTGAAAGATATAGCAGATTAAGGAACTTACCTGTAATGGTTGAAAGTTACCATAGGGATGTGCTGGAGGCATACCCATGGATTGGTATTGAGGCGGAGGAGGAGCAGGGCGATATGGAGTGCCTGCCGGACCCGAATTGTTTTGGGAACGTCCCCAAGAGAGACGAACACGCGAGTTACCAATGGGGTAACCTTGCATTTGATTGATCGCCATCTCAGCAGCATGACGTTGAACAAATTGGACAAACCCACAACCCTTTCCTGGAGGAATCTTGACATAAGTAATTTCGCCAAAGCCCTGGAAGAATGATCGTAGCTCGTCCTCAGTGACATATCCAGACAAACCACCGACGAAGACAGTAGTGTTATTAGGGTCTGTGAACTGGTTCATGGGTTGAGGTGCTCCATAGTAGCCCAGTTGAGGGGGGGCGCCCATCGAGTACATTCCAGGAGCACCCATACCGCCGGGTTGACCACCGCCCATACCGCCACCACCTTGCATAGGCATGCCAGCTGGGCCACCAGCACCACCGGACTTGTTTTTGGGAGTAGCAGTTGAGATTCGCATAGGTCGATTGCCGCAGTAGACTCCTTGCATCTCGGTTAAAGCTCGTTGCTGGTCCTGTTCATCGGCGAAACGGACAAATCCATATCCTCGCGACATGCCCGAGATAGGATCGGTCATGATCTTAGCTGACTTGCATGACGGGAAGCGAGCTTGGAAGAGTGAGACCAGAACGTATTCATTAACCTCGGGACCAAGATCACCGACGAAGATAGAAAACTCCGGTCCACGATCATCCCTAACTTATAGTTAGTAACAGTTTCATGAATGCGATAGCATCGAGGAATAGAGGAATATGAACCGGGAGTCTGACCGACGGTCTGCTAATCCTCCTCCAGATGCCCAGTTTAGCTTGAAGGGTCGGGAGGTGTTGGGGATCATAGACCCATTCAGAGAAAGAGCCTTAGCGGCAGCGGCAGGCGAAGAGAAGTCAATAAAGCAGTAGCCGGCGTTACTTGTAAAGGTTAGCAGAAGCCCTAACGGCGTTACTACGACAAAGGCTTACCCGGAGAACTTATCACGAATCATCTTAACATTTACCTGCTCGCCCATTCCGAACCATACGGAACGAATGAAATTTTCATCGATCCACGGCTCAAGCTCGCCCATCCTGTATGCATGTGTCAGCACTGTTCGAAGCAGGGACCTTTCGAGATCCAGTTGGTCGGTTTGGCGATTCTAAATGTTCTGAAAGTTAGGTAGAAGATTGAAGTGCTTACCAGAGTGTGGTCTTGGCATCGCCAGTGACGCTGCCTGAGGAACCCTCAACTCCACCTTGCTGAGCGAATGGAGCTGGAGAGCCGCCGTCTTGACCAGGCTGTTGACCAAGGTTTTGCTGAGGTTGTTGAGGCATCCCTTGTGGGGGTGGAGGACCCTGTTGAGTCATGCCATTTCCCTGATCTTGCTGGAATTGGCCTTGTTGGTTTGGATCATACTGGAAGGCCATTTTGCGTGAAAGTTCAGTTTCAGAGGTTCGAAGTAAATATGGCGAAGTGATCTGGGACAAAAAAGTTGCTAGAAGAGTGAACGGCCTTTGTAAGAAAAGGTTTGGAAACTAGCGTCGAAATGGAAGGGATAATAGTGCAGGATCTGTGAGGTTGTATCAGTATTGTCAGTCTGTATCAGATCGGAATATTGTGTATTGTGTTGAGAATAACAACTCGCGAAAGTGGAAATTTAACTTCGGGTGGACCCGCTGGACGCTAAGCGGCTGAGGAGCCAACGTCTGATTCGACACTCAAGACACCAAAGACTGTTCTAGGATAGTGAGAGAGAATAGGAATCATGCTCAAGAACTACGTGCGATTGTTATGTTCATCCAAATCCAGCACCAATTGTGAATAATCCATCATGTTCTAAACAATGTGATTCCCAGCCGAAGCTCAACAATAATGGGTATGACAAGATTATGAATGATCTCATCGAGATTTGAAACTGAACTTCTGGGAACGTAATAACTAAGCAGGCCTTGCTCATAACCAATCAAGTTGAACTCCATGAGAAGCACTGCTTCAAAACTGCTTGCTGGGAAAACAATAGTGAATGAGGCTGGCGCTTTAATAGCAGCTTCAGATACAGGATGAACAAACAGACGGGGAAAGTTCTTGATACAGGCATCTTGCACATAGTGCGAAATGTCCAAATATCAGTGGCTCGGTGATTGGGCACTGTTGTTGCCAGCGTCGAAGAATAACCTTACCCAAAGGAGCATGAAACTAGACTCATTCATGCGAGGTGATTCTTCGAGGCAGCGGAAAGGTGTGATGTTGGATTTTAAGCATATTGCAGTTCGGACAGGCACACTAACTTCTTTGGTGGGAATATGCAGGGGAGCTTCCGAGGGGCGCGTCTATCGAGTGGCAAGGAGGGGTAACAGTGGAAGTGATTGGGGAGTATCCCGAAGTTGGACACCATGACCCAATTCCTTGGAAACTAGGTAGAGGTGCGTATAGAACTCTATATGCTCTCTACTCAAATTTCGGCCGAATTTTGAGACAAGGAAGCAATATGCCCCAGAGTTTTACAAACTCAAAGCACAGCTCAGCTAGTCACGAAATGGAACTCAACGAAGGGCATGGCCCCTCCGACACTTCGTAAGATTGAATTTGAGCGAGGCTCTCTTTCAACATACCTCCTGGGAATATGGTCTTTTAAACGCCTTTCGCTTCCATATACCACAGGAGGTACACAAATACAAGTATTGTAGTTCTAAAGACGAAATTCGCTTGCTTGTGCTGAGCCCAGCGTATTGTAAAGCAGCTTTCGTCCATTGGAGCAGCTTTCGTCCACTGGAGCAGCATTGATCCACTAGACGAGAACTGTTTCCAAGTCACGGATAGCTCCAAAAAAAAGGTATTCACTCCTGCTTCTCCACACAGCACTGCTGGATGCAAATTTTCACCGACCACTTGTGAAAACAGCATGCACCACTCTGTGAGATATTCTGGAGCCAGAAACATCATGAGTGTTTCTTTATTTGTCCTTATTGAGAATTTGCAAAATGCGAATCCAAACGTCATTGCCTGTTCATTCGGCTCCCGGGAAGAGCCTCAAAAACAGAATTTGCGCCCGTAATCTTTTTTAATCAAACACAGTCTTGAATGGTATACGGTCCCAGGCTTGCTCCAAGAAGAGACTCAATTGCTCACCTCAAATTAAATCCGAATCCAGCCCGATGATTTTCAAATCAGCCGTCGTGAAGTCGTTAAAGAGTCGCGGGAGATAGCTAGAAGCGAGGCCGCGAATGGAGGATCGTGGTGGATGACTCGATATTCCGACAACGTTTGCGCCTGAAAATAATTCGAAAGCGTGGTGGTGTAAGGATGAAGATTTTCGCTGAAGGGATGTTCGCTAGGGATGGCTTTCAAATCTGCGGGAACAAGCCAATGTCAGTCAATTGCATTTTCAAGCCTCTAGCGGAGGACCAGGCATTGGACCAAGTGGATATCGTCAAGATGCCAGCAGATGTAAGCCTTCCTTGCGCCGGGGTTTGCCAGCAAACGCGCATCGCCGTCCGCGCAATGGAAGAGTCCGGGTTGGGTTGAGCGAAATGCGCCAGGAACAATAACACGCCAGTCCGAGATATGCACACTCCCAGCCATGTACGACGACGAAGCTGGCATTGTCGGCTACAAGCTCGCGCGATCGCTGAAGCTCTGTCGGAAGAATAGTGACGAGAGTCGAAGGTTGCGATGTTGCGCTGGTGAGCATCCGGCAGACGAGGATGGTGGTGCGGTCCAATTGCGCAAGATCCTGCTGGCAAAGAACATGCAAAATGACCTAAACTTACTATGCTGAAAAAAACTGGGATCCCGAGAGAAAGCAGCAAATTCGAAAACTGGCGGGGAGACAAAAGACACAAGGCCGAAAGAGTCCAGAGAAACAAGTTGACGCAAAGGTACTGCAGAACGACGTCCAGGAATGGAGTGGAAAAGTTGCGTTGGGATGTGGGATGGGGAAGGGAGAGGTGAGGTGAGGTGAGGGTAGAGAAAGAGTGAGAGGGGGAAGGAGGGAGAGCAGTTGTGTAGTTATGAGAACTAGCGTGGGTCTAGCAGGTAGCGCGAAGTCAGAGGACGCTGGGTCGCTCGCGGCGTCACAGACGATGGGAAATAGGGTTTTACAGCGACACACAGATTGGCTCTGGGGGCGTGGAGAGCGCTGTAGCGGGGCCTGGGCTGCTTAGAGAGGCATAAGTCGAGACGCTATTACGCAGTGAGGAAATGCAGGCAGCGTGGGCGTGGCCGTACAAGAAACCTTCCTTTGGAGATGCTGGTGCGGTGCTGACAGTTAGCTGGCGGGCGGCACTGGGCAGTCTCTCGGGGTGAAGAAGAATGTCGTGGTTTGGCATGAAGACATATATTACGCTCAATCAGAAAAGGAAAAATAGCCAGGCCTCACCATCGCTCCCGGTCGATAGCAGTCGTGGTTTGTATGTCAATAACAGCAACATAAGTGAAGGGGTAAGTCATCGCTTTCACCGAAGACCAGGACACTTCTCGCCTATTAAGGGGGAGCAATGTCAACAGCACATGTCATCGGATCAGCTTTACGGCCTGAGCTCTGTCGACGGAATACGGTGTTGTAAGCTCTCATCATCATTGCAAAGTATGGAGATGTCTTTTCCTGGGGTTGTCGATCCTCCGTGTGCTTGCAGTGTCACAAGCCTGGCAAACTCACACTGCTGCTCATCGAGAGGCCTCCACAGCTTTTACATTCACAACACCATAACATCTCTCAAATTCACTGGCCGGATGGAAACTCCCCTTGCTGAGGCTTCCTCCTCGTTCGGAACGGAGGGAAGGAGAGCTCAGCTCCTGAAGACCGAACTGCTAGGTTGGCAACGGACCCATAGAGGGCTCGAGTTCGGAAGCCCTGACGAGTTTCTCAGGAACTCTTCGTTCTTTCTGGATGATGAGGCTGTTTGTGGGCACAGCATAGTGGGTTTTCCATGAACCAAGATCTTTAGTCCAGCACCATTGCACCAACTGCTTTAGCTGCCCACTCAATCGAAATCTCCACCAAATCTCCAGATACATCGTCAAGCCATCGAGCCATAGCCCTCAACCAACATCCCACGGCGCTGGTCTCGGTTTCGTCGGATCTTGCATCGTGCAGATGCTGCCCTCATGACGCCTGACAGAATCTGCAGAAAATGACCTGCTGCATCGAAAACCATGCTTCCATTCAGGAAGAGAAGCAGAGTTCTGACAGAGACAAGGATAAAGGATTTATACAGCGTCTCTTATGGGCCACGATGACCAGAGGGACACGGCTCAGAAGACCCTTGACGGGCTGAGCCCAGTTGATGGAAGAGCGCGAGCAGCAGCACGGTTTGGATCTGGATGTAACGAAGCAGGTTCAACATACGGAAGGGCATGATAGCCGCAGCCAATGGTTACCCTTCTTCGCCTAATTCTCTCCGATGCACTAAAAGGATCGCTCGTCTGCTTTGTCGGCGGCCCTATTCCGTTCCCTCATTGTCCACTTTAACCGACCATTTGTCTGTGTCCTCAGAGACAAATATCATAACTGTCTTGTAAGTATTTATATACCTGTCAACAGCCTTTTGTGTTTTTATTTTAGTTTAATTGTCAGGGACAACGTTGTGGTTCATTTGATCTTAGTCACCTTACACGGCATTATCAACGTAAGACAAGGATGAAAATGATGAGCTTTGCATATCAACACTAGAAGACTTCTGCGGCTTGAAAAAAGGGCCAGTCAATCTATCAACGCCTTCGCTTTAGCAATCTTCTTGTCTGCTTTCCTTTCTACCAAACAGTGGACGAAGAATCAATACATCCACCACCTCGCCAACTCAAATTAAAAGCTTCAACTCGCAACCACCTCCCGCTTCGAACAAGAGATTTGCACCGGACGTCATTGCATGAGCGTAATCCAGGATCAGAGTGCCAAGCTACAAATGAAACAAACCTCACAAACAATAAGTTTGAAACCATCCCGAACACCGTGCCAATAGCAATTTAGTTTTCCTTCAACAAAGGCATCCAGATCCCCGTTCTCACAAACCGTAAACCTAAAAACCCCACAAACCACCAAACTATGCCATTTCACAAACCTGATTTCCGTAGCTAAAGCCATACGCCAAAAAGACAAAATCAACTTTCAACCCTAAATCCAACAACCTCGCCGATGTTGCATTTTCCGAAGATTCTCCTGAAAAAGCGCTCAAGACTATGCCGTTGCCGTCTCATCCTGCAATGCAGAATAATTACTCGGGACTTCCTTGTCTGTGTTCTTTAATTCGACAACACCAATTCGCCCTACATATTCAAATTTATAATCTTTGACCAACCATATCTTGAGCACTATTAAAAGACCTTTACGACTATCAAAGATGGCTTGAAGTCTATAATTTCACCTCACGACTTACCGTTGATGTTTTACTCAGCTGGTTTGATGGTCTGGATTGCGCTTGATGATTCTCTTGTCTACCGTACTATCGTCCAAGCCTTTGCGATTCCATGTGAACCTGCATGTGTTCTTCTGCACGTAATGAGAGGAGCGTTTTATTGGGCAATCAAAATATACCTGGTAAGGTTACACTTTTGTCATGTGTTTTGTGGGAAACCGTTGTTTCTTATACATCTTTCAAGAAAATGAATGTGGTTCCTCCAATTTCCAAGACCGTCATGTTATACTCATAAATTTCATCTCCAGCGAGATATAGATCGTCAAAGTAGCTACTCAAGGAGTTACGCTCAAGCGTCAACAGCTGCCCTTCATCTTTCCATCTGTCACATCCCGTACCCCTTACTCCACACCCATCTTCCTCGTACAACAGAACATGTATCACGAAACAATAAAACGACCCATAACCAAAGACTACGTTACACAGCAACAAAACAAAAACAAAATATCCCAGACCCGTGCAATCTTCGTTTCTTATTCGCAAGAGCAAAAAGCACTAATTACATATCACAACCTATCTTCCTTGCATCAACGGAGACACCTCCTACTCCAACAGACAGATCTCCTACGTCGATTGCCATGGAAAGCGAAGAGCGAGATGCAGGAGCGGGGAAACACGGGGAAACACATGGGAGGATCGGATTGCTGCAGCATCTTGATGTGGGAAGCCGAGAAAAAGGAAGGGAAGGGCAAACACGTTTTCGCCGAGCTGAGGCTTTGATGGATTTGAGATGTGAGTGAGAAATCCGAGGTACTGTAGTGATTGTGCTTCTGCTATGTAGTCTGAGGGGAAAGAATTAGAGTTTTCACACATCTGTTGTACGGTACATATTCAGCATTCTTACTCTTATGCTGAAAAACCTGAACGACCTCACTTTAAAACGTAGGTTAGGTTAAGTTATATTTAATAGAACGATAGATTCTTAAGAATAATAACAAAACCCATTTACTTATTATATTTAACTAATATCTATTAAAAAAATTCCTTATCCTAATACTAGAATAGTTAAAGGGCCTTACTTTTAAAGTATAACCTCTTTAAATAAATAAGTATAGAGAAGTGTATATAATTACAAAATTAAGGTTACTATATATCTATAGCTATTAATATAAAACTATATATTTATCTATAACTATAAACCCTACAAAAGTACCTAACACACTTTTTCTACTACTAACAAGCAAGACATCCTAACCTATTTCCTAATTCTATCTTTTCACACTCTTTACTTTATATATACATTCCCACATCTACACTTACACTTCAAATATGTAAATCCCATGCTCTTTAATCAAGAAAAGTGACAAAAGCACATCTATCTAAAGCTCTTCTAGCCTATTTGTGATATTGTGTTTAACTACAAGGCACACAAGGATTGTACTATATACCTAAACTATCGATCTTGCACTTAAAAAAATCTCCCATCCAGCTCTAACAGTATCATCAACATCCCAATCCCGGAACTATAAAAGAAACGACTGCAAGATATTTGGTTCCTTCAGACCCCCGATCTCAAATCTCACTAACTAATCTCTACCACATCCCCTCCCAAATCTCTTAACAAAACGCAGCAGCCTCATCTTCATGTTAAAACAGTGGACTTATGTTACTTAACTATCACTCAACACCAAGAAGCTTCCTATCAAATACGCAATTACCTGAGCTCTCGGCCATTAGAACGAGTGATATGGTTCCCACCACGATAGTCGCAAAAGACCACGTAAAACTACATGAAAGTGAGATTATACCAGCGAGACTTCACCTTTAAAAGCTGTAAGGAGACAGTTTCTGGTGATACATAGTGACGCCGATGGGACGGAAGATATCCGACTGGACAATGGACACGTACAAATCATCACATTACATTGCAAAAAAAACCAAGAACGACATTTCAATGGTTGCCTTCCTAAGTCCACTTGATTCTTAAAACCTCAATACACGTTCACCATCCATACGCACTTCTTAGCATGTGAGCAGCAAAAGATAACCTAAGCCATAATCCACCCACCCCAGCTCGCCACCGTGTCAAAAGATCCACAAAGAAAAGGAAAAGCACTTCGCAGTCAGATGTACCGTCAAAATCAACACGACCTAAGTACGAAACGCAACCACCAATTCAGCTGCCCGCCTCCCAAGCAACTCCGAAAACGCCTCCAACATAGTGGAAAATATCGCACCCTGGATCAAACATATGCCGAGGCTTCGCGGTGGTGGTATCTATGGAAAAGAAACAATATCGACAGGATTCTGTAACAGGTCCACAGAAAGGGAATCGCTCATGTCGCGGATGTCTTACATTATGAACTATGAGCTCGCATCAGGAGCTAAGACAGGTCAGTGATGTCCAAGCTATGTGCGGATATGTGAATGGGAGATTTCATGAGACTGTAAGAGGGAATGTAACATACCCTGGCCAGTGGATCTTCTTGATCTTCAGTTACAATTGCTGGACTCTCCACCGAACCTGCAATGACCGGACCAGATGTCGTGAAGGCACGAGGTTCAAGTGGCGGGCGGAGATGCGAGTCCGATGATGGTGTAGGAGAGACCCCACCATTAGTATTGAGAGCTTGAGGATGTTCGCCGTTAGGAGACTGTCGAATTTCTCTGCCTTTTTCTAACAACGCTCCACCAAGTGTCGCACACTTCAAGATCGTCTGGATCAGGTGATTCTGCTTGAGTGGTTTGGAAAGATACTCGTCCATCTGGGCTTGGATACACTTCTCTCTGTCTCCCAACATTGCGTGAGCTGTCAGGGCGATAATTGGTGTACGGTGCGTGCCTAGACTTCGCTCATATTCTCGGATCTTGGCGGTAGCTTCGAACCCTCCCTATTAGAATTGTTAGCATGGCATCTGATCCTGACCGTTGATGAACTTACCATGATTGGCATTTGTACATCCATGAGGATGACGTCGTATTTCTTTATCTTGATTGCTTCGAGGGCTTCCAATCCGTTTCCAACGACAGTAACGACGTGGTGGTATTTTTCCAAAATCTTAACTGCCAAGCGTTGATTGACCATGTTATCTTCAGCCAAAAGAATATCAAAAGATTTCGTGTTATCGGCCAATGAAGGTGCAGCTCGATTCTCCAAGGCTGGAATCATGCCATTTCCAAGATCAATGGTCAGACATGGTGTTGTCATGTAAGATGTGATACCAAGATCCAAGGCTGACTTGAGACTGACGTGGACAACAGGTGCCAAGAGAACGATCGGGATGTATTTGAATTCATCAATTTGTCTCAAACCCCTTGCTGTGGAAATCGAGTCGACAATGATCACATCATAGGTTGCTGCAGCTTTCGTGGTGCCGTTGGATAGGTTGGAGTGCCTCTCGCTATCCACTACCATTGGGACAAGACCAATTTGGGAAAGCATGCCAACGATCTCCTTTCCATGCCCAGTCTGTCCTTTGTCAATGAATAGAACATTATGACCTTGATAAGGAGCGAGGCTCTTCTTGATGAAACCAATATCTGAAGTGGCCAAGCGGACCGTACAGGTGAAGAAGAAGGAACTTCCTTTGCCGTACTGACTCTTGACCCATACGTCTCCTCGCATAAGATTGACAAGTCGCTTTGAAATAGACAGACCTAGACCAGTACCTCCGAACTTTCTGGTCATTGACCCATCGGCCTGCTGGAAAGTATCGAAAATTAGGTCAAGCTTGTCGGCTTGAATTCCGATACCAGTGTCAGAAACGGAAAATTCGATAGCATACTCGTTCGGCGCGCAATGGTCTTGAGCGGCCTTGCGAATTGTCAGAGATACTTCTCCGTGCTCTGTAAACTTGATGGCATTTCCAACGAGGTTCAGAATGACTTGTCTCAGGCGGAAAGAATCTCCCACTACGTGATCCGGTACCGAGCTGTCAACACGATATGTAAGATCGAGCGACTTCTCGTTCGCCTTGACAGCGAGTGTTTTGAGGGCATTGAAGACCGTGCCTCGTACGGTGTACGGAATTTCTTCCATGATCATTCTGTTCGCCTCAATCTTCGACAAATCGAGAATGTCGTCGATAATAGTCAACAGACTGTTCGCCAGGTTATGAACAATGTTCAACATCTCGCGCTGGTATTGGGTTAAGTCGGTGTCCAGTGTGAGCTGAGTCATTCCGATAATACCGTTCATTGGCGTTCGAATCTCATGAGACATGTTGGCCAGGAATTCGGATTTGGTTCTGTTGGCAAGTTCGGCAGCCTCCCTAGCAGCAGTATTCCTCTGGATCGAATCGCGCAGGTTGAACACCATCTGATTGATCTTACGTTTCAGCTCATCCATTTCACCGGATGCCTCAACAGTAATCAGTTTAGTGAAGTCTCCATCAGTCGCAGCGTTCGTGATGTCTCCGAAAGCTCGGACCTGTGCCGTCAAGTTCATGGCCATAGTGTTAACATCTGGATTTTGTCAGTTTATGTTCAGTGCGTCTTTGGGTTGTTTTTGCAGCTTACCTGTGGTGATTTCCTTCCATCTTCCACCAATTCCGGCAACATCGGCTTGCCCGCCCATCTTTCCATCTACACCGACATCCTTCGCAACTCGCTGTACTTCGTTGGAGAAAATACTCAAACGGTCAACCATATTGTTGATTGTCTCCTTTAAGATGAGTATTTCTCCAGCAGCTTCTACGTCGATCTTTTGACTCATGTCACCATTCGCAATGGCTTGTGTAACTGTGGAAATTCCTCGGACCTGCGATGTCAAGTTGCTTGCCATAGTGTTGACATTTTCTGTAAGATCCTTCCATTTGCCTTCGACGTTCTCAACACGAGCTTGGCCTCCCAATGTACCGTCAGTACCGACTTCTCGAGCAACCTTGCTGACTTCGAATGCGAAAGTGCCGAGTCTGTCCACCATAGTGTTGATGGTATCTTTTAAGGAAGCAATTTCTCCTTGTACCTCAACACCGATTTTTTTCGTCAAATCACCTTTAGCGACCGCAGTTGTGACCTTGGCAATTTCTCGCACTTGAGTTGTAAGGTTCATGGCCATTCCATTGACATTTTCTGTGAGGTCCCTCCATGTGCCTTCTACGTCGTGGACTGTTGCTTGACCACCAAGTCTACCCTCGGTACCGACTTCTCGTGCAATCTTCGTGACCTCCCGGGCGAACTGCTGAAGCTGGTCCACCATCGAATTGATAGTGTCTTTGAGTTGCGCAATTTCACCCTTACATTCGGCTTGGACCTTCTGTGTCAAATCTCCCTTGGCCACAGCTGTAGTAACCATAGCAATATCTCGTACTTGAGTTGTCAGGTTGTTGGCCATCGCGTTCACGTTGACGGTCAATGTATTCCACATCCCCTTCACGCCCTCGATTTCAGCCTGTCCACCAAGAATACCCTCAGTTCCGACGTCTCGCGCTACTCGAGTGACCTCAGAAGCAAATGTTCTTAATTGATCCACCATGGTGTTTATCGTCTGTTGTAATTGCAAGATCTCACCTTGCGCTGGTCTCTCAATCTTTTGCGTCAAATCTCCATGTGCAACAGCGGTTGTGACCGAAGCGATTTCTCGGACCTGGTCGGTCAGATTTTGAGCCATGACATTGACTGTCACTTGTTAGCAGATAAACTGCAAGAGGAATATGTCCAAACTTGCCATTGTTGGTCAGTTCTTTCCATGTGCCATCAACCCCGACTATCTGTGCCTGACCGCCTAGAATACCTTCTGTGCCGACTTCTCTTGCGACTCGGGAAACTTCACTAGAGAATGTCTGCAGCTGATCCATCATAGTATTGATGACCTAAACAAACATCTATTAGCGAACACGTTTTGAGATTTACAAACGGACCCCTAACCTTTTTGAATTTGCTGATTTCCGGATCAAGTTCCTTAGCATGAATCAAAACCTTCTTGCTCAAGTCACCCTTCGCAACGGCAGTAACAATTTCTCCAATTTCCCTTAGAGCCTTCTGGAAGGCCTCATTGGCTTGTTGATGCTTCTTCAACTCCCGTTCCAGAGTCTCGACTCGCATTACCTCTTCCCTATTTTTCTCCTTATGTTGACTTTGTATATCGACAAGAGACTGCCTGAGCATCTCGCATTCCTGCTTCGATTGCTGAATTTGCGCGGCTTGGTCGAGCACCTTTTCAAAGGCGGCTTCTGGGAGGGACTCATCGCCGACCTTGGCTACCTTTTGTGGCCGTTCTTCTGAAGGTGACCCAAGTATCGAATTCGATCCGTTGTTCCTCGAATTGGCGTGCTTTTTCTGACCACCAGTAAGGACATCGGCAAACGGCGATGGCGCACCCAGTTCGCTCGGAGTGACTGGTAGAGTATGGTGGTTTATCACATTGGCCTTCTGCTCTAGTCTGATCACTCTGCCGGCGAGAGACGATATTTCGATCTCCAACTGACGCTTTGCAGATGACGTTGGTCCCGGAAGAATGACCGGGCCATTAAGTTTTGAAGATTCGGCATTGTTGCTCGTCGCAAGTGTTCTGAGGATGGAGCTCAAGGCCGCAACAGTATCTTCGTTTAGGGAAGCCATGGCTGGGAGTCCTTCGCCAGGCGGTGTTGAAGTCGAGCTGTCGATTAGAAGCACGGCATGAAGGTTCAATGGATTATCGGCTCGACTCGAAGCTGATGGTAGCGAAGTGAGGGTCGAACTACTGAAAAAGAAAGTCAGGAAAGAGAACAAGATGAAATTGGTTCTCGGGAAGGGGACGTGCCCGGAACTTGTGACCCAGGGCGCGAGAGAGAGAGAGAGAGCGAGGCTGCAGGGGCGGGCGCATGTATGTGGGGGAGGGACAACGAACCTCAGAGACGACGTGAAAGACTACCTTAGCAGAGCTGCGATTATCTGAACTTGAAGAATGAACTCTTCAGAGATGAAGAGGAAAATTGCTGTAATCAGGTTGAGATCGCGATCTGACACCGTAAAGCTTTCCCCCGTTGTCTGTCAATGCGACGAACAAGCGAATTCCGACTTGCCGACTTGTAGCCCTCCGTCTTGTCCAAATGGGTATATTTTGCCTAGCACTAGGTAGGGTAAGGGACCGAGTTTGGTGGGTAATGAGGGGCAGCAGAAGCCGATAACTTGATAAGCTGCAATACAGCAATAATATGTCTATAGAGACAATATTGGTTGTCTCTAGAGGTGTATATGTGTCTAATTGCTGGACTTGAAGCTCGAGATGCGGGATTGGCGTCGAATGAACCTCGTATTGGAACGAGATATAGCTGGTCGCCGTGGGACTCAGGAGAGTGATTGTTGGACTCCTGAGGAGCTTGCAATTCGAGGTGCGGCCGCGTGAGCAAGTGCAGTAATAGGAGCTGCTTGGACCGTGATTGCGTAGAAGCGCGAAGTATGGACCGAGCTATTCTGGATAAGGGGTCGGTCGCACTTGAGAAGGAATTATTTGCGCTTGCGAAAGGAGGTTAGGAGCAGAAGTTGAGGGTGGAGAAAATGGTTGTCGACGATTGGCTTCGTGTCAATCAAGGAACGGGACCACGGCCAAGACAGGAGACGCCCTCCTAATAAGTGGCAGTCGAAATACAATATTTCTTTGCTCAATACCGTATATCTGTCGTATATTTTTCTGTTGCTCTCGGTCAATTGGCGCTTTAACTATTACTTTAAAGTTGACTTTAAGTTAATAAAATATTTGTAAGTTTCCGCCGTATATTCTCTCCCCTGCGAGGCACTACCTGGTACCGCAATTTATGTGGACAGCGAACTCTTTATGGCTTTCATTCGATTTCGATATCCCATCATTTGCGTTCAAGAATCAGGCTGTGGTCTCAATGAAGCCGTCGACCCTTTGTCTACCTTCTCCCCTCTCTTTGCCCAGCTTGTCTTCAGCACGCTTTGCGTCCTCATTGCACCACCCCATCGACAAAGATATCGACGTTACATTTCCCCAGATCCAATCAATTCCACAGGCAATCGGACACTCCCTCCATTGGCTAAACACGATCTCATGACGACGCGGCGTCGAGGATAATTCTGCATGCGGTTCACAGGGATCTGAATCACATCGGTATATCTCTTTGGGGCATCCAAACGAGCGGACAAGATTTGATATAGGTTAACAATTATCAACAGTGACATTTTTCCTCCATCTGGGCACGCAAAGGCAAACATGGAGCTAATCCAAAAACAACACACAGAGTATAAATGTTACTCGTGGTCGTTTACGACTGGTTACCTGATAGGAAGGCTTCGAGGGGAATCGGTGTAGCGGTGTCAATGGGGATGCAATAACTGGGATCAAGCCAGCAATATGCCTTGATTTGACAGCAAAACTATGTGAGTGTGTATGAAGAAATTTTATTGATTCTATAATTTCTCAGAATACAGGTGAGAAATGTCTAGATTAAAGTTACCTTGTCTCTTATCACGTATTCTGTATCCAAACTATCTTGTCTCCTACCACATACTAATTGAACCACCAAACAATCCACCTAAACTCCAAAAACCACAAAACATCACAAACCTGAAACCCATCCAAGCCCCTAACTGATCAACAACCCATCAAAAAAACCCGACAGGCCACGAAATAAGAGCCGCTGCAGCAATGGCGGGGTAAAACCGCACATCACCATCTCCAACCTGCCTCACAGAAACAACTGGTTCAATATCAAGGCCGATCATCTCCCGTTTAACTACAATCACAATCACCAAGCCGCGCTCATGTGACACTATCGTACGACCCTACGTTTCAGACTTTGTACTTCGAGTAAGTGTACAGTACACCGCTTCTGTACGACATGCGAAGTAATTATGTGTTACGATAGAGTATTAGGCCGCACTAAATCAAACCAACACAAAGCCACAAGCAGCTAACTCCCAAAACGGCTCAGCAAGCGGATCTCGGAACGGTTGCGGCGTTTGGGCTAAGCAGTAGTGGGATACCGGTTCGTATTCTGCGATCACGGGGTTCGTATTACAGAGTGATAAGAAAGAGAATTCGGTTTTGTGTTTTGCGGGAGATGTGGGTTTCGAGAACTTCAAGTGGATCCCAAATTTGTTAGCTTGTGGAGATGGAAATCGGAGTCGCCGTTGCCACTGAAAGATTGTTTCGGTGATGAGAATGGTAGTGAATTGAGCAGGGGAATAGGGGCATTAAAGGAATTTGCAAAGGCAGGAATCTTATTGATGTGGTTTACTCGTATTTATATTCACCCAAATTCCTCATAACTCATGTACAAATCCATCACCGGGCCATTCTCCATCAATCGTGTAAAGTCCAAAAAATGTGTGTAATCCACTCATCAACAACAACATGCTCCCCACCGCTTCAGCGTAACTTGAAAACAACTGTAAAGATAAGAAATGGTATCTCTCTTTCTCGTCAAACGCCCGACTGTGACCCAAAATGAACATCGTCAAATAAAACACCTTGCTGCGATGATCGATGGACCGCCAAAAATGTTGTAAGCTAGAACAACCAATGTACTGTATCTTGAAAATCGCAGGTAATCAATACTCCCCCATACGCCCATGCAAATCATTTCTTCGTTTCTCTTCACTCCACTCACAGCTCCAGGATGCATGGTTATACTTTTCAGTGAAAGATAATCAACTACCGTCTAGGTAGGTTATTAGCACCAAACCTGGGACCACCTTGCGCCATACTCTGACGAACAATCATTTCCGCTGCGGCAGCTGCAGCCAGCCTCTCTTTCTGTCTTGAACGATCTCTGATATATGGGGCCGCTTCTGGTCGCATTCTGAGGATTCGCAAGATCATATCATCACTCGGGTCAGCCTGAGCCTCTTTGCGTTTCTCCTCTTTAGCCTTCCGCATAGTACCGAGATTTCGGGACATCATGATACTCTTCGCTCTCTTCATAGAAGTTGTACCGAGGAGGGAGCCGAACGAGGTTCCGAGTGATGCGGGAGCAGACAACCGGTTGCGTTGTTGCTGAGCACGCTGTGCAGTTGCAGAGGCCATACGTTCCGAGGTGCGGATCAAATTGTCTGTGGTGTCGAAGTAGAAGAAGTTCAGAGTCTGCAACTCGTGATACTTTGGTGACTTGAGCACATCGGCTGGTACACCTAGAACTTCACCCGTTTCATCATCCCGAGCGTGGAAGAAGTCGAATAGCATTTCTAGCCATTGGAAAACAGTGTCCAGCTCGGCTTGTGTTAAAGGTTTCTGTGAGGATGGCTTATCTGAGAGGGGAGGGACTAAGAGACCCTCGATCGCCAGCAGGACCTCCTTCCATAATCTCGTCATTACCATAACCATGGAGGCATCTGTCAAGGTTTGTTTCATGATCTGGAAATTTTCGTTGAAATATGCAAAGAGAGGTTTTAAAGCGTTTTCTTTTTCCAACTGTGTGACTGCTGGAGGTGCAATGACAGATTGTCGATTCTTCCAAAGACTGGTGACGGAAGCTACCGAAATGCCTCCTCTCGACATTAGGTGTTTCAAAGCCTCCTGCGACAGCGAGCTGTTAATGTATTGCGACAGCTGGTACATGTTAGCTGGCTGATCCACAATTCTTGTTAAATAGCTTACCTTGTCCGTAATAACTCGTGTCATGTCCCGTTCTGTTCTCTTCAACAATCTGAAAGCTTTGCCAAAGTGGAATTGAATATCGTCACGTTCTCCTTCCATGCTTATTCGCAGTAACAATCTCCCTTGGGTGTCTAAATTTAACCAGTATTCTCTAGGCATGTAATCGCTGAAATGTGAAGGATCTAGCTTCAGATTTGTTCTTCCCACGAAATCGTGATCACCAAACGTGTCCCAGTCCCATATTGTCGCAATGATCATGAGAGGTCCGGGAACAGTAATATCAACAGATTCATCCCAGCGTGGATTCAAATTTCGCATGACTATTCGTGTTTTTGCAAGACGCTTTCCGTACTCATCTCCAAGGACCACGTAAGGGTCACTCGTACCGTTTGGATCACAGGCTTTGAGATCTTCACCCTCTACGATCTTGATTGTAAAGACGTATTTGGATGGGCGTCTTTGCTTTTCTCGAGGAGGTGCAACTTTATTGAGCACATCCGCACAGGCATCTACATTCATCATCTTCTCCAGAGCATCGAGTTGCTGAACGCCATACTCGATGTTGTTGAGTTTTACAAAAGACTGCCGCGAGTAAGTAATCCGAAAGGTAACGGAGTCTGAGTCTCAACATACTGTGGGATAGAACTGGAATGGTTCGATCTTCTCCTTGTTATTCCAGGCATCCTTTGCAAGTTGCATCCACTTTTCTTGTTTCGTCTGCTGTGCAGCTGCCTCTTGGGCTGGGGACAACCGATCCATCTCTTTATTGAACCTTTGATCCATGACCTCGCAATAACGCCCAAGCCCTGCTCCGAATGCTTTCGACAACGCCGTCATAAATTTTGCATATTGGACATCGTTGTCCCACTCCAATTTGAAGATTTGATCAGCTGTTTCATTGAACATCCGGAAGATGTCCACGATGGAAGAACTGTGACGTTCCTCGTCGGTTGGATTATGGTTTGGATTATCAGACTTGATTTCGAAACTGTCATGTTGAATAGCACCATCAACGATGCTCAGCATAGTCTCATCAATTCTGCGGATCCAGCGCCACACAAAGTCAGCTAGGACGTCTTCAATATGAAAGGCAAACGGCTTGCTTGGGAGAGCTGCTTGGTGGATTCGGCGTATTTCTACGAGCTCCTTATACAGATCAAAGCCATCCTCGACGCTGATTTCCTTTTCTTGGGCTTGAGCGACCTGCATGATGCGCTGAATTAGATCATGAGCGTCATTCTCGAAACTAGGAAACATCGTTTCCACCAAAATTGTCAAGGGATTAATACCCATGACTTCGGGGTTTTTGCGATATCGTTTCTGAGTCGAATTACAAAGCTTTACCACTGCCTTCCCAAGCTGAACGACGTGGTAGAATTCCCATTCTTCCTGGTTTTGTGGCACTTCTGCCTCGAGATAGCCCCTATATACTGCGGCCGCTTTACCGCGAAGACCTTCAGTAAGCTGTGCTCTATAGGAATCAGCATCAGCTTCTTCTTCATAGAAAGAAGGGTCATTGTAGATATGGAGATCTAGAAATGCTAGGATCATTCCAGGAGATTCCGGCTTCTTGTCGTAGACATGCTGTAGCACGTTGTAAAGGTCACGCAGAAGGCCGTCATATAGATTGGAGAGGATCTGTCGATAAGTTGCAAAATCTTGAATCGTCCAGTGTTTCTGGTCGATTTCTAGCAGCCCAACGGGTGCTGTATGGTGCTGAGACCGTTTGGGTTCGGGTGGCGGATGCTTTACAAATTCAAAAGCGGTGTCTAGATCTTCCAGAAGTATTTCTTGGTCAAGAAATTTCTGGGCTGCAACATCCAGAAATAGGACAAGTCGGCTGAACTGTGGTACCCGCCAGCGTACGCCCAACTCTGTCATCAGCTCCATGGAAGGCTTCGATAAAGGAGCACTGGCTGCCGAGCCGTCGGTTCTTTCCGGTGCATGAACTTGATCAAAAGTCATTGCGTGTAATAAAATTAAACGGTAGTAAGCGCGTGGCTCAGAAGGTATGAATGTATAAGTAGACTCTTCGAGAAAAACCCGACTGGGCTGGTTCTCTTCAAACGACAATGCACTCATGTCAACAGGTGCGTCGAAGGAATGAAAAGTATTCGACTCGACAGGGCTAGAAAGTGATTTTGATAACTCAGCATACGCCTGCTCCTCAGCATTGGAAGGACCGGAATGAATCACTGGCAATGGCTTGTTGGAACCTCCCGAAGACTTCACAAGCTCCGGTCTCGCCTTCAAGATATCACCCATCATATGAGAGAGGTCTGGTATCTCCGCCTTTTTCCACGTTTGATAGCCTTCCTCTAAGTCGAAGTCGTCGCTCCTCAAAGTTCTCTTGGTGTTAGAGTCAAGACAATGCTGATATGCTTTCAAATCCATTAGAGCTGCTTCCTCTGTCCATAATTTCCTACTCGCGTCAATGTCAGACTGTACTTGGGAGCTTCGAAGGCCAAATATCTTCGTCACGGTCTGTACCATTACCATGTCCTTGACATCCAAACTTAGCGGCGCGGTTACTTCAATGGTATGACCGCCACTTGTATCTCCTTTGTCGACCGTAGTCAAATCTTGGTCGTTTGTGAGGAGCTTTTTTTCCAATGTCGCCAATCGGCCCATAAGCTCAGGTCGATCTTTATCATTGCCATTATCCTTCAGTGTGTTGCTAATCAGTCTCACAAAGAGAGCGACATGCCGGTCGACCATGGGTTTCCAAGTGTCATCGTCTGGAGCCTTCCCCTTCTGTAAAGCCTTCGTCGCATTGGAGTAGAAAATCAAAACTAAATCCTCCACACGCCTCTCCTTGTCCATTCGTTTCCGAAACCCGGCCTCCGTAAACGCGGTATATGCCTCTGCAAATGTCCGCTTGACGGCAGCATCGTTAAACCCAGGAAGTCTCTCTCTGCCAACTAATACGCCTTGCAATCGCTTTTCTAGTGGTGACATGAATCCGTGGGGGAGCTTGGTTTTGCCTGTTGAACTGACAAGCGAGAAGTCCTGGATCAGTTCCCCAATCATCACAGTCTTTTTGACAGCTATCGGCTTCGGCGCTGGTACATATTGCTTCCTCTTCGCTCGTGGCTGGAGAAGATGGTGAAGATATGCCACTCGAAGGGCATATGTATATGCATCGTTGAAACTGGGTACCTTTGCTCGCTGTCGCGACGCGGAACCGGTTCGTGACAAGGCAGCTCTATCACTGCTTTGGAGACTATTAATTCGTCGGTTTGGTCGATTTCGAGATGCGGTCGACATGTTGCGCGGCGATGGGGAGGAGCGCTTCGAATCGCCGTTTGGTATGGTGGGGTGTATCCCCTGGGGTTGGGAGAGGCTGTCGAGATTGAGGCAAGAGGGTGGCTGCAACACGATCCAAATAATAGTTCTGTCCCCCCGCTACTTGAGCGACAGATTTGTTGACGTTTGTTATGGCCACGAAGAAAGTTGTAATATGATCTTCGCGGTGAATCTCGTGGTGGGTGTTCAGGGGAGGCTTGGACCCTGTCGTCTGCAACAGGCGGGGCCAGCAACCGCCGTCTCTCAAAGGCCGTTGGATAAGTGGCTGTCGACGATATTTCGTTAATTGTCTTCAGTAAATCTAATCTTTTTCATTCTATTTGAAACGAAGTTTCAATTTGAGCTACCTTATTTCCTGTTCTAAAGAATACTAATACTTTGCCGAATAGTAAGGAGGCTCTACCATATTTTACGAGCCGCCCTCGGCGTGGGCTTGCTGAAGAGAACTATTTCAATGCTATGGCGCCCAATTTTGCAAATAACAATATCATTGTATCTTGGAGAGAGGATTTACATTCATTCTCAAGCTTACCTGTAGTTTGGAAAATATTGTTCCTTTTGACTACGGTGACGTAGCGCATACAGGACATGGATCACGCTGCCCAGTTTACAGTCTCGCCTATATCACTTATCGTTCATTAAGCACAGCTTCATAAGTTTGATAGTGAACTTCAGATATAGTTAAACTCTTTCTAACAGGGGACACCCAAGTTTAAGGACTTGTATAATAACATGATAAGAAAAATTATAATATACCTAGGCTAGGTATGTTTTACTAGCAGTAGTATTACTTAGCGTAGAACAGACAAACGATTCTTTGTAGACTACTTTAGGAATGTGGAGTTGTCGACATCAAGCTTCTCTAACAGCCATTATCCATGTCCTGGAAAGAGAAGTTTGATTTCGTGCGGAGGAGCCCCTCGCTTGTCTACAATATACTATTAACCCGTATCGACAATGTCATTAATTGTATGCTAACAACCTGGAACCTTTATGTTGGATGTCAATGGCCCATCGGACAATGGTTACCGATTGCGGCCCGGTGCCCGACTTTCTGCAACACTAAAACTAAATAGTGGCCCGAGCGCCTGGAGCTCAGAAACAGCTGGAAAGACCCTTGCGTGTGCTGGCCAGACGTTAACTCCAGACCAACGTCGTTCTGGGGATACTTTGAGAAACGGACAGTAACGGTTTCTTCCGGCTGTCACTAGATACAACACGCACTCTTTTTCTCCCCCACCACCTGTCACCATTCTCTTTCTTGTTTTATGGTCGGTCTCTACCAAGGATGCTTCAGCTTGGGGTAACGCTGAGTGAAAGTACAACGCGCGAAACGCACCTCCAACAGGATTAAAAAGAATATGGCTGCCAGTCTGCCAAACCTAGACGCAACGAACAGCGAAATCATGTCGCAGCCAGAAGATTTGGTGACCATTCCAAAGACTTCGTCCTCCTCGCAGTCGATAAATGATTCGACGTCAAACGGCGATTCCTACGAACAGGCGGAACCCTCCCAGCTGGAGAGTTCGGGAACAACGCCAAAGGTCGTCATGGATCCTAGAAGGAGGATGTCGAACTTGTTGAAAGATAAAGAAAAGGAGTGGACAGCGGTAGCGGAGAAAAAGGGGCCCCTACGTCTACTGGATTTGCCAATGGATGTGCTCAAGGAGATCGTGAAAGAGGTAGGCTTCTCTGGATTCTAAAATATACTCCAAGCTAAGCAACTACAGGTGACTCATACAAATGATTTGACTGCCTTAGCACTGACGCATTCGGCCCTTCATAATCTCGCGATCCCACACATCTACTCGCGATTCGACATTGTCTGGCCAGATGCTCATGCTACAACAGATCCACGAACTGGTGTAGACGCACTCACTTATGGACTCGCTACGCTCTGTATGGGAGACATCTATCCAAATCATTCTCGGCAACAATCATTCACCTGCACGAGCTGTGGAGCAGTCAATGCCACTGAATGTAATCATGAGCTGAAATTGGGGTTGACAAACGGGCAACGGCGTTTGGGCAACCAGTATCCCCAATTCACACGAAAGTTCTCTTTGGGCAACGGGCCATCAGACTGGGTTCAGGAATATCTAATCACCAAGGAAAGCGGGAAGATGCTTGGAACACTGGTGGCTTTAGCAGTCGCACGCATGGTCAATCTTGAGGCTTTCGTTTGGGATATGCCTACAGGCGTGCTGAGAGATGTTTGGCTTGCATTATCTTCTTTACCTAGATGGAGTTCCGATGAAGATTGCCGCCTCGAGCGAGTCTGGGTAAGATGGCATGACAACTCAGACCCAGCCAACGCAACTGTGGCTCAGCCATCAGGATCTGCTGCTACCACCACTCCCCAGATGCTGAGTGGCAGTACGATGACTGCCATTGGATGGACCCTTCCCCCCGGTTTTACGAATACTCCAACTGCTCCACGTTCATATGCCCTGAGCCCTGTAGAATACCCGACTCTGAGTGTCCTCCCTCCGTTGAAAAGCTTGTCCGTTCTGGACATCGACGAGCTTGATTACCTCGATGAGATGAGCGTGTTGATTGCAAAATCCAAAGACCGCCTCCGAGAACTCCGCGTCGGCATCTCTCAGAAAGCTATCACCAGAGACTTCGCAATACCATGGGACGGGCAAGACTTACACCAGGTTGACCACAAAGCACAATGGCCAGGAGCGAGCACAGTGGGAGAGAGGCGGCTTGGAGGAGTTTTGGGGATCCTCTTGGGCCGTATCTATGATATCCGGAAGAAGCACAGGACACCAAAGCCGAACAGACAGGACTGGAGCACGACGCCACCCTCTACCTCGTTGCCTGCAGAAGCCCCTCAAAACATGGCAGAGGTACCCTTCCCAATTGACACACAGACTGACGACAGCCTGCTCAATCAAACATCACAAACCCTGGTATTTACCGCACCGGGTATTGTAGAGTGGCAGGAGAATAAAATACCACCTTTGCTCTCAGAAGCACCATCCCCTGCAAGCAATTTCAACACACAGGACCAATCTCTCCCTCAGGCTTCTGATGAACTAGGGTACACAACGCCTTCGGCTGTCCCAACAGCACCGATGGACTCAACACACTCTGACTATCACTCTCTTAACACCCTCATTTCTGCCCATACACCACCTTCATCAGCGGGCGTGCCCATACATGACATGCTACAGTCAGGCTTGGTTACGGATCTTCCGCTGCGACGAGCCCCAGCGCAGCAAGCAAGACATAAACATCTTTCTAATGCTTCCTCTAAGGAGCGGGAGAGACTTGACGGGAAATTGAGGCTGCAGACTCTAGAGCTAGAGCGTATTCCTTTATCGGTTGCAGTACTACAAAAAGGCTTTGACTGGTGTGTGCTCACAAATTTGACAATTTTAGACTGCACCCAACATGATAGGCTATGGATTATGTTGCGGCGACACTTCCAACCTTCCCCTACAGGTGCTACTTCCTCCAAGCATGCGTCAGGCGTCAGTCTGCAATACCATCTCAACCTGAAAAAGATTCATACGGATGCTGCTACTCCATCACTTATATCGTTTTTGAAGGAAACCTTGGCACCGAACACATTGGAAACTTTGTTCCTCCAAGATCGAAGACGCTCTAACACGGCCAGTGTTACAATTGTAAGTGGTCAAATTTGACAAATATTCTGTGTCCTGCTAACACATGTGTGATTTTAGGATGCCATATATAAGGGCCCCCTAAAGAGACATCGTGGAAGCATCAAGAAACTTTTGCTGGACAGCTCAGACAAGATTCCTCGTAGTCCAGCAAGCTCATCTGACAATACAAGATACAGAGCTTGGATGCCCAATCGTGACGTACTGAACTTTATCACCAGTGGCCGTATGTCAAACCTCCGAGAACTAAGTATTGCAATTGACTACAAAGACTGGGTAAGTTCTGTCAACATCCTACCTCTCCATCTATTAACACGTCGGATAACAGCATCAATTTCTTCAACGCTTGCCAAACATTTCCCATTTGCGGTCGCTCAATATTCCTTTTATTGCCGACCATGTTACGACTGCCTTTGATCCAAAAGAATTGGCTCTACAGGTCGTCGATGTAATTGTATTTAAACCGGAGTTGGAGCTGTGCTACATGGGCGTTGCACATAAATGTTTTGAGATTTTGGAGAACCGTCCGCACGAAGAGAATCATGGGGCTGCCGAGGCACATTCTCATAATGGGAATGGTGGACCTGGCGGTGTACTAATAGATGAGGATGAGGATGAAGAAGAAGAAGATGCAAGTGATGACGAGGATGATGACGAAGAGGAGGATGACAATGGCACAGCGATTGCACCAGTCGACCCCGACGAGACAGAATCCGAAGTCTCTGATCACGAAGGTACTTCCGATACAAGCTCTTGGGATGGATCTGATGATGGCGAATCGGGAGGCATTAGACTTCGCCTGCGGGAAATCCTCTTCTACGACGATAAGGTCGCCATATTCAAAGCTCGTCACGGTAAACTCTGAATAAGTTAGAGACGGAGCGTATTATTTTTCAGGACCTCTGAAAGTAGGAGGAACAAAATTAGCGGAAGCTTGCCTTACATATGTTCTGGCGTTATGAAGCACGTTGGAAAGCATGGCTGTAATATTGCCAATGGAATTCAAAAAGCGTAGCGGTTCAGTCTTGCAGCAGGAGTTCTAGCAGGTGAAGGAACTGACGGCGTAGATCTTGGGAGGCCACGCACGATACCAATGGGCAGTTGCCTTTTTTTCTAAACATTCCATGCTTTTCCGGATCTGCTCTTATCTTTGCTATGTAAGTCATGAGGAAAGAATTTCTAAGCTTTCTTATTGGAAATCTCAATCAACATGCACTCACTTTCTTGTGGTTCAGTCAAACGGCAAACTCTACCACATTCGTCATATTTCCCAGACTCTGCCAATATGTCCCCTACCGAAAATTGTGCACTCAACATCTGCCATGGTCCGGCACAGCAAGATTTTCATTATCTCTGGGCAAAGGCTCAACAGCTTGTCTTTCGTTTGCTCTTGGGAAGCTTCCCAAACATCCTCACTATTCCCATAATTGAGGCCAAGCAATGTGTTTTCTCTCCGCTGGACGAGTTTCAATTGTTCGAATGGTCGGGGAAATGAAGTCCCAATGACTATCAAGCTCGTTGTTACAAAGCTGCCGGTGTAACGCTGCTGGTGATCTCGCTGTTTGATTCTTTTTCTCAAACTTTGTGAAGCAGATCCGTATCTGCGGCTCGGCGGCACCGTGATTAGGTCGCACTTTTGATTTGAGAATGGAATTATGAGCTGACTATCTTGATGGCACACTGAAATTCAGTGAAACGTCTTACAGCAGTTGCAGACATCGGGGGTGAAATATTTGTTTCGAAACATTTCGCTGCAACATCTGGGTATGTACCAAGTACCTGTCTACTCACACGAAACACATCTAACGGCTCAAACCCACGGCACGATCGGGAAATTCTCTCTGTATGCTTACTTTCTTGGCAGGAACTACGATCGCCCTTTTTTGTTGTGCATGTTGCTCTCGACATGTTGTTGACCCGAAGAAATCAGATGATGCTTTTTCCATCATGGCTCAGACGGTTCGCTTAACTCTTAGAATGGGGAATCATCAGCATAGCTTGGAACCCCCCCTGCAAACCTCAAACATCCAAATACACCTGTCCCACTTCCTGATTGTGGAAGTCACGCCGCAGAGCATAGCCTTACGCGTGGGGACAAGCTAGAGTAGCTTGTTGACTTTGAGGCTCATGGAAGGGCAAAAGACCCCAACCAACGAATGGGAACCGTGAGCATTGAAAATGGTTGTGCGGCTCGAGACCCAATGGTAGCGGACGTAAATTCGGCGAAGCCTCGCTCTGGAGTGGATTATTCTCCAGTAATAGGAGTTTCCAACGAGGCTTTGCATTATTCCCCATACTCTGGACCTTCAGTTGGGTAATAGTTATACAGAAATGCAGGTCCCAACAGAATCTGAAACAAAATGCTGACTCTTCTTTTCTGTTACCGGAGATCTTATTTGCTGAAATCGCTGTTGTGTGTTTGTTTGCGCGTTTGTCATTGTATCAAGCATAGCGTTAGCGGCCAAGTGGTATACCGCAAGTTGGAGACCCAAGAGTCTGTTCACACCAACTGGTCTACCTGGATTTTGACATTCTAAGGATGGGATATCCATACAAACTCTGTTGGAGTTAATGCTCACGGTGAGTTGGAATCCATAACTGCGGATTCCAGTGTCTTTACGTTCACGACTCATCCATCGATGCCCACCGGAAAGGGCGCCTTTGCGAAGCAAACACTCTGGGTCTATTCTTGACGCTTACGATTGTTATGATTCTGCTCCTGCTAACATCATAGCAACTGGATCCTGCTCGTAACGTAGGTGAAGAAAGAGGCTATCGCAATCCGTAGGAAATAGAGAAGTTTTGGGAAGAGGCTGTTGAGTTGGGCCCTGGCTTCGGGGACTACTGTACCAGCTCTTACCGTGAGAATTTGACCTCAAACTCCGGTCAACCCACATGGCAATGATGGACGTCAGCGTTTCATTAGACGATTCGGAGTCGGAAGTAAAGCAAAGTCAGCAATTGATTGTCGCCCGGCAAACATGGTAACCGATGCGCGTGTATTTGTCAATTGCGAATGAGCGATTTGCGTTCTCTTACCATGGCGCACATGTATGTCATGACGCTTGTCAGAACAGGACAGCATCCACAAAAGAAGCACGGAAGTTTGTGGACCTTTTCCAGGACGATTGTCGGAGAGCATCATGGCGCCATCGATTACAGACGCTCGTACCATCATACCACGATGGGGCCTGGTTAGACGCCATAATCTTATTGATCCTCGAGAGAGGCCGAAGCTAGTGCGGTTGTGTGGCACAAACCTTTTAGCTTGAAGATATATTTAGGAAAGTTAGGACCTGCTCGCTAAACTCCGCCCATGGTTGGTGTAAACAAGTGCGCTTGTGTACCGTCGGCGGGTAAAAAGTAAGCCTATGCTTAAAACTTTGACGTTACTGGTAAAGTAGCCGCTCTTACCAACCCTACCAACCCTAAAGCGGTGGCTTTGTCAACATCCCCATACCGCGATTCGCTGCTGCCCTCTTACACTTTGTGGCTTTTCTGTAGAATAAGCATCTAGCCCTGACAAGTGTGTTTGTTGTGGTCCAGTTGACTGGACGCCTTGCCGAGTCTGTCGCCGAGAGGCTCAATGGAGAGCGCTTGAGCCGGCAACACTTCTTAATTAGGACATGACCATTACGAGAAATTGCGGTTGCAGCTCTCCATCGCGCTTAATACCCATGCGGACATGCCAGCATGCCACGACTTATTCCCAGACAGGGGAGAGTTGCAACGGACCAGGGTGAGTTCTTTCTAGAACACCACTGGCTGGTACGGTTCGTTTCAGATTCTACAAGGGACATCCGCAGCACGAGGTGGTGACAGGGAACGTGAAGATCATGGACTGTCGTCGATTTCACCCCGCTGTGATCAACAGCTCTGTCCTGCCTTATCGTGCTTTCAAGGTGGTGTCACCGATAGCTACTCTGTGTGAAATCTGTAGGTTTAACTGCCGATCACAAGGTCACACACCGTCCTATTCAGGTCAATTGATCCCAGCATTCTATCTTTGAGTTGTGTGAGAGAGCTCTACTGAAATGGACAGGACTGACTTAGACCCAAGCGAGCAGTCTCTCCTAATAGTTAGATCTCACAAGCGAGGAGCCTTGAATATGGATACAATAGAAGCTATGGTCAACGATGATCGATCGAGCTCCATCTCGAAGCTATCCGTCATCCGGCTAGGTCAAGTCTGTAAGATTATTGGTTCCCGGGTATTTTGACAAAGAGCTGGAGCTCCATTGTCCGTGTGGAAAAGCTTTCGCCGTCTGCCACGAGGGATGTGGGTCTGGCTATTTTCGACTTTCGGAATCGCAGCCCGTTTTGCAGAAAAGTGGCAGCCAAATACAGAAGAAATCCGGTCTAGTCTAGTCTAGTCATCTAGTGAGCGGCCTTAGCCGACCCACACAGCGGTTGATCAACAAGTCTGGTCCTGTTTCCTGGACCCAAAACGTGGCAGTGTTTATGTACTCCGTGCTGCACCCACCTGCAGAGCGAGTAGCACAACGTTACCGTACGGAGTGCTCTTCACATGTTTCTGCGTTCTGTATCTCAAGTCACTCTTACAGGATTCGGCGAGTTTTTCAACATGCGTGCAGTGTTTGATGAGTTGCTGCAGATTGAGCAGTAGAGTACTCAATCCGGATAAAGTCCCCTCGTAGAACCTCCAGCTCAACCGCTTCGGCAACTGCGTTACTGCAGTGAATGAAAACGATTAGCGACGGCCACACCAGGGCGTATTCAAGCTCTTCAAGATGGAAAAGAGCCGGCCGGAAATTTCGTACCTGACAGATCTGGTGCAAGGTAGTGCAGACGGTCAATAATAGGTAATAGCCAGTGGTGCCGAACACTTTTGAGCCTTGTACACTCACGGCCATTGAAACAGTGCTGCCATATGTTGCTATTTACTGTACAAAATATGCTTAACGAGCCAATCTGAAGCTTCTAAAGTGGTTTGGCTGTGCCACTATGTCATCGAGTAGCGTGTTTGAGCAGAAGCTTAGCCCACGAGCTGCCGAATGGCGCCTGGTCCGTTGCAGTCGTGCTGTCTGGGGCATCTCAGGCTCTTGCACGCTCTCATACAATCTCGGTCACTGATTTCACCCGTGATTGTCTGATAAAGACCCCTCCAGCGTGCGGCACGGCATCGCCAGCAGCACTGTAATGATCACGGAGATAATCGCCACTGGCAATTCAGACTGCCGGATGCAGCAAAGGTCGACGATGCGTCGATGTCCGGGGGCGACAGCGAGAGAGAGCATGGCACTAGCAGGCCAAATGCTGCCATGTGCAGGGCAACAGCGTGGCCAGCGAGATGGATAATGGTGAGCCGTCGACGCTCTTGCTCTGAGCTGCAGCAGTACAGGCGTTACCATTCGCAGATGGCGCTGTAACACTGCACCGCGTGCCGTACGTACATCGCTATTCAGACTCCAGAGGCAGGTACTGCTTGTCCTCCGTACTTTTCTGTCACCAGGTCCCTCGTGGGACAGGTACTACCTGCTCATGCATCTGCAGCCTCTCTAGCTCTGCATCTAGAAGGATAAGATGTCATAATAGCATTCTGTAGTACCTGTACAGATTGTACCAGACTTTGTTCCGCGTATAGAACAGTGGAGTGAGAACTACTCCCCTCGCCATCTCCCCACCTCTGGCCGTAGCTAACCCCACAGCGCTTTGGCTGCATTGTCCACATTGCCCTACGAAATGTATACATAGGTACAGGCCGGGGACCACAAAGAGCGAAGCCTCGCAAGGCAGCCTCGCCGTCGCACGGGGAGATTGGGCGAGCGTCTGTGAAGAGAGCGTTTGCGTTTCTATTAACATGGGCCTCGCTTGTCCAGTCGACCCCCCGACAAGCGACCAGGGGCTGAATCCTTCGCCAAGGTCGTCGAGATCGACCACTAATAGCACCTGGTGCGAGCTCGACCTCGACTTGCATCATGGCAGGCCTGCTTTGAGCTTATCCCCCCTGGTGGCTGCTGGCCTCTTCTCTTCTCAGTCAAACTGTTGTCCCTTGACTCTCCACCGGTAGCAGGCCACAAAATGCCTAGGGTCCTCGAAGGGGGCCCTGGCCCCTGGGCATTCTGCATACGGCCTTGTTCCCGCTGCCAGTCGTAGTGGAGGCGGAGACCGCTGCTATCAAGTTTTGTGCCTCGAGGATCCCTCGAAACATCTAACTCGATAAAGTCTCATCTCATCTCATCTCATCTCCCTCTTTCCTCAAAGAGACCCCCCTGCTTCTCCCGAACCCCACGATTTTATATAATCCTACGTTCCAACACCATTTTCACCTTTGTCTATTTCAGGTATCTCATCTAAATCCTGCGTATGTGCCGCCATCACCAGTCACAGCCCCTCAGTATCATCCTTCCGTCTCTATGGACTCCCTCTATATAGACTCGAGTACAGTAGACTCACGTCAACCCAGATCCAGAGCCAACAGTCATCTGTCATCAACAGCACTACAGTTTCAGGGTTTGAACATTTTGGAATCCGACCAAGCCTCATCAACAAACGAGCCTCTTGTACATGTTGGGTTTCGTACAACATCACCACAATCCTTCATCGAGGAACATAACCCCTCATCAACACATATAACTGCTCCGACCCCTCAAGGACTGACTCCATTCCCACTCCTATCAGACAGTGACTTGGACGCAGACTGGACATACTTAGAAGCAACAGGAGGACAAACAGGATCAACATCTTTCCTTACAGTAGATCCACCACAGTCTTTTCAACCTCAACGCTCCCACTCATTACATTCCTTGAGCCCACCAACTATCCTTCGATCCAATTCTATACCAGCAAACATGAGGTTTGTCAACGAACAGTCTGGTGATCAGTTGGACATCCACTGACAACATTATAGTACCATGGGGATTCAACAGTATGATAGCCGTTTCGACGCTAGCATCACTCCAGGCATTCGATCATACAACACATGGCCAGCTGCTCGTGAGTACAATCTTCTTCAGGCGGTATCTACCTCCATCTAACAGTTTGCTAGACTATGACATGAATGAGCAGTTCATGCCCCAGATCCCAAGCCCACCACTTAACCCATCTATGCTTTCTGTTTACGACGATCCAAAATTCCAACCAATTTACTCTCGTTCTCTTTCATCCAGCCCTCCACGAGCATCGCTTACCCCAGAGCAACGGGAATTGAAGAGACAGCGAGATGTCGCCAGAAGGGATTCCAAGACGAGAGTTAGACGGGAACGTTCCATCAGCAACCCATACGTAGTTTCCAATCGCGGCTCGCCAGATCTGATGTCACGAACACTCCCAGAATATCCTAACAGTCTCACACCTTCACCTCTCATGGGCTCTGGCCCACTCCCATCGCTACCTCAACAGTCTTCTCCAGCTTTGAGCAGCTCATCTTATCTTACACCATACTCGCCACAAATCAATGATGGAACAGGAGGACAGCAGGAAATCTATGGACCAGTCTTTACAATGAGCCCAGCGGACTTTTCAAACTCGCCTACATTTACAAACATGACATACGCCCACAGCGGACAAGAAAACAATATCCATTCATATGTGTAAGTTTTACATGATAGCCACAAATTTTAGACAATGACTAATAATTTCTGCAGTGGCCGTCCACATTCTCTCTCGTCAGCTTCAGATCAGCCTCACATGTATCAACATAACGTTAGCCCCAAGATTGGATCTTCAGACTCGGGCGACCACGTTAGAGTTGTTCACAGCCGACCCAAGCCACAGTGCTGGGAACACGGGTGCAACGGAAGACAATTCTCTACATTTAGCAATCTCCTACGCCATCAACGCGAAAAGTCAGGAGCTGCAGCTAAATCGAGCTGTCCAAATTGCGGAGCTGAATTTACTCGCACCACAGCGCGGAACGGCCACATGGCGCATGAGAAATGCAAGCAACGACGAAACTCATAGAACACACACGATCTTTTCATCCTTTTGCGAGTCTTTTACTTTTCATTTGTACTGCATTGTTTGGAGTATCACATTTGTCAGGTTTTTGGTGTTTTCGGAAGGAGTATGGGGGCATTAGAAAAATCAACGGTTACAGGGGAATTCATTTTCAACGAGGGATGTACACTGGGGAAAACGGTGGCAGCATTTACATGTGTCTGACGAGAGCGCCAAGAGGCTACTACTATTCGCTATTATACCCTTCTTTCCATCACTGTACTTTAGTTATCGAGACAAGAATTGAAGCAAACTTCAAATTTACCACATGAGCATTCCATCAGATCGGTGTAATTGTGACGTTTGCAGCTGAACAGGCAAGGCACAGTGGTGTTTAACGTTGGTGAAACAGGGGGGCTAAAAAGTCGGGCATCAGGCAAGATGCACCGACAAAATTCCAAAATAAGAAACGGAAATCAGACCTTGAGTCTAAGGAAATTGCAACAATGACCGATACTACTCTTTGCTGCAATCTGCAGGCGTTGCTGTGGGGAGAATGTGTAGTTTGGAGGCCGTAAATGCTCGGTTTGTGATGTTGTGATGCTTTGAATGGTTCGCTTAAGCGAGAACACTGCCCCTTTCTAAATAGCACGGGAGGTTGAGTCTGCGAGCCTTACGGAGGTACGCTCCACACCTTTTTCTGCAGTCGTACAGGATGATCTCGGGTGGCTACTGGCTGTCATCAGTCATCGGCGAGGTTTGAGATGCACTTTCGTGTCTAGCGAGTCGAATAATAAGACGGTTCTTCTTCCCTGGCGTAGAGCTTTATTCATCCGCGCGACGTGGTTAAGCGAGTGCAGATGAGTTGATGCTCGCTCGATTCTGCTGACGGTAAATAGCGGTTTGGCTGAGGTTGACGCTGCCGGCTGAAGTGACGATTGGGTGGGGGAGAGTCTCAAGGGAGGGTATCGCGTGGCCACGAGGGAGGCCTGCTCGCTGACTATTCGAGTTGTGCCTCGTTTTGCTGTCACAGGTTGGAGATGGTGGTGTGGGAAGCGTGCTGTGTGGAAGAGCCAAGTTGTCTCAACGGTGTCGACTTGCGCCGAAAGGCTCAAACCTGCAGACAACGACAATCAGCATCTTAAAATACTGTGCCCCGTATGCGGTTTGAAGCCACCCTGGATATCTGAAACCCAGGTTGAAGAAGGCGTGGAGGAGAGCGCAGAATAATGAAGACAATAACGATCATCAGTGACTTTGGAATTGTTCAAGTATTTTCAGCCCCCACGAGCGAGGTGCATCGAGGTGACATCTCGGGGTTCGCCCGTCATCTGAATCATTTCCGGACGATCTTGACCCACAACATCACGACTCTATCTTCCCGCTTCTCTCACGCCGCACAGCTCATCAACAACCTCGTCCTCACCTCAACCTCGCTTGGCTGCTTAACACCCTCGATTGCTCATCAGTCAGGAACCTTGTAGCTCCGATTCTCCCCTTGACGCCATCAGTGCACCATGATCTGCCCGATGGCATGATGGCATGCCTTTGAACCACGAGGAAAGCTACCGGCACATTTTGTTATCTCCAATTTCCTAGATCCACACGTTCTGTTACTTGTTCTAGAAACCCGCTGACCGGCTCATAGCTGCTCACATTACTGCGGGATGTTTATTTATGGCCATTACACAGGCCATGCAGGTACCGTATGAATGTACATGTTTTGTGCGACTCGCGGGAGCATCACAGCTATTGTGCCTGAAAACTAACTTCACAAGCCGTCTAAGCAGGAACACAATTGCACAATCCTTCAGCCTTGCTCATCGGCTAGCAACGCTCTCTCGAGGACCTGCCTACATGAGCTTTTTCCTGAGGTGGCAAATTGAGAATTGTATTATCCGTTCTTCGCCCTCAAATCGGTGCAAATGCAACTGCGTCACAGCATTGCATTTGCATTTGGTTCGGCGTTGACCACCAATGCAGAGAATGACGGCAAATTTGGCATTCGATATCAGAGATCCCGCTATCAACCTTCCTAAAGAGTTAATCAACGTGGCAACGTGGCAGCGTGGTTGTTTTCCCCGAGGTACGAGAGATAGTGTAAGGTACCCCCGAGGCACAGCTTGTAACAGAGCAAAGAGAGTGTGACAAATTGAGTTTATCTTGCTGATAAACGTTTCGAGTCCATGGAAGACTTCATGTGAGGGGTGCCTCGGCGACTATAGGTGAGTAAGGTACATTAAGATCGTACGAGGAAAGATCCGCTCGTTGCATCTCTCCGAGGCGTTCAAACATGATACCAAACCACAATTAGGTGAGTTTTTAGGTCTTTGGTAAGTATCCCGATGAGGAATTATGTGAGAACTTAGGAACCCTTGTTCTGTGGAAATGGCGTCTTGGAAGCTTAGTGTTCCATGATCTTCAGGAAGGATTTCATGTCGGTCAAGCCGGCTTTTCGACCTTGTTAACACGCAATCTAAACATTTCTCAGATCACTGCTTTCGAGTGATAGCAAGTGTAGCCGTAAAACGCGTTGAAGCTCTTCCATTGCTGTGGTTGTGGCTGCTTTTTACGTGGTCAATCCGTGAGGACCATGAGGAATGGTGCCGCACGTTTTCAAAGGACCACCTGATCAAAACTTGAGAAATATCACGTTTGAATATGTCAAGAAGAACTTTTCGTGCGATCTCGTTGAAAGGGATCAATTCTTGTATACTTCAAAGACATTCTAAATGTGGAGTCTTGCATCTGGCAACCATCTCGAGAGTCCTTCGCTGAATACATTTTGGAGACGAAGTTGCGCAGCAGATGTTTTCCGAGTTTCGAATCCTGCATGAAGAATTTTTCGTCACCTTACACGAGAAAGTTCTATGATAAGAAAATGTTGTAAGTGTTGGCAATTGAGAAGTGCAGCACAGCATATTGGATAATCTGCCTTGCAAGGAGTTATGAAAATACGCTGTCGTGTTGAAACTCTTGTGTATCTACTCGTGTGAGTGTTTTGGCTGGCTTGGAGAAGACCAAGTTTTACAATTTCGAAGATAGACTTGATAGAGTCGGGAGCAGAGCCAACGAGATCAGGTAGGGAAGCTCTGTTGTGGAGAGGCAGGTGCGAACCACACTGGCAGACTCGCAATGACGGGAATCTTGCAGCCCCATCGTCGCCTTCTTTGGTGCTTGAATCAGATAATATCGGTGGTTGAATTAACCACATTCTCCATTTTTGAACATCTGCATCATTTTTGTATTCAAACAGCTCTAACACTTTTAAAATGGTCGAGGCTCAGCAGACCGGTAACCATACCGCTCACGAGGAGATAGATCTTGGGACAGCAGAGCAACCGACGAATCCATCTCGAGAAGAAGAGAATCCTACTTCGTTCGTGCCGAGGATACCACATCACGAATCTGCAACAACCTCACCTGAGCCATTGATCGTTGCGGAAAATACAGTAGTCGCCAAGCCGAGCTCATTCATCAATCGTATACTTCCAGCAACATGGTGGCCGACGTCGAGAAAGAGATCAGCAGGTGAATCTAACCAAAAAAGGTAAACAAAAACCCTCCTAAGATCTTGAATGTCACTTGTTAATTACCGCGAAACTTGTATATAGATCGAGTTCCTTCAAATTTCCCTACCTTGCGGGCTGTTGTTCCATTGCGGCATTTGGGGTCTTCACTTACAGTACGGTAATCTTCGTCACGAACGACGTAGTACCAGCTGATTCAATGCAGGTTGGGACTCAGAGATACTTTCCTTGCGTATGATGGACGCTATCGCCAACACCTTTCGCGAGATGAAATCAAACCTCGAGTTATGGCGGGTGTTGATGATTGGGATTACCTATTTAGGAACAGGCATGGGAGCGCTATTAGGATCGTCAGTCTAACAGCCAACCGTTCGTTGCCATGAATCCGTTGTCTCTGATACTGTACAGATCGCTCTCCATTGAATGCTCGATCGATACCTCCATATCTTTCGCTATGGGGCTGTTTATTTTCGGAACCATTGGTCAGGTTTTCTTGCCGAAGCTCGCATTATTCCTCATATCAAGATTTGTTGCTGGAGTTGGACAGGGTATAATGCTGGTTGTTGCTACAATTTATATTTCCGACATAGCAACGCCCGCCAATCGAGGTGCTTTGGTCCTAGGTATGTCTAACACTGCAAGATTGACGGGACACCTTCCGAGTACCATTTCGTCAAGAAACGTATTTCCACCGCTCTGTCCCTAGCAAACATATTTAATCTTGTTGACAGAGATAGCATTACAGGAGTGCTAAAACAACTCAAGTAATAACAGCGTTTTGGGCGGAGCATCGTTATTCTGTCGTAAAGAGGTGTCCCGTAAAACTTTCAGCACACTGGTACTGCTAAGAAGTAAATGGTAGATTGCTTACTTTCGATAGTGGAGGGTTTTATCACCATTGGCGGCCTTTGCTCGCTGTTATTCGCACACTTGTGGATTCATGAGAGTCGACATGACCGCGAATTGAATGGGAAGCTGCCCACAATAACACAGGTATCCTTCATATTTCTTCAAACCAAATCAAGTATTACCTTTAGGTCTAACTAAGACATAGGTTGTATTTGCGGGAATCTTCTGGATCATGTCTTTAAAGTTGCCAAACTCGCCTCGTTTTCTGCGATCTCGTGGACACAGTATAGAAGCTCAGAATATTCTAGCACGATTGCGTAAAACTGCTAGACCACGCAGTAATTTTCCTGGGGAGTATGACATCGCCGAGCCGGCTGTGGCGTTAGATAGCAGAAGCACACAGACACAGAGGCCTGGCGAACGAAACAGTTGTATCAATACTATGTTTTCTTCGTGGTCAGAGATATGCGGTTCAAAATATCGGAAGCGTATTATGCAAGGTGTGCTTCTTTTGTCGATGCCGCCGGCATCAGCCTTCGCTGTTCTTCGGTATCGTTCAATTTTTGGGCACCATTGCGTTGTCACAGATGATTGGAACGGATGGTTTTTTTACTACTATGAGAACCTGATACGACTCGGTGGCCTGGTCATTTGCTATCTACTGATCGATAGATGGGGTCGAAGACCACTGCTATTATACGGCTCTGCTGTGAGCGCGGTATTTCTTAGCTTCGCTACAGCAGTGGCATATCTTGCGTTTGAAATTCAGTGTGGTCAAGTTCCGATGTTGACGAAGTGGCTGGGGTTGGCCGTGTCCGGGCATTTCTATTTAGTATTTTCCGCGACTTGGGGCACCGTACCTATCATTCTTGCTGCTGAGATCTTCCCTAGCCGTTTGAGAGCAAAAGGGTTTGCCATATCTGTCTGTGGGAGCTCATTGTAGGTCTTCATCCCATCCAATTGGATCATTAAGGATGTCCCGCTTTCGGTTTTCGACAGCCACTTTCTCGCACCCTTGGAGTATATTTTTGCTGATACACGGTAGCGTTAATATCATCAACGATGTGTTGTGGTTCTATGTTCCGGCACCACCGTGGCTTCTCTTGGCTTTGTTGAGTCTTGTTTGTCTGGCGGCTGGTGTTTGGGTCTATTTCGACATACGAGAAACCAAAGGGCTTGGGTTCGAACAGATTGATTCTGTCTATCAGAATAAATGCATGAGCTCTAGAGCCGTTGATGAGGAGGTAGAGTTGCAAGCTACCCGCTAATGAATGAAAACCTGAGAGATAGAAATTGTAGAGTAGAAAGCGGCCTGGGCAAATAGAACGAGGACTCCTGATTCAGGAGTTAACCGAGCGCTGGATGTATCTTAAGCGAAAGAAGTATACCTAGGTATTTCTTGAATTTTTTGACGAACACGATTTGACGGCCAAATTTGCCGAGAAAGGTACTGATACTGAACAATCCAAACGGACACATCGGCTATCGATTTGTTTGAGGCGCATTAGATGTCGTTTGTACTAAATCCAAACCCTACTTTGCTATTGGCACACGATTCTATGCCTGAGGCATCCAGTCGAAATTCAATTAACGCGAAATACAAGACGCGTCTCGCGATCCCTCCACACTTTCAACAAACAACACCAGCAAAAATTACGAAACTGTCCAGAACACCTCGCTCTCTCGCCGCCTTCTGCTTCCAAGAAATAAGCTTCTCATATACTCGTCAATAGTAAGATTCTTCGTCTCTTCCGTTATTTGATTTCGATTCGACACTTTCAAGGAAATACCAGATCCTCCCACCACGAGGAGCTAAATCGTAAATTCCTCATTTCGCGTTTGCAATACTGACTATTCTGGTTTCAGTGCTTGAGGCACGTTTAGAACAGGCCGATCTCCTGAAAAAGGTCGTAGATGCCATCAAAGATCTCGTCCAAGACTGCAATTTCGATTGCAATGACAGCGGTGTCGCCCTCCAGGCGATGGACAATTCTCACGTCGCTCTCGTCTCCATGATGCTCAAGGCAGAAAGTTTCTCACCATATCGGTGCGACCGCAATGTTGCTCTAGGTGTCAACCTTACCTCCCTTACGAAGGTCCTCCGCGCGGCACAGAATGAAGACATATTGACTTTGAAGGCTGAAGACGCGCCTGATGTTTTGAACTTGGTTTTCGAGAGTAGTGCAAGCGATCGGTTGAGCGAGTATGACTTGAAGCTTATGGACATCGACCAAGAGCATCTGGGAATCCCAGATACGGAATATGCGGCGACAATCAGCATGCCTAGCACCGAGTTCAAGCGCATCTGCATGGACCTTATGGCACTTTCTGAATCCGGTGAGCCTTTCCGCTTGGATGGGGATTCCAGTTTACTAATCAATGGTCTCACAGTCTCGATCGAAGCATCCAAAGATGGAGTCAAGTTCACATGCGCTGGAGATATTGGAAATGGAGCAGTCACACTACGAAGCCACAGCAACGTCGATAAGCCAGACCTTGACGTGGATATTGAGCTCACCGAGCCAGTTTCTCTTACATTCTCCCTGAAATACCTTGTGAACTTTTGCAAGGCTGCGGGGTTGTCTAAATCTGTTAAGCTATGCCTCTCGAACGAAGTACCGCTATTAGTTGAATATGCTCTTGCTGGAAGCAGTTACTTGAGATTTTATCTGGCTCCAAAGGTAAGCCCAACAGGAATAAGGTCTGTAAATGTGGGTGCTAACAAAATTCTAGATTGGTGATGAGGAATAGACGAAGCATTTACAAAATGTTGTTACGAGCGAATGGATTTTGACGCATATTCTGTACCGCTTGGGCGTGTTTGGTTGTTTTCATGGATATTGATGAAGGGATGATATGGGTTTCCTAGGGGGCACACCTCTAGAGGCGGCTGATGGTTCTACAGCTGTACGAGCAATTAAACAGTTAGACGGTTGGGAGTTGGCAATCTGAGTAATATACCACATATCATCGTATTTGCCATATTGTTGTGTGTTTAACACTCAAAGCTCTGCTGCAGTTGGGATGCAGCTTGGTGCGGGGTCGTTTCGCGAATGCACGACCCCACCAGTGGAATTGCCACTATCGAAACTACAACCACGATAAGGAATTTCTCCTGCTCTTGTATTCTTTCGTCACAAACAAAGATGCGATTTTCTGGTGCGACGAGACTACAGACCCTTGATACCTTCCTCTCGTGACAACTCGCGCATTTCTCTGTTTAGTATTCTCGATCTCGAAGATCTTGTTGCTGCTGTACGGCATATCAAGTCGCAGCTATGTCTGAAGTATCAGAATTCCCAATTCCAGAGACCCATGTTCTTGCGGTCGCCAGTCATGTAGGACTAGTACAATCTACTTGCGCGTTCGGCTTGGACTGACAAATGTAAAAGGTCGTTTATGGGTGAGTTGTTGGAAATCTTCCTGATGAGTCAGACCACGGCTGAAGAATCTGAAGATATGTTGGAAACACAATGGCTACATTCGTCATGCAGTCGCTGGGCTGCGAAGTATCCTCTATCAACACGGTACAGCTCAGTAAATCCCCTTCCACCCGCAATTGGCGTGTAGCTGAGCAGTATAGGCAATCATCTAGGATATGGCCAAGCCAAAGGCACACGAGCAACGGCATCCGAAATTTCAGATCTCTACCAGGGTCTCCGGGATTCCTACCTCGATTCATTTGATATGATGCTTTCTGGGTACCTTCCAGGTGCTGCCGCCGTAGAAGCTGTGGGTACGATAGCTAGGGATTTGAAGTACAAGGCTACTATGAAACCGGGCAGCTTTTTTCTGGGTTCTCGATCCGGTTATGGGTGATAACGGGAAGCTGTATGTGGCAGAGGATGTGGTACCCGCGTACAAGGCATTGATCAAAGATGCAGATTTGATTTTACCAAATCAGTTCGAAGCCGAGTGAGTGGTTTCGCAGTCAGTCGTATACGGTAAAATAGCTGACTGGATATAGAACATTGAGCGGAGTAAAGATTGTGGATATGGACAGTTTGAAGTTGGCTATTTCAACTTTACATGAAACTTATCACGTTCCGCATATTATGATCACTTCTATCACTCTACCCACACCGGGCGCTACTGCTTCACTCGCTGTTGTAGGCTCGACAGCTACCACCAATTCCGAACCACGCATGTTCAGTATTAGAATTCCAGCCATCGACTGTTTCTTTTCTGGTACCGGAGATATGTTCGCGGCCTTGTTACTTGTTCGATTTCGAGAAGCTGTTTTCAATACGCCTGGCCTATCCGAAACAGACGCATGGAGGTCAGACAACGATGTCAAAGCTACAGAGCTGCCACTCGCCCAGGCTGCAGAGAAAGTACTTGCCAGTATGCATGCGGTACTGACGAAGACCAAGGAGAGCCGGGATCTTGAATTAGAGCTTTACAAGAAGAAGAGAGCGACTGGCACCGATACTCCGGATGGGAAGAAGATGAAGCTGGTGACAAGTAAAGCAACTGAGGTTCGGCTTGTGAGGAATTTGGGAAGTTTAAAGAATCCAAATGTGCAATTCAGAGCAGAAGATGTATAGATGAAATTTCGGTAAGCGGCTTGGGTAGATTTGTATCTGCAAAGCATTGCGCATAGACAGCAATATGTCATCCAACTATGACAAGCACTCACATACACTAGAAGAGGCGAATAATCAAATAATGTCAGGCTAGAAGTTAATGCAGCTTTCTTTTCGTATTGAAATCTTTCTATATCATCTCAAACCGCACACCAAACTCCATTTTAAATTCCGTCAGTTCATACTCCGAATCCAATACACCCCCTACTCAACCAGTGCTCCCGAACCCTCCCGCGCCTCTTACGCTCTCCTCCAGCTCCTGCACCTCAACCACTTCGGGCGTGTAAATTCTTTCCAGAACTAACTGTGCAACACGATCACCTTCCTTGACTTCAAAATCCTTTTCGCCGTGGTTGAACAACAGAACCTTGACTTGCCCACGGTAATCCGCATCGATTACTCCAGCACCAGTGTCGATCATATGTTTGCTGGCTAGACCAGAGCGGGGGGCTATGCGACCATCTACAGATTGAATTTAGTAGGGCATTGAGATTGAGTACTAAGGTATCGATATAACATACAAGTCCCGGCAGGAACAGCCATACTAATATCGGTATCGACCAACACCTTTCCCCTCGCCGGCACAGCCGTATCTTTCGCAGCATAAATATCATAACCAGCCGCGAACGCGCTCCCTCTCGTCGGCAGCTTCGCCTTGTCGCTCAATTTCTTGATCAGCAACGCGGGCGCCTCGTCGACCTTCGTAACTGCGGGTGTAGGATGCGACATTTTGACGGGTTTTAGCGGTGTAGGTGGGGTGATGGTTGTGGTTGGGATGGAGATTGTGTTTGCGGATGTTGGGGATGCTGGATTGGGCTTTTGGCGTTTGGGGAGAGGGGAGGTGGGTGGTGAGGTTGCGGACATGATTTGGTTGTGGTTGGGAGGGAGGAGGAGACGCGACGAAGGGGAAGACGCGTTTGCTGTTCGGTTAATTGCTTGGCGGTGGGGTGGGATAATAGGGGGCGGGTTGGATTTTCTTCGTATGGGATTATTCTCAGGATTATAATTTGGGGTGGTCAGCAAGCAATATTGCATTACTAATTCAAGGTCTCTAGATAAGGCTGCCCTTTATGATTCTCAAATTTGATTGGAGTGAAAATCATTACAAGTTACTGGCCAACATTCGCTTTCAGAATTATGGTAATCACTTATGGGTAGCCACACCTGCGAAAAATTCATTCGTTATGTGCAGTACTGTCATGGGGAATGCTGAAGTATATTCTGATAAGCAGAAACACTGTTAAACGAACAGGGAAGTGCCATTACGCACCTCTTGACTGAGCAACCCTCATGCGACAAGATGATATCCGGTCTTTGGATAGTCACCACCTCCATACAGCCAACTCATGGAAAGGAGTGGAGTTATAGAACGTGAATCCCATAATCCATAGGTCGGGAGATCAACAACATGTGTTAGGAGTGTCGTTCTTGTGAATGTCTCGAATATGTTGAGAAAAGGGTTGGATTTGTGACTGTAAGGTTATCGCTTTCCTCTGCTTTATATGACATGCTGAACCAGATCTAGTCTTGTCGAATTAATACCGGTCATGTGTATAACGAGACCCAAAATACAAATGTCGAAATGTGTGGACAACGAGTGTGCTCCCGGAGCCATACTCATGATTCATGTGATTAAGGGCTTGTCATTCATAAACCCGATTTGTAGAGATAGACATACAGTCAAACTTGTATCCTACGTTATATGCAACCAATTGACAGGGGTTATACATGTATTTATGTCTTATGTCTGCTTAATAGACTCCCTTTCAGGCTTTGCTTTCACCCATGTATAGCTCCTGACTGTAAATTTCGGTGATACACACACTTCTAATTCAGAGCCTCTGATCAGTAAAATCTTTTTACTCTCAAAAATGACTAAGAAATCCCCAGTATTAGTACGCCCCAAAGAGTACAATTCAAAGATAGTAAGACTTGACTGCTCTGCCAAAAGGAATCGCAATTGAAGTCAAGCGGAACATGTCTGCACCAGTATACTCACAGAACTTTTCAACAGTTACTCACATCTATGTTCAGACCACAATATAAAGGGCTTCTTTTTCTAATATTTTCCTCTTCCTTATTGTATATTTCAGTATCTTAATATTCAAACAATATCACAAGAGATCAAAAACCTCAAAATTTAGCAACTCAAAACCTTTGAGCTTCTAATCCACGATTCATCATGAACCAAAGTGACGGTAACGATACCCAAGCAAGGAAAGCCACCGAGTTCGACGACTTGCCCACAGAGATCCAAACCAAGATCGCTCGAGAAGCACAGGTCCCCAGGACTATTATTATTCAGGGTTGTGATGTGGTTGGAGTGATAAAGCCTGCTGGAACAACACTGGAAGAAAACCTACTCCGCGAGACTAGTCAATACGTTACGGAGTTGTTAATGCCGTATGAGAACCCGACACTCCTCCAGGTCAACCACAAACTGCAAGATATAACACTTCGCTACTACGAACAAATCCTCCAAAGCGCTATCTCGGTGCATGGCGTCTTTTACGACCACAATAAAAAGACAGTTGTACCAAAGCATAAAGATGAACTGAAACCTATAATCCGCTTCAACTTTGAAGTTGATACGCTAGCATTCAGTCCCAATTTTGCGGTACGTGAAACTATCCGGAACAAGGAAAGCGGTGAAGTGGAAAGTCTCCAATACGCCACTAGTGAAAAAAGATCCCCAGCAGATTCTTTCGGGATTCTCAAAGATTTACTGAAGTCGAAGAATAATGTGGAGAGAGTTGAAAACATAGCTATAGGGGACTTTAGGTGGGCCAAGGTCAGGAATGAGCAGTATCACCATGATGAAGCTCGACAACCGGCGAAGGCTTTTAACGATCAAATCAAAAATGGCTTCCGAAACCTCAAGAACCTGTTTCTCATCTACAACGAGATTCATGATCCTGATGACGAAGATATGGTGTTTTACAAGCTTGATACTTCTGAAGACCAAGGTACAGTCAGAAAAAAAATCATTGCGATGTTCGAAAAGGAGAAACGGCAATCTGCTTGCAAAGTCCCGAAGATCACTTTCATTTCAGATAATGATGAAAAAGCCCGACAGTATCTACCAAAACTGAACATTCCAAAACGTCACCTGGACGGTCATTGATTCTGCCGGCCTGGCAGAGCTTCTCCGACATCCCTGTTTGATTACTGGCACGACACGATACACCTTTTCAATACACACTTAACCCTGTATAATAATACAAGATTCAACTTAACTTTAAACATCTTAACTAAAGTCAAAAAACAAATTTTTATAGAAGTACAATGGGAGGAGAGCTAGACAAATACACAAGAACAAATACAAAAACAAGATCGAATGTTCTTTTGGCTGATCTTCTTAAATAAACCTACGTAAATGCGTGTCGTCGCTTTTTACATGTCAAATAGAATACAATAAAACCTCATCATCAATCCATATTCGCTTTCTAACAGTATGGCAACCACTTGTGAGTCGTCGGACCTGCGTTCAGTCTATTCATTTTCTATACTGTCACTCAAAAGACGCTGTATAAAAGGTTTGCTTTGATTAGGTTAATGCAAAGACAATTCAGAAAACAAAAGAAGGGTTACCGGGGCTCAACATTCCGTCATTTGGTAGTAGCCACCTCTGTATAGCCCACCTCGGAGAGGACTAACGCAATGGTAGAACCTCCTTACTATTCTGTGAATTTATAGTATACTTTAGAGAGGGTAAGCAGCTTGAATCGCAATTCTATTCTAAATAGAGTTAAAAGTATTACATCTACTAAAAACAATCAACAAAATATCGTAAATTTCGTCCACTGTTCTGAGAAAATATCGTACTGCAAAGCCCACTTATTGTATCCTGTCCACTGTGAATCCACCAGTGAAATGAAGGAGAAAAATTCCAGAGATTCTTTGACTCCATACTTCATATTCCGCATAACTAAAAGACGCGTGTAGATGCCGTTGCTATGAATCCGTGGATTATTGGGGGGGAGTATGCGTTTGTGGGAATTGTTGCTTTCTGTCACCTTTATATGGATTGTCTGAAATAGGCTCTAGCCCCTGTTGGTTGCTTCAAGGGATATCATTTGGGGAATGAAATTCATAACTAGAATGACAGACATGTGGAAAGTTTATCATGTGAGTATTCTAAGGTTGTGTTCATATCGAACACGGCTAAAAGGTTGTTACTCATGGCAATAACTCATGAAAATCTACTGTCAATGTTATACTTGGAAGCATATTCGACAAATCTCAAACGACTACATGTGTAATAATAAGCCTCGGCTATCCATGTAATCCACTTTAGGACTTGTCGCTGAGCGCCATGTGTAGCGCTTGATTTGAAGATATCATGACCCACCAAATGCTTGCTTGAGTGCTTGGTCACAAGAACGTTCCTCAAATATGACTAGAAAATACCCTGTAGTATGGGGAGCTCAAAGAATGTGTCTAAAGACAGAGAGGCATCTGTGAATGTTTAGTCAAAGAAACTCAAATTGGAAGTCTAGGGGATTATCTCTGTGACAACATACTCAAATAACTCTCTATTAATGTTAATTATAACGCAGGCTCAGAGTACTATAAAAGGCTCCCCTCTCGCTGTTCTCCCCCTTCTTCCTTTTCATTCAAACATCACAACGGAAGTGTACAAACATACTTCTATAGCCAACATAATAAGCCACTCGAGCTCAAAAGTTCAAAATTCATCATGAGCCAAAGAAATAACACAGCTCCATCGACAGAGCCGCTTAAAGATTTCCATTATTATGCACATCTTCCCGCAGAGTTACGTGAAGCTGTTATGGATCTGTCATATATGCAACATGCTGTCGTCATTCGAGAGTGCGCTGTGGTCGGTGCGGTTAAAGGTAGCGGAGAACCAAATAAGGAGCTGAAAATCTACGAGGTGTATAAGCCAAGTAATCGATCAGGTCAATTTAGGGCCAGCAGAGAGACGAGAGAACATGCATTAAAGACACATACAGTAATTCTGCAAAGATCCATTCCAGGCCACAGCGTACGCTACGACCACAGAACCGAAACATTCTGCCCGAAACATTCTAAGGGCCAAATAATCTACCTCCATAAAACACAGGGCACACTAGCCTGCCATCCGTATCCCATAACTCGTACTTATGTTACGGACCAAGGAAGCCGGGAGGTTAAGGAAAAGATATCTACCGCACACGTGCCAGAACAACCAGAAGTTTCACTTGCCCGTTTGAAAGCCCTATTGAAGGATTCTCGATACCGTCAACATGAGGACGACAATATGTATTTCGACGAAGATGTAGCTCAGGCCGAATTTTATGAAAACCGCAGCGCTAGAAACAACTTGGAAAAAGTTCAAAGCATTGCTCTTTTTAACTTTGCATGGCCTGCACCCCAAGACGGCAACGACTCTGACAGCGAAGATGCCTATTTTCACAAAAGGCTTGAAGAAGAAATCAAAGACGGCTTCCAAAACCTCGAAAGATTGTTCCTCTTCTACTCTAATCACGGGGATGATGAGCAATACATCAAACTCCAAAACGTCTAAGGGTCAAGAGCAAGTCAGAGTCAAGATCCGCAAAATGTTCAAAAGGGAAAAACAAATACGCTCGGATTGTAGCATCCCGGAGATTATCTTCATCGACGAAGCTAGTGAATTCGCCCAAAAATTTCTCAACGAGGTTTAGAGAGACCCAATTAATTGGTACCCTCATCTGGATGATAATTTGCTTCGAGGAAGCGACATTAAAGCCTGACATGAATACGTTGACTAATGTAAAAAAAAAAAAGTTTGTATGAGTACGATGGAGGAGAACCACAAATTGCCACTTATCTTGGCCGCCGTAAGCCAAACTGTAATATAAAAGAAGCAAATTCTAGAGATTCTTTAACCCTAAATTTTACATTTCGCGTAACTCTAAGACACGTGTAGATGTAGTAGCTGTGATTTCTTAAAATGTTAGGCGATGATCATTGGCTTACGACAGCCGTTGCTTTTTCACCCCTGTATGCCATAACTATGATAGGCTGTAGCCATTGTTAAATAACTTAACAGATATAATGTGGGTCTTGAAAAACATGACTTTTGATTGTCGAGATATTTAGAGAGAGTGTTATGTGATTATCTCTAGCCACATTCACCACTAACATAGTTGAAAGTATATTACCCACAACACTAAGTTACAAAAGTCTACAGTCAAATTTGTGCTCAAAATCAGTTTTGACAGGGTTCAAATGACTACATGTGTGCTAACGTACCTTAATTATCTATCCAGTCTACGACTTCACCTTAGGATTTCTCCTTAAGCGCCATGTGTATCTGCGGACCTGGAAATACAGTAATGAATATGACACCGGCCCTGACCTTAGTCACAAGAGCCATTTTGAATGCAAAGATGACAGAAACTACCCTGTAGCATGGGGAGCTCAAAGAATGTGTCCTAGAGATAAAGCGACATGTGGGAATGTTGGGTCAAAAGGACTCAAATCGGAACTCTAGAGGATTAAGTCTAAACAGCATACTCACATACTTCCCCTTAAATGTTATTCACAACGCAAGCTCAGCGTTCTTTATAAAAGGCCTCTCCCACTCTGTTCTCCTCCTACTTCCTTCTCATTCAAACATCACCACAACAGTGTTACATACGAACAGAACTATATAGCCAACAAATAAAACCACTTGAGCTTCTAAAATCAACACCAACAGTCACCATGAGCAGAAACAATGAAAAGAGTGCACTAAGCACTTCAACGGAGCCCAAGCTCGACAAGTTCGATAAGTTGGATCAGTTACCGGTGGAGAAGTTTTTGGAGATTTTGAAACTGTCTTATGAACCACGTGCTGTCGTTGTTCAAAGATGTAGCGTAAGCGGTCTAGTCATTCAGACTGGAAGGAAATTCCCTGTTCCAGTTGACGACGCTGTGACTGTCCATGAGATACAGAAGCTGATAAAGCAACCAGCGCAACTCGCAGTCAACAAATTATGGCGAGCTGAAGCACTTAAGACTTATGGAGTTATTCTTGGAAAGGCAATTAAGCAAAATCGTTACTACTATAGTCACGCGAAGGGAGGGTTGGTAGCTAAATACCCTGAAGACCAAAAAATCTATTTCAGCTTTCCGGACGACACGTTAGTCTACCGGCCAAATTCAACGGAGCGCAAGACTACACTAAAACAAAATGGCGAGGAGGTGGTAGGTAACGATCGGGTTGTTAATATTTGGGGTGGATTGGCGCCAGAAGATGCTTTTGGTCATCTGAAAGCTCTACTGAAGAATAATAATAATGTTGCTGGTGTGAGTGAACAAGTCGTTGGGGACGATCACGACAAGGCGGACAACAATCTTGAGAAGGTTCAATCCATTGCTCTTGGGAACTTTACCTGGCTTGAAACTAAGGATGAGGCCGGTCTCGCGGATCCAGGTATGGTTGCTCGGCAAGCATTCTACAAAAGTGTCGAAGATGGCTTCCGGAATCTCAGGGAGTTAATTCTGATCTATCGTGTTTATTACCAGCGTCCTGCTAGCGAAGCCTCTGATTCTTCTGATAGCAGTGCGGGCCCGAACCATGTCGACCTGAGATCAACTCAAGTCCAGGGAGAGGTTAGGAATATCATCACAGACATGTTCAAAAGAGAACAAAAGATACGTAATGCTTGCAAAATTCCGGAGATTATATTCTTAGACGAAGAAGAAGAGGGGGCCAAATATTACTTTGATCCCACTGCAGAAGTTTGAAAAGCAGTACCTCCATCCTGGTACAAACTCGACACAACGACCGAAAAACCTGATTTGAACACGTTGACCACCGTCATAAAAAACCCTTGTATGAGTACGATGGAAGAGAACCACAAACAAATCCCGAAAAGAAAACACCAAAAAAAATTCTTTTATACTTTTCACGCTACTCGCACCATAGACGAACTTCCAGCAAAACGGCTGGCCATCATATATCCATATCTAAATTTCGAGGCCCGTTAGGTTTTTGTGCCTGGGATCTCTGCCACTCTCTTCTTTTCAACTCATGATATCGAGTTTCAACTATCTTTTTAGACATTCGCTTGGGACAGGAAAATTTGTACATTAGAATTAAAGTGTGTTCATAGATCGGAGGAAATAGGAGCTCTTTAGATGTATACCTGGAAAATTAAGACATGTATCGTTTCAAGACAATACTCTCTGTTGAGGAAATTCTGATAACGCTGTGCTGATGAGGCCACCGAATAATGTGAAGCTGAATTCAACTTATAGGAGACTAATTTTTGAAGTGGAATTTCGGGTTTGACATATAGCTCAATGAGGTATCAGTTAACCAAGACTATTGGAGTAATGAGCGATATTATGTCATATTAATCGAGTAAACATCATGTCTCGACTGGAACTTGACGTTGTTGTCCACCGCAAGCTATCCTCGGCACGCATTGACCATTCCCAACGTAGCCGAACATCCAGCCATCAGCAAACATCTTGAACGCTATTACACCCGAACATCATGTATTCCTTTTAGCCAGACTCACTCATCTAACCAATAATCATCATGGCTGAGCTATTCCAGAATCTCCTGGACTACGTCCCCTCCCGCAAAACAAGCTTCATCATCGCAACCTCAGCAGCAACCACACTCATCCTCTCAGACGCGATCAGACGCAAACTGAACCCCGTTCCAAAACAAATAATACCAAGTCCAAGAGCCTCTATTATTCCCAGTCTATCTTACGAAGAGCAAGACAACCTGCCCTATCCTCCAAATCTCTTCCCCGGCGCAAGAGACGTGGACAGTCCGGTACGTTTCAACCCATATCACGTGCAAAATCAAGAACCTAATCTATACAGTACGGAACAACGCGAATCTACGAATGGGGACCCGAAGACGGTAGGAAAGTCCTCTTAATCCACGGAATCTCCACGCCCTGTCTTTCACTAGGCAACATCGCCCATGCCCTCGTCCAAAAAGGCTGTCGCGTGATTCTCCTCGACTTGTTCGGTCGCGGGTACTCAGATTCCCCAGATCTCCCGCACGATTCCCGTCTTTACACAACTCAAATCCTTCTGGCCATTACCTCTTCCCCTCTCTCATGGACTCTTGACGGGTTCAGCATCATCGGCTACTCCCTAGGCGGCGGCATCGCCGCTGATTTCGCTGCCTTCTTCCCCCATCTGATTCAAGGTCTTGTGCTGCTAGCTCCAGCTGGACTCATTAGACCATACCATTTCGGATGGCAATCGAAGATTCTATATAACGACTTCTTGCCGACTCGCGTTCTCGAGCATCTGATCCGGAAACGCCTCATGGATGGTCCCTCGGCCTCGAATTCAATTCAGAAACTCACGAAAGCACCGGCTTCATCTACGCCGATGCCAGAAACGGCCGTTGCTGCTGAAGTTAAAGGGACGAGCGATGTAGAGTTTCGGGCTTCGCCGTTGAATATACAGAGGCCGAATCTGACGGTTGCGAGTGCGGTGGGTTGGCAGTTGGGACATCACGAGGGGTTTGTGAGGAGTTTTGTGAGCAGTATTAGGTATAGTAGTATTAGCGGAAAGAATGAGACTTGGAGGAAGCTAGGGAGCTTGAAGGTGCCGGTTTTGGTTATCGTAGGGGATACTGATCCTATCATGTGAGCTTCCCTTTTCCTTTTCCTCCCGCTAGGGACAAGAGGCTCGGTTTCTTGTTGGAGCCGAGATTATTACTGAGTACTGTTCTAACATCCTGTAGTGTTGCAAATGAGTTGGAGGAAGACGCTAAAGAAGCAATTGGTGCCGATGATGTGGTTTGGAAAGTCGTACATGGTGGACATGAGTTTCCCATCACGCATCCAGATGAAGTCGTTGGGCATATTGCTAAAGTGTGGCGTATTTAGATTCGGGTTAGAACAGATTAGAATGCAAGTAAATGACAATTATCTTGTCGATCGCGAGGCAATTTAGGTTCCTGCTTTAAATCTTATTGACCGCTTAAAACACACAGGATTTATGACTTAACTACTTTACTTCTACAATAACTTCCCCGGCTTCTAATACGTTATTGCCTGCAGATAAACTCACATTTCATGTATAAAGTGTATCAAAAATAGCCCGTGTTGGCACCGAGGCAATGAAGAAATGTAACTCTTTAGTAGCACAACAACACAGCCCACATGGAATAAGTAATTTAATATATTCATTTCGTAATATTTATGTTTAGATATAAATAGTTGTAGTATCAAAAAACGCCGTTCATATAATCATATATGTTCCATAACCCCTCGCTAATTAGCCAAACGTAAAAAGGCCGTCTTGGTATCTATGTTGCAAAAAAAAGAGAACAATCGGGGATATCTATATAGAACGCTGAGATCATGAGAGAGGTACTGAAACCGAAAGAAAATTTATAAGAGTTGTGTTATCCATAGTAGGATGCATTTTGACCAAGATGCCCGTAAGGTTGATTGTTGGCAGGTGCCCGCGTCGTTGGGGTCTGTTGCTGGAAGCCCTGTGTGGTGCTCACAGGTAGACCGTCGTACATGAAGGCACCTTCGTGTAGGCCCATTACGTTAGATGTTGGGTAGGTCGATGGTGAGATTGTTGCCGACGTGTATTCCTGGGCTAGTGGGAATGCTGAGGTCGGTGTAGGAACGAAGTTTCGTTCCGGTATTTGATGAGAGAAATTGGCGTCCAATGAGCCATATGGACGTGACAATGTCCTTTGATGCTGGTTTTGAGTGAAACCCGCATCACTGGTCCTGAAACCACGAGTTTGATTAACTTGGTTGAGGCCACCAGCATCTAGTGTGCCAAAGGCGCGTTGGTCCATGTTCTGGATGCCAAATGCATTGTTGCTCGCATACAATTGATTTTGGTTGTAAGCTTCTGGGGCCATCTGCTGTGGCACACCAAACCCTCCATTTGGACCAGTCGAGAAGAAATTATCAAAGGTTGAAGTTCCAAACTGCTGATTGTTCATAGGAATGTGAGGTGAGATGCTATTCATATTGAATGGGCTCTGCGACTCCATTTTCGCCCGACTAATTGGTGTGATGGGTGTGAGATTCTGCTCGACCGGACTGATAATTGTGTTTGCATCCACATTTCTAACTTCAACCAACCTCAAGACCGGCAGACTGATATGCTCCATATGCTTGGCCAGATGAACTGTAAGCTTCTTCCACGTTGTGAAAGATTTGCCGCAGAACTTGCATGCCTCATCTTGGGGTCGGTGTTGTGTCTCGTGGTGGCACAACTCGAGCATCTTCCATGCTGGCTCTGTCATCCGCGCTTTCTTGATTGCAGCCTTCGTCTTCTGCTTTGGCTCTGGCAGTTTATGTTCACGAACCAAATGCTGCAGAAAATTATCTTTACGATAGCAAGGGTGCCTGCAGTCGTCAACCTGGCAGATCCACCATTCCAAGTGGCGATGGCGCTCATTTTCGTGTCGAACCCAATCGGCCTTTCTCTTGAATGACTTGGGCTCTTTACACTTATCGTAGGTGCAAGTAAATGGCTGCACATCTTCATGAACATGCTTGGTCCAATCAGATGGTTTCTGGAATTTCTTCGCTTTGAAACACAGCTGGCACTCGAATTCAGCAGGCAAGTTCTTGGTTGGTGGCATTGGAACTCCTGGAGGAAATGTCTCCTCACTGAGGGCGCCCTCCCCTGGATTCGAGTCCTCATCTGAGAAATCAGTGACAAGCTGAAGTCCGGTACTCGAATGGTCGGGTTCTTTTGGCTGTCCTTTAGCATCCAACAAGGTCGCATTGCCTCCAAGCGCAATGCAAAGACGACCAGCACCACAATTACGGTTTCCGGTAGCTTGAGAATGCTTCACTCGCAGATCCAACAGATTCTTGTAGCGGATTTCCTGTTGATGCGCAATCCTGCTGACCAACCAATTGTGCTTCGGATCCATGTTTGGGTTGAGACGTCTTACATGAGCCTTGAATCCCTCATAATTCGGTACGATAGGATCTTGCTCACCCTCCGATTTGAGATCAATCTCATCGGCCTGCTCATCTTCCTCGTCCTCGTCCTCGTCTTGGTCTTGCAGTTCAGCCTGATGCCTTGTATCAATTTCACTGGGCACCTCGACAGGTGGGGAGGCCAAAGTAGGCACGGGTGGTCCTCCATGCCCTCTCCAAAGCCCTGCAAGTCCACTTTGGCCAGGATTGGGAGTCGTTTGACTCAAATCGCTTCTGCTTCTAGCGCGATGAATCACTCTGCTAGGCCAGCCCAGATGATTTGGACTCTTTGGCGAGGTCGCAGTAGCACTGATAGCACCGTGACTTGCACTAACTGATCCATTGCGTGCGTGTGTGGTGCCGACAGCAGCTAGAGGTGCCACCATGACAGCCATTGCGGTATTGATGCTGGGCGTTTGCCGTTTACCAAAGCTTGGAGTTCGAGGTGGGGGTGCTAGAGTGCCTTGGCTATTTTGACGTGAAGCAGGCGTGATCTGGGATTCATCTTGAACATGGTGTGCACTTAAGCTGCGTTTGAGTTTGCTGCTGCTGTTAGGTTTGCTTTCACTGCGCTTGCGAACGATGTTTGCCAACTTGTCGAGTCCTTGATCGAAAAGGCTATGCTGTCGAGTGGCAGTTGGCTTACTGATACTGAGCTTTTTCAGAAAGCTACCACTTTGAACAGATTCCCAATCTGCAAGACTGGGCTCACTACGCCGGCGAGTTCCCCATGTTGCAGCTCGCGAAGCGATGGAGATGGTGTCTGCATGCCTCCGGAATCTCTCCATCGCGTCATTCGAGGTTTGAGGCTGGAAGGTGGTAGTCATGATATAAGGCACAGCTGGAGCATCATTCCAATGACGAGGTTGTCTCATCAACTCTATATCAACTTGGCTCAGCGGTCCATTTCTCGATTCCGTATCATAATACACCTGCCCAGCAACTGTCTTGTTTTCCCGTATACTGGCAGCATCGTCAACCGGCCCAATATTGTCTATGTTTTCCGCGGGGTCTGGATGCTGACGAGGGGTTGATTGTTGATACCACTCTCGATTTGGTGGGGGCGGTGGGAAGTATGACTGCCCAGCTCTTTCTTCTTCAGCCTCACTACTCCCACCAGCCTGGGACCTCCACTCAAAAACTTCAATATTCTTGTGCGCAATGCGACGTCGCTCTTCTTGCTCGTCCAGGGTCTCAACTGTTTCGTTTTCAATGGCTCTTCTACTGTTAGGGTCTAAGCCCGATTGACCAGTCCTCTCATTCGATCTCCATGAGCCGTCCTCGCCTCGCAAGACTGAAGCTGCTTGGCTCTGTGGTATTTCCCCATCTGAAGTTGTCGCGAACCTTCCTTCTCTACTGTAGGGAGCACGCAACGGCTCCGTGTAACCCTGACTCCACTGAGAAACCATGACATGGGGACTGTGGTCGAGCCCAGTCATTGTGGTTGGCTCAAGGCCCTCGGCGCTTGTGTGACTACTTCCACTATGATCCGGCGTCAATTGAAGATTTGCTGTGTTGGTATTTGGCGTGCCAACTTCAAAACTCTGATACTGTGGTTTGTGCAAGTTGGTGTTGAGCTCTTGTGCTGTTATCGTGGCATTCGTTTTTAAATCGTTAATTGCAGCAGGCGATGGTGTATTGGGTATGCTTGTATGAACTGGGCTGAGCGGATAGGTCGAAGCTGTCAACGTATCGGACGCCGGCTTCTCGACTTCGTATGGCAGATTTGGTAAAGCGCGATTGAGATCGGAATGTGTATATATTGTATTTCCGTATATGTTAGAAGGAAGCGAGTCCGTTCTGATCACCCCAGCACCAAAGTCTACTCCCAAGAACTGATCTTCACCAAGCTCACTGAAATTGCTTTGCTGGTAAGTGCTATATTCCGAATAGCTGTCGCCCGGGGTACTTGTTAGATGGTTGGACGGACTGACTGAATTGCTTGCGGTGTGCGACGAAGGGAAGGGCGAGAGGTGTTCGTTATCAAAGGTGTTGTAGAGATGAGGGTCGTTCACGTCGAGGTCCCCGACAAACTCTCGTGAGTCTTGTGCGTCGGCGAAAGCAGAGGTGTTGTAAGTTGTAGAAGACATCTGTGTGACCGAGAAACGAAACAGATGTATGGAGCAAGGAGGCTATGTATATATTGAAGCAAGAGGTATAATGAGGTAGGCTCGAGAGGCCGGGCCTACTGACAGGGACAGAGCTGCTGCTGATGCTGCTGTGGTCTAGCTGGTCGAGGTCGATTAAACAGCACGGAGCCAGGCATTGGTCATGGTGTAGGTATGCAGCCTGAGGAAGTGTGGGATGGGATGGGATGGGATGGGATGGGATGGAGATGGGGTTGATGGCGGTGGTTCGTGGTGGTCGTGGTTCCTGGCACCTGGTTCGTATTTCGTAAATAGGGCAGGAAAGCGGGCGCTAGGTTTGGTCTCTTCGGTCTGTCTGCAGTCGGCCGGGTGCTATATGCAGCGCGTTTGGGGATGAGGAGCCAGATTTAGCTACGCGCGAGGGCAGAGACTCGGGGTTCCGTGTTACAACAGAGCGTGCTGGAACTGGAGTGAGCAGTATCAGCGTTTAGAAGGACGGGGGGCCGGTTGGAGATCAGCGCCAGCGGTCAGTCGCGATGGAACAATAATGCGCAAGGTGTTGGGTGTCAGTTGGCACACGATCAATTGATTTTCCAGAGGGGCCCGCGGTCCAGAAAATTGTGCAAAGTTTGAGAAGAGAGAGGAATGTCGGGGGTGCATGTGGAGGTTGTATGAGGACATTCGAGGGAGGCCAGGACTGAGGGGCTTAGATTGGACATGGAGGGGGAGCTTGGAGCAGAGGCTGATGCGCAGTCGATCATTAGCGAGGACGATGTGGTTGTTTGCCTGACGTTTGACAATGTTATCAAAGCACGACCAACACAACAATCGGAGAATGCACAATAGAAGCAATGAGTGGTCCAGCAAGAAGCCGAGATCCAGATGGTAAGACTCGGACATCAGTAACATGATCGAGTGAGACAAGGAGAAAGAGACAATGGCTATGTCTATGGCATGGTATGGGCACGATATGGGAGTCTGCGACTGAAAATGCCTGCTTAAACACCTCACAAGTTGCCTACAATCATCGGCTGAGATTGAATTTTTCTCCTCTCTCTCCAGATGGATCTCCGGTTCAATGACAGAGTATCGTCGACGATGATGATAGGATAGCCAGCCGCAGCATTGCATCCCAGGAGATCTGCCTTGCAATTGTGCTAACCTCCAGTCAGTCAGCCCTCGGATTTCAGGGTGGCTGTGCCTCTTCTCCATGCTCAATTCAACCATCTCTGAGGCCGTTGAAAATCGCATTGAGCAAGTGCGGAAAAAGGCTGCGCAAATATGATCAATTCAATTGATCGTGGGCCACGTATCGACAAAAAGACTCAAGGACAGGAAACACCAATACACATTCGCATCTTTCTTTCTTTCATGTACGTACTACGTAGCACCAACTCCAAGTCCAGCTGGTCATACTGCGTTCTGGTAGGCTTCGTTTACGAACAACATACACCATATTTAAAGCTACTCGGCATGGTGAGACTCTGGGAGGAATTGATTGACCACCGTACGATTCGTACCAACACTGTCACCATGTGGTGGTTTTCACTTGCCTCCTCTCAAACTCGCGCTTCAAGCCTCCCTCTCCAACCAACTCTCCTGCATGAATTTTATCTCCGTTCTCGGGATCCAAGATGCACAAAGGTCTTCAGACGATACACAAGCTCAAACAAGACAAGCTTGTAATCTACGTCAACATAGCCTCGCCGCAATCAGTGACCGAAGGACTGTTATCCGCAGCAGCTCTGCCCCTCCACTACCGTGGAGGTTAAAAGCCTAGCCTTATGGTTTCTACGAATCAAATCCTGCAAATCCGGTAAATTCAACGTCCCCTCGATCAATAACCCCTCAAGTGGGAATTGAAAGGTCACTGCGGCGAGGTGTATCAACGGCATTCTCCAATCAGCGAGCTTCCCTTCCCACTTGTCAGCCTTGAAGTCTGGATAATCTGCTATGCAGATATCGGAAGAGGTTCCGCGATCTTGGAACTTCACAAAGACGGGCCATCTATATCGTTGACGCGATTGTGACATGAGGCTCACAGTTGCGATCTTGCTGTTCGAATCCTGCCAGATGTGTTGTCATCACTTGGACGAGAGTAACTAGTCAAGATTTCGATCATTGCCAGACTCAGGTATCTCCTACCAGAGTCCGGCCTCCACATGGCAGCCTGGCCTTCAACGGCTTACATGTCCCGGTTATTCTCACTTCAAGTCCACCTCGGAAGTTTGACCGTTGCTGGGATCGCAAGTACCGTTGTCTCCCGTCACTGAGGCTTCGGGCCAGATCAGATCTCCAGCCAGGACCCTGAGAAGGATCGCGGCTTGTTGGATCCTCCCGAGTGGCTTTGACGTTTCCCGTCTGATTACTGGATTGTTCTTATGCATAAATGAATTGCCATAAAGCTTCGGTTGCCACATTGGAGATGAGAATCTTCAGTAAGATTTTTGTGAACATCACAGGAGGAGCAATATCCGTCTCATTATTCAACCTTGCATGGCCTCAGTTGTTTGTTCTCAAATTTCCACCAGTATCTTTGTCACGCAATCTGACATAGGCGGATTCCAGTACATCTTTCTCATGTTGGCTACTGGCCGCCTTCTATTTTGCTTCTTTTGTTGATTGTCTTGGAATTGTGTACGTCTTGCATGATAGCAACAGGCCATCGAAAGCCGAAAGCCGATAACAGCTATGAGTCTGCCTCATTGAAAAACGTTGTCTCTAATACAAAACCTGAATCAATTGTTCTGTGGCTCAACTACCAGAAGTCTCGATGAAAGTTGCACCTTCATATCCACAGAAGTGTTGTGATATTCGATATTAGACTCACTTTCATCCTCGTGGCGTATAGGACTTCAGGCTTTACCGTGTAAGCACCACAGATCTGAGATGCTATCTTGTACGACGGTTTATGGTCTGCCTGGGTGTCATACTTACAGTGCTAGAAGCTGAGGACTGTCTCACTCAGCGCTGTCTGACGGTATGGCTGGGAGGTCTATATATGAGGACTTCAAGCTCTGATGAAGATAACGTGCGGCAGTGAGCCAGACATAAAATCTCGAGCAGTCAATGATTTCCGATTAACAGCCTCGATAATTCTCAAACGAGGAATTTCCCAGAATTTCCTATGCATGTTCCCCAATTTATTAATTTATTATGAGACTAACGGGACACCTTGTTCATACATGGCCATGTCAAAAAAGGGTTCACAACACACGCTCCTTGATAGGTACCTTCAGTCTTCAAAGTAGAGGCAATCGCACATTCGTTGTTCAACTAACCGATTAAACTCGCTTTTGAGACCGAACTTTGCTGTTCCACTAGGGCAAGGTGTGCCTTCAGACTTCAAACAAAGTGCTGGAGGGTCGGTTTGGGTATGTCGTAGAATGGTCCATGTTCGCCATCACAGGTTTGATGTCTACGAGGTATGTCTTATGCTGGTGTCTTTGACTAGTGCTAGACTTTCATAATCAAATTTGTTTACCAAATGTAGCAAATAGGGCTCCTCAACGATTAATATGATCGAAGCCTCTTAATCATCAATCGTTTCATAGAATAATTGTATAATCATAAGTAATTCCTGAATCTCTTAATCGTCAATTATAGAATATTTCTATTTCGTAATTAATTTATGATTAATCACCGAAAACGTTTTAGTACTAAAGAGGTATAAATATATACTTTTTTTCGGACCTAAGAAAATTATAAGTTTATTTTTATCTTTTACTATATTTTAGACCCTATATAATAGTAGTTATTAAGGTCAAAAATATAATATACTATCGATGATTAATCATAACTTTTAGGCCTTAATCATCGATCTTTTCATAACTCTATACCTTAATCACGAACAAAGTCTCGAGGTCGATAATCATGAGACTTTCATCATGACTAAATCATGATTGATGATTAATCATCGAGCCCTAGTAGCAAACACATATTCACATTTCTCAGTGAGAGGATGACCAACTTTCTTTATATATATGCATCGTCTCCAAACCAATTCTCAACAAAACCTCCATATTACTCTAAACTACATAAATACAACCACTTGCTGGGTACAATACCTGCTGTTCCTCAGCCTCTACCATGACACTACATTCGTCTCTTTCAACATCGCTCTGGTTTGTTAGCAGTTTCCAGCCCTAGGAGACGATTAAAAGCATACATTCCAAAGAGCTGATAATGTCAACACACTGTCGAGTCAAAGCAAAATCTTTGTTCAAACACCCAAGCCTTGAAATATTTTCTTGCCTTCAACAATAAAACCGAGGTTAGGGTTAGTTTAAGTGAATAACATGCATAGACAAACTTATCTTTACGTCTTGAAGCTCAGAGCCGTCAAAACCTATAAACTGAAAACAGGTGTCATTCTGTCCATCAAAACAAGAGATAGTGCCATGTACAACCAAGGTAGGGACACTGATGGCTTTACAAGAGGCAAACCCTCAACAATGAATCATCAACTAGTTTACTCTACTGTAGAGAAGTTTATAATTCTCCTATCAGCCTCTAAATCTAAAACGGCGTCAATAGAAGATACTCTTCGACCGTTGTTATGAGCGGCAGGTTGAGACATTTATCAGACTCCAAGCTCGACGAGTTCAGAAGTTCTACGACATTCGCGGTCGCATTGAGAGAGGAAACTGTATTATAGATGAGGCAAATTGAACATGAGTATTAAATAAGACCTGCTACCTCCGAAAGAACATGAAGAAAGACATGTGTTATGTCTAGTAACAACTCACAGTCCTTGATTTCTCAACTAAGCGCTGAAACCAGCAAAACTTATTAGGGTCTAACGAGACCTGTGGTCCTAGAAGAGGCTGAAATGAGACATATAAGGGATGCTTATTCTATTTAGCTGTTTGATCTGACTCATTTCCATAAAAATGGATTGGACGGATCCCAAAAACAGACGATATATATTTTACAATGGCAAAGCGTTGTGTCAGGTAACATGTATGGATAGCACTGATGGCTTGATGATATACAGCAAAATTTGGTCAATACACAGGACTGTTTTAGATGTCAACACTACAATTCGTGTATCTTTCATAAGCATAGACGGAATCATGGAAGTACGATTTCCTAAAGACCAGTATCTATTCAAAGACTATTGTCAAGCGGCTAAGATGTATCATTTGCCTTACTGTATCCATAGATCTCTGGCAGTAGCTCTCAAAGAGTCAGCCAAGAACTACACCTTTCCAAATTGTACAATGTGTTGCTGCCAAATAGAATTTTTCCAACCAGTGCTTCTCAGTCTGGGTCCATGCTTCCTCGTCAAATGGTCTGATAGTGCCTCACTCATTAAAGGAGCTTCATGTTCTCCTTGCCTCTTTTTCAACCCTCGTTCCTTGGAGAGACACTCTTGGACTTAGGGTGTCTACCAGTTTATTGCGGCGGTGTAATCTTTGCTACCGGTTCATTGGGGGTAAAACCAGGCGCTCAAAGAGCAGGAGGTATTTCGGAGATTTGCTGAAAAATAATTTCAGCATTCCACCCTGCCGACTCGCTGAGCGAATTTGATTGAGGCTCCCCTTCCCACCACTGAGCCTGTCGCAAAACTTCCATATGTTGTCGTAGAAATCCAACTCATCTGGTGAAGGGCAATCTGGTCGTCAACTCCTATTACTTGACGGAACTACCATCTTGCAAGCCAATCCATATATCTCATCATATTTCTGCTTCAATCCAATTTGTCCAACTTAACCATCCAAGCGAATTGTAAGTGCAATCAAACTCACATAAGCCCCAAGGCTCAACGCAGATAATACAACAACTGCATTACCACTCGTCCTAAACTTCTTCCTTCCCATCCCGTCATCTCCGACTTCACTGAAAAATTGCCGATTCCCCTCGTGCCTCCGATACATACTCACCAACAATATGCCCGCTCCATATGTCGCAAACAACGCGCCGATGGAGTAGAATTCGGACGTGAAGATCTTGAGCACCACGAGCGCAAAGGAGAATTGGCCGAGCGCCGTACGGATATATGCTCCCTCGAACGTTCGTTGCGCCGCGCGTATTTCAACCAGCCTTTGAGAAGTGAGTTAGTGCCCCGATAGCGTGTAGTAGATTGAGCCTTACTCTTCAGCTGTCAAAATCACGGAACGCGCACGATGCAGACGTAGATGAAGTCGATCTTCGGGATGAGGCTGTAGGGCCTCAATTAGATCCATAACTGCTTCCTTTTCGCTTCCAGAACAATGTGTTATCTCAACTGTCTTTCCGCCGCAGGAAAAGATAATTATCGCAAAGATAGAGACCAGACGGATGGATGACGTGCTACCAGAAGAGCGAATGAAAGGAAGGTTACCTGAAACATGCCAGCCCACTTCATTTGGGGTGGTCCCTTCCTAGTGTGAGCGGTCGCTGCTTTGCCTGTGCCTGTTTGCTTCTTTCCGTTCGGGGCTAGAATCCGTGGGGTGCGCTCAAATAGTGTGGAAGTACGGCATAAGCGTCCCTGTTAGGAGACACACTGCTGGTCAGTCTTTTGGGCCGACTATTTACAAACGGGAATGTCGACAGCAAAAAGAAAGCACGTCGTTGCGAATGAGGAAGGAAGAAAGAAAGGAAGGTATAAAGAAGCTTGGGTCAACGAGAGGTCTCAGAGAAATATCACGACCTTGTTGCTTGGCTTTGTGCGGAGTTTATTGCAGGGCATCAGCTGCGAGATGATTGACACCGGGATGTCACTTCGATTTTCAGACGGATCGGCCCGGTGTCGGCTCCGAGCCAGATCTGGATCTCTGCCAAGAATAAAGGGGGGTCCCCGATGTACTCCGTATGTGAGGTTGAGCAATTCGGCAGGTGGTATTATATCTACAAACGGTAGGTAGCTAGGCAGGTAAAAACATCAAAGTCACAGAACTGGGTTTTTTCCGCATTCTCAACCCCGCCGGATGAATGTCTTGATAGCATGGCATGTTGGGCAAACAATTCGATTTTCTTTGCCAACGAGCTCTCTTACTCTGTATTATGGACATGAAATTTTCCTCCCAAAGCTACATTCCTCCATATCACGTTCTTCAATTTCCTTGCCGATAAAATCCCCTTGCCGTAACGTCGATCTCGCTTCTATGCTGCCACAAACAGGCCGATTCAGTGTCTTCGTAAAGTGCCGTGAACTTCATTGAATATATACCCAATCCGTCCAGCCTCCACAATCCATACAACTATTTTCTGGGTATAATGCTCATCTTTTGGGTATTCCTTCTTAATGGAGATCCAAGCGTCAACAAAAATGCGCCGTTCTAGAGATTTTACATGCCGTATCATCAATTCAATGCATTAGCGAAATACGTAAGTGGGGTGTCTTTCATCATGTATCCTCAAACTTCTTATCTTCCCGGGTGGCCATGATATCCAGAATGAGGTTGAGGTGGTCCTTGATAATAACCTTGGGGTTCTTGATAGTATGTAGGGGCTGATGGTGGTGCTCCCGAAGTGGAATGATGAGCGTCACCAGCATAATGAGCGGCCGGATTAGGACGAGGGAGACTTTCATGCTGAGAATATCCATAGCCTTCACTATTTGATCCAATTGGCTTCGGCTGGTACTGATGCTGCCAGGACGAAAAGTTCGCGGGAGGTAAAGAGCCTGCCGAGTGAGGGTGTGGAGATGGCTCGTTTGTCGTCGCTGAGGCCGTCGGCGCCATCATACCGCCCGTTGTTTGGGTCGAAAGCGGCGGGTACATGCCAGCGTGCTGCTGACGTGGTTTGGTGGTGTAGTGGTCAGGAATCGAGCTCGATGGTGATTGCGTATACGATGGTGTGTACTGTTGTTGCTGTTGCTGGTTGTGCAGACCTTCCAGATTGCTATAGGAAATCGACCGCTGGGGAACAGACCAAACCAGGTCATCTCTGGGACTAGGCTCCGTATGTGGAGTTGGCCAGTTTTGTGGTGGTGGAATGTGTAGATTGGGTGTAAACGGTGAGAAGGCTGGGGTAAGAGGGGAGTCCTGCGAAGTGTTTGCTCTCCAGAATGTTTGCGGAACCTCACCTTGACCTTGTTGTTTGAGCCCTGGAGACGCATCTGGGGCCATCCAGTTTGTCGGGCCATGGTTGTAGTCGAAATTACGTGAAGAAGTGACGACGGCTACTTTCTCAGGGAAACTGTTGAGACCCGGAGTGAGTGGTTTTCCACCTCTGTTTTCAGGCGAAAAGCTTTCTGTTCGCTGGCGCTTCATCTGGGGGCCTCCTAGATCCTGGATTGGCGGCATATTCAGAGGCGGATAGGGCAAATTCGAAGGAATATCTGGAAGTTGACCGGAGGAAGTCGTAGGTGAAGTCGACTCTGAGGCCCTGCCTGTGCCGCTTTGACTCTTGGAACCACTACGTCTTGGGTCTGGCTGCGGCTGCTGATCGACTGGGTAAAAATTGCATTCTTTCTTTAGTCTGATGCAATTTGAGCAGCGATTTTGCGGATCCGCAGGTGCTGGGATACAGCGAATCTTTCGCCGACGACAATGACCTGTTCGCGATCAGTTTTCACGCACGCCATCGCTTTCGCCGTTAAAAGCCGCAGTTATTATTACTTACCGCATGCGACTGAAGTCCTGTGGTAGCCAAGTTTGTTTCTTCTCTTGTCGGCTGAGAGCGCAAGTGCTGCTGCTTCGGCTGTTGCTTGTCCGCGCACATTGGGAGTAGACATCGATCTTTTGATCTTGGCTGCTTTCGGAGCAGCTCCTGGTCCAGAATTTTTACTACCAGTAGGTGTCGGCGGTCCTGGAGCAATGGCTTGCGGTTGATGGTGCTCTAAGGGAGGATGGTGGTAGCTCGGAATCAAGTTGGTCGGAGTCTCAAAATTATTTGAGGTTGGAACAGGATATTGATACGCCATAGACGTCGCTACTGCATTCGATCCCGATGATGGAAATGTATTTGATGGATCTCCCAAAGGCCACATTCCTGTCTTCGACGAGAGTGAGCTTCGCACAGATACTGCCATCAACTGCGTTCGCTCTTCATACGGCCAGATCCAATAGGGGTTCCACAGTCGGCTACGAAGTCAGAGAGCAGACGTTCTTGATGTTGCTTTACAGGTACACTCTTTGCCCTGGATTCTGGTCGACGTAGCAGGGCGTGTTTTGGTGTGGAGATTGATGTTGTTGGGAGGAAGCACTGGCGGAGTAACTACAATAATGGTGAATGTAGAATGTACCTCAAGTAATCACCTTCGAAATCCAGGAACGAGTGGAGAAAACAAGCGGCGCGAAGTCGATCAAAGCTGACAGCGGCACTATCACTGGCGTTAAATAGCGGCAGGTTAACACGCAAAAGGCTTGCCAAATATACACCCCAGTTCTGCGCCAGTGTCAGGGAGTTCGTTAATGGCGCTTTCTTTCATATCATAACGAAGGAAGACTGCAGAGACCATAGAATAGAATGTGGCTTGAGTAGCAGTTAGGAGAACTTTTTGCTAATTTGCAAGGTGGCAGGTCAGTCGAAGGCTTCGAAGCTTGCTTTGGCGGGATAGGGACTCTCCGTGGGGAGCTCGAATACAGGAAGAGCGAATGAGAGAGTATGGCTCAGCGCCACTACGTGCACCAGTGCTCTGCAACAGTCCTGATGGCAGATTATTTCCGAAGCAGAGGAGACGTTGGATTTTGGTGACAGACTAAGACATATAATGGTCGACGAATAGCCGTATAAAGTCGAGGCAGAGCCACACCCTAACCCCCAAGTGAGACGTTGTGGCAGGATAATGTGGTGGCAGAGGGAATGGTGATGGGTTACAATGATAGCGGCAGTGAAGTCAGTGGAGTCAATGGTGGCGGCGAAGGATTTCGACGAAGGTTGTGAGAAGTCAAGAGTATCATGAGAGTCCAAGAAAGAGATCTTCGAGATTTATTGATCTAAAGCACCAACAACATTTGCAGTTACGCCACGGAATTGGGTCACCCTTGACCACTACGAAAGCGGATCAGTTGAGGCCAGCTCCAGCCCTGGTACACCTTATAATTTACATGGCATCCTAGGTCCTCCTTGGCGGTCTTTTTTTTTCNGATTCGGTTTGGTAACTCGTATTCTACGCTGCTGCTTTTACCTGGCTTCTATTACCTCTTCCTGGACATGCTGGCCCAGTGGCCTTGATGGTGTATAACTGTCGCGACATGCTGCGAATCTTACCAGCAAAGCACATTTTGCTCTTCAGTTGCTTTGCTGATCAGGAGCATACTCCTCTACATTTGCTGACATCTTAGTCAGGGGCCAAGTTTGTGAAAAGGACCGGTTTTCCAGTTCGGAACCATGGGTTGGAGTTTGGGAGAATGAATAGCCGTTTTTGGTATGGCTTCACAAGTCGCCGCACAGAAAATCGCCGGAAAATTTACAAGAGCTCAACAGTTGCTGAAGAAGTCGCCTCTGGATCGACGAACAGGATATCCTTTGTGTCAAAGGGTCCAACAGAGGCGGCTTTGGTGGGCGATCCGCCAACACCAAACCGTCATGATCTGACAGGTCCTAGGTTTGCTCTGGAAGGCCCACTCCTGCCCACGAAAGGCTTCTCAATAATCTGTGCTGGTCGTCAGCACCACTCGCCGCTCTGTTAACCAGAGCAAGAATTTTGTTGGCGTCCAACTTATTCAATAGTGAGATTAGCGTCGGATGTCTGGGGGCAAACTGAATAACGAGGGGGCAATTTGGAGTGTATCAGGTAATTAGCGAGACCGCCTCCTGATCCACATTCAAATTGAACACTCACGGACCTTTTATCCCCAGCAGCGCTCCCCCACTAAATAATGCTCCAAGCTGTCTTCTTACGACCATGGTCGTGATAAACAAGAAAAGCTGTTTTCATTGTCGTCGCAATTGCCCTCGTTCACAACTCCTAGACAACTCCCCTATGCACCAAGATTCCTGGGTCAATACATACGGAGTAGTTCTATTTGGACCCACGAGCACATCAAATAAACTTCTCCAGGTGACCTTCTCAGCCTGGAAACCAGAGTGGGCATCAAACCGAATGATCATCAAGCAGAAGTAGTGACAGACCTTGCAGGCTATTCAGCCCAATGCGAGAAGAACGTCGCAAATGGTGCTGCAGCCCGAAAAGAGTTGTGACTGAGTCTCTGATCCCCTACTCATACAGCTATGCCTACGGATGCAATTATCAAGAAGTAGCCCTTCTTGGCTGCCCGCTCAAGCTGCCAAGTTGGTAACACCACGTTATCATCAGCTCGCTACTCGGACTTTTGAGACTCCAAAAGTCTAGGTAGTCAGTCGTGACTCTCGAAGTCGTGGATGAACTTGCTTCTTTGTCTAATTTGCACCAAGCTAGGCTGGGCAGTTGTTCATGCGCTACAGGGAGTCTCGCGTGGGCGCCTTATCCGTTATTTTTATTACGGATTCTGTCACGTCAAGGTCCGCTAGAGTACCAGCTCTCTAATTCTTATTGGTGAACCTTTTCTAAAAACGCCGCTGAGTCATTAGGAGGGGAATTAAGGGACGCAACGCGGAGCTCAATAATAAATCCTTCATCGATACTTCCACCACAGCGTTGTTATGACTATGGAGAATGATATACTTCCCCACGCTTTGAGCCCTGATCGATGCTTAAGTGTCGATCATTCAAGATAACTCTGGCCTCACCACCGGGGACGTGGAACAGACTGAAGAAAGGGGAGCTAGTCACTCCCCGCCGCCAGAAGACATGGCTGACCCTAGGGACGAACCGGATATTCAGGGGGTTTCGCTCATCACTCACGTGCTGTCATGCGTGAATGGTACGCTATACTGTCACTGATTGAAAAAGCATGGCAATGATAAAGAAGGTTTGGCGCTTGACATCTTGGAAGTGTGCGCTAAAACGATTACTACCTTTCGTTCTTGTTTAGGACATTAGAAGCGAACTCTGGCACACTGACATATTGGAGTCGAGTACGCGCGACACAGCGCTTCCCCAATAATCCCAACGGTATGGATGTTGGGTTCATCCTGTGACCAAATCTGGGCTTTGCGTAAATAAGTGAGCGCCCGAGATTCCATAGACCGTCGTCAACTGTACTCGTAGACAGTTGGTAGAGACTGACTCCTGACGGTGAGAATCGGTATCAGCTTCATCAAAAGCTCGAACCACGATTGCCCAATGAGGAAATAAGTCTACCATTTACGTGCGTAGCAAGAGCGAAGAGGGAAGAGGAAGTCCTGGGGAAGATCGATATTGAAAGGCAGGGATATCGCTAAATATAGACGTGATCTGATGCACATGCTGCACTGTTGCAAGCATACTTGGCCGCATCGCGTGCTCCCTGGAGAGCAGTGAGTGCTCTTTGAGAAGCGAATGTTTGTTTGGTTGAGAATGTCTGATACTAATCATGTTTTTATTGCACCAGTATTGCCAGGAAAACGTCCTTCGTATGGGCAAAGAGTCAAATCAAGAAGGTCTTGCAAATTTTCCGGTTATTCGGATCGACGGAAGGCTAACCCCCGTGGGTCCAGCTCGCATTTGAAGTGAGGAGCTCTATTGGAGGAGGTCAGTCACATGATCTTTCGGACTCATATCCCCTTCCGAGACTGGCGAGCTCGAGCTCACGCTTCCGACAAGACGGTCAAATAATACAAAGCAGAAGGTCGAAGTGAGTGATACGATCGGAGTGCTCCACTGAAAAAGATCCATCTCATCCATCTTTTGGTCCAGGTTGCCACAAGCATTTCTTCCGTATCGGCTTCTCAACGTTCCAATACCTACCTACAGTAGGTATGTGCCAGTTTCTATTCCACGGGATCGCGATGCAGAGCTCCTCGAATGGCTGGAACACAGAGCCTGGGAGAAATTCTCCGGTGAGCCTCTCTTTTATTCCGAAGTCACAACAGCCGTGCTACTTTGTACATGGCAGGAAACTGTCCGACATGAATTGACAGTTCCCGGGGTCATGCAAAGCGGTGTTGACTTATTGTGTGGACAGCAGTCAATATCGTCGTGATTGGGCAATCGAGGAGGGTGGCCCATCCTGGCAGTAGGCGATTCTGCAATATCATGGTATATCCCGGGTTGCCACGAGCGAAAAAGAAGCTTTGGGTTTTTGCCTAAAAGCTGCTGTGAGCACGACCGCAAGGATGGAAATCAGGCCGTCTCGTAACTTCCTTCTTTCACCTCTTTGGCGAGAGTTACGAATGGCAACGAGCACCAACTGGCGGCCAACGTCCAACACATTCAGGGATGAGTTGCCGAATAGCGCAGCTTTCCATCACGGTACCGCCACGTTTCTGCGAATCGGAGTTTCCATTCCGTACATCAGAAACAGCCACTGACTTTCCTTTTGTAAGTTCTCGCAAACGCTGCCAGGAACACTCTTTTTTCGTTGTTATTGGCAGATTATTAACGTCTCGTTCAACTTGCCTCGGCGAGTTTGTCGATTCTAACTGCTTCAGGAATTGAATCCGTGCTTGAAGTCGAAATTGGGATTTCACCGAATACGGATGTACATCATCTCATCGCCCGATAGCCTGCAGCTGAGGTCTGAGACCTCAACGTTGCACAAGCCTCTGGCCCCGAACTGAGATAGACCTAGGTAGTAAAGACGATATTTTAGTAATCATTATTGGCAGAAGGACTTTATCTCTCACACCGACACATTAATCTACATGGACAAGTAGCCAGAAGGCGCCACATGCAGGAAGCAGCTTCAAGATCGCATCTCCTCATCATTGTTGAGAGCAAGAGCGGCACTCCTACTATCCACTTGTCGTTCAACGTCGCCGAGTATGTTTGGTGAGCGAGTGCTACATTGGTGCTGCTTTCCACATGGTAAAGCACGGTGTGTGTGCTATATTGAGTTGTGCCTGTGGTTAATAACAAGCACTTGCTGCAGAAATGCATTTTCAGGTTCTAATTATAACTCATGCAGAGTTATTGATTCCTGAGCTTGGACTTCGTGGTCTCAGCTTCGTCTCCTTTGCTTTCTTATACTTGGCCCTGGGCCTCATTTCAGGCTATTATCTTTGAGGCAGCCTCATTTTATTTCCATATTAATATCGTCATGTTGCATTCTGTCAGTGGCTCTTTTTCCACGAGAACTCTTGTATTCCACGCAATACCCACGTTGTCTGCTGCAGCTTTCAGACGAGAATGCATAGCTTTACTTCACCTGGGATTACGGCCAGCACAGAAGGATGGAGGTGCATTACCCGAAAATCCCTGTGCGAATCTCTTGACATGATACTCGTCAATCTCGATTTCCATATCAATTCACTCTGCTTGTGGTTTCTGCTTTCATGCTAAGAATTGGGGATGTCGTTGACTAGAAGCCCATTACCCACGCCATCGATCACTTGTTGTGCCTGTCATATCGCAGATTTAGCCCAAATTTATTACCAGGCTCAACTTGACATGCGAATGTCTAGTTGAACATATGGTTGGCATGGCACTAAGAAATCCTTACGGTGGCATTCAAGTCAGCTCAACCCCACAGTCCCAAGTGGTGACATTCTGCACTCGCGCCGCAATCCAACCCACGAGACTGTTCCCTTGAAGCCTCACGTAATCCACGTGGTCATGTATGCATCTCCTCGCATCGTTCCTTCGTGTGGCCAGAGAGTGCTGCTCGTTGAAGAATATCCCTCGACAATCTACTATATGACAATCAACAACGAAACGAGATCGGGGCTGAAGTGCAGACCGAGCGTTAGTAATAAGTATGATGTGCGAAGGAAGCACATGAGCTGACGATTATTTCAGACTAAGTTGTTTGTCAGCGTGCTCCAGTCGTAGTCGGTGTGAACCAACATGAAGCTGTTTCAAGAGCTACATTGTGCAATGATCCTATATGCAAGTGCCCACGGGATGACCCGTCCTCGTGGTGGTCAATATAACTGGCAGTTACCTGTGGACCTACGAAGTACCAACAACCATTTCGACCTGTACTTTTTAATTTTCAACAGAGTCTGAATCGTCCTGTTTTCGGGGAGTCATACAAAAATCCTCGATTCTGTTTACTTAATTGGCCCAATATACACTATACCGTCAACTTGATCTTTCAATTATTAGAGTTTTGTCTGCCACTTATATTATCCACCGCGAGCCGCCATACATAAACGTTCAATACAAACTTCGCTTAATGTGCGATGCGGTAAGTATTGGTGTGGAATCACCGAATGAAAGCGAAATGGATGACAAGATCGCCTGATGAGAACATCAACAATCCAAAGGGTTGGCCGCGATTATCTGTCGAGCCCTCGATAAAATCCTGAGATATAAATTACAGAAGGGAGTGACTTTATTCCACATCTTTTGACCTGCATTGAAAGTGATTAATTTGTTTGCGCGATATGCGTCAGCGGCCGACTGGTCAGAACCATCCTTCTCTACCTATTGACTCAGGTATTACAAGAGTCTGCAGCATTCCGAGACCCCTGATAATGGTTTCCGCTTGCGTCGCTGATCCTGCAAGTTCTTGGCCAGAAGGATGGTTTAAACCAGTTCTTTAGCACAGCTTGATTCGCTAACCTTTTATCCAAGGGAAGAGCTGATAATATCGTTTGAGCCAGAGAGTTCAGCTATAGAACTAATCTAGTAGATTGTCAATCCTCTTTTGAAGATGCACAACTTCCATCATTCCAGGTTGGTATACCAGTTACTTTTGTTATTTCTCATTGTTGCATGTCAGCGATCTACAGATTTAACTGGCAATAGGCCAATCCCTGAAATCGGAATGGAGAATTGTGTGTCTCCGAACCTTCTTAATTGGCAACCTGTTTATGCTGTCTCCCATTATCCCAATTAAATTAGATGATATTCGGTGTTTCTCTTTCATATAATGTGCTATCTCGCTAATGACTGAATCAATCTTGCCCTCGTATGTCTGCTTGAAACAGTTCTCACATTGAACCATGCTCATTCAAAGAATACTGTGGTTGGATTTTCAATCCTTCAGATCTCCGTTAGAACGGTGGTTCTGTAGGTCAATAATTATATCCAATAAGCTTTGAAATGTGGGAAAGACTGACGAGGAACTGCCCAGGTGCATATTTCGGTCACAGCGTGCATCAGGACTTTCATGGAGTGAGTCGGGCAAACTCATATCAATGGGTTGGTCTAAGGGTTTCAAATTGAAATGAAGGATGGAGCTGTCACCTGTCCTCAACTCATCACGATTGATACTACTTAGTCTTGTTTCGAAACTGCTGAAAGATGAGCGGTCTCCAAGCAACAATATGAGCATAGATTATTGACTGATGGACATCGGGTAAATACCTAAGTGACGCAGCTCATCTTCAACGCACAGCTGTGATAGGAATTCCTGTCAAAATTGGTTCCAGAAAATCTAACAGCAGTTGTTTGCTGTTTAGACAGCTTCTCCCAGTTGCATCCATCAGACGCATAGGCGTGAGCATGAATAATCTTTGGCAGAGTCTGAAAGGTCTATTTAATGAAAACAATGACAGAAATACATAATAGCTTGTTAACTTCATCAAAGAAATATCGTGTTTGAACTTCAACTTATTTTGTCCAAGTGAGATCATTTATATCTGAGGTAGCTTGCGAGCATTGTTTGAGACAAACAGCCTACAGAGGGACACCTAGACACCAGATAAAGACTTGTAAATGTCTATTCTGGTAAGCTGCTAACATCATTAGCTTGAAAATACTTTTATACCAAAACAAAATCGCACCAGCTGTTGTTATCTCGAGTTTAAATAGGAGGTTGCAAATATTTGGAGAATACCTTTGAGAGTGATGGTAATCAAGTTGTAAGCAGACGTATGTTATTTCCAATAAGGCTTTGCACATGGCTCAGCAATTCGCAGAAAGAGGCATCTGGTTACAGAATCACCCCTAACACAAACAGACATTTTTGAAATGATTTAAAGTACAGCCACCATGGAAGCTGTCGAATGCTTTTAGCTCAAGAGAAGCATTAAAAATATAAGCATCTACCTAGGTAGATACAAGCTCAAGGTAGGTACCTATAACCTACCCATATATGTGGCAGTCACAACCAAAATATATTCGTTCTAATAGAAACAATATAGTATATTGCTTTTATCAAGTTGACAATAGAACACGAAATCTTGCTTCGTCTACGACTCTCACTAGATGAGCCATTCCTAAACTCTACTGAATTCCTAGCTACTTAAGTACTTAACTACGCTTAGTCTCAAGTTGATAACATCTACCGAAAGTCCATAAGTTCTCTTATTGCCAACAGTGTTGACCGTCGCAAAACACTTTAATTAAGGAGACATTTATAGTAATGTGGTCAAAACGACGTGACCTGTCAAAACGAGTTTCGACCAAGTAGAGGTCCCTTGACGTTTGCGTTCCTTGACTGTTTACACCCCTGTTCTTGAGAAAGAGGTTGTGTCAATGGGCCTCAACTGCCCATGTGTGCATCTTGAGTGGGCAACACTTAACGGGACCTCTACAAGTTCGGTCATGACACAACGAATGTAGAAGGAACGAAATAGCAAAGTGGGTCAACGAGACTACTTGCGAGTATAAACCCCCCCCTCGCCAGCTCACATCCGAGATTCTCTTCAACTGTTTCATGACTCGCAAAGTGAGGTGTTGACGTAAACGGAACGCCCATGGCATATAAACTGCTAAAAAGAAGAGGCAAACATCTAAAATAAGGTTCATGCAGTAGCACTGGCAAAAAGTCAATTTTCGTCCCGATCCGTTGTTGTGGTGCACGTTCCTAAAGTAATGCACGCGAATGAATGGACTGAGAACATGGATATAGCTTCATGTGAAGTTGAGCCAATTCATCATGTGAGCTTGGATTTAGACCAGTACCTAGGTACCTAGGTAGGTATTATCAGAGTTTGATTCCAGGTTGTTCGTTTGGGTTTGGGACCATGGGCCTTACCTCAAAGGACTTCTGGAGATGGATCTGAGCCTTAGCAATGGACATACACTTCGAAAAGAGGGACATCGGACTATGAAGTCTAATCTACCTACCTAGGTACTTAGGGACTTATGATTCTCAGTGATCGTCGTCTTGATACCTACGTACCTAGGTAGGTACCAAACCCTCAAGGGGGTTTTATCTATCGCCTCCCATGCTCTGTTGACGTGCCTGAACTTGGGCATCTCGGATCGATCTTCCAGAAACCAAGCAGAGTCAAAGCCGACTTGTAATATTGCACCCAGGTCTGTTAATGATCTAATATATTATATTCAAATTTCGCTAAATCAGTCATATAAAGGCATCCATCGAACAAACATTCCCAGAAGGCGGCCCATTCTCGCTCCGGGTTATTTCCAAGCTCGACCCATCTCTCATACCGACAAACTCACTTCTCGCAGTCGCCGACCTGGGAATACTGACATCACTCTTTGCGGTTCCAGGCCGCACAACGTCCCATTCAGCTCTCATCCCCGGCCTGGATATCATTCCATCCTCACGTATAATAGTCATCGAGTCCTGCCTTCCTATTCTATGCAACGACGGAGCTCTACCGTCTTTAATGCTCGATCGCGATGAAACCGAACCCATTCCGATACTCCCAATTTCGCTTCGCAAGAAACCCTCTGGCGTCTCGTCGTGAAGGTCTTCATGTATCTCGACGGTGCGCTGGACCGTAATCCCATCCATACGTGGGACTTGAAGTGATGTAGGAACCCATACTCTACTCCCTCGATCTGCGACTTCGTACTGTATTTGTGGACTGGGAAAGCGAAAGGTTGGGCTCGTAGGTGTCCGCAATTCATTTCTGTCTGAAAAGGGGCTGCTTTGCGTGCTCGTCATCGTGCGCGTCTTGTCCTCAAATGCGAAATCGAAGTTTGCCGATACTGGGCTTCGTGCGATCTTGTCGTCATTCTGTGGCGTCGGTGTGGGTGTTGCGGATGACCTTTCCTGAACTGCATTGTATGGAAATGTAACAGAGAGGCCGGCAGCAGTTGACGGCCGTTTGCAAGACATCGGACTACCTCGCCACTGATCAAGTTGTGTGCCGTTGTGGGTATGATATGTTGTCATCCCCGTTTGAGTACCACTACGTGTAGAGAAGAAAGAGCGGAAAAGGGGCCGAAACGTTGCGCCGGCTATAGCCATTATACCTAAGCCAGGCTCGACCGTAGACCAGATTGCTGATATTTTGTTAGCATTTTCTCGTTAGAAGATGATGGATACGACCAGACATACCGACATTACTGTATTATTGTTAGCCAAGTTCGTACTGTGGTCCATGTAGAATATCTACTTACACAGTCTTGTAGAGCCAATCATCTGTTATAGCTAGAGCATGTATCTGGGGAATCCGAATCAACGTAGCAATACCAGCACTGTCTTATATTAGCACGTTGTATCGGCGGAGATAGAAACACTTACAGCAATCCCATTGAGAGAAGCAATCCCACAGAGACTTTGGTACGCGTTCTCATCTCAAGGTCGTAGAGGATGGCAAATGGAAGAAACCCCAGCACCCAGTCTACACAAAAGGATACTACAGAGTGCGCTATACTAGCACTTGGAATCACATCCGGTCCAAAACAACTACCCTTCGTTCCCGTATACTGTTTCCAAAAGTATCCCACGGGACGACACTGAAAGACTGCCATGAAGAAGAATACCAAAGACAGAACAATATTAACTCCAATTGCGACATAGATGACCAGCTTGTGCATTGGCTTCGTTGCAAGACGGAAAAGGAAAACTGCAATGGATAGTCGGACAAAGCAGGTTGTGAGTGTATACCACAGCTCCCCTAGATACCATAACTTCAATGCTGTCGGTACATTTTGAATTTCGATGTCGACAAGGCGCTGTCCTGTCCCATAGGAAACTCCTACTATAGAGCCCACACAGAACAGTATGAAGAAAATCTATTCATCAATCAGCACATACTGGAACACAAGATAATAATCCTGAAAAAAACCGCTTCTTACCAGAGAGATGAGAAGAAGTGCATCGTCTGCCGCCCAACTCTTGGTTAAAAAACACTTGACATAGAACCTAAGCGATGTGAATAGCACTGCAAGTCCCAGAAGAACCGAAGTCACAGCGGCTGTTACAAATTAGATGTGCTTAGACAATTTAGAGGACTCTAATAAGAATACAAACGCACCTAATAATGGCCCCCTATTATCATCACCCATTGTGAACAATTGGTTATTGAGGCTTGTAAAAGTGAAACATGAATGCAGTCGATTTCCAGTCTCTCGCAGAAGAACATGCAAGAGAGAAAGCCAACTCGCATCGAATCTGGGGTAAGTTATGGTTGGGAAAGATAAAAGAGGAGGTTGGGATGTAGTTGGATTTGTGTTTCCCCAATTTTCTAATACTAGCTGCTCCTCTTGCAGTTGCTGATCGTAGAATTATGCCGTAGGGGCTTGATGAGGCGTTCCTCTACCTTAGTTGTTGATGATCTTCCTGCTAAGGTGTTGCGCAGCGTAGGTTTTAGCCTTCATACGTCAGATAGATTCCTAGCTCCAGTATCCAAGGTGCATCTCAATGCACGGTTCAACTTCCCCGAGAACTACTGCATCAAAAAGTATTGAAACTAGAGGAACAGTGTTTTCTTATTCTACATATTTAGCAGCATGGTGACTTCCGTTCAGGTAGCTTCAACCCAGCCTCGGCAGGGGTGAGGTGCTCAAGAGCAGTGATACAATGCGAACGTGAAAGCTTCGTTGCAAGAGACTGTTAGATCAAAGATTCATATCCACGTTATCACAACAACCAAGGCATGAGCCCCGCGACAATGGAGAGCTCTGATATCAGCCACAACAATCCGGACATGGCTGGAAACAATGTTGTACTCGGAAGATTGGAGTCGCGTGGCTGAAAAACGGCCAAATCGAAAGAGGGGAAACAGAAGAGGCGAATTTTGTGGATTTTGCGACCAAGAGGAACTTATCTTGACCGCCATATTGATGGTACCTCGACGGCTTAGAGCTAGTAGAACCTTGAAGCCGTTCAAGAGCGCGACGACCCGGCCTTAGACCAAGACCGGAAAGACTAGGAACATTAACCCGGCTCTACTTGACGCAAAGTAGATCTTTACTTGAAATACTGATTGCAAACCGGAAAAACTCCAATTGGGTTGAAAGATAGGCGGCTGGATAGTCAAAATAAGGTTTAGACCAGGAAGTGATGCACCGAATACGCGTGTACTACTTCGTACATGACTGAAATAACCAGCTTTCGCCGCCGCCACCCTATACAGCATCTTTACCAAATAAGATAAAGTCTCATTCAATCTTAGACAATGATTCGCTGGATATCTCTAGTTTTACACTATTTTAGCGGAGTGCACAGATGTGGAGGGCTGGTTATTTCAGTCATGTACGAAGTAAGTGCTCCATGCAGACCTCGGGATAAAATAGCCTGGATTTCGTAGGAATTCTAAGCGAATGTGGAATTCTTAAGTACTGTTAAAGCACGGAACATACCTCTTTCTCTTGCAGTTCCAAAGTGGTGGCAAATGATTTTGAATGGATGCCTTCCACATTTCCACTGGGGACCAAAAGACCAAAATATTAATTGACCGATAATCCCCAATTTCCAGCGCAAACACTCAAAAGCCTGAACAACTCAATGAAAGCAATATCGTGCACGCTAATCCTAACGTTGCCGAGTGTCATATGCTGTCGCTCGATCTCGAAGGGTTCATCAGTAGAGGAGAGGTTACTCCGCAACACTTTACGCCTCTTCATCGTTGGCCGCTATTATTGCTGGATAGTAAACGTCGATGATCTCGCTGGTAGGTTTCTCTAATCCATCAGAGGTAAAGAGATGTCGTTGAACATTTCTCGTTTGACGAAATGTCTTCCGTCCCAGGTTCAGGGTTAAAAAAGAAGCGAAAGTAGAAATCCGATCAGCACAAGGTTGCGAAGGTAAGGTTAATTCTCCGTACGTACAAGGGAGATGTACGACGACATGTTGCTGGCAGATTTTACCTATTTTTGATGGTTTGGAATGTTTGGGTAAGATCAAATAGCGAATTTGGTGGACTCACCGTGGGAGGGGTTTCTTAGACGGCGGGACACCATTGTCTTGCAAGTCTCACGAAATACCCCCTTATAAGAAAATATAAATTCTGCTTTAAATGCTGTATTCATACAATTTGATTGAGCACACATAGTGTGTTCCTCCTTAAAAAAGTTGTAAATATGTCTGTTGAGAAAGGAGTGTTAGAAAGACGTTTTGCAGCTTCTGTGAAGTGATTGTAATTTTACTCAAGAGAGAGTCCCATCAGGCTTACAACACACTGGTAATCTGTAGTAATAGGCTCTTGTTTTCCATGCAGTGTTTAATATGTCTCTCTTGATCGTGATAAATTACAACTCATATCCGTCAAAGATCATTTACCTCGGCTCAAACACCAAACCCTACACTCTCCCATCAATCCATCTATCCATCAGACCCGAACATCCGTACCCATCCAATCCCGACATCCGAAAACGCTGCCCTTCGAAACATTCCACGCCAAGCGCACAGTTCACGATTTCGCATCTCTGAAACAATCACACAAACATCCAAACCCAGCAACGACTCATCCGTCGCACAGATCACCCAGTCCTGTCAGAAGTCTTGGCATGGTGAAACCAACGAAGCTTATTCCGTTCGTATCGCTATGACCGTGGGGTGCGGTGCGGTGCACGGATTGTATGCAGGTACCAGAGTTGTGATGCTCGGTAGGGGTTTGTACGGATTGGGTAGCGGCGGAGTGAGATTGGGGGTGGTGGGCTGTGGAGGATGTGAGGGGAGGTTGTAGGGGGAGTCAGTGGTGGAAATTGGGTGAGTCGGGATGTGAATGAGAGACGGGTTGTGTAGATGGATGGGAATTAAGGTAAAATGTGAATGAGAGAATAGGAAGAAGTCATGATTTAGAAAGGGTTGAGTCCGATGTAAGGTCTCTTTTGACTCCGCACATTCGAACAACATATCATAATGGAATGACACAAGAATTCTTAGATTACGAGCTTCTGATTTCTGTCTTCTGCAAACACATATGAATCATCTAATTACAGGTGATGAGCAACACCCAATTCTCCTCCGATTAATCATTTTCCTTTCCCCGTCCAAGTCTCATAATGCATTTATCCCAAAACTCCAATGAACTGGTTTTCATCAAAGTCCTTCATCTCATTATAATTACCAACATTGAAAGCCTCGCGACAGGAATTTGCACCGATATATTATAGTAACAGAGCAAGAGCAGCTGCGCCTAATGCCATGCCCGCACTAGCCATGTTCCTAGCTCCTAAGCCAGCGAAGACAACTGTAGGTGTAGCAGTCGCCGAGGTGTTGCTTCCAGTGCTTGGGGGGATGGTAGCGCTGCCAAGCAATGTGAAGTTCGCGCATGTGATACGGGTCTTATTTGCGAAATGGAACGTGATTGATCGATTGCCAAAGAAGGAACCAAGCCCTGGACGGGTGGAGGAGAAAAGGTCGGTGTATGTCTGCACGAGAGAACCATTCGTAACTTTTCCATACTTTCCGGATAGATCACCGACTTGACAAGTTTGTGGGAGTTTAGGATCGCATGCAACAACCTGATGTATTGTTAGCTTACAATTCTGAGTTGTGGAGGAGTTATGTACTTCGCCACGGATGAACGGATCTAAGTGCGCAAGGGTTTTCGTACAATTTCCGTCCGCAGGAACTGGGTCAACGTGAAGATGGTATGCTACAGAAACGGTCAGAAAAGTAACAACACAATTGAGTTGCACGGGAAAACTTACTGAATGGTCCTCCAGAGGTAGGGAAGTTGGAAAGCGAGACAGAGTAGACAACTCCGATTCCGTCAGGGCTTGCAGTTGCAGATACCGAACCTTTAACATTTCCTCGAGGGTCACTCGGGTTGAAGAACTGTTTTTCAGGAAGAACCGCAAGATATGTGGCTCCGGGTGGATTGTTATCGACAACAGTAGCATTGCCCAACTCGCCGGTGGTGATGTTTTGAGCGCGCACACTGGCGAGAAGTGTGGTCAATACGACCGAAACGATAGTAGTTGCGTGCATATTGAAATGCCGAGAAGATTTCCTGTAAATCGGAAAGAAAAAAGAACAAGTTCTAAGATGTGTGAGTTTTTAAGTATTGTGTGGGGCGCGGTTGCGCAGATGAATGTACTTACTGGTAGCAGCAGTGAATAGCTGTTGATTATGATTAATCAATTAAGGTTAAAGTAAGAGACCTCCACGAGAGTAATGTCTTTGACAGGTGAGCAAAAACGAGTGTTAACAGAAGCGAGGGGTCGGCTACTGTTTATCAGGAGGAGGAGGTTGGGGAAACGAGATTGGGGGTTTATGGATAATATAAAGTCCAAGATGGGCTTGGCAATCGCCATTTATATTTCATCTCAAAGGAAGTGACTCTGACCTAACAAGATGCAAGGTACCCTGTCACACAGCTGCGCCTCAATAGCAGAACAAACCATTTCCCAGTCATGTTGAGCTTTCTGGCAGAATGGATATCCCGTGGTCGGTTAGAGGATTTGTTTTGCTAGCACGAGTCGCCAAATGCGGTGTCAAATCCTGTCATCCACGAGCTTACAGACCCGAGCAGGGGAGCTCTACCCAGTCATTCTGTTTCGGTGCATGCAAAGCACTGTTGCCCTACCAGAAAGGCGTATCGACGGCCATACCCAACGTGTCGTTTCATCTCCCGCAACGGCTGGCAACTCATCGTATAAGTTTCTGTGGTCCGGTACGGGTACAGATACATCCAGCAGCGGATTCTGGAGATAGCTGATACTCGCGCCTTTGCTTGAAGAGGCATTGAGCTTGACGGCATTTGGTGGCACGGACGGTCCAATACCGAAGGACATTTTACCAAATTGCGCCTTTAGCAGCGCAAATTGGATTCGACTTACGGGATCACAGATATTGATATTTGCCAGTGATGAAGTAGCGATCATCACTGTGATCCATCGTGCCTTGTGTGCTTGGCATTCTACCGATGGCCAAGCTTTCTGCCAGCGGGCTCAGGGGTCGCAGACCCTGAACCGACTCAACCGAGCGCGCTTCGGATCAATCATTTGGGAGATCCAGTGGAGATGCTGGATGCAGATTGGCTCTGTGCCACCACCAATTCGTTGGGTGTTGTTCTGTCACCGTCTGTGCTGACTGCGAGCAGCAAACTTCGCGCCACGGTTGCCAATGAGCGTTGTCGATTCTAGTGATTGTTTCAAACATCTTTTCGAGGACCACTGGACTGGCTTCCGGCAAGTGCTTTGAAGTGTGCTGTCCATTGCCAATCCATTGCCAACCTCTGTCTTGGTGAGACTTTCCAAGCCCTAATTTTGGATATGGAATAGCACCTGAAAGGACCTGGGTTTTTACGAATATGCATCATCCCACGCCCTTTTCGATTGATGTCAAACTCTTCCACATCCCCAAGAAACATCTCGATGAATGTGACGACTTAAAACCCCAGCGATTGCGGCAAGACAATTCCCGAAGAGGATATTGTTCGCCCTAAGGAAAGGCCCTCCCACAGCACTTGTGATGTTTCAAGGTCGTCCCCGAGCAGCAAAAGTCAGTGACTTTTTGGAAGAGGTTTGGTAAAGGTCCGAGTGTTGCGCAACCTTTCGAATCAAAGCTGGTCAGTCGTGCCTGTCATGAGCATGAGAAGCTCTTGTGGGCAAGAATGGGCCTGGTACTATAGGGCTCTTGGAGCAAGGCTCAAAATATGGTCGCGCTTGGCCTTTGAATGGTCTACACAGCCGTTGAACCCATTTCATGAGTCTTCATCCGATTTACCCAACAGTCAGTCCTGACAACAGAGATCGTGCCAAGGTACCCTGAGATAGGGTATTCCCTCCAGTACAATAATACCTTTAGGTGTGATAGAGCGGTATTCTGATACGCACTTTGGAAGCGTTGTTGAAAAGGCTCCCTACTGGGGTCTTCTTAATAGCTGAAAGTCTCAACATATGTGACGCTCACCAACAAGGGAACTCGTCACACTCTCATAGAGCCGGATTCATGATAGGCAATTCCTCCGGCCTATGAGGAATCATATTGTAATGCAGGCCTTTTGTGAAAACTCTACCTCGTACGTAGGAATTACGATGAGGGTCAAATGACGTCTGTGCCGCGACCTCTAATCCAACGATTCCTAGAAACCAGCAAAATTACCGATAAGGATTGCAGAAATAGAAGCTAAGCTTTCTCATATGACTGTTGATAGTGGATAGAAGAAGAATTAACTATGACGAGTGACCAGAACAAAGCGCTTAGCAGAAGGAGTTGAACAAGGTATATAGCGTCCAACTCTTCGAGATTGACAAGATGGACATGAACATTGAGATAGGGTGATACCTTTATTGACAGCAGTCCAAATCTTGAGAACCTAGTACGCAGTCGATATCAATTGTGGTGAGAAGTTAGACCTGTGTTGATATTCGCTTCCTTGAAAAGCTAGAAGCGTGAAGAACTGGTAACGGAGAACAGCATTTTTCATTCCTCATCAATAGACCTGACTGGAAATCGATCGAGTACCTGACGAGGGCACGCGAAATTTGATTGCTCCAAACGATAGATGTACTGCAATTGGACGAAGACCTCGAGATGCGTCCAGAGAAATATTGCTGACTGCCACAGAGCAAGACATCTCAAGTGGCATGTAGGAGTTTTCCTGAGAGTACAAACAATACGTGGTGGGCGTGATTCAAAAGAGATGTACTGGCGTAGAATCCGAATTTTGTATTATAATGACCTCAATGGCAGTTGCGTGTCAAACAACTTGCGCAAGTCGCCGGCGGAGGTGTTTACGCTGTAATATTTGGATGTGCTGGAGCTGAAGTGTAACCTCTGAGGTTAACCAGATAAGTACTCAGAGCGATAGATAATCGCGAATAGTGAGTATCTTCGCCTTGTCAAATTGCGAGAATGACATTCGTTGAAATTATATGATGATTGTTTTTGGTGAGCGAGCAACCAGAGTGATGAAGACTTTCGCCAAGAGACACATCGCGCTAGAGCCAATGCGGCGTAGCGCTTAAGCTATCGTGACGACGCCATGATACGCAGAGCTTCCCAAGAAGAGCCTCACAACTATAACGACAACACCTACCTGTCTTACCGTCGGCGTCGCACGTTCATCCGAATACCTTAAAGCTTCTCCCAGCTCTACTCAACGATACCGCAATTATGAAGCCAGTCGTAGGGGTTATGCAGGCGTGGTCATGGTAAGATTTGCTTGCGTTCAACGTCAAGCGATGAACTCGAATTCCGAAGCTAATAAAGTCTTGAAATAGCATCGTTATCTCCTGTTTCGCGATTGTAATTCTATCAGTCATCGGTGCCCTCTTCAGTGCGAATCACCATTCTATGATGGGCTCAACGGAGGATCCGGAGGATGGCAAAGCGGTTGCTGGAACGGTATTCTCGGCGGTAGTTGTCTATGCGGTACGTACAACCTGATAAAGATGCGTATGGCATTTTATGATGTCTTTCACAAATGGGATATTGGTACTGTCTTGGAATCGTCGAGTTCTAATTCGATGTTTTAGATCTTCCTTGTCGGCTGCAGTTTCCAAGCCTACCTTCATCTCAGAGAAAACCGAAGAGGTGCGATAACATTATCGTAGTCAACAAATTAGGCTAAACGGAAACTCGATTTGAAAACAAACGTTTGACGATGTGGAGTGTGGAAGAAGTTCAAGGGCAGTGAGCGGCAGGTGGGACTTGGGTGTATACAAGTGGCGATTAGAATGGCAGAATGGTCTGGCATGGCGTACGGTGTAACATTCAACGAATGGATTGTATCTGGGTCTTTGGAGCATGAGATGTGCATATATACTGTATACTGAACCATTGTTTACTGGGTTCATAATCAAGACTTTCCCTCCCTAGTGAAACTTTGACATTGCAGGAGTAGGAAACTTTGAATACCTAGACGTATAAAGATGGGTTTGGTATTGGTATTGATAGAGGAGCGTAAGGCTTCTTGGGAATCGACATGACCCAACTCTTTCGGAAGACGAATAGCTGACTGACATCAGGCTAGGTGTTGGCATGGGAGCGCTCAATACCTTATTCGTTCGATTCCAGATTACGATCAATCTGCGCCACTCAGCCAAGATGGAAGACGCCCTGAAAACACGCTGAAAATTTCACTTTACAGGCTTCATTGCCTAAAGTTTCCAGGCTGCGACATGCAACAAAAGAATTAAGTTTCGCTAGTGAATTGACACCGGAGGGTTTCATATGATCGCCCGATCAGCCATATCGATGTTGCACATCCAATAACTTTGCTTCACAATTTTCAACTAAATTGGATTAGAGACGGAGAAGTTAGAAGGAAGGTGGTGGGTTGATAGTAAGTGGGAACGAGAAGTCGAGAGGTCGGTTTGTCGATTTCTACTGATGTGGAGTATCTCAGTATAAAATTTTATAATTCAGTTTCTTGAAGAGCTTTTTGAGTAACATTTCTTCTAAACTCCTCTGTGGCTTCATGTACAGACAGGGGAAGAAACATTCTGTATAGTGGATAGGTAAAACGCTTTAGCTGTTGAGACCTGAATATGAGTCTAGGCGAAGGCATGAAGAAGGGGCTATTCCAAGTTGAGATTGGGTTCTTGAATAGGAAATCTCTAAAGAGATAGGTAGATCCTGACCATAAGCTAATCGAGATATCACATCTGCCACCTACCTGCTCCATTAATTCAACATACATCTGATATACCATCTCCCACCTACCTACCCACCTACCCATCACATCCCAGCCACCACCACCTTCCTCCTCTACCTCCACTTCCACGTTTTCAACATACATCATGCATATCCGTACTCCAAACTCCATACCTACCACCAAGCCATCAAGCCACACCCATCCCCAATCCCACCCCATTCTAAAAATACCACCCCAAACCCGCATACCAGCGACATCCGTCACCGCTCACAATCACGATCATCTGATAACCCTCCATTCATGCATCTCCTATCCTTAAACCCAATCACCCACCCTTCAAACTCCCAACTAGCCATTCCTCCCCTAAGAACTTCCCTTTCCGTCCCCAAACTCTCGGAGCCCCGATTTCGTACGTCCAGCCCACCAAAGGAAGAGCGTGCTTGTATGGGGAGAAGGATTTAATGTATGTATGTGTTGTTCGGAAAATCCATCCGAGGGGTCGCAGGGAGAGTGGGTAGGGCTGGCTATACGCTTTGGGAATTTGGAAATACGAGAGAGGTTTTGGGTAGGGAAGATGGGGGGTTTTGGATGACCCGGTTGCAGGTATGGGGGTTTAAAATGGGTTGGATGTTATATAGGGGATATAAATGTGGTTTTAAGTTGGTATGATTGTTTTACTGGTAGGTACTAGACTGTCGAGATAGAGCGTCAGTTATAATCCTTGCTAGAAAATCGCTGGTGGGGGTATTTTTGCGAGCTGATTGCTGTTACTTCTCTTTACTACATCGACCTTATCACTAGCATATTTCCTGTAACGTCTCTCCACGCAAACCAACGATACACAAAAGGTTGCTGTTCATGCTGCCAGTACATCATCTGTTGGTTTTCCGCTCACTTCTAACTGCTAGAACCCACGGCTCGGAAAGCTACAAGCTGAGTTGCAATACTCGTCCGTCCATGGCACACCGAGACGCAAAGTGCGACTTCAGACACATCTTTGCAGTCCCCATCATGATGGAATGGACTCACGGACAGAAATGCTCCATTCCATATATAAAATCGTGAAATGATCCACTAACATAGAACTGTACCGAAAAGTCCGTCAACCACATAGCATCATAATAAACAACCTATACTCCTTACTCCCTACGCCGCCTTCACATCATATATTGTGTCAGAAAGACAGTAGGTGCATTTAATTTTGCCTTGTCAACGTCCCAAAATTCCACTACCATCTTCACCAACAGCAATGTCCATTTGGCTCAACGAGACCACCACTTCCACCTTACGAAACTCATGGACGGGAAACAGCTTCCAAATGGCATCGAATTGCCTCACATATGGACAAGGAAGTTACTGCTATTAATTCACATATTGAGATCGAGATGGGAGACTCTTGGATGGGAGATATGTGGCTCGCCTGCTCGCTCAGAGAATGACCCTCACACATACAAGAATCGCATCATGTCAGGTAAGCTACCACGCCGTCAAATACAATCACTATTAAGCTCAGCAGGCAACATGTAAGATGTATCAATAAAATTAAACAAGTAGAAATCCCACGTTCTAGTTCAACGGGATGGTAGTAAGTAGCATAGGATATCTTCCCCCAAACCAACCTCCCAAAAAAACACAAGATTCAAAACTCCTTTCGTTCCTCCAAAACTCCAACCCTAATATTCTAAACAGAAAAGCAAACATCGTCAGATAAAGTCTCCAACATCTAGACAAGAATCATCTCCACGTCCCGTGTAACTTCGCTCTCCTCGGCGCACCCCTCTTCAGTCCCACGTCACCGGCACCCATCAGACTCTTCCACCGCTTCCCTACACTTCCGCGATCTTTGCCCAGACTTTTCGCGCAGTCCTGCCAGTCACTCTTACTGAGTTTCAGTTTCTCCAGTACCAGTTCCACGAGCATGCGATCTTCTTCTGTGCTCCACTCCTCATTGCCCTCTACACTCTGCAAGATGTGATCGCTTGATTGCGGTTGTTGCTGTAAATGCAAAAGATGGAAGTCTCCTCGATCTAATCCTAATGGCAAGCTTTCCGGCGCGATACGTTGACGTTTTGGGGTGCTTGGTCTCGAATTCACTGGCTCATCCTCAGAATCCGACGGGAGAGGTGTAGTGTTTTCTTGCTGTTCAGAAGTCGCACGGCTCATCTCGTCGGCGTCCTCTCTTCGTCTCTTATTTAAGCCTCTGGGCACTTGTACCGGTGTTCTCTTGGTGATTCTCTTGCGCGGTGTCAAGGCTGCTGTGCTCTCATTATCCTTGTTGCGCGTGCGCAGACGGAGCTTGAGTGGTGATGGTGATAGGGCGACTGGCACTTCGGCGTGGGTTGTTGGGGGTGAAGGCAGTTGGCTCGGAATCGGAGAAGGGTTCAGGTAGGACTGGAGTGCGCGGCAGGTCGAGAAGAGGTTATTGAGAGCCGCTGGTGGGTTGCCTGTTGAGGATGGCGGTGGTGGAGAGAGAGGCGGTGATGCGAAGCGCATTCGCGATTGGAATCGGGTTTTGGGGGTCGATGGTTGCGAAGATTCGCAGGCAAATGCGGACGGAAGTAGCATGCTTGCTGTGTTCATGGTGCTGTCGGCTGGAGTTGTGGATGTATTTGGTTGCGATCGCGATGCGACGAAGAAGCTCAGCGAGGCGCGGATGGATGCGCCGGCAGAGATCGGAGCTCCTCAATGTCGAAATTGGGATTCCGAAACTATATCTTGTGATTCGCGCTGTTCAGCAGAGTCGCTGCACGTAATTGGATGTGTATGCGACGACGTGGTGTTGAGTAATTCTCGAATTTGTTTTCTTCTATGCAGGTGCGGCAAGTTGGATGTAGAAGGAGAAAGCCCTTCCAAACGGTCGTGGGGCCTGCCCGCGATATAATAATTCAGCAGTTAATCCCCGTGAGGACCCCTGTAGGTCGGGTGACGGTGACCATCACACCCCCGGGGCGCCCTCGAAGCACTTTCCTCGATCTCCAAGGGACGTTGGGAGGATTTGCGTCTCGTCTTGCACTCAGAAAATGATCTGGATATCCTTAGCACCCAACGCGGCTCAATGTCAATAGTTCGAGAGGGTTTCTATTTCTTTGTCGAATCTAGGAGGCTATGTGTCTCATCACCGCTGTAATTGCTGCAATGGATGGATGGCTTCAGTGAACTCGAGGACGTAGGCGACACCAGGCAATCAATCCCTTTGGTCCCAGCAAAGGGGTTTGCCCCGTATCTCCCCTTCGCTATCGATAGTAGATACAGATTGATATCCGGCGCAGACTGCGGTTGAGGCTTTTTTCAAGTCATGTTTCTCACTAATCGCAATCGCAGCAAGGGGAAGGGGATTCTAGTGCTTCTCCTCGAATAGCACACACTTGTCCTCGTCCTCGTCATCATCTCGCAGATCTCGATGCTGCTTCGATTGGCAGTCGTCATGCTCTCTTGTCCCTCGAACTCCCATTCATGCTGGTTGCCATGGTCTGTGGAGTAGCAAAAGGGAACCACTTTACGCGGAAAACGCGGTTTACACAAAGACGTCTTTCACACGCGTCTGGAGACCTATGACTACTCTGCCCCTCCGTCTTTCGTCCATTGCTTTTTCCTCCATATCAATGCTTCTCCATCCCTTCTCCACAATGCAAAGCATCTGGATCATCTACACCATCTCCCTTTCCTCGATAGCCTCAAGAACTGTCTCTCATCTTCCCTCTCTTCGTTATCTTGCTTCCCAGTTCATAGCCAAACTAACCGTGCCAATAGGTACCTGCAAGGCAATCCTCACGTTTCGGCCTCGCTCACCGCGTCTTCTGCTGCAAGTCATTGGGATGTTCCATTGGGTGCTTCGAGGGGAAAAGGAAATTACATCAACGCGTCGACGCGTCGGGACGCGACTTTTCGTGTTAAGTGCGCGACGCCGGATGACTGCCGAAGCGATAATCCGCATCACCTACAGATCATCCATCATCGAGTCATCACTTGTATTAAACTCATAAAGTTCTCATGGTCTGAAATGGACTCAGATCCTCCTCTGTTGCCACCAGTCTTATTGCTTGAAGCATGTCATCTCGAGACCTATTCAGTCAAACACCCAAAAAAGCCCAATGTTGGCTTAAACATCATGTGATGTTGCTTCCGGGCTTATGCCACTCAGATATCAAGCCTCCTCAGGGTTTAAGAGTGACACAGTGCAGATTGAGATGTTGTGCGCGTTTGAGCATCCTTGAAATTGAGGGGATATTGGAGAACCTTGTCTGTGCGACAGCTGGTGGTGGTGATCATATTGGCTAGAGTTGACGGTTTGGGAAAGAGACCTAGGAAGCCGACCAGTAAGGTGATAGTGATGAAAGTACGATTCCCCCTTTGCAGGGTGCTTCATCAAGCAGCATCTCTTTTTGGCCGCCAAAAGAGAAGCGGATGAGGGGTAATTGATACAATATTGGAGGCTTTGCACAACCTCACCACGTGTCCGGGGAGGGCTTGACTCTTCAATGAGGCGGAAGTTCAGCTTACCGATATTGATGTCTTTCTTCTCTCATGCTAACCTTCATCAAAGCAACTTGTCGAGTCAGTCAATAAACACTTTCAGCTGGTATCTATCACGTCTTCTTGAACAACAAAATCACAGTCGCACTGCCCGAGACAATCTCGTCTTTCCCACCCAGCACCTCTCTCAACTCCTCGATGAAAACCCTCAAACAGTCTTTTTCGGTTCCAGCCAAACCTGGGTGAGCCTCTCGCCATCTTATGACCATACTCGAAGTAGCCAAACCCTTCTCAATCTGCCTTAAGTTGGCAGTGTAATCCCCGCCGAAGAAGCTCTCCCCATTGGAAAGCACCCCGTCTTTATCGTACTCGTGCCTAATAAAGTCTGACTCTAAGAAGGACGAGACTATCGGATCTACTTGCCAAGGCAGAGGTATGTTAGCGTACAATTCTCTTGACATCCGATTGCCAGGAAGTTCATAGGGCAGGAGTATATCACGTTCGAATCGGAACACGATTTCATTTATTTCGGTAGCCTTTTCCATCTTAGGGTCTGAGCAGAAGGTCAACTGTATGTTCGAATCAGGCACGTCGCTCAAGAACTTACGTGGAAATCCAGAAACTAATTCGATTAGCTAGGTAATAATCTTTCGTGGGGATCATACCTCGAGTCCAAATTGCAACTGTCCCTCCGGGCTTAACAACTTTGGCGGCTTCTGCCCAGAACTTGTTCATGTCGAACCAATGTGCCTATAAGTATATACATTAACGGGAACCACGAATTCGACGCTTTCACTTACTGCCACTGGGAATCATCGTTAGAAACTCGCTTCTTTTCAAGTCTCGTGTAATGGCCACTCACTAGCAACTGTCAACATATCAACACCTTCCCTCACACTTTCCAACTTTGAAAACTCCTCTGCACTTGAGACATCGAATCGTACATCTCTTCCACTCTTACACTTCCCACCCAATTTATTCGCAGCCTCGGCCATACCTTCTCCAGCATCACAGCCTACCGCGTCCTCGAAGTGACGTGCCACTTGGACAGGTTAGCACTCCATTATGTTGCACGACAAACAGCGTTCTCTCCCAGTACAATGAAAGAAGAAAAGGGCTTCCCAACACCCCTTCCCATTGGGCATGTTTCTCGTAATGGAAAGAGCAATATGGCATAATTATTTAAACAATTTGGGGATTTAGAGGGAAAGGTTGCTCACGGTCTCTAGTAGCGTTCCCAGGACCACAACCTACATCTAACAGCGTCCCGAATTGCCCTCCTGTGGCAGCATGATAGGAGAACACAACGTCGTAAAGAGCAGGTGAGTATGCTGGTCGAGCTGATGCGTAAGCCGTCGCTTGAGCACTGGTAAAAGAAGTGAACGTCCTCTCTGAGGGCTTGTTAGTTGACTCCATCCTTATACAAATGTTGATAAGAAGTATGTCTTGATCGTATCAAAATGGCAATGAACAGGTATTTATACAAAGAGGTCGCGTCGCAAGACGGAGTTTGCTGACACCACTCACCGTTCGCAGTTTCTCATTTACATCTGCCGCAACTTCCGATATCTTAAATAACGTGAAATAATACTTCCGTTGCAAGGTTGCTGTTTTTTCTCCAGTCTATCTATGGAGATCCTAAGCCTCGCCTGTGTTGCGGAGGGGCGTGTACTTCTACGCAACCGTTTCCTAATCGGGCGCTTCGCCAATTTGATCCCCACTTTCCAACGACGTCGACTTTATCTCGCAGTAGACAGAATAAGTAGTAGCTGGTATGCAATATTTACTCGACCAACTTGATATCATGTGCGATGTTTCGCCTTGTATTATTACTAAGCTGTTGACCACATCGCGACTAACTCTTTTTTATGTCTATTCGCTCTCCTAATTCTACGAATAATATAACTCAGTTTCTAGTCGGAATCTATGGGTTCAATTAGTAATCTACTGTTCTAAAATAAGGGTTTGAAAGCTCCTCGCGGAGGACAACAGAAGTGGCACTCGAAACATGATATTTACTCAAAACAATTGACGAAATATCTTATATTTAGTGTATCAACTTGGGACACTATTACATATTTCGTCGATTGATTTCAGTAAATAACACTTTCTTGGGCTCTATTCGAAATCGACTTATTCAGTCCAACGATCAGTGGGCACATGATTGACACTTATTTTGTCCTCCACAAGGGCTCGCAGTACTCAGGTGATTAGAGTCTAGGCGGGTCCGACTACTAAGGGTTTTTATGAGAGGAAAAAACACTCTGAGATAAAAGTCTCCTTCGTCGACCTAATTGCAGTGATTCACAGCACTGATTTGAAGTGGAGCAAGCAGACAAAAATGGTAAGCCCGATCTACTGTATACCTCGTCAATGAAACGTGTCCAGCCAGACCCATGATTATCTATCACAGCTAGCTCGTTCAGAGCACCTTTGAACTTTAGAAGACCCTCGTTTGCGTTGCAGGAGGTATGAATCCTTGGTCGCTTCGTCTGTAGCCGTCGTATCTAGCAACGGAGAAAGAACGCTTTGAGACATTCAACAAAGGAAAACGGGAGTCCATGCAGAGCTTTTTTCGTACCATTTGAGATGGATAAAGCATGAAACATTCTGATTCTAGAACATCTGCAGCATTCCGAGTATTACGAAACTTGAAATAAAAGAATGTGTTGTTATTCTTAAACTTCGTGGAGCTTGGTAGCTTGTCGAAATCTTCAATAAAGCAGAATGAATAATCCAAGCTTGGTTTGTATCAGAACAAGCAACAAGGGAAATTGGAGAAGAAATGGAAGGGGAAAACCTTTTATATATATCCTGTCGCTGCCAGACTCAAGCCATCATCAGTCTACTCATCTATCGACAGTACTCAAATTCATCAGCAGTACCTTCATCTATCCTCCATCTATCCTTCATCATCTATCAACAACAGTACTCAAAATCATCAGCAGTACCTTCATCCATCCTTGATCATCGGTTGTATCAGTGAACCTCATCTCCGAATAAATGTCACAACTGTCTCCAGTGTGGTTTCTGCGTTGCTGGCTGTGTGGATATAGCAACAACACCTCGTATTCCGAGACATGTGGTGATTGCGGGGGTGCGAAAATGTCGACTATGGATGGAAATACAACACTTCATTGGGATATCAGTCCAACAAATTGGCGCCAGACTGCTTCACGAGTCCCAATCTCTACGGTTATTGCAAACGCTCAAACATCAATTGCTGTCTGCGTGAGAGATTCCAACTATTCAGCCATATACATAGGATATCCCAGCGGTATGATAGTGTTGTCTTTTCGAGCTCGACGGGCTGTCGGGAATGTGACAACACGCAATGGCGTGGCTCAAGTCACTCAAGCGGACCGGCTTCTTCTTGGTACCATGATCAGGTCGGATCCGGAATTCAAAAGAGTGGATTATTTTTGCTAGGTTTTGTAGGAGACATGACAAAGGTTGGGATCGAGACCCACCAAATCGAACTTGGGTCTTCAATATCAAGTTATTAGTATGGAATTCATTTAGACCGCAACTTGTAGCAATTTCATTAAATAATGTAAAATCCCATTTGCAATTTCCTAACTGTACGCGAACGCCAAAAAAACACCACGAAACTGTTACTGATTACTCTGTGCAGCTAATAAAGCCTCGATCTCTTGAGGACTGAGGAGTTCAGGTAGGGGAGTGCCTGCAGGTAAGATTTTGTGGACTCTCTCTGAAGTACCACCCATAGCTCCGATCTTATAAGCCATTAGATGACGGTGTAACATATTTTTATCAGAGAAGAGTGACTTACCTGAAAGCCTCCAGCCCAAGGCTCGGTTTTCGAGAAAGCTGGGCGCATCCACTTCTCATAATTATCTTTATGTTCTCTTTGACAAGCTTTATAAGCTTTGCGGACTGGTTCTATTTTAGCAACAACCTCATCATAAAATGTGTCGTAGTCCTGAAATGGCTCAAAGCGGTCAAATAGTGGCTCCATGAGAGGACCACATTGAGTACCAAGATGTATAGACAGCCAACGCTCTGCCCACCAAGGTAAATAGCCAGAGTACTCCCAGTCGATAATTGCGGTTATCCTATCGTCTTTAACTATGATATTTTCCGGACAAATGTCGCCGTGTGTAAGGACATACGGTTCTGACTTAGGAAAGTTATCCTTAAGTGCTTGAAATTCCCTGTCGATTATAGCCGGGTCGCGAGTTTTGTGAATTTCGGCTAATCCTACCCGCAATTCCTCCTCGATATTACTAAACCACTCGTCATTCGTGAAGCCTACTTTCTTACAAAATGGCCTGTACACTTCGCAATTCCCAAGGATAAGGTCGTCGATTTTCCCTCCATCGACTGTTTGAGCGCCTTCGGCTGTGAACCGCCTAACCTGACACATAAACTCAAAGAGTTGCTCCCTCATCTTAGTCTTCGCATCATCGGAAAGATCACCCCACACCCTCGAGAGAGGCTGGCCTTCGGCGCGACTCATCACGTAAAGGTACGTTTTCTCCTCGGGACGGTGAATGAGCTGGATGTCCCTTAAGATCGGAATGTCTAAGCCTGAGCCAAGCTGGGAGCGTAAGAACTTCTGCGTCATATAGTCGTTTCCTGGAGAACAACCATCGTTTGGGTAGTCCTTAAGCAACCAATTCGATCCTAAAGCCCACATGCCCATATTGGCTCTCGTGTGAAGGATTTTAAGCCTAGGTGCGTAAGAGGTGAAGACCTGATTATAAGCCGTTAAACCGCAGCGCCAACATAACTCATGATCGACGAGTCCTCCGTTTTCGTCAAAAAGACGTTCCACATCATCTAAGTCGTAATATTTAGCGAATTCCGGATTCGTTCGATCACGTGAATGGATAAGTCCAGGATAGACATTCTCAGGATGAGCAAAGTCCTCGGTTTTCATGTCCATATCGAAGGTATAGCGAGATCAATGGAAATGCAGAAGTTTCATGCTAGTTTCTTTAGTGTGTCTAACATTGAAGCAGACGCGAACATGAAATATACGTTGTTCAGCCCTTTGTTCACAAATACTCGCAAAAGGCGTCCGCAAACGGCCTGTAAGATTGACTCGCCACAAAGAAGAAAAGTCATCAGAATGAATAGAGAACCTTTATGTTGATAGTTCCACATTCCTAAAGAGGGCTCACAAAGAATCATTCGTCCATCCAGCACCAATTGATTCTACAGCTAGTAAAGCATACCTGGGTACACTATTACTATCATTATCATGTGATTTTTTTAATCCTTTGAACCTGGACATGCCTGTTGAAAAAAATATTATCTGAAAGCGATTATGAAGCTGTGCTTCGAGGACGATAAGTCGTGTAGGCGAGCTCGCGGTGAAGATATAGGTGGCAGCAACCCGTAAACGGCCGGAGTCTAAAAGTTTATATTTTCTGGAAATCATAGACCAAACATCGTATATTTCGTAAATTGTCCTGAGCAAATATCATGTTTCGATTGTCACTGAAATGTCTCCCGCGACGTGAGCAAGTCTTCATACTTTGGCTAGAACCCATGATGGGTCTGACACACTAGACTCAAGCCCAGTAATTGTAGATCTCCTTGGAAGTCATTGAACTCTGATGTTCAGTAGTAGGCAAACGGCTTTGGAGATCTACTCTTCTTACGTGGCAATAGTAAAGCCAAAGCATCGTGACTGGCAGCATGATCTATGTCCTGTATTCGCTACGTCACCGTGGTCAAAGAAGTAGTGTTTCCAACATAAAAACAAGAATAAATTCTCTCCCCGAATGAAGAATTATGTTATCTTAGTTGTAAATATTGGGCGTTGATAGCTTTGAAATAATTGTCCTCAGTAAGCCTACACCGCACTTGCAGCAGCGGACAAGACGAAGACAGCGGGGCTCGCGATGGATGATATAGGTGCTAGTCAAAACATAATATTTACTTGAAGCAATTAAGGAAAAATATAATAATTTGTTAATTGATTTAAGGCCCTTGAAAGACGGCGTTCAGGCTTTTGCAGCTCTCGGATATACAGACAAGAGAGTCTATGATTTCCCTAAACGGTAACAACTAATTCGCGGATCGACTAGATTTAGAGTCCTAAGTTAGTTAGCTAGATATCTAAAAGTAAATTTGTATTTGCTTTATGTAGCTCCATTAATAATTGTAAAAGCTATAGAAGCGTAGATATAGGTCTAGCCTTAAATCGTATTTTGTTTACTCGTTTTTATCGTTTCCGCGAACAGTGACTTTTAAGACTATACGTCCCTGCGGCGCTACCTTACATGACATCAAATGCCAAGACGGTTGGACGTAGAATTTGCAGCTCCGTTAGAGCTACTTGTAGCTAGACCACGACCAGTCCCAGAACCCGTTAACTCAGCATCAACCGACTAATATATATACCTAGAGGTTTCACGATCACTTTCACGTCTTCACATCCTCACTGCACTTTCGCTCGATCGCTTCGCACAGCAAAGATGAACACGCACGCATCGACTCTGACACTCATGGACTTCCGGCAAGGAATATATTAGCATCTCGATCCCCGAAGTCAAGACTCACGAACAAGGAAAAGAGAGAAAAATTACCGATGATAACAAACGATGCTCCGTGATTTGTTCCCCGTATGCACTCCTCGCACTTTTGGGCATGGACATCACACCATGGGAGGGGAAAATGAACCGGTTGTCCTCGCTTCGAGAAGAGGACAAAATACTAGGCGTTATAGCGTCTAGATATGCCCATGTTCTGTTCACTGCCCTGTTTTTCTCGATAAGCATTTGTGTTTCCATCCTCAGCTTGTTGACATTTTTTGGACTATCGGGATATCAGGTCTTCACTTTGATGCTCTGGGTCTCTAGCTTCGCGGTGCATGTGGCAACAATCTTGGCTTGGTGGCAGTTTAAGGAAGGGGGAATGGCTGTGTTATATGGCTATCCAGCTGTTATGAGAGAGGAGGGGAGTATGTCGCGACAGGTCTTGTTAGAAAACGCCATCGATAGTTTACGCCGTCCACGAAAATTCCTCTGGTACACATTTACCGACGAACTAGATGCCGAGTCCTTCGCCATTGCTCTCGCAAACCCACTCCATCTGTTAGCCAATCGATTCTCCCAATCAGGCATTATCTTGGAGTCATTATGTATCTATACTCGTATTCTCGCTGTCATTTCCTTTACAGGCTCCTTATGGTCAGGCATTTTTGCTCAGCTCTTCTTTGGGCATCTTGACTCTGATATAACGTGTTGGGACATGGCTCCTCTTTTGTTTGTCCCGGTACTTACGGTCTATGTGGCTATTTTAAATACGAATATAGCTCTACGGCAATTGAGAAACTGGGGATGGAGAGCAGAAATGGCTCGCTTGTCGAGTGAACTGAGACAAAGCTGCCTAGAGCCCGTGGAGGGGGAGAGGAGAGGAAAAGGGAAAATCTGGAGGCTTGTATTAGAGCTATATTCCCAGAAGACAACGGCACCTCGGAGAATATGGAGGAGAAATGGAAGATCTATGTTAAACCTATCTTGGAGGATATTGTTCTATAAACAAATCAACATAGAGAATTAAAACATTATTTAATTATGAGCCTGTGATTGGTGACTTCGTTACTTTCTTAAACATGACCTTTGGCAAATATTCGCATTTCAGATCCAAAAGCTGTAAAATCCGACACCGAATATATGCCTTATCGCTTCCGCTTTCTCGTTTTCCTGCTATACCTGACTCATCTTTGCCAAACACGGAAAACATTTTTCCAACACTCCTACCTGAACTGTACATTTAGCCTCTTTGATGGAGAAGATACTGTATAATCACTCAAAGATGTCGTGCAATGTAGCCTTGTCGGCAGGATTAGTTACTCTTCCGAAAAGAATTGTCCTGTCAATCTCACCAAAGTACTAATGGAGTTTGTGAATTAGCGCTAACAAGTGAACATTTATTATCTCCAATACTGCAAGTGAATAGGTGCTGGAAATGTTTTACAGAAAGCCATTTAAACAAAACCTCACTCAGCCCAACCTTTTCTCAATCTCTGAAACCAGTGAGACTTAATTCGTCATTTCAAGCAAATGTCCCCTGTCTAGCTTGTTGTAGATAAACAAAGCGGCATTCCAACATACTCTTTATTGGCGTATATTTCCTCAATCGCTTTCAGCAAGCACGAAATGTTTATTATTCTTTCAAGATCGATTGACAACCGAAAGTAATGACTTCTTGCCAACTATCTCCCAAGTCACAAAACAGCGAGGAGGTTCTGCCACTTATGTTTTCCACCTTGAGCAAGTTGGGCCGCTTTGGCAAATGTTATTAATGTTAACGAAGCAAAAAGTTCTACGACTTCTGATTACCGATATCACTTTTAGTAGCCGGCATAACAGCTTAATGCTCATTGGATGAAGTGAACCATCATGCTTCCACTATCAAGTGTCTTTCCACAGCGATGTAAGTCTTGGATTTTGATCATGTTTTGATGTTGAAGGGGTGAAAGGCATTTCTGGTAATTTAACATTCATAGAGATTTTTTTATCATAAATCATTGCTGTAGGAAATCAAAACATTCCAATCTCGTTCTCTTCTTCGCATAATGGTTCTCCACTATTCCTGATAACAGAGACAAGGAATTCTGGGTACGGAACTCTATCGCAGGCCCATTTCGACAATAAAATTGCCATTGCCATGAGCATAATCCCACCCTAATGTTATTAACGGAGTGCTATTGACATAGATTATTTGCTCACCTGATCCGGCGTAGCCTCCGTCGTGACCGCACCCGAAGGCGACAACGCTAACAGCATATGAAATGTCTCGGCTTATTTGGCACCTTAGCTCGCTCGCGTCTTACATTGGGTTTGAGAGAATATACCACGAAGATCCTGTGACACCTTCTGTTGGCACACCCACTATGTCGCAGTTTGCTGTACTGACCAACAGAGTCCTTGGTGAATTTGTATAAAAAAGTAAGCCTCCAGCATTGTAAAGGTAGTTGTACAAAGCGACAGCAGCATCAAGCGGACAGTTCCTGTTGCTGTTAAAGCAACCTTTAGGAGCTTGCTGAGCCCTTTCTCCCCAGCTACGCGAAGTCAGGTGAGGGCGGACCTATTGTGTTTGTGTTAGCCATCTATATTCACAAACCTGATGTTAGAGACCGATCATTGCTCGTTCAGTCTGTCAAACATAGAAAGAGAATCACAGATATGTCCGTCGGAAAGCTTAATAAGCAGGAATAGAGGGAGTATGAAATCGGGTCTGTTACTGTCTTAATGTTAGATTGGTTTTACCATCGCAGCTGCACCTTTAAACTTACCAAAGCTAGGTATGGTACCGCGATATAGGTCCGCAGAGGTGAGGTTCAGAGACGCTAGACGGGGCATTCCTGGGCCAGGAATCACTTCAGGAAATTCTTCTTCGGTTGCATCAACTGAGGAAACGACTTCAGTGGAAGGCTGAACCTCTTTTGGAACGACATATGCAACGACATGTATAGTGATAGTAAGAGTCAAGAGAAGTCGAAACAAGGATTTTGCGACATGAAACATTTTTAAGTAGGTTTGTGTAAGTCAGTCACTCGACTTGATTCTGGTGATTGAAACTAAAATATGAAAGAGATGCGAAAACAATAATATTGGACATAGACTTCAGTTAAATATGAATTTCAACAATCGTGGTCGGGAGAGGAGTCTTTCTCAACTGGTTCCTCCATCATACTACGGCATGATTACACCAACACCACATAAACAGTCAATATCTATGTCGGGTATACTTTGAGCAAGATAATCCGTTGGAAACCTCTCCCTACGGCAACCTTTCTGCATTCGATAAGAGCAACATAGGGAGTGCATTTACACCAAACTTCTTACTGGTTACATTTACTCGATCTAACATTTCCCCATGCGGAGAAAAAGGTTGATTGTCAGCCATTGGAGCCGGTTGCAACAATTGTTGCTTTCTACTCTATCTGATCATGGAAACAGGGAGATCTCCAAGGGTCCAGCATTCGTATGCATAGAGCTGTGGATTTATGATTACAAGGTAGTTGGATATCTAATTGACGACCGGAAAGAATATAACTTCGACTGACGCGGGATGTGCCGTGCGGTACGCAGTAGACGAAACAAGTGACAGTCGACACAACATATTTGTCAGACCAATGTCGCAATATCGTAAACTTCGTCTATCGTCTTCAGTAGATAAGTGATGCTAAACCTTTCTTTGAAACTTATCGTATCCCGTTGGTCTTGCAAAGTACTGCTGCCCCTAAACGGTTGTTCAGACTGAGACACATACCAACGCTCATATCATCCGAAGCCAATGTAGCTTCTGCCTGCATTTTGCCGGTCATTTTCGGTCACTTCCAGCTGTGTAACCTAATAAGCATGGAACTATTGATCGCAAGTGCTTACCAGTATGTAGATCAATATAATACTGATCGAGCTTCTGCCATGTTTGGTTATGTCTCACAATCATGTTGCAATAAGACGCAGCAAGCACCGTCGTCTAGTCATGGCTAAGTGTTTCTGTTTGATTTTCCAGCCGGAAAGTTAGTAGATATTGATTTCTCGACCAAACAAAGATTTTAATGCATATCTTACTAAAAATGACTGCATATGCACTGGTATTCATAGACTTGTCGACGAAACTTGCCTGGTTTAGTTAGTCCTTCGTAGCACCCTTACAGCATCAACAGATAGATGAGGAAAGAAAACCCCGCTCTATCTTACGAATGAAGACCTCAAGCTATTTGACCGAAGCCTCTGCTCAGAAAATTCTCATCCTTCCTTTTCACTGTCTCTCATCTCCTGGAACACTCAAATAATTTCAATCAATTCGAACAGCTTCAGTTACCTCCAAAATGATTTCAACCATCTTGATGTCTATATTATGTTTCTATGCTGCTTCCATTCAAGTGGTTGCCCATCCGACCGCCAATCTCGTCTTCAGACAAACCAAGGATTCAACAGGAGAAGAGGTAGCAGTTCCAGAACTACCAGCCGCAGCTTCTGTCAATACCACCACCAGTCCAATTAGTGGTGGCGATAGTCCCAGCTTTGGTAAGTAAAAACACCATTAGCAGTCAAACAATAATAACACGAACAATAGTAACCCACCCTCTTTCTCCCACCATCCCATGTTCATACACTTTAACATATCTCTGAGCTGTCACCTTCAATCATCTACTCGATGGCAGTGACTTTACAAGCAGAAAACTCCTCGGAATCAAAATTTCTAGGAAGTTGGAAACGAAAATCAAACGCTAACCAGATTGCCATAGGCCTGGCCTGAACCAGATTCATTACGTACAGCGCAGAGTAACTCAAATTCCGTGTGCTACGGACAAGATCGAAACTGCGACCTCAATGACGCTATCAATTTATACAACTATCTTGTGAACGACGGGAACGGAGGCATCAGTGTCGACCTCGGCACAGTCCTTAAAAGGTCGAATTCCTGCTATGTATATGTTAGCGGGGTAGGTGCTCGTCGAACATACTGTGCTTAGTATTGATCTCCCATCATTGCGATAAGATACTTGTTACTAAATAGTCCTTTACAGTAGAGACATTGCCTGGGCTGTCGCCTCAATAGCGTATGGTTGCGCGCATGATGGAAATCACGCTGGATCAGGTGAGTTCTTCTGACACAAATTAGATTATTGATGCTGGACTCATGAACTTACTAGGCTATGATTTTGCTTACGGAAACGGTGATTTTGAAGTCCAGTTGTTAAGATCATAGTGTTCGTCGATTTGCGAACCCAAATCTAGAACAGACACACCCCCAGAGCATGACAAAGACCGATGGGCACGTTCTAAGTGCAAGAGGAAGAGCAATGTTACCAGAAGAAGACCTTCCAAGCCTAGCTTCTTATCGGGCGTATTTGATAATTTGTCAATCCATTTGAGAAAAAGATACCTCCAGCTCCATTCAATACCATAAAAGCTCACTTCTCCTCTATCATCTCCTAGGTCCACTTCCAAACTACCATCCAGAACCAATCCAATCGGACACGTCATCAACTCATTTCCGCAGAAAACACCTCCCCAGCTCCATCCAAATCCCAAAACCTCACCTCTTTTCCTCTATCTTCCAAACTAACATCCCCAACAAATCCCAACACCTTCTATGCACTCCCACCTTCAACCATCTCCTCCTCCCTCACCACCCCCATTACACCCCAAATACTCTCCCAAAGCTGCATCGCCTCCTCATTCCTGCCCTCCGCTAAATACATCTGCACCATCGGGTTCCGATGATACGCGATGAACTCTTCTCTCTCGACGGCGTCTCTCAACTTGTGGTGTGTAATTCTAGAATTTCGGGCAAATGGGTATGGTTGTGCGGAGGGTGAGAGTTCCAGTTCATTGGGGTGGGAGAGATGGGATGGTGATCCTGAGGTGTCTCTAGCTTGTGTAGTGTCCATCATGTTAGTGTGTCCACTCTGGGTTTTACTACCACTCGCAAGTTCTCCAATCCGTCTTTCTTCACCTCCTCTCTCATCCTCGGCAAGCTCCCCATGATCTGCTTCACTTTCACTGCCATCATAATCCCCCATAGCTCGAACCCGATCCTCCATCTTACTTCCTTCGCCTAATGTTGTAAACATTGGAGGCCGACTAGAATTGTCTAATTCCATGTTATCTTGTTCGTTGCCCGGCTCCAAGCCCTCTTCTCGTCTAACTCTCTTAGTCGCCGGTCCGCCCCCTACAAAAAGCTCTTGATCCTCATCCTCGACTTCATTTTGACGCTGACTCTGCTCCAATTTCTCATTTTCCATTCTCTCCCTTTCCAATTCAGCAGCTCTAGCTCTCAACTCTTCTGGTGACCACTGATCCAAACTTTTAGCAAAAATGCCTTGAAGCGACTTCCCCTTGCTCGGCCTTGTAAAAAAACCGTTCTTCAATTGTTCGCTCGTCTCGGCTCCTGCATGGCGATTGAGGCCTACCTTGGCGTTGTATTTGTGGAAACTGCTCTCTTGGGATGGAATAGCTGCTGGCCGTGTGGTTACTATACTTGCAAGGTGTTGGGGAGGTGCCGAGAGTGAGTTCCGTTCCGCGGGCGACGCAGTTGTAAGTGATAGGGGCTGTTCCGTAGGTTGTGATCGTTGAGCTAAATTGTGGGAAGTGCGAGCCTCTCTTCCAATACGAACTCCCAGGCCTGCGGTCATGGAGACGACAGGAGCCGAACCCGGAACCCGAGCAGTCTCATTAAGCAAGTTTTCACCTAGAGCCAAGTCATTGCCCCCTTGTCGATGTAGCCGCTGGAATCCAGCGTCCCTCTTTCTCTTTTTGATAGTTTGATCATTTTGCTGCGTCTGATTATCAATTTGTAGGTGTTGTATATTCTGCGACTCACTTCCAGTCGGAAGAGCTACTGATCTTTGCTCGAGAGATTCGACAGATGGTACCGGAGCATTAGCAGTGGTAGTATGAGACAGCGGTAAGCTTGGTCGATCTGCTGAATTTGGATTCTGAAGACTAAAAGAATTGAGCTCTCCGATTTTGCCGTCAGGTTGTACACCATCATCTTCGGAAGAGCCGGCATCATCATCGAAATTCTCAGACGTGATGCGCTGCAGCTTCGGGTTCTTTCTTTTAGACTCTTTGATTGAATTAAGACCTGCCGTACTTTGAGACTCATTGTGCGTTGGTTCCAACCTGTTAGATTTGGATATAATTGACACTGATTGTGGTCCAGCTAAAGTTTCCGGAGCTGTTTCATTCGGACTTGTCGGTGAAGCTGACCGAGATGGCATGAAGTAGGAAACATCCGAATCGTTGGTTTCATCGTGGTCAGATTCATCTTGAACAGAGCCATCTGGGACAGAGAGACCCTCTGAATTCGCCTTCACAAGCCGCTTAGGTCGTTTGTCTCGACGATGATTATTGGTCTCTTGTGAAACTAGTGAAGCAGTGTCATCGTCACTTTCTTCATCATCATTTTCGTCCTCCTCATCATCGTCAACAACAAAACAGTCGCTCAATTTACTAGTCTTCCTTCTTTTTTTGCCCTTTATGTTTCGCACCCAAACCAAATTCTCCAAATCGGGCTCGTGGATCCCATCCTCATACCAGATTTCCGCACAGTCCTGACACATCTGTTGACTACATTTAGTACAACGATACTGCACATCCCCCGTCTCGACTCTAACGTTGCAGCGATCACAATTCGTGGTATGAATAGTGACAGGGTCAAAGGTAGCGTGGGTGCCACTATCTCCTCTCAGCTGATCGAATTCTTCCTTTTCAGTGGTGTGTGAATCCTTGTATTCTTCTCCGTCTGAGTCGTATAGGGAGTAAAAGTCGAATAGCTTGGGCGGTATTAGATCTGGAGGCAAAACATATTTTATTCGTGACGTAGCCGGTAGGAGATCGGTTGGTGGTGGGTTAGCCGTGCTAGGTTTTCTCTTGCTGTTCTTTGAGGTTACAGCCGCCTGAGCTGCTTTCTCGGCTGCTTCATGCTGTTCGAATGAAACACATGGGACTAGATCGTCGAACTCATCCATGCTTATCTGTTGAACGGAAGAAGAATGGTCTCGGAAGTTGTTGCTGCGAAAAGATGTTAGCGAAGAAAGTCGGAAGAATTCGATAATGGACTGAAGCTGATCGGTATGGAAACAGGATAGTTAGACATGGTTATTTTTAAGGTATTCAAAGTATTCACCTTAACTTCATTTCCGACGATACGCGCTGCCATTTTGAAATTAATGTGATCCATTCACCGACTCGACGTCTGTTGGGCAAGAATTTGAACGCGCCAAGGAGTTAAATGAGGTGACAATACGAGTAAATCTAGGCAGCACTGATGCTTGAAGGATTTATCATGGCACGCTCGAAGTGGATGAGATAAAGGGCAGTAGACTCGTACCGATATTGTCAATTCAGAGTTGAGCATGGTAGGTACGTACTTGGTATAATTACAAACTCTTTAACAGAGTCTACAAATGTCTCATCTGTCCAGTCATAGACAAAACAGGCTAGTGATTTAACTTGATTAATGAAATGTACGATATCACGTTAACTTAATTGAACGAATATCTGTTCTTCACTGCCACTTGTATTGTCAACCGCGAGTCGCGGTAAGTGAGAGTATTGTAGGACAACGCTATGAGCAAGGCATCGTCGAAAACATTTGGTATTTGGAACAAAGTGTGATACTGTCCTTGACATTGTAAAGCTAGAGGCGCAAATAGATTGCCACGTATGATATGATGCCACGAGGTAACACCAAGGAGTAATTACAGCATCCAATGCTTGTGGACAAGACCTTGCATCAAATTCAGATAGTATCAAAGATGAAAGTAAGGACGAGAAGAAGTGAAGTAACAGAAGTGTGAAGCATTGGAAAACTTGAGCAAGCCGAGACCCACGTAGTGCGAAGTGACAAAAGCGTCAACAGATAGAATATTGTGAGCATATTCTGCAAACATATTCTCATTCGTATTTGGGGACACAAACAAAAATCCTATGAACCCCTATCAGCCCAAAAAGCAAAACGACGTATCCTCTGTCAACGATCCAGAAATAGTGGCAGTCGATAGGCACTAACCATTAAACCATGCTACAAAACCCAATCCTGCCGATCAAATCAGATGACGTTAGCGCCGATAACCTGCCTCTCCGAACGCCTCTATAGAAAATTTCAAAAGCTTTCCCACATGAACCTTTTTTGATATGTGCATAAACGTATTATCTTATATCCAACTGGAAAGGTTTGAATCGTCCACCAATGGTAGCACATCGAGGGCACTTTCTACGTGCTCCATGCTCTGCGATGAGAACATCAACGCATGCTTGGCAGATTCCACAGATGCACTCTGTGCATGCGTATGATTCTTTGAGCAGAGATACGTTTTGACACGCAGCACAGTATATCTGGATACTCTGTGAAGAAAAGCTGGGCGACGAATCGGACAGACCACGAGATTCGATATGGAACATATCTCCACTTTCTCCACTCTCAACAGAGGGGAATGGCTCTGGAGCTCCTGGAATGTATGACGGCGGCGTCAGAGCTTGCTGAAGAGGTGAAGCTTGATACCCTTGGAACTGGGCGGCAGGAAATGGCGGAAGAGATGCCCGGTTCACAGATATCGGGGAAGGGGGAACCTGCATATCGAATTAGTATTTGTAAGCGGAGAAGCAAACCAGACTTACAGGAGTCCTATCCTCGTCCACATCTTCAGTCGCCGAAGTGGCTGCATCGATCAAATCTTCCCATCTCTTCCCATATGCTGCTAAGCCACTTGAGGGTTCTGCTGAGAAAGCCTTTCGATCGTAGCTCATGCGTCTTAAATGAGCAGCATTGTCGCCTCTTGACTTTTGTCGTTTGTGTTGTGGCTGGCTTGCTCGTTTTGATACAGATTGTTTTCGCGGTCGGTTTGGGCCTGGGCGATGTATAGGCGGAAGTGTGGAGGAACGGCCTGGGGGTGAGTTATTGAGAATGGAGGGAAGAAGCTCTCTCCGACGTTGTGGGCTGAGATGGGAATAGGGTTCGCTCGTAGGTTCGATGTGGTTATTGTGTAGTGGTGGTAATTCTATAGAGGCTCGCATGGCTTGTTTGTGCGCTTCGGTATCCGACATCCAGTCCTGTAAAGAATGAGACCAGACCCTAGCTCTCTCAAAAGTATCGTCACTCACCGTCTCCGTCTCCCAGTCCGGTTCGAGTTTATGGTTATGTAGTTGTGCAAGGGCGGCAGCAGCGCTAGCGGCTGGCAGCATAGACGCAGACTGGAGATCGTCCAGGTTTCTCGTAGGAGTGTTGCGGGTACTCGTGTTGTCACCATAGTAGCTGAGTCGGTCGTTGCCATATCCTGCATAGCATTAGCAGCTGCACATTGCTCTGTGTATGCAACCCATACCATGTGGACTCAAGTTGGAGCTCGATTGTGGAAGAGGTCGCTCTTGTGGTGGGGTAGTTATCATGAGCTGAAAGCTCTCCTCCGTCGCTGGTAATTTTGAGATGTAGTGCTCTGGGTGAGCTCTTCGAATGTGCTCTTGCATCGATCGATATCGCTTTTCCTACCCATCCAAGTCCCTGTTACCACAAGTGCACAGGAGAAAGTAGCAAGACTCAAGCGAGCCAGCAGCAAGAGGGGTAGAACAGATACAGCAGAGCAGAGACACTCACGCCGAGGCAACGTTTACGACAGCTGGAGCCATCTTGATTTCGCAACGGACACACAACCTCATTGTTGGCATCCGAAACGGAGAACGACGATGTGAGAGAGGATCGTGGCGGCATTGTCATCAGCAGAGACCCCACCATCTAGCGATTAGATATGGATCGTAATCGCAATCGCAATCGCGAACAGACCAGGAGCAGCGGCAGCTCAATTGACGGCAAAGACAAAGGTGCAGCAGCGCATTATCTGGTCTGGCGGTGTCGATGAAGCTTGCGATGCAAGGAGTCAATACCGGAAGGGTTGTCAATACTGAAAATGAGTGCGTGAAGTAACGAGTAAGGTTTGTGTGGGAAAGCTATGGGGGTATGGCAGCTGTTCCTAGTCGTTGAAACTCATTGGTGTTCCAGGTGGTCAGCGATGAGTGAGGGGCAGAGCATTGAGGGGAGTCTCGGCTAAGAGCTTGACCCCGACCACTGCTGAAGAGCTCAGAACGCCAGCCAGTAGTGAGAGGAACAGAGCTCTCACAGATCAAGCTTGGTTGGATCTGGAGTGGTTGTGCGGAGTTGGGGGCAGCTCGACGACTTCAGCGGCGGTGCGAGACAAAGACAATAATAGAAAGAGATCCTGGGTCCCGGAGAGGGTGTCTTCCCCAATACAGGTCCTGGGTTCTCGAGTACGGAGTCCGTGGTGGCTGTTCCGCTGGACAAAGAGCACAATCAAGGTGATAAATGGACTTAGCTAGACCTCAGACTCGGCAGCTTCGTGGCCTTTCCAGTATGGTTGTGGCAGGAGGTAATGGGCCGGGAAGCAATCCAGTCCTTTTGTTTTCGTGCTGTTGGCGGGCGTGAGCAGACAAACAATGCCAGTGTGCGTCCTCTTATGATTTTCGAGTTCGTTAAGACCGGCAGATTGCTGGGCCTTGCCCTCCTCGTCGACCAATACTAAGCGGTGCATGCGTGGATGTGCTCGATGTGGATTCGTGTTGGTGAAGGGTTTGGGCTGTGCTATGGATAGTCCGTCGGCGCCCAATCAACAGAGCTGATCCAGATCCGTCCTTCACACAATGCCCCGCGCAGAGAGCTGTCGCAAAGTACTTCGTACATCGCACATAGAATGGAGACAAAGTCGAAGTTCGAGCTTCCTAAACGGACAGTAGGATCCAGTTCTGCCAATGCTGTTATCGGTTGAAATTGGGCCCAAAAGTTGTCCTTCCGCGATTGATTGAATAGCCATCGGTAAAGAGCCCCGGCTTCCCCCACTGGTGAAGCTCACTGCCCAAAAAGGAGCCATGTTCCGCCAACTTCACATGTTCCATATTCGTATTTGGCGCGAAATGATTGATCCTACTGAAAGGACAGTCGATACAAAGGAGTCGAGGTTCAGACAATCAGTCATTGCTGTCCACTCCCGCTCGTCACTCCTTCTAGTACGATGTACCGATCAAGCCCTCAGAGCCCAATTTCTTCAGCTCTTGGTGGAGCACTTACTGCACCAACTGCGAGTGGAAGCGATAAGGCTTATCATCACGTGGACACAGGTACCGAACCGGGTCTGGTCAATTTCTGTGTCAACGTCCCTCAATGCCTCATCGAGAAATCCATTCTGGGACCAATTAAGCTGCCATGCGGTCGAAGAATGTTCCTGAGATTGCTTCGCTGGACTGTCACCTCCTTTCGCGCTGACCGGACTGTTCTTGTCGAATGATCTGCGTTCCGAATGACGCTTTTCCTTGTTTACTGGGCCAGCCAAAAGAAAACATCGAAAGCAGGTTTCCAGAGTGCCGAGATCGTCGCTGATGTTCAAAATCGCCAGAGAGAATGGAAAAACCAAAGGACAAGAGCTGTGAGAGATGGAGATATAACAACGGGCGCGTAACTAAACAAACGTCTGATGCTTAATGGATGGAAACACTTTCCAAGGAGAAGAAAAGAAATAAGAAAGGGGCTCGGTCAAATTACCAGTCGGCACGTGATCTGTGATTGCTACTCTGCAGTTGGCGTATTCTTTGGCAGCCTCACCTTCGTAATACTAGGAAGATCTGGAACTAAGTTCTGGACATAAAGAGCCGCAAGGGCTGTGATCCGCTGGTGGAACAAATGCGTGGATCAGCACTCTTCGCTCTTTACTCTTTACCAGTTACCTTTTGCTCAAGGTTAGTATTGCCAAATGCTTTCAAACATGTCCGTTTCGCTTCACGATGATATGCGTCGAAGTCACCACCATGCACGCTGCATGATTGTCATCGGCTTGGATAGTTGAAAAGCTATCAAGCAAACGTTGTCGACCTCGGACCCGTTCGTCTCCATAGGCGTGTCGTTCAGCTAGGCTTGATCTGCTATTGAGAGCAGTCAGTCCACCAAGAAGTAAGTAAGCTATGTGGGTGTTCAATCAATAACCTCATAGCTAAAATCGACTCGATTTGTTAATTTGCAAAAATACTAGTATTCATCTTCAATACAAATAGTGGTATGTTCCTTTCGCTGCCGAGACCAAACAGAAACATGATCTTCCGTGCCGGTAGATGATGCCAATTCTGCCCGGATCCAGTTGTTGACGACATCCGCTTTGAATGCTGATTCGGTGACAACTGCTTCCATTTGGCGATCATTCCTTGTGCAAACTCATCGAGACGTCTTGTTGAAGATGAGGCTCTCTTGGCCGATGATTATCGAATGAGAATTCTTTCTAGTCGAAGTCCGGTTTGTCCAAGAGGCCAAGACCAATGGTGAGATGGACGAAGTCTTGTCTGGATATGCATATTTTTAAAGTCAGCTCAGTTTCAAGTACTGGACTTCGCCTTGACAAATTGATCCATTAGCCAAGAGCGCCGGGGATTGGAACAGAAATAAAGAGTTAAAAGTCTACGTAAATGATAGGCTCTTTCGCAAAGAAGAGCGCAAGAATAGAAATTGTCAAGGTGTCACAGCAGAAGTGCGAAATAGACGTCAAGATCAATAAGAATAGCGGCTGAGCACGATCCCCAAAAGGCAGGACAAGGCGAGGAGCACGATCGATCAAAATTGGTGTGGCTTTCGTAGGCCTCCGAAGCGTCGTTCTTGCCGATGTTTCCCTCACCTTGACCCTGACGGACGCGAATGCCCCCTGTTTTCCTCGCTTCGACTTGACCCCATTGTCACCAGCCCAGCAAGACGGTTCAAGACGCTTCCTGCCCCTCCAATCGAACTCCACAATTCCAAGATTCCAAGGTTCGACTTGCTCTCCTCCCTGCTCGCCCGAGCTCGACCAGTCTTCGCGTCGGGCACAACACATGTCGTCGTCGTACAGATATCCCATCTTTCTTTCTTTTTCACACTGGACGTTTTCCATTGTGGCCTACAGAGATCACAACAATATGTTTGGATTGAGAACTTCCTCACGGTGATACTTTCGACTACCTTCATATATAAATTTTCAGATACCAAAATCACTTTGAACGAATATATCTTGAATATCACCACTGCGGCTGTCTTTCAATACTCGTCAAACCTCCCCCGCTTCCGCTTTCCTCTCCAATCTTTCCTCTACAAAATACAATGAACTTTTCGGAACCGACGGCCTCCTGTACAAATATCATTTTACATATCGAAGATGTCTTTGAAGATCAAGCATCTGAATTCAGATGCTTCGTTCCTACTTAGCTTCGAACCCATTCCAACCTCTTTTCCACCTACACCTGGACAATCGAGCACACCATTCACAATTCTCCTCGATCCGTGGGTTTCCGGTCCTTCGAAGATATGGCATTCCAAATTCTCTACGTCTAAGCACAGGATCCCAGCTTGCATTTCCTCGTTGACAGAACTCCCGGAACCCGATCTTGTCATTATCAGTCAATCAAAAACCGATCATTGCCATAGGGAGACCCTCACACAGTTACCACCGAGTGGAGGAAAGACAGTTATTTTAGCAGAACCTGCAGCGGCCAAGATAATTCGAGGATGGAAGCATTTTGATGCTGAGAAAGTTGTTACGCTACCAAAGTGGGAAGAACCTCGAGGTCGTAAGACTTCCACCGTGCATCGCGTTCCGGTGCCAGCTCTGAGTCCAGAAGGCTCGAGAGGGGAAGTTACAATTGCATACATGGCACAGAAGGCGGATCTCACCGGGTTACACAGTGCTGTGGGTATCACCTACAGACCCCCGACGTCACAGGATATGTTTCCGTTGACACCTCCGGCTTCACCTCACTCTGGTCAATCGTTCGCCACTACTCATCGTCCTGACAGAGCTTTGTCAGTCATCTTCTCACCTCATGGCTGCAGCTACAAGACATTGTCTCCCTACGTCGCATCACACCTCATCACTGAAGCGGCTTTGCCATTGACAGCTCTACTCCACTGCTTTGATCGGATCACCAACTCATGGTACCTCGGGGGAAACATTTGCAGCGGTTTTCCTGGAGGGTTGGCAATTGCTCAAAATCTTTGTGCCCAGACATGGATCAGTGCCCATGATGGTGACAAGGAATCGACAGGTTTCGCAGTCACCAATCTCGTGGTAGAAAAGTATGATCGAGAGAAAGTTGAGAGCATCGTCAGTCCTCGAAACGAGAAATTCCCCAACCGAAGAACCGGTACAGAAGCAGTAGTTCTACAACCCGGAGAAGAAAAGCATTTGATTCAAAGCATGATGGATCTGGACGCTGACACCTCGACCCCGCGGACGAGTCAGGAGACGGCATAATAATGGAGGATGAAGATGTGATATTAACCTGGTGGTTGTCTTTCGACACAATTGTACTTTATGGACCGTTCACGTACATGAGGTCCTTGATTCTGTTTTTAGCATAGCGGGCGTTTGAACCTTTTTTACTATTTTTTTTTTTGCTTCGAGAGAGTTCGGAATACCCAAAACACATACTTTGTTCTTTATCATTTTGTAATTGTTAAGATATAGCTGCGTAGATGGAAGCAGATTGCATATTTGCATCAGATTAAGAATATAAACAGTTTCTTGATTGGTATATACTTGTTTCCGACTAAGAATAAAAAGAGTTCTCTGCTTGGTATTATATTCTCTTTAGTGGTATTGTACTTGATGCTAGTCACGACACACGTGACCAGTTGGAATGAATATCTTTCCAACCGAATAATTATGTCGTCTACAAGAGACCTAGAACCCCCTACCAGCCCTCCTAGCAGGCGCCTTCTTCACAGCCCCCGCACTCCTAACCTTCTTCTTCACCTCCAGCGCCTCAACCTTCTTCACCAACCTGCCCTCTTCCCTTCCAACCCTTTCCTCCTCCACCCGTCGATCCCTTGCCATCCCCTCCTCAATCTCCATCTTCCGACTGAACTCCACCTCCGTAACCCTCCTCTCCCTTGCCGAATACCCCTTCTCCTTCACAGAGTAAAACACGCCGCCGAGCTCAGCAAGCCAGTGCGGATCTACCGCCGTGACGGTGGACATGTATTCCTTGGACGTGAGGATGAGTTCGTGGTAAACGACGTAGTCGGGGAGGTAGCCTAGACCGTAGAGTGCAGATGTGGGATGCAATTGGACTGTCACGGATGTGCGCAAGTTGTTGTATTCGCCTATACCCTTTACTTTGGCGGCTTGATGGTAGTAGCCTGAGCAGATGCATTTGCGGATGACGTCCCAATCTGTACCACAGGATACCAGATTCATCTTTTGCATTTTCATGATGTCGAGTAATTGTTCGCGGATCTCTTTTGCGCGGCGTAGGGATTTCGGGTGCAGGAAATGGCGGGTGCACCAGCCGTCTGAGTAGCCGTTGCTTTTCCACTGCGAGAAGACGTGCAGGTAGGTCAGGTGGTCGGATTCTGGGACGAAGAACTTTTCGCGCGCGGCGTCGGATTCGTCTTGTCGTTCTTTGGGACGGTAGAAAACGCTGGGGACGGAGAGCATGGAGACGATGGTGAGCATCTCTTCTGAGCAGCCGTAGTCTTCGGAGGTGATGAGGAGTTTGGCGAGGGATGGGTCCATAGGGAAGGCGGTCATCTTTTTGCCAATGGCTGTGAGGTCGCCGATATTATTGAGGGCGCCGAGGGCCCAGAGGTCGAAGAGTGAGGTGGTTATGGTGTCTTGAGGCGGTGGATCCATGAAGTCGAAATCAAGGAGGTCCTTCACGCCGAGGGATTTCAGGAGGAGGACTGTGTTGCTGAGGTTTGTACGTTGAATCTCGGGGATGGTCTGAATGTAGAGCTCGTCTTTGAAAGCGGCTTCGGTGAAGAGATGGAATGCTTTTCCTGGACCTGTACGGCCTGCTCTGCCTGCTCTTTGAGAGGCGTTGGCTTGGGAAATAGGTGTTATTTGTAAGGTGTCCATTCCCATTCGAGGATTATAGACTTTGAGCTTCGAGTAACCGGCGTCGACGACATACATGATACCGTCAACAGTCAAACTAGTTTCGGCAATGTTTGTTGCAACGATAACTTTTCTGACTCCAGGAGCAGCCTTGTCAAAAATTTTGGCTTGCAAATCTGCTGGCATCTGACTGTAAATGGGAAGGATAAGGAGTTTCGGTGGGTCGTTGAGAGCGTTCAGTCGTTCTTGAACCAGCTCGCATGTGCATTCAATATCTTCCTGTCCAGTCATGAAGACTAAAATATCACCTGCCCCCATAGAGACATGAATAGCCAGTACTTGTTGTACTGCTTGATCCACGTAATCTTCCACCGGCGACCTGTGAAACATAACATCAACAGGAAAAGTTCGTCCCGGAATGAAGAATTCCGGCGCGCCGCCATAGAAATCGGAAAACTTCTTCGAGTTCATGGTTGCTGATGTAACAATAAGTTTAAGATCGCGCCGACGGGTAAGAACTTTCTTGAAAAGCCCCATAAGCACATCCGTGTTAAGTGCTCTTTCGTGGGCTTCGTCCATGATCACACAGGAATACTTGTCCAGATCCTGCTCGTTAAGTGATTCTCTAAGAAGGACACCATCAGTCATATATTTGATGGCCGTCTCCTTGCTGGTACAATCCTCAAATCGAATAGCATAGCCTACAGTACTTCCGAGCCGGCACTCCATCTCTTCACTGACACGTTTTGCAACGCTCATCGCGGCGACTCTTCTGGGTTGAGTGCACCCAATCATTCCAAGTTTCGCGTAGCCGTCTTCATATAAGAACTGAGTAAGCTGGGTCGTTTTACCAGATCCAGTCTCACCCACGACAATAACGACTTGGTTGTCACGTATCACCCGCAGTAGATCTTCTCGAACTGCGAATGCTGGAAGGTATTCTCGTTGTTCTTTCAAAGACTTACTCTGACTGAAACTACTGGCACCATCATTTTTCTTCATATGTTGAGCAAATTTGCTGTTGCTTTGCTGCTCTTCCTCCCCAGGCACAGGAGCGGCACTGTCTCCCTCATCCTCCTTGACACCCATCAAATTTCCTAACGCAGTACCAGCCATATTTGTAGCTTCCTGGGCTTGTTTCTGTCTTTCCTTCTGCTGGCGTCTCTCCTTTACAACTTTGCTTCCTTTTCGACTGAACACTGCCATATCGCTCTGGTTATCCCGAACCGCAGGCACTGGTTCTAATTGCTTAGAGAAGACTGTCCGGCCGTCCAGAAATGGGGGCTTAAGATCGTGAACCAGTAAGTGAACACGCGTGGCTTCCTCATCATCTTCAAAATCGTCTCCAAAATCCCGTCGCTGAGCTACTCCGGACGTAAGCATTCGATTTGTTTCCCATGCATCAACATCTTTCTGCTTTTGTGTTGCCCTAGCACTTATGCGCTTGCCGGTTTTCTTCTCCGTCAACGCTGCTTCTCGCTGCTGATCTGCCCAGGAGTTGTCGTAAGATCCAAATGGGTTATGGGAATCGTCTCCAAAGGTGTGGCCAAATTCATCGCCATCATACCAATCCCTATCCAGCGCATTGGAATCCTCTTCGTTTACGAATGGCTCTGGCCCGTCGAACTCCTCCTGCTTGGGCGCTGGAGTCGAGGCGAATCTCGACCGTCCATGAGGTGTCGATGATCGTGACCCATTTCCTACTCGACTTTGCGATCTTGATACCACGGATTTCGAACCATTATGTGCTGAAGATGGCCGGGCTGGGACGACAAACCGGTCATCGTTTCGCAGGGGATTGTAGTCCAGCTTCCGGCGTTTAGGACTTTGTTCTCCCTCATCCCTTGCCATGTTGAAGTGTGACTCGGTCAAGTTGGTCAAAAACTGTCGTACTGAAGTTGTCCGAAACCTAGAAATGTGACGCGGACCCCTGATCGACTAGCGTCCGCTATCAAAACTTGCGATTAGATACGCGAAAAAAAAAGTTCGAGCACAATTTCCCCGCGGTAGGATCTTGTTCAAATAGCTGCTATTTCTTGTCGCAAACGACAACAATAAATCTATTTACCATGTCGATGATCACAGCCACAGCGTGGGTTCCACGAGGATTTGCTGCGCCATTTCCAACGAAGTATACCTTTGACGAAGACGAATTCCAGCGAATCGCGGAACTCGCGAAGCTACAACTTGACGATGCCAATGAGGATTTAGAAGAAGTGCAGAAGCAATCCGAGGAGCAGAATGGCAAACACAACGATGATAATGACTCGGGCTCTGATGCCGAAGAAGCTCCCAAAACACTGAAATCAACTGGGTAGATTCATCTTGCCCCTCTTGTTTATTATTACTGATGACTTACGCAAGGGAGGAGGATGACGACCTCAAAGAGTACGACATGGAACACTATGACGAAGATGTGGCCATGGAGCAGGATAAGGATGGAGAGTCTATGGGCATGTTTGGAAACGTCAAGTCCCTCGCATACCATGAGTCCAATAAAGATGATCCATATATCACAATGCAGGAAAACGAAGACGACGACGAAGATCGAGAAGAGTTACAGATACTGGCTACCGACAATATGCTTCTAGCTGCTAAGATAGAGGATGAAGTAGCACATTTGGAAATTTATGTCTACGAGGACGAGGCCGATAATCTCTATGTTCATCATGATCTTATGCTTCCAGCGATACCCCTCTGCGTTGAATGGATTGATATGCCAGTTGGAAAAGCAGGCGTGGAAAAGGATGCCAGAGCGAACTTTGTCGCTGTGGGGACGTTCGACCCAGATATCGAGATCTGGGACTTGGATACAGTGGATTGCATGTATCCTAATGCCATCTTAGGTCAAGGTGGAAATGCCGAAGGCTCTGAGGACGCAAAGAAGAAAAAGAAGAAGCGCAAGAAGTCGAAAAAGGCAAATGATGATTACCATGTTGACGCAGTTCTTGGGCTTGCAGCAAACAGACAGCATCGTAATCTTCTTGCATCATCTTCTGCAGACAAGACAGTAAAACTATGGGATTTGAACACGACTAAGTGTGCCAAATCATACACTCACCACACGGATAAAGTCTGCTCGCTGGCTTGGAATCCTACACAGTCCACCGTCTTGCTGACTGGAAGTTACGACAGAACGGTCGTTGCAGCAGATATGAGAGCACCAGATGCTAAAGCTCCTACGTGGGGCGTTGAGAGTGATGTTGAAACCGTCCGCTGGGATCCTCACGATTCAAACTATTTTTACATTTCCACCGAGAATGGCGTTATTCACTTCCACGATGTTCGAAATACTCCTTCAAAACCAGCAGCCAGCAAACCCGTTTGGACATTACAGGCACATGACGAATCGGTTTCGGCTTTTGATATCAATCCAGTTATTCCAGGGTTCATGGTGACAGGTTCAACGGACAAGCAGGTGAAGCTGTGGAACATCCAACCATCAGGCCCGTCCATGGTGGTCTCTCGCAACTTGGAAGTTGGGAAAATCTTCTCGACTGTCTTCGCACCAGATGAAGAGGTTGCATTTAGATTGTCTGTGGCAGGCAGCAAAGGGATTGTCCAAGTCTGGGTAATTTACACCTTTTCTAGACCATAAATTTCCTCCAATCCTTAGGAGTTACTTACTAACTGCTTTTAATAGGATACTTCCACCAACCCGTCAGTCCGGAGGGCATTCGCTGATCGTGTAACACCAGTCGAGGGCGAGATCAAGGAAAGATTGGTTCGTGTTCGAGATGAGAGCGATGATGATGAATCAGGCGACGATGAGCCTGAAGAAGGAAATGAAAAGAGTGGCGAAGGCTGGGAGTCTATGGATGAGGATTGAAACAAAAGATATGGTGTTATATTTCAGGATGGATGATACCCACGATGTTTACGCTTATTGATCCACCACTAGTGTCTGCTGGAAACACTTCATCCAAAGATCAAGGCCATCAAAATCCTGGGCATCATAACTCTAAATCAGCGGGACTATACTGGGGGGTGCAGTCAAATGAACCAAGGATGGTGATGAAACTTTGGCGAGTTGCAGCGGAATTGCCAAATGCCACCCAAAACTCAGGCGAAGCTACAATATGTGGCAAGTGCTAATGTATATGAGGCTGACTTGCAAAGCTTCTTCGAAGTGGAGGATTTGATAATCTCGGCTGGCATTACGCATGAAGATTAGACCAACATGTTTCTCCACAAAGTAGTGATCTTGGTTTGTTTTTTGTATGATTTACAGTGCTTGGACTTTTCCCGAATTCAAGGCTCGCACCGTCGTCTCGGGATGCCGAGGGCTGTGTAGATCTAGCGATCTTTTAGAGGGGGGTTCCTTGAAATTGAAGCTCGAGCCTCGATGTCGAGAAGTTCGTGATTTGTCTATATCATAGATAGCATGACGCAACAATGGATAATTTACGTGGTAATGTTTTGGTGTGATTAAAACGTTGGAATCTCATTTCCTTTTGTCAGTTGGTGGAGGATTTCATTACTAGGATTGTTATTGTGGTACAGCATCCTTCGCTTCGGCTCCTCATTCTGGGGAAACACCGGTTGATGAATTGGATGACCTCGGGACTGCAGCAGATCGAATGTCAGCACGTTCTCTGTGACCCTTGAGTATGTTTATAGCAAAACCTCAAAACTCACCCTGGGAAGTTGGGATCTACTAAATGTGTTTTATGACGATAGTTACTATTATATAATATCGTCACTGACATCTTGGGGGGTTTAGGAATCTCATAGGCACACCCGTCACTGTCCCGTGCCCAAGAACAGTAAACAGCTCAGCGTCCTGTTGTAGCTTTTTGTATCTCGTATAGTTAAAGATATATCGACAAATGTGAACCAGAAGGGTTTATTAAGACGGCTTCTCCTCTCATAAAAATGAGCTTTCTCCTGCCCTGCGAGATGAGGAGTAGCTCTCGTCTCGAGAAATCCCTTAGTCGAACAATCTTTGTACAAAAACTACGAAGCACAGATTCCCCAGCTTACTTCTAACTCACCAAAACCTCTATTAGAACCATGCTCGTCAAATACAGAACACTTTTGCAGGTCCGGCTAGAGATTTGAATGACCGCGGGTGCTTTGATATGTTTGATGCTATCATTGATAGATGCGAGTATTGGTACAAATTTTCAGAGGGATCGTTGGGATTTTTAGTAAGTCCTTGTTGAGGGATTTGGGATGAAGATTGATGTTTGATGAATGGGTAGTGCTGCACTATCTCTAGAGTATGCAATCAATTCCAAGGCCGCTAAATGTTGATGAAAGAACATCACTACATTTGCAGAATGGCAGTTTGGATTGAGATCGACCGTCGTCCGAAAAAAACCAAAGAACTACGACTAGAAGGGTAAGATTGGACCAAGATTTTAGTACTGCGCTTCGAAATAAACTGCAAGGGAAATAATTCAGGAGATAATTCGAGGTGAGTTGATCTATGTGTTGAAGTGATTCTTGTAAACACATGTATTACTAGTGCACTTAATACCAGTAGAATAGGTCAAGCATTCTCAGGTACTGACTTGAAGAAATGGAAGTGCTTAGCGCAAGCCAAAGCAGTCTCTGCAACAGAACACTTTGCCATCATAGTCGCTGAATAGAATAGAACAGGCCAACAAGACATTAAACCGAGAAAGCCTCGTCAGAGTATCTTGACGTAGTTCTTGCGCCGGCATTGAAATATGTTCGCGCGCGGGAGGTCGCGCACTGTGATTTCATAGCCAGCACAAGCATCACGGTCTCCACGCCTGGACCATGAGGAAAAGACCCAAGCCATCACCAGTCGATCTCGATGGTCGTCGTCTCGACTCGCTTTGGTACCTGAAACGAAGACTCGTCCAATGAAGGCGCTGCATGTCCCCGACATCCCAGCGGCCATTGTTTCGACTATCTTCCACGCGGCAGCCATCCATGTTTCCTCGATCTGAGCGACCAGAATTGAACCATCTTCCACTGCGCACGGCGGCAGCAGTGAAGATGCTTTACGATGCAATCAAAGATCTGATACCATCTTACGAAAGGAGACCTTTTCTAAGTGAGCTTTGTGTATTCGGTCATCTAAGCGAGGAAACTCGGTGGCGAGCAGCGTAAAGCGTTGCGCGACGCCTCACTGCTCCAGATTGAGGGCATGTCCCCATCTCGCTAAGCTGAAAGGAGACGTCTTGTCATCCCGATGGAAAATGAACATGCAAGCAGCAAAACGGCTGCGGCGGAGACGAGATTGAAGAGGTTATTGGGCCGACGAGTAAATATGTTGACTCTCAAACAAACCATTGCGTTCGGCAAGTGCAAGTGCATTTCTAGCAGGAGGAGAGACTTCTAGCTCGAGTAGTGAATCGAGCTACGATTCTTTGGGCCTTTTTGGGTGACAGTTTGCTTGCGGTGTTGGGTCTATCGGATTCGCCCTGGGCTTACCGCCCCTCCCTCCATTGGCCGGTCCAAAGAAAGATTTCGCGCAGATCCAGCCAGTCCCAAGCGTCCACCGGGCGGGGCCTGGCCCCTGACATCGAGAGCTGGGCCGCTTCTGGTCCCTGGTCCGTTCTGTTTTTCGCTCGTCGTGCCTGCCCTTGTTGCCCTTGCAGCCCGCCGTCGTGGCCCACCGCGAGCGCTTTCGCAGGCTTCTTCACGACCATTTCTCCCCCTTCTCCGTCCCTTTTCTCCTCCATCACTTTTTCGCGCACCGCCAGCACCATCAACAGCTTCAATATCGCCCGGTCGATTCGCTGTCCACCTACATTCCTTCACTTCGAATTCGCAGAACCCGGTTGTTCGATCACTCCCTTATCGACAGCCCACCACAGCTCCCTACAGCTACAGGCAAATTCGCGGACAAAGAACGCTTTTGTCAACACCAAAATAAACCCTTTACGGACTGAGTCCTTTCATTGTCTTTTATCGACAACAAACCACATTGCCACCAGCTATCATTACCTTCATTACAACTTATTCCAACTTGCAACCAAACCTTCTAGGGATATCCTTCGAGAGTTTCCCCGAACAACGCGCCGACCGCAACAACCAACTTGAATCAATAAACATCGTCACCTGAACTTTAAAAGTCACTCAGCATTGCTGGCAAGCGTCTTTTCACTCTGCACCTCCTTCCGGTTGTGCGACAAGTCAACCGCTTCACTTGCAGAAGACGTCTGACCACGACCAATAAACGGAAAGCGACACCTGCACCTGCACCGAATTTATCCACCCCACCCCACCCTCAAAACCGTCACACGCCAAATCACTCCCGTTGGCTAAAGTCTAGACATACCCCATCATTATCTGTCAGACCCGGACAATCAGTTACCATCAGGAAAAATGTCCCTCTCAAGAGCCTTTACGATGAGACGGAACAGAGGAGGATCGAATTCCGACTCAAATTCGGCTATTCCCTCGAGGAGTTTAACCACAAAACACTCATTCGCATCCGGCACAGTGAGAAGCAAGATCTCGGGGCCGATCGAATTGATTTCGACCACAAATATGCTTTCTTACAACGCGCCAGATATCTTCCCAAAAAGCTCTCCTGCGCTTTCGACGGGCTCCAGATCATCAACCGAGGACGACGGCTCTGACAGATCAAATTCTTCGGTGTCTTCACCAATCACAGAAGCCTCCTCGATCGGTTCATCTTCTCCAAGAGCAGGCTCACCAGATCCAAATCATCTTTCGTGTTACTTTGGTCAACATAAAGAGTTCCCAATGGAGGAGGCACCAGTCATTCCAAAGAGAGCTCTCTCCCACACCAAGAAGAACGCAGAGATACTGGCACGCAAACGCTCAACATCGAGAATGTCATCTCCAAAGAACAGCATCTCAACTCGATCTTCACTGAACATGTTCTCGTCCAGTGTAGATGCACCCGACGCACACCCATTCGGAAACGAGCTTGCACAGGTTACTGAATTAGCCGAGGATTACGGTATCAGCCAGCAGACGCTAGACATCGTCGATGAAGAGGAGCAGGAGCTTGTCTCGAAGGGACTATTCAAATTCCGCGCTGAAGATTACATGAGCGAGATCCAAGGTCTTTTCGCGAGTGCTTTCGGAGAGTCCAAGCCTGCGATGGCTGCGATGTGGATATAGTTGTTTCTTCAACGACTTGCACCTTCAGTTTTCTTCATGCTACATAATATCCGGCATCTCTACCACTTTCCATGTATATACTTTCGGCCACTTGGTTCACATTCTTACACTCTTTACCACTTTATTTAAACTTTACATACTTTTGTCGATCAGGATATGGAAAATAGGGGATGGGAGTTCACGGATCGGCTGGACAAACGGACAGGCAATTGATAGTTGCAGTGGTTTTTGTTGGTATGGGTAATATCCCTTTACTGTTGTGTCTTAGATGACATGTACGCTCTTTATGATGTAGGGGAAGGTAGCAGCTAGACTGCTTGTTTTCACTGTTTTAGACAGCGCTAGCGACAAGCGTAGGCTTGAATACAATTCATTAAATCTTATCTTTTGTGTCTAATGATGTGACTGTAATACTTCCATCATCTTCTTCTTAATCATCCAATGTCCATACCTACTCTACAACACGCTTGATACTCCCACGATGGGTAACCTTCTACAATTCTAAACCCGGGCAGTCATCCAAGACTTCCCGCAACCTAAACATCACATGCACATAGATATCACCGCCATCACGATCTGATCCACATCGGGAACATCATACTCGACACTCACATGTTTTGTTTTTGGTAGATAAGTAGCCGATGCGATTATTTATCTCGTTTAGTGGATAAGTGAGGGGTCTTGAGACGGGAAATGTATGATGTGTTTCCGGGGAACGGGGAATTGGAGCTGGGGATCTGGGATCTGGGAGTTGGGGGTGAGCGAGCGCTCGGTTGGAAACGAAACGAGAAGGGCGGACGCTTGGGAGGGGAATCTAGATTCTGGAAGTTGGAAAAGGATGGGTATCGTGACTGTGAAGGGGCTGTGACGTTGCGAGAGAGGTGCAGGCTGGAAATGGGGAGGTTTTGGGAGGGAGATAGGGGGATGTAATGTTGTATTTGTGGGTTTGGTGATGGGTGGGTAGTAGAGTGAGGGGAAGAATGTGCTGGGCGACTGGGAGAGATTGATAAACGGACGTTTGAAAGAGCTTATTTGCCAGTTAAGCATCTATCCTAGAGAACTCACAATAAAGATTCATATACTACTACCCTGCTTCTTGGGTGCCTACTAAATAGTTGGAGGCACCTAATTCGCTTCCTCGTTGATTCCCCTCAGCGAGTCAGCGAAGATTGCAGAACTAGCATCCAATATAAAAAGGAGACGATCTAAGTCGGAAAACGAGAAAAGTAAGATGAGAATTCTGTGGAGACGGCTAATATCATACAAGAATTTTGTACTTTGAATTCGATGCAGAAGAGGATGTTTAACAGAGCTTGAAGTGAGTTGTATATTATCACGTGTAAAAGTGGATCCCCAGATACCACGCTAATGAACAACCTCCAAACTTTTTTCCAAAGCTTCAAACCCAAAAGACCACAATTATCTCACCCGATCACCAACACCACCACAAACACCCAATCCCCCCCTCCGTAAGTCCCCCCCTCCCCCGCGCCTACCACCACAAAACAGTCCGTGGCCAAAATGATGAGATCCCATAAACCCCACAAATATCTTTAGGAAGAGCCGTATTAGGCGACACAACCAATACAACGCGAGACGGGTCCGGGGCTCGTGTTCTGTATCGTCATATACGGCGGGCTTTGGGGACGTTCTCGTGGGTTGTTAGCGGTGCTTAGAATCTGGGTTTCTGAAATGTGTTGGACTGTTTGTGTGTGTGCTGGTGGTTGTTGTTGAAAGAGAGAAAGGGTGAGGGCTAATGTTGATTATAGGGCGATTGCTTGGAGGGGAATTGAGGGGTGCTGAAGAGGGATGGAGAGTGGGAGTTTGAGTCTTGGGCGGGAGTAACTCACGAAGGGCCACTCTTCGGACAGCTATAACGTTTGGCTCGATCATACAGAAGGGATTTTGGTGGTGTCGCATGACTCGGAAGACTTGCGCAAGCTATGTCTGGTCAGCAGTGTCCATTGCTCACGGGAAACGCTCATTATTGGAATGTTGAAGTTGTCGAACGGATTCAATCGTGTTCGCTCAATGCTCCTCTATGCCGTCTCGAAATCCAAATTCGGACGAGCGTAGCTTCACATGGGGTTTGTTCTGGATTGTCGTTGGATAGAATTACATGAAGTTCAAGAGCTACAGCTTGTGTCATTTCGGAGCGAGAACGCTCCAAAATTGTCACACTGGCGCTGCTTGAGCTCTCGTGTATTCTTCTACTTCCACTGATGGCGGGTGCGAATTCGCTGTTCAGCAGGCATGAACTCGTCAGGTCGCCTACTAGACAAGTGTCCAGGCAGGTAGGATATCGTTATGTCCTGGCGTTTTTATCTTAGTTTGCTCTCCTACTACAAATTTCATTTCTATATCTGCTACATTGATATGGTGTCACTTCAAGATCTTATTGCAATCTTGTGCGATACCAGCACGAAATTACTTCCAGCTGCCATTTTACTCCATGGCTTCATATTATGATATTGGTCTATCACCCTAATGACTGTAGTTTTGCATTATCTCTGCTTCCTACGCCTTCTCATTCTGACACATTTGGAATAATGAATAGTGGATTTGTTATACGAGCGCCCCTTTTGGTAAAATAATTTGCTGCACTTGATTCAAAAGGTTGGCAGATCATTGTCTTGTATCAGATCAGCCTTTATCTGTACGCAATGTGTCTGTCCGCGCTCGATTCCCTTGGATACCACTTGAGATTGAACTTCTATTTCCACTAGGCATCGAATATGTAAGGTGTGCTATACTTATTCGACACAGAAGAATATTTGACATGAATCGAGTCATGTTGACTAACATGGAGACTTTGGGGTATGTCTCGCTTGGCCAACCTTCAAGAGATTGCTGATTAGGATATTACAACTTCTTGGCATGTTGTACTTGTACGAAGCTGTAAATATCATTTTCAAATTTGTTTCGGAAATTCGATTCAAAAAAAGGGGTCTCTCAACACATACACAAACACTTGTTCAAGTTTCACAACACAGGATTCAAAAACATCCTGTTTAAAGACTTCATCGCCCGCCACATCCCCCCTCTCCTCCTCGCAATAACCATCACAATCGGAGGATTCATGCCTCTCTGGGATGCAGAAGGCGCGATACGACTCTTGGGTCTTCCTCAACGTATCGCTATCTCCAAAACGGCTCAGCCGATAACGGTTCTCAGCTCGGCGCGAATCTCAGCGATTGGCATTGCGATCTGGATGTTATATCTTCATCAGCAGTACGGGGCCATAGATATTGTGCTTATGGTGTTCGCCTATATAGGAGTGATTGATGGATATGTGTGTTGGAAAGGAGGGAGTGCCTGGGAAGGCTGTTTTTAGGGCGAGTAGTTCGGTGACGGTGGGACTTTGGGGATTCTTTGAGATGACTGTTGGAGGGTGATGATTCGGTAAACTATAGCAAAGTTGTGTGTAGGAGGGGGAACAGTCACGGTAGACAAATAACAAGTGGTATCATTAGCCAAATGCAAATTGCGTGCTTAAGTAGAGTATACTTCGAGCTCTGAGCTTTTTGTTTTACTAGATATCAAAATGGAAGTTGAAGATGTTTTGTCCACTTTAGAAAACTGTAGAGACAACTTATGTTTAGTGAAACATGTTACTTGCTGATCAAATACCTGTAGCATGGTGCAACTGCCACCCGTTTGTGGATATCATATGCCAAGATATTTCCCCGGATTTAAACCCCTGTCACTTTCATCGCATCCTCAAGGCAAAGACAATAATCTCGCGACAGAACATATCATACCAAACATATCATATCACAAGGCCATCACGATGTCACCGCCCCCGAGTATACCTTCCGCAGAACCAACTATCCTCTTCCGGCCCTCCAAGAAACGCAAGATCTACCGCCAGCGTGCAACCTCCCAGGAACCAGATGTTCCAACGCCATCTGCGCCCGAAGCGCAAAGTCTCGATGAGTTGATCAGCAGCACAGCGCAGGAGGCGGAAGTCGAAGGAGTGCAGGTGCCCATGTCTGAGATATTGCGACTTCGCAAGCAGAGGAAAGGGAAAGGAGGGGTTGTGTTTGGTGTTGATTCTAGCTCCCGTGCTGATAGAGAGGAGGGGCGAGAATTAGCTATCAGAGCGCCAGAAGAAGAAAAGGCAGAAGAGGGTTTAGAAAGTAATGGAGGTGTGGTGAGGAAGTTTGCGCCCCAGACAGGGACGATAGGTGATGTGGATAGGCATATGTGAGTGCTCCCATGATTTTGAGATTGGCAGGTGGATGGAACAGAGAACAGTGCTAATAGAGGAAGGATGGCTTATATAGATTCTGAGCTGGCCAAACGTCGTATCTCTGAAGGTTCCCAACCTTCTGCTGCAGCTGGATCTATATCGTCGTCGATAGAACGCGCAACGATTAATTCGAACAAGACTGGCGAGGTTAATAGACAGCCTGCGGCGCTCGGCAAGATACTGGAAGTTGATCTTGGTGATGAGGTTAGGAGTAAGAATGTTGCACGTACAAACAGATTGTTGAATGGAGAAGAGGTGGAGGATGGTGTGCAGCGGAAGCCAGCCAAGGTACGCCTGGGAAGAGATGGGAAACCGTGGAGGGGGAGGAAGAGAAGAGGAAGTGATGATATTGCTAGAGATAAAATCGTTGAAGATCTGTTGCGGGAGAACCGGCGTAAGTTCCCTTCAAGCCACCGGGCGGTTTGATTATGCTAAAATCCTATAGTTGAAATATACGAAGAAACGCCAACTCCACCACCAAATTCTAACGGTGACCAAGCAGCCGATGATGCCCTAGCCGACGCTTTTCTGAAAGACTATATGGATTCGGTAAAATCAAGACAGCCTAGGGTGCCGCAAGTGGCTAGTACAGCGAAGACGGCGCAAGCTAAGAAGGAAGAAGAGGCGTTGAAGGGACCGAAGTTGGGAGGGAGTAGAAATGCAAGAGCGGCTATGAGAGAACAGATGTTGAAGGATGCGAGTAAAAAACGGTAGCTCGTAGGCTTTCAGTCCTCCAGTCTATGTGTTGGAAACATTGATAAATGTTGAGATAAGGATTGTAATAATCGCGGTTGAAAGATTGATTGGAATACGAAATTGCTTGCAACATAGTGAGCACAAACACCTCGGTAAGAATAATATCAAATAATGAAAGTCTAGCACCGCAGGCGGCTCAGAGATTCGTTGGTTGCGCTTACAACTTCCCTCACCGCCAGTTTGTCTTGAATATAACCCCAAAGACAACACCTCCTTTCACATACGACCATAGACTGAGGAGAACCGGGCATCCCGTCCGCTCTGCCATACGTAAGCCTCAGATCGGTAGATTAGTAGTTGGGTGGGTGACCACCAGCGAATACCTACTGTTGTATGTTTTCTTTTCATTTTTGGTGTTGCTGGTGCGTTAAGCGAGATTGAGGTTGAAACTCGAAAAGGGGGATGGGTGGGAGATTTCCACAGGAGTAAAGATCTTTTTCGGAACCCAGTGATTTGCTATTTGGAACGTAAAAGCTTTTGTTTACGGACAAGTCTTGCGGGACAGCGAGGAAACGAAACCTGCCCATCTAGGTGGTTTCCGGGCTTGATAGCCTCTTCAATTACAATTCAATTTATCCCAAACGTGGCCCATACACGAAGAATACTGTATTGCACAAATCATTAATGATTAGAATATGTCATGAGGAGCAAATCCTTTCTTCACATCTGTTTTATATACAGCTAATTTCAGCTTCCCAAAGTTCCCAAACCATCAAACTCCACGTTGGACCAATTATCTACCAAAACGCCACCGCTATGCTTCAAGACTCATGTACAATACATTACTCATCACTATCATCTTCGAAGATGGGAGCTCTCTGTCTCTTCGTCCTCGCTAAAGGAGGTACTACCTCCGTATCTGAGCTTGGCACCTGAACACTATTCTCGGGAAATTCTTCAGGTACTCGTCCCGTAAGAGTCGAAGTGTCCGATTCATTGCGGTCATGATCGTCATCAACCGAATTCTGGGTACAAAATAGGGATGCAAGCTCGATCTTCTTTCCAGGAGGCTCGGTAGGTGGAGGGCTGGATGAGCGAGTAACACTACTTCTTCTTATGCCTAGACTTGAAGATTCATCGTTGACGACAAAATCCAGCATACTAGAGGGCATCTCGCTTTCCTGAGAAGGTTCTTCAGAACCGGCCAGATCATCTCCTTCTCCCTCGGTATCATCACCACTAATCTCCCCTGCAGCCGTACCACCCGGAGTTGCTTCCATATCACTACCCGGGTCCATCATCCCGAACAGCTGAGCACGAGGCCTCTTTGCTTTAGAAGCTGGCTTAGTCTTTGGTGCTTTTGGTGTCTGTTTTGAACGGGGTACGGCCAACTTTTTGATTTTGGGGGTTGCTTTGGTGGTGACCATCCTTTCAGCAGGAGGTGGAACGTACCATGACTCTCGTAATGGTGGTGTATCTCCGTAAGGCTTCAGGTAACGATCATCATAGCTCTGCGAATCGGAAAGTGTCTGGAACAAATTTACACATCTATTCGTATACTGACCATGCTGGATCTTTGCAATACGACTTAGCGATCGTTGCGATTTTGGTTGTGTTGTTAGGTCGGGCATCCCAACTTCTTCAAATTCATCACCAGCAATATTCTGAAACCTCCTCTCCAGCTCTTGAGTTTCTTCGTGATCGAGAATCACTTGCCTTACATCTATGATCGGAACCAAAGCAGCTTCAGGTATGATTTCTGATCTCTTCTTTTGGGTAACAATTTCGACGTCGCTCGGGGGAGATGCTTGGACTCTCTTCTTTCCAGATAAATTAGATGCGGATTGAAAGCCGGTTTGAACGCCATCCGGCATATGAAACTTCTTTGGCGGCTTTTTCGCTCCTTTTTTGGCCCTTCTAGTTGGGACTGGTAGTGAAGTATCTTGCGTGTTTTCGATTGGGATCTCGATAATCCGTTTGTCAACGACGGGATTGATGTCTCTTGGCACGATGCGCACCGAGAGGTCGTGTCGGAAATTGAATCGTTGCCCTGAGCTAATCATTTTCTGCATCTGCTCATAATTATCCTTGGCCTTGACGAAATTGTTCTCCTCCTTTCCACGCATCAACAAGAGAACAATACGTCCAGCTCGCTTTCTACCAGTCCGACCCATGCGCTGAAGCATTCGAATCGGCGACGCTGAAGCATCATAGCAGACAATGAGGTCAACTTGGCCAATATCTAATCCTTCCTCCCCAATCGAGGTTGCAACTATAACATTGATCTTCCCATTTTTGAAATCCTTGATAGTCTCAAGCTGTTTTGCTTGATTCATACCCTCGGAACGTTTGGAATCAGCCTGGCCGACAAAGACTGATGCTCGAATCATTGGCTGCTGTTTATTCAATACTCGACAAACATCCTCAGCGCTGTCACGGTATTCTGCAAACACAATGACACGGGTTGCGCTGGGAGGCATGTCTTCTCCCAGTCTTCCTTCACCAGCATCCAAGAAATGATTGAGGATTGTGTCGCAGAGACAAGTGAGCTTGGGATGGCCAATAAAGTCCTCCAGGTTAATCCATCTCTGCATCAAATTCATCATCTCTCTGAAGTCTGGGTTTTCGAGAATCTGCTTCCTGTATTTCCCACCACCATCTTTACCCTCGTTGGCGCTATCACGAAAGTCTTTGACCGCAGAGTAGAATGGGGCGATGCCGTGAAACTCGAGGAGCTTTATCCCATGAGCTACGCTCGCAAGAATGGCAAACAAGCCATTCATCATGCCTTTTAGACCAAAACCCGCGGATTTCCCGGCTCCAGAGGCGAACCATTGTTTCCTTGCCTGTATCAGACCAAAGGCAGTTAAAGACATAGGATCCTTATTGTAGTACCCGTTCTGGCTGCAAAGCAGGCTGAGCAACGGTTTCAGAGCATTGGAGTAGAGCTCCTTAATTTTGACTATTTCGTCGGACGGATCAAGGATAATCTGGTCAACATCACGCCGGTGGACGTATTGCGAAATATCAATCGAGACTTCGGATCGGATTTCGACTTTAGAGATTTCCAACGCATCAATCACTTCTTGTACTGATTCAACACTAGAACCCGGGGTTGCGGTCAAGGCAAGTATGCGAAAGCTCTTATTGAACCTCCGTAAAAAGCTTACCACCTTGACGTACGAATAGTTTCCGGTGGCCCGATGTGCCTCATCTACAACAAGGAGAACAATTTTCTTGGGATCAGCAATGCCACTCGAGAGATCGTTTTCGAAAGTTTGGGGGGTCATAAAGAAAATCCTTTTCGTTGCCCACTCTTCAGCTCTCAACGCGGGTTGTTGTTCGCCTGTGAGCATCGTCGTCTGCGATTTTGGTATTCCCACAATGCCAAAACAAGCCTCAGCTTGTTGCGCAACGAGAGGTTTAGTTGGCGCGACAAACACGATTTGAGCATCTTTCGTCCATCGAAAGTAATTATACATTATTGTAGCAGCGATGAAGGTTTTCCCTAGACCTGTGGGCAGCGCTACGAGGAGGTTGTTGAAAAGGCCATTTCGAACAATGCTAAACTGATAATCACGGATTGTACCGAGATTTGTAGGATAGACCCAAGTTTTCAACGCTTCTGTGTCAAGCTTATGATGAGTTGGGGCTTCTGGCGGTAAATCAACAATAAAATTGTGCACTTTCCTGGCCTGAGAAGCCGTGACTACCTCAGGAGCAGCATGGGATCCGAACAAAGTTGTCTGTTTGAGTCCATTCAGAGGTGCGGCGAGGCGCTGCCTTGCAAAATTCGACTGAGTCGGGCGCGGGGGCGAAGACCCTATTAGTATGGCTTCATGATTATTCTCCGGAGAGGAGAAAGCGTCTGATGGAAGGTCCGCAAGCTCTCCTGAGATATCATTTTGCGGTGGCGGGGTCTTTTGCCGCCTTTGGAAAGAATCAAACAGAGATTTTTGTTGAGGTTGTTTTCGAGTGTTTACAATGGTCTGTGAAGGCTTTGGCGATTCCGGACGTGGTTTCCTGTATATGGGACCTCGAATGCGGGAAGGACTCGAATCGGGATATCCTTCAGCTTGCGTAGCGCCCCAAATCTTTGGGGCTGGAATTGTATCAGCTCCAACGTGTATCCTGTACTTTTTCTTTTTCGACTTTTCATTCTCTTCATCTTCATCGCCGCCAGATCCAGCCAAGATGTCCGACCCATCGTCACTTGTTCCATGATTCAGTCTCCTACGCTTGTTCGATTGCGACTGCGGTGATGGGCGCAGTGGTGGAAGATCTTGGGATGGCTGGCTCAGTGCTTCAATCAGATCTTCATCCGCGATATCGCCATAATCCTCCTCGTCCATTGCATCCGTGGTTGAGGTACAGCGCACATAGTTTGCTGGAAGGTTGTTGAAGTGGAACGTTCAGAGAAGCGCGAAGGGACGCGACAAGTCAACACGAGTTCACGTGACTGTATGTTTCTATGTCAAGAAGGTGTAATCTTAAGGCAATTCCTTCCTGTTGATATCTGGGAACGTCCATTTATATACTTGCACAGGCTCAAACGCAAGACGCTGTTTTGGATTTCTCGTCCAACTGCGATTTCTTTCACAATGGAATAATCCCACCAGCTACATCAACAGCCGCTAGTAAAGTAATCCGGACAGGGGTAGTTGACAGCTAACCGTTGCGACACTTCAGCGACACCACCATAATCATTTCAGAAACCTCCCAAACCACAACACTTTGCGCCAAATACCTTCCAGATGGATCAGCAAACGCCGGAAGGCACACTGAGTTGGCGCCTGAGTTCGCATCCCATAACTCTGCTGTGGTTCTTAGCCTTTCGAATCTGTAAGGATTGAGCCTCGTGTCTATCCTGAGAGCGCAAGAAGACTAACAGACTACTGTAGCTTCGTTAGTTGTTTATTTGGTTGGCATATTCTTTACAGACAATTTGTTAGTAGACCGAAATCTTTGTTCTACAGTCCGATCAAAGTTCGATAGCTAATTCCAATAGCGTTTTAATCTTCATCATCACGATGCTCCTCCTCGCAGCCGACTTCTACTACCTCAAGAACATTGCTGGTCGCCGTCTGGTTGGTCTACGGTGGTGGAATGAAGTACATCCTGAGACAGGCGATTCGCACTGGGTGTTCGAATCTTCAGATCCCTCTACGAAAGTTATAAGTGCGACTGACAGACGATTCTTTTGGCTGGCGTTGTATTCGCAGCCATTACTCTGGGTTGGATTGGCCTTGGTTGCGATTATCAGGTTTGAATTTATATGGTTGACGCTTGTCGGTGAGTTGCCCAATATGCAGCTTTGGGAGCCGAATATTAATGCGCAAATAGTAATCGCTTTGAGTTTGACCATCACCAACACGCTTGCCTTCTCCAGATGTGATAAGTTCGGCCAAGCTTCGAATTTGGCAGGGAGTGCTCTGCTATCAGGTGGCATGGCTAGGAGCGTCACGAGTGGATTGTTGGGCAGATTCTTCCGGTGATCAAGAGGCTATGCATGAGCAGCTTCTAAAATTGATAAGAAAGGATTTGAATGTATGATACCACATGTATTATCTGGATGAGATTCGAGCGGTGCGTCATGGAGTCAGGAAATGGAGTTTGTTATAGGACTTGCGTAACGTCATACGCAACCATACCTACCTAGGTAGGTATTCACCCATTTTAACACAACTCGTAAGTAGGTTTAAAAGGTCTTTGTGGCAATAATCACGTTGCGCCACCCCAACAAAATCTTTCAATGCTATGACTTAGTAGCGTTGCTTGATTCAAGTATTGTGAGCTTTGGCTAAAAGAGCATTACAGCCAATTCTGGCCTCGGCTTGAGCGATCTAGCTAACACTGGCTCGTGTCATCCAATCCACTTCGAGCCCACCTATACTTGAGACGTCTTCTACAATCTAGCCTTCTCATTGCTAGCATCCATTTCCTTCTTCGCCTGCTCTCTCAGAATCCTCTTCAAGATTTTCCCGCTCGCATTCTTAGGAATAGAATCAACAAAAATCACGCCTCCAGTCAATTCTTTAAACTTCGCCAGTCTTGATCCAGACCATTTTTTCACATCCTCTACGCTGAGTTTCTTTCCTTCTTCACTATCTCTCCTTACCACATAGGCCCTTGGGAGTTCTACGTCTGGATCCTGGGGACATTTCGCTCCGATGACAGCAGCATCGATGATGTGTGGGTGAGAAAGGAGAACCGTTTCTAATTCGGGAGGAGCGACCTGAAAGCCGCGCACTTTGATCAATTCCTTTTTTCGATCGACAACATACCACTTCTGGGTTTTGGAATCGCAGTAAACTATGTCGCCAGTTTTGAAGAACCCCTCGGAATCGAATGACTCGGCGTTCGCGGCAGGGTTTTCGAAATATCCCTTGACTACAATTGGGCCCCGAATACAAACTAGTTCGTTGTGGTTAGAATCAAACCAACCTACGCGGGGATTGATGCAACTTACGTTCACCTCGAGTGTCGTAGGCTGATATATCCTTGCCCGCATCGTCGATAATCCTACAGTACATTAAGCTTTGTTCCTGTGTCATGCATAAGATACAGAGAAATGTTAGAAGAGACTTACTTCGCTTCACAGTGTGGTAATACTCTCCCCACGCTTCCGGTATCGTCATCCTCGGGGTATGGAAACATACTCCCAATACATGTCATTTCGGTCATACCCCAAACCCTGAGCAACACATCAGCACATGGGAATCAAAAACCACCGTGGGGACAACTTCACGAGGAAAACATACTGGAGCACCATCGCTTCTTTTGGCAGCAGATCTCGCAACCTCTTCTGTGAGTCCCGACCAAGTGGTGCAGCACCTATCATAACTTGTTGTACGCTTTTCAAGGAATATTTCTTGTTGAGTGGTGACATGATGATTCCTATAGCTATTGGAGGTACAATTCCGACCTCGTTGATTTCCCATTTTTCGATATTGGCAAGGTACTCTTCGAGGTCGAATCTTCTCATTACTATCGCTAGTTGCCCGGCTTTCAAAACAGTTGTGTGTGATACTGTCTAATGGTAAGCTCTCTCCATTTTAGTCAGGACAAACTTACCTGGAGCCGCCGCTGCGTGAAACATAGGAAGTGCAAGAATTCTTTTGCCCTAGAAACAGTTAGGTTTATAGTAATTTATACAATCAGATGGTTTGTAGGACGTACTCTAAACGGCTTGTGGTCGCTGTAGGCTAACTCGTGCTGAGCGATCAAGTTGTAGTGGCTTACAACCGCTGCTTTTGGCAAGCCTGTTGTTCCCGAACTGAACATTCTCGCAGCGGTGGTATTGCTAGCGGTCTCGAAATCATCGAAACGACGCCAGTCTTTCTCTCCATGATCTAGCAATACTTTCCACGATTTGTATCCTTCCGGGAATTCTTGTCCGTGGACATCGAAAATGAATGTCTTCGAGTGAGGAATCTTACATTGTTTGCCTGCGGCCAGAGCAGCACCGAGCATTTCAGGCTCTGTGATTAGAAACTTGGCTTTGGCGGTCTTGATGTGATGAGTCAATTCATATTGTGTGTAACTAGGATTTGTTCCCGTAAACACTCCACCAGCCGCTACGATTCCGAGATAGAGCATTGAGTAGTACATCTAAAGAAACGTTTCAGGGTGAGCCGCCTACTATGCGTGCATGCAAAGCTTACATCATTGAAAGAGTGCAAACAAACGCAGTCTCCCTCTTCTAATCCATTCGCATGAAGTCCAGCAACGAGCTTTCGCACTACTACTCTCGCTTGGTTGGTAGTAAGGGATCTCGACAGATCTTTACTGTCAATATAAATCTATGTTGTGTCAAACTCTTGCACTCTGACTGCCAAGGACGCATGCTCACCTTCTCATTCTGATCATGAGACGATTCATCGAAAATCCAAGAAATCAGGTCCTTCGTTGGAATCTGAGGACCGGGTTTCGCAGAGAAAAACACCATGGCTACTAAGTCTTGCTACTGAAAGTCTTGTCTATTCTTTCTGTCTGTCTAGGCAAGATGTATGGTGAATAGAGATATTAATATAATTATGAAGGAGTGAAGCATTCTAAAGGGCGAAGATGCATATGAGGGAGCTCAATCCTGGCACGCTCGTTGTTGGTTGGTTGCTTTCTTGCAGGACAATCATTGGCTGCATCGGAGTTGGAAACGCGGGGTGCCAGGTGGTATAGTCAAGCTTCGAAGCTAAATCGAACTCAATCAAGACCCTAGCCGATCATTTGCCTCGGAGCGGCTTTAAAACGTCTCAAAAGTATCTAGCTCATCTATATAGCTTGCCGTGGAAAATATCAGTGGCGGTCGAGATTCGATGTTTCCTTGATAAAGCTGACACATTATTGTGTACTTCGCCGACGATACCCAGTGAATAAGAAACCCTTAGAGTCGGTCATAAACTTCCGCACGTACAAGTACGCCTAGTCATAGATTGACACAATTATGAGGAGTTCCAAAGGATACTGCCACCTATCTTGTCCTCTCGAGCCTATTCAATGTGGTTGAGACGTAAATGCCAATTACTTGTTGAGATATTTGAATTTTGTATGAGCAGTCTTATACACAGATTCGAAGAGTACTGGCACCAATCACCGGATACAACCTCTCGTTTCATATTCATTCAGAAGAAATGAATTATCAACGCTGCCGAGCAGAGTTGTGTCAGTCTGACCGGCTTGATGCCCTCATCCCGAGAGAGCTGGCGGGTATTACCAGAGCATACTTCTTTAGTGACGACTGCTGATGGGAGGAGGGGCATTGTTTACCGAGTAAAATAAGTAAATGTCATATCTTACAGCCGGGAAGTCCACTTTAGTATGAGTATGTCATACCTACCCTATCTCCTTGTCGAAGTGGAGAACAACAATTTCGCTCTTTGTGTTTTCTCCCACGAGCCATCTTTCATCGCCATGAATCTGCCCTTTCTCTAGCATCTGACCCCACAAGTCATCCTTAAGAGATACGTCGTAGCCATGTCCCGTCATATGAATCCTCGGTTTGATATTGATGGATATCGTTTCAAGCATAAAGCAATGTCTGGCAGAAAATGTGACGCCCGCTTCGAAGTCCTTTACTTCAGATATAGTGAGGTAAGGAAATTCCTATTTACGTTAGAGTCTAAATATAACAAAGCAACCAAATACTAACCTCATGTCGCCAACATGGTGCTTGTTGAGCGCGTCTACTTTCAGGATTCCTCTGACAGAAAGAGAGATTGACGTCTCCATCGGCACCACACTCATCTTCCCAGAACGGTCCAACTGAGAACGGAATACCTGTACTCTTGACTTTGTGTAGTCTGGGATGTGATTCACTTTCTTCCTGCCCTACCACCCATCTGTGGTCTTCTTGTATCACATAAACATGGTTTTCGTCAAGTTCAAGACATCTCAATGTCGGGCATGAGCGTTGCCTGACCCTGTAGAATGCAAGATCGGAGAAAGAAAAGCGTCTGATGACTCTTGGGCCGGTATGGTGTTCATTGGGCTTAGCCTTGCCAGTTGGATCTTGACTCGGTCGGTAGGACGAGGGAGATCTGATATCCCAAACTGCTAGAGCTTCAATGGGCTCATCTTCTCCCCATGCACTGCGATTAGGTTGCCATAAGTACATTGCGTAGTGGGTACGTGTATGAGTTGTATAGAAACGGTCCCTCGAATTCAGGGGCAATCCCAAGAAGTGTATTTTCCATTCATTCCTATCTCGTTTAGTCGAGATCCATAAAATCAGTAAGAAATAAGTGTAGGGTTAACGAGATACCGGAATGTTGCCCTTATCTTGCCATCCTCTAGGTCATGTTGAATATCATATGCAGTAGCAAAATGACGATGAACTTCTTCGGTCTCATTTAACTGATGATAGGCTTCACGCTCGCTCCACTCGACGATGAGAACTTGTGATTTCAGTCTCAACCTTCTGACAATCTTTCCCTTCGATTCAATATCAATCTCATGACGGGTTCCACTTTCGAGATCGTGGACAACATAGCACTTTAAAGATGCAGAAGGGTAGACCAGATATCCGTCATCATAAGTCCACAACGTTTCTGCGTAGTGAAAACGTGCTCTTTTCCCCTCAAATGCAAGTTCACGTTGCCACTGTCCAATAGGGTAATAAGAGGACCATTCGGGAGCCAGCCATGATTTTGCCACAGCAATCTTCTCAATCCCTCTTGGTTTGCCTGCTCTTAAGTAGTGATAACGCGAGGCAACTTTCGAGAAGAGCTCTGCCCAGCCGTCAACGGACGCACCTCGGAGCTCTCTTGCTCTGGGGAAGTGTTTCAACAGAGCGTGGCGATTGAGTTCGTCTTCTCTAAAAGCCGAACAAAATTGTCGGCTCACTCGGCGACAGAGAATGAGATCTCTTGGTGACAAATATGCCACGATTAACAAAAACAGATCGTTTGGTAGTTCCACCAAATTCATTATTGTGAGCAAGTTGGATGTGCAACTAAGGAGCTTGCAGTTGAGGGCCCGAAAGATCCAAACGCGTCTCGCTAGAGCCCGCTGCTAGGTATCTACCAGCAACGGCGTTTATGTCAGACCTACATTGTTTTCCCATTGGAATTGAACTTGTTATTAGGAATTTCTTGAAGAAAAGTTTCTCATTTATGCAATTTTGCTATGTGAAAAAAAGGATCATTATCTTGAGTTCTCTAGGGTTGTGGTTGTCTAACCCCTTGGATCAATCAACCTTAAGTCCGAAAGATGGGGTGCCGACTGCCGACGTCGCTGTCCCCCATGTTTACTTCCCCGCCAATAACCGAGCTCCTCGGAGCATTCTGACAGCTTCCTTATTTCCATTTGTGTATGAATTGGAACTTTGCTGAGATTCTTGTAGAGGAATGAATCTTTTCCTCTCTCAAGTTCCAGTTTAGTTTGATCATTGCCACAAGATGCGTCGCGCCCTCACACGAACCCTCCCAGCTGCCGCAGCTCAAGCTAGAGCCCTCCGCTCTGCCCCAGCATTCAGGATGCCATCCTCCTCCAATACATCCAAAATAGCCACTCGAAGACTTCATGCGACAGCTCAGCATCTCAGGCCTGCCTCGGCCTCAGCTCCAGCATACGCCGTCGATAGCTATCCCACGTCCCACGAACAAATCAAAGATGTTCAAGACACCCCGTACTTTATCGACAACAAATTCCTCAAATCCGAAACCACCCAATTCATCGATTTACACGACCCCGCTACCAACAACCTGGTTACGCGGGTACCTCAGAGTACAGATGCTGAGCTCAAGGCTGCTGTAGAGAGTGCGCAGAAGGCTTTCCCAGGATGGAGGGCTACAAGCGTGATGGCACGACAGCAGGTCATGTTCAAATTCACTCAGCTAGTAAGAGACAACTGGGATCGATTGGCAGCGAGCATTACACTTGAACAGGGGAAAACGTTTGCAGGTATGTTATGCCTCTTTTTCATGCTATGTGTGTGCTGACGAAACTCTAGATGCCAAAGGTGATGTTCTCCGAGGGCTGCAAGTTGCAGAAGGTGCTTGCAATATTCCCCAGCAGATGGTGGGTGAAGTGCTAGAAGTTGCCAAAGACATGGAGACAAGAAGTTATAGGGAGCCATTGGGTGTTGTTGCAGCCATCTGCCCATTCAGTAAGTACTTGAGAATCTTGCCTAGAAATCTACTGACAATTTAGACTTCCCCGCCATGATTCCACTTTGGTCAATCCCAATTGCCACTGCTACCGGAAACTGTCTGATTCTAAAGCCTTCTGAACGTGATCCGGGAGCTGCTATAATCTTAGCCGAGCTCGCGGAGAAGGCTGGAATGCCTCCTGGAGTTTTGAACATTGTCCATGGTGCTGCTAAGACCGTGGATTTCATTCTCGACGAGCCTGCGATCAAGGCTATTAGTTTTGTGGGAAGCAACCGAGCCGGAGAGTATATCTTCACTAAAGGCTCCGCGAATGGCAAGCGTGTGCAGGCCAACTTGGGCGCAAAGAACCATGCCGCTATTCTCCCGGACGCCAACAAACAACACGCCCTTAACTCAATCGTTGGTGCTGCTTTTGGTGCTGCTGGCCAAAGATGTATGGCACTTAGCACTTTGGTCATGGTCGGAGAGACGAAAGAGTGGCTCAACGAACTCGCAGAAAGCACTAAAGCCCTCAAGGTCAATGGTGGGTTCGAAGAAGGAGCCGATCTGGGGCCAGTTATCTCCCCTCAAAGCAAAGAGAGAATCGAAGGTCTAATTGCCTCTGCCGAGGAAGAGGGAGCTACAATCCTTCTTGACGGGCGTGGGTTCAAACCTGCGAAGTATCCTAATGGTAACTGGGTCGGCCCGACCATCATCACGAACGTTAAGCCTCATATGAGGTGCTATAAGGAAGAAATCTTTGGTCCAGTTCTGGTATGCTTGAATGTGGATTCTCTGGACGAGGCAGTCGATCTCATCAACGCGAACGAGTATGGTAATGGTGTTGCTATTTTCACCAAGTCTGGAGCAACTGCAACCGCATTCCAAAAGAACATTGAAGCCGGACAGGTTGGAATTAATGTTCCTGTAAGTCTACCCCTTGATTGCTTGATCTTGCCTGGGATACGGGCACTAATCGTTTCATAGATTCCCGTACCTCTTCCTATGTTCTCCTTCACTGGAAACAAGAAGTCGATCGCTGGCGGTGGTGCAAGTTATTTCTACGGAAAGCCAGGATTGCAATTTTACACCCAGCTGAAGACTGTTACTAGTTTATGGAGAAGCGAAGATGCTATCTCAAAATCCGCTGATGTTGCTATGCCTACGCATAGCTAAATGAAATCATTTCGAGCGTGGCGTTGATACAAAATTGTACCTGTACATAGGTAGATTAGGAGTTCGGGCAATGGATGAATATTACGCCTTCTAAGTTGATTGGCATGCACAAATAACCAGAAATACGAATGACCTTTATCGATCGAATAAAACAATATTCTTGTTACCTATGGCCGTCCATTTCCAATGCAAGATTCTTGTCATAATCTGGTAGTGGAGTGTGAGAGGATCGTCTGACCCAAATCAACTGCTCTCATCAATGCTTTGGATTCAGACATCCTCAAATATCCCAGTGCCTCCTTATCATCCTTTGGAAAAGCTGCTTAGCTGGTTCTGCTCTCCCCCGTGACTGCTCATCTGTCCTCGTAACATGCAAACATTCGGATAGAAGTGTTGCCCACTTTCTATGCTGCCCAATCTCAGCATATTTATTCCACGTCTCGAAAAACCCTTATTGAAAGAGTGAGCACCGCTTTTCAGCCGACCAGTAAAAATCACATGTAACGCAGAACACTCACAATGTCTAGAACACTCCGCCACACCATCTTCTCTCTCATCAGTACACACATCACACCAAAGTCTCGGCCACCTCCCTGGCCCCCTCCCCCACCTCTCAACATCATCCTCCAGACCCCTCCACAAATCCTGCAGTATTACCACCGACCAATTCTTATCAACCTGAGCAGCACTCCTATCACAAATCACAAACACATCACTCAAATTCCGAAATCCTCTTAAATCCACAAAACTATCCGTCGCTCTCCCCGTCAACTCCCGCTCTTTCATCGTGATCCTGCTTAAGCCAGCGTAATCTTGAGCTCCTAATTTCGTGCGTAGAACCTCGTAGTGAACGCCAAGACCAGAGTAATTGGCTAGATACGTCCATTGAAAATCAGCCGTGTCGTGGGTGTAAGAGAAGTAGATACGTGATTTCTCGGGTGTAAGACCGAACGATAGGGTGTAGTGTGCTAAAGCTAGAGAGCGAGAATCGTGACAGAGATGGAGTGCTGAAGGGAATCTTGCGTTGGTGTAGAAAGTTTTGGTGAAATAGGACCAAAATATTTTGACCACGCGAGGAGCCAGGAGGCTGTTAAAGATCTGGTTTTTAAGCTCTGCTGGGAGGGAATTGAAGTTCGTTGGTTTGCGTAGTCCGTGGGAGATGCTTAGAGACATTGTATTTGTAGTGGAAGACAGTTCTTTACTTCCTTTGAGAGATTCCGGGGCCTGAACATTTTCTGCCTATTCGATAGCCTTGGAAGGAGGATGATAAAGTATCTCAGTAACCAATTGAATATCTGAAAATGAGTTTAGAATGTTATCTTCTTCACAATCATGACTTCCCCGATAAAGTTGCGAACTTATGAAAATGAAGCTGGCAATCTGGACTCCACACAGCCTACTATCCGGTGCATTCGGTGCTATCAAAACGCGGAGCTTGAACCAGAGTTAGAATGCATCAAGAGTAAACGAAAAAAGAGTTCAGATCAAAGTTCAAACTTATTTGGAAATCGCATTTCCATCTGACCAAAAGGATATCTCAAGCAACCGAACGCAAGACATGACGTTCCGTTCAACCAACATCACCCGAGCCTGCAAGACTCCAATCAATATCAAAACTCGCTTAGTAGTAGCCCCGCATCTTACCACGACCGAAAAAAGCAAGACAAATTCCACAACCCTTTGTGAGATGTTCTAAGCAAACAAAAAAAAATTGCAAAAAGATTCGATATCCTTCCATACCAGGGAGTCGAACCCTGCGCTACCGCGCACAATCTGGGATGAGAGGCGGAAATGTTACCGATACACCAGTATGGATATCTTGAGATGGCTCAGAAAGATTCTATTTGTATATATGTAGCCTTACATAGCCTAGCTTTTGTCGGTCCGACACCTCGTAACTTCTGCGAGCTGCGCGAAGGGCTTTCAAGACACTTGCAACATTATAGCCCATGAAAAACAGATTCATCCACATCTCGGTTGGTCTTTGCATTTCAAATGGTAGGTCTTACAGGTCGGTAACACCAACAGTACCAAAGTATATCTGGTTGAACCCGTTTTCGAGACAAATGTATAATATACGATTTCCTGTTCTTCTTTGTACTGAATATACTAGGGATGGAAAGCTGTATTGATAACTACAACTCATCTTTATTTCTCTGAGACAGTTCTGCAGCCTCTTTCTCCTCTTCCCACATCCGTTTCTTTGGATTTCTTGGGTGCTCTTCTGCTGTCACATCTTCAACAGCTTCCTCAGTTACAATTTCTTCGACAATTTCTTCGACGATTTTTTCGTTGCTATCATCAATAATCTTACCAACTTTCTCAGAATAACTCTCCAGTGATGGGCGGCTAGGTTCCGGAGGGGTATTGGGTCCGCTCATAGGGGCTCCCCTCCCACCACCACCAACCCTAATACTAGGGGGTCCCTGCGCTCCAGATGGCATCGATAGTTTTCCAGTGGCACTGTTGTGGGTGACAATAGATGAGGCAGGTAATGAGCTCACAACGGGTGCGACACTGGTATCGACTTTAGAAGTCGATCCAATAACCCCAATACCTGTCAAGACACCCGTTAAACTCCTGAAGAAAATCTTCATCGGGAACCAAACAAGCCACCACGTAGGTCCGTATAGTAATCTTCTCCATAACAGCCACGCAATCGTCGCTATTAGGAGGTAGAAAGAAGTTTCTAAGTACCAGGTATCACTCTTCTGACTTCTCAATAATGTCCCCAGTATATTCTTTGAGCTTGACAGCAAGGTATCCAAGGTCGAGTAAGACTCTCCTAGTCTCTCTAACGCTGCCGTCGACTCTCTTAGAGTATCATGAGCGAACTGTGATTTGGAGAGTTCTTGTGACATCATTTCATGTGTTCGTCGTAACGCTGCCGTAACATCACTACTAGCATTGACCTCTTTATCTTCACTCTTGATATCCGGAGGTTTCTGACTTCGTCGATTTGGTACTGGTAACGATTCTGTGGGGGAAGCATCGGCGGTATATGATAGTAGGAGTAATCGTCTTTCTTCGCGCTGGGCAGCTTGCAATGTGCGCCGAGCTGTTAATTGAGCTTTCCGAAAAGCAGCTTGATAACTAGAGAGTTCCACAGTGAGCCTCTATTCATGATAAACCCCTTAATCTATGGCCGGGAAGCCCAAAGTAAAGAAGCCTCACCTATGCAAGTCGCCAACGGCTCTCTTGACAGTCCTATCTAATACACTTCGTCGCTTCTCTAAATCGCTTCCTTCTCTCCCAGGATTCAAGTCAAGCACATCCTCCTGCAAGTTCTCAAGATCTTCCTCTTGTTCTTTCATTAGACCTTGGATGTCCGCTTGCATCTCATACAAGACATTGCCTTCCTCATTGTCCAAAGGTACAGATCCTGGTTGGAAGTTGATGGTCGCTAGACGTTCTATAGAGCGTCTGAGCTCAGCATTTGAATCTTGCAGGACTGCAAGACGCTCAGAAACCGATTCAAAAGACATATTAACGATTGGCAATATGCGCTGTAGGTAGAGGGTGAGTTATAACCTGGAACGGACCGATGATGATTTGGCATGTTCCTAAGGCGGAGGCTCGCGATAGAGGTGCCGACGGATCACCAACAGGGGTTCCTTAGCGTCCAAATGTCGAGATGGCTTTTGAGATGCGACGACAATCGAAGCAGTGCCATTGTATATACCCATGCATCTTTGACGCGGTATTTGGTGCCTTAAGTATGTTTGTAGCTCGATCTATACCGAACAGATGCTAATGTTTCTCTGTAGTACTTTGAAGCTTCCGTCAGCAGCCATGATCACCAAATTTTTGACTGAAGTCAAGACCGTCTTCAACCCCTTCTCGGCGAAAGCGAAGACAGCAAGAATATTTCTTGCATTCCTTCCTCCCAATGCGCGACAGACCATGAAGGTCACCACCAAATTGTTACCACGAGTGTCAAGGGAGCGAAGTTTTGTGCAATTGAAATTCAGTAAGCCATTCTGAGCACCACACACATAGGAAGTACTGCATCTAACGAGCTTGCAGAGGATGGGAAGGAATTGACATTGGATGCTGAGAAGCTGGGGATTAAAGGTGTCATTGAAGAGGTGGACCGACATTCTCGAATATTATCAAGGCAGGAAGAACTGACCGGAAACTGATTCGAGTTGTATGATTCCATGAGCTGTAGTATAAAGGCATAAAAGGCGTTTACGGTCGCGGTCAAGGTCGATTATCATAAAACTGGAGAATATGTTCAAGTGACTACGATTCATGGGGTCCGCGCACATTATGGCTGGTTTATTTGCGTATCATTGCAGGAGAGCATTAGGAACATGCACGTAGAAACATACCGAGAAGGTTTTCCCATGCGACTAAACAGAAAGAGTCAAGAAGCATAACGAAGTATTGATGGGCATGGTTTGCTTAGTCTGTGAGGTTTATTGTTCGCTTTGACAGCTCCTATCTATTTAGCTACAAATACCACGCTTGACACAGTCATGATCATATGTTCAAGCTGCGGCACCGCTGATGAAGAACCACTTGTCGATGCTTGGGTCAATTGGTGCTGGAGCGATGTTCTCATTTTGTGGGATTGGGGGGAGTTGGTTGGGGTCAACACGAGCTGGAGATTGCTTGACGGTCAAGTTGGTACTATCATCAGGTCAGTGCTGCTCTACTGTTATATTACGAGCTGAATGAACATACACAGAGACGTCTCCAGGTTGAGTCTTTCCAGTAATGAGCTTCTCCCAAGCCTCAGCACACTCACGGACAATATCGGTGGCGTACCTGACATATGTTAGCATTTGTCAATGATCAAATATGTTGCTCTGAAAATTCATGATGTGACTTAGGGCCCTATCACAAGCTCTTCCTGGCTATACCCAACACCAACAGAAGACGCAATTAGATCACTTACTTCTTGTTCTTGCACTCTCCAGTGAAAGCAAACTGATTCTCTGGCTTTCCATCTGGAATCTTGTAGATTCTGAACCATTCATTTGTGGCTCTCAAAAGACCGGGTAGGTGTCTCTCGACATCCTCGACATCGTTAAGCTTTGGTGCCAATGGGTCGTTGACATCAATGACAATGACTTTCCAGTCAGTCTCTTCCTCGTCTAGGAGAGCCATGACACCAAGAACCTTGACTTGCTTGACTTGGCCTGGGTATCCAACCAGCTCTCCGATTTCGCAGACATCCAATGGGTCGTTGTCTCCCTTGGCTTTGGTCTCTGGGTGAACAACATTTGGGTCCTCCCAAGTCTGTGTGCACATCAGCAAATGTCTCAACCGAAAGTGTGCCAAGCAGCCTTACCTGGGGGAAAGCACCGTAGTTCCAGAGATATCCCTTGTGGGGGAAGCAGTTGCGAACAAATCGAAGTTTGCCCTTCTTGACATCCTGCTTACTGTGGGTTTATATAATTAGTTTATGTGTATCCTGAACAGTGTCGACCGTGGGAGAGGAGCCAACGTCAGGTGCGAGGAGATTGTGGCAGATCGATTATACTGACATTGGGTTTAGGAGCTCCTCCTTGCTAATCTAATACAATGTAAAGGTCAGTTAAAAATCTGGAAATAGTTGGAAAGCTGGGGTATCAACAAGTATAATGCGGGGTCGCAACCATACATGGAGGGGTCAAATAATGAAAAAATCACAACTTACTTCCATTTTGCCATTGGTCCATCTTGGGATCTCAACGACCATGTTCAAGATAGTTTGCTCCTGATTGGCATAAAGAGGAATATCGTGGAATGGGGAGACTGGAACTCCATCTTTCTCGATGTAGATGCGGTGCTCCAGGGTGTTTGGAGCGCCGACCTTGCGGACTTGGTAGGCAGAAGACATTTTTGCGGTTGAATTCTGATTGTTGATGTTGTTTTGCGAAGAAGAGGGGCCCGACGAGATATGTCGAGCTATTTGTTCGGTGCGGGACGAAATTTTGTTGGCTGGTGTGGATTGCGCCAGAGTGGGCGTAGGCGTAGACAGACTGGCGAGCGAACGTCGCAGCTGCCAATGGTGATGCAGGACTTGGAGAGAATGGCGATTCTGACTTGTAGGACGAGGCCGGAGCAACTGAGGAATAATTACAGTCTGGACTACACGGCTGGGTGCATGACAGAAGACTGCATGGGAACTCATACAGGCTGAAGGGAAAGGGGGGATGGCATCTACTAATAATGGCCGTTATTCTAGATCCGATCAGCCACTTCAATTGAGACTGACCGAGGTGACTAGGAGAAGCAACTACTGAGTGAGGGATGGAGCTACGGGCGTGGTTCACTGGTTGTGCTGCAGTTGAGATGCCGACGAGCAGGTTCAATTTTGATTGCCGGACGTTGACCGCTCGACCGATTAGCGAGTGAGGAGTGGAGCTTTGGATAGGTATTTCACTGCCTCACACAAGGGCCATTAGAAGTATCATTTTATAGTTGGATCTAACTTTTATTCATGAAGATCCGTATCTTGATCTTGTTAAAGAAAAGCTCGTTTTGTATCTAGGCTAGATCAAGATCTCTTGGTCAAGAAGTTGTTCGGGAGGGCAGAAACGATCTTGTCGTTTAGGATAAGGATCACATGACCCTTATCGCTGGAAATTCTTCAGCGCAACGAGAACTACCAGTAGAGTGACTCCTAAAGTACTAAAAGGTCATCAACAAGAAAACCATTGTTGAGGAATTGATCTCGGCATCTAGGCCTTTCTTCTTCAATACATGAGATGTTATGCAGCGTCTCGCTTCTGCCATCATGACATCGACTACGAAGAAAGTGCCCATTCCACCAAGGGGCGTGGATTACAGAGGCAAGATTGTGCTTGCACCAATGGTTCGGTCAGGAGAGCTCCCATCTCGCCTCCTCGCACTTCATTATGGCGCAGATCTCGTCTGGGGTATATATCTTCCCATAAATATAGTACAAACCTGCGAATGGTACTGACAACTCTGCAGGGCCGGAGACTGTTGACAGATCCATGATTGGCACAACTCGCAGAGTAAACGAAACTTTAAAGACGATTGAATTCACAAGAATACCCTCCCAAGGCCATAAAGACAAAAATCAAAATCTCAAAGAGAGTGTCATATACCGAATCCACCCAGAGCGCGAAGGAAGCCGAACCATATTTCAGGTTGGCACATCAGATCCCGAGAGAGCAGTTCAAGCTGCGCGCGTCGTCGCTCGCGATGTCGTCGGAATAGATGTGAATGCTGGGTGTCCCAAACCATTCAGTACACATGGTGGAATGGGTGCTGCTCTGCTTCAGACCCCAGATAAATTGTGCTCCATCCTCGAAGCGCTCGTAAAGGAAATTGTACCGGAATTCGAGATCGGCATAAGCGTTAAGATTCGTTTATTGGAGACGCCCGAGAAAACCGAAAGTCTTGTTCGAAAACTATGCGCCACTGGAATTACAGGTCTCATAATTCATTGTCGGACCACACCGATGCGACCACGAGAACGGGCCATTCGAGAACAACTTAAAATGATTGCGGATATATGTCGTGAATCGGGCGTAGCATGTCTTATGAACGGAGATGTATACAATCGAAAAGAGGCGGAGCAATTAATATCAGAATTTGGTGTGGATGGAGCGATGATCGCAACAGCAGCCGAAACGAACTCAAGCTGTTTCCGGAGCGAAGCAGATGGGGGTTTAGCACCTTGGCGAGAAGTCGTAGAGCAATATCTAAAAACTTGTCTCGAGGTCGAAAACAAGTGGGGAAACACGAAGTATCTACTCAACCACATTATTCCAGGGAAGCAGCCAGAATACAATCTGGTCACAGCAACAAAAAGTTATACCCAGGTTTGCAAAGTACTGGGCTTAGAAGATCTGGAGGCACAAGCAAGAGAGGTCGATAGAAGCATTGGTATTGATCCAGACACCGAAAAGCTTGGGCGAAGACAGCAGAAGAAGCAGAACCTGAAAGAGAACCAAAGTGCTGTAGCCGCTGGTGGTGGCAAAAGCAAGAAACAGAAAAAAGTCAGAGCCGAGAGAGGAGTTCCTAATCAGCAGAATAATGAGCCTCCCGCTGCTACGAACGGTGTCGCTATCGTCTCATGAAATCCAGCCATGCGTTTAATATAGGGGATACAAGGGAAGGTAGAGGTGCATTTTGGGGCGTTTGATATATACCAGCGCCTAGTAGGCGTGTCTAGGGGGTTGCATAGAATGGCGTCAATCATAATAATCCAGCTGTGTAATTTAATACTCGGCTACTCGAAGACAAGTTTACAGCTTTTGTCCCTCCAACCTTACGCCTTATGCCAGCCCAAATCAATATACGGGTATCATCAATAACAATCATTAAGGCATACACATGATCAACCTAACCAACAGACTATCCGCAACATAGCGTCGCTTCCTCCTGCTTATCACCAGGTTTACTGCGGTCCAAGTCAGCATTCGATAACGGCGCTACGTTCACGGATCAGACACATACCCTAGACTAATGCTCTCCCAAGTGAAAGCGAACCCTCCGATCCACGCCCCAATAATGATGCAAATAATGATATACCCATTATAAGTCATAGCAAGCAGCATGATAAAATAGGCAACGGCGAATTGCAACATGTGCAATGTCGCTCGCACAAACTGCTGTAGAATATTCGGGCGGAATTGTATCTCTCCCACTCCCCCTAATAACTCCTTAGTCGGCGGGCATCCTTTGGAGTCTGATTCCGCTGGGAGGTAGAGCGAGCGCTGGAACTGTCGGAGGATGTAGCGGTCGTATTCTTTTGCTGTTCTACGGAGGAACTCGAGGGATATGACGAGGAGAATTGTGCCGATACAACTTCCCGCGAAGATCGCGTTGGATGTTACATGCCAGCTGGCGGAGAGGAAGCAGGCGTCTATTGTGTACCAGTTCCATAACATCTGTGAATTTTATTAGCCATTGGCCTTAGTAAGGCGAGATTTTGCGATATGGCAATCCTAGCGACTGGTTTCAATTCATAGTATGTGATTACTTACGGAAGTCTTGCAAGCCCCCATATCGGACATTGTGGTATTCATAGATGAGTGATCCATGGTGAGTGATCTGGGATGATGCCCAGGTAATCCAGAAATGATCTACCTTTTATCTTGAACGCAGCTTCAATTGTATAATGACAAAGTCCTCCAACCTTCTCATGATCATGGGCAATGCGTCAATTATGTAGTTACACACCTCAAAGGTGCTCAAGTGGAGCGTTCATAGTCGCGATTTCAAAATCACCCGAGGACAGACTTAGGGATCTATCATCCATATTTTTCATTCAAAGTCCAATTAGACTTGAGCATTTGAGGGACGATGTTCGGGAGAAAAATGGGGTGAGCAAGTTCTGAGAAGGTTTGTGTCCACATAGTTCTTCTTGGCAGCACTCGGTTGTGGGGTTTGGATTCATAGAAAGAGTCTAAGTCTTCTATTCAGAACCGAGGAGTTGATTTATTAGCTTTTTGTTGTTTCAGTGGTGACTTAACATCAAGCTCTAAACATCTTGTCCAAAAGCATTGCGGATTTCGACCATAGTTGTTACTGTGATAAGTTGACTGAAAAGTCCTCATTTGACTTGAGCGAAAACTCGCTTAGGCGCCCTTAAGTCCTGCCATCTACGCATTTAATAAACACCTCCTTCCGTATTGTGAAGGTAGCCACCGTTAAACAGTCTTGAAAGCTATACTACTATTTTAACCCTCCAATTAACTGCTACATCATGATTGTGGGCGGAAATAGGCTCAAATTTGGCTCTGAAAGAAATCTGCGCTACTTGGCATATCTACTACGACACTATGCATTTGGGACACCTGCGCATATACCATGGATATGAGAGCTGGATAAGTAAAATAGTGTAGTATGATGGTGTGGTGCATCCGATGACGAAGTTTTGTTAAACTACAGCCATTTCTTTAGCGAAAACAGAAAACGACTACATGGGGTAACAAATTGCCCATTGATGTGGACTGTGGTTCTTCAGAAAGATCTCCCGTCAATATTTGAGATGTCAAAAATAAAACATACCAGAAAGGTTTGGAGAAAGAGTAGGTATATGGCTGGAACTGATGTCAAATTTGATACAATGTCCAGTTGAGGAGAAATGTATAAAGAGATTGAAAAAGTTCCAGCACAAGACCAATAGTTTTAACGGTAGAAAAGCAGATTGAATGAGTTGACAAAATTAATATAGGCTGAAGAGCAGCGAATAGAATATCAAACCAACGCTAAAAGATATTGTGATGAGTCGGATCTTAAAGTCGAGAAGTGGCATATACTTCGTAATCTGGCAGTCGGGTTATAGTCAATGGAACTGGGTGAGAATTTGATGATGGGAAGATGAGGCCACAAACCATGGTCATGGATGGATTCAAGATTTATCAATAATGTGTCAAGAAAGATGATGGGTGAAGAGATTAGGAAAAGAAGGATGATGGAAAGTACTTTACACGAATCCCTGTCTTCCACGGTCTTGGCGAAAGTCGCGCCTCAAGTCGCGTCTCTCCAGAAATTCAACATCGACTCAGAGACGAAAAATCACTGAATAGGTTTCCAATCGACCTTATTTTATCCTAACTCCGATTATGGCAGGATTCTTTGATCTGAAGGCTCGCAAAGATGCCGCAGCTACGAATGGCTCAAGCTCGAAGGCTGCACCTGTCAAGGAAACAAATCGACTTCAGCCATGGGTTGAGAAATAGTACGCGGCCACATCGTCTCGAAGCACTTCTAGAAACTACTTCTAACATCTCTCAGCCGTCCAAAGAACCTCAGCGATGTTACAGCTCAAGATCACACCATCACAGTGCTTCAGAGAACCCTCCAATCTTCCAATGTACACCACCCTCGCCCTGGCGCAAACAATTGATTAACATTTTTACAGCTTCCGCATATGCTCTTCTATGGTCCGCCGGGCACGGGAAAGACTTCTACGATTCTGGCTTTAGCCAAAGAACTCTACGGCCCCGAATTAATAAAAACCCGTGTCCTTGAACTCAATGCCTCCGACGAACGCGGTATCTCCATCGTGCGCGAGAAAGTGAAAGACTTTGCACGAATGCAGCTATCCCAGCCTACCGCTGCCTATCGAAAGCTTTACCCGTGTCCACCATACAAGATTATCATCCTCGATGAGGCAGACAGTATGACGCAAGACGCGCAGAGTGCCCTCAGGCGAACGATGGAGACATACAGTAAAATTACACGATTCTGCTTGATTTGCAATTACGTGACAAGAATTATCGATCCTCTGGCCAGTAGATGTTCGAAATTTAGATTTAAGAGTCTGGACCAGGGAAATGCCGTCAAGCGAGTTGAGGAGATTGCACAGAAGGAAGGGGTGAAGATGGAGGATGGAGCTGTGGATACTTTGATTAGGTGTAGTGAAGGAGACTTGCGGAAAGCCATTACATTTTTGCAGAGTGCCGCGAGACTGGTGGGTGCCGTTGGCATCCAGGATAAAGACGAGGATAGCATGGATATCGACGACGACAGCAATGGGAAAATTGTCACAGTGAAGAGCATTGAAGACATAGCTGGTGTTATTCCAGAAGAGACGATTGAAAAACTCTTTAAAGCTATGCAGCCGAAGTCCAAGGGCCTAGTATATGAAGCTGTCTCAAACACAGTCACGGACATGGTAGCAGATGGTTGGAGTGCGACGCAAGTTGTTACTCAGGTAAGTTTTCGCCTTATGAGTGATATTAGCCTACATCTGACTTTTTCACAGTTGTACCAATCTGTACTTTACAATGACTTGATTCCTGACGTTCAGAAGAACAAAATCACACTCGTCTTTTCGGAGGTTGACAAGCGCCTGGTAGATGGCTCGGATGAGCACCTCACAATCCTGGATCTTTCACTACGGATCTCAAATATCTTAGCCGGAGCTTGAGCCATATCGCGAGGATATAAGAGACGGTTACATGTTTGCATAGCATAAGGCGTATGGATGGGGCGTTTCGGCAAGGTAAGAGATATGTGAAGCCACCAAATGGCGTTTCGAAGCTCCCAGTATGATTTGTTATATACTTGACGAAAATATGAATCCAAATACCACAAATCAAGCCACTGTCGTATACACACACGCTGTTTTGTTTGCTGTCGCTGAAGGCAACCATTTTAGAGGATTTACGTTTACTTTATTTCGAGCAAATCTCAGAAACGGCCGGCAGGACAGAGTCTAATAAGTTAAAATATATCCTTTCGTCTCGGTTGAGCCATCCTTCTTTCCTCGTCGCCGCTCTTCGTTGTCCTCTAGATTGCAGACCACGGGAAATGGGAAACCCTTTTGAGTAGGGGTGGCAGCCATGTTATCAGGTTTATTAAGAACTAATCTTCAATTTTATGGGAATCCTCATCTTCTCTATCCCTCTCGCGTTGGATAGCACCAGGTAACCAAAGTCTGAACCATCTTACTTACTACAAGGCGTAGCTACAATATACGATATTTTGACCATTCAATTGACGAAACATACAACCTTATATCAACTTCCTCGAAGAATTATTGTGCTTCGACTGCCACTATTTTGTCCACTGCGAGCCTAATACCGCGTATAAAACTCCGCTGCAGATTGAAACACGACCAGGCGTCATATTTTCAGTACAGAACGCCCTTCGACAGATAAATACACTTCTATAGATTGAGCCACGGGTGTTGAAGTAATTCCTTCGCGGTCTTCCTGTCTTCTGGACGCCACTGAAGCATGCACCTTACAAAATGCATAAACTGCGTTTTGTGTTCTCCCTCGACATAGCGGACCTCCAATTTATCTAAGCTTGCGTCTTCAGGAATTTCTATTTCAGCTTTCCATGTTCCTAAGGAAAATGGTTCATCAGCTTATAAAGTCGAAAGATTACAGAAACAAGCAGGGAAACGGTACGAACTCACCATCCTTATGGAACCACTCGTCGCTTCTTATCCCTCTTTCCAGAAGATCAAGCGGCGGAGGTCCCAGAGCACCAATAATTTCTGCCAAATGGGTGCCAGTCGAGTAATCCAACACCCCATTTTCCTCATTAAGATTGCAAAACAAATGTTTACCCTCAAACAGGTCCCAGATCAATACGCCAACATTCCAAATGTCAACTGGATAACTCCAATCGGCTTTGATTATCACCTCGGGCGCCCTGTAAATATCAGGTCCGGCATTGTGGTTCCTTTTCTCTTCGCCCTTCACAGCCGAGCGGAAATCACCTAGTACCACAGGCCCAAGCGCTTTAGGAAATCCAAAGCGCCTAGAAGCATAGATAGGAACCCCGTCGACTATCTTGCGAGGACTAGGCCCTTCCATCTCGGCGGCAGCGAAATCAGTCAGAAGTGTTTGGTCAAATATGCTGTGGAGCATATTGTCACCCTTGCTGTCTGAATTTAAATCAGTAAATACTGCTCTTTACGGGCAAGATTTTTCTATCCCACCTGTATGGATAATCTTGCACTCGCTATGAAGAAAGTCTAGTGCGAGGAGAAGTTGCTTGAGCGATAATTTGAGAAGTTCCTCGTTGAAGACTCCGCTCGGAATCCGATATAAAAGATCGCGCCAGCTCTCCCAAGTTGCCGGCTGTACAAGACATTCATGATCGCCTCCTGGCCGTGGAATGACGAAGGTGCCGATGGCGGTTCGGACATTTTGTCTACCAGGGTATGTCGATTTGGATGCGATTCTTTCCAAGTACTGATAGATTCCAAATTCGTTTACTATCTCCTCATTTTGAGCGTATATCTTTAAAGTCACATACTGATGTGCTCTGTCGCTTTTTTTTAGCTTGCCATTTCTCTTCAAGGGATGACTTACTCAAGGTCGCGGGCTAGCCAGACAGTAGAGGTACTTCCCCAACCCAGTTTACCAACAATTTGGTACTTAGATACAAGAACATCGCCAATATTTACTGGATAGTAATAACCCGGTTTAAAGAGCTCGTAGTTTTCTTCCTCCCAGCGCTGTCCGTCAGGAATAATAGGAAAGCCTGATACTGGGAAGTTCATAGGCGGTGATGGCGCCTTGGTCACGTCGCACCCGATGCTTTTCGTAGGAGACGACATAGTGATGAAGAACACAAGAGTCTATTTAAAAGTTGGCGGATGGAGCTTCTGCTTTAGCAGGCATACGCTCATTATCAGTTGAAATTCAAAAAAGAGAACAAAGGATCAGGCACATTTATCAACGTTTCTGGGATGGCTTTATCGTGAAAGCCCTCCACGAAGCCTTCGGGAAGGCTCCTTTGATCTTCCTTCGAAACATGATGCAAACGCTCAGAATCAACAACCATCCGATGTGGACACGCCAGGGTGCACTTTTATTCAAATCTCGTCTATCTAGGCAGCAGCTGCTTGCCGAAATCCGGGCAATGCTGTCAGTGCTGTTCTTTGCTTATGGTTTATCAATTCACAGCCAAGCATTCATTAGAGACTTTCTCGGTGTCCTGTTGATTGAATTAAGAGGTTCTATGGCCTGTGCTTCATGAAAGTCTCACACACTCCCAGGTTGACACCAGTTTCGCTCAAAGAGAACATTGCAAATTCTTTGGGTTCTATATTGGCAAGGTATGTTTCATGATTCAGATATTGTGAATGTTTTGGCCACTCTCAGAATAGCTTGCAACATCGTAGCAGTGTCACTCAAAGACTTGAATTCTACCCACCAATTCTTACGCACTTGATCACTATGATGTCCCAAAACACGTTGGAGACAAAATTGAGGGAAGGTTTAAGTAGACTTGAAAGAATGTCCTTCCCTATTTGGTTGCTATCATCAACCTCAAGTACTTGTTTTACCACACATTTCACAATTGCATATCTTATATCGTTCTTATCATCCTTTTCACCCCTCACACAAATGTCTCGTGTCGTCGATTCTCCGATTCAAACTGTAATCGTGTGGATTGGATATGATAAGAGGGACTTACCAAGTCCCTACTTGAGAGTAATTACAGAGAATTGTGCAGCTGGAAGAGAAGTTGAAGAGGTACTTGAAAACAATCTATCATATCCTTGTCTCCACCCTTACAGGAGCTAATCAACTCAATTCCAACAGAAAGTTGGACAGATCAAACAAGTAAATATCAAGTGTGTATCCCCCAAAGACGCTCTTCGCATTGCTGCAGTCACCTAATGATTTTATAGATCCAGAAATGGAAATCCGAGCCATCAGTCACACTACAATCGTGCAGACAGAGAATGGTTTGTTAGCGCCAGGATCGTAGGCTCGAAGGATACCAGAACTTTCCATTTTTACCCTGATGGGCAAGCGACGAGCTACAAAGACGACAGAAGAACATGAACTTTGACTAGCCTTTCCAACGCTGCCACGCTTGCTGGAGCCTGTCGAGACTGAATTGTGTCTTTGTTTGTTTTCCGTAGAACTATCTCTAGATTAATAGATGGCTTGATACCGGGGAGGAGTTTTGTTTTACATCAAGTTTATATTTAGATAAGCACTTGGGTTGACGTAGTATAGATCTACGCTTAAAATTACTCGTATTATATGGGGAACTTGCAGACTGTTTCAGACTGCCTTTTCTCTTAAAGAATCTTGATTCACCTTCATACATATTATATAAAACTTAAAGTGCTCATTAAAGAGGAATTATAACATAAAGGGACTTGTTATGTAGCTATGTTGAGTAGATGTATGCCTAACTATCTTCGTAAGGGACTTCAAGACAAACTCGCTTAATGAAGTTATCTCGCGAAGGACAAAATAAGGGATCAGCTAAATCTAAATCGCTTTTTGATAATTCTCAATCGTCACCTGATTTTTGGTAAGTTTATATACAACTTTTATATAAAACAGCCTTTATCGACAAATATCTACCTTTATTCTATTTATTATCGAAATCTTACTGTTATATCGTTAAATATAATTAGATTTAGATCGACTATAGCGTTTCTATAATTTATTGCCTCGTAGTAAGTACCAACTTTTACTACTTACCTAAGTTTTAAATATACGTAAAGTAATTAAGATAACTATCTATACTTCTATTAGGATTCTAAGAGTCCTTATATGGAGTAGTTAATCGATATTGTTATTTGTCATGTAACGATTGAGAATTATCAAAAAGGCGGTTTAGATTTAGTAGAGCCCTAAAATAAGTGTCAGTCACCTACCTACTAATGTTAGTTTAAAAAACAAGTCGGCTTCGAATAGAACGTTAGAATTCTTATTTACTTAAAACAATGAATGGAATATCTCATAATGTCCTAAATTGATCTACGAAATATACAATATTTCATTAACTTATTCGAAGAAACACTATGTTTCGACTACCACTTATTTTGTCTACCGCGAGGTTATCTACTCGCAAAGAAGGTTTCCTGTGCACAAAATACTCAGCAATCCAAATACGTTATTTCATCGATTGAAATGGCACAACATCGTACGCTTGCAGTTTCATCTCTGCTCAATGAGACAGTCCTCGATTTGTTCCGAGATCTCTCGGATCAAAAGCGCTCAAGACCTTTGGAGTGTTACTGACGTATATCTTGTCCGCCGCCAGGAAGCTTCATATGCATAGCCATATCACACCAAACACTATTAGTTACTAAAGTGTTCAAGAAGCCTCACATTTGAAAGAGAATCTTGTGTATAGATAGAAAGAGCTTCGACTTGTCACTCTGATCGTGCCCCAAGATGAAAGTCTATAAACTAGGAAATGTCTTCAATTCAAAAGAGTTCTCTTTCAGAAACACCTGGGAGATGTATAATGGGGTTTTATTCTCCATAGCGGGCAGCTTAGATCCCGAACAGAAATGGATTTGACACGGTCTTTATCCGTAAGCTCACTAACAACTTAAAACCAAAACAGCTCTAGGAGGCCAGTTCAGTTTTCTTGATTGAAAATGTTTGTAGTCTCAGATTGCAATGTAAGTGTCGTTGCGCTCAAAGAATCACCTCACCCTCATGACTGTGTCGATTGATACTTGCTATATTCCATGGATCATGCATATCAGTCCGGTCAGGCAGACCGCCAGATTGCCAATTCTCAAACGTGCTTCTCCTATCATATCAAGTTAAGATTTCAGTAAAACTGTCCAGCGGTTAGTGCCTTCATCCTGTCTCAAGTCGAGGCTAGATTTCAGAATCGATGTTGTAACTCAGTATAAGTGTGTTGATAGTAGAGATTGGTATTGCACTTATTATTTACTACTGCATGAACCCCATATTTGTAATCCCATGCTGACCAGCTCCAAGCTCAAATGCAAATTAAACGTATGTACTGTTTTTCATATGTCCGCATCTCCAGAAATTCATTTACCCAACCCGATACCAGTTAATGCCCTCTTCGCTTAAGCACCCTTAACGAGTTCCTTCAATCTTTTCTCAATCATCTGTCTTCCCTCGAACGTCTGCCACACCTCAGAAGGTGCTTTGTTAACAATATCCCAGCTAACAAGATTTTTGGTCAAATGAGTAAGATCACGTTGCTTCTTTTCCCAATGACTGTCCTTGCGCACATTTATGCCAGAACTGATGATCGACAATGGAGTCTTCTGGATCTGAATGTGTCGAGCACTGCTGACTTCGTTTTTGGTTAAGCTGTCAGCGACCAATGATTCCTGAAGCTTGTTCTTGATGAACTTTCCTCCCTGGTAAGCAGAACGGCCATAAACGCGGTCTTCCCTGGTTCGTCCTTTGAGGATAGCGGCAAGGTTTCGATCAAGACCGAGGGGTGAGATGATGCCCCAAGCCCAGAGTAGGAATCCTCGACCAGGCGATGCAATCTTGTATAAAAGATCCTCGTGGAGTGGATCGATCAAAAGTAGACCCTTAACATCGCGTCCGTTGCGAGACGAAAAGACTCGGCTGTAGATACTGCCAATGCCTTGACTAGCTAGGATCCATGGACCGTTTTCACCAGCGCGTGCTAATGCTTCAGATAAGACAACTGCCGCGTTGCCAGCTGAGAATGGTGATGGAGCGTTGTCGGACCAGCCTAGTCCAGGACGATCGGCATAACAGTATCGGCTAATGCTTCCATTCGCAAGCGCATTCTCAGCTATAATGTTCATGCCACCAGCGAATGGTCCGTAACCTGCCTCGAAGAGTACTGTAGGCGACTTCTTTCCCTTCGAATCGGTAGTGGTATTGCCTTCGCAAAATATGTGGATCTGATATTTGTCGCCGTCAACAAAGTAACGTTCTCCAGGTGCTGCAAGCGACGCATCACGAGCCCGGAGGATCAGAGTCGCGGACAGAAGGACTGCAACGACTGCGATCACAACTAAGATAATGGTTGCAGTAAGAACTGAACACCACTCTCGGAGGGTGCGTCGGCTCTCTTCCCGACCAGTAAGTCGTTCTTCCTCCTCACGCTTGCCCCAAGTAACGAGCCTCTCGGTTGAGATGGCCCATAGCGACACGAGAAGCGCCCAAACGCAACTAGCAATTCCTACCCAGCCTTCCTCCATGCGGATTTTTGGGACAGCCAAGATGATAATCATGTCAATCAGCAGGATAACCGCAATGACCAAGGCCGTGATCTGTGAAGCGGTTGATGGCGTGGAGAAGAATAGCAACACCAGCAATAGGAGGCCCATCGACAAAGTACTATAGGAGAAATCGAAGAAGCCTGAGCCGCGGGAGTGCAAGCCAGGTGGGCTGACGAATATTGAGACCAAGAGTAAGGTCCACCAAAGGAAATTGATAATAGCGAAGAGAACGGTAAAGTAGCGTGTAAACCTCACAGACCATAAGTTGTAAGGCGAGACCTATTTACTAGATTAGATAGGTTTGGTGGACTGTACGAACAGAACTCACAGCAGGGTCATCCGGGCTCAAATAGCCTTCGCGACTTGGTGGAGGAAGCAGTCTCGTACGCTCATCGACTGAGGAAGGCCGAGGGTGTGCTTCACGGTGGGTGCTGGAACCACCATTGTTCGATACCACCTCGTCTGCCTGCTCATCGTCGTTCTTGCCCCAAAGAGACACCATTATGGCGATTTATGCTAACCAGCAGCTACTTGCGAGTCGAAATGCGGGAGTAATAACACTTTATTGTTACCGTGACGCTCTGAGCGCGGTGTTGATTTATATCTCCAGAGGACGTGAGAAGAGGGGAGAGGAGAAGGCGATGATGAAGCTTGGAGCAGCAAATGTTGGTAGCAAGTGCATGCAGGGTTGGATAAAGGACTAGTCTATCATACTAGTTGGCATGATCACCGATTGAAATTACGACTGCGCACTTGGGATTGATCAGTGGCACCCAATCGTAAAGATGCAATGGTTGCGTTGTGTATCGAGCTACCAAATTGTCCGTGAAGCTCTAGGCCAGCCCCGTCCGCCATTTTCATCAGTGACATCATTCTCGCCGCAACGAGCCTGGTGAAAGGCGGCCGTGCATGAAAGAAGGGCAAATGCACTGAATGCTGTGCTCTGTCAATGTAATGTGCGGAGTAGGCGTTTGTAGCGAGAATAAATAGGTATGGAAAGTCTGTCGATGATAAATACCTAGGCACACCCAAGCCGGGATCCAAATAATAGATACTCATCTTGATTGACAAACTGGAATGATCACCACGGAGAATTGCCATTTCCCTGCTTCTGCATTCTGCTTCTGGCTGCGTGGCCCAAGCTTCTTCCCCGCCTGGGCACAAAGTTCTCTGTCGGGGCAAGCTCCTGGTGATAAGCGAGAAGCACGTGTAAAATACAATCGCAGCCGCAGCGCCTCGACAACCGTTGGTTGGTGGTCTGTGAATAACTTCATCTTGAGCTTTCTTCAAGAACTGATTCTGGAGATCCGGCCCAGAATTCAAGGCCGAAGACATAGTATCTCGAATATTCGTACGATCAATATTGACGAGCACTTCCCGCTTTTCAATTCTGGATCGATTTTCGTCGGGACAGTATCAACACCAACCCGAGAATGAGTGACCTACAGAGGCAATGGGCCAAATCGAAGTTGTCAAGCTTCCCCCCACCGCCAATATTCAACGAAGCCGATGAGGATGAAGAGACGGACAACTTTGACACGGGTCTACCGAACGACGATGACTCCTCTTCGGCATCATCTGCTTCTTCGACCGGCACAGTGATTCCATCTTCAGACCAGCGACTATTTGCAAGACCTCAAGGGTTCGTTCTGACAGTACTGGATGGAGCCTCTGATTAACGTTCTTCAGGCCCCCAAACAAGAGATCTTTAGACCAGATTCCGTGGACTACGTACTTCGAGCGTGAGCTATTCCTCGAATCCGTGGAGGGTAATTGCACGACCACGCATCATGCGTATCTTACCTCGCCTGTGGGTACATCACCCTTATTCATCACTCATCATGGTGCAGGTTCCTCTGGTCTTTCATTCGCAGTATTAACTGCAGAGATTCGGAAGCGTTTACCGATGGCGGGCATTCTTTCTATTGATGCGCGAGGTCACGGCTCAACAACCATGAAACCAGAACCAGAAACTATGGATCTAAGTCTCGACACTCTCTCTGCTGATCTATTGAGGGTGATCCAAGAGACAAAAGTCAGAATGGGTTGGCAAGACCTACCCCCTTTGTTGCTCATAGGCCATTCTCTTGGCGGGGCCGTGGTGACGGATGTTGCAAAGAGCGGCAAGCTGGGCAATGCAGTCTTGGGATATGCTGTGCTTGACGTGGTAGAAGGATCTGCCATAGACGCTTTGCAAAGTATGCAAACGTACCTATCCACACGGCCGCTTGGCTTTGCGTCCTTGGAGTCGGGCATAGACTGGCATATCAGATCACGAACTATTAGAAACTCGCTCTCAGCTCGCACAAGTGTGCCTGCACTTCTCTGTTACAAGGAAGAGAATATCCCGAGACCATGGGTCTGGAAGACCGATCTTGCTGCGACGCAGCCGTTCTGGGAAGGGTGGTTTGTTGGTCTCAGCAAAAAGTTCCTCGAAGCTCGTGGGGGAAAGCTCCTAATTCTTGCGGGAACAGACCGACTTGATACAGAACTTACGATTGGACAAATGCAAGGTACTTTGCCATTCCCAATAATTCATTTGCAAAATTGACAAAGGTTATATAGGCAAGTATTCGTTGCAGGTACTCCCGGAAGCCGGTCATTTCCTGCATGAAGACCTCCCAGAGAAAACTGCTATGATAATCGTTGATTTCTATAAGAGGAATGATCGGAGTACCTTGGTCCTACCACCGAAAGTCTCAGATCTCCTGCGAGCGGGCAAGAAGGTTTGAAATAAGCCCTTTTCCTAGCACGAAGGTGTTGAGCGCTTTCGTTTCTACGATTACATTCACCGTAAGGATTACAGCAACAAGGCTAAGTCGCGGCTATGCGATCCGTCGTGACCAAGTTACCTGGCTTTACAGATACAAATTACGACCGAATCGCTCAAGTAAGCGCAAGAAGATTAGAAGTCTCCCTGGCTATACTACCTTCATAGGCAAAGCTCAGTAAAGTCTTTGTAGTTGATCCATTCCGCTGACATGTGGAATGCTATGGTTACCATAGAAAGTAACAAGTCTCAGTTTTACATTTTGACGACCTAAAAAAGGCAATCAAGCGAGATTTGCCTGTCTGTTGACATTTTTGTTTGGTCTTACTTTCAATAGCACATATATCCATCAGTTTCATGGCTTGAGATGACTTGACTCCTTTCCTTCGCTATCACTCAACGTCAACATGCGTTTCACTACTATTCATACACTTGTGAGCTGCTTGGTGACGCTTTCTCACGCCGCAACTCCAGAGCAAGACCTCCCTTTCTCATGTGGTCGCATCGCACTGACATGGCTGTAGAGAATCTGCCGCATCCGCCGCTGTAGCTGTAGAATCGTACCTGGAATCTCTGCCAGACGAGCCAGGGTTTCAAAGCGCCCTTTCTGACATTGCAAGGAACCCGGCTGGTCTTATGTCCCTCTCGCAATACCTACCATCTATCACATCGGCGCTTGGAGAAGGCTCTGTGCCAGCTAGTTTCTTTAGCAATCTCCCAACCGGCCAGGCCTTCAGTCTTATAAGTAGCGTGGCATCGGAAGCAAACGCACTCTTAACGGCGCCACTACCAACCGGGACTGGGGACGACCTCGAGATTTTGAAAGGTGCACCTAAACCCAAACCCAGACCTACTATGCCTCAAACAGATACCACAGCGGATTCTGTTACGGGGATGGCAACCGGAACAGCAAGTACATCCGCGAGCACAAGTACGAGCAAAGCAGGCGCTATGGAGACTGGGAAAGCTATTGGTATTGCCGCAGCCGCAGGAGCAGGCTTTCTTGGGTTTGTTATGGCATTGTAAACGTGCTGGCCTGTACGGTTCACGAGGTAACGGAATAATATAGAGACAAAAACTGTGGGTCTTTATTGTACTTCTGAGCTACCTAGTAGGATCTGCTAGGATTGTCAGTTAGGAGCTTCCCGGGTGAGATATCGACGGTGGTATATGGAAGGCAAATTTAATGAGCAACTTAATCTATGATAGAGTAATTTCAACTTTAAAAACAGGCGCGTAAGCCCGTTTGATACTTGTTCCAAAAATCTTCGAGAAAATTTAGACCTCGCCATCTTCAGCTGCTGCCAGTCACCGTTCGAACGAGTGACGGAACTCTTTCTAACCACTCCTTAACTTAGACCTATAGTCTGATGTTAGACAATAAAACGTTTTGTGCAATTTACTTTACCTTAAGATAGCTTTGTCTCGTTGGTGAAGCTGAAGAAGTATCCGAAACTAAATACTAAACCATAGCTCGTGGTCTCATCTTTCTTATCTGGATACTAATATCTCCTCTTGAGAAGCCGAGAATCCAATGAAACTCTGATAGTTGTCCAAGGTTCAATCAGACAAGGAAGTTATGTAAAACGCACGCTCTTCTTTTTCCAATTTATATGAACCTACATAAGTACTCTTCGAGAGGTGAAAGAGCGCTGTAACACTTCGTAATTGGTCGATATCCAAAGAGGGTAACTCCCAAGTTTTGGGAATCAAAATATAAGTGAGGTAATAAACTCAAATCTATAAAGAGTGTATGTGTGGTATAATTCGAACTCGGTTCTAATCAAAATATGTGTTGTACAAGCTAGCCACTAAGTCATTTATAGACCTGAACGACAGAATATTTTGTAACAAATGATTGTGTGTAAACGAAATCTTGCAGCTAAAATGGGTTCAGTATAGCTGGAGACGCTAATGTCTCAAAAGAAAAATTTGGCGTCAAAGACGCTTTTTCTGACAAGATCTTGTATTTAGTATACAATATTTCTGCCTTCGGAAGGACGATAAGTAAAATTATTTCAAACGAGGGTTAATCTACGAAACCCTTTTCGTGTCAGAACTGCTGTCGTCTTATACTAGAAAAGAGAATTGCAGTAAAAATAAATTGTGAAGTAGCAATATCTTTGCAAAATTATTGAGTTCGGTTTCGATGTTTCTGAGTCTCGATTAGGACTAACCGGGCGAGGGAACTGAGCGGCCCGATATTGCCGTCATGGCCTCCGAACCATTCAGGTACTTGACTTGCCATCACAACATGCGATTATCAATATCCACCACTTCATCCCCACAGATCATTGTCGCGCCCATGATCTGTCCGCGTTCAACACGAACCATGTGAGAAATGATCTTACAGCAGCTCTTCACTTTCCATCGATGAGCGCCAGCGAGCATGAACAATGACTCGACTCCAACACCAGCAGCGGCCCTGCCCTCCAACCCCTCGAACACCTTGGGAGAAAGCGCGCAATCGACACGGCCTCGGAATGTCCTCTCACCAGCACAAAAGCGCTTCCAGGCGCAAATTACGAAGAAGGTGGAATTCATAGATGATCTGATCAAGCATTCGGATATGCTTATATACATGGAACTTTGTGTATTGTATTATATGGAGTATGGAGCCGCCTTTATGTCTCAACCTAGCAGAGAGCTAAAACTGACGGGTCCCACAGCTGTTCATTCTTTAGACTCCTACTTCGAAGTTTCATGCAATTGATATTCCTTACACCCAAGCCCGCCGCCGTCCCAGGCGTAGCTCCTACACATCGACCCTGGGTTTATGTGATACTAGGCCCGAACCTGATATGCATGCTCCTACACCTCTTCACCTCTCGCCCCGAAGCCGGCGAGTCAATGAGGGGTTACCTCCATGGTGGAATTATAATAGACCTAATAGGCCAGAAAGGGCCAACCTCGAAGACCCATCTGTTACTGCTGGATGTTCTGGTCCTAGCTTTGCAATGTTTTATGCTGGCAGTAGTGATGGAAAAGGATAGGCTAGGAACCGTATTGAAAGCCTACACATCTCCAAATTCCGCAGCGAATCGATCGACAGTTCCGAGGGCGGAGATTCAGGATCTCGATGCTGAGGAGAGAGGCGTGGTTAGGGATTCCGTTGCCGAGAATGGGGACATTGAGCTTGGGACTATGAGGAATCGAGAACCCCCGAGCTTGAACGGGCGAGAACCAAATACTGGAGGAGATAGTGACCGGGCAGCACTACTCGCAGAACCTCCGCCTAGGGAACACAGTGGGGGTGGTTTGGATACCTTTTGGTCCGGCAGAGCCATTATCGCAGATTTACATATACTACAGGTTATCAGAATGCATTGGCGGGACTATGGAATAATGAATGGCGAGGCTACCGAGTCTGCCTGGCAAAATGTTGGATTTCGAGCGGCGAGGTCGATGATTTTGCTTCGAACAGAGATGCCAGCGGGGCGCTGATGCCGTAATTGATGATTGTATGATAGATATACCCAGCCTGAACTGTAAATTAAGTATTGAAACAAGTGTGAGCTTCTCTGAAATTCGGGATGTAAATGATTGCTTTTTATCAAGCTATTTTTCTTCCTACATTCCCCACTCCTATTCCTTTAACACTAACGATAATATCTCCTGTTTCATCGTCTTCACAATCTCTCATTCCCCAGCTACTCCCACCGAATTTTTTCAGGTCCCTCCCTAAAGTAATCACATCTTCTGTTCCAACCACGTCTCGACCTAGTCGCAACCTTCCCACATCCTCACTCCCCATAGCCATTAACATTAACACCGTCCCACACCCTATTCTCGTAATACAACCGCCTTGCTGAATACACTCAAGTAACTGCCATGCAGCTTTCTTTCCCAAATCTTCAGGCGTGACACCACCCTCACTGGGCGCCGCAACGTCTGCAGAATATATGACACCCGCAGCACTGCTTTCCGCAATCAGACTGAGTCCGAAACCCACACCCGTCCTCTTCTTCCCGCTTGGATTCGATTTATCTCCACTCGACACCAAAGGCGCCTGGTCGTATTGCGCCGCGACATGTATATCCGCGACCAAAGCATTCAACACCCCTCGAGCGGCATGTATCATCCTCGCATTATTGCTAGCACTGACTCCCGTACTATAAGCCACGCCTCTAATCCTCTTCACGCGACCAGGACTTCGATTCATATGTAACGTCTTCGGTAACCTGACTTGAGCGCCAAATCTCAATTCCACGACCCCTCCACCTCCCTTCCCTCCCGGCCCAGCGCAACTCCGCTGAAGAACTCGCAGTTCCATTTTCGCACCTAGAATGCCGAATTGTTCGTATAATGGTAGTATCGCCGTGCGCATCGTATCGACACTGATATCCCCCGTGTCCGTCGCGCTCGTAATCACGCCTTCGCCCTCAAATCGCACATTGACCGGCGCTTTCGAGAACGGCGCAAGCACACATAATGGCAGGAGAAACCAGCTTATTCCGCGGCGGTTCGTTTCTGGCAGTACGCATTTGACAACATCGGATGCGCCGCCGACGTTGCCGGTTATGAGACCAGGAATGTAGGTCAGGGTGGTACCTGTGTAGGATATCTGAAAGGAAGAGCCATTAGTTATGGAATCCAGTAGACGCAGGAAGGAAATCTCGTGAGGCGCGAGACCAGGGTTCGTGGGGGAGGAGGAGCGGATTTGGGAAATATGGACCGGACGGCCAGTGAGCGTTGAGAGGACCAGACGATGTGTGAAAGCTTTGTGGGTAGTGAACCGTAGAAACTCGATATTGGGAGTGGACATGGCTTCGTAACTTTTTGAGGGGATTCTGCTACTCGAATAAAGCACAGTCCCATACGTTGTTTATTAGCCCAGAGAAAACTAAAACATATGCTTTGAGGTAGTGACCAGTTGACTTGAATATGAGCGCCTGTGTTCAACGGATTGGCAAAATCATCTACAGGATTATTGCACAGAAAAATATCAAAGTACTTGCGCCTTTATTGCACATTATTTTGTACGGATTGCAGATTTAATGGCGGCAGTATCTCACCGCCCACCCGCTTTTCGGCCCACATTAGCTGGATTAGTGTCTCCCCAGAGTACCACTCTACTGTAGGTTCGGATTAAGTTATATTGAAGAATCTAACCAAACAATATAGCATGATACTGCTCCCTGCTGAATCATTCGTTACCCGGGGCGCATTGAAGAGCTTTTGCCCATCCCTTAATACCAAAAACGAACGTCAAGACAACCAAACCAACAAGCGCTCCTTTTCGTCCAGTCCTCCACGCTTTTCATTCTCATTCCTCGTGCAACGGAAAAAGAATTTGTACAATAATGGGCCCCAACGCAGCCGATTAGCCCCGGATGGAGCAGATAATGTCCCTGCTTCTGTAGTGTTACATACGAAATCGCAAAGCAGATTTCGTGAAGCAAGGTGACCTTCACAGGCTCTTGCTTCGTTTGGAAATTTATTGGGAGAATGAGCGAACCTAGCAAGACGACAGAACGACGCCTCGTCCTGTCGGATCAAAGATATAGATTGAATGTTATGCCCTCATGCATTGGCTGAGTGCCACTGAATGCTAGATCACGTTCAAGCAGTAGACTCGACAGCTGCCGGCTCAGGTGTCTTCTCCTAAGGCTGCATTAGAATTAATGAATATGGCATAGCCGATTTCATACCTTGTGTGACTCCTCCTTGGGCGATTCAATATGGGTTGCATCTACCGAAGCGATCGCGGTTTCAACAGCTGCTGGTGCTTCGTCTTTTTCTTCGGTGGACTCCTTCGTTCCATTTGTCGGTTGACTTGGCTCGACTTTGGCTTCCTCCAATTCGGGTTTCTCATCCGATTTGGCGCCGTTCACGCCCGATGCAACTGGTGTCTCCGTTTCGCTTGCGAGTAACTTATTCCACTTATCGAGCAAGGACTGTGATCTTGGTTTGAACTGAAACTCCTCCTCTTTTGGAATAGAGGTCAATTTGAGAATGGCCTTCAATACTTTATTGATCTTCGTTGCTCTGATAATGCTCACTTCGAGGTCAGAGTAGCCTTCCAGCTTGGTGACGAATTCAGACATCTGCTTCATTTCGTCCGCTTTCGGCTCTTGATCACGAGTTAGGAGACCCTTTTGAAGCTTATGGCGGAGAAACAAGATTTCTTTCTGTAGTTGAATTAGTGACATACAAATTGAGACTGAAAGAGTAGCTTGCCTGTTTAGTCGCACGCTTCTCTTCCGCAGAAAGTTCTGGTTTCTTTGGGGCAGGCGATGCGGGCGCATCCTTGGCCGCTTTCTTACCCTTCGCCTTTGCGGATTTCGGAGCTGATGAGTCTTTGGCTGACTTTGGGGTCGAGGTGCCATTGGCAGTCTTCGGTGTATTGAGCTTGATTGTGGGCCGTGGCTTCTTAACAGATTCGGGTTGTGCTGGGTTCTACGGTGGATGAGCAAACGTTAAACATCTCACGCGTTTTTCTTACCTCGGTCTCCCCATCTGGGTTTTTGCGCTTTTTACTTTTGGGTTTGGCGATTGCGACACCCTCGGCCTCTTCGGATTCGGGCTCTACTGCAGCGTCTGCCATTTCGATATCTTCGTCGTCCTCTACCACCTTGGCATTTGACATACGCGGCTTCTTCGACTTTTTGGCTTCCTTTGCGGCTTCCTTCGCAGCCTTAGCGGCCTCTTTCTGCGACTCCTCCTCGGCCTTGCTTTCGAGATGTGTGGTTAGGATGTTCTTGAAATAGTCCAAATCTTTGCGCTCACGTCCAATCAGGTATGCCTCGTGGAGATCTTTACGCATGTTCGGTTTAATTTCTTGAAGGGCATCATCATGCATCTCGACTAGATCGTAATGTGGAATCCAAGAACTGCAGATGACAAAATTAGTGTTGCTACTTTGGTGGCCAGGATAAGTGACTTACAACTCGTTGGTAAACAGGTACATAACGGGGAAGCTGCGGAACTTCGATTTTGGTCCTCCATCCTCATACCCTTCCAGATACGAGCCGTCTGGTCTCATGGCTGCTACGGGCCGACTTTTGCACATGAGTGGTGGAAGCATAGATTCATCGACGACTATCCCGGGCCAGAGAGGATACCCCTTCAGTCTGATAAAGAAATAGTCGCCAGGCTTTGCGTCGACGTTGCTTAGCCGGGCCTTAGAAGGCTTTTTAGATAGCTTCTTGCTTTTGTGCTCAGGAACCCCTCCAGATTTACGTCTACCCTTTCCCTTGCTCGCAGAAGCTGGCGTAGTCAGAGGACCCTCTGTCGCATCTGACGCAGATGGTGCAGCATCGTTTTCTTTTACATCCTCCTTCTTTCCGGCGTCATCATTGTTCGCCATCGCTGGCTCATCAACAGGCACGTCCTGCGCGACAACCAGCTCGCCGTTTGTAGGCTTGTCTTCTAAAGCTGAACGCGAGAATAACACGTTAGCAAATATTAAAAGATTGAGGAAAACCACACAAAAAGTACAAATAAGCATACCCTCGACTTTCGCGACAATTTCAGGCGCGACTTCCTTGCTAGATTCGACCAAAGTGTCATTGGCACTTGTGCCATTCATGTCTGTACTCCGCTTTGCCACGGTCGCATCAGAACCAGCAGCAACAGCTTCGGAGCCAGTTGGTGCTGGGGAGGTGGCGGGATTAGCGTCCGACATGATGTCGTCGCGAAGATGTTTGGGCAATATGATTTTGTTAAAAATAACAGACTCGCAATTGCCCAAGACGCGTCAGACCAGCCTTGATGAATGGCAGATAGATGTGTTGCAGTTGGGATAACGAGCTTGATGAAGCAGCTGTTATGAGGTGGAGGTGTTGATGTGATGGAATTATGAAATGGGTTCCTTCCCTCAGACTTTCAAAAGGCTCGCGCAGATTTAGCGGGCTTCCACGGTCACGTGCACGGACGTAGCCGGTTGAAGGTTGGGAAGTCCTCGTGGGCACGAACAGGTGAATCAGCGACGCCTTGAGTGTGCTGAACGCGACACGGAAAGGAAAGGTAAAAAGAAATCTCTGAACTGAGAAAAGGAAACGAAACTGAATGGTCTTCGTTTCCTGGAGACAAAAACAGAAAGGACGAATAGGACGAACAACTCGGTACGAAGAAATCGCCCGTTCTCAAAACAACGCCAAAACAAAAGCTGAGGTGAGAGCGTGAGGCGTGACTGACAACAACTCTTCTTCTACCGCAGCGAATCACAATTCGCTTTTCTCCTCTGTGCCTGCCTGGCCGTGCCACTGCAACACCAAATCACTCGAGGGCCAAGCACAGAAACCCAACGGAATGCCACATCCTGGTTACCTCTAGCCTAATCGAAGTGGCCAACTGGCTTTGATCCATAGAAAGTTTCCTGCATTCCAATCTAGTATACAGAACATTTGATGTTGACAACTGATAACTAACATGTTTCGACTACTCTTCGTCTTCCTCATCATCGTCCTCGTCCATGCCCTCTGCGACGTCCACTGTAAATTCCGGATCCTGATCGACGCCCACGTAGCTGTCACTCATCAAGTACAGCTTCAGCTCATGTTTTCCGGGCGTGGGGACCGTGTACTCCAGTCTCACGTTCAGAGACTTTCCAATTGTTATGCGTTTTATTGCAAGGAGGGTCTTGGAGCTTTCTTCGCCGACTACCAGCCACCAGTTTTCCATCTTCTTTTGGGGATAGAATGGCGCATGCACTGTCATATCAACATCCCCAGCCTCATCGTCTTCGTCTACCTCGCGCGCAATTTTGACCTTCAAGTAAGCAGGATCTCCAGCCGTGATATTTTCTGGATCCTCAACTTGGAAATCCAGTTCAATATTCGGATATTTGTTGTTGGTGAAGGCTGCAGCTTGCGCCAACTGGGTTTGAGAAAGGCTCAAACGCTTTACAAGAGCTTCGTAATCCGGGTTTTCAGAGGGATCCATAGCCTCCATGAACTCAAAGATATCTTTGACACTATAATAGAAGTGATGGTTAGTGATCTGATAAGATTGCTGTGGTAGTGATACATACCCAGATTTGTTTGCAGCAGCAATTACTTCTGGTGTGAAATGGGGAATCTGCTTCAACGGACTATCGCGATCCCACATGCCCTGCACAACCATCTGCGACATCTCCATGGCGTTCATGGCGTTTATGTGGCCATCTGACGACAAAATATCTACAGTGGCACTTAGCAAGCTGATAACTTTCGTCAAGATGATTTCTTGGTCTTTAGCCAAATCAATTGGTAGCTGCATTCGCGAGAAGTGAGCTTGGAGAAGAACGAAGGCCTTGAAATGCGGTGAATCATAACTTGGCTGTCCCATTTTGACTGGCACTCGATCATATACCCGTCGCAAAAGATTATCTTCATGCCTACGGATCTGAATGGATTCAAACTCCGTGGCTGAGGTGATTATCTCCAATATTCCTTTCAGTTTAGTCTTCCCACTTAGCGACAGCAGAAAGGTTTGCATAGTGACATATGAGATATTGTAGTAGGCCGCAATCATGGCTGCGTTGAGTGGTGTAACGGAATCGTCTTCCTCATCTAAATCGATGATTTTGAACTCTGCCAATTCTTTCAAGGTTGTTTCTACCAGCTCTGAAAGATGTGCGCTTAGACCTTCATGTGACACATCCAGCAAACTGTAGTAACTAGGATTTGCTAGAAGACGACGATAGAAGTATGTGAATGTGGTCCAGTTGATCGCATCATCAGCAGATTCGATCATTTTAGTGCTGATTTCGGACACGAACGCATCATGCAGATACGCTTGAAGGTGACTCTCAATAGGAAGTGCCTCATTTAGGAACTTCTTGTAGTACTCGCGCTTCACAGCCGGCACCATCAGCACGCCACGGCCCAACTTATCCTCGAGCGGGCGAGATGCCTTCCCAAACATCTGCAAAACCTCACTCAATGGATAGTCCACATATCGATGTTCTCGGCCTTCATAGTACTGAGTGCCCATAACGACGACCAGGTGGGCAACGCAATCCAACTCCCAGCATACATCGCGAGAGGCAACCAACACCTGAATAGCACCGTTATTGTATAGATGCTTAACTATTCGCTTGTCACTTGCGCTCAAAGCCTCGTGGTAATATCCAACGCCATGCGAGACTGCTTCCGCCAGCGCCTCCTCTCCGATACGCTCCAATAAAGGTCTCATTTGATCAACGTCTGCGTGCAGGAAGCGGTCTTCGTCGTCACTAGCGACACAAGCAGCTAGTAAGTCCCTAGTAGTGGCCCTAGCCTGCTTCCTACTGGGGACAAAGACAAGGGCGGGTTTGTCTGCTGACATTTGCAGTATGGAGAGATAAGTCGGCTTCGCCATAGCGAGCATCAACGATGGGAAGTGCGGGATGGTGAATGATTGGACGTGTAGCTCCAGAGGAACAGATCGAACATGGGGACTGAAGTTGTAGATGTTATGCTTTTTAGCGTCAATCCACTCACCAATGTCGCGGGCATTGGCGAGAGATACACTTAGACCAATGATTCGAAGAGGAAGTTCAGTCTGCGATCGGATATAGTTCATGCGCGACACAATGATCTCATACACAAAGCCTGAGTGTCCGCCAAGCATATGGAGCTCGTCCGCGATGAAGAGTTCAACATTTTGTATGTTCTTTCGTCGTTGCCATTGGCGAGACAAGACGTCCCACTGCGAAGGCGTAGCAAGGACAAGATCACCTCGTTCAAGTAGCTTGAGGTCTGCAGTGGTTTCGCCAGTTAGCTTCACGATCTCTTTACCTCCACGAAGTTCAGCGAAGCGAAGTTGCCAATCTACCAGCCTGGCGTCAACAAGCTCCTGAAACGGAGCAATATAGACTACACGGCCAGCGGTTTGTTTGTTCCAGTGGCGGAGGAGTGCAAATTCGGCACATACAGTCTTGCCGCTGCCTGTTGGAGCCCCTATAAAGACGTTGTCGTCAGTTGAAAATAAGGAGTTGAAAGCCTGAGTTTGAATCTTGTTAAATCGCTCCCAATTAGGGTACAAAGATTTGAAGTCGTTGCTTTTCAACGCCGCAACCGGTAATGGTTGCAAGTCAAGTAGAGGCGTATGCGGGGGGAACTTCTCCGGTAAAATCAGTTTCTGAAATGAGACGGCTAGTTTGGTTTCTGAGTGCATCCATCTATCGGAGATGACAGAAACGAAGTAGTTGGGAGGCATAGGTTCTGTTATCGGCACCGTGAACTCCACGACATGCTGGTTTTCTTCAGACTGGGCAAAGTCTTTACGGAGAATGAATTGGTCATGGAAAAGAATGTCTTCTCCGTCACAGTCTTCCGCAATGATCCAGAAGCTTTCGGCCGAGCCATGAATATCTTCATCCCATTCGAACCTAGGCGTGATTGTTAACTCCACCCTCAGCATTGATCTGGTCATAGGTTGAACCTGAGCCTGCACGTCTAATCGTGGAAATTTAGACACAAGATTACACACAGTCTTGCCAGCCTTAGGGAGTCCGAGGAGCTCGCCCATACGGGGAGGGTCTAAATCGAAATAATTCGCCCATGGTACATCAATCCGCTCAGCTTTCTGCACGATGTCTCGCGGACAGCTCTGGAATTGTCTCAGAGGGGTCATTGTGGGCCACATACGCTTTTCCGCCATTTTACAGAGCTCCAATGCCGTCTTCGCAACGGAAGACCAGCCTTTTTTGAGAGTGATCTCGAAAATTGCTCTGAGAATTCTGCCTGCGGATTGAGTGACGTAAACAAGATCTGCCATCAGTGCAAGGCCCTCAAGCTTGAGGCGAGAAATGTATGCTTGCAAAAGCACGTTGATCTTCGCATGAGGCTCCTCTATGCCTTCCTTCACAGGAATGGGAACGCGTCCCAGTAATTTAGCGAGCTCGAGCTTCTCGTCTTGACGAACGGGAATGTATTTGAACTCGTCGCTCAAAGCAAATACGCGGAAAAGCTCAATGGGAGTGATTGAAGGCTGAATGTGGTGGTTGTAGGTCAACATTGAGCTATGTGTAATATAGTAGTGCGAAGCGATGCGGCCGAGCTCTGTGGATTGTAGTTTACCAGTCTTTTTGTCGTACTTGATGAGGTTTGACTTCTCGAGAACGACAGCAGCTGAGTGGATGAGGTCTACACGCTTCTGTTCTAGGGCACTATCTCCTTCATAATCTGCACCAACACTGTACAGGCCAGGTGAACGCAGCATGCGGACAAACAGATAGGTGTAGCCTAACCACTCAACCCCTTCGTCGCGACTTCGGACATTTCCAAGGACGACTTCGGCATTCAAGTTGTCGACCAATTTACTGACAAATTGACTCTCTATTGGCAGTTGTTGATTGAGAAGGGACAGGTAATACTGCATCTCACTTTGGGTAGTGATGATGATGCCTTCGCCATAAGTGTCGTACTGCGGTCTACCCGCTCGACCCAGCATCTGAAGAACGTCTTGCGGGCTCAGCTCAACCCAGCTGCCCTTCTCAGGGGAGTAGACTTGTGTACCCTTGATTATGACGGTATGGGCAGGCAGATTGACGCCCCAAGCAAGTGTAGCCGTGCATACGAGGACTTGTATCATTCCATCATTAAATAGATCTTCAACGGAAGTACGATCTGGCCGACTCATGCCTGCATGATGGATGCCGATACCGTAGGGCAGCAGGTCTTTCAGCTCTCTGTCATTCACAGCTTCCGCTTCGGAATTCAGTGCTTCTCTGCTACCAGCATCGCTTCTCAAGATTTGGCCAATAGTCTCCATTTCCAACGCTTTGTCTCGAATGTATCTGGCAGTTTTTGACGTCTCCTTGCGGGAGTGTACAAAAATGAGCATCTGGTGGTTGTTCTTCCCTACATGCTCGAGGACTTTCGTGTAGGTTACATCGTTCATTGTTTTGAGTTGCTTGATCGCCTTCTTCTCCGTGATCCCAACGAATTCTTGGCGAAGCGGACAGGGACGGAAAGATCCATCAAAATGAAACATACCTTTCAGAGGATCAACGCGCAAAAAGCTTGCAACATCGCGATAGTTGGGCAGTGTGGCAGACAGACCGACTAGACGGACAGGATCGCCGGTCTGTTCCATTTTTCTAATCGTTCGACTGACAATACTCTCCAGTACAGGGCCACGGTCGTCGTGCAACAGATGAATCTCATCAATGATGATTAGTCGTACAAGATTGGTATAGCTTAGATCCGTTGCCTTTCTCGTAATGACATCCCACTTCTCGGGCGTTGTGACAATAATCTGGGTATCAGCAATTTGCTGTTTTGTGAGCTGTCGGTCGCCAGTCAGCTCAGAAACAGTAATGCCATACGGTTTCAGCCGGGCACCGAAGTTGCCGACCTGCTCCTGAACTAAAGCTTTTAAAGGTGCGATATAGACAATCTTGAATGCGTCTAGATTTATGTCACCAGTGTCTGGATTCCGGTTCTTGCCAATCTCACGAAGAATAGCCAACATTCCAACATTCGTCTTTCCACTTCCAGTGGGCGCACATATCAGCATGTTGCCGTCGTCTTGGAAAGCTTGAGGGAAACAGGCGGATTGAATCTTGTTTAGCTTTGTTGCCGAGCTAAATGGTACTCGCGACCACTCTGGCATCTCTGAGACGGGAATATCGCGATCACTCGGGTCGTTGCGCTTCTTTGGGGGTGGCACATGTATCTCCTCATAGCCCTTAAAGGTACGCTTGGTTGAACCTTCGGGGAGCTTGACCTTGGGATTCGTCATTAAGTGATTGCCTTGATCAAACACAAGATTTTCCAGGTTAATAAGCTTTCCTGGTTGCAAACCTCCAACAAGTCCTTCATCACCTGTATTTTCTTTCTTGGCGCCACCATTCGTCAGTGCGCTGGGAACATCTATGTCCATTTTGATCTCTAGCTTGCGCTTCTTGGATCCATCTCCACTGGAGATGACTCCTCGTAGCTCATCAAGGATCCATCTTAGGCCTTCCGAAGCTATCTTTCTCTCGACCACGCCCCTATCCTCCGCATCCTCAGCTCGCGCTAAACGGGTCAGCCATACTACTTTGTCTCTGTTGGTGATGAGTTTGTGAACGAGCTCGTGATTTTCGTAATCAAAAAGCTCGGCGAGGTCGTTTTCGATTTCTCGTAACGGCTTCTCTTCACCGCCTTCCTCCTCCGGAGCACCAGATAATATGTGAAGGGCTTGCTGTGTCTTGACTTGTTGAATATGTGCATCCGAATAAATTGTGCCAATTTGCCTTTGTAACCAGTAAGCGTCAATATCTCTTGCTGGAACAATATTCTTCTTCTTGTCTTTGGTGTCTGTTTTCTCACGAGGCCCAGCTTCTAGAATCATCGCGTCTGCCTCCGATTCATCACTCTCTTCCGCCCTGTCTTTGCCAGCACCGCCCGCTGTTGCAGTCTCTTCTTCCCCAGGACGGTCTTCACGATCTTCTTCATCTTCAGACGACTCATCGCGTATTTCATTTATCATTTCTGCCCCATCTTCATCTTCAGAATTGTCGTCAAAGACAACAGCGACACCTTGGCGGTCATCAATGTCTGCCCCATCTTCACCGCGATTTTCCCCATCTGCCATGACCTCGTCTTCATCTTGTGCGTCGTAATCGGTTATCTTCTTTCCCAAATTTACTAGCTCATTAAATGCCTTGGGGGTCATGGTGGCGCCTAGTAAATCATCTATTTCTTTCTTTTTATCGAAATCTTTCATGTCATCGTCCTTGAGAAACTCCAAGACAGCATCCGCAGCACTTCGAACGATTTCGTGCGAAACATCACCTAGATTGTTGGCGACGGTAGTGAGGATAAGATCGTAAGTTGCTCGAGTGGCAGATGTTCGTGGCCGATACACGATACCTTCAACCAGCGCGTCAGATGCCGACAGGATACCAGTTCCCCGTAGTTGCGCAGGTTCCCCACGCTTTCGTTTGCGTTGTTCTCGTTCCAACACATCTTGACCTTCCTGTAAACCGCCCCTCTCTACATCAGGTAATCCCAAAGCCTTTTTCTTCTGCTTTGGCGCATTGTCGCGCGCATTTCTCGATCCCATATCCCGGATGCTTAGCCTACCAGCAAGTGATTCTGGGTCCCCAGTTACTTCATCGTTGCGCCGAGTAACAAACCGACGGTCCGCCTGGAGAACCAGGTTGGACATCGCCGAGTATTTGTACTGAGAAACATCGCGCTGTTGGTCGGTCATTTTGGCTGGTGATTGTACGTGGCGACCTAGAAATTTGGATAGAATCTAGCCAAGATATTCTGGAGCGGAAGAAGTAGAAAAACTATTATCGGAAAAGAATTCGTAAAGTCATCGGAGACGAATTGGACCAAGAAAAAATGATGAGCAAGATGGTAAAACCAGGAGTGGTTCTCTGGTCACAGGCGTGATAACGGTCAACAAGAAATAATCAAAATCATAGAGGTTATGAACTTTAGCGCGCTTAGCGCTTCTGAAGCACAGATGTTTTGCCGCCCCACAGACAAGGCTGAAAGTTCGACGACATCTGTATATCACGAGCAGTTTATACAACTACCCGGGAGCTGCAAAAGAGCAAATGTCGACCAAAAGCGCAGAACAAAATGCAAGCTACTGATAACACACCCGAGGCAGTACTGAACCTTCAAGCTTTGCTGCATCCATTCGTCAAACAGAGACAAGAAGCTGGTCATATACGGCGTCTCTTGGCCAGTCATCTGAGTTTTGGTCTGCATTCGGTAGAGCTAGGTACTACATGCACAGTTCATCAACCCTTGGCGCTCGTCGGGTCTTCTGTCGATATTGACGCTGCTCCACACAGCATCAAAGGTGTTCATAAAGAGTACTTGCGCCAGGCTCGAGCTAATGTCAAGGCAAAGAGCGAATTCAACGCAGCAAGCGAAGCAGCTCAGCATGAGTCGACGAATGACAATGATTCTAAAATCGAGATCCAAAGCTCCTTAGAGCCTTACCTAGAAATGGTCAAGAAGCAGCAAACACACGACGTTCTGACCATTAATCAAAACTACATTGATACAATAAGCAAACGACCAGCTGCTTCAGTTCAACGTTTTGATCACAATGAAGTTCTTGTGGATATTGGGTCCTTACCCGAGATCCCTTCAGAAGTTCTGAAACCCCACGAGAACTCGCGAGAGAACGGGGTTGTTGATTTAGCTACCCTTGTTGATCATCTTGAAAAGTCTGTTCTTCGTGCCAAACTGCTTTTGAAAAGAGAGCAGAAGCTTCTATATAAGGTCAGGGCTGAGAATGATATGGCGAATCATACCCATACCTCCCGACTTCAAGCTCTGGGAACTGCTCGAAACGAGTTAATCAGTTGGATCGAGACTGAGCTTTCACAGGCAGGAGATAGCGCAGCAGACACCGACGAGAATCACCTCCTTTCCGACTCGTTTCGCCAAGATCACCTCGACTCTCAGCTCTCAGTCATCGGTCGTCAATACACACAATATGCGAAGTCACGACAAAGTCTAGTCACAACAGTCTCTGAGATTCTTACTCCAACAATGAATCGTACAACTCATGTTCCCCCCGAAGCCATTAAGACCTTTGAGGACTTCAGTGCTTGTAATTACACAGGCGAGGTCACACTCCCCTATCTGAAGAACTTGTTACTTGTATCAAATCAGCAGAAGGCATTGGCTCAACAAAAATCGAACCTAACAATAAATCTAGCTAAGCAATTGAAAGAGGCTGGGTTACGACTCGAACGCCTTGCGGAAGAGAGCCATTTGCTCCCAGCATATCCAATATCTTCGAAATCCATTGTACGTCAAGGGCGGGCTACTGGAAGCTCATTTGCAAGCGACCTATCTGCTTATGAGAAGCCAGATTTTGCCAGACATGCTAGAGCTTGGGCACATTCTTCAGCGTCCGTTGCTACTAGTACGAAAGCTGCAATTCTGGACAAGCTAGAAAGCGGAAGTGCGTCTGTTGATGAAACTCGTCTCGCTTTGTTTGAGCTCCGGCATCTTTTAGGTGAGGTAGTGGAGGAGTCTCGTAGCGGAGCCGAGATGACAGGACATCCAATTATCGTGGGAAAACGTGAAAGAGTTGACATATGGGCCACAATTGAGGGTTCGCTTGGAGCTATCAAGCAAGATAACGGAGATACGTCGTAACCGGCGAAGAAACGAATTGAACGCAAAAAGTCATTTCGTATATAGTGGGGTGCGTAGTGCATACGAAGAGTCGCTATTACCTTGCCTATGTTTTATGGCGGGGTAGAATCTCCACAAATGGTTTTTCAATCCTAGATATCAATCACTGTTTTGATTGAATTTAGATAGTGACATGTATGCATTTTCAGTAGTATCGATGTCTAATGTTCAATGCTTTGAACCGGATAGGTCTTACGTTATTATAAAATATTAGATCAACACAAGTCGCTAGACAGACGTAGAAGAGTATAATCAATCTTCTCTCTTTCTAGTACCCCTCCAAAGTGGATCTCAGCCTTGCATGACAGGGTCCGTGCAGCGTGTAACCTCAGAATAATAATTTGAAGTGCACTGATGACTCCCATTTGACTCCAACATCAGCAAGTATTAAACGAAAAGACGTCCCAGACTCCATCGAGAAACACGACTCTGTCTTTATTATGGCGACTTCGCAGGAAGTGCAGCAGGGCGACCTGCCTTCCGAGGTTCTTCAAGCACTTTCCCAGAATGATCCAATTCTTTCGGCGACAACCTTCCCTTCAATTCGGGCGACAGAATTGAAGGGAGCGCTGGATCGGCTGGCCTCGAGGTCAATGATTACATATGAAACGATTGATAAGGAAGAGCCGGTTTTGGAGCCTGAAGCGTTAGAGATAGCAGCGAATGGTAGTCATGAAGCGCGAGTTTTTGAGGCCTTGAAGCAGGCGATGGATGGCCTTACGGTTTCTGAGCTTGAGGCTGCAGTAGGAGACAAGAATGTTGTTAAGGTTGGGCAAGGCAAAGCTTTCAAGTCCAAGTGGATTGCAAAGGGAAAGGAGGGTCGTTTGATCGCTTCCGTGAGTATGAGTAATTTGTTTTGTGAGGGCACATAGAATTAACATTTGTAGACTGATTCCATACAAGATGTTACGCAGCAACAGCTTCAAGTGATACAGAAAACAAGTTCACATCCTGACCCTAAGGTTATTACAGATCTCAAGAAAAGGAAACTTGTCAAGATGCAAAAGATTACTAGTTTCAAAATCCACAAGGGACCAAAGTTTGCGCTAGAAATTGTGAAAGAAGAAACAGACCTGACTGCGGACATGCTTGCCTCGTGAGTGTCTTTTATATTTTCTTCGCAATATCTGCTAAAATCATTAGGGGTGCTTGGAAGACCGCCGCTTTCAAACCATACAATTTCAAGTCGCTTGGTGCGGATCAGAATGCTGGAGCTTTACATCCGCTCAACAAGGTCCGCCATGAGTTCCGACAAATCTTCTTCGAAATGGGGTTCGAGGAGATGCCGACAAATCGCTATGTAGAGACTGGCTTTTGGAATTTCGACGCGCTCTTTGTTCCCCAACAGCATCCTGCGCGTGATCTTCAAGATACTTTCTACATCTCAGATCCTAAAACAGCTGACAAGCCGCACGCTGAATCCCAAGACGACAAAGGTGATTATGAGTCGTATTGGGAAAATGTGCAAGAAGTCCACCAGGATGGTAAATATGGTTCGATAGGTTACAGATATCCATGGGCAGAAGACGAGTCATTGCGACTTGTTCTCCGTACACATACAACAGCTATTTCAACAGCCATGCTGCATAAATTAGCTTCACAGAAAGGTCCAGATGGAAGACCACCACCGGCACGTTATTTCTCCATCGATAGAGTCTTCCGTAACGAGACCGTTGATGCAACTCATCTTGCTGAGTTCCATCAAGTTGAGGGTGTCATTGCCGACTATGGCTTGTCATTGGGAGGTTTGATGGAATTTATGGAAATCTTCTTCAACAAGATGGGTATCGAGGATTTACGATTCAAGCCAGCATACAATCCTTACACTGAACCAAGTATGGAAATCTTCTCTTTTCACAAAGGTCTAAACAAGTTGGTTGAGATTGGGAACAGCGGTATGTTCAGACCGGAGATGCTGGAATCAATGGGCTTACCTAAGGATATGCGTGTCTTTGGCTGGGGGCTGAGTTTGGAAAGGCCAACGATGATCAAGTACAAGGTGAGTTGAAAAGGTATATTTGCCTTCCCCGCTCTAACGTAAAATAGGTCAACAATATTCGAGAACTATTAGGCCATAAAGTTGATTTGTCTTTCATAGAGAGGAATCCTGCAGTCAGATTGGAAAAGGCATAAAAAGAAGTATAGTGGCAGAGAAACATCTTGTCCCAGCGGGCAGCGATAAGAAGAAGCCGATTACGATACTTGCAAATCAAATGCACGATCAACCCGGTCTGGATTGGTTGCTGGTAAAGACCAATCGCAATCATGCCATGTCAATGAGATGAAAATACAGTATCTTTTACGGCTATTCTATCAGTTGAGTTGGTACGATGAAAATGTCAGCGACTACCTACATGACTTTGAAACCAGGCACCCCTCGCACGTGCACAATTGGACAATTGGTTGAATTATTCAGAGTTCAAGATCAGTCACAGAACAACATATTCGTGGTCGAGATGTAGATAGTTCCCACACTGCTGTTATGAGACATAAGGGTATTCAATTCGATGCTTAGTAAATTGATTCTTGGTATAAACTGGAACAATGACCCCTATGACAGGAAGAAGCGTTAGCAAACTGAGCTTGACTTGCGGTGGGGTAAAACACCCTCCTCCTAATCAATCTTGTTCAATGATATCATGGATGCATAGTAGAAATTTCTCCTCTCATGTACAGTATGGTACGTCCTCGAATTTTGGAACCCCGCACTCTCTGCAAGAAAAACTTATGCAGAAAGCAAAACTCAGTCTCAAGGATCTTTCAGTATTCAAGTGGAGTATTCCCATTGGGCCTTGTCCACCTTGCAGCAGGATGTGAAAACCTCCCATGCGCGGCCTGCAATTGCGTGCGTTTTTCAGTCTTATGACTGCTACTAGTCTAGCTACCGCTCGTGAGCCGCGAAGTGCAGGTGAGGATTTACTTTTGAGCGGCCTAGTGGATGCTGGGCTGGGCTGGGTTGGAAAAGAAAAAAATATGATCCGAATTTCGGGGGTCAATCGTGCAGCAACCTGAGTGGGGCAGCGAATGACAGACCGGCCACGACCAAAGCACTGAATTTCTTCATGTTTGCTCCCAGGACTTCTCTTTCAATCATCAAACAAAATCCTCAATTCCTACACAATCACCATGTTGAGAGATTTTGAGCCCTCGAAGTTACAGACCTAGGAACTGTACTACTATTCATCATAACTCATTCTAATACTCAATTCCTTATCGGCAGATAACCAATTTATCGTCACTGATAGGAAAGCAGCAGCGAAACCTTACTCCAAAAAGTTAATCGCAGCAAATAAAGGTCAAAACGCGACTTTCACGACTTCCTACGGGAACACGACGGATCTTAACCGCCCTCTGAACTCTATCGAGGGTCAAGACCTGCCATTGAACAATCCCCTGGCACTTCACGATGGCTCTCTCCATCCGGGCAGCTACTAGGTCGACCTCCTCCCTCCGCCAATTCAGAACATCAGCATTTGCAGGAAGAAACTTCACGACTCGAAGTACCGCACGATGCTTGTACCCTAAAACTCAAGCTGTGAGCAGCAATGCCAGATCGATTCGCATGTTCTCGTGTTCTCATGTTGTCCGGGATCAGACCCAGACCGCCCCGAACGCCAAAGCATACTTGGAGAGTGGAGTCATAAAGGGAGCCAAAAATCCAGTGGACGTCAAGAAGGTCTTGGTTATAGGAAGTGGTGGTTTGAGCATTGGACAAGCTGGAGAGTTCGATTATTCAGGTTCGTGCTGGTTCTGATTTTCTTGAAAAAAGCCATGACTCAGAGCTGTTCGCTCGGGGTTACACCGCCTCAAGCCTTGTCCTTTTTTTTAAGTAGATAGAATAATAGAGCATATACTAATGCGATCCAAACAGGATCCCAAGCTTTGAAAGCATTAAAAGAAGCAGGTGTCGCGTCTGTCCTGATCAATCCCAACATTGCAACTATCCAAACCGCCCACGTCCTTAGCGATGAGGTGTATTATCTCCCGGTCACGCCAGAATATGTAACATATGTCATTGAGCGGGAACGTCCTGATGGCATCTTCCTTACCTTTGGTGGTCAAACCGCTCTCAACTTGGGTGTGCAAATGGAGAGAATGGGTATTTTCGAGCGTTACGGTGTAAAGGTCTTGGGCACTAGTATTAAGACACTTGAGACTAGTGAAGACCGAGATCTTTTTGCTAAAGCCCTGGGAGAGATCAATATCCCTATTGCTCAATCCATCGCCGTGTCGACCGTTGACGAAGCATTGGAGGCTGCGAGAGGAATTGGATACCCAATCATCGTTCGAGCTGCCTACGCACTCGGTGGTCTTGGTTCCGGATTCGCGAACAACGAAGAAGAACTTCGTAACATGTCTGCGAGGTCCCTTACCTTGTCTCCTCAAATTCTAGTGGAGAAATCTTTGAAAGGATGGAAGGAATTGGAGTATGAAGTGGTTAGGGACGCCTCAAATAATTGCATTACTGTATGCAACATGGAAAATTTCGATCCCTTGGGTATCCACACTGGCGATTCTATCGTCGTCGCACCTAGTCAGACATTGTCGGATGAAGAGTACCACATGCTTCGTTCTGCCGCAATCAAGATTGTAAGGCACTTGGGAGTCGTTGGGGAGTGTAATGTTCAATACGCCTTGCAACCAGATGGGCTTGACTACCGTGTTATCGAGGTTAATGCCCGTCTTTCTCGTTCATCCGCCCTAGCATCAAAGGCTACAGGCTACCCCCTCGCATACACAGCAGCTAAAATTGGACTTGGGCACACATTACCGGAGCTTCCCAACGCCGTTACGAAGACCACTACGGCAAACTTTGAGCCCTCGCTAGACTATGTCGTGACCAAAATTCCTCGATGGGATTTGGCCAAGTTCCAGCACGTCAAGCGTGACATTGGTAGCGCTATGAAGTCGGTCGGTGAAGTCATGGCTATTGGTCGCACGTTCGAGGAGTCGATTCAAAAGGCCATCCGCCAAGTCGATCCTCGGTTCATTGGCTTCCAAGGGGACAAGTTCGATGATCTTGACTACGAACTGGCAAACCCAACAGATCGTCGCTGGTTGGCAGTTGGGCAGGCCATGCTTCATGAGAACTACACCGTTGATCGAATCCATGACTTGACCAAAATTGACAAATGGTTCTTGCACAAATTGCAGAACATCGTCGATTGTACTCATGAGCTCGAGGACATAGGAAGTCTCTTTGGCGTTCAGAAGGAGCTCATGTCCAAGGCAAAGAAATTGGGGTTCTCAGATCGCCAGATTGCCAAGGCTGTTGGGTGCTCCGAGGATGAAGTGAGAGCTCGCCGAAAGAACTTTGGGATTACTCCATTTGTGAAGAGGATTGACACTCTAGCAGCTGAGTTTCCAGCTAACACGAACTATCTTTACGTGAGTAAAAACATCTCTTTTCTTCCCAGATATAAACTCCCCTTCCCCATTTCAAAGGTAAGTATAGAAATTAAGCGAGACCCCCGACTGGTCGGGGGTCTCAAAAGACGTACCTGCCGTACGAAAGTGTCGTTCCGCAACAACACCATCAACGCTCCTTCCCTCTGGAAACGTCTTCCCTATGGAAATCAAACACTATGGATTTCTTCTTCCCCGCTTCTACTTCTCTTTCATCTTCACAACAACAACAACGACAACCTCCGGCCTCCTCCTCCAGCAGCTGTTTTGTGCTATTTCAACAGTTGGTACTCATCGACACTGTCGTCAATCCCTGGTATAACCGGTCCTACCGATTTGGACGTCGACCTAGAACGTAAGTCCGCCCTCATTATTGCACACTGCGGAATTGATGATTGAGCCCATTTAGTCTGCTCAACCGTACCATCCCCAAAAGTCCTTTTCAATCAGCGTGCCCATACGGTACTCCCTCGAAATCCATTTTCTGCAGCCCTGCCCATTCGGTGGTCCCTCGAAATCCATTTTCAGCCACGCCCTACAAATCCGCAGCGACACTGTCGTTGAGTGTAGTTCGTGTATTCCTGGGCCTGGCATTGTCTGAATGTAAGTGGCACATCCAAAATAACTTGGACGCCGTCTAATATTCCTCTAGAACTAGACTTCGGTTGTCATCTTCGGTTGCCATTTGAATCGACAGTGTCGCTGCCCCCTGGGATTCCTCTTCGATTTGGGACCAAGTCTCAATGTAAGTGAGACATCCGATTGAGCGTGACTGTCTCTAACTCTGTCTAGAACTTGCACCATGGACACCGAACTGCTGCATCTAGTCATAGCCTTTTTGTGGGCTTGTCTCTCCGAAACACCAGTCAGTCAAAAACACACGCAATTCGCTCGCCAGTTCACGAGCCATGATGTACTCTACGAAATAGCCTCAATGGCCTCTCTTTGCTTTGCCCCCGGTTTACTAGAAGTCCTTATGAATGCTACGCCACCACCTTTCGGTTTCTTTCAGAAATTGCCAACGGAAGATTACAAACGCTGGGGTATCTATCTTGTTCTACTTGAGAAACCAAGTTGCCGCACACGAATATATGTCGGCTCTGGAACAAATCGACATTGGGGAGTTTCTTATCGGTTCGACCAGTACGACAGGGACTGCAAGCTGCCAAGTCTTGTTTCAAAATCTCTTGATGAAGGATACACAATCGTTCGCAAAGGTTTACTCTGCTGGGCTCCCCTACCATCTGCTGGCCAGGTGCCTATCACTCGTCTTCTCTTTATCGCTCTTGAAGCTGTATTTACATACATGTTCTCGGCCATGAGTGTGACTTCTCGAGACAATGTAATGGGCCACATTTGTCCTTGGGACCGCGCTACATTGGAGTACGATGGCATATGTTCTCATTCTTGTCTTAAGGAAGGCTTCCCCGACAACTTCAAACTCACTGTTGAGCAACTCGAAGCCGACGCTGTCGACAAGGAAAAGAAGCGTGTCGAGTTGAAGGCTATCAATGCTAACAACTATCACCACAAACAAATGGAGACGAATTACGATGAGTACATGACAGCTGCAAATGCCCGAGTAGCCAAATCCAGAGCGTTGAATCCGGGACGGGATGCTGAACATCAGGCCAGACGTATCGCCGAGAATCTGGAGAAAAAAACCTACCGTTGTGAGGTTTGTGACATTACATTTCGCACCAAGCAGGTTCGAGATGACCACTTGGAGACAGCCAAGCACCTCAGGAAGTCAAAAGAAACAAGGGCAACACCATTCAAATGCGTCCCGTGTAATCTTGCTTATCACAATAAGAGCAATCTGACTCGTCACAAGAAAAGTGATCGTCACCACGAGAGTGTGGCCGCTGCTGCTGCTGCCTCCGCCACGACACTGTCGAGCCCTGAGCTCGACTGAGTGTCACCAACCAGACATTGTTTTTTGGAACCTGTCGATCTTCTGGAATTCATCTCTACCATGTCATTATGATTCTTCGCTGTCAACTCTTGCTATTTCATGAACCACGAATTGACCATGTTGTCATACATACGGAACCTTTTGGGCGGTGGCCTTCCCGGATCTCTGGAACCTCTGGACATTTTCTTTCTCACATTTGTGCAACCTGGCTAATCTCTTTCGCTTTTACGATTCTAAATAATGTCAGCAACACCTGCAACTTACTAACAATGCAATCAGACCACCTACAATGCTTCTACTCACGACGTGACATTCGATGACCATGGAACCATCGTCCTCGGCAGTGGCGTCTACAGAATCGGTAGCTCCGTTGAGTTCGATTGGTGCGCTGTCAGTGCGACTCTAGCTTTGCGAGAGATGGGCAAAAAAACTGTCATGATCAAGTTCGTATTCCTCTTTTCGTTCTCCCTTCTCAGCTCCTGTCCGGGAGAGCCTCATCCTTCTATAACCTCTGCTAACTTCCTGCATTTTCAATCCCGAAACCTACAGTACAGATAGTGACGTTGCCGACAAATTGTACTTCGAAGAGTTGAGTTACGAGCGAGTTATGGACATCTACGAACTTGAAGCCGCGAGCGGCATCGTGGTCTCGGTCGGCGGCCAACTCCCACAAAATATCGCGCTTCGGCTACAGGAAACTGGCGGCGCCAAGGTTCTTGGCACCGACCCCAAAGACATCGACAAGGCCGAAGACAGACAGAAATTCTCCGAAATTCTGGACAGCATTGGTGTAGATCAGCCAGCGTGGAAAGAACTCACATCTGTTGCTGAAGCTGAGGCTTTCGCCGATGAAGTCAGCTATCCAGTTCTCGTCCGACCAAGTTACGTTCTCTCTGGTGCCGCCATGACTGTTATTCGTAGCAAGGATGAGCTTAAGGACAAGCTTGAGGCTGCGAGCAATGTCTCCCCAGATCACCCCGTTGTCATAACTAAATTTATCGAGGGTGCTCAAGAAATAGATGTCGACGCTGTGGGATCGAAAGGCGAGCTTATCATCCATGCCATCAGTGAGCATGTTGAACAAGCCGGCGTTCATTCTGGTGATGCCACTCTGGTCCTACCACCTGCATCACTCGACCAAACCACAATGGACCGCATCAAGGAGATTGCCGCAAAGGTTGCTAAGGCATGGAGCATAACTGGACCTTTCAACATGCAAATCATCAAAGCCGATGATCTAGAAGGTGGTCTGCCGGCATTAAAAGTCATCGAATGTAACTTGCGAGCTTCTCGTTCCTTCCCCTTTGTCAGCAAGGTCCTCGGACTCAATTTCATCGACGTTGCTACCAAAGCCCTGGTTGGAAAGAATGTGCCCGAGCCAACCGACTTGATGGCTGTCAAGCGTGATTATCTTGCAACCAAAGTGCCTCAATTCTCCTGGACTCGTCTTGCTGGTGCCGATCCTTTCCTGGGTGTCGAAATGTCATCCACTGGTGAGATCGCCTGTTTCGGAAAAGATCTTGTCGAGGCATATTGGGCATCTCTTCAGGCAACTATGAACTTCCGTATGCCAGAGCCTGGAGAAGGTCTCCTCTTCGGTGGAGACATTTCAAAAGATTCACTTACCAAGATTGTGAACTATCTTTCTCCTCTCGGTTACAAGCTATATGCCGCCGAAAAGGAAGTTAAGCAGTTCCTCGAGTCTAGCTCCGAAGGCAGTATCGAGGTAGAGGTTATTGAGTTCCCCACCGAGGATAAGAGAGCGCTGCGTGAGGTGTTCCAAAAATACGATATTCGTGGAGTTTTCAACCTTGCTCAAGCTCGAGCAAAGACCGTTCTTGATGTTGATTATGTCATGCGTCGAAACGCAGTTGATTTTGGTGTCCCTCTCTTCATGGAGCCTAAGGTATGATCAGTCTCACCCTTGCCGCCGAGTTGTGCTAACATGATCATTAGACAGCTGAACTTTTCGCACAATGCATGAGTGTCAAGCTTCCCCGAAAAGAAGGTATCCCAGGCGAAGTTCGTAGATGGTCTGATTTCATTGGTGGCAAACCATTGTAGATAATTCAAGCTTGCCTGGTATCTGGCTTCTATGTGGAATCTTCCTATAGCTTATCTCAAAGGTCATATATGCCATATGGGGTGTCAAATGCATAATTGTTTCCCACTATATGCGCATGATACAGAACCATCTATTTGCCATTGTCCCCTTTTTATTCTATTTGCTCATAGGAAGTGGAACAATATGCTATAGTTTTCCAAATTGATAGATTAAATGTAGGCTTCCAAACAGTCACCGCCAGTGAGCCGGAAAGAGCGTTCATATATCAATGTATTCATGCACTGTAGGTAGTTCGCAGCTGGCTTTTGCTCAAAATCGCTTGCTGCATCCGAGCTGTTGAAGCGTGCGAAATCCTTACATCAAATTCTCTCCTAAAGAATCTTAACTAAATGGCTCTTGTCCATTGTGACACACAACGTTCGAAGCCCGCCTAAATGACCTGTTCCAGTCACCAGTATCTTACAAGATTAACGAGATGTTGCTAAGTACAATAAGTCAAAACATGGCTCTTCAACAGCCATTCATCAACAGGCATATTTCGCCTTCTTCATAAAGACACTATTGTTTATTAATTCAATATAATTAAGTAAATACAGCGTTTCCGGTGGGTCCAGGTGGGACATGATTCATCTACTGTGAGGAGGCCCAGGAAATGTTCCATCGAACTTGCAACACATTAGTGAGTTTGGTAGCTTAATCTATTCTTTAAGTTGCACATCAGATCATCATGTATGTCCAAGCGATGAAAATAGTCTATTTGGCGAGTCAAATATTGAAAATACCAATTGCATCTCATTATAGTGACTTACGTCAAGTCTTTAACCGAGATTACTGATTGGCCTATTCTGGTAGTAGATAAGTCCTGGGATCAGTGGAATCTTCTGTTTCCTTATTAGCTTACATTACACTTAAGCGTAGGAAACCCTTTTACTCTAATGATTCCTATAGACATTCCGCAATTTCTTGTTTACTGAAAGCAATAGATGGATTATACGATATTTCGTCTATTGTTTTGAGCAAGCATCTTATTTCGACTGCCACTTAGATTTTCCACCGCGCGCCAGGAACTAACCATTTATCGAAAGGCAATATATTAACCGTTTTGCTTTTCCCCGGTCCCCTAGTCAAGATATTGAAGATTACAAGTCTGCAATCGATTGTCATTATGTAACAATTTATTAGTCGTTCACTGGTCAACCATATAGGCAGTAGGGCTTGCAGGCTTACAAAACAGTGGTAGGCGTATAAGCTTTTAGGTCAACCAAATGTTCCATGAAGGACTTTATCTATAAGTATATAGCACATGCAAATCACATACGACTTGATGAATTGACTACTGTGGTTTTTGACACTTGCTCCATAAATACAACCTATGCTCTGCACCTTTGCAATGCCCTACGCCGTTCTAATCTCTAGATGAAATAAATGACTGCCAGTCGTCCAAGACGCCTGCTTGATACCATGACCAAGTCCCAATAGCCGGGGTCGTTCGGAGGCTGCCCGACCGTACCTATAATGGGAATAATGAAGCTAGAAAAGACTTAAGTATTGTCGGCCATTCTAGTCTAGCCTTACTCTCCCAACCTTTTTAGCAAGTCGCTCGTCGCTCTCAGCCGGTGATGGCCGCTTAGGGGGTCTCTCACCAGTCGATTGTAAGATTGCCAGTAAAGTAGCCCAGCCAGACGTGGACAGTAGCTGAAATCCGTCTGCTAAGTCGTGTTGAGTTGCAACCTTGCACAGAAGCGCTTCTTCGTCCTTGGAGAATGTTAGCATGAGTTTCCATAATATCAAATAACACTTACTTTGCCTAACACCCCGTATCCATGAAGGAAGCAGAGCAGATGGAAGTCGGAGATTGACTTGATAGCTGCATCTTGGTTTGTCAGTTCTCCATTGCGGTCGAGTTGCAGCCGTTTACTGAGATCCTTCAGGTCCTGGTCTACCCCGATGACTGCACGATTTTCGATTGGGAAGCCTGGAGGATCAGCGATGAATTGCGGCATGGGATTGCTGGGGAATCCATGTGTCAAAGTGATGAGAAGATATTCGACGGGGAATGATGGCTTTGCGTTCTCCTGGACCTGGGCACCATACTCATTGATCTTACGGTAGAAAACCTCAGGAATATAGCGGGTACGACTTATTGACCCGTCATCCTCCTCCTCGTTTCGAACCAGCATCACAGAAGGATCAACCGATGGCTCCACAAGTTCCGCTCTAACCATTTCTACTGCTGAGTTGGAGGCTTGATAAGCTGAAATGCTTATCTGACCAGATTCGTCTCCGCTAATAACACAAGTCACGAAAGCTGATCCAAATTTTCCGGTGTCGCTCCACTTAGTGGGTTTAGGATGCTGGGCTTGTTGGCGAGCAGCGAACATGATTTCTTGGGAGGACAGAAAATACGAATCGATATGACGCTTGCACACAACGGAGCCATCACCGACACCAGAGTCTAGAAGATCCGTCCAAATAACTCCAACTCTTTGGAGTCCGCAAAGTCTCGCAACTTCATCGACATCTTTTTCATTCTCCCATTCATTTAGCGTGACCCCGTCAATCTCGTCAACCTGGGGTGGCTCATAGATTGCTTCCACGACTGCCTTAATGCCTAAGGGCACCTCTGTATATTCAGTGTATCTCCCATATAAATAGCCAAGTCTTTGGGCACCAGACTTCCTCCAAAAGTCCAAGAGCTTCTCGATCAACGAGGCATCAGCGAATTCGACGTGATCTACCATTCGAAAAGGCTGTGCTTGCAAGGTTATGGCACTAGGCTGGCATTTCGTACAAATTCCGAGCGGAAACTGAGGGTGGCCACTTGGGCAGTTCGGTTTTACTCGATAATATGGTTCGGTAAGCGGGGGCATAAATGAGCTTCCTAATTCAGGCTTGTTTGTCGCAGAGTTGATTTTTCGTAAATGGGAATGAAAGGACGGGTTCTTGATTTTCTTCTCTTTGAGATAGTCGGCGTTATATGGCTCCAGTGGCGTACAATAATCGCACGCGCCTCGCTCCCCATGTCTACACATCTTAGGGTCTCTCTTTCTCGGTATTCTTCCATCCTTCTTATCTAATCTATCGTCCACAGGATGCTGCTTCACGACTTCCCACGGGTTCTTGATTTTCTCCGACGGCGACGTGATGGGAAGAGGGTCTATGGGCAAATCCGAGTTCGGCAATACAACCTGGCCGTTCAACCTATTTGACGAGGTTCTTATGCCGGATACGCTTGAGCCAAGAGAATCTGCATCGGATTGACCATTTGTTTCTGCGCCTGAATGCTTATAATTTATGAACATGATATCACCGTGACTATGCAACCAACATAAGCTTGTAATCGTCTTCGATGCCGAGCTCGACTTACTTCAAGCCGATTTGCGAAACTTTGAACTGTGCAATATCTTTGAGCAACTTCACATCGCCATCTCTGGGCTGGTTCGACAAGGTCATCGTGCTAAAGTCGACTGTTTTTGGTAGAACATGGCTGAGCTATGGATGTGTCAGGATGTCTTTACCCACTGAGCTTGATGCACAACAATGGGCATACCTTTTCTCCAAAATCTGCGAAAGTGTCCGTCTGATCTACAGTTATCCTGTGCGTACCATCTGGGCCTCTTGCACGTATAAGCATCTTCGCCTTGGTGCAAATTAGATCGGCTTTGATAGTAGAGGGGTTGAATGGTGGTAAGATGGTAGGAACGTTTGAAGAAAGTGGAAAAGTAATGATATAAATGACCAGGCACGTAAAAATGTAGAAGGTGAAAAGCAGTTCTATGTTTAGATTTTCTACCGAGTTCGGTACTTTGAAATCGTGGTGGAAGAGGCGAAACTGGGTATGGAATTGTACAGAAGTCAAGACCTATCTGGAGCTCCCAAAGCTTCACGTCCCGCCTCGCGCGGCCAGGTGGTGCCTGACTGACATCACGCCGGATTTTACCCGGACAAGGCTAAGTTTTGTCCCCTGCGAGTCGCAACCTTAACTTATACTTGGCCTCAAGGATAGATTGGAATTCCGAACACGTTATCGTTTTGTGCCACAACCAGATCTCGACACCCACATTGTGCTGAAATTCCTCTCGTTGAAAACAGCAGTCACGGAGACATCGTCGCAGTAAATCGAAAAGCCCGAAAAGTACATACAGCGACCTCAATTCACACCTGTCCGACACATAGATCACACATCTCTGAAGTCGCAAAACTTACAAGTCCCGACTGGAATCTTGCGTAAATCTCAAAATGTTCGGCGTCAACTGGTGGGGGTTAGTCCTGCCATTTGCCTATCTGGCTGTTCTCGTCGGATCCTTGATCACATTCTCGTCCATGTATCGAAAACGAATAGCTGGTAAGTAGAAGTCAAGGGGAGTTATTTAGACGTTCCCCAACTGACCATCCCTAGCCAAGTCTGCCAATCTTGCTCCATGGTTTCCGCCACATCTCCAGCGAAATATCTACCTATCGCTTCTTCATTTGGAACCCGGAGAAGGCAAGGAGAAATCCCCAGCTGTGTCGGATAGTATCTTGCGCGCAGCCCTATTACGGAGAGCAGTGGAGGATATTCGAAGGATTATTGAGGTGCGGACGGCGAAGCAAGCATGCAGTACTCTGTTACAAAGAGGTAGTATTGGGGATGATTTATGGCAGCGATTTTTGCGAGCGGAGAAAGAGATGGAGGAAGAGCTTAGAGACGTCGTCATGGAGGTACGTAATTCATATTTGAGGTAACTCCAAGCATGCTGATAATTCAAGGCAAATGCGCTCGCGCCAAACTGGGGTCAGACCATTTTCCAATCCGCAAACGAAATCGCTGCCGGTACGACGTTCCGAACCCGTTTGGATGAAATTCAAGCTCAAACCGACTCGGAAAAAGCATGGTGGGAAAAGCGGCGGGCTTCAATTCAGTCAGAATTTATGAAGGAGATTGACACTGAAGCCAACTCAACGGGAAAAGCCAGTAAAGTTGTCAGTGATGAGGATGCTGTCTTGGTAGAGACAGCAAACAATACCGGAAGCTTAAGGAAGAAAAAGGCAAAAAAGTGAAAGGGCATCGAGGTGGTGCAATAACATTTTTAACCGGTCGCATTAAGGGCGTTATGGCGTAGGAGCAACATTGCATGTATAAAATACAGGCTGTTTGGAGGATATTTCCGTTTCCTACTTGCCGGGCGCTTTACATGAAAATGTAAAAATAAGATCATGATACTATCCCTCAGTACTGTTGCATATCTACTTTTTCATGATGCTGAAAAGTGTTAATTAGTTGTGTTTTTCATTTCTCTTTAAGATCACACTTCTTTCACTGGTTATGTCCAGTTCCTCGTGGCTTACTCTCTACCAGATAAAACTCATAGAAAACTTCATGTCTAGCGTTTTATATTTATCAAGAAGCTATACGGTTAGTTCCATCACCCGCACTAATAGTCAAACTCATAGGTATCTTATCGACCTTGTCATTCGGCTGCGTGGTGGGCAATACATGTGGTAGTTGAAAACTGAGAAGTGCTCGATCTAGTTAGCATAATATGGTATATTTTGTTAATTAAAAAGATAAAGTATGGTATCTTTGTCTGCGACTTTCAGTCAGTAGAACTTTTCCAGAATTTGCCTAAAACTTACTGTACGTAAGCTGAAGGAATCGCTCGGAAGTCCACAGTTTATTGCCACATATTATCTCTACCGCAACTCGATCCATTGGAATACCATGGTTGAGTACTTCACTGCTTCACTATACAGGCTACAACACTTTGCAGATATATCAAACGTTGGAAAGATTCGCTTTCATAATCTCTCAAGCCAACTACATAGGCATACAACCGGCTAGTAGCCCCTTCTCTTCCTAGCAAACATCTCTTCCTCCTCATTCTTCTCCCTCGCTTTTCGAACTTCCTCCTGTACCTGCTCTTCGGTCAGCCCAATTGGGGTTGGACTGTCGCAGCCTTTCAAGCCAATGAACCGGCCAATACGCCTCCTTTTCTCTTCCAATGTAGCATCGGTTCTCCATGTTACAGGACAAGGATATCTGTATGTCCAAGTCGATGGTGTTCTCTGATGATAGAAGTGGGCGAGATCATCCAGCTGACTGGAAGTCAGGAGCCAGTAGTTGAGCAATGTGTAAGGAAAGTCGGGATGGGCTTCTCCTTGTGTTAAGGAGACAAGAGGCCTGAGACTTATTGCCATCTGTTCGAGCTTGGCGGCAAAAAGCGGCGACTTCTTCTGGAGACGTGATGAGAGCATTTTTCGGGGTTTTTGGATTCGATTTGAATCGAGCATCGAAAGATAGTATGTTGATCGTTTAGAGGTATAGATGCTTTGCTTTTTGAAGATGTTTTGAGGTGAGCTGCTATGATTCTGCGTAGTGTGGTTGGAGAAAAATCGACGGTGATACCTGGGAAGGGGATTACGAAATTTATGCTAAGGAGCTGCCAGCAGCGGACTTTTATCAAGAAGCCAAAAGTAAAAAACAAAAGAGATGTGCTGAGAGTGTTCCGGAATGATGTGAGAAGTAATCGGAACCTTGCATGCTTTAAGGCAGTTATGTATGTTCTTAGTTTCCTTTCAAAATGCGATCTCTTTGTAGAAGGTCTCATTATCAAGTGCTTCATGCTTTGTGTATAAACACAATCGGCCGTGCTTTTCTATTTTGAGATCTTGATCTTTTGTTTGCTTTACATCTCCTGAAAGCACAGGACTAAAAAATAAGCATGTAAACAAAGAAAACTCAGGCCTCAGGTCAGTGAAATGCCACAGCACGATCAGTTAGACTGCCCAGCTTTTTTCAAAGCGTGATGAGAATAAAGATCTGAACTGCAGTGCGTCCACATGTCTTTGGTATATGCAAAGCATGAACACGATTTACTTATTTCTGATTCTTGAGCATCTCACATCCATTCAATTCTAATCCACATGCGCGTTATCTGAAATTTTAGACTCAATAACATGCCATATATCACCATTTGAAAAAGCTCTGTAGCTACTGGCGTACAAGATGTGTTGACTGATTTCATAGAAAGAGTCGGTGGATAGCAGCTAGATTCAAAAACAGGTCTTTGATATAATGGCGGGTTCCGGTTGCCACCACACTGACAGTAAACCACACGAGCAACAGAAGATGGACGTCAAAGACCCTTCCATGAAACTTTGGCGAGATGATCTGCTTTCTTTTTACTCTGTTTGACCATCCCCATCGACTTGAGGTCGGCCAGAGCGTGATAAAACTGCATCAAAACCGCTCTTTCGTCCGGTTCCTCCTCCTCATCAACCATAATCTCAAGGAATGAGGACCATAGATCAGCCATGTTGATAAGAGAGCCCGCTTCCAGATATCGCTGGTACAAGACAGCGGTGGCGTGAAGACTTGTACGTTGCGGGTAACTATTGATCGTCACTTCCAAATTAAGGAATTGATCTGGGACGCATAGTGCAGATTCTACGGCTGCCCTAGGGCGAGGAGCAAAGGCTTCGAGAAGAGTAGCTGTGGAATTGCAGAGCCAAATCTCGCTGAAAAGTGACTGTCGGGGGTCATCCGTGGTAAAGTAGTTCTCCAAAAGACCTGATACGCGCTCATTCTGTTCCAAGAACTCTTTCTCATGAGCGGTGAGAGTAGACTCTGCGTAGCTCAGCTGGACTCTTTGGGCGACCACCGTCGTTCTCAAGCCTTTGTTGTGAATGGTCTCACTACTACGGACAGGTAGTTCAGCTTCATCGGCAGCATTAGATAGGGCTAGAATTTTGCGCTCGACGTCCTGAATGTTTACCAAAAAGTCTTCGTCTTCGAAAGACCAACCATCGAGATTCATCCCTGGATTGCCTTCTCTTATAGCAGCGGTTATTTTAGATAAAAGCGTCAGCATTTGTGCGGGTGCCATACGTTTCAAAGACGCCAGGAGGACTTTAACAAAATCAGACTGCTGAAGATTTCCCTCAAAAACTGTCATATACAAATTGACACAGTCGATAGCTTCATCACTAGCACTCTGAAAGGCGTGAATTGTGCGCAGAAGTTGCAGGTTCGCTTTCTGTCGCGACCGAAGTGCTTGTTTGACTTCTTCGGATAGAACCTCGTCATCCTGGAGTAGGGCTCGTATGCGACTTGATTCATGCGATCTCACTAAACGCTCGATATGTTTCTTGAAGGACGGAAGGGTTCGGATAGCTTCGTAATGTCGATCCTCTAAAACCCGCGTGACATCCGCCGGTTCGCTGTTATCGCACAAGACACTTAAAGCATTTCCATAGAAGTGGCTCATGTATGCATACTGAGGCAATTAGCAAATGCCATAGTTACATCACTCATTTGACACTTTACCTTGATCGCGGCAACGAAAGATTGTACACTCTGAAGGTGATCTAGTTGACGCTCCATAAGAATTGACAAAACATCAGGTCCAAGCCTGAGGACTGCACTCGAGCTAGCAACGGCTTTCTGAAAGATTCTTTCAATAACACTGCTAGTCTGCTCTACATCAACTTGGATCCCAAAAAGAGACCGAGTGGCCGATTTTGATAATCTTTCTTGAAAGAGCTCGATAGAGGTGGCGACGCCAAACAACAGGACGAATGGAATCCGGTCCATCCATGACCTCCCGTGGTCAGCCTTGTATGTTATATGTGCTGTTATCGAACTTACTTAAATAGACTAATGAGGTCAACTAGAATGTTTGTCTCGAAAGCTTCGCTGTCTTGAAATGCGACGACAATTTTCTTGCAACCTTGACTTATAAGATGACTGTGGAGCATCTCTAAATCGTAGTACAGCAATTTCCGTCCCTGAATTATCAGCACTGCCTCGGAGAGAATAATCATTTCCTGTACCGACATTGTGATCGTTTGATAGCCCTCCCTCATCCAAAAGTTGATTTGTAGCTGTACGAATGATGATTTTGAGCACACTTTTGAGGTTTGTGGCATCGCCAGATCTTAGTGTTATGACTGGACCATTGATCTCCGACCTAAGCTTAGTCGACAGCTGATTGAACAAGAGGCTCTGCGATGAGATATTAGGACCGGTGACAATAAAAGCAGATGGCAATTTATCATCACTTCTGCCAATAGTCAATACACCAGTACCGTCGAGAGCAACCTCCCTTACCTATACACTTCAGAGTCATTCACAAACTGCGATACATCTGCTAACGTGCCCTCGTTCGCTTCATCCAGTACTGACTATTCGAATTAGCGACTGTTAAGCTATATTTGAGACGTGATATGTGTACCTGAATGCGTAGCTCCGTTTCCGACCAATACCGTTCGTACAATTCCTCCCGCAAAAGCATGCAGCCTTCGCTTTCTGCTCCTCCAAAAAGCGGCTCAAATCCAATTGAGCTCTTGTACGATTCTGACGTGAATAAATGTTCAGTAGCATCTGTCACTTTCCGCCGCTTTGAGGGTCGCTGGCCAAAAGGAGCATCTTCTCCCCCAGTGCCTGGTTCGTATACATAGGCAGACTGTCCAAAGTTAATACATTTCCTGTCATAAAATCGTGGTACGCATAGAACATCCTTACCTGGTGATCCCATGCATCGAAGCCCGCATGGCTGCGAATTTCATCATGGACTGACATTGGCGGTATAAAGTGGTTCCAGGTGGATGTGGGAAGACGCGACGACGCGAATGACATCGGCAAGGCTCCGACTTCCCCAGAAAAAAAGTTTCGGTCATCAATTTCATGAACATTCCTACACATCCACATCTATGCCGCCCCCGCGACATCTTCTAGCACCGCGAATTACAGGATTCATATGCAGATCATGTCTGTTACGATTAGAGCCGCCGCGCACACCGCGTCCACCATGGTTAACGCGGAATGCGACAAGCAAAGCGGGCCGTCCGCAGCGAGGCAGCAAACCTTCTCCGAAAGAAGAAGACAAAATTGTACGGTATTATGATCAAACGCCAGATGGGGAGAGGAGAGAAGTTCCCGAGTATGGAGAGGAAGAAGCTTTCCTCGACTCGATAGGCGCCGAGATGGGGGAAATAAACGCGAAATACAAAGAAATTTTGGGACCAGAAAAATATGATGCAACTGCGGAGGAGGATATGGAACATGCTATTCAAGGGAGAATCAATGAGGAGGAAGATACGCGGGACATTACTATGGCCACCAACGATCTTGAAAACCTCATCGCTAAGATCAAAGCCCTTTCGGATAAAGAGGTGGTTACTGAGGACGACAAGAAGAAAATTAGGGAGATCCTGTTCAATATTAAGCCTAACCCCGAAATTCTTAAATTTAGAAGAGATCGCGATTCAAGAAGCTTTGAAGATCTTGATCCAGAAGATGGTATATATACACTTTGATTTCTGCAACTCGAGTATTGATTCGTAACTGTAGTTCCACCCGACCCGTCCAACATCCAACCAGGCGTGATCCCGCGTTTCGAAGATTCAATAGCATGGAGATCTCCCTCCAAGAACTCAGAGGCCGCCATTGGTGGTACCGGGATCGACTTCGATATTCCCCTTAGACACTTCCCCGAATCGTTTCGACCATATATCAGAGCCCTCGTAGCCAACCTTCAAAGAATCCCAGGGGCAACAAGTGAAGAGAACAGAAAGCTTCGAAGAACGTTGTGGCGCTCATATCTCATGTGCCGAAGTGCTCTAGTTTCTATGCCTAGCAGAATCCCTCGTGGATTCTGGTCACATCTATGGATGTTGTTCTCAAAGGACGATTCCACGAATTATGTTGATCGTATGGCGCACATCATGTACCTAGGCGAGGATATGCAGAAAGCAAATACGGCCATGGATTTAAGCCAGAAGTTTCTCTATCTAGAGGCTCTCCTCGTCCACGGGAATTTAGAAGTGGCAGAACGTTTATGGAAATCTTGCGAGGGCGAAGCCAAAGCTAAAGGTCGGTCGGGGGAGTCTTTCGAACTTGGTGTGAAGCTCTTCTGTCGAAAGGGGGAACCCAATCGTGCATTAGAACTTGCGAATAAACGCTTGTCTGGACGAGAGATGGATGGCTCTGCTTATCGTATCTTGCTTCCAATCCTGCAAACCTGTCTTGCTATCAATAAACCAAGTTCGATCCAAATGGCCTGGGAAATATACTGCCAGCTGAGAATCAAATTGGGCTCGGAAATGAAGATAGGAGATTGGGATACAATAACCATGAGTTTCCTGGAAGCGGATAGGTCCAATATGGCATTGGCGACTTTCAAAGACATGATGCTCAAGCCAAACACCAAAATCGACCACAAGTCCACAGAAGTGTACCACCCCAGGGACTCTAAAAATGGGCTTAGTGTCAAGGTCGACACACCCGTTCGACTTCCCTCCGAGTTCAACAACAAATTCTTTTTCGGTAGCTGGATTAAAAAACTCCTTGGTGATGGAGAGATTGATGCTGCCAAAAAGGTTTTTGACCTTATGGCTGACCGAGGGATGCTCCCTGATGCTCGGCATGTAAATGGATTTATCGGCGCTTGCATACGTGAGGGCACGCAAGATCGAATCTCCTTGGCTGAAGATATAGCTTGGAAAATGATCAGCCGACGGCTAGACATTGTCAGCGTACGCAGGGCACCTTCTGACCTGGAAGCACCGCTCAGAGCCATAGACTCCACTGGCAAACCAGCCGTGAAGAGTCTAGCTGTGGGTTTCGCTCCTCCGGCCACAATTGAAACTTTTTGCATTCTCGTTCAGCTATACAGGCGGCGCCAACAGGACCAGTCTCTCACAGACCTCGTTGACGTAATGCGACGATCTGAAATTACGCCTAATACGGCATTCATGAATGAGATGCTCTCTGTCGATGCTAAGAATGTTAAAAACGACGGCTGGATGTGGGAGAAGTATCAGTCTCTCAGCGCGTCTGCAGCCTCAGCACCCGACTACGAAACTTTTACTATAATGTGGCGAACACTATGTCAACATTCTAACGGCATGCTAAATAGACCGCATGAACGTCTTAAAGTTGCGAGATCTCTGTTCTCGGAAATGATAAAGCACAAATCTCGACTGAGGAAAGCAGGGCCTCTACCCAAGGAAGTTTATGATTATATCATCTTAGGTTTTAGTCTCGCGGAGGATCAGCCCGGTACAGCCGTAGCCCTCAATGCTCTGAGAGTTCACTTCAGTGCGTCTCCAGACGAAGACACAGCTCGAACAATCATACTTCAGCTTGCTAAACTTGGTCAAAAGAACCCGCATGGTTACAGAAGCCGCCGCCTAGGCTTAAGAAACGCTGCAACTCAAGCCAGGATCGAAAAGGTCACAAAGGTTTTCCAGCAGTTGAAAAAAGCTCGCGACGAGGCGCTGCTTCAACAGGGGACGGTTTTCGACAATTTGTCCGAGGAGGAGAAATCACGAGAAGCTTTGATTGTATTGACAGAGTTGCTTCGGCATGCCTTTCAGACCAAGACTGAAACTGAGGAAAGGAAGCTCTATACAGTATCGGTAGTGTGTGAGAAAGCAGCCGAACAGATGAGCGTTCCGGAATGCGCTACTTGGGCGCCGTCATAGGAGAAGCATTGTAAAATTATTGTTTGCATTTATTGTGGGCGTGGGCGTTATGGATCTAAACTGCTCTGGATAGATGGCTGTATAATAGAACCATTGCACATGGAAATGTAAATTAGAACCCTAGGGTTAAATCTAGGCATGTTAAGGGTATCACTAACGACAAAATAACTATACACAACTTCTAATCATGATCTTCCTCAGTCAAACCAGGGCACCCTTCCAACTCACTATCTGGGTAGGAAAATTTACACCAGAAGCAGTAGTTGAAGTCCCGGCGAAGATGAGATATCAGTTGCTCTAACCGCTCAGCGGGCTCTAGCTCATTAAACGCGTCGAGCTCTGGGTCCTCCTCCTCAAGGTCTTCCACTAGTACATGCTGAGTATGTTCCTTTCCAAGAGCTTGACGATAATCCTTGTCCTCGTCTGGGTCATCATAGGTTGGTAGCCTTGAAAGGCTTTGATGCAAATCATACCTCATCCTCCTATCTCGTTCCTTTTCCTCCCTTCCCCTGATTAAGCCTCTCCACAATACGTTGATCGATTTCAGGGGTTGGGTATTGATCTTCTTCGAGGATATACTACCATTCGGCACCCCGTCCCCGGTGATTCCCGCGGCTTCCTCCTCGCGCTCCCCGTCCAATCTCTCAGCAACTCTCTGGGCCGCCGCGACTTGGCCTTCTAATTTCGCCAGTTCTCTCTCTCTCCTTACTCGATCCCTATAGTCCCCTTCCTCGGCTTTCACCCTCTTGCTCTCGCTTTCGAACTCTTCCCTAATCTTTCTCTTCTTCTCATTGTCCAGTCCAATGCCCCCTCGATCTTCTTTTATAACCACTCCAACAGGTTCTAGTCGGCCATCCATCAGCCCCTGACCGTCCTCTCCCTTTTTCCCTAACGCACCACCCTTGAAGCCCATCTTTGCCATCATTTTTAATCCTTTACTTTTGCTTGCATTTTCGTCCTCAAGCAGGGATTTCGCTAGAGCATCTTCGCGGGCGGCAGCCTCTTCCAGTGCTCTTTCTGCTTTAGATTTCGTTCGTCCTCGGGCTTCAGATTCCAAAGCTTTCCTGCGGAGACGTTGCGTATAGGTCTCTTTCACTTTTGGGATGGTAGGTTCTGCAACGATCATGGACATATAGTCTTCTTCCTCACGAATCTCTTCGTCCGCTGCTACTGGGTCTTGTGCTGGCATCGCGACGATCTGGTCTGGGGTTTACAACTGGAGATACTAGCTGCAAATTGACTATAGTGGCCGTTATGAAGACGCGCTTCCCTTGATGATTTCAAGAGACATCTCCTCGATTTACTGGGGAAACGCGTCGAGCGAGCGAGCGAGCGACGTCACACCGGCAAAACTGTGGAAGTGCCCCACTCTATTTGGTCTTACCTTTATATATTGTAATAAGCAAAATTTAAATTCAAACATGCTTAATCAAGCCCAAACTCCAGTGACGCGTAAGTTCATCCGTCGCTGCCTATGATTACAATCAGAGGTGCTAATATTGGGTCTTTAGAGTGGTTAGCGTGTCGTTCTTATATTCTTCGGGTTTGCCTGATTAATATGATTCTATCATTTAAACTTGAGAGATGCGAAAGTCGTGGGTTCGACACCCACCTGGAGTATTGATACTTCGGATGAAGCAAATTTTTTAGATTTTGTGCATTTTTGCTGGTTGTACTTCCTTCGCGGTCTGTTTTGAAGTTGTCCTTTTAGCGAGGTTCGCCTTCTACCTAGTTATTCAATATCTGTTTTCCTGCTGTTTATTTCCCCATGGCAGTTGCGAGTATTCCATGCCGTATTTTTCTCAGGGAAATGATCCCAAACTCTGGAGAATGTCAGTTGGCTTGTTTAACTTCCTCTAACTTTCTCGTTCCAAAGGGTCATATCTCGAAATATGTAGCATCTCATGTGGTGGCTTACGTAGTCCAGCAATATGGGATACTTACTTGATGAAAAGACAAAGAACAATAGTAAAACGACGTGAGGTTATCTTTGTGTTTTGGGCTTTTAGCTCTACATCTCGCAGAGCACGTTCAATTCGTAATTTCTAACACATAGCTCCACAGCTCTGTAAAAAATAAGAGCAACCACATCAGTGGGTGACATAATTGAATAATTCTCTACACCGCCTAGGAACAACAACTTGGACTTCGACACTAAAAAGACATCCAAACATAATTCTTTTTTATGAGTATATAGCCCATGCCTAGCAAAATGAGTCTAGGTTAATAAAATTTCAATATCTGTTTGTGGGGTTATGATATTTCCGTTCAAAATTCTTGGATGAGTAGAGAACTTGTGTCACCAACTGGTGGCCAGGGAGGCGAGGTTTATTGAAGAGATGAAATTTTTGGGAACTTTGGAGCACCTGGAATTTTGATTTAATGCTTTGAACTTACCACGTATCGTTCTTGTATAGCAAGCTGATGGTTTCGTCGTATTATCTTCTAGTTTAGCTTAATCAGTACTGAAGTCCACTTTCATGATGCCATAGAACTCGTGTAGTCTTGTAAATCTAAGAAGATAAAAATAAGAGGTGGGTCACGTACTAAACAAGGCATTCATATTACGTAACAACGAGATGCGTTCAAAGTGACGACGCAGGATTATCTCGACGAATGAAGCATAGTCAGGTTTAATGCAAATTCCTACACCGAGACAAGGAATATTGCATAATTAACCCCAGTAGGTCCTATGGGAAATCTTCACTATATGTTCGCTGATAAATAAGAGGCGGAATATATCACATATATCGATGTGCAAGAGAAATTAGTGAGGAGGTTGGATTTCAAGAAGGAAAAGCGACAATTGATGACGTAGATTTTTAGTGGTCGAGAAGACTAAGAATAGCTAAAATTTGACACAGCAGAACAGGTTGTAGGAAAGTATCTTACTATCGTTTCTGTTGATAGTCGAAATTCCTTTTCCTAATGAAAGTGGCGGGTTAAGCGAGAAAAATAGCAGGCGGGAATTATTACCTTCTACGATTCGAAAAGCCTCCATCTATCTGTATAAAACCCTCCCAAATAAACGCCGACTAATATCAGGAGACATTTATTGCATATTGCGAAGTGCAACAAAGTCGAGTGTCGAACTTGGTTGCAAATACAGGTCAGGGATCTTTACTACAAGCGACCCTTTGAAGCATGCTAATCGCTACACTCTTGCCGTAGATCGCACCACTTTGGGTAGAAGACTAGACGGCCTTTGACGTTCCGTGAACTTATTGCTCTCTTATGAGGAAACTATTGAATAATGACCTCTAGTCGACTAAGTGTTTTCGAGCGGAAGCGTTTCAGAGCAGAAGACACCGCTTTTGCTTTCTCAAAGCACTTTTGATGGTAATCATAACTCAAGACGGATCAAGTCTGACCTAGATTTACTAAAATCTGGAACACTCATGCTGCAAAAAGCTGGGGGCTGTGTGATAAGTACGGGCATAAGAAAATGCTCAATCAATTTCACTATAAACGATCCAGTAAATAATCCATGCTATTTTTCTCGTCTATTCACTAGGTTAAAGAACAAAAGAACGTTTTATTCTATTCCATCCCGTCAACTTACCAGTCCTGTTTGGTTTACCCTCTCACAAACGTAAGGTCTCTAGCAACCGCGGGGACAACGTAGCACTTCAACCTTGGTGTATTTCAAGCTTAAGCCATTTATGAATAATAGCAAGTAGCTCTTATTAATTATTGCGACCTGCAACAAATCATCCCTTGACCGAAGCTAGATCGACACTCATCCAACGGGTTGTCTTTGTCTGCCTCTCACGAGGTTGGTCTCTTAAGCGAGAAAAATAGGAGGCGGGCATTATAGAAACCCACTACTTGCAACAAATTTTTGAAAGGAACCTAATCCTGAACCTTTTCAACTTGATTGAATAAGAATGTATAACAGCTACAAGTTATTACATAAAGCGAAGTGCAACAAACCTGATACTTCGGGGTTGACGACAAGGGGAGGCTGGTATTAGCTGATGCATGCGTGAAAATTTGAGAGATATTCGACCAGCGAGTGGAACGGCACATACGTGGCGGAAGTAGGGTGGGAATAGCAATTTACTACTAAGCTTGGACAGCCAGGATGTAAAATACATCAGCATTTTCTTTGTATAATTCGTCATATTCTCGGCCATTAAGTATTATATTCTACACATCAATCGTTGCTCTCCCTTCCCATCATAGCCATGCCGTCAAATCAAATCGTTACCTGTCCACATAAGATATCAAAGTGCAATAAGTAAAATGGTATCATCGCTGAAGAATATGAGTCAAAACACCCCCCGCGATGCCCTCAGTCGGCTGAAACTGAGGACATAAGAAAGTCAACGCTGCAAAACTCACTTCCTTCAAAATGCATCTTCGAACGGGCAATCTATGCTCTCATGTCCTTCTCTTTCGCAAACGCCACACCATTTGTCCATGTTAATGACTCCACTCTCCTTTCCAGCGACGGGCCCAGATTCCATGGGGTTGGGGATGATGGCAATGGGGGTTGCATTCAAACTCGTATTTGAGGGCCTTTTCATCGGGGAAAGGGGAGCTGGTTTGTATTCCTCGTGAGGAGGATGCGGCGAGAGCTTGAGTCCCTCCTTCACAACGTCCTTCCCTGTCCGCTTCTGAGAAGAAACATCTCGGCCATTGTTTTTACCGTTAGCGTTGGAGCTGAACATATTCGTGCACGTCAAAATGTCGTGCCCTGAAGTCTCACATAGCTCACAAAAGCTCTCGGCAGCAGAGGAATATGTATCACTCTCAGGCATGGTCTCGAGAGTGTTTCCTCGGCGGTGAGTCTCAGGAGATCTAGGCATCTCGCGATGGCTCCAGCTAACAACAGTGGATTTCGAGTCTCGAGGAGAGGCATAGTCTTGAGTAACGGTGCCAGTACTGCCGATTGTCATGGCACTAGATCTTTGATTCGCCAGGTTGCTGGCGCTGCCTCGGCGGACCTTTTCCAGCTCACGCTCCAGCTCGTCCTCTCTGTTGGTCTTATTTTCAACAATGATCCGGAGCTCTTTGAGCTCACGCTCGAGCTTTTCACGGCCGAGTCTTTCTTCAATCGAGTCACCGTTGCTTACCCGCCGAGAGCTGCCATGCCGCTGTGTGGGTGTCTTCTGGAGCTCCGGGTTTGATGTATCTGGAACAGCGTCTCTGCTCAAGGAGTGAATGATAGCTTTCAATCCACGAATCTCATCATCTCGTTGCTCGACTTCCTTAGAGGTTGAACCAGATTCAATGCTCATTGGTGGCCCATTGATTGCTGCAGCTGCTTTCTCACGTTCTCGGCGAAGTTCAGATCGCGTACGCTCAACCTCACCTCGCAGAAACTCCACTTCACCCCGAGCTTCAGCCTCCCCTCTCCTCGCATCTTCCAAGCCCTCTTCCAATTCTTGAACCAGTTCCTCCAGCTGTTTCAGCTGCCTAGCAACACTATCGACATCCTCAGTACGATCTCGCAAATCGCGGACCTCCTGGAGCAGATCGTCAACACGTTTTTCGTATACTCGCTCGGTTTCAGTGCTAGCGAGCTCCAATGTATCGATCGTGCTTCTGAAATCGGCTCTGTGCGCGTCAAACTCGGCAGTCAGCATGGCAATCTTCTCGTTTTTCTCCCGAAGTATAGCTCTGAGCTGAGTTGCGTCCCTGTCCTCTAAACCACCCTTAGCATTGATTCGTCCTGGGCCATCGGCTTGTCCCATCAGTGATTGAACTTCGGCTAGGGCGCTTTCCATCTCTGCTAGACTTGATGCCTGTTCTCTAAGTTGCCTATCCCGTTCTTCTAACTGTGAGCGCAGCCTATCAACTTCATCGTCATTCATGCGGGACGGTGCTCGAGAAGCAGTTCGCGATGCCGGCCGTATCTTGGATGTATAGGAAGACATCGACCCGAGACTGGCGTTTGTAGTCGTGCGTGCAACACCAACCGGGGTGGTCTCATCGTCGCTTATGAGCATAGGAGTCTGGTTCATAGGAGTTTGTCCGAGCGCTGAGGCGCTTCGTGGGCCTACGCTTGACTTCATACCATTCCGTGGTGTGTAGCCTACTCTTTTGCTTGGATCCCCCGAGTCCTTGGTACCCCGTACGCTCTGTCCAAACTTGCCAGGAGCTGGGCTCGCATACCGAGGAGGAGCTTTTGAAGTTGGAGTCGTGATCGAAGGTCTCGACCCGATTTGAGGTCTTCGAAGGGGGGATTCCGGCCGTGGTAATGATGGGCGTGATTTCTTGAAGCCGGGACTAGGAGCTCGGCCAGGTCCCACAGATTTACTGAACTGTGGTAACGATGGTGTCGGTGGGGTGAAAGTCCTCGACCCCTGGGTACCAAGCTTGAAGCTGCTGCCAGCCGACGGAGTCGACGGCGTGAGTGGAAAGGAACCTTCGGATGTGCTACGCCGGGTCGCTCTACTGATTGGGAGGAAGATGCCAGCACCAGGTACTTCTGTTTGGAAATAAGATACCCTATGCGACTCGTCAGTATTGAAATGTAAACAGGCCGTCTGCTTGTCTCACCCTTCAACATCCCCATTGTTTTTGCCTCGACTTGCGAATTCGTCGCTCAGTTCCACGCCGGCAAACAACCCTTTTTTGCCCTGCACGCTTCCTATAAATCTAACGATGCCATACATGTTTCCCGGCACGTCGACTGTGTCACCAACATCTAGGTCCTCGCCATCGGCTCCGCGCGACGGAGTAAAAGGCGCCATAGTTTTCGACGATGTCTGCGAGTTCTCATCCAGCACTGTACTTAATCCGTATCCTCTGCTCTCATCTGGCACTGATGCCAGGCTGTAGGAGTTGAGCGCACCAAGCGATGACTTGCGGTTGAGAGACTGTCCTAGCGCGTTTGCTCGATGTCCGTTGACATTTACACGAAGATTTGGGCTTGACGCGGTATTTATATTGCTTCCGATCGAAGGTCGCGCAAGGGAACGTCGTGGTGTGAAAGTGGATGAAGACATTGGTGTCTCGTTTATTATCATTTGTTTTCTCGTCCAACCGCGACTGGCCGAGCTTGGTCCACCTGATAGCAACGGCGCTCAACGGCAGGAAAGACCTGGGATTTTGATGTTGTAATTACAAGCAGAGTTAACTTTTCGGAATCGCGGATTGATTTCGTCTGACTTTGAAAACCATGAGCACGTCTCAATAAGTGCCACCTTCAAACTCCCCTTGGAGAGTACGAAAAGAGGTGAGGCACGCAGCTCAATTCCCCACCAAAAGCCAACCCCCTTACCCTGCGTCGACGGAAGGAGGAAATCGACCAATCGGCATCCGAATCTAGAGACGCCATGGCAACGGGGAGGAGCATCTTTGTTTAGATTGATGTAAATTTAAGTGTGACTATCATCTTACACGCTTGGAGATAGAGAAATTTCATTGTTGGAGTAAATACGTTTGAAAGAATCGAGCTTCCTCGCATCGAGCTTTCTCGCATTGAGCCTGTTTATCCGACGGTGTTTGCTTCATCTGGCGATCCTACTGCGCATTACCATTTCTTGCTTGGACGCAAAAGTCTTTATTCTGGGACCTTGAACCAATTATGCTGTCTCAGGTGATAGTCGTCCTGAAAGATAAACTGAAGCCAGCAGGAAGAGACCGCTTCATTGCATTTGCCCAAATGTTTGGCGCTTGTGGGTGTAGCGCAGCATTGAATCTCTGGAAACAGTAGTCTTAAGCTCTTGTCTTCTAAAATTCAAGGACGTGTTTGTCTTAAATCCGGTAAAGAAATGCGTACTCATTGCTATGCAAGTAAGAGTCAAAGATAACATGTGAAGAAAGAGTGAGAGCAGAGCTTGAGCCTCTCGCTTTACTTCGCCCACTAGGATGTTTCAGGCTTAGCGTGACAGCTCGAAAAAAAATTATATATTCAAATTCGACCTCCAAACCTCGAATTTTTCTCTTCGTGCGGCTCTGGACTTCGACCCCTGTGTTACTCAAACATCCTAGCTATCCTTTGTGGTGCTATCCATGATGTAGTCAAATTTCTTTGAGTGTCAAGTCCAGAACAGATTAAACCCAATTGCAAGACGACCTTTCCGCCGAAGCTTCAGTGTCGCGTTCGCTGCCACGATTTGTCTTAACGGGCTCGTGGTTCTGCTGGATACGAGGTGTAGTGGGAGAGGTTGAACATACTATACTGTGGGAGAGAAGAATTAGAGAGTCACTTGAAGATCATCAAGCAGAGCGCGTGAGCATGCGCCATCGCAATATGTGGTTATTGTCTAGACTGGAGGAAGTTTTGGTGCAAGGGGATTAAGCTGGAACCGAGAGTAGAAATGTAATATGGATAATTGGTCTTCCAAAAACTCTGCATTTTCAAGTACCATGCTTTTGTAGAAATACCTAGAAGCTGGCGCTGGCTCTATTTTATTTGCTGGATTACACGTCTAAGACATAAAATAGCGCATCGCTAATATCATCTCATCATTCCTTGCATCATGCCCTCATCACTCGTATCTATTCTTTATATCCATACCTACTCTCCTTGCTCGTCGCCAATCTTTTCCAGTTTGCCCAATTCTCTCTTCTCTCCCGTTTCTCCAATCACTCTTAATCGATCAAGACGGCACCGCTCACCCTCTCCATCGCCATCCACGACGTAAAGTACTAAGCTCGTAACATTTTGGAACTTAACAAATCGAAGAGGGATAGTAGCGGTACCGGTGCTATCCCAATCACTCGAGGATATTTCAATGGTCTGAGTAGCTGGAACGTCATCGGCCTCGTCAAATCCTAGAATATGTGGTCGGTTGGTGTAGAGTTTGATTGTTTTTGGTCGCATAGGGACTTCGTCATCGTCATCATCAGCAGCAGCTGGCGGTAAAGAGGTGATCTAGATGAATAGTTAGTGAAATCGAATCGTAAAAAGACTGGTGACACTTACCTGCAACGTGTGTATCTTGAGTGTAGCTTGGAACGGAATGTACATCATAAGCTGCTCATCTGTATCGCTTTCTACCCAGTCTTTTGCCTGGTTTCCCGTCGCCTTTCCCTTTTGTAATCCAGACGGCTTGCTGTCATCGACCAATACTCTGACGCCTCCCATTTCTTTGTCGGAATTCAGTAGTTCTAGTCCTTTCACATCTACCTGATCAGATATATCACCATACCCCCTTGGCAAGCTTGCCGTACGCCACCCTGAGCTACTGGCTTCTCCAAATCCAGAAGATCCCCCATCTGCTTCCTCAGCGAGCTTCTTCACAACGTCCTTCATTTTCCCCAAGTCTGTCCCCTTGACCTCTTCCACTTTCTTCCCTCCATTGAAAATAATGAAGGTGGGCGGAGAGGTAACTGCGTGGTTTGCAGCGATTTCCTTTTGGGTCTCGACATTAACTTTGACGAAAGTGATGCGATTCGGGCGCGAAAAGTGACCGGAGAGCTGCTCATATATCGGGGCAATCTGTTTGCATGCTGCACTAGAGTTTGAGAAAACTGTTCAACAGTCAGGATTTATGTCGCCGCAGGACTCAAGCTTTGAGTCGTAGTGGGGTGCCAGACTGAGCGCGCCCAAAGGGAAAATACGCAGCAAACTTACAATTTGTGACCACAATCTTAGACGATTTGAGAAGTCCGGAGAACTGTCCAGGGGACGATATTTGAATTGTTTTCGACATTTTCCGTGCTGAGGTGCTGTCGCTGTTATTTTGATGGCTTGCTAGTACTTGTTCAAAATGGTAGAATAATGAGGGAACGGGATTTGCCGAGCGCGAGGCGTCAGTGAGGACGCGACTTGCAAGCTGCACGCGAGACTCTCAACTTCAACGTTCTCAGGGGCCTTCGGACAGGAGCCTTCCGCGCGAAGGACAAAATAAGTGGCAGTCGAACTAGAATAGTTCTTCGACTAAGTTGACGAATTATCGTAACTTAGTGGATTAATTTGGAACATTATGACTATTTCGTCAACTGTTTTAAGTAAACAAGACTTTTTAAAAGCGCTATTCGAGGTCGACTTGTTATTTGTTAGTCTAAGATTTACGGGTAGGTGACTCGTTTTGTCCTCCGGAGCCTTCCAAATTCACCTGTCAACATCCTTAAGCCCATCTCTCTCACAAGGACCGATGTTCATAATCTTAATCTGGGGGAAAGATACTAATGTCAACTCGAGCCACAGTGGAGGCCTTTTCGGGTTTGAAATAGACACACTACAATTTGACCTCCACCTGCTCTTTCGTCTTTCAAAACATGTACTTTCATCTTCGAAGCAGTCTATTGGGCCCAATTTCGGGCATTCCAATAAGTTGATGCCCAGCGGCTGCGGCTTCAAAACTATCTCGCTTGGTGCTTTTCAGAGTACGGGAGTTGAAGGCTGTCAGTTCATCTACTGTTACTGATAGTCCTAATGGCTTTCAATCAACTATGTCCGCAAGTGCTCCCTTGCTAAAACTCCATGGGAAACGGTTCGCAAGATTCAGATTTGCTAAGCTTCGCCCGTTGTGGTACACAAATTCATATGCAATGTCTTCGTTTTCGGAGTAAGGCGAGTCATTTTCGATGTATCAAGCGTGACAAAAAGGGTCTTGTTCACGTTGTTGCATACGATTCAATTCATTACTTATGTCTTCTACTCATTTGTGCTATGATTCATATATACAGGAGATTGTGGACACCAAAGCTAACCACAACTCTAGAATTCAAGATACAACCCTTCATATCCTTGGCTGGAAGACCTCATCGCCACTGTAAACCACAGGGTATTATATCCGTTATCCAAGTTTCGAAAAGCATCATTATTAAACAGGTAACGCCGATGATGACGCCATGAAGCTCAAAGATTGAGGTCAAGTTAATGACTTAGAGGAACTAGGGGACGTGTTAGGAGAGATCCATAGCGACGGAACTTGCAGGCGAACTTACGAGAGCAACACCACCAGCAACGATCATGCCGATAGCAGAAGCGCCCTTGACCGAACCACCATTGCTATATGTGATTGGGGAACCAGTCGCTGTTGGGGCCGAGACGACACCGGTAGATCCTACGGTGGAAGCGGCGTACCCTGTACCTGTTGGGGCAGCGACACCGTGGGTGCAGTCGCAGGCGGTAACAGTTGACGTGACTGAACTGTAGATCCTTGGATTTTTGTTAGAAAGATGAATACCAACTACGCAAAGTTCCCTTACTTGTTGGCCGAAGCGACGGATGCCATGACGGCGAGAACAGCGGCGACGTTGAATTGCATTTTGAAGGTGGTTTGGATATTGGATCAATTAGATTAAAATATTAAGTGGTGGTGAGAGGTTGGGTTGCTGTTGGAAGATGTGTGAAAGAGCGTAATCTGAAGTATCAAAAGAGTGTACTTGAAGTTGGATGGAGAGGAAACATCAGAGAGAGGAGCAAGTCATCACTTATATGTACACACACAGTTTGATTTTACCCGACTGTCTTTGATAACGACAGGCCTCGTCCAAACCTAGAAATTAGACATGTCCACACATCTGCTCATGGAGTACAAAAAAGCAGCAGCCCATCTCTTCCATTTCGGACGCCACCATGTACAACTTGACTTCGTTACTCTGCGCGCTGCTTTTTCAACATACCTGTCGCGTGCACCAGCGGAAATGATATCTTGATAGCCAACGTACCTGCATCGGGGATAGACCAATTATTTACGCCACTTCAATCTCCAGAAGCCCTACCGTATCTTTATATCCTGGGTAACGCAACCGCTCGGCAAAGATCACAATCGCAGGCGAAAATGGAGAAATCTGATCAAACCACGATCTACTGTTGCCGACAACAATCTCATCATAGCTGTTCTACAGACTAGTACAGGTCATTTCTTGCAAACTTCAAATTTCAGGTTCGTTTAACCCCAATCTTTGTAGATCACTGGTCGTGAAAACGCGTTTGTTTACCTCTTCAACTGCGAATGCACCTCTGATGTACCTGAAATTGGGTGCGAAGTTGATATCGTTACCATGCATGTTCCTTCCTGAAAGGGGGCTCGCTATCGCGCGTACCTGCAACCTACCCATGGAAGCATGTGTTAAAATCCTACCCTTGTCTTACCAATTTCAAAAAATGTGTACAAATTTTCTTGGCTTCCATTGATGCTGGCTTATCCAGATTACAAATCTTACATGTATTTTGCCCAGACAGGAGTTTGGCGACGGAAAATCCTACAGTACTTCGGGTACTTAGAACAAGTCATTGGAGCTCTCAGCGACCGCGAATCCTTCCAAACAACATGTTGAACCGAGCAGACAAGTGGACTTTCTCCGATTTGGAAGTTGCGAGAGCTTTTGTCAGTGACAGGATAAACGCAGAGGCCAAGCGGTTGTCGATCATCATGGCAAGATAATGATTACGATAAGGCCCGGAACAAGGGTCTAGGCTACCTTGTTCATTTCTGAAGTTCCCATAAAACCAAGAAGTACGACTATTTTCTGGCATGTGAGTGCTTGGGAAAAAATGGTAAACGGCAACTTGTAAAGTAAATATAAACTTGTGTTTTCTAAACCTGTGTCGTCAAAGTGTGTTTACCGAGACACTTTCTACCATGCCGCGAAGAGCTGCTAGCGATGGTCGCTCCGCTGGCGAAAGTTGAGTACACGCAGTGACAATGACTTGCAAAGGTTCAGGCACTGTCCAATCCACATACGCTGTAAGGGGCGAATTCGAATATACCATACACTTGATGCAATCACCAATGCAGTAAACATCAGATTCAAAGCTCCAACAATCATCATCCAATCCCTTGCTACCAATCTCAGGTGGGGACCGTTGTCCATATTTACTTTCAAGATCGCACAGAATAAGACGGGTGCCATCTGGAGAAAAAAGACAATTATCAAGACGAAGGTCGCGGTGGACAATCCCAAGCGAATGCAGACAAATCAAAGCGTCAATTAAATCAAGAATCCAGCTTTTGAAACTGGCAAGCGAAGAAACCCGAGGTATTGTCTGCTGGGCAGTCCAAAGCTTCTGAAAAACCAACTCTCCAGTGTCAGTCCTGCCTAAAAGTCGAGTCAAATGTGGTGACTTTGGAATTCCTGGCACTGATCCACCCTGGCATTTGAGTAGATTGAAGATCTCGCTCCGGTATCTACACTTCTTGACAAAGTGTTTAAGTTGATCGTTATCTAAGATTGGCAGTTGCTCAAGAAAATCATTGAGATTCTCAAAATCATCCTTAATAGGCAAAGGAGGCTTTAGCGGGTGGTCGAGTTGGTTGATCACATTGCCATCGATCTCGAAGTGTCCAGCGATTGCAGGCACGTTCTGTTTCAGTTGAAGAATATTGCCGGAGAGCGTGCCCGGAACGTTATATAGACGAACACATTGCTCTTTCTTAGAACCATCGGCTTTGATGCAATCCTCGTACCACAAGATCATGTATGGCTTGTCGCCGCGCTCGACATGTATATCGATGACAGATTTGCCAACAGGTGGGAATAGGTTGGAGGATTGGCGTGTAACAGCCCACTCATTGCGAAGGCGTAGAACTTTCTGGCTGAAAGAATCGTCCATATCACATAATATCGATTGTCCGTAGTAGAATTCGTCATGAGGAATTTAAATAGAGGAGTGAGTAGTAGAACAAACCAAGGTAAACGTGTAGAGTAGGTTTTGTATGTATGGTAAGTACTGCTTGTTTTCAATAGTTCAGATACTCCAGGTTACGAATGCATACGGCTTCCACCAAAATTTGCTGACCGCTTCGATTTAACCTTGCGTGCCGAAGCCACAGCTAGAACTCTACTACAACTTGAAATTATTGCATAGGTGGGGGAAGCAGTACAAGTCACCATGCCAGGAGGTAAGGGCAGCCGCTTGGATGGAAGTTTTGATAGAAGAACCACAAGCTGAGAGCATAATGACGATATTACGCTAGCGGGTGAAAGAACTTCGCTCGACGATTGGCGTGCGGTCGATGTTATTGGGCCCAAGAGCGTCGACGTTCACGACGCATAGGCCAAACAGCTAGTGGTCCACCCTAAACCCAATTCCAAGCAAATATGAAAGATCCTCATCATGGTATGTTTGGTCAATCATTGAAACCCTCTCCATAGGGAAAAGGAGAACGCTTCACCCATAATCGACTAATTTCCTCTCCGTTTCTGCTGACGAACCGGTTGTCATGGAGCCTCACATCGTTCACAAGGAACGACGGGCTTCTCGAACTGATTGCTTTGAGCGAACGTGATTTTTTGCGTTGTAAGAAATAAATTTCTTTGTTGAAGGGAGAAGAAGATCTGGAGTCGCGAATTCTGAAGACATAGAAATTTTTCGCGAACTAGCGTTGTTGCCTGAGGTCTTTTATATATCCAGGCACAAAGTACTCGGTTATGTGCACCAACTTTCCACCTTACTGCTTTAGTAATTGTTCAGAGACGTGTTATGAGCTTTTATTTTATCTCTTATATTTCAATATTGGTTATTTGCAGATGACATGTGCCTAAATACCAGTTTCGGTGTTGCTTCACACAAGAGAAGACGAGGTGCTACTTCCAGAACTCTATACCTAAGTATGCATACTCAATGGCAGAGAGCTATTATGCGGCTCAAGAAGTCCAGCTGGTAATTATCTCACGCTCTGGACAAACCTTCATTCTGTTGTGAGAGATATATCCTCTAGCTAGATGATACGCACGAAAAACAACAGCAAGAGTTTCTTCATCTCTGGGTGTTTGAGAACATGTGACATTTTTGGCATACAGAAACCTCATATATTGTAAAACTGTGATAGCCTCATAAAAATGTTTGAGATAAGACTACTACGATTCAGCTGTTTCCTTTCCCAAACAATTTGAATGGTATTTGACTCAAGATGATGCCGGTTTTCGCTGTCGGGCCGGTATTGCGCTATCGTGCTGCCCCGCGGTGCTACCCCACCAAAATTATTTTAACTTCATCATCGTCAACTTTTTGAGCACCGACAAGGCTTTCGTCATTCAAAAACAAGTAGTCGAATGAACCAAGATGGCAACAACTCGGAAGACAGGTATGATGTTGAATCTCCAACTTGCGTTTAGCCAGGCTAATTGGCAATTCTATAGCGATCATCTCGGTCTACGACAAGACTGGTTTGCTTGATCTTGCTAAGGGCTTGATCAAACAAGATGTCCGTCTATTGGCTTCGGGGGGAACAGCAAAGATGATTAGAGAGTCTGGATTTGCAGTCGAGTAGGAAGCCCCATATATCCATACAATTCCCGCTTCTTTTAGTGGTGTTTCCTTGTTATGTGTGACGCTAATTCCCCCGCATAGAGACGTCTCTGCAATTACCCACGCTCCTGAGATGCTGGCTGGCAGAGTCAAGACTCTTCACCCAGCCGTGCACGCTGGTATCCTCGCACGCGATCTCGCCTCGGACGAGAAGGACCTTGCGGAACAGAATATCAACAAGGTAGACTATGTCATTTGCAACCTCTATCCATTCAAAGATACCATCGCGAAGATCAATGTTACCATTGCCGAAGCGGTCGAAGAAATCGATGTTGGAGGAGTCACCTTGATCAGAGCTGCCGCAAAGAACCACACTCGAGTGACGATATTGAGCGATCCTGCCGACTACTCTGGGTTCTTGGAAGAATTGGAGAAAGGAGAGGTTTCAGAACGCAGCAGGAATCTTTATGCTTTGAAAGCTTTCCAACATACTGCAGACTACGATGCATCGATCTCGGACTTTTTCCGCAAGCAATATGCAAGTGACGGCTCTCAGCAATTAGCACTTCGATATGGTGCAAACCCACACCAAAAGCCGGCTGCAGCTTTCGTCAAGACGGGTCCTCTGCCATTTAAGGTCCTTGGAGGTAGTCCTGGATACATCAATCTATTGGATGCTCTCAACGCATGGTTTCTTGTCAAAGAGTTGAAGACAGCTCTGGGACATCCCGCGGCGGCCAGTAAGTGTTTCTTTTGCATTTCTATTGACGCGAGAATTCACGAGACACCAAGATGATATCAAGTATCTTGCCTGGGTGATGTCATGCTCTCTCTAGCACCCATTTTACTTCGCAATGGCGCGCTTTGAGAGTTGCAGAATCATTAAAGCTTATATTTACCTTTGTTTTTAAATGATTCTTACATACTAGCTAACATCACCACAGGCTTTAAGCACGTTTCCCCGGCCGGAGCCGCAATTGGAGTACCACTGAGCGCCGATGAACGCAAAGTCTGTATGGTAGATGATATCGAGGGTCTGGAGAATTCTCAATTGGCGCAAGCATATGCTCGAGCAAGAGGTGCCGATCGCATGAGCAGTTTTGGTGATATGATTGCTCTTAGTGACATTGTCGATGTCCCAACAGCAAAAATCATCTCGAGAGAGGTTTCGGACGGTGTCATTGCAGCTGGTTTTGAAGCAGCAGCTCTAGAAATTCTCAAGAAGAAGAAGGGTGGCAAATACCTTGTCCTTCAGATGGACCCCGAGTAAGAGTTACTTTCATGTTCCCCTCTGAGGCCTTTAGGCACTAAACCACTTGACTCGACCCCAAATTTGTTTTGGCAGAGACTGATCGCCTACAGATACCAACCACCTGCGCAAGAGTCGAGAATAGTCGGCGGTATCACTCTGACCCAAGGCAGAAATGACGTACAAATCTCGCCCAAGTCCTTCACGTCTATAATCACACCCAAGGATTCAGCTCCTCTGTCTGATGCCGCTCTTCGTGATTTAACAGTTGCTACTATTGCACTGAAGTATACGCAGAGCAACTCTGTCTGTTATGCACTTAACGGCCAAGTAATTGGTCTTGGTGCTGGACAGCAATCTAGGATTCACTGCACTAGACTTGCTGGCGACAAAGCAGACAACTGGTGGCTTCGATTTAGCCCTCGTGTTTTGGATATCAAGTGGAAGAAGGGTATTAAGCGAGCGGATAAGAGCAATGCTATTGATCTCCTGGTTAGCGGCGAGCTTCCAAAGAAGGGACCACAAAGGGAAGAATATGAAGCTTTCTTTGAAGAGGTCCCTGTTCCATTCTCTGAGGAAGACAGAGAGGAGTGGCTTAACAAGTTGAGTGAGGTTGCTGTATCAAGTGACGCTTTCGTAAGTCTCAGTAATTCTCTCGTTGTGGAATTATATCTAATAATCTGGCCAGTTCCCATTCACAGACAATGTCTACAGAGCAGCCCGATCAGGAGTTAAGTACATTGCTGCCCCAACCGGTAGTCAAAATGATTCGGCTGTTTTCGAGACCGCTCAGACGCTTGGTATTACCTTTATCGAGCAAAGCATTCGTCTGTTCCATCATTAGATGGCGGCGTCACAAGGAGACGTCGGAGGATTTACCCCGTTACTGGATAGATGTAGGAATGGAACAAAAGTCAAAATGGTGTGACCAGATGAGATTTAGATACCCGAGATATTACCAGTTTTGGGAAGATCAATAAAAGACCTTACATGTGAATCAATTGGGTGTCTAGCCAGCAGTGATTGCCTAGTCTCAACTTTGTGAAGCTGATGAATTGATATAGGTACTGACCAAGATTTTGAAAATTACGGCATTCTTCCTCAATACAGATTTGATAGAGTACCAGGATTTGCCGAGGGAAGGCATTAGAAAACTAATTACATCTGAACATTCAAACCTTACCATATGCCATCTCTCACGAGCAATTAGGGAATGTTAGACTCGGAAATGTACTGCTTAGGTACGAGAATATCTTAAGACAGTCCCACTATGAAAGATACCCAAGTCTGTGGTGAGGTTATGTCGTCAAAATTCGAACATGTAAAATCCGTGTCAAGTGATCCCGCTACATCATGTCTTGCGGTACGTGTTGAAGAAAAAACAATTTAAGCGTATCAAAAGAAGCCATGTGAATCTCGGAATTATATTAAAAATCAGACGACTTCGATGGACTAAGTTTGAGGTGTTTTGCTCCTTGGAAGAGGAAGTGGTGGGTTTCGTATTATTGTACGGGTACTGCTTGCTATAGAATGGTTGTTTTTTACTGTATTGACTGGCTGTAGTAGCTTAGTGAGGGTGATTACTCGTTGGTTGCTGTGAAGTGATTTTGGCTGTAGCCGATATGTAATGACTTTGGTTTTATTTCTCATCGAGATGACCGAATAACTCGGCTCACCCCTGATTGACTATCATGTCTTATGATTTAGGGTTCACACTCAATGTAGGTATAAATCGACGTGCAGCAGTACTTGATAGGGTTTGTTCTCAACTAACGAACCAGTTCGAAGGTTCTTACGAGATGTGTCAACATTGCTATGAAGCGCAATGATGGATGACAATGTATCATTACGGACTTTAACATGTGTTGGTAGAAGTAAGGGCGCCTGATACATAATGACAGTATTAACTTCCTGTAGTGCAGATGGGATCGAGTGAGCATTTACGGTCTGGCTTCCAAGTCTATCATAGGGAGACGCCCAGACGCGTACCTTATACCTGCTAACTTCAGACCACAGCCCCACAATGAACCCATTTTTCTCGTCAGAAAAGTCCTTTTGGTAGAATAGGAAGCTTCTACTTTTATAACGTTGAAAGGAGGGGAGCTTTGTTATTTTTAAGTACAATGGCCTGACCGGAAATAGTATCCAAATAAAGGCTTATGGTATGTAGGTTTGCACTTAATCCACAGAGCTCTCTTTCAACCATAGGAGCTATCTTTGCCTCTCTCTTCCAAGTAGATAGCCTTTAGGTAAGAGAGTTAACTTAAGCACCGAGGACTTATTTGCTGAGCATAACCCTTAAAGCTTGAACCAAAATCTCAGCAACACCCAAAGCCCCAAATAGCTTGCGGAGGAGTTTTAGCTTGCGTGCTGAGATACAGTGAACAGTGTGATAGCTAGTGGGTCCCTTTCTTCTAGTAGTCCGAATATTCTGTGAAGTGAGTATAAAGAGAGATCCGTCACCAACTCATCTCTTGTTAGCAGTGAGATCCCCAATCCTTGCCAGATCATTTGACCTGCATAACCAGTTCCAAGTTCCAACACGCAATTCACTCAGCATTAAAACAAACACTTACCAAAATACCTATTCGGTATAGCAATGGCACACGTAGATCCCAAGAATACTTCGCTAATTTCACATCATCACGTATGAGGCTCTCCATCACACCAAAGCGACCTCGCTTCCGGCTACCCTCTCAATATCTGCACCACCAAGGATGCTGATCTAAATCAGCCGAAGGGGGTGAGAATCCTATTTGCGGAGAACGTCTGAACCGAGCCGGAGGTGTAGAAAACTTGGGTCCGCACGGAATGGATGTAAATAGCCAGATGTGCCTGCATATCTTTGGTATGAATGGACTGGTTCAAGGTAGGGATGATGATGATGAGTTGGTAAAATGGTGTGGTTGCTCGGTCGGAAATAGTTTACTTTCGGCTTGAGACGGTGTTTGCTGATGGAGTAACGGCGGATTGCCTGCCGGGTAGGGAGGTTCGTCAACGGGATGGGTTGGAGAAAGTAGTTCGTGCCGAAGACGGTCGCTGGTCAGATTTATGTCGAGTTCCTATCGTCTCACCTCATATACATTATACGTATGAAGCTTTAGTCGTACTAAGGAGGGAAAGCCGTTGAAGTGTTGTATCACATTTGGCATCTATACATCTGTGCTCGACACATGTACGACAGCTCTCGATAATCTCCATAGGGCGTCACTATCTTCAAAGATCTCCACGATAACGATCTCGTCTATGATATCTCGGATGCTCCTCTTCCCCAGGAAAACACATGTCAGGTGTATCCGTCAAAATCGTACGTCTAATCCGAAGTAGGATGTTTCCATCGATCCGCGTAAGACCTTTAAATAGAGTCAAGCGAGGCCAATCAATTATTTTCGAATACCTCTTTTCATCCAGTGAGCAGCGAGCCAGTCAGCGCTAATCCCGCAAGAGGCATTTTCTCGAGCGCATTACTAATTTTGTCGCTGCAGTCAGGGTAGCATTCAGTATCGCCATTATTGACGAGGTTACTTTTCTTGGGTGCTGCGAGGCGACGACTTTCTCATCACATGCGCGAAAATAACTCTCGCCATAGTTTGTTCATCTTGGGTAGGTGAAGATAATCTCAGCGTCTTCGGAAATGATTCCAACCCAAAAGTGCAATTATCGATTGACGTTTCTGACCATGGTCGGATCATCTGAACGGCGGTTTCGTTTCGCGCTGCGGTGGAAGAGTCGTTCATTGGCATCTGGGAAGTTCCTGGAGGGCGAGGGCGAGGTCGAGGTCGAGATTCGTCGTGGACGAGGTGGGTCGTGGGCGTGGACACTCGCTACTTACCCGCTGGGCAAAAGGGCATCGGGGACTTTGACAGTTGAAGGCGCCCAGGACTGGCCAGAGTGTTGCGGCGCCAAGCGGGGAGAGCCACTTTGGGGCCACTTAGAGCCAGGGGAAGGATGCGGGATCGCTGAGGGCATCAGGCACAGGGCACGCCATCATTCGCCAGCGGGGGAGACAGCCCACCGCACCATGGCCAATGACTTGCCGCAGCCAGACACTGAGGTCGATGCACCAAATGCAGGGTTCTCTCGATTGAGTGGGAGCGACTGGGAGATCAATAGAAGAGGAAGATCATGGGAAAAAGCAGCACCGAGTGGTGCTAAGTCTGCTGGTGAGTCTACGAGTCTGGATGTCTTGTTTGCTTGTGAAGGAGAAGCTTCGAGGGTTGTGGATGAACTGGCGCAAACGATGCGACAGCAACATCTATCAAGAGCACGTGGATGCTAGCTCATTCGTAGCCGACTTCATCTATCCCATCACCTCCTTTCATTCTTTCAAACCTCCGTCAAACCATTTCACACATACATCATACTTCTTACTTCCGCAAAGTCTCACAGTCCAGCGTTTATTTCTGTCCGACATCCGAGTCTTTGTTCCTCGTCATGACCTCGTGTATGTCTCGTCGCCCGCCGCTTTGCTTGCCGACAAAGGTTGAAAGAGGTTGGCGGCGGTAAGCACACGGTATGCAAGCAATCACCATCACCAACCAAACCGTTTTCCACCCCTACATCTGAGATGGGACACATGGGTCGCCAGATCCCACAGCCAATGATGCGCCGCAGCTGGCTGGCGACTGCATAACCTGCAATAAACATGGAAGCGCTGGCTGACCTCCCACTCTCCCACCCCGCTCTCCACCAATGCCGTGAGCAGTGAGCACACCACATTGGCGCCGCGAGTGAGTCGCTCGCTGGCAAAAGAGTCCAGCCGGCTCTTTGTGAGCGGTCCCTGGATGAAGAGGTGTTGCTTCGAGAAGCTTGGATTGTTCTCATTGTAAACCAGTTCTCGTGGCAATTCTAAAACTATCGTCGAGCTCTTTGTCCAAACTTATCGTCAATTTACCGCAGCAGTACTGAGCTATTCATCCGCTTTGCGATCCTCAGTTGGCACCGCGCTCCGCCTCGTTGGTACACTCTCGTCGAGTTTTCTGGCCTCACAAACTCCTCTCTCACCAGTCGCACAAGTCCCGACCATCCAGAGAACTTGGTGTGCTGCATGCCCTTGCAGACCCGGCTCGAAGGCGTCTATTTTCGACTCCGGTGCTGCTCTTCGTCTCGACTCATTGGGTGGCCTATCAAGAACTCTGGCTTAAGTGGTCGTACTCTTCCAGACAACCCGCACTTTCAACCCAACCTTCTTCCACAACCTAGAAACTAGTTCTCACTCTGAATCGATCCCCTGGTCAGTACCACGCCATTCATCTGCTTGATCTTCCCGAGTCTCTTCTTCTTTCGAAGTAGCCTCATGTCTGCTGGTCTCAAATTAGACCGTCACATCTCTGCGCGCGCGTCTACACAAAAGCCTGTGTGCCCCCGCCAGTACATCACACTTCTCTTTCCTCTTTCGATAGCTGGTCTCTATCTGTAATTCTTTATCTGTCAACGTCTGTACCTCTTGGCTATTGAGCTTCGTCGTTGTTCTTGATCTCCATCTTTGTACGCACCGCTCTTAGTTCTTGCTCGTTGCATACGTCGATAGACATCCTTTCATATACACAAACATGTCGAGTGAGTACGGTGTTCTAATCAAGATTACAGGAAGCTGACAAGTTCAGCCATCACACAGAAGAGAAGGCCACCGCCATTGATCAGGACGCAAACCTCGGCGAGCGCCTCATCTGATTCTTCCGCCGATTCTCTCAAAGTCCCAGGTCCACGGACACCACGCTTTGCTGAGGCAACGGCCGTGTACTCTCCAATAGACCCTCCAGATCGATCACCATTTGCCGATCCACCAGAGCCAGCCGTTAAATTACAAACAGTCATGGCTCAGTCACAGCCCTCAGATATCGGCTTCGGCTACATCTCACAGAACGATGCCTCACGGCACGACCAAGGGATTCCAGTCGAGATTCCACAAACACCAGGATCACCATTAAAGAGTGCTATGAGGATACCGGGGACACCAGCGAGGAAATTCGACAACCCGCTGAGTCCGACGTTCCGAGAAGAGCAGATCTTGGAGAAGCATGAGGATATGACGGATAAGGAACAAGCGAAGGACTTGGTATGTGCCCTCAGGGAAAGTGATGAAGTGTAGACGTGCTAACAATTGCACAGACGGTAAAGACAAGAGTACGCATGGCAAAGTTCATTCTCAGAGGTGTCAGCTTCAGCTGTAGTTTGATCGTTCTCGCCATGATCTCGATGACATTCTCCATCTTCAGAGCCACCCGAGCGTTACCTCCACGAAACAATCTTCCACCTTGGGCAGCCGGAACTAAGCAATGGCCTCAAATTCTCGTTCTTTCCGTCGCTTGTGTTTCGTTAACGCTTTGTCTCGTGATCTTCTGGAACTACTGGAAAGGAGGCCATAAGCGAGCGGAGAAGGTCGCAGTTTATTACACTCTCTTCGCTGTGGCATTCTTCATTTTCAGCGTCGTGATGTGGGGAATTGCAGCTGGTATCTTGCAAGGCTCGAAGAACAACAGCAACAATAAAGATATCTGGGGCTGGTCATGTGTCGATAACAAGAGACGTCAACTATTCCAAGAGAAGGTTGATTACGGACTTGTTTGCAGAATGCAGGTATGTGACGACTTCTCCTATCCAAAATCCTACTTAACATTAACATTTGATAGTCCTGGTCGCTTGTTTGCTGCATCATCGAAATCGTCCTCGAGCTTATCTCCATCATCCTCTACGCTGTTGTCTTCTACAGATATTACAGCAAGCAACGTCTACGCAAGTCTATGGACGTTCGTGACCGCGCTCGATCCGATCTTTACCTTGCCCAACTTCGCTCTCAATCCGCACCAAACACTCCAGGCTTCGGTCCTCTCTCTCCATCATACTCGACTCACATTAAATCTCCACGCTTCCCACCATCCACCTACGCACGATCCAGCGATGCCGAAGAGGGATTCGCAGGTGCTCGCTTCGTAGAGGCTAAACCAGCGGGATATCAATCAGAGAAGAAGCCATTTACCCTACAAGCTCCACCAATCAAGGTCCACAGTGCCACACCCAAGACTCCTCAAGGCGGCTTTTCATCTCTTCCACCACGCGCAATCTCCCCACCACAAGAGCGAATCGTCGAGCACGTTGCAGCTGCACCGGGAGAACAGACTTATGCTTCCGTTCCGATCCCAGGCGCTTACGCTTCACCATTACCCACCAAAACCACATTTGGTGATGTAGGCACCGCGATGACCAGCGACAGCCGAATCGAGAGTCCGCCATCAAGTCCAAGGGGCTGGGAACGTCGATGAAGTGATCAGGGTGATGAGCATAATGGGGGAGTTGTAAAAATGGGTCGAATATAATTTTCTTTTGTAAACTTTTTCTTCGTCTTATACACCATTTTGGGATTTTGCGATTGGAGTTGGGGATATTTGATTTTTGGGAGATACCAGTCACTCGTTGATTGAATTGGATTTTTGTTAATATGAAGTCTGAGAAAGATTTGTCTATATAGTTTGGTTACTAGCCAAAAGAAAATCCAATTTTACCAAAACTCTTTTCTACTATGATATGTGATATTCTGCAATCCTTTTCCTTGAACATTTGAACTGTCTTCAGAATCACCTGGTATCAAAATTTCCACTCATCTAATTCTACAACCACATACCATTTTACGCAACGTCAAACAGACAACACCATCCACAAGCGCCGACCACCCCACCTCGCCTCTTCCATCCTACCAGATAAGCTTTTCGGTTCCTCGCTCATCCATCCTTTCACTATCGATACCACCCACATCTTGATCAAGATTTCAATACTTACGCCGCATCTTTAACCGCCTCCTCATCCACTATCTTGTAATCTGACGTCAACTCTCATCCACCTCCCCCGTCTGAGGGTTATGAGATTATTGGATCCTAACCGCCCCGCCCTCTAACTATGATTCATTGATTCGAGGGAGACGGTCTGAAACGGGTCACTAGCTGACTGGCCTGTTTGTGGGTTGTGGTTGTGTTACTGGTTGGGGATGTAGGTGAGTGTTTTTGGTAGCGGGTCGGTTATCGGGCTAGAGGTTTGGGATCTAGGACTCCGGAGGGGGCAGATGCCGAGTGGTTTTGGGGTGGGAGAAGGAAGGTGGCTGGCTTTGGTGGGTTGGTTTGGGTTGTGGGAATAAAGTGTATTGGGATGGGGGCGGAGGATGGAGCGAGGTTTGGGAGGTGTGGGGTGTAGGTAGTGTAGTACGAAAGCTAGGAATTTTTAGGTAGAACAGCTGTTTAAGAACTTGAGTTGATGAGAGTTTCGTACTTCTTGAATATGGCAGGGAGGGTTATAAATTTTGAGGTAAATGAGTCAAGCATCCGTAGATCTGAAAAGTAGGCAAGGTAAGTAAGTATATCTTCCACCACATTTGACATTAAAGTCCACTTTTGCGTGACTATGTAGTGATAGTATAGAAGTTTTGGGGTACTGTAGCTGATGGTTAGAGGTTATAAACACGTAAATGGCATATGATTAGTTAAATGCTCCAGCATCTTATGTTCAGTTCGACATAAATAGAACTCTTTCAATTGTCCAGTGTAGCTCTCAAGCTCTACTTGATGTATGTTCGTCCCTCAGCCTTCAATGCCAACAAGCAGTATGGAATGGTAGAAGCCGGGATATCAGACCCCTAGTAGAATCGTTTGGATTGACCGGGTGAGTGAAATAGATTCCAGTCTCTTTTTTGGACTCACACACGCCTTAGCAGTGTAAATTCAGCGTGAGTTGAGTATCTGATGGACTTCTACATACCTCGAGGCAATAGAAAGCTTAGATGTATTGGAAAGCCCCTCTGTGACCTCTGTTTACATCTAAGTAACGTCTGACCGGGAGTCAAAGCTCCCACCAAGCCGACGACTTGGCCTACCTCTAAGATGAATGTGTCGTAGTAGGTCTTGTGTTCATCATGGGCATAGTTCTGTCGTTAACCAAGTGTCAGAACACTCGAGATACATGAAACTCAACAGCATAAATGAACACAAAGTGTAACCTCGACGACATAAACTAGGTTTTGTTTTCAGTAGGGCAGAGACATTTCTGCATATCCCATCAGATCACTCATATTTTGCAGCGAGTTCGTCGAATGAGAAGAACGCCATCCAATTTCCTTTTGGGTAATGTACTGTTAGGCAAGAGCCACGAGCTTCCATCCGCAGCTATCCGACCCATCCTGATATACACAAGCACCACCCTCAATCGTGCAACCCGAGCCCTCATGTCGCCGTCATTCCCGTCCCAAAATCACCTTCCACGTCACCAAATTTATTTCCCAACCACATCCCTCGTGCCCTGTTTCGCCTGCTCAACCACCTGCTCAACCTTGCCCTTAACACCCTCAACACCGCTCTCCGCCATCTTCTTCATCTCCAGCTCCCTCCCACCCCATTGATTATACTGCATCCAGCGGTATCCCTGGGTCAGTTGCGCGCCCTCGTTGACGAAGTGGCAGGCGAAGAGGAGGTAGTTTTTGGGCGAGACGGCGAGGGCGTAGCGCATGAAGGTTGCGGAGTAGATTGTGAGGGCGCCGGTCATTTTACCGGAGATGCTGGGTGTGTGTTAAACAGAGGAAGATTGAGTTGAGGGGTCAGGGAAGGGAGGAGAGAGAAGGAGAGGTATAATGGGGGACGTACAGGTCTGGAGATTTTTGTGTGTCCATTACTGCCGCAATTGGGATGCCAAAGTTTGAGACTGGACCCCAGAAATCTGCCAAAATACCCTGTTAGCTTCTTCATATTCTCGGATTCCTATCTTAATTCCCTGAGTGTCCCAAATGTGAACGAGCTTCCGAACCCCGAAGTTGGCGCAAGTCGGACGGAGAGAAGAGCACATACGCGTTGAGCAGATATAGTTTGCCATTGGATTCGAGCGAATCTTGGCATTGAGGGCCGATACAAAGGACGCCATTATTGCGGTATTAGAAGTAGAGAATCGGCAAGTTGAGCGTGAGTGTAAAGGTGGTGGTGGTTTTGATGGGAGATCAACTTTCTTGATTGAGCTCCGGTCCATTCCCGATATCCCCGACATGCATATTAGTCACGTGAGCAATTTCCTAAACCAAACTACGAACAGGAAACAAACAGTCTATGTAATTTCCCAATGAAACATGGTACAATATGGTCAATTAGATCTGGTCTATCATCTTGGAGACACGCAAACTTTCATTTCTTTTTGTTCAGCCCTAGTGCCTATGATACAATTTATCATGATCGGATTTTTGATATGAAGTGCCAAACTCCCCTCAACGCCGTAGTCGTGCTTCAAATTCTCTCCATCCTGAGCCATCTGGCAGAGGCAATTCTGAGCTGATACCCTATTCTGACTTTGCGACTTCCGTTCATCATTCATCAAGCTTCTTTCACCTTCTTGGTGGGGCAAATGCTGGTGGGGGACCTCCGAAACCTGGGGGAGCGAATCCTCCTCCTGGTGGCATACCTCCTGGTGGGAAACCTGGTGGTCCTATCACATAGTTAGTACAATTGTGCATCCTAAACGTGGGAGATGTGACTTACCGCCTCTACCAAATGGAGGGGCACCAGGGAACCCTCCAAACCCTCCTGGTGGACCGCCTGCAGCAGGACCCTAATAATAATTTAGCATGTTAAATGAGTGACTAAGAACTAAACATACAGCTAGCCCAATGGCAGCTCCTCTTCCTGCTGGTCTTGCGATACCAGCACCTGCGGAAAGAGCAGATGCAGCACCACCTGGCGCACTAGCTCCTAACCGCGCTGCTGGATCTGCTGGAGGTGGAGATTCGACAGATAGAGAGATTATATGTGCGCCTCGAACTATTGTGAGACCTAATGTACGTTTTTCTTCGGACTCGACAAGCGGTGCGGAGGTTGAGCTTGCGCCTGGGGCGGTGGAGGATTTGGGTGCCTTGCGCTTGACGCGTCTGAACTCTTCAGTATCCGCGAGGACAAGATTCATGTGCTACTTTGAGTTAGCAAAGGCTCAATGCGTTCATCAAACACAGCTGACCTTGTCGAACGCAAGCATTTGCCCAACCATTTGTCTTCCATCGTTCATTGTAACTCTCATCCGGTAGTTGATCTAACAACAAATCAGCCCATGTCCAAGGGGTATAACACGCGTGAAGAGTATGGGTATCTCTCGAGCAAGGAGTAACGTACGAGACCGGCCTGTAGGAAGAGCAGATGTTAGCCTATTTCGTCAACATAAAGCTTTAATTGAGGTTCAAAGATTGTAACTTACCATCTTTCCCTGTTTGTTCGCCATGTTGAATTAGATGCGCGTTGGGTAACGGCTTCTATCTGGTATTTCAAAGATTGAATATTGAAGTATTGCGACTTCAAATAACTACAGCTCTTGCAAGCCTAGTGGAGGTATGTCAGGGTAGTCTTCGATAACGAGGAGGCTGAAGCTCTCCAGGAAATATTTGACGCTAAACACTTGGAGCCTAGCGCAAAAACAATTTAGCGAGGCCGAAATCCCACCACCACTATTTGCAAAAAGTTCGAACTTTTGATCAACGACTATCGACAAAACCAACCCCACGACAATCGCCAACCTTAATCAAGATGGCTGAATCCGACAAGAAAGAGCAAAACCCCATGAAGGAGCTTCGCATCCAGAAGCTCGTTCTTAACATCTCCGTCGGAGAGTCTGGTGACAGACTTACTCGTGCCGCAAAGGTGTTGGAACAATTGAGTGGTCAAACTCCAGTCTACAGTACGAAATATGAAGCCAAATCATTCATCGCATAAACCTAACTATTATCTTTAGGCAAGGCCCGATACACCGTCCGAACCTTCGGTATCCGTCGTAACGAGAAGATTGCTGTGCACGTCACCGTCCGTGGACCAAAGGCTGAGGAAATCTTGGAGCGTGGATTGAAGGTCAAGGAATATGAGCTCCGCAAGCGCAACTTCTCTGAGACCGGTAACTTTGGTTTCGGTATCAGCGAACACATCGATCTCGGTATCAAGTACGACCCAGCGATCGGAATTTACGGAATGGATTTCTTCTGCTGCATGTGAGTATATGGATGAATGGATGAATGGAACAAGCGATTGACAATTGTAGGACCCGTCCTGGAGAGCGTGTTGCCAAGCGCAGACGTGCAAAGTCCCGTGTCGGTACCAGCCACAAGATCAAGCGTGAGGAGACTGTCAAATGGTTCAAGAACAGATTCGAGGTATGGCTCAGTAGATATGCAAGGTTGTGGTGTATACTGATAATTTTCTTTAGGGTATCGTTCGATAAATTCTCAATCATGGTTTGGTGCATGGAAAAGGAGTAAATGGATGAATTCATGACATGGGCAACATTGGCTGTATATTACTGAATCTACGGATCAGAAACGCAATGAAGCAGTTCATCACAACTGTTAAACTGTATCTTTATGATCAGTACGGCCTTAGAGTCCGACCGGCGTCATGCCGGCTTGCAATTGTTGAGGATTCAATGATGTGAAGATGTTCTATGCTATTTTTCTATGCTCTACTTTTATGTTCCTTCGTTGCCTCCATTCAGTTCCATATGAGAAGATATGATTTAGAAGCTACTGACGCCCGAAGCGCACATTGATATTATGTCCTGGAAATACATACTATCTTCGGACTTGCGCTTAAAGAGTCTGTTTGCTTACAGCCCAGAATCATCGACGGATGTTGTTTGAGCTACAGAGCCATGGTTTGAATTACAGAGCATGCCACTGCAATGCTTTGGCTTATCTACCATTAGAAGCAAAGGGATTCTCGGGTGTCTCTTCGTAGCCATATCAATGGCAATCGAAAGATGCCATTTCTTTGATCATGTTAACAAAATCCTGCATAATTCGTCCGTCTTTTTTATTCAATAAGGCATTTGGACTCTGTTCTCAGTACGTTAATATCAGAAGTTCCTCCCTTCGAATTGTGATCTAAGTTGATGGGATTGGGATATTTCTGCTAGATGTCTTGTCCGCTGCTGTTATGGTAGCCAATGCAATTGTGCTATCCTAGATTTCATAAATAGGCATTTTCTCTCATTGATTGTGGCTAGGATCAGAAAACAGTAGATATGGCATTTAAAGATTGCTGAAAGTAATAAAGTTTACCACATATACAGAGACCTTTTTCCTAATCCCAACACCCCAAGCAACTGCTCCAAAAAGTGCAATATTTTCTCTGCCAGAGGTTTCCGAGCTTATACCACAGGTACCAGTACCGAAAACGAATCGTACAATCCATATCAAGCTAAACCGTCGTCATCATGTTTTACATCCATCCCTTCGCATCACCATTTTCATCCATTATTTATTATTATTTCCGCCGAACATCTTTCCAAATTTTCCCTAAAACACAATTAGCATTCCATAACCCATGCGCTCTCAATTGACAGAGATTGGAAAAAGATGAAACCTACATCCCCTCTGCCAAACCGTTCACTGATACTAAATCTCTTATGAACCCCAACCCCAGGACTCACTTTCCGTGTTTCCTCTTTCCTCAGACTTAAATCCTCTACTTTAACATCCTGCGTCGCGCCCAACCAGTTTTCCACTTTACTCCCATTCGAAATCCTCTTCTCTAATTTCGGCAGCCCGACATCTGACGGTAGAAAAGGGTTCGCAGGCGGTTTCTGGGGTATGGATTTCTGTAAGGAGACTGGCGCTTGAGGCTGTCGCGACGGGACGTATGGTTTTGGCAGGAGGGTCTGCGATTTGAAGGAGGGAGATGTAGGTGTTATTGGTGAGGACGCGAGGTTTGAGGATGGGAATGAGCTCGTGTTGGGTGTTGAGGAGGTCGAAGCTGTGGTGGTGGTGTAGGAGGGTGAAGCGGGTGGATTGTGCATCGCCATAATGGTTCTATGGCGTTCGCGCGTCAAATGCGTGTTATGAAACATGATGGAACGGTTCAAACGAGTGACTGAATGGCTCTAGAAGGTCTGAAATGATAATACATAGATGGGAGCTCGATTTCCAAAGCTCCAAGAAAAACACCCAATATCCACAGTCCGCCACAGCACAGGGGATATCCTTAATCCGAGGTCAAAACACCCCTTTTTCCGCATTACCATATTGTCGAAAGCTAAAACCACACAAAAATGTCAGCTAGTTGGCTTGGTTTGAGGCTTAAGATGCGACTCGATGGATGAGGGTTGGTGTGCGCGAACTAAAAGGACTTGAGCGAATTGGACGTCGGAGTTTGAATTTGGCGGCCGATTAGAATGATTGGGTCTTCTGCGATCAATATGATGAGAGGAACACGGGCATTGGAAGTCTTGTGGGAAATGTAAGTGGGATCGATGTATTTCATTCCATTCAATTCTTGCAATATCTTAAATTTCATCACATTGGGAAAAGATGGACAAGCAACTTTGCATAGAGATTTTCAGCATTCAGTAAGTATGCAAATTGAGTTTGATCTAACAAGGTCGCGTGTGTACATGTTAGCCATACGAGTTGAGCGAGAAAGTACTTGTGTTTTCATGAATTCAATTCGTATCTGTAATCGCAATGCTAGTAGAACCTGATCAATCCGCCCAGCTATAGTACATCGATGGTATACTCCAAAGCCAAACGGCGACAACTGATGCTGCTCTTATAAACACCACCAACACCCAATATCATAGACCAGAGTATCATCGCTCAATTTCTTCTCGTTATAAGGCCAGCTCCCCCAGCTCTCTCTCTTTCTTGTGTGACATTTTCTTTACTTGGCTCCTCCAGTAGTGAAGCTGTGAAAGAAGAATTATTAGCAACCATCTTATATATAGACATGCAAGAAGCGAAGAGTAACTTACTTATTCCACATCTTACCAAGGACACCAGCGGCGGGCTTCTGTTCAGCAAAGCTTGCTCTGCGAGCTGCTGCTGATGCATCGGTGCTATTTCTCTTCTGGTTTATCAGACCCGAGAAGAGAGTTCCTGATTGAGAGCCCTGTTCGACAAGTCAGTAAGCAATCCAGTTTCGATTCTCAATATTCATTTGAATAGCTAAAGATTTATTATAAATGGGTGCATACCCGACGTGGACTTCCAGAATCACCACCAACGTTGTTTGCTGCTGTTGGAGTTGTTCCGGACCCTCCGCTGACTGCTGCTCTTTGGGAATTCATCTTGATTGACTTGAGTTGGTTCTTTTGGTTTTCGATGTAGAACTTGAAGTGGTCTTGGAAAGAATTTGAAGCTTCTTTTGATATACCGATGAAAGGATGAGTTGATGACGATTTAATGAACAAAGAAATATCAATGAGAGGTATTCACCTACATATACCCAAACGAAACTTTACGAAGCTACCCCTCCCCTAGCTCGATCCTCCACACACTCAATCCACATGCTCATCATCTCGTACAAGACGTTCCTTCCCCGAAAAGAGAACCCTGAAAATCCACAAAAAGCAGCGATCCGGACTTGATGACTTCATCAAATCAAGCCATCACCTGCCAATCGAGCGCCCGCCACTTAAAAGTCTATTTTTCAGCCTTGCCTGAATGACAGGCCTATGAAGGCATTCAGTCTGCTTTACGAATGCGAGGTAGGAAGAGATGTGCATACCCCGCGTGTAGGTGGAAAGTAAAAGTGGCATGACTTGTTACCCAAAAACGATGTATGTTGTGTAAGCCGTTGTATTACTCTGGCTATCTTGAATGAATTTAGCCAATCATATGTACCTCATCTTGATTTCTAAACATGCATATCAAAAAGCTTCGCATGTGCTGATAATCAGGGTCGTAAGATACCTACTGTATCTCTTGCATGACCCTATCATTGCCTGCCCTCTTATTAGTAGACGGGTTCCCTGCTTCCATCACTTTACTGCAATTTGCACGCTCCAGCGAGTCTTCTTCAAGATCCTCAAAAGAGTAAGAGATCTCCAGGGACAGTACTCATAGCTGCAAAGGGTTAGACTTTTGGTTTCATATTCAAATCAGGTACTGAGAGAACTAGTAATGTATTCGTATGCTCGAGACTGTTGTTGATTCCTTAGCTCGATCGCGGGGTCGAGAAGATCGACGGCAGTAAGCGAAGAAGCTTGGACCGCTTTGCTTGGCCGGCAGCGATTGGGTTCGATGGCAGAACGTCTCGCAGAGGAAAAGAATGAATAAACTGTCAAAAATCTAATACTTATTATTTGGGTTGACGAAGTGCCAGATATTTTGTCAACTTTGTTGGCGAAATATACAAGTTTCGTTTATCACGTTCAGGAAACCAGAAATTGCTATACTGTTTTTATAGATCGAGATTGCTACTGCTTATTATGTCTTTCACGAGAAGCTGTTCGATGATATAAGAATGTTATTTGGAACTAAGGGCTATATTATTGTCACCTCATCATGTAACGATTATACCTCTCGTAAACCCAGATACAGTTTTTAAAGTCGAAATTGTAATAAATCTTCCGACGATTCTAGATATCAACATCCATTTAGACATATCGTTATATGTAACCCCCACGAGTACATTAATAATCATCAAAACTTTATGTGACTTTCGTGCATTGCTTTGTTTATCGAAACTCAATTTGCTCAATGTTGCATAATGTTATTATATTCGACAAAGTCAAAAACTAATCACAAGTTCTACACCTCTGCGAGAAAACTTCGTGATGGGTAGTGTCAATTGTCAGAACGGTCCATCAGTTCATATTCAAGCCACAAGCCCTTGAAACGGAAGGAACTTCAACATGGAGCTCTAAACCTCCTAATTCCTGAAAACAATTGACAAAATATCGATATTTCGTCAATCTGATTGAAGAAATATCACGTTTTGATCGCTCGTCAAGTGTACTGTAACATGGGTAGCGACTTCCCCTGTCCCAGTTCACCTATCAAATCAAGTCCCAACATCGCACCCCTGAAATCAAATCGACATCCCCTGCTGACCTTCACATCTCCAGCAGATCTCGATGTCGTTCCCTAATTGAGTTAAAACCCATCACCTCCACGATTCCAAACTCTTTTGTTGCATGTCGCGCAATCGTGGCCTCCGCCGTTAGCAGACGGAGGTTTCTCTGGCAGAAGAAGTACCTCGGAAGATCTGGAGTCTGGACACGCTGACTGATGTATCAACGAAGGCAAAATGCCGCAAATCACGCTGGCTGTCCTCTTCACCAGCCATTATCAAGCATTGGTCTCTAGGAACAAAAGCGCAAGAAATTAAGCATACAAAGACTCAAAAGAGCGTTTCAATTTGGAATCATAATTCATTTACAAACCACCTCCTCTAACAGTCAAAATCTCTGATGATGGACGTCGTCTTTGCACCCGTGATAGCCTCCAGAACTTCAAAAGTACCATCCCATCAAACCATAATCTCCGTTCTCCATGAAACCCTCTATTGGCAACCGAGTCCTTTTGTGTCAACTACTCGAATTGACCTCGATGCTAGCGCTGTGTTCGTAGTGAAAATATCGTCCTGAAGTAACAAAATTTGCCTATTTTTCACCTGGCTTGACAATCTTACAAATGAGGTCGGAGCCTCCGACAGAGTCACCCTCCTTGATCTGAATTGTCGAAACCTTACCGGCATGAGGCGCTGAGATCACCATTTCCTAAAATCTCATTAGCTGCTGTTCAGACATCTCGTGTCGAAATACATACCATCTTCATGGCGCTGAGTACAGCGATAGGATCACCCTTTTTGACTTCACCTCCATCGTGAACGCGGATTTCAACAACAACACCAGACATTGGTGCACCAACTTGGCTCGAATCTCCGGGATCAGCCTTTGGCCTGCTTGTGTTCTCGACCGCAGCGTTGTTGTCGTCTACTGTGACTTGACGGACCTCACCTAGTTGAGAGTTAGCGATGAATCAGCCTTAAGAAGTTCAGTACTTACCATTCATCTCATAGAAGACCTCACGTTGACCAGTTGTATCGGACAAAGGTCCAACAGCGAGCAACTTCAAAATCAAAACCTTACCTTTCTCCAACTCGACGTGGAATTCTTCTCCGATTTCGGGTGCTGACAGGAAATATCGTGTAGGTAGGACGCTGAGATCGCCAAATTTCTGGATAAACTTTCGGTAATCCTCAAAGACCTTGGGGTACATAGCATAGGAGGAAACGTCGCACTCAGTAACGCTGCCCCAGGTGTTGTGTATATCCTTCTTGATCTTGGCAAGATCCAGTGGCTCCAAGGACAAGCCAGGTCGCTTATCAAGCTTACGTCTGCCTCGGAGAGCATTTGTCCTCAGGGGCTCGGGGAAGCCGCCATATGGCTGGCCCATTAAGCCTTCGAAGAAATCGAGAACAGACCCGGGGAAATCGAGTTCACCAGCCCTCTTCTGCACATCGTCAAAGTTGAGCTTGTTCGAGACCATGAATTGAGCCAGATCTCCAACAACTTTGGAGGTTGGTGTGACTTTGACGATATCGCCAAGCAAATCGTTCGCCTGCTCGTAAGCTTTCTTGGTTTCAGCCCATTGAGCACCAAGACCAAGTTGAGATGCTTGGAACATCATATTGGTCAATTGGCCACCAGGTATCTCGTGATCGTACACTGTACTATCAGGTCCCTCTGAATTATGATACATTAGTGAATGGTTGCCTTGGTACTGAGGGATTTGACTTACGCAAACCTGCTTCGAATGGGGAGTACATAAGACGCAGTTGAGCCCAATAGTGATCAATGGCTCGAACTTGATGTTCGTCTAAACCTGGGTAAAGGTCGCTACCTTCCAAAGATGCAAGAACAGCTCCAACACTAGGTTGAGAGGTCATACCAGACATCGAGTCACTGGCGGTGTCCACGACGTCGGCACCTGCTTTAGCGCAAGCGACCATGGAAGCAACACCAGTGCCCGCAGAGTCGTGAGTGTGCACATGTATCACAAGATTTGGATATTTCTCGCGAATAGTTCCGATCAAGAGGGTGGCAGCTTTGGGTTTCATAACGCCAGCCATGTCCTTGATGCCGAGAATATGTATGCCGAGCTTTACCAGTTTCTCGACCAATGATAGATAGTACTCGAGGTTATATTTCTTCTTTGGGTTTAACACTTTATAATTGTCAGATCGAAGCACTTCTGTGGGAATAGGGAACTTACTGTCACCAGAATAACACACGGTACCCTCAACGACACCTCCAGCCTTTTGAACTGCCTTAATACCAACTTCGAGCTGGTCGATATCGTTCAAAGCGTCAAAGACACGGAAAATATCGACACCATGTTTCTTCGCCTGTTCGCAGAAGTGGTAAATAGCGTTGTCTGGAAGTGAGGAGTATGCAACACCATTGGCACCTCTGAGCAACATCTGGAAGGGGATGTTTGGCACAAGCTTGCGCATTTTTCGCAGTCTGTCCCATGGATCTTCATACAAGAAACGCATGGCAACATCAAAGGTTGCTCCACCCCAGCACTCAAGAGAAAACAGGTTGCTATATGCGTGGCTGGTCTCTTTGGCGATGTTCAGAAGATCAACAGTACGGACTCGAGTAGCCAATAACGATTGATGAGCGTCACGCCATGTTGTATCCATAAGAAGGCAGCCCTTGTTGTCACGAACAGCCTTAGCAAACGCTTCTGGTCCCTTCTCAACAAGAATGTTTCTCCATCCCTTTTCGCAAGGGACGGACGTGTCAATTTTATTGCCAGACTCATCAAAGAGCTCTGGCATGATGATCTCGCCCTTGAACTTAGGCTCACCGATTTGACCCTTGATACTGCTGCCATTGACCGCAATATCTCCCAAGTAAGCAAGAAGTTTCTGAGCACGGTTTTGACTCCCAACGAGATCGAACAGCTCGGGTGTGTCATCAATAAATGTTGTCCAGCAGTTGCCTTCAATGAATGTAGGGTGAGTGAGCAGCGATGCTAAAAAGGGAATGTTCGTCTTGACTCCGCGAATTCGGAACTCGACTAGCGCTCGGAGCATCTTTCGACGAGCAATCTCATAGGTAGAGCCGTGGCAAGTACACTTAACCAGCATACTGTCGTAGTGAGGAGTGATGATGGCACCAGCAAATCCATTTCCACCATCCAATCGGACACCGTTACCACCTGCTGATCGATAGACCTCAATCTTTCCAGTATCTGGAGAAAAGCCCTTAGAAGGATCTTCTGTAGTGATACGGCATTGGATAGCGAAACCCCTGGTAGAGATACGATCCTGAGTGAGACCTAGTTGTTGTAGAGTAGCGCCGGCAGCGATTTGAATTTGAGCAGCAATCAAATCAATCCCAGTAATTTCTTCTGTGATAGTGTGCTCGACTTGAATACGAGGGTTGATCTCGATAAAGTAATATCTGTTCTTCTGGTCGACCAAAAATTCTGCGGTACCAGCATTGCGGTAGTTGACCGACTTTGCAAGTTTGACGGCATCTTTGAGAAGATTGTCCCTGACATCGACTGGAAGATCCTTCGCTGGAGCTAGCTCCACAACCTTTTGATGTCGTCGTTGAACTGAGCAATCACGCTCATAAAGGTGGACAATGTTTCCTTGGTTGTCTCCAAGGAGTTGGACCTCAATGTGCTTAGGTTTGTCGAGGAAACGTTCCACAAAGACAGTGCCATTTCCGAAAGCCGATTTAGCCTCGGAAGTCGCACGGTTGAAAGAGTCCTCCAAATCTTTTTGCTCTCGCACAACACGCATACCACGTCCACCACCACCATATGCAGCTTTGATGATAATTGGGAATCCGTATTCGTCCGTGAATTTCTTAACGTCCTCGAATTTGTCAACCGCTCCCTCAGTTCCGGGAACTACGGGTACGCCCGCCTTGATGGCCAATGTTCGGGCAGACACTTTGTCACCGAGCGAGTCGATGACTTCGGGAGAGGGACCGACGAACTGTCAGAGCCAATTAGCCGGGTTTCGACGGACCCTTTTGAAAATGTTACTTACAATCAAGCCAGCCTTCTCAACGTTCCTCGCAAATTCGGCATTTTCAGAGAGAAAACCATATCCTATCACGCATTAGATGTTGTGATTCTCTGCGTCATGCAATCACTCTTACCAGGGTGAATCATTTGAACTCCATGTTGGAGAGCAATTTTAATGATCTCATCTCCAGCCAAGTATGCTCCTACTGGTGTGTATTGACCTCGCTTTCCGATGACATATGCTTCATCAGCTTCTGTAAGAGGAAATCAGTTAGCAAAACTTATCTTCGTATGTAAGGAAACTACCTACTTTGTCTGTGCATAGAAAGTCGATCCTCGTAACTGGCGCAAGTCAGCACCCACAGTTCTGGACAACCCAATTACACAAATACCTGAAAACTGCTACTGTCTGAAGAGACAATTCGTGTGCCTGTACCAAATTAGCCTCTCTGACTGATTCGTTATCCACTGAAGTAGCTCTTACCGTTCGGAAAATCTAGAAGAAACAGAAAGTTAGTATTCTCAAAAACCCCGCAGCGTATATTTGGAAACATACTCGGATAGCTATAATATGTTAGCCTCATATCTTCTAATTATCTGCATTTTTGATTGGGGAAACTTACGGATCTCTCCTCGATTGGCAACTACAATGACGTAAAACTCATCAGCATGTTTCTCTTGAGCAGGTTCCTCACCTTTACAATGCGGAGGGGTAGATCGTAAATAACTGACCAAGAATCTTTTTCAATTGCATGATACTGGAATTGGCTCTAATGCGGTGAACGGTTTGCGCCTGCTTCATATCGAGGGCGCCCTCCTCGAAGACCTCGCTGTAGGGGCCATGCTCGCCGTGGTCGCCAGTGTGTGCCGCCATGTTGAGTCTGAGTGATGTAGAGGGGAGATGAGAAAAGAGGGGGAGCTATCGAAGCTCAGAGAGAAGAGAAGTTGGTTAGTGTCGGTCGAACAAAGCTAGCTGTCCAGGTCGCTGGCTTGTTGAGGGTTGTTTTGACAAGACCGAGCTACCGTAGCCGGAGCGGTGGAGGGGTGATATGAGAGCTCCCGGAGCTGCCAGGGTCGGTGATTGCAAGCGTGAACGGTCAATTGAGAAGATAAGGGCGGAAGTTTATGTACTCGTTGTCGATGTTGTAGGATGAATGAAGAATTGGGAAAGGAGAGGAGATGAGATAATATGTTAGCGTTTTGTGGTGTTCGGGGCAAAGTATTTGTGTTGAACGATTCTATGACAATCAATCGGTCTTTCCCCACCTCTCGCAGTCAATGCTGCTGCTGAGCTTTGGTGGTGGACTGGGGAGAGCTCTTTCTTGGTGCCTCAGCGTGGTGGGGTCAGGAGAGCAGCGTCACGCCTCTGGCTCTGCTCGCCTCGAAGTGCCTGTCCAGCGCGCAGCTTGTCTGTTTCTGTCCCTGTCGCAATCGCAACACCGCCAATCAACACGCCGCGATATGGGATTTACGGATTAGATTTTGCGCTTTGGTGCAGACGAAGCCGATCTAACAATTCGCGTGGACCTTGAGCCAAGCCTGTCTGGTTGGAGATGTGTGTCGTCGACAAACACCAAGAAGTTTCACGCCCAGAGTCAGAGAAAAGCTGGAAGAGCAGAGATAAATAGAGCGACCAGATCTGGACCGCTTTGCGGTCGCCAGGTCCTCCTGCAACGCTGGGCAAGGCTGGGCATCCAGATTATGTGGTGAAATACGGAGACACCATGGAACACAAACCCACAACTATCTTCCACGAACGGACGGGGAATATAATTCTGCCCACAGCGAAGTTCTGGTAACGTCTTTGCGAGTCACAAAACACGGCTGAGTGTTTCCCCAACATCACCACGCCTAGACTGCAGAAGGTGCAGTAGCGCTTTCACCCCCATTCCTCAGCAGATCGTGAACTGTTTTTCCTGACCGACCTTGTGGACAGCAAAATAATTCTTCCTCGTCTTTTCGCATTTCCTTCTACCGAGCCCGCTTGTCCGACCTCGGTATTGGTTCACCATGCAGAGAAGGATCAAGCATTTCTTCTTTCCAGGGGACCATCACCAACCTGGCGGAGGGATGACGAGGCAGGGGAAGATCTGATCTTGAGCTAAACACCGACATCCCCGTCCGGTGCTAGGGGAAGTGTAGACAGCGGACTGCCGTGGGACGGAAAAGGAAAACATCACCACCAACGTGCTCATGTTTGTTGTAACGGAGAGAGCTGGCTGGGCCTGGTTACTTCCCCACGCCGTGGGTACCCGCTTAAACACCTCCAAAGAAGGAAAATGACTCGTTATTACGGGCCAATTGTCAAAAACATGCAAAAGTCGGTGAGGTTGGTAATGATGATTCGACTAAGTTTGTAAAGACATGTGCGGCTTTCAATGGCTGGAGTTATACAGAAATATGTCACTTGATTGATGGCCATAGTTCTATCCCACATTACTACCTTGGATAGGACCAACTGTATATCGTGTGCACTATTCGACTGGTAACCATGATTGCAAATGGTTTACTAGATAGGTACAACGAGCGAGTGATCGTCAAAGCTGCAAGCTAAAGTATCGAGATGACTTGGCTTTTTCTGAACAGGAGGCGGTCTCGCGGAGGACAAAATAAATGGCAGTCGAAACACAATATTTCTTCGATTAAGTTGACGAAATATCGTATATTTAGTGGATTAACTTGGAACATTATTACTATTCCGTCAATCGTTTTAAGGAAATAAGATTTTTTAAGCTCTATTCGAAGTCGACTTATTATTCAGCCCAAGATTAGTGGGTAGGTGACTGACCCTTATTTTGTCCTGAGGCGGTCTCTAATACCTATACTTGGCTACCAAAGTCCATGCACATCACATAAAACAGAAGACTCTGAACACATAGATTTATGAAGGGGTTTGAAGTACAGATGCCAAATCCACCAATACGTCTAGTTAAGGCAAGGTCAGAACAAATTCGCTACTATGAAGTTACAATGCGCCTCCCAAGGTGGCGGGCCCGACGAGGAACCACCTTTGAATGCAGCATACTAGTTACTACTACAACATTCCCATGCGAATATGCCACACATCCTAAGTATTTTATTCCGCGTGAAAACCACCAAAAGCACCCAGATATGCTCCGTCATTATTACACTCTAAACTTCTTATGTTCAGACTCAAAATCCACCACCGAAGCCCGTGGCTTGTGGTGCAAAGCCATTTGTCTGCGCGAATGGTGCTGGGGATTGTCTTCCGCCGGGTCCAGCAGTAATCATCAGCCGACCACCACCCAGAATGGGTGTATTGCTGTCATCAGTCTCCTGAGATTTTTCACGTGACTTTCGCTCCTCGTTGTCCTTTTTCAAAGTCTCTATTGTTGAGCTCTGTTGTGCGAGGTAGTTGATCATGAATGGCATCGTGAAATCGGTCAGACCATGACGCCATGAAACTTCCATGACAACATGGATTGGAATGAGCTCGTAGCAAGCGTAAAGCATACCGACATAGCATTCGCGGCTACCAATATCGACAAACTATTCACGATTAGCAATGTTGAAATCGACAAAGACAGGGTTACACTCACGTATCGCAGTAACTCCTCGACAACATCGGATTTGGCTGACATAGCAGCAGTCTCAATAGCGTCCTTGAAAAGCTTGTCCTGCTTCGAGAGAGCAATGGACTTTTCCCATCGCTTGTTCTTGCGGTAGATGTTGGCGGCAATTTGTCGGAAAAAGACAAGGTCATGTTTTTCCAACCGCTGAGCAAGCTCAACAGGATCATAGTTATCGTAGTTCTCAACTGAATCTCGAAGAGTTTTGTAGTCTTCCTCTTCGATCAGGAGATCGTTAATAGCATTGTTGACGATCTTCTTATTCTGAGTTTGGACATTGAGAAGGAATGGTTTGATTAGCGGTATGTTGTCGGATTTCTCGAACATCTTTACCACACGGTTGACATCAATCCTTGGGGTTAGTGCCTGGAGAAGATCTGTCAGAAGCGAAGGTTGCTGTTGGAGGTAAAAGTTAAGTGCTCGGTAATAGATTTCCAAATTGGCAACCTTGACGATGATGTCCTTGAAGGAGTGGTGTTCCCAAGCGTCGGCAGCGCGTTCCATCATCGCAAGTGCAGCATTGTCCCACTCATCGTAATGGCAATAGAGGAAGACAAGCTCTGGCCACAAATGCGCTTCCTCGCATGCGCGGACTATCCAATAAATTAGCATACGGTTTTCTTGCTCGCTTTGGAGCCGAGAGCTGTGTCTAAAGATCAAACATGCTCCCGGCCACTCGGGAACAGAGTTTGAAGTGAGTAACAAAGGCAAAGTACGAACTCATCTTAGGAATGTTGATCCTCCCCCAGAACAGCTTCAGGTGCTCCATAACACGATCTGGATGATATTTTGAGAGAGCGATGCCTAGTTCGGTAAATATTCCCATATGACATCTCTCTAAAGATTACGTTAGTATAATTAATTTGTGGTGTCCTTGGGGTGCCAAAAGGCAAGATAAATAAGTATGAACTTACCAAGACCAAGACCTTGTTCAAGGAGCGAAATGAGCTCGTCGAAATAACCATTGCGCTCATATTGCTTGACCAAACCTTGAAGCTCTTCTGCATCCACGATCAAATTAAGACCACAGATTTGTGCTAGTCGGAACTCCTTCTTCTCCACGCATGCAGCATTGACCTGTTTCCAGACCTTGATGTTATTTGCTTTTCGGGCGCACTCAACAGCTGCCTGGTAATCCTCAAGGTGTACGAGTGTAGTAGCAAGCTTCGCCCAGTTGGAGATGCTGGTGAAGAATATCTTTGCAGCCTGATGAAACCCTTCAGCATAAGCCTTGTCACCGGATTCCTCGATGTCGGCGACGTTCGTTCCCCTCAGGAAATCCTCTAATTCGCTTAGCTGTTCAGTGCGAGCATATGCGAAGGCCAGTGCAGTGTCGATAGCTGGCTCTCTAAGCGTCTTTCGAGACATGCGAAGGAACTTGATGAGGTCCTCATCCTTTCCAGCATGAGTTGCAATCTCGATGACTTCCAAGTAGTTGCTTGGGTCTTCAGCCCGAATGTATGATGCAATACCATCTGATACACGGAGACCATCCAACTGAGCTTTCGCAACTCTGCTCCAGACCTCTGGAAGCTCGACTCGCTCGGCGTACTCATGAGCACGATCAATGCTCACAATATGTTCTACCAATACGTTCGCAGCGCTCTTGTGGTCATTGATCTTCTTGTAAACTTCGAAAGCTTCTTCGAACAAGCCCACCTCGATACAGATGTTAGCAATATCAGGCGCATTATACGCATCGAGTCTGTGGATGTAATCCATAACACGAGCCTTGTCAGCCTTGGTAGCGGTAAGAATAAGAAGATTTTGAAGATTCTCGTTGTCACTGAATGGCGAGGGTTCAAGAACAATTTTTTCCAACAATTCAATCAGCTCCCCTGGCAAGTCTGCCTGAAGGAAAGCTGCCACAGCGACGGAGACCTTGTCTGGTTCTGTCGACTCGGGAACTGCAGTGGAGATAACCTGATCCACAACAGAGCGGCGATGGATGTTGTTTGGGCTAAGGACGAAAGACCAGAGTTCAGTATCAGCTCGGTTGAGGAGATACCGAGATTGAGCTTTGAACATAGAGTTTTCGTTGGTAATGTTGACAAGCTCTAGATCATTCTGTCCCTTTTGGTACGCAATAAAGGCCAGGTTAGGATCGCGCTTCTCGCAGTATTTTCCCACTGTAAGCGTGTTGTAGAGGTCGTTTTCTTTGAGAAATTTCTCTGGGGCGTTGTTTGAGTCCTGAGATCATTAGATGTGTTGCTCGCGGCACAAGGCACGGCACTTACAATATAAATTTTCGCAAGAGCATTGTAAACAGCTTGTTGTTGATTACCAGCGGCAAGTGTCGCTTCAAGGAATGGTAACAAGATCTTCAATCGATTTCTGGTCTCGACTTCAGCAACGAGGTCATCGATTGGGACCGAAGCTGGGTTGACGGTTTGCAAAAGGTTCTTAATGATGGATTCATCGCAATCGACGTCAAGCAGACCGCCCACAACCGCTGGTGTGCGAGCTGGGTTCACACGTTGAACATAGACTTCAATTGACTTGAATTGTTGATTCTGGTAGAGGTAGAGGACCAAGTCGTGGATGAAGTTGAAACGATCGCAAACGATGATCAGAGGTAGTTGTTCGGTTAGCTTTGCTTCCTTCAAAAAGTTTTTCACTTTTTCTGGATTAAAGTGATCTTTTGATTGTTTGTCAGTAAGCGAGTAAATGACAGGGTTGACTAGAATTAAAATGACTTACTGCTATCTCGACAGATCCGCTCAACCTCATTAAACTGCCCCATTTTTGTAGCAGCTTCAATGTACTTGAAGTTGACATCTGGATCTTCGCTCAAGTTAACGATACTACCAAGGTAGTAGAAAAGACCCTCGTAAGTCTTGTACTTTTCGAAGAGATCAATCAAGCGTGTGGCGCCCAACAGATCCGAATACTTTGTAGCGATTTGTACTACCGAGGCAAGGTTTTGTCTGATATTACTCTTTAGCATGGCATCAAGACAATCCAAAGATTGCTCGAGTGACAAGCGACCGAAGAAGTTAGTGAGCCAGTCTTGAGAGAAATTTGGCTGTGCTGCAATGTTGACCAAAACTCGCTTGATAGCGTCAGGGTCATCGTAATGCTCCAGAGCGCGTTGAACAAGTCCAGCACCCTCACAAAGTTGTGCAATACGAGGTCTGTCATAGTGAGAGAACATGTCGTTACCAAGGATAGCGTCGGCGACTTGAGGAGCATTCATCAGGTTCATCTCGAGGAGACGAGTTTGCAAGTTGCCTTGTTCTGGTTTGTTATCCTTGAGTGCATCAAGAAGGAAGGCGGTTGCAGCTTGAACCATATTTTGAGATTGGAATACGTCAACCACACGCTCGATATCTACCAAAGGACCACTCTCATTGTTTGCCAGCTGGGTTGCGAACTCCGCACCTTTATCAGGCGACAGACGTACAATATTCTGGAGCAGAACAATGTAATCCGGCTGATATCCCACTTGCGTGGCGTAAGGCAAAATCTTCTCAAATTGTCCAGTCTCCGCAAACGCAGCAACGACCTTCGGCGCGACATTGGCACGCAGATAAATGCTAAGAGCAAGGTTCAAGTCATGTGGCCGAACAATATCACCCAGCTCCTCGGAGCAATCTAGCTTGTTCTCTTTCATCCATTTCTCGAGCAGATGTTTTCGCTGTTGTGCAAGGACTGGTCGCACGAGTTCTAGCGTTTCGTGTTTGTTGAGAGTTCCTTTATCGAGAAGCATGCCAAAGTATTGAAGAATGATTGACAGCTGGCCTGGAACAGCGGGTAAGGACTTGAATCGGTCAATGGTTTGAGGGGTTCGAAGAAATCCTCGGGGAGAGTTCGCGGCGATCTTAGCAGCCTCTGCATAGTTGCCTGCAGATATCAACTGGTCGAACTGCTGGGCGTATAAGTTGTCTGCACCAGGTAGGCCAGCCCTTGATGCAAGTTTGACTGCTAAGCCAGAATTGGCAGGGTTTTGAAGCAGGTAATTGATAATTGTGGTCTCGTCAACAGCAACAGCCAGCACTTGGCCTTTGCGATTAATACCTACCAAACCTTCAGATTGTGAATCAGCAGTGGTGATGAAAATTGTCTCGCTCGAAATTCGATTCATGAATATGCATGTTCCAGTTTCCAAATCGTACAAATGAATGAACCCATATTTGGTGACGAGGTAGATGATGCTGTACTTTTGAGAAACTTGCATAGCAACTGGAAAATCATTCACTGCCTCTGCTGGGAAGTAAACATCTACAGCCTTCTTCGAAAAGGTTGGATTTGTGGTTTGGTGATCAACTTCGACTATGTGCAGCTTAGCTCCAGTCGCGGTTCGAACCGCGAAAGTGAAAACTTTGGTGTCCGCAGGCGCTCCTTCAAGTCGTAGGGTGCCGAACGCTGCTGCGTGTCCTTCGATAGCTTGACTGATGCCGCGATCTCGTGAATGCAATTGCATAGCACCAACCACTCGTCCCTGCTGTTGTGTAATACCAATTACCACCATCCATTTCCCATCGTCACTGACACGGTAGTTGATGATTTGGCATCCCTATTTGAGGTCAGAATACATAACCAGAGACATGCGAGAGAGACATACCGCTAGGTTTTGGTTTCTCTTGAATACTTCCACTGGAGACGCCTGGTTTGCATCGAATACATCCCAATGGTATACCGCGCTATCCGTCACCAGACCTAAGCTGGTCTCACTAAACCATTTCCAGAACACCACGTCCTCACTCATTGTCGCAGATTTCAGCTTTGCCTTTTGAGCTAAGTCGAATATTTGTAGCGTTCTCGACTGTGCCTTGAGCGCAATGACCTGTTTGGTCCAGTGCATGATGGCGCTATCCGCCTTGATCGGACGTCGTATGACATTGTTGTTTTGCTTAAGGTCAACGATGATAACTTCTGGCGAAGCTGCCTCATTCTTTTTCTCGCGAACACAAATAAAGGAGTCGGATTCGAGGGTCTAGCCGTTGGGTCAGCTGGATGTCACGAAAAATTCGAAAGGCAAGGACCAAACTTACACATGAGTTAAACCCAATTGATGCTTGCTGCAAAGTAAAGTCAGTTGCTGTCCGAATGGTCATGGCCGATTTGGAACCTGCGACATCTCAAGGAACCGGAATCTGGAGGAAATGGATAACGCACATCAACATTTACTTGTGAACTAGTCAACTACATTCCGAGATTAGCACCCTTCCATTGCAGCTAGCAATAGCACAAATATGGTACTTACCTGTAGCAACTCCGTAAACTTGATAGGTAAGGAGGGCGCCATATTGTGTACGTTGCGCGAACGGCGCTTTCAGCCTAGAAAGGCGCTCAATATGCGAGGAAAGGGGAAAGAAAAGTACAACAAGTTATTAAAGAGCGAAATATCCTAATGAATCCCTAGAATGAAGGGAATGGGGTGGATCGTTGTGTAGTTGATGTGTTGGTGATTGCGTAGATGGAGCCAGCTTTCCGAACAACATTTGGGAAACAATATCTGGTGCCTGAAATATTAAGGCATCCAGGCATCAACTTCCAGCTCACGGTCAGACGCGTTCGCCAAATGCACTTCAAAATTTATGGTAGGACAACCCCTTTTTTACAACAGTATTTTAGGAATTTTCCTATTTAACTTCTACATAGAGAAGACTTGCGATTGATGCCATGTCACATCTGGTGAAGCTTTCTCCCACTACATATCCATCCCACTAAGTACTATTATCACATTTTGCACACAGCCCTGCGCAAATAAGAGCCTATAACTGGTCACAGGAAGATATGGCTTCTGCTGAAATGAGGCGTGCTTTTGGGCTGCCCACGAGTAATTCGTTGTCTGCATACAAGTTAAGGCGCTACTGATTACAACGCGTAATCACCACTCAAACACGTTAAATGTGCTGGAATCCTATCGCGTGTTCAATACGAGCTGCTAGCAATTAGAATCAAACTCTTCATATGCAGCAAACGTTCTGGACCCGACGGTCAAATTTCAATATCATGACGCCTGACACATACTTCAAGTTGCCTGCCTAGGTAGCTGGCAGGTCCATAGGCAGGTGGTAGGCAGCCTCATCAGTCCTACGAAACACAGACGGCGGGTATTGTCACCGTAAGTATTATATCTTTGAGGGTTGACTCCGCATTCGTATTTAGACATTCCAGTATACGTGCAACTCAGTAAAGCTCGTAACAGAATTTCGGTCAGATTTACATCAACAACCTCCAAGCACCCAGGATCAATGCCGCGGTACCTATAGATCAAGTTAACATCAATATAGAGACCCAAGATAGCAAACTTGCCTGTACAAACACCCATCAGCCATTGCAAAGTTTGGAACTTGACGGATTCGAGCTTTTCCCTTAAACCCGCGACTTCCTGTTCAATTTTTGTTTCCGTTTCTTTGATTTTCAACTCTTGAACGTTTGCTTCTTCCCTAATCCTGCCTTTCTCTAGATTGAGGTCAAGACGTACAGACGCCTGTGTTCTATTGACTTCATCCCTCAATCTCGCATTAAGCTTCGCCAAATCATTTGTAAGTCGTTCATGTGAGGCGCGAGTCGTCGCTGACTCCGTTGAGTCTGCTGAAATAAGTTCGGATCTGAGCTTTGCAAAGTCGACTTTCTGTGTATATGTTGCTTTTGCCTGGTCTTCTCGCAAAACCATCGTCCGGGTCAGATTCTGAATACTACATTAAAATCAGTAAATATCCTACTGGATCCAAAATTCTAAACACACCTCTCCTCAATGACATCACTCAGAACTTTCATCATAGCCACTGACTGGGCTTCCGTGAAACCCTCCTCTTGCAACCGTTGAACAAATTTTAAAGTGTCAAAGTGATGATCTCTTGCTCGTCGTGGCGTGGCATGAAAGGCTCGACGTTGTAGCGATACGGAGGTTGTTGGCCTGAAAGTATTTCTGCAATCCTTCCCAAGAAGACAACGCCGCAACGGTTCTTCGGTTCGCTTTGAAACGTGGTGGTTGGAAAACGCTGTGGTGAGAGCTCGGAATGGGACACTTGAACTCGATGCTGTTTGCCAGCTTAATTTTGGCAGCAAAAACCGTGGCACGGTATGCGCACAATTCAATCCGAGGGCCGCCATTACTGTATATCCTCGCGATGTCGTGCGTCAGAATGGTATGGTTTGCTAGAATAATGCCAGTGGTAATATCATTATTGACTCTTCCACTGCTTGCTGCTTCAATTCGGATTCACATCGGCAGCGCATTCAGATCCCTGCCCTCGCCTTTCTGAGTCATCCACATCCACCTGGGAATTGCATATCTCCAAATGTTCAACTCCAAGCTTTACATTTGACATACGCTCAACTACAGTTAATACAACGAAGCGGAATCCAGGCCAGAAGAATCCTCAAACTGCATAACTCTGCGACCCAGTTTATACCCTTCACTAAGGATTTAACGTACCCCGCCACAAAAGTTCGCAAACTCTCAAACGTCAAAAATCAACCAAATTCTACCCCGCCACAACAACTTGTTCAAGCTCTGCAATCCATACAAACACCCATCATGGCGGCGAACGGTGATCGATACGGTAACGATTTAGACTCTGATTCCGATTCAGGCCCAGGTTCTCCAGGACTTGATCCGGAGAAGGATTTCGACGACAACGTACCAGAGATCGAAGACAAACCAGTCAAATCTGCGCTGAAAAAATCTACACAGAAGGAGATAGCACCCGCTATCATACGACCTACACTTCCTCCGCAGACTGAACCTAAAGACCTCGATGTCAAATCTCTCAACCCTCTCACTCCCGAGATCATAGCTCGCCAAGCAACAATTAATATTGGTACTATCGGGCACGTTGCGCACGGAAAATCCACAGTGGTTAAGGCAATCTCTGGGGTGCAGACGGTCAGATTCAAGAATGAGCTGGAGAGAAATATTACAATCAAACTTGGTTACGCAAACGCAAAGATCTATAAGTGCGACAACGATGATTGCCCACGGCCAGGTTGCTTTAGAAGCTACAAGAGCGAGAAGGAGGTCGACCCACCATGCGAACGAGATGGTTGCTCTGGAACTTATAGACTGCTCAGACATGTTTCGTAGGTGGATCTCTCGGAGGCTTCATTATCTTGCTAATGTCTATAGATTCGTGGATTGTCCCGGTCACGATATTCTTATGAGTACTATGTTATCTGGAGCAGCAGTGATGGACGCGGCTCTGCTTCTCATTGCCGGTAACGAAACCTGTCCCCAGCCTCAGACTTCAGAGCATCTTGCAGCCATCGAGATCATGAAATTGAACAAAATTATCATCCTCCAGAACAAGGTAGATTTGATGAAGGAAGAAAGCGCGAACCAACACTATCAATCGATTCTGAAGTTCATTCGGGGAACTGTCGCTGGCGGCGCGCCAATCATCCCAATTTCAGCTCAACTGAAATTCAACATCGATGCGATCAACGAAGCAATCGTTTCAACTATTCCAGTACCCCCAAGAGATTTTACGATGGACCCACAAATGATTGTCATCAGATCTTTTGATGTCAACAAGCCTGGTGCAGAAATTGATGAATTGAAGGGAGGTGTCGCAGGAGGATCTATTCTTCACGGTGTCATCAAGCTTGGCGATGAAATCGAGATCCGTCCGGGAATTGTCACTCGTGATGAGAGAGGAGCTATCAAGTGCACTCCTATTTTCAGCAGAATTGTAACTTTGAATTCCGAGAACAATGAGCTGAAGTATGCTGTTCCGGGTGGACTGATTGGTGTCGGAACCAGAATCGATCCAACCCTTTGCCGTGCGGATCGTCTAGTCGGTTTCGTGCTGGGTCTCAAAGGCCGCCTGCCTGACATCTACACTGAAATTGAGGTCAACTACTTCCTCCTTCGCCGACTACTGGGGGTCAAGACCGCAGACGGCAAGCAAGCAAAGGTTGCCAAATTGGCTAAGAACGAGGTGTTGATGGTAAATATTGGTTCGACAGCAACCGGAGCAAAGGTTGTGGCTGTGAAGGCGGACGCCGCAAAGTTGGTCCTGACCAGTCCTGCTTGCACCAATATTGGTGAGAAAGTCGCTCTGAGTCGACGTATCGAAAAACATTGGCGTCTTATGTGAGTTTTCAAAGATTGTCTGTCATGTCGTATAGTTTATACTAATTTGTTTACAGTGGTTGGGCGAACATTCTCTCCGGTGTAACTCTTGACCCAAGCACATCTTAGGTGATCTCGGAAGACGATTCGAATCGTGAGAAGATATACCACACCTCCTGCCAGTCATTTAGATTTCAGCATATTTCAGGAGTTGTCAGACTGGGCAAAAAGTAATACTTGCATGATGCATATGGCGTCTGCGTCAAGTAACAAGGATAAGCGAGTGGATATCTGCCGAACTCATCAAGCAGGGCAGTTTAGAAGTCATCGTGACAATAGACTTGAAATCTAAATGATAAAAAAGTTATATAACGAGAACCTGGTGTAAATTTCAACAACAGTTTCTGGGTCACCAGGTTTCTTTTCTTTTGTGTTATGTTTTTCTGTAGAAACAGACTTTCTATTATGGGCAAAAGCCAATCAAACCCAATGGCAATCTTTAGGCAGGGCAAAGCGCTCACATGCATTTGTGTGTAATACTACGTTCTCAGCCTTGTACAAGAATTTGATAATATTTCAGCTTTCCCTAGTACAGAAGACTCATCCACGGTTTGCGTAAGGGCTATGGCTATGGCGTAGACCGAGATTACAATGCGATGAAGGTCGGTAGGTGCACCTACCTTTTTAACGGCAATATCCAAACAGACATCAAGCCGCATCGGCGAGGTTTGAGAGAACATTTCCTGTCGGGGGAACTCGCTGTCTGTTGCTGCAGGTGGTGTCTATATTGAAGTCGTGGCTAACGTCAGCAAAGCACCTGGTGAGGTGCCTCGCAGATGTTTGACTGCCTAACAATATACGAAGAAATATTTAGCCCTCAGCCGTCCGCCGTCCGTCGGCCGGAAGGTTTAGGAGGGTGCTACAGAGGGAATATGAGGGAATATCAGCCATCGAGAGAATTTCCGTTTCGGCACTCCATTACTCCTACTCTGACCGAAAGTTCTTCGGTCCCGAGATACCTAGGCAGAGGTTTGCTTTTTCTACGCCCGTTTGATAATCGAGGGCCTCCCTATGGCCATATGAGGCGCTGTGCGTGCTCCAAATTTGTTCGCTCCCACCTTGCCTCTGCCTCTGCTGAAGTGTGGTCGGTCTCTTCCCCCCACCCATACATACTCTGGTTCTCACTACGCCGCATCAGCGAAGCAGACTTCTCCACAAAATTCCGAGAATCCAGCTGTTCTCCAGTCTTTCTCTCTATAACCATTAGAAATGGACGAGACCACCCATCGTTCCTCCGGCAGCTCGTGTCCAGGGTGAAGAATAAGGTACTAGATAACTCGATCCAGAATCGGAGATCATTAAAAGTGTAAATCGTAAGCTCCTCTAGACGGCTCATCTCGCAGACGTCATGATGTGTCCAGCCGTCGAAATCCGAATTACAGTCTACATCAAGTATCGTTAACCGTATGCGTGATAGTTCTTCTCTTTTGATATGGCGAAGAGCGTAGTCGTGTATTCGAATGGTGTCAAGATTGTAGTTGACCCAAGTGTAGCGGGGACTGCTCCCCATGCTGAAAGCGGCAACGTACGAAGAATTGGCGCGCGATTCTCTAGATACTTGAAGTACTGCGGGAACAGGGTCGTGGCTGTAGAGATATTGGGTGTCTCTGTCGTGAGAGAAGTATTTACACATGGTCAGAATCCGAGGTTCACAGGCAAGACCCCAAATTGAAATTCGAAGCTCTATTGGGAGACGAGGAAAAGGAGCGAAAGAGCACAAGGGAGCATCTGCCATTCTGAAAACTGTTGATAACGGGAATGTCGGTGCAGGTTTGTTGTATGATTTTCTCGTAAACAGGAGGTTGTTTGCAGCGTTGGATTAAACATACAATAATTAAATGAGTGAACCTTGGAACTTGGAAGCTACCTAGGTACCTACCTACGAGTAGGTAATGTTGGTAAATGTAACGTCAGATTGCCCCATGCAGGCCTCAGAAAGCAGACAGATATCCTATAGGAATAATTTTATTCCATTATGGAGCTTAAATCCCAAATTTCTAAATTGTGAGAGATACTACTAGTGCCCTTGGTATTAATTTTATAGGCAGAGTTGGGTAGTCCGAAAATAGACATCACCATATTCCCCTCCTCGACCAAACTTCAAAAGGACTTTCGGGAAGTTCAGTTTGCCCGCTCGAACCTATCACATAGTTCTTGCACTACGGAGTTTTCAGGCATTTCGCCCATCTCGTAACCCTCATATCAACAAGGGTTGCATTGGGCCAAGCGAGGGTCACGGGTGCTCTGAGCTCCCATTATTGAGCTGAGGATTTCTTTGTTCCCTGGGCCCAAATCGCACAATACTAATAAACTTCACGCTTCGACATTAGTGGCTGATTCAGTCAGCTATGAGTCAAACAAATAATGACACCTGCATCCTTTGCATAACCCTTTTGCGTCTCTACACCTGCCCTCAACCACATCATTCACGACAAATACGCGTATGATTCACACTGTCTTATTGCATACCTGTTGAGCTGTACTCCTTTAACTTCGACCCGCACCTCATTCAAAGCAATCATTCCGCAAGCGAGAGGACCAATTAAAGTGTCAAAGACTCGGGCAGAAGTTCAACCTGGGTTCCAGACTTCCTTAGCGCCGGCTCGGACATTTCGGCCGAAGCTTTTCTGCCCGAGCGCTGGCTGTCAACAAGGGTCCTGTCAGTGAATAGAAATACGACTTCGAAGCCCGTCTTCTGTGTTCGCAACCTCACTCGCCTAACTCACTTATATCGAGCATCGAGATATTCAGACATCATGCTTGCCGCCGATTCGAAGTCCAACATGGACGCGTCTACGCTGAAAAGTGGCACTCCGAGTTTCGACGAGAAACGTGCCGAGAAGGCTGATGAGACAAGGCTAGGCTCGAGCGATTCGACAGTCCCTTCGACGAAAGAGACCGAGCCAGAGCCAACTAGTAGTAGCCATGGAGGAGACCTGAGCAAGGTCGTTTCAGTGAAGTCTGCAAAAGAGGTTACCGAGGAGTTGAACAGGATTATGACAAGTGGAGAGGGTGTGGAGTATCCTACAGGAGCGAAACTTGGTCTGATATCGCTTGCTCTCTGTAAGTATCTCGAAGTCTTTCCAAAGCCTGGCTGGCCCTGTTATGCGTAGGAAGCTCGTGCTAACTGTTCAACCAGGTCTGTCTGTCTTTTTAATGGCTCTGGACAACACCATCATCGCCACGGCTATTCCAGCAATCACGGATCAGTTTGAAAGTCTTCCAGATGTCGGGTGGTATGGTAGCGCCTACCTTTTGACGACCGCGTCGTTCCAACTTCTCTTTGGAAAGTTCTACACCTATTTCTCTCTGAAATGGGTCTACCTGATCGCCATTGGCATCTTCGAGCTTGGAAGTCTTCTGTGTGGTGTTGCGCCAAATTCGACAGCATTGATCGTCGGTCGAGCAATTGCTGGTGTGGGATCGGCTGGAATCTTCTCAGGAGCACTCATCATCGTCGCTTTCTCGGTACCTCTGGCAAAGAGACCAATGTATACCGGGTTTATTGGAGCCATGTACGGTATTGCAAGTGTCGCGGGACCTTTACTCGGAGGCGCATTTACGGATAAGGTTTCTTGGAGATGGTGTTTTTATATCAATCGTAAGAGTTCCAGTCCCTAGCCAAAATCGTCACCCCGGCCTTTACGAAGTGGTGTCCAGCTCGATCAATACTAACATTAGTGTCCAGTGCCTATCGGTGCCATCACGGTCGTCATCATCATGATTTTCTTCCAAAACCCTGAGCGAGCAGCCGTTGCAGATCTTGGATGGAAAGCACGTATCAAGGAGTTCGATTTGGAAGGCACCGCTGTTTTCATGCCAGCTATCATATGCCTTCTTCTCGCCTTACAGTGGGGTGGAACCAAGTATCCTTGGGGATCTGGAAGGATTATCGCTCTTCTCGTACTGTTCGGTATTCTGATTTCCATTTTCATTGGCATTCAATTTTGGAAACAAGACTCTGCCACTGTTCCACCCAAAATCATGAAACAACGAACCATGTGGGCTGCATCATGGTTCTCATTCTGCCTGGGAGCTGCCTTTCTCTTGCTTCTCTACTACCTTCCTCTCGTAAGTACAGCCGATGCTTGTTTGTTTTTACGATTCTGACAAAACAATAGTGGTTCCAAGCTGTCAAGGGTGCTTCGGCCGTAAAATCTGGCATCATGAATATTCCAATGGTAAGACATCATCTCACCCTTCACATAACTGCCGTGACAACAAACTGATCTTCCTAGGTTATGACCTTGGTTATCACATCCATATTCGCTGGAGTTGGAGTTACTGTCGTCGGATATTATGCTCCATTAATGATCGTTTCCTCCGTTATCGCTGCAATTGGTTGCGGTCTACTCTCAACCCTTAAACCAGATTCTTACCACGGTTACTGGATTGGGTACCAAGCTTTGACTGGAATCGGAATTGGTCTGGGAATGCAGCAGCCGCTGATCGCTGTTCAGACCGTCCTCGATATTTCTCTCGTCCCGATCGGTACTTCGGTCATTGTTTTTGTCCAAACACTAGGAGGAGCCTTATTCGTCTCTATCGGCCAGAGTGTTTTTACCAACAAGCTCTCGGATGGACTAGTCAAATACGCTCCATCTGTTGATCCCAAAGTCATTCTTGCAACCGGAGCTACTGCCATTCAGAAAACGATCGATAAATCAGTTCTTCCAGGCGTCACGATTGCGTATAATGATGCTCTCACGCAAGCATTCTTAGTCAGTGCCGTTATGGCAGCTCTGACGATCATTGGGTCTGCCGCAGTCGAATGGAAGTCTGTGAAAGGAAAGAAGATTGAAATGGCCGCAGCATAGAACTCCGTGTGGGGGAAGAACACCTCTCGCGGAAGGCGTCTTGTAACAAAACTTATCAAGCGATGAATCATTTTCGACATCGTCACTTAGCATGGCGGAGTTCTTGCAGCATATACCCAATCGGCGTTATCGGATACGGCATAACATTGCACACAAAATATCTCTTATTAATATTTCAATTGTACAGTACGTACCTACAGTAGAATATAGCTTCTACGCTGCATTTTCTTTACAGCTTTGCATAACATTGGGAGGGGGAGATTCGGAATGGATAGATGGAGAGCGGAAAACGCCACTTCTTGTGTGTGATAGATTCTAGCTTAGCTAGGAATGATATAGCTATATTAATAATAGATCCATATGCTCCAAAAATTTGCCATACTATGAAGTGTATTAACGAGAAATCTCTGAGGTCTTCGCGCAACTCCATCATGGTGTCTGGTCCCGACCCAAAATTAGTTGCAACGAAGAAGGGTACTCACGACATTCAACTCTCACCCTTTGCGGCAAAACTTCAGTGACCACAAATACACTCTTCTTCATATTTACATTCGAAGAAAAGCTCAGAAGACTCTGTTTGGCAATGTCACCTCGCCCTCTTATCGCCTCGCGTAAAACAGGGGGTCGCTAAGCGACATCTTCTATCCACCCTAAACACCATTCTATCCCAAACAAAAACGTATCAAAAATTCATTCATTAGTGTTTCTCCTTCTACTTACTGTCCTTCTCTGTCTTAACATTCAGAAATTGTACCCAACAGCTCGTAGCATCTAAAATCCCCCTGTGGATACGAAGTGACGCTGAGGCAGAATGACACTCGGACCAAAAAATCAAAAGACATACAACAGTAGGTATTCGCTGGTGGTCACCCACCCAACTACTAATCTACCGATCTGAAGCTTGAGTTTGGCAGAGCGGACGGGATGCCCTATGCTCTTCAGTCTATGGTCGTATGTGATAGAGATGCTGTGGTGGGGGGTTATATTGCTGTGGATTCTGTTGGATTTGCGGGGTTTTGGAATTGAAGAACTGTAGAACATGATGAGATTTGTGGATATGGGGGGTCCTGGAGTCTAGAAACTAGTTTGAAAAAAATCTATGATTGCTGGGTATTTAGTAGTTAGATATTGTAGCTCTCAATAGAGGATTGAGCCGACACTGCAGGCAATAAGAACCAAGAAATTGTGCTCGTCTCAGATCTCGTTAGTGGATTTCGCACAATTAAATAAGATGGTAATTAAACCTTTCAAACTTGAGAGATTATGCGGTCTTCTGATTCAATTCTATGGAGCAGATAATGAATGGGCGTCCGAAGGTAAGGTCAGTAAAATTAGACTCGTTAGAAATATCGACTTCTGAGTAATTCATTAGCGGCTAAGTTTACCTCGTCGTTTTCTTGATTTTCTGATTCATAAACAAAGTAAATGCATCGAATCTAGATCGCTAATCAAAGAGCAGTTCTTCCAACCTTCGCTTGGTCCATATGACACGCACCCATCTCCGCATACAAAATCATGCCCCAATCTATAAAAGCTTGTTATCTAGCCACTCTCTGTGATTCTTTTTTCAAAGCAGGATTTGTTCACCATTCAGTGGATCAATAACAAACGTCCTGATCCCCATGCCCCCGCGACCACCAGATTTCTTGGTAACCTCCCGCTTCCACCACAACTTCCCAGCCAATCTCATGAGCTCGAGCTCAAATGCTGGACAAGTCTTTAACTCCTTCTCATACATAAAATGGTTACCAGCGAATGCTATACGATGGGCCTCGTCTCTGTAGCTATCGTCGTCGGAAGAGGAGGATGAAAATGATGCGGTCATCTCTCGATGATTCGGGTCGATTCTGAACTCTAAGTAAGGCTTAACGGCGGCCTGAACGAAGAGCTCTTGGATAGGATGTGGCGATACTAGTGTTTGAACATCTCGGATGTGAGAGGGTTTGAGGACCGATCGCTGCTTAATGAGAAGTGGCTTAAGATGATTGACCATGTCACTTCCGAGGCCACGAAGACCGTATTTTTTGGCGAATAGAACAAGGGACATGATGAGGTCGAATTGCTTTGACCGGGTCTGATAGTGAAGCGTGTCTATTTCGATGTTCTTACAGACCGACCACTGAATAGCTAACTCAAAAAGGTCTTCTAGATCACTACCAAGTTCTACTCTCAACGAGTCTTTATTGTCGATGATTCTAAGTTTCGGGAGAGTTGTTTCTATAAAAGGGCGAGGGAATTTACACCGATGGACTTTATTGCCTAAATGAACGGCGACGCCGGTTTTATGGGAGGAGTAAAATTTACTGTCCTAGTTTTAGCGTTTATCCTGGAGTTCGTTATAAGTGGTATACTCACCGAACCCATTCCGTTGCCGTCTCTAATTTAGGAGCTAGCTCATTTCTTTTTCGCTTTCTCAATATTGAAAAATCCTAAATTAGTCAGCTTCGTACCCTTCTAATTATAGTTAGTTTAAGAATAAACAACTTACTGGAACTTCCAGCTCCGAAACGGCACGTTTCTTCTGTGCTCTCGCAATTTGGAGCTCTTCTTCCCGGGATAACGATGTGTCGAATGACAGGCCTGTTTGAGTGGGTTTGACAATATTGTTTTCGTGGGTTATTGTAGAGTCATCCTGTGAGGTATCACTGATCAATTCTTTTAGATGCTGAAATTCTAATAGTTCGAAGGCCCTCTCGATATTTTGATCGCAAATTTGAAGTGCCCGTCGACACTCGTCTTGGTCTGCACAAGGAAATAAGGTCCTTAAAGTATCCAGTGGTGTTTCGACAGTCGTGGGAATGATCTTATCACTATCCGGAATCACCTCTTGAGCTTTGCGAGCTGTCTTGTCAACAATTGTAGGAGGATTGACTTTAGTTTGTGTGGATGATGGCAAGAGCCTGTCTAGTATTTCGAACTCTAGAGGTTCTGATTTTATGTTTAGACTGGTTGATGCCTCTTCTTTAACTTCGGTATCAGTAGCGAATTGAAACTTAAGTGGCTGTCGGAACGCAGGATTTGACAAACTATTTTCTGCTATCTTACACGGTTGAGTAGAAATTGACAATGGTTTGCCGCCAAGATTGGTACCATCGCCACCGAGGACTGCTGAGTTTCCCTGGTCATTGAGTAAATAATTGATTGCTCTTTCAACATCATCACTTGCCGCATCTAAGGCCATTTCCAACGTTGTCTGGTTGTGTTGTGGAAAACACTCTTTCAACTGTGAGAAAGGTGACATCTTGAGATTGGAAGGTGAGCGCGATGACGAGCGCGATGATTGATACGACGGTGGGGTGACTTTGACGAGGATGATGAGAAAGGTATGGCTAGAGTGATCAAGAGAAAACTAGAACTGAAATTGTTAGAAGATTAGTGATGGAGATGATGAAGATGATGAAAATTGAAAGGAAGAATACTCGCGAACAGAAAATGATACTTTTGATGTCAATGACGAGAATCTAAAGAAAGTGCGACTGACTAAATACGAGATTCAATGGGTTGATCGATCCGCCTCCGAATACACTGATATGGATACCTCGAGAAGAAGGATAATGTAAGTTCATACATCTAGAAACAAATCAAAAACCACTCGCGAGCTTCCAATTTCGAAACTGAATATTCCTAAGATCGAAAGGGAGGGTTGAGGTAAAACAATCTACGCCAGTGAAGAAATCCCGATGTGCCATGCAATTAACATATAATAAATGTTCTAGAGGTGAACAACGTCAGGTCTTCCGCCATACAGTTTTGCTGAAAGGTACATTTTCGAAGCTCAGATAGCTGTCCCGATTGTTCTCCTGTATTTAGTCAAGTGAAGTATAGTATTTTTAAATATGGTGCCAAACGATCTTGACGCTTATGGTTAGGCACCAAATCTACTGACTGCTGCATAGTACACTCAAGCTATACCATAGACGCGCATGTGGATAAGTCGTCAAAGCTTCGACATGGAAGACGTGAGACCATTACAGCCCTTGTGTTGCGGGAACAAGTCGAACTATAACAGTCCAAATGCGAAAAAGCCCAGAGTCCTTGCTGATCGTTCAACAGCGGTCAGCCACATAGGCAGAAAAGGCTTTGACGGCGAGGATGGTAAGCTTAAGAACGTCAGGCGCGACTGAACTTCAAGTGGCATGGTAGATAATTCCTAGACTACTATATTGAATGTGGCAAACTTGGGCGATCTGCTGATAGGATCCGTCTCCAAACCCTGGCGCTCTTTTCTAATTAGCGAATTCGAGCAAGATAAAAGTGGCCTAAACTGCCCACGTGGCAACCCAACTCTCTGTTCAGAGTTCCTTGGGGAATAGCGATGGAGCAGGGCGTTTTTGGTTCTACGGTTGAGCCGATTTGTCCACCAAGCGGAAAGAAACAATTGAAAAGATTCAATTCAAGAGTATGAGGAATTCTTATACATAATATATTTTGAGGGTATTTATACTTTAGCGATCGCTACTCATCATACTAGGAGCATTGATCTTGGGACAATCTCTTGGTCCGTATCGTCCTCAAGAGCAAAACCAGTGCGCTGGTGAGTGATTCTCGAACATATCCTTCGTCACCATACTTTTCCCTTTCATCATGTTGTCTCATATCAAGCATGTCAAGCTCCGTCATCATCCAATGGCTCGACCCGTACTAGAATTTCTTCTAATAGGCCCTCAAGAAACACTTCTACACCATTGGCCATCCCAACTGGTTCTTGCTTGTCCCAATGGTCAATTTCCTTACAGACATGAGCCAACTTGTAAACTAGCTTTCGGATTTTCTCTTGGGCGGCTTGTGCTCGTTGTTGTTTTGGGGTCGTTCCAGTATGGTTGAAGGTTTGTTGCAATTGAATCTGCCGACGTTTTAAAGCTTCTTCAAGTGCTGGAAAGATCACGCCATTCAAAGCGTCCAGCTCATCAACGGGGCCATTTGGTGATGGTGAGGGCATGGTCGTCGGAGTCCGCGCTCCTTCACCCGATGTGTCGCGTGAAGGCGTGGTATCGCGTAATTTTGATGGGAGAGATGGAAGGGGTTGATTCCCGGTGTGGCGAGGGTTAACATTCTGTGAACCTGACTGTGGTGTTGCCGCTGGCATTGACGGTTTAAGATTTGCTGGACTCGGCTGATTTGTGACCTGCTGAAGAGCGTGAGGACTTCCCCGAAAAGGAGGTATTTCAGGTAGTGTTATTGGTCCAAGTCTCGGTAGTGGTTGCTGTGATGGGGGTCTCTGAAATCCCGAGAGTTGCTGGGGACTCGTGGGATGCAGTGGTATTTGTGAGGTTTGCGATCTTGAAATTTGCGGAGGAGGTGTTTCACTGATCTTCAAGAAACTCATATCACGTTGAAGTTGCTCCTGCAATGACCGATCATAATCTGGCGATTCGCTCTGTAGCGGCTGCAGATGCTGTGGTGCTCGAGGCATGTCTGGTATTTCGCGACGAAGCTTTTCTGGTGAAGGAGGTAATGGTACCTTGGATGGTGACTGTTGCAAATCGGGAACCGGACGCCTTTGTGGTGATGGTTGGCGCGGTTGGCTAGTATTTGGCTGATTCATACCTTTAATTGTATCAACATTAGATACGTATCCTGAATCTTTGGTCTTAGTTGGTGATATGCTTCTTGGTCGTTCTTCGTAGTCATCTTCGTTCTCGGAATTTCTGGTAGATCTTGCATTTGTCGCTGATTCCCCCATGGCGTTGAGACCTGCTCTTCCACCGCCTCTAGCACCACCCATTGGTCTCACAGTACCAAAATCCCAAAGATCTTCATTGACTGGCATTTGACGCGGAAGCTCCTCTCGTCCGTCATCTGAGTCGTCGTCGTCTGACTTATGATGAATCGCCCACCTTTCGAATCTCTCTATTAATTCAGTAAGATATGAAGTTTTCTTCGCTCTGCGTACAAAGGGATGCTTTAGCAGTTCTTTGGCAGAAGGCCGTTTTCGAGGGTCTTTCTGGAGACAGAGCTCCACGAATTCTTTGAAGGCCTTAGAGAAATTACCCTCCAATTCTGGGGCTGGGTTCTTGGGGATCAGAAATAAAACTTTCATAGGATGTATATCCGAATATGGTGGTTCTCCGTTGGCCAGTTCCAATGCTGTAATTCCCAATGACCAAATGTCCGCTTTGTGATCATATCCGGATTGCTTAATAACTTCTGGAGCCATCCAGAAAGGTGTACCAACGAACGTGTTTTTTTTCGTCATGGTTGCTGAAAGTTGCCCTGAAACGCCGAAGTCTGCAAGCTTGACTTGCCCATTTGCGCCCAGAAGGACATTGGCAGCTGTGACACAAATTAGACGGAGTAAAGAAACTACTGCGCTCATACTTACCCTTGATATCCCTATGTAACTTTTTATCTCCATGCAAATATTCAAGACCCAACAGCAATTCCCTTATAATTATCGAAATGTATTCTTCTCCAATTAATCCTGGCTTCATCAAGTCCCCACAACTCCCCCCCGAGCAGAATTCCATTACAATCCACAAGTCCGAGCCTTTCAAGTACGATCCATAGTAATGTGTAACATAGGGCGAGTGCAGTTCTGAAAGGATGGAGATCTCCTGTATGATATCTTCCACCTCGTCCTCGGCGTTTTCGACATCGATAACTTTGATCGCGACGGCCTGTCCGGTACGTTTATCGACCCTGGTAAATTGTCAGATTGATACATGGTTGTAAAAGGGATAATAGAGTGGCGTACCCTTTATAGACTTTACCAAAACTTCCACCACCTCAACAGAGTGAGCAGGGAAAGAAAGCGTGCAAGAGTATGTCCACAGCTTACCTATGCAATTTTGTTTTGTATATAACGTCTCTGGATCCACCACACCACCCGTATCGCCGCCCTCACTTGACATTGTGCAGCTGGCTTCCAACACGGTCAAATCGCTGAGCTGTGAATTGAGAGATGATGTGACCTCGGTCGAGGTTGATGGAGGTGTAAGGGACCCGAGCTTCGGATGGCCGCGATTCACCGATGAGCTGCTGGGCACTACCTCGATTGAAAAGTTATATTTCCGTGTTGCTTCTGGACAATGGATGATGTATCTCGAAGACTCGGTCGTGGCGCGGACTGGCTGACACTCGTGAACGTGGTGATGGCGGGGTTGAAACTATGATAACTTTGACGCCGGATCGATATTGTTTGTATGTGACTGTTATTGGGATCCAAAGGGCTATTTTCTGATGAAGGGTTTAACACAAGAAAGGGGGGCAAGAGAAGTTGTGTTGTGAGATTTTTGGGGCTCGATCTTCGGGAGCTTGTCCAGGTATGAGCGCTGTTGCTCAGCATGGGCAAAAGAATGCAGGAACGACCCGGCAGATGTGTTGTTTCATGAATCTCTGGGGATGGCGCACCATTGGTGCAAAAGTTTCAGCAACTAAGGCAGTTGATAATTACAATGTGCAATAGGCTTATGAGAGTTTTAAACATTCGCCTGTAGCATTCGGAAATTTATTGACGGCATGTTTGTTGTCATTTGGATGCTGCTTCCCCTCATCCAATCACCGTCACAGGGCGGTGAGTAATTGGCTGGCTTCCAAGGGTCGAAATCAACAGCAATCCGTGCAAGCGAATCAGATATTCAGCCGGGCAACTAAGTACTTTCGAGACTGTAAGTTACGGCGTCTAATTAGGGGTTTCTTTTACTACGACGTGTCACAAAGCGGCAGCAGATGTTTCCATAATTATTATTCGTCTACTTTCCTCTCAGTTGTCTATGCTCGAAGCATGATTTCTAATGACGTTCTGATCGTCTAGATGCAATAAGGTGCTCAGCCATATGAAAGTGAGAGTGTACCTATTTTCGTCCTCCCCAGAACGACACGACCTTTGGAGGCTAAGCTTTAGAATTATGCATAGCGTTACGAAGACGCCGTGGTATGTAGGTAACAAAAGCAGCATGACGAACAACGAACGGAAGTCTCAATCCTCCAGGTATTCTACCATGATCGTACCCATCTTTAGGCCTGCAGAATCGATCGTCTCGTTGAGCTGTTCCCCGAGGTCTTTTCCAGCGGGCATGGCTCGAAGATCAAAGGGAACTCCAACCTTGCCATCCAGTGGTTCTGCTTTAAGCCATTCGAAGAGTCGTTCTACCGGATCAGTAATCTTAAACTTCCGCACAACCCGTCCGTTGGAGTGCCTAAATTGAATACGGGTAACATCAGGCCCAGGGTCAGGCTCTGTGTGAGCGTTGCTAGACGAGATCTTGGAATATGTATTGGGGACGATGGTTTCCGTGTCGTTGCCAGTGGCCTCCAATTCTGTATCCTCATCGGTTGCCCTTCCTTTGCCCTTGCTCAAGTCGCCAAAACTCTTCGTAAGCTCATCGGGGTCGTTTTCCTTTGGCCCAGATGCTGCACCACTCCCCAAACTGTTTTGCAGGGCCAAATCGAGCATCTCGTCCTCTGTTAGTCGATCGACGTCTACAGCTTTCGGTTTCTCTTCCTTTCGCCTAGCCACAGGGTTCTTCTTCGAAAGATCTAGGCTATATCGGTCAAGAAATTCAATAAGCTGCATAAGGAAATCTGGTGCTTTAGGTACGGGTGGCCCGGACCAGACTTTGACCTGCTCTCCTGTTCGTGGATCGACAATGGCGATATGTGGATAAGCACTTTGGCTATCAGAGGCCTGGAAATAGTATTGTATATATGTTGCCCCCCGGGTGTCGTCTTTGTTGAATTGCATGAACAAGAAGTTCTCTTTAACCACCTCTTTGATGCCTTGATCTTTCCATATATCTCGATTTAGTTGTTGGCAGTCGAAGATAGAAGCATCTTGGATATTGACCAAAATCCATTTTTCTTCTTCCTTGCCTAATTCTCGCGCCGCGTCCCAGGACATTTGTCTCATAATCTCGAATGGTGGTCTGTATAATTCAGCTAGACGTGCTGTCTTCGACGAGGAATCTGAAGCCCCTCCCGTAGCTTGGGACAAACCCTCGCGCCGTGTTGCTGGGTCGGCAGATTCATCCCATATAGAGGAAACGGCGCGCTGATTAAACACACCAGCTCTCGCTGTTAGGAGGTGATCATTAGCACACGTCAATCAGAATCCACTGCGACAAGACTTACGAGCCGATCTGTTTTGCCGCATCCTCATTTGTTGCGCAATAGCTGCTTCCATATCCTCGTGGCCCCAGGGCCCATCTGACCCCCCAACGAGTGTTTCCGTTGTTCGCGCGATAGGTGCCCTCACATCATCGCCGCCAAGACCACCAGCAGCATCTCCACCAGCATACATCTCTTCTTGCATTCTCCTGGCCATAGCCTCATCGTCTTCGAGATCTGCCGCTCGCCCAAGAGCTGCCGCATGTTCGTTTTCGTCGAATTCGGGTAAGTCATCCTCGTCGTCATCATCATCAAGATCTATTGTCCTTGAAGCACTTTGTGATTCGTTATGATTGACTCCTCTGGGCCGAGACGCTGACGGTATTGGAGGCGCGGAGGAGGATGCGGCTTGATCGACACCAGATGCCAAATCCGGAGAATCAAAGAATAGTGCGATTGCCTGTTGGGCATCGTTTTCTGTCATTTCCAGATACCGCCTTGCCACTGGGTCAATAGCCCCAGTGACCATCTTGAATGTTTCCACAGCGTCATCCATGACTGGCAAATTATTTGACAGTCTCAAATTCTCTTCTTCTTTGGAGGAAGCCTGGCGTGCCGATCAGACTTTATACAGTGTTTGTGAGGCCGCGGAAGTTGGGTGGCCGCTAAGGTGGTGAGTGTTGCCGATTCGATTTCGTGCTCGCAGTGAATGTTTGTCGGATGCTTCACAAGTTCCAGAGACGATGGTTTTATGCTGAAGATTCAGTATCGGGTGGTATGAGTTAGCGCTCTTGGTAGGCGGCTTCTGACATGATTAATGATAGATCATGTCTAGATTTTCTGTGAGGCAGAGAGACTGACGTTATAGCATTTCCCGCGGTTCTACTTAGCCCACGCCCGATAAGCAAATGGGGAAGCTTATCGGCTTAGTCACATGACCTGATATTCTCCATTGTACCTACCTACCTAGGTAGGTAGCGTCCAGGCTGAAGTCATAATGTGCTATATGACCAAATTTCTTTTCAAGTCGGTCATCTACAGACATAGTTTCTTTTCAGGGACCCGTATAGCAGGATGTGTAGGCCTGCGATATTTGACATGAAGTTGTTAGAATAAACTTTACAATCCTACCTGAAGTTTTCCTCCGCAGCTTGCGGCTCGTTAGTTGGGAAGACGAGAACTATATGTATTAGGCTGGGAGAATGAGTGGACGTTCTGGGTACTAGGGAAACAGGGCTCGCGAGTTTTAAAGTAGCGGGATTTTTTTGGGTAATCTACTACACACGGGTACTGCAGAGTCCGTTTGTAGATTGCTTTCGGAGGACGCGGCCTTACTGATCTTTGGTTCTGATAAGATATTGACAGTGAATAGACTGCCAGTACACTACTCTGCAATTCCTGTTATATGAGGGGTAAATCAGCGGAAGTCGAGAGGCAAATATGTATTAAATATTTACTTCTCCGAGATGAGACTACAGATGCCTTTCGTCGATGTTAGTCACCTGACAAGGTCTGTGCTTCTCTATCACGACTGTGAGCTCGGATTCTCATGAAGGCAACGAAGGACACGCAAGAAAAGACGATTCGTGATGTTGCCTGCTCAGCGTCATGATCACTTTCGTTAATCTTTGCTTGTTCATTTCATAAATGCTGATATGTAAATCGTCAAGTCGATTGCCGACGCACTCCGACCCAACTTCGAAATGTCTAACGCCACGGAAGCCAGAGAGCTTGAGCTCTGCGGAAAGGTAGAAATGAGAATCGCACTCGCCGAAGACAGTAAATTACAAGCGCTTCTTACCACTTACCTCCCACCTCTACTTCTTAAGTTAGGTAGTGAGCACGCCTCGGTGCGTAATAAGGTTATTTCGACATGTCAGCATATCAAAATTCGACTAGCTGGGAACCAGTAAGCTGCTACTTCTCATGTCTTGATATGCTCTTAACATTATGTCCAGGAGCATCGTTTTGCCAGTTGCAAAACTTTTAGCCCAATACAAGGAGAACCCAAATGTCTCCATGATTCGTCATTTCGATCTCATGTTCATCCAACAGTCTATAGGCAAGCTGTCGTCGACAGTAAGTGATCCTGCGGCTATGGTTCGTTCAAATGGCAGGCTGATTGAAGTTTAGGAGCAAATGAGTTTGCTTCCAGTTTTATTGCATGGCCTTGCAAACGATGCGGGCAAGCCGACCTGTGCCACTATTTTCAATCTTTTCCTGCGTTTGCTCCCACAGTTGCGAATTCCACTACGTGGTAGCAAAGAAGACAACGAATTAAGGAGCGAGATTGGGCTGGATGATCATGTACAAGACGCGAAGTTTGTGGCTCTCTGGTTCAGTAAATTGATACTCCTCACCATTGTTCGGTCTTCCCCTTCCGGTGTCACCTGCCCTGGGTTGACGGCCTCAGAGTACGAGTTTCTCACTCTGAATGGCAAGTCGGAGACTTGGGATCCAACTGCCGAAGAAGGGCTGAGTCTAATCCAAACAAAGATTGTAGTCCTCGCTTTTCTTTCCAGTGGCGCTTTCACTGATGAGGAGCGTTTTCTGCCCGCGTTGTTCGCTTCTGGGGACACAAATTCCCGTATTTCAAGTGCTGGAGAGGACATGCTCAAGAGATCTAGTGTTTCTCTTGAGGATTCCGAGTTAATTGCGACCCTACTCAACACGTACTTTACACTAAAGCCAGCTCTACAAACAAGGATACTTGTGTTGCTGAGTAAATCCGCAGTATCCACCACTTTTCCACATCAGGTCATCAAAATAGTGCAACAAGCTATTCGACCCGATGACAGCATCAATGTTCCGGCAAAAGGTCTTGAGACAATGAAATTTCGGAATGCACTGTTCAACTATATGAATTGGGTTTCCAAAGTCGCATCCGCCACAGACATTGCCCAGGTCGCCCCTTCACTCGTCGGCTTTCTCAGAAGCTACATCGAAGACCAAGGCTGGCCTGTTCCTCATGATAAAGCAGACAATGAAGCAGTGGCGCTTCGAGCTTTAGCCTATGAGACTATTGGATCACTTGCAAAGACCACACCCTCCATAGCACTAGAAAAGGATCTTTCACTAGTAAGGTGGCTTTTTCGATCATTGACAGAAGAAGAGTCGTCAGGCACGATCTTTGTCAGCATTGAAGGATCTCTATCAAGCTTGCTCAATGTATTTTCCACGCCATTGGATCCAGAGCTCATTCCCCAGTTGCGCGGTCTGTTACTAAGATATATGAATCTCTCGGATGAAGAGGTTGTCAGAAGTGCCCGCTTTTCGACCGCAAGGTGGGCTAATCGATGTCTGGAGTATAGCGATATTGTGGCAAGATGGATAGATATATTAGCATTGGGAGGACGTAAGGATGAGCGAAGCGATGTGGTGGAAGAAGGGAAGAAAGGACTAGTAGGTGTTGATCTTCTTCCATGCTGCAATTCGGAAAGCTAACGACACAGGACCCTTATTGGTATCAGTTATTGAGTAGCAGTACATCAGCTGCTATGAGTGATTGTCCATTACCGAACTGGGGCGAGATGGTAAAAGTCTTTTTCACCGGTCAAAGTATCCTCGAGAATTCCGTGGAGTCAAACAGTATGAAAAGTGGTATGGAAGTTGATTCCGTATCGGTCTTTGGCAATTTTGCTGGAGAAAAAATAAACGCATTCGCGCCTGCTGTAAGCTACTGCCGGCGAATGCTTCTTCTTGGTGCGCTCAAAAATTCAGACATCTCTTTTGAAATTGATGCGGACTGGGAACGCCAATTGGACATCCTGTTTCGTTCCGATAAATCGTCTCGCAGCATTATGAAAGCCTACATCAAAACTATGCCCGAAGATGCACTGCAGATATACCTGTCAGCCGCGCTAGAAGGTATGCTTGGGAAAGAAGGTAACGGACTAGGAGATTGCGGGAAATGCTTGCTCGACATCCTGTCTCTGGCGCCTAGCAAAGTTGTTGGAAGCCAAGCTGAAAGAGCTGTTGAACTTTTACCATGTATCAAGTCCAACAACGCGGCTACTCGAGAAATATCTGCTCAAGTCTTTGGAATTCTCGCTGCCCATCCGACCACAATGATCGAATCAGTCGAGAAGGTAACTCGCTCACTGTTAGTGGAGATCAAATCTTGGTCGTCGGCAATTGGCGCGGAATTGAACAAAGTTTCAGGTGCTATACTTGCTATAGGATTTTTGACCAGCAGAATTGCGTTCTATGGTCGCTCAGATTCACTGAATGAAAACATGATACAAGAGTCGGTTGATACTCTTCTGTCCGTTCTTGCTGACGTAAGAGATGGCTCTACCAAGGAAGCTGTCCTTAATGCACTGGGCCAGATGAGTGCCTCTGGGATCTTGACCACTGAAAGAATCGACAAGTCGTCAATGACAGTGGACAGTCTAGTGGGGCTATTAGCCACGGAATCTAAAAAGGGCAACGAGAGGGCAATATCCGCACTTGGTCGACTATCTGTCGTGTTTGAAGATGAGTCGGAAACACTTCTTTCAATATTCACAACATTGTACGGACTTTTCGAGCTCAAACAGGCCGAAGTTCATTTCACTGTTGGCGAAGCTCTTAGTACTGCAAGTGCTTGTTGGCAATCAGAAGCACTCATTCTTAGCCTTGACGTCGATGCCGATTTCAAAGGACGACCTGGACGCTCATCTGCCATCGAGAGTGTTATTACTCGATTACTGAGGGACTGCAAAACGACCAAGCCGTCACTGAAGAAAGCTTCGGGAATATGGCTGTTCTCCGTCATATCTAACAATAGCCGCCATGATCAAGTGCAATCTCGCTTGAGAGAGTGCCAATCCGCATTTATGGGCCTCCTCTCCGCGCGGGACGACTTGGTACAGGAGACAGCTTCGCGAGGCCTCAGTCTTGTCTATGAGCAAGGCGATGCGGTCTTACGTAAACAACTTGTCAACGATCTCATGGCATCTTTCACTGGGACCACCACTCAACTTAAAGTTGACGAAGAGACCGAATTGTTCGAGCCCGGGGCGTTGCCCACTGGTGACAACAAGTCTGTTACTTCTTATAAGGACATTGTCTCTCTTGCGGATGAGCTTGGAAACCCCAGCCTAGTGTACAAGTTCATGGCATTGGCACAAAATGCTGCTACTTGGACTACTAGAGCAGCATTTGGCAGATTTGGTTTATCACAAATGCTCACGGATGAGTCTATTGTGGATGCTGCGCTCATCAAAAAGTTGTACCGGTATAAATTCGATCCCAACCCTAATGTCCAGCGGTCCATGAATGATATTTGGGGTGCACTTGTTAAGGACACCAGCAAAACCATTGACCTCTATTTTGACGACATACTCGCCGAGTTACTGAACAGTATACTGGCAAAAGAATGGAGGACCAGGCAAGCTAGCTGTGCAGCGATTGCGGACCTCGTGTCCGGGCGAGAATTCGAAAAGTATGAGAAACATTTGAGTGAGATCTGGTCCAAGAATTTCAAGGTTCTTGATGATATAAAGTTATCAGTGAGAGAAGCTGCACTCTCTCTGAGTATGTCGCTGACAGGAATTCTCGTCCGTCAAGTCGAGCAAGGCGCATCAGCGAAGGCCACATCAATGCTCAAGGAAGTTCTGCCATTCCTCCTTTCCGAACAGGGAATGGAAAGTTCGGCTGAGGAAGTTAGAGTGTTCGGAACCATTACTGTTTTGAAGCTAATAAAGAGCGGTGGCAAAGCATTGCTACCTTTTGTTCCCGATCTTGTCGAGAAGTTGATAGGTCTACTAAGTACCTTAGAAGGACAAGGAGTTGAATATGTGCGTCTGCGCGCAGCCCATTACAATCTCACAGAAGAGAAAATAGATAATGCCAGATCGACGGCTGTGTCGCAGTCACCAATCATGGAGGCCATTGAACGTTGTCTTGACATACTGGATGAAGCGTCCATGCAGGAACTTGTACCTCGGCTTGAGAATGCCATCAAAACGAGTCTTGGAATGCCTTCAAAAATTGGATGCGGTGGTGTTCTGGTCAGTCTCGCAACGCGGCATAGTTTTGTTTTCCGGCCGCACGCGGATGTGTTCCTGAAGTTACTAGAGAAAGCAGTTCTAGATCGAAATAACGCAGTTTCCGCTGGCTACGCCAGAGCTTGTGGGTATTTGACACGTCTGGCAAGCGATAATAGTGTCACGCGGCTGGCAACATACTCGAAAAAGCTATACTTTGATGCGGAAGATGAGACACGTCGGCAGATATCTGCTGATATCATCTACTCCGTATCGAAATTTGCAACTGATCGATTCAACGCCTATGCTTCCGCCTTCTTACCTTTTGTATTTTTCGCGAAACACGATTCCGATGACCACGTGAAAGAGCAATACGAAAAAACCTGGAGCGAAAACGTTGGTGGGTCTCGAGCTGTGCTTTTGTATTCAAAGGAGATCATTGATCTTGCCATCCTGAACCTTGATTCAGCGAAATGGACTATAAAGCACACCGCTGCATTATCTATCGCGGAAGTGGTCAGTTCTTCCGGGTCGGAAATAAGTCTGGTAAATGCTACTGAACTCTGGCCAGGACTAGAGAAGGCGCTGTCGTTAAAGACTTTTGACGGCAAGGAAGTTGTCCTAGAAGCATTCTTGAAATTTGTCAAAGGCGCGAAATCTCTGTGGCAAGGCAATCCAGCAGTGGCTTTGCAAATGAAGAAAATCGCTATCCGGGAGGCCAAGCGAAACAACGATAATTACAGACCCCACTCTTTCGATATCTTGGGCAAATATGCCGAGCTCAGAACGGACATTGATATGTTCACAGATGTGGAGAACACCGTTTTGGCAATAGTCGAAGAGGCTATAAGTGAGGACAAGATGGACATAGATGAGGACACAAAGAGTGGGAAAAAGGACGACTTGTTGATTGCGAATGGCCTATCTGCTCTGTTTCGTGCTGTCAACGTGCGCCATAAAGAGTCACTTCCAGCATCTCACTTGCCTGCACTGCTGGGAATTTCCACCAAAATCCACAAGTCAAGTAAGATAACCGCGGCAACGAAGGTAGCATTCTACGAGCGAATGAAAGCACTTTTTGAGGGCTTGAGCGAACAAGGAGCCAGGTCAAGCGATTCGCAATATCAGTTAGCTACCGAATTCTTTGAGCTATTGGAAATCCCAAGTGGTTCAGGCACGGAAGTTATGCGAACCAAGAGGGGAGAAGCTGCTTGTTCGCTCGCTCGAGCCGTTGACGAGGATATATTTGGTGATGTGGAGGAAGACAGAAGCCTGTGTAAGAAGGCAATAAGAACATATCTGATTGAGGGTTTGAGAGTCGAGAGGAGTCCGCAAGTCAAGGCCACCTTTGAGAAGGCGATGAAAAACTTAGACGGATAAGCGGCCAAAAAACCCACATCAAAGAACGGAAGAAAAAGTTCACAGTACAATTTATAACCAGAATGTTTGTGACTTTCCCACAAGCAAGAAATAAAAAAGATAATGTATATTACAATAAGGCGTACTCCGTCCTACTCCAGTTGGATCCTGAGCAACCAGTGAATATATCCGGCCGTCAGATTTCTACATTCACCCTTCGAGGCTTTGGTCAACGAGACAGAAGTGAGAAAATCATGTGAATGCAACACTTCCTCACAAGCCGAATATTTGCCTGTAGACCCCTCAATGATGTATACGCCCCCGAAGAGATTATAATACCACTCTTGGCCTTTCCGAATGCAGTTAGAGGCTCGTCTCCCACACCCACCAAAAATTGTTCTATACTCATGCAAATCGCGAATCGCAAGACCCAAAAGCCGCTGTTGTCGTCCAAATTCCCCGCCAACAATAAGAAATCAAGCCCCAATCATGCAGTACTGTTTTGTCGAAGGCAGCTTTGCTGATTTGGCACGAGACCTGGCGGAATACCTACATATCACCGCCGAAGTCGAACCCCTCCTCGAGGCAAATTCCAAGGATGAAGTTCTTAAGAAGCTTGTGACGGCTTCCGCTGGATTGAACTCCTACCCCGAGAAGGAATTTACGGCTGCTTATAACCTTTTGGTATATCTGGTCATGCAATCACCAAACGTCAACATGTTTTTGCCCCGCATGTGCGGTAATCTTTCGAATACCAAATCTTTCAGCTCAGCCAACGGGACCGGTCTTGCGCTGAACGTCCTTACAACAATTTTTAACCTTTTGTCGGCAGACAACGAAGTTAGATTCGACGTGTTTCAAGCTATCCTTAAGAATGTCAAGGGTACAATATCTTTCGAGACACTGCGCCCACAGTTGAAGAAATTGGATCAATGGGTTGAAGAATGGGATCTGGATGAGGAAGAGCAAAGAAAACTTTTTGCGCTTATAGTAGCAGTCGCGGACGACGCTGGCGAAGCAACGTAGGTGCCTTGGTTGGTTTTGTTCTGCTTGAATGTGACTAATTGTACCCGGATAGAGAGTCATACCAGTACACCTTAAAATCGCTTCGCACATTTCCTTCGGCCGAGGTTTCGAGCCCCGATGCGCAAGAGCTTTCTCTGAAGGCTTTGAAGGCAGCTCTACTTTCCCCTACTCACTTCGACTTTCACGATCTCACTTCTCTACCAACCATCCAAGCACTCTCCGATTCCCACCCAGAGTATTCCGAATTACTCGAGATATTCTCTGAGAAGGAGCTTGAAGACTACAACGATTTCCGAGATGAGAACGAGGAGTGGTTGGAGAAGCAGGACCTGGATAACAGTACCCTTCACCGAAAAATGAGGCTTTTAACACTTGCAAGTGTAGCCGCAAGTACAAACAGCAAAGAGCTCGAATACAAGCGAATTGCGAAGGCTTTGCAGATTCCAGTCGAGGATGTCGAGATGTGGGTTATCGATGTTATCCGCGCCAAATTGATTGAAGGAAAAATGTCGCAACAGAAGCAATTATTCCTTGTTCACCGAACTACGTATCGCGTTTTTGGCGAAAAACAGTGGCGGGAGGTTGCTACCAGACTCGACCAGTGGAGAACAAGCTTGAGGGATGTCAAAGGAGTCATCAATAGGGAGAGACAGCAAGCCGAGGCCCAAAAAGAACGCGAAATGCACGATATGGAGCGGAAGGTCGCTGGGGCCGGTATGGGATCAGGGCGGCGAATGGGTGGGCGGGATAATATGGTCGAAATGGGTACCGATTGAGGCGTTTATGGTAGAGAGGACCATTTCCTCGATTCGGATTTCCTGACGTTGTTCTCGATAATATCAAAAGCCATTACCGCCCGGCGTTAACGGATGTATATTTGTTGCATAGCATCTGGCATGATGCGGGATTCATTTCTCTGGATTTTCATGAGATGAAGAAGACATGAACGATATGTGTTCCTGTGGCTCTAATAGAGACGAGGGAATAGATGAATACAATAGATTACAAGAAAACGCTTCGGTATATCTATAACACAAATGAAAACGCAGTCAATGCGTGATTGTCTCCCTGCCAGATCACACTTCTCCTTTCTCTGTGTATCCCTTGATCCAGCAATTCTACACGTCTAAAACTCCTTTCCCAACCGCTGCTCTAGTTTCCCTCTCGTCTCTTTGTACACGGCCTCCGGCGTCTGTGTTGCGATCACCTTTACCACCCGGCCTTGTTTCTCGAAGTAGTCTACAACCGGCATGCTCGTCTCTACGAACGTCTTGAACCTTTTCATGATGCTTTCAGCATTGTCATCGGCACGCCCGCTAGTCTTGCCTCTCTCCAACAATCTCTTTTGCATTTCCTCCTCTGTGCAATCGAAGAAGAGCACAAATTTGGACGGGCAAACAGTCTCTTCAAACTTGATCGCCTGGTCCATCTTCCTTGGGAACCCATCAATCAAGAATTTCCCCTTCCCACTCTTATCCTTCTCAACCTGCGCAGTCATGGCGTTCTCAAGCAACTGGACGGTGACTTCCATAGGTACGATCTTGCCATCGCGGATATATTCCTTGATCATTTCACCGAACTCCGAGCCTTCGCGCTCCTGCTCTGCACGCAGGAGGTCGCCAGCTGATAAGTGAGTGAAGCCGTAATCGCGAACGAGGTTGGCGCATTGGGTTCCCTTTCCTGCGCCTGGCCCGCCGAGCACGAAGAGTACAGTTACATTTTCGGGTGAGAATACAGGCGTGTCCTTCTTAGGGGCTTTCAGAAGATCTGTTGTGGGCGCCATGTCTATTGGTTTTATTGTCAGATGTTGTTGTCCCAAGCAAAAGTAAATAGTAGAGGGGTTGAAAGCTTGGATTCCCGCGACACTCGTCATTTGGGTAAACCCGCTTTAAAGCGGCTTTCGAAGTTCATGGAGCTCTGAACTTGAAGTTTCTCTTGGAGAATCAGAGCTTCACGATTGGAAGTTGTACATACCTGCTCGACTCCGAACCATCAGAATATAGGCACCCGATCCTGCCAACGTGATTGCGATGAACGGCCATACTTTAAATGGGCTCTGTCCTGGTCTTGGGGTTGGTCCACTCTCCCCCGTTGCATAGGTACGTCTGCCGGCTGGTTTCGTTCGTAGATTTCGGAGTATTGGAGAGGCAGGTTTTAATAAAGGGGCCAATGGCTGGCAGAAACGCCGAGAGAATATTCGAGGGAGTTGACTCGCCATCTTGAGGATCGGATGGTGCAGTTGTTGGAGTGAGGTTGAACCAGAGCTTCAGACTTTCCAAATATTTTGGTTGAGCTCTGTGGCCAATCATCGCTGGCCTAAGGCTAGTGGACGTAATTTCGGCACCCCCAAACTCACCCCCATTGAGCTTGCAAGCACAAAACCCACTAGCCATGAATTAAGCCAAATGGACTTTTCAGTCTCTGGTGAGTATCAGACATAGACAGGCCAGGAACTACGTTGAATCGTGGTCGCTTCGCGTCTGCCGGAAAAGATTATCCATCCCCGTCGTTCCGATGGATACGGAGGTAATCAGTTGTTGTGTACAACATGGTCAATTTCAACTCTCATAGTATTGATTTGAAGCTTCTTTTGTGCAAGAGCGGAACTACTTTATTCATAACTATCAAACTCGTTGCGATGTCAGGCGATTCCAGCCCAGAAAGACTCTTCCGAGTTACAGTCTTCTTCAAACGCAAACCAGGCATGACAGAAGAAGAGTTCAATCATCGTGTGTCTGCTACACAGTACAACGGTATCATTGTTAACACGTCTTAGATTGGGAGAACGTTCATGGACCTTTAGTAGCTGACTGGGCTGTCAAGCATGGCATCGTCCAGTATACACAAGTACGCTGAGCTTCATACCAGAGCCATTCAAATCACTCAATTGAAACCAGTTTTTCACACCGTCTCATCTTCGCCAGAGAATTACCTCCAATGTGCCATCTGCAGGTGTTCTCGATTACGACTCCGGAGTCGATTGGTATGTTCGTGATTATGATGCGTACGAAAGAGCCTACGAGGATCCATATTATCTAGAAGTGATTGAGCCTGATGAGTGGAACTTTATTGATAAAAGTGGTGGGGAAACAGGCGGTATTGCTACTGCTGTAAGCACTTTGGGGGTGTGCAGAGATATCGTCAGGGACGGGAAAAGCATGGTTGGAAAACCAGTACTAGACCAGCGGCAAAAGGATCTACTAGAATCATCTATTGAATAGTAAGGGATGGGGCAAACAGTAGCCTGAATTACTATTTGAGATCAGTCATTGTGCCCTTGATAGCGTTTTGTTCCTTCTCAGTAAGCTTGATTCCGAAGTACTTCTCCAAAGCTACAATTCGTTCTTTCTCATTTTTCAACTCCACTAGAACTTCTGTTTTGTCGCCCAGCCTTTTTTTGATGGTCCGCTCGAAGAGTGTATAACAGCCCGTGATATGATTGACCTCTGGATCTAGGATGAACTTCGTAACAACGACTTTGTGTGTGAAGAAGCTTGTTTTGCGATTGGAAACCGCAAAGCTCATTGCTTGAAAGTCGTTTGGGTAGAAGGGTGTAAGTCCCTTTAGAAGTGTTAACATGGGCTGCTTCTCTAATCATCTCATAGTTCAGTCGGGTGTTCACTTACAAAGCTGTATACCGTTAGCCAGTCATGACTTTCTGTTTCACGGTGCTGATAGATCCACAAGCCTGGCGCGAATGACATCTTGCTCGCTTGGTAAATCAGTCTACACTGGGAGTCTGTGGCCCCCCAGTTTGTGATAAGTCCGTCTCTTAACGGCAAAGGGTTCAATGAGCCTATGAAGAACACTTGATTAGCTCAAGTTACTGCTAGATTGCCAATGGAACTGACCTGGATTTGCAAACCCGACGTCAACAAGGTAAATTGTCTCGTTGATCTGCACGAGGTTTACCTGGTGACTCCTAAAATTAAGTCAGAGTACCATCCTATTTTTGGTAGAGATTTGATGTAATATGAATTATCCATTTATGGGAGTGACTGATACTTACCATTCTCCAGGACCTCCATCTATGTGAACCCTCCCCCCAGTCGCTATAAGTTCAAATCCCAAGCTTTTCATGACAGTAGCGAAGAACAAATTAACCTGCATACAATAGCCACCTCTTCCTCGATTCGCAGTGACTATTTTTTCATACATGTCATCCTTGTCGATACTTATTGTGCGGTGTGTGGAGTAATGGAGGTCTAAGTTCTCAAATGGAATCGTCGACAATTGCTGCTTCTGCAGGGTCGTGAGATATTCCAAGGCTTCCTCACTGGTAGCTGTCTTTGCGGAAAATTTGCCATATTTCGACGTCGGGAATGAAATGAATGATAGATACCGGTCGATCTGCTCATCTGAGTAAGTCGCGATTTCTTGGTGTTCCACCATGTTCAATTAATGGATTAGATGAAGCGTCCAAAAGCAAGCCGTTTCCTAAGACTCAGATCTACCTCTAACTTTCCAATTGCTAGGAGACGAGTGGAAAGATGTACTAGTTATGGAACCAAAGTTGTTATAGGTGTTGATTTTGTGGCAGAGGCCAGGCTCGCAGCGGGAGAACCCTGCACCGAGTACATACACATGATGACATCGTCGAAGCCTCGAAATGGGAATCAAATCACCATTAAAAACCGGATTTCAAACGTTAACTCCTTAGACAGAGCAATTGGCTTTAAAACATTATCATTCAACGGAAGCTTGAGTGTGAAATATAAGGGTTCGTTCGACATGGAATATGTTGATGCTCCGCTGTCCCACATCAGAATCACGGAGTTCGAGATCACGCCCAAACGACATGGAGACTAATGTCAATCAAAAGGAGCGATTTCCCAGGTTGTAAAATTGCTTAGTTAACAGCAGTATAAGCTGCACTAAGCTAAAATAAGTTTCACTAAATTCAAAAATTCTCTAAATCGATAGTTACAGCTTGAGACAGACTACCATATATGTTGCAGCCTCTTATTTCATAGATTTATATGATATCCTGTATGTCGTCAAATGTTCTGTGTGATATTTACTTGAATTTGTAATGACTAAAATCGACCACCTCCGATTATGATTAACTTCCAAGGCTATTAAGTTGACAGTGCAACCGAAAGCTACCGCCACTTATCATGTCCACTACGATAAGTTCACATCCCACTTTCACTCACGCGATGTGTATTAGAGATTGGATAAGGAAAAATGACAAAAATCAATTCTTGCTTTCGATCGTCTTAAAAGCAATACAATTAGGGTTACTCCAAGATGACGAGAACCATGCTGAAAATCAATGGCGACCGACTAAATGAACACCTCCAAAGAACATGTTCATCATGGGGAGCAATAGCCAATTCGACGGGCATGCGGCGGCTCGCTTTGAGTGAAGAGGACAAGCTCACTCGCGATTGGCTTATCAAAGAATGCAAATCTATAGGCTGTGATGTTAAAATCGATGCTATGGGCAACATATTTGCCATCAGACCGGGAACTTCGAAAGATAAGCAGCCAATCGGCATGGGAAGTCATCTTGATACGCAACCTGCAGGTCTTTCATATCTCGATCGCTTTCTTTGAAAAAAAAAACTGACAATGTTCAGGTGGCCGCTATGATGGGATTCTCGGCGTGCAAGCAGCTTTGGAAGTTCTCCGAACACTCCATGAAAACAACGTACAAACTCACTGCCCTGTTGCTCTTATCGACTGGACAAATGAGGAAGGAGCTCGCTTCCCTGGCGCCATGATGTGTAGTGGTGTATGGTCAACCAAGTCTGCGACAAGCTTAGAGGACTGCTATGAGGTCAAGGACTCAGAAGGATGTACAATGCGGAAAGCATTACAAGACATCGGTTATCTAGGAGAAACGCCTTGTGACTACCGAGAAAATGGTCTTGAAAGCTACTTTGAGCTGCATATCGAGCAAGGGCCTAAGCTAGAGTCTGCGAACAAGAAAGTAGGAGTTGTTACGGGTGTCCAGGGAATGAAATGGTTCTCCGTCCGCTGCTCTGGACGCGAAGGCCATTCGGGAACCACGCCCATGGATCAAAGGTCTGATGCTCTGGTCACCGCAGCGAGATTTGTTGCAGCAGTCAGCGAAACGGCAAAAGCTACTAGCCTGGGCGTTGCCACTGTTGGTGTTATCAATAACGACACACAAAGTCAGGCAACCATTCCAAGTGGTGTCGAGTTTATTATCGATATCCGATGCTCCACAGATCAAATTCTTGAGGAGCTTTGCACCGCAATCTTCAAGTCATTCGACGAAATCATCCAACGAGAAAACGATGGCACTTCATACGATATCGTCCGCACATGGGGCCTGCCTGAGTCGATATTCCACGAGGACTGCATTCAAGCAGTCCGTTCTGCTGCGATCAATGAAGTAGGCGAGGCGCAGATCATGGATATCAAGAGCAGTGCTGGCCATGACGCCGCCTGGTGTTCTACCGTTGTGAAGAGCAGTATGATATTCGTTCCCTCCAAAGATGGCATTAGCCACAATCCTGCGGAATACACGACCCCCGAAGACTGTACGCTAGGAGCACAAGTGTTACTCCAAGCAGTGCTCAGTTATGACAAGGGGTGCTCACCTGATTAACTTCGCTGCATTGCTCGAGGCAGTGCTCGGATTTGTGTTTTGAACTATAGTTAGCCTGTAATATTTTTGAAATACTCAACGCCAATATATTCCACTCTACGTTTCAGTTTGTCTGACGCAATGCCTCTGACTGAATTTTAGATGAATCTGAAGGCGAAAGATGTGCCCGAGTATACACTTATTGCTAGAAACTTATCAGCTACGCTGATAACTCGCTGATAACTTGACGAAGTGTTTCAAGAATCAGTATGGGGACAGGCCTGAGTAGACCATGCTCATTGAGAGCATCTAAAGTGAGCTCCCGGAATCGTAGGGCTCATAGTTAGCATCTTGCTCTCAGAGTTAATTGGTATGTGGAAGGAAGGTCAATCGGTGACCTGGGCAATAGGATAAGCATCAGGACTTCGATATTGCCGTCGGAATGTTGTGACTTTATATTTTTGTTCTTTGCTAATCCTTCTACCTTTGATATTGCACTGATTGCAGGAGAAACGTATGGCTGTCACGGGGTAATGCATTGTGACTCTATGTATCGGCACACCCCTGTACTTACCGCCCTTAAAGGACTCCTGTTCTCTCTACTCTCTAGACACCTAAACAGGAAATGTACATTCCCGGCGACGGGCTAGACGGGTGTAACATGTTGAAGCAGAAGTAGAGTTTACCTGCATGGTACAAGGTCTTTGAAAATATCCGTGTGGCGTTCCTTCCAGTTCCTAGCTCAATACTGACACTGGTGATATATCCTCAAAGCTTCTCCCGTACCAGATACCAAGACTCCCTGTTGCTGGGCTTGAAAAGTTGAGAATCCCGAAAAGGATTTTAATGCTGCGCTTTTGTTCGGCAATCAGGGTTTGTGGCTCAAGCTTGGCTGCTAGGTAAGCCGCAGAATTATGATAGTCACGTGATGCAAGTAACCTCAACTTCGAGACACCTTATCCGTACAATCTTGTCAGTGACTTCGACATTATGCCGACAGCGACGCAGATCAGGAAACTGTCACACGGCTGAACAAGACTGGGCGCGTATGTGGAACCTTGCCATTGCCAAATTCTCTCATATTATAAGCTTCAAACTGCCATTCCATACTCCTTAGGATACTGCAGCTGTTCTGTCACGATACATGCAAGGTAAAACAATGCTATTGACTTACTCAGGGTCGCCTCAATGATTATCATTGACAAAGAAATGTGTATGCAGATAAGATCTAGAAGTCTCGTGAGTGATTGGTTTCCTCCTCTATCCTCAACCTTGAACATCATCTCTTTTTCCCATCTAATAGTCCTATCTAACTCTAGCCTTTTTCCTATTGTCTATGAGGGCCAAGTTATTCATCGAAACCCGAGAATGCTTTCCAAGCCACTGGTTGAATTGGGGCTTAGGCTATGCTCACCCTATGCGATATCATTTCTCGGCGTTGGAGTCATGCCCGGAATTGTTTAGCTGTTTGTTGAAAATTTCACAAGGCGTTGGTTTGCACCATTTCCCTTTACGGTATAGCAATTCCCGAACTTTTGGGACTCTTCTCTCTGTCAATGGGTGATTGCCACCCTGGTGAGGATCTTACTAGTCGGGGATCGAATGAGCTTAATTCGGTTTTGGCCATAGCACTTTGTCACTCACGGTATCCGGGGGGAAGCATATGAAAAGGAGAGTTTGCCCGTCTTACACTTTTCAAGCAAGCAGGGAATCAAGATGAACTCAATGTTGCGGGTTGGATGGCTGTTTGAAGCATTTGCTATTTTCGCCACCCTTGTCTCAGCTCAATTACCTCCTGGGCCTCCTCTACCAGAAAACATCTTGAAGCAGACAACATCATTCCTTGACCAATCAACACCAATCAAGGATTTCTTTGGCCAGACTTTCTTGAAGCAGAATATTCCTTTCATCGATATCCCAGACAAAGGCATTCAGGATGTCTACTATTATCGATGGTCATCGCTTCAACGCCATCTCCGTTATACTGTTGCTGGTACAGGATATGTCATAACAGAATTCGTTCAGCCCAATGGTTACGCTACAACTCTCAATACCATAGATGCAGCAGCTGGCCATCAAATTGATGAAGCAAGATGGCTTCGAAGCAACTTTTATAACGATGACTACATCCAAGCCTATACTCGGGGGCCGGGCAACTCGACACAGTATACCCACTGGATACTAGATGCTCTAAAGAGAAGATCGGACGCAAATGGTGACAAGACTTACGCATCAGGTCAGCTAGAGGATATGGTTCGTTTGTGGAGCCAATGGGATGACTCTTTCGACAAGAAAACTGGACTTTACTATGGCACACCAAGCTCTGACGGCCAGGACTACAGCCTTCCTGGCTATGTCACTGCCCCTTATAGTGGCAGAGGTGTCAATCCGGTGCAGTTGAATGGCCCGAATACTTATCGTCCAAGTCACAATGTGCGTTTTGCAACTCCTTCATTTATTTTAGATTATAGTACCTTTGAGAACTGACTTGCAATCGTAGTCTTACATGGTAGCAAATGCAAGAGCGATTGCCACTGTCGCGGGGTTTACCAACTCCACTGCGAATATTACATCTTCGTTTACTTCTGTCGCGAAAAGTCTTGAAGAGGCTATGTACAAAACTCTCTGGGATCCTGTTCAGAAGTTTTTTGTAGATGTTATAAGGTCCAATACGCCTGCTTTAACTCCTATCAAAGGTAGAGAGGCTGTTGGCTTTTACCCGTTTCGATTCGGTATTGGCCTTGAGGCAAACCGCACCACAGCAGCAAAAAGTTTATTTGACCCAAATGGCTTTCAAGCGCCCTATGGTCCTACGACCTTGGAAAGTCGAAACCAGTTTTTTGACGCCAAGAAGTCTGGTAGTTGGAACGGTCAATCATGGCCATTCTCAACAGCTCATATTCTCAAATCTCTCGCCGCCATTTACAGAAGTGGTAGCTCTTCTATCGACGCAGACCAATACGTACAGTATATGCGAACATACGCTGCGACCCAACAGAAGAACGGCAAGCCTTACGTGGCCCAGTCGCACTACCCATACGAGAACGCCTGGTCTACTGATATCTCAAATCACTCGGAACATCATGATCATTCCACTAACAATGACGACGTGATTACAGGGCTTCTGGGAATAGTTCCCCATTCTGACGAAGTTTTGGAAATCGCGCCGATTGTCCCAAAGAGTTGGAAATATTTTGCCATTGAATCACTTCCCTATCATGGACATTTGATCACCGTCCTGTACGATGCTGATGGATCCAGGTATAAATGTGGTGGGAATCTTTGCGTCTATGTGGACGGCGTGCAAGTGCTGAAGGAGAATCGCAAATACCCAATTCACGAGATAATTCCTCTCACAACTGTAGCGGTATCTCCGTTTCCAATGTTTCCTGCCGCCTTCGTTCCTGTAAACTTAGCGTCAAATCCTTATGGAACCGGCCACTTCCCACTCGCTGAGGCAACATACACTCATCAGGCGGACAGTCCATACAAAGCCATTGATGGCTACCTGTTTTACGACAGTGTTCCAGATAGTAAGCTTTCCATTCCAGATCCTGAATAAAGAGCTAATGATCAAACAAGACCGCTGGACAAATTATCAATCAAAAAATAAGAACGATACTCTCAAGGTCACTTTTGCTCGTCCACGTAACATATCATCGGTTACTCTTGCGCTCTACTCCGATGTGGCTCGTGGTGGTCATGTAGATGTCCCAGCATCTATCGAGATCTATGGTTCTAGCGGTCTTATTTACAAGTCAAACGGGACATCACTCCTGGCGAATGACAAGAATACGTTTGCCTTTAGCACGACGGTGGAAACTCTTTTTGTTGCTGTCAACATGTTCAACAAGGCCGGTTCCTTCGTAGGGGTTTGTGAACTGGAAGTATGGAACATGCTCGTGCTGCAACCATACTTTTTCGCCGCCGACGCGTTGATGACAAGCGCTCAAGTAGTCTTCGATAAAGCTTCAAATATCACGGCCAATGGTGCAGTCGCAGGGAATCTGTCACCAGCCAGTCAAATTGCCTTTTCTGGCGACCTTCCCAGTAGGCAAGTCGGAAACCTCACGCTATATTATTCGAACAACGGAAGCGCTTCAGTGCCTATCGAATTGAAGCTTAACCAGGTACCCCTCAAAACGGTCAGCTTAGAGCCGACAGGAGGCAAGTATCTCGGTTACGTTATGCCAATCTTGTTGCCCATTGGTAAGAACTTCATTACTCTTGTTGGTGGATCTGCAGAGTTGAGGTACGCCTTGATTACACTCGAGGGAGATGATCCCAACAGAGGCCAGGTGCCGGCAGGATTGTGAATCAGCCCTGTGCTATGTATATATATTACGAAGATTGATGATAGGAGCTACATCAAAAGATTTTCTGTTATCTGTTACGATTGAAGATGAACATATTGGTAAGCCCGCAATGCATAAGATAAGCAGTAAGAATATTTGGTTCAAGCTGTTATCTTGGATTTCACCTGATCATAGGTAGCCTCTTTAATCCCATCAGACTTTCAACCGAGTCCAGCGGGCTTGCTTACAAGGGAAAAGACAACATAAGCGATATTGTGTTAATTTGATCGGAATCATCATTGCGGTTCGGCAACTACTCGTTTTGCTCACCGCGAGCCTGCTCATGCGAGGGTTGACTCAAAAGTCTTCAACGTTCCATTCCTCCTTCACGCTTCCCTTCAGAACGCTAACACCTCTCTCCAAGAACTGTCCGTATCCTTTTGCTCCAACCAGACCCTCCCCGTCCCTGTCCCAAACAACCTCACCCCTTAGAATTGTGTATCTAGGCCATTGCTTTAATGTTCTACCTTCGTAGGGCGTGTAGTCGACATTGTGATGAAGACTCTCGTTTTTCAAGTCAAAGTCGCCCAATTCTCCATCCGGATACCAAATCGTCAAGTCGGCATCACTTTCGTCGGGGATCAAGGCTCCCTTTCTCGGGTACAGTCCGTACAACTTGGCAGCGTTGGTAGACGTGACCTCAACGAATTTCTGAAGTTTTAAGCGATTCGCGGAAAGAGCGAGAGAAAGACGAGTTTCCACGCCTGGACACCCATTGGGTATATATTTGAAGTGGCCATTTGGATACTCCGGACTGATCACTGACTTCTTGCCAATTTCTGTGTCTTCATATATGAAAGGACAATGATCTGAACTCAGGACGGTGAAAGTACCGTCTTCAATACCTTTCCATATTCCTTCGTGGTCCTGAGACCCTTCTCTGGGAGGTGGACTACATACACATTTGGCGCCCTCGAAACCTGGTTTGTCGAGGTCCTTACGAGTCAAAAACAGATATTGCGGACATGTCTCGGCATAGATTGGTAGTCCTCTGCTCTGTGCAGCTGAGATATGTGCTGCCGCTGATGGAGAAGAGACATGGACAATCAGAATCGGGACATCGATGAACTCGCTTAGCGAAATTGCCCTGTAAGTGGCTTCGATTTCTGCGACTGGTGGATGACTTGTGACGTGATATTTGGGATCAAAGAGTTTCTTCTCTTCAAGTTTCTTGATAGTCCAGTCAATGATAGCACCATTCTCCGCATGAATCATCGTTACAATCTTATTTTTCCGAGCTTCAAATAAGACGTCTAAGATTTCAGAATCTTTTAGTTGAAGTGCTTCGTATGTCATGTAGATCTTTAATGATGAGATGCCTTTGGATCGAAGGGTAGGAAACTCAGATATTGCTTGACGTCCAGCATTGGAGCAAATTAGATGGAATGAATAGTCTGTGTAGCAGTTATCCTGAGCACGCTTGTGTGTCTCTTCCAGAGCTGCTAGTAAAGAAGGCTCTGATTTGCGTTGTGGTGCAAATGTAATAAGTGTCGTTGTTCCGCCACAAATTGCAGACCTAGTACCTATCCGAGTCACTAACAATACGTCGAAATGATCCTGAAAAAGGTTCGAGGAAGAATATTCTAATATTATACTCGGCGTATGACTTACCTGTCTCGTAGTTATCTGCACTCTGACCCTTTCCGAATAGTGCAGGCTCCGCTCTAAAGTAAATCAGTCTCGACATCGAACTGATTCCAATACAACTTACAAGTGTACATGTGCATCTACTCCACCAGGCTGTATATTTAGCACTTAGACTGTCTGAGCTGACAGAACACTTACCATAACCATACCACCTCTTGCATCGATAGTTCTTTTCGCTACAAGCGATTCAAGGCTCCCTCTGGGGAACACATCAGCAATTTTGCCATTTTTGATAGCAATATCAAACTCTCCAGCCTTCTGGTCCGTGACCACTAGACCGTTAACAACCAGCAAATCATACTCAGCCATATTTTATTAGAGAGAAAAATATGCAGGGAATAGAGATGGCATGAATTACATTACAAAAAGTGCCAAAAGGTATACTTGCTCCAAGTGCATTATCTCCCCACTCTTGAATGCGCAAATGGCAGCCGCGGGCTTATCAGGGCGTTAATTATGGCCGAGATGGATACACACCTAATTCGGCTAGATAGCTTAGTGGTGTTTAAAATATTATTGACAGTTGAGACATAATACTCGATAGATAATTAGATATGATACAATATTGTATAATCTTAAATATGTAGGCACACGTACTCCAAAATAGTCTACCTACCAATTCCATGTGAACATATGCACACTTAACTAGACCTATGTTTTTCAATATCCGTTGTCTCATTTAGTTAACTTAGAGGAACGAAATCTCTGGTAATCTTAAAACGTTGTTGTTTGTATTATTTGAAGGACGAGATTTAGTCTCACATGAAGACTAACGCTTACCTTAAAAAGCTACCAAAATAGCCTTCCAGTTCTCCAATGGCGTCCATCCGTAACGCGAGAGCTGATCCAACCCAACCATCTGGTCTCAGCACAAATAAACCACCTTGCTTCACTTCCACCCCATATCTCTGATGAGCAGTCTCATCCTTGTCAAAGAAAACCTTACCGAGAGGCATTATCCCCAACATTTCGTATACAGAAGGACCAGATTTAGCTGATATAGTCATCCAAGATATTGGTAAAATGCCCCTTGCGAAGTACTTTGATGATTTGAGGGCTGCATCAAGTTCAGTAAGGCTAGATCGAGTAAACTCCGGGTCGCCAGTAAAGACAACGACGTAGAACTTGGCAACATTAGGTGTTTCTTTATGTAGTCTCGTAAGCTCGAAAGTTCCAGGTTTCTGTAATTGCGCGTCTGGTCCTCGTTGTCCTGGAAGTATGGCTTTGAGTGACGTTTGGAAAGATCCTGCAGTGTTCAGCGGATTGCTGTCGAATGCTATACTTAGTCCTGATGTAAATGCTGAAGCTTCGGCCATAACAACGCCCAGAACTTCATTTGGGTCTGTGTTTGGGTCTCCTTTCCAGTTTGAAGGGAGCTGCATAGTCATCAACCGCGAAATGTCCTTGTCATAATTAATGAGCTTTTGAACATTGGGTAATCGCTCGATCTGGTATGTCTGGAGAAGTGAAGGCGCAGCGTGGCCGTAGAGTACAAGACTCAACTTCCATGCCAGGTTGACTGCGTCGTGTATTCCGGTATTCACTGCAAGTTGAGTCAGTGAGGTGAAAGAGCGTTATGGTAGTGAGAATACTACTTACTGCCTTGTGCTGCACCCGAGCTATGTGTATGACAAGCGTCCCCAGCAAGAAATACACAATCCTTGACAAAGAATTGGCGAGCTACACGTTGTCCAACCGAATAAACTGTGAACCAATCCACCTGCTTAAACTTCAGCTTGAAAGGCTTGACGGATTCAATAGCTTCTGCCACAGCTGCTTTCTCATCAAAAACTTCATATTTAGCTTGCCGTTCTTTCGTGAATGCAAATCCTATCCGTGTAGCTCCCCTGTCAAGCGCAGCCCAGAGAACATTGCCGTGAGTTGGACTCTCAATGGCCCCATAACTTCGACTCTTCGGCATATCCGTTTCAATCACTCCGTCTACCCTCACCCATCTATCTTCACTCGTCTCTCCATCAAACGGAATATCAAGAGCTCTTCGTACAAAAGACCGCCCTCCGTCAGCACCTATCAAATATCGACAGGCAACCGTTTCTTCAACACCAGTAGCAACATTTTTGACAGACACTTTCACCCTGTGACCCCCAATCTCAATCCCTTCGTCAACAACGACACCTACGACCTCACGTTCCGTCTCTAGGCGCCCCCCAAGTTCTCCTAGTACCCGACGAAATATTTCCTCCTGATACATTTGCCTCAACACTAAAGCAAAATCCCACTGCGTCCAACTTTCCTTGCCCATCTGCTCCATGAAACTCCAGCCTCTACCAGCAACTTCTACGCCATTTCTATCATAACTGACCGTCTCCCTACATGCAAAACACTGTTGAGCAAGTTCGTCAGCAAGAGACAGCTGGTCCAGCATTTCTGTAGTTCGTGGGTAAAGTGTAATAGCTCTCCCATAAGAGTCTTGGGTAGACTTAGGATATTTCTCCAAAACCAGACTCGTGAAGGGTTTTGGAGAGGAGCGAGCGAAAAGATGGAGCTGGAGAGCCGTAACTAAGCCTGAACGTTGTTAAGTATAGAGTACAACGAGCTCGAAGAAATCTAAGTGACCATACCAACAGGACCCCCGCCTATGACAAGGACATCGACCTGTCTGACCACATTTTTGGAGTCCCCCATTTTAGAGCTTAGAGCTGGCAAGATGTGATTTAGTATCCCCAATAATTATCTGACTTTCCGCTGAAAAGACGCCAAGTGAAGCTTAACTTGAGATGAAGTTTACTCAGTATGCCAGGGAAGAAATAGTGAATCGGGAAATTATCATAACTGGCTAACTATCAGGTGACTAGACTAGTAGGTATGCCTGGTTTCGATTCTACTCATGACTTATTTAATCATCACCAGGTAGTGATAGATATTGATGTGATAAGACATGAGGGGCTTATCTCATCTTGTACCCAAAAGTGGGAGGGTTTGCTGCGAGAACGAGCGTGAAAGGAAACGAGGGCAAGTAAAATGACCTGGAAGATGGATCTAAGGAAGCTATGCGCCTGTGTTATGTCCAGCCAGTGAAAATGCACGGAAATCGCTGATGGATATCAAAGTCAGTTCTACCTAAACAATACGCACAAAACCCAAGGATAGCATTTAACATCCTCTTCAACTCAATTCTTCTTGGTCCTCTACAGGACTTTACGGGGGGAACCTCTGTACCAAATTGACAATCGGTTCTGATACTAAAATACTACAAGTCGTAGCAAGAGACCGCTGGGCATTTGACAATAGCTCGCGTAGATCATAATAAGTGGCAGAACTTCCTGCCGGTTGTGTCAACTGTGATTGTATAATCAACAGTAGTTAAGTTCTCTCACTTATTAAAACACTTTTGACACATTCTAGAAACATCTTATCTACTGAGACTAATAAATGAGACACTCGTGATTTAGTCATTCTTGTCGAATGACAACAGTGTTATTCGAGTCAGCTCACACTATGAAATGCACGTTGTTATTTCGCCTCAGGCATCAACTACCAAGACTGGATACACTACGCATATGTAACATAACCATCGATCATTTTCGGTTCCAAGTTGACAAGACGTCGATTCGAAACACCAATTGGACATGACGATAGCAAATATCAGCAGCGATGATCTCTTGCGACTATGCTGGAAAAAGCAGGACTGCTCCGCTTGCCTCATTCAAAAGCCTTGCGGCTGGTGCCCATCAGTAAGTTGAGCATTGGAGTCCTTGCTTCACAAATACTTGCTCATGTATGTACCAGTCAACAGCTTGTGTGCCTATTGCGTTCCCAATTTCCGCCTTCGCGCCCTTTGCAAATGCTGGTGTCTGCCCTATGGGATCGGATAGATGGGAATTAAGAACTCAACCGCTGGGTTGCCATGTTTCAACAATTACGCTCCTCAGCTGCATCGGATCGATAATTGCGACACTCCTAGTGCTGGTTCTTGGTTGGGTCGGGTATAAAGGTCTGAGAACAGCGCGTAGGGCGTGGAGGGGAAGGGGTTCGGGATGGTGGAGGATTTGGGATCGTTACCGGGCTGGTTGGTGGAAAGGATGGATTCCACGTCTGGTAGACGTGAAGCGTGGTGAAGAGGCACAACCGCTACTCAGGGAATAGGCCGGATGTGAACGCTTCTGCTCTGCTCAATCTAATGCACCAGAAGAGACCGACACCGAAGCGCACGGCCAGCTGTCTACCGGATTTGACTGAATTCAAGCGTGCTTCACTGTTCTTAACCAGAGCTCACCGGAGGTATGATAGCAACTTCATCGCCCGCCTTTATCACGAGTCCTGTCGATGAAGCATCACTGGGTACATCCACATACTCGAGATTGACTGTAAGGAGGCAGCTCTCCAACACCTTGGATTTGATCCCCGTGTATTTTTCTTCCAGAAGATCGAAAAGCTTAGCGACAGGTAGAGGAGCTGCCAAGACTTCAGCGTCTTTGGACGTGTAGGAACTCGCTGATGCGAAATATAAGATAGTAAAGCTGCCGTCCGACGTGCTTGGCTTCGTCGTCATGATTTTCAGCGCCACTAGATTCACATGAAGTTAGTCGCAAGGACTTTTAAAGGCTCATAGTCCGAGAAAATTCAACTCGTAGTCGAGGTGTCAGAGATCTTGGTGTAGACCACATTGCACGGCTGCAAGCAGCCATGCTTCAGGTAATACATGCTAAAGTTGTTCATCATACAAAGCAGAGAAGTGGATTGAAACAGCGAAGTGAGATCGAGAATGGATACGTACGAGATCTTGTAAGCAGCGACGATGATGATGATGATGATGGATCGGTTGAAGTCAATCACTTGAAGATTCCAGGTCAGATTTACAGAAACAAAGGGATAATTTTACGAAAAATATGACCACCGCGATTGAGCTTGGACCACGCTCGTGACAGCGCTCGTTCCGTCACGTCACCCCAGGACAAAAAGTACACTAGAAATTTACCTATCAACGTCGCAACCTACCAATCTCGAGCATACGACGTCCATCCCCGAATCTTGAGTGTCTCCAAAGTAGGTCATGTTACGAAATGTCCTCTCCCGTACCCAAGCAGCGGACTCCTTTGTTTGCTGGCAATGTCGCGTAAGAACGCAGCGGAATATCTTACGCGGGCAATCGAGGCGAACACTTTCACAATCTGCCAGAATCGAGTTCAAAGCTACACCGACGAATCGAAACTCGACCCTATCTGAGACGAGCACACCATCGGGTATACGAGAATACTTGAAGCAATGGCAGATACACAATGGTGCAGATGTTCCGATGAAAGACATAAAATCACCACCAAACCTCCGTACAAATGTCAGTAATGACACGGGAAATATACAAACACGTGGTACCATTCAGGCAGAAGAAGATGATGAATCGCACGGAGACATTGATGGATATCGGACTTTTTTAAAAGATGATTTGGTGGATGTTGGCAGGAGGCGCACATTCTTGCTTCCCGGAGATCTAGTCGAACTCGCGTAAGCTCTGCAACTACCATTAACGTGTCTCATAACTAATTCCGTATAGATTTGTGGGTAGCAGAGCCCAAGAACTAGCAGTGTTTGTACAGGATTTAGGTGACCAAGGTCAATACTACACCATGTCTGGACGATGGTCGCAACGGCCACATTTTATGCCAAAATATTTCGTTCCTGGTTTTGTCAAGCCAGAGGAACTGAAAGATATTATACCTCATTTGCCAAGCTCTGAGGTATCGCCAGACGTGCAACAGAAACTGCAGATCTTTCAGCAGGCCGTTCCGAGAGATATTGGGAATAACATCTTAAGTAAGCTCTTGCACTTTTGGAACGAGGCAGATGCTGCTTATCTTGCTACTGCAACTCAAATGGAAACAATCCATCGAGTAATGGCCCACAGAACAAAAATGACCTATGCCACACTGGAAGAGATTGCCGAAAAATCACTAGCTGGCGTAACTGCTAAAGACGCAAATGGCAATTTCAACCAGACTATTCTTTATGCTCTACATCGTCGCATACTTGCAACAGATATGGAATTCCGGGCACAGGCAAAGGGTACGCTTCGCGCCGGCGGGGAATACGAAATTGCTTCACTGGACGAGGTTGAGGATGTCAAAAAAGTCGAGGCTCTTGTGCGTTCCTACGTTGAACAACTGATGACAGGAACCACCGACGTGAAGTCAGGCTCACAGCATCCAGTAACTCAATTTGTACAGCAGTGTAGGACTATGATTGATATTACAAGGAAGAACCAAGACTTTACAAAGTATGGTATGATAGGACCATATCCCGGTGATGGCCACCCCGGCTCCGAAGCAACATCTCAAAGCTTCCCTGGTGGCACTAGATTGTTCTTGCGTTTTATGGAGTCATGGTGTGGCTTACAGAGCTTCAGACGTGGTTCAAGTCTGCATGGGATTGGCGCCACCTTGCTAAGAGCCATCGACCGTTATGACGATGTTGAATTGGATATGAGAACGGGCTGGACTTTCTTGCAAGAAATCGGTATAATACCTTTCTGGGAAACCCCTCATGCATACCTCTTGAAACTGCCCGGGGTTGGCCAAAGATTGCGAGCCGAAAAATTAGCTCCCACGGAAGGCTTCATAGAGGATCAACAAAGCTCCATTCGCAAAGATTGGGGTAACGTACCTGTCTTCTGTATTGACGATGTGGGTGCACACGAAATCGACGATGGGGTGTCTGTAGAACCAACCGAGATCGACGACCAGTATTGGGTACATGTCCATGTGGCAGACCCGGCTTCTCACATCGAGCCTACAAGTCCTATCGCTGAGTTTGCACAAAGATTCGTGACCAACGTCTACTTCCCAGACCGGGTTGCATCTATGTTGGAGCCCAAGCGAGTCCAATCGCAGTTCAGCATGGGCAGCGGACGTCCATGCTTGACATTCAGTGCAAAATTGAATGCCGCCGGCGAGATATTAGACTACAAGGTCTCGGCGGGCCGTATCAATAACGTTATCTACGTTACCTATAACGTGTTGGAGGAAGCCGGTACAAATACTGAGGTCCTTTCCTCTGATGAGAAGGATATGTATATCGCCGGTAACAACAGCTTACCCCCTTCAAACCCGTCCAGGCATTTGACCTCCTTTGATGCGTTGGCCACTGATCATAAAGCAAAACTCAAGATCATTCGCAACCTAGGCGTGCTCAGATCCTCTTGTCTGAGGGGAAAAGGGGGAGTAAACTTTGCATCAAATAATTATGATTTGGCAATCCACCTGGATACACCCACTACTCCCGCTCCAAGCGCTCTTCGATACAAATTTGGCAAAGTGTGGAAAGAGAAACCTATCATCGAAGTCTCCAAGAACAAAGGGACACCAAAACCGAATAGCCCTCTTTCCTACCTAATGATACTCGCAGGGGAGGTGTGCGCCAAATGGTGTCATGAACGTGGAGTCCCAACTATGTACCGCGTTACACCATATAACCCTATTAAAGAACCTGCGAGTTTTTTTCGCCGAGTAGTCATTCCATCAAGAGATGTGGACGGCAACATACCCTTAGACATCGCCGAGCAATACCTAGAAACAATTGGGGCCGCGCAACCATCCACGGTACCAGGACCCCATGTTGCAGTTGGAGCAGATATGTTCAGCAAATGTACGAGTCCTCTCAGACGATACGGTGATCTGTTGATGCATTGGCAAATCAATGCTGCCCTTCGCGAAGAACATCGCTTAGGTCGCCCACTTGTTGGAAACACTGACGAGTCCATCTTTCCATTTTCCACGGTTCAAATAGAGCGTCTGCTCCCACGTATCGATACGCGTGAACGACTGGCTAGGAAAGCCTCTGTGGATGCCCAAAATTCATGGTTCTGCCAATTTTTCATTCGTGCTTGGAAATTTGGTGAATCCGAACTACCCAGATCACTAAGCTTTGTGATTAGAACCGTCAATCCTCTCTCCAACATAGCGTTCGGTAAGATCAGCCAGTTTGATTTTCCAGCGACACTGCGTTTCAATGAAAGTCTGAAATACGAGGACGTTGTGCCTGGTCAGGAGGTCGAGGTCGAGGTACTGGATATTGATATGCCACGAGGAAGGATGATCCTAACCCCTAAACCGCGAGGTCCAGTGGTTGAGAAGGCGTTTGAATACAAGTTAGCACGATGAACAAGCATGACGATGGGGGCAGATGCTGCTCGCTGTAACATCTTATAATACCATACTACTCAAAGTTATGGGTCAATGTATGGCCCAATGTATCATATAGCAATATACCTAGGCACGCAGGATCTGCGCGCTCAACCTTTTTCCCTCTTGGGTTTCACGCGTTGCTCTGGAACCCATCTCAGGAATGTGGTCACTGTCAACATCCAGTAACCGAGCGATGGAACATTACAAATCCGGCAGAATGTAAATATTTACTTCGCAATAGATGTGCTTTTCTTCGGTACGCAAGTCCATAAGAGAGGACGTGGGACGCCGCTCGTTGAGCATCATCGGGACCAACTTCTCCATTTCTATCACGCAGTCGCTACCAAACCACCTTTCTATTCATTGTTTTCCTTCATCTCCACTACAGACCCTCAACTACATACTGCTAGAATTTTCCATACTCCCAGTTGTACAACAGAAAACTATGCCGTCGTTCGTCGTAGCCTTGACACTAGTTGTCCTACCACTCCTCGCCAATTCCCAAAATATTCCCCCAACTCTCAGCATCATTGATCTGAGCCAACAACTCAACCCGAACCCAGATCTCATACCCTTGCCTGTGGTCATAAACCCTATCGAAGTTACCACCACTAGCTCCACATCGTCTACAACAAGCACCACGTCCACTACGGATACTTCAATCACTAGCAGTAGCAGCACATTGACGTCAATAACTACCAATAGTATAACGTTCATTACACCAATTACATACACGTAAGTCTCACCGTTTCTCTCCCAAGAAATACGATTAACAATAACTCTCTATAGTCCCCCAACAACATCCACTACAAGCAGAATAACGTTTATTACACCAATTACTTATACCGAACCACCAGCCTCGACCAGCACCACCGTCCAACCTCCAGTTCGAAACTCCACCATGGCTACGAGAGAGAGAACCAGTATGGTGCCTGTGGGGCCAACTACTACTATGCCTGTGACGCCGGTTCAAACAGGTGGTGTGGACGGAAAGACAAAGAATAGTGTAAGTCTTATTTTCCTCAGCGGTCATATATTAGACAAATCTCGAATACTAATGAATTCTGGGTGGTATAGGTTGAGATGATCGTAGTTTTGTTAGGTGCTGCTGCCGGATTTTTTGTCTTCGCGTAGAATCAGCAGCAAGTGAAATGGCGACTAGGTATAACACACATTGCTGGCGTTTTTTTTTTTGGCGCTTGGAACAGATAATGCTTCAACTATTTCGTGAATTTTAATTCTTGTAGTCGTTATTGTAGGAGCTAAGGATTATTCTGGTCTGGGATGTCGAGATAGGGCAGGTTTGCATTTGTCTCTTAATTAATATATGTAATAGGATTTGGTTTATTTTGTCGTAGAAACTGATGCTTAATAACAAGATCTGCTTTTGAAAGTCACTGGTATTTTCAAATTCTAATACCTGTACCTTTGGTGGAACGAGAGAGAGGACAGCCATAACAACACAAACTAAAAAAATTCAGCAGTAACACATAATGCACATTGTCCTCGAGCTTCATTTTTTGATTCGGTCGTCCTCGGAATTGGTACTTATCTCCTTTGACCTGTAGATTTCTTGAAAAGTCACTCTTCAGTCGTTGGAAAACTGGGACCTGCTGTTGGCCATTTGGTTCAATTCCAGGCCATGATATTGAGGCTTAAAACAAGTCATTCCTTCATTATTGATACACGGGACCTTGGCACCTAATTTGTCTCATGTAAGGAGCTCCCTCCGTCATCACTTATCACATCACATAAATCTTCTAGTTTGATACTCATTACCTTGCTGCGCTATGCTTCTTAGAAGTGAAAGATTCTGACATATGTTCAAGGTTCTTGGAGGTACGGAATATTTCACAAAGGTACGACAGTCACGATTAGGTCCAGTAAATCACCGAGTCTACCATGTGCCACGATAGGTAGAACAAGAAGAGGTAGACTCGTACAACAGACCAATACGAGCTGAAGAGAATGGCTGATGAAAAGCGATCCAGTGGAACCACAGTACATACAACGCGAATTCAGACTGTATGATGAACACAACTCAAATCCCTCGTGGATAGCTCACACAGCTGCGACTTCTAGACACAAAGTTTCTTGGAAGTAGGTTGGTCAACGTTACACATAGGATTGACTTTACTGGAGCTAAGCGCGCAACGCAAGAAAATGCATTTGTACTGACAAGGACATCCTACACAAATAACCTTATCAACTCGCGTATGTGTTGGTAGCGCCGCCGAGGCAGAGAGCCACATCACAAATACAAGGCTTCGTTTCACCGCTGTTTTCCAGCCGGATAGGTGCTTATGTTTGATTTCCTGGTTCTGTCGGAAATGACACAGGACATATGTCTACCGGGTAGCCACAGAAAATCAAATACGCCATAAATACATGCGTCTATCTATTATACCACCAGACTTGGGATGTCAACTCTCCTCAAGAGGGCGAGGGTTATCAGCCCAAGAAAACCATTACTTCCACTACGCTTTCCCAAAACAGGCTTCCACGTGGTCAGCGATGACCTAGCCCTAGATGAGGAGCATTATGAAGGCTTTCACAGAGGACATTACTTTCCTGTAAATATTGGCGACGTTTTCAAGTCAAAGTATCAGGTTCTCGGAAAACTGGGATGCGGTGAAACATCAACGGTATGGCTAGCCCGCGATCTCGAAGCACATTCTCATGTTACTCTCAAAGTATATACTCGAGATGGGAACCCACAGGACGAATTCCAGATCTATCAGCGTTTGAGTAAAGGCAACCATTCGCATCCAGGCTATTCTCATGTCAGAACTGCACTCGAAACATTTACAATACCTCGTCTTGGTGGTGACCACACTTGTCTTGTTCAAAAGCCAATGTGGGAAAGCTGGGAGGACCTAACATACCGCATTTCGGACGGAATTTTTACAGAGGAGCTTCTAAAAGGTTCCCTCAAACACTTGTTCTTAGCACTAGACTACCTGCATACAGAATGTCAAGTCGTGCATACTGGTATGGATTTCTCCCCTTATACACAAGACTCCATTTTTAGAATCCCAATTTACCCTTCTTACCTCAGTGGAGTCGAGAACCTGACTGACCATACTTCAAAGACATCAAAGCCGATAATGTTCTTCAGCAGATAAAAGATCAATCTATTCTGGACGATTTCACCAAAGGTGAGATGGAACATCCATCTCCAAGAAAAATAGTGGATGACATGACAATCTACGCATCGAGGCAACTGGGCGTTCCAAGGTACTTCGGGAGAGCCGTATTGAGTGATTTCGGCTCAGCAGTACGAGGTGATAAAAAGAGGAACCATAACGCAGGACCACAGATATACAGAGTGCGTATCATCCTCCCTATTAACTCTTCACATAGGAGATTCCACGAGACACATTTACCTTGTTTTTCCCCTCCTCGAGAAGCAGAGCTCAGAACCTATGCTAACTTAACAATAGGCGCCTGAAGTAATGGTAAAAGCGGCCTTGAGCTATCCAGTCGATATATGGAACGTAGGTGTGATGGTATGGGATCTTTTCGAGGATAGACATTTGTTTCGTGGAGACGATCCTGATGGAAAAGGCTACTCAACTCGCGCGCATCTAGCAGAGGTTATTAGTATGCTAGGTCCTCCGCCTCTAGACTTGCTCGAGCGAGGAACTAGAACAGCTGAGTTCTTTGATAAAGAAGGTACGTACCTTAGTGTAGGGTGGCGGGCTTCAGGACTGAACACTGACCTAATTTGCTGCAGGAAAATGGATATCTGAGATGCCTGTTCCACAGGGAACGAGCTTGGAAGAATCTGAGATTCGCCTTCAAGGCAGAAACAAAGAAGTGTTTTTGGATCTCATGCGAGGAATGCTTCAATGGCGGCCTGAAGACAGCGAAGCAGTTGCTCGAACATCCTTGGATAACTCAGATCATAGAGTGACCTCAAAGCACACTAGAAGCAAAGAGACTTCCTATCTTTATTGGCTTTGCTTTTCAGGTATACAAGTCAATCTAGTATTGAACCTCACTGCATAATCCTCGTAGTATATGCTTCCTGTGTAGAGAAAAGTACAGGGGTTTCAAAGCTGGGGTAAAACACCGGCGCCCGCTAGGGCGTAGAATTTGTGGTCACACAAAATGGTCCGAGGAGTGTGTATAGATTTTAAGACTCTCGCCAGAGGTAAAGTTGGTAGCTGTATGTACCTGGCTTAGAATAATAAGTTTGTTAGTCACGGCTGAGCCCATGAAATAAGTTACTGGAATAGTAAAGTCGAGGGTTTTCAAGAATCAAGCGCTTTTTGATAAACTTTGAGGCTGAGTTAGTAAAATGTGCAAGTACAGAGATAGATGACAAGGGCAAAATCGCCGATTATACCATTCATCTTACCAATGGAATACTCTTATTGTCAGTAAACGAAAGACATACTTCGTACAGGGCCGAATATTTCTACTTTAGTCGTCTGTGCGGCTTCTAGACATTTCTGTTAAAACAAGGGTTTCTAGCAAATCATCTTTCATACTTAGCAACGGATTTACCTTCATGGGTAAGGCTTCTTTGACGCCGCACACCCTAGTAATGTAGAAATATTCGGCCCTGTACGAAGTAATTCCACCCATCCTTCTCCGAGCTGACTGAAACGGCGTGGTGCAGATGCGGATAGCCGTTTGGCTGAAAGTGCCTTGTCGTACACCCAGGGAAGGTTTCCCTCGGGATGGAAGGAATCGGAAAGCTATCACTTATTACCCAAGCGATTAAAAGTAGTGGAGGCTCAGCGCTTATGAAGAAAGTGATATAATTGTAAGTCTGACAGAAAACTGAGATAAGTAGTTGAACCGATTTCAGCCGGCATAGACGAGCCGTAGAGAGACTTGAGACATGTCTCTCTTGGCGAAGATATCGAAGCATTCCGTGGCTTGGGCCAGCTCTTCTCGTGTCGATAATGCAAGACAGTCGATTCGTACTTCTCGTCTACATGGTGGAGGCCGACTTCTCCTGCACGGGCGATGCATGGTTGTACGGAAAGAATTGCTTCTCGAAGACCCGGGAACCTTGTTCCAGGACTTCTTTTGTGAGCAATCATACTGTCAGGAAACTTCCCAATCAGTAGTGCCTTTGGCGATAGAATATGCCATTGCCGATGCAAAAGCTTGTTGCACAGCGCTGAGCAAGTGAACCCTCGTCAACCCCACCGTTAGACCACACTTCAGTAATAATTGTCTTTCTTTTGAGGACCGGGAGGAATCCTAATATGCGGGGGTGCCGTCCGATCATGTCCAAAGCAACGGTCAGACAAGACGTGGGGATTACAGAGGATATGTAAGTCGACACCGGTTCTTGTGGTGACTGCACGTTTCAACATTCGTGCATCGAGAACGCAAGAGTAAGATTTTCGTATGTCGTTGTTTCTTTCCGTCACGGGAGTGACATGGATTCCTATTCGACAACTTATTAGTCTTGCTGTAATGTTTTACTTGGGATTCTTCTTCTTCTCTCTCCCCACACAAATTCGCTGCAGCCCGACGAACGCAGAACACGTACCAGGTCTAGTCTAGCAAAGAGCTTGGAAGGTGTGGCAGCACGTAGCCACGTACTTACTGTGCGGGTAGTCGGACTGTCGGATGGGTGTGCTGTAATGAACTGCAAGACATATGAGTAGATAACAGTTGCTGCTCGTTGAAGAGTGGGATATCTGGCAGCAATTCTTTTTTTAGTAAAAGCGCGAGTAGAAAGCAACGGCATCTCTAGCTTGAGTGAGTCAAGTATAATTGTAACATTAACCAGTAGCACATAAGGCCGTTCGACCAAAAAAAGGGATGACGTTCGCTATGGATGAAGATTTTGCTGCTTGTGCGAGTAGAAGTCAATGTGAACCCAACTCTTTAATCCCAACAAAGACCTGTGGCACGACAGGTTTTGTATTCCCAAAAAATCAGCACGATCCTCTCTGCTTCGTCGAATTGATTACTCTGATTCAGCCACCTCGCATTCTTTCACGCCCATCACCAAAAGCGTCGTCGCGAATTTGGCTGGCTGCCCCACCTCAAACCCATCCACTGCCATCACGACCACACACCCACCCGCCTCTGCGACCACCATCTCACCTGCAGACCTCGTTCTGTTCTCCATCCCCTCATCCTCGGCCACAATCTTCCTCCCACCCATTCGGGTACCAAACAGCTGCTGGTCCAGCCTGCAAAATTCGCTCCACCTTCTGTTGCCACTCGCAAGCCCTCCTGCAGTCGCCCTCCACGAATCTCTCCATCCTCCCTGCGACCCAGCAACTATCACCACACCCTCGAGAGCATCGCAATCTATCTCAAGACCTCTTCGCGTTTCCTGCCTCTCGACACCGCTTGTGCAGCATCGGTGGTCGACAGCGCACCGCCATCGTCCGGCCTATTCGCCTCCTAGCCTCCACCTCCTACCTGGCCCGAGCTACTTGTACCTGGGCGACCACCTCGAGGACACTACAACTACGTAGCCGACCGCTACCTTATTCTTCTCAACCCCGACGGTGTCATCGTACTCCTCCAGCTCTCAGGGCTACACAAGCATTTACACCACGAATCCTCGTTCGTCTCATCTATGACATCGCGGCTCGTTGGGAGCTGTACGAGAAGCGTAACGCGATGCTCCAGACCCCGATGACCCCGCCCTACGAAGATTCGACCGCCACATTTGGTACCGATAATGGCGTGCGGCCGCCTACAGATGCTCTCGCGGATCCTCCTATGGTCAATGCTACGAATAGCAATGCCATGAGTAGTGTTAACAGACTCGAAACCCCGGATATGGACGACGACAAAGGCGCTGATGGCTCGGTCGACGAAGATCAAGACATGTCAGATGGAGGGGCAACCTTGACCATGACACATACCCATGATGCGCTACTAGATACTGGTCTAGTTCAGCTTGAATCGGGACTATTTGGGCTGGAACAACATCTAAATGACATGGAGTCAGAGCATCTGCTGGATATGGAGTCTGGTTCAGCATCTCCGTCTTCCACAGCCCCAACTACACTTCACGTCGAGTCCGTAACGCAAAATCCAACATACGCGCAACAGCAGCCGCCGGATGCGTCCATGGAAGAAGAAGCCCCTCCACCGACCCATGATAATGCCGTTCTTCCAACCACACTGTCTGCAGTATCTTTACAGTTGCAACATCTTCAAGATGGACTGGATCTTGGGGAAGTCGGTATGGCTGCGGATGATCAAGAGGGATCCTTTGCAAATACAAGTAATGAATCCATCTCCTTGTTCCCCAATTCTTCATCTACCTCATGGGTGGAGCCTTCCACCTCGTCTGCATTTGGAGCTGCGCCAGAGGCTGTAGAGATTCCAAACGTCCAACATGATGCGAGCGATTGGCCGCCGGCTACTAATGCTGCACCGTTGGTATCACTCGAAGATCATGTTCCTTTTGAAGAATTAGCGGATAATATGTCAGATGCTGACCATTCTGATGTGGAAGATCACTACAATCTCAGTCTCGGAGAATTCCTGTACAATTGGGGCAGATCTGCTACATTGGTTCACGACCAACAACGGAAGCGGAGAGCCCCACACCTATCTTCAGTCTTTAGACAAAGAGACCTTGATCCCCTCGAGCCGGTACGACGGAGCGACCTACAAGGTGAGCTATGTGATATGCAAAGAATAAATTGGACCGAACTGGGCGTATCACGGCAAGAGGCAAAGCGAATGCGGATGCGACTTTACAATAATTATAGGAACGTTCGGCCTCAGAGTCATCATTCAAGTGTAAGTTACCACTCATGCTCAGGCAAAGGGACGGAACACTAAGTGCCTAATTAGTTGCTCAATCAAGGTGTTTCATTGGTTGATGATGAAAACTACTTTCGCTTTCGTCGCATGGATTTTGACCACAATGTTAAGTTGACCCATTTCCAATTAAGAAATGTCATGGCTTGTGCGTCGCGAGGTCACGTATTCTACGCGGGCAGGTCCAGAGTTTGGCAGTGGAATCCGTCCTCTATCAAGAACAAGACAGGGCCGTCGTCTGTTGCCATGGAATTGACGAATATGACTATTCAACCTCTCAACGGGATTCCTGGTGGTATGCAAATATCAACTCTAGATACCGCACACGACATTCTTGTGGCAGGTGGATTTTGTGGCGAATACGCCTTGATAAATTTAAAAAGTCACAAGGATACCAAACATACTGAAGGACTTATTACGGATGAGTTGAATGCGATCACAAATCATGTCCAAGTTCATCAACACCGCGGCTCTTCCTTGCCGGTTGCCGCATTCTCCTCGAATGATACTGGATTTCGAGTTTTAGATGTTAACACGAACACGTTCATCCAGGAAAACAAGTATGACTGTGCAATGAATTGCAGCGCCATCTCACCAGATCAACGTCTACGCGTATGTGTTGGGGACACGAGAGATGTCATGATCTGTAACTCCGATACTGGGGAGATTTTGCAGAGACTAGATGGTCATCGTGACTTTGGCTTTGCTTGCGATTGGGCGGATGATGGCTGGACAGTGGCCACCGGAAACCAGGACATGCAAGTCAAGATATGGGATGCGAGGAAATGGAAATCTGCATCAGGGTCTTCGTATCCGATCACGACAATTGAGTCTGAGATGGCTGGTGTGCGGAAACTCAAATTCTCACCTCTCGGTTCTGGCAAGAGAGTGCTGGTAGCAGCAGAGCCAGCTGATGTTATTAGTATTATCGACGCACAAACATTCACAAGCAAACAAACACTAAACTTCTTCGGGGAGATTGGCGGTGTCGACTTCACAAACGATGGGCAAGATCTCTTCGTGGCTAATAGCGACAATATGCGTGGTGGGATCATTCAATATGAACGTTGTGGACTGGCCGATGATGGACTACACAGGCTTGAGAGCAACAGACAGTACCGGCAAGATGGGAGGTCGCGGGGCTACGACTGGATGTCGGACGAGGATGAACTCGTAGCACATCCAAAGGCTCGAAGAACAGCGGCACATCGACAGCGGAAGGCGGCCGATTTAGGCGTCACGATTGGCCATTTTTGAATCTCGTCAAGGTAATGAATGTACAGTGCCTTGCTTGATTGAATATAATGGCAAACATGATTATTCTTATCTATTCACACGACTCTTAACGACACACATACTACATATTCGGCGCTTTTTTTTGGACGATACCATGGGATTTTTGGGAAGGTGGATGGAAGGGGAGGAAATTGGAGTAAAGGGGAATCACATGACACCACCATACTCATAACGTGGCATCTCGATGCCATTATCCTGGCATGTTTGCATTTTGGAGGCGTCTTGGGATTCATTGGGTTTGACATTTTCCCAGGCTTGGGATGTGGGATGGGTTATCGCATTGCATCTTTGCATTCTTGGGTGATTGGATTCGTCATGGGAAAGTCGCTCAATGGGAACTCATCAATACTGGTCTGGAAATTACCAATCTGGACTCGTTCCTCAAACTGTAAATGGTGATTGATTGGTGAAGCTGACGAGTGTTCATGTGTGGCCGGATCGATAGTACATAGGCACATACATCAGGGAAAGTGAGATACTTCAAGTCTGGCGTTATAATCGTTAGCAGCATTAGCGTGATTTCAGTCGCATGAAGCGAAGTATGTCAGCGTCTAGATCTAGGCCTCGCTAGCTAGCGAATATAACCAAGAGTACAAGTAACACAAGTAAAATGTCAGGAAAAAACTTTTCATATTTTTTTTCATGCTATGAATTGGTGTTCTACTAAACCATGTCACAAGGATCCTAAGTAATCGGCTAAGCGAGCTCTAAAGTCGACCGGTCTGGCTAGGAAACAAATGACGGGGTCAAGCTAACGCCGAACCATATTATGTGAGTACATTTAAATCTATCTAGTTACAAGTCTTCATAATCCACGATCTGTACCTGCTCCCATGAAGTTAGTAATCGATGTCTTGGGTAATTTGCCGTCGACGCGAAATATCCCCCTCTACGACTCACCATCCCGCGACACTTTTCTTATACGAAAGAGGTGGTACATGATTTGCTTTTGCTCGATGGTGTGATAATCTTACATTTCTTGTCAGTTAGAATGAAACTTCCATGAACCACCCTCTCTCTCTCTACACACAAACTTAATAAAAAATAACTTCTCATTCTTAACGCTAGATGGAAGATGACTCCATCCAAGTTGCACGAAGTGAAAACTAGACGGCCTATGAATCTGCAGACTTTAATATTGCTTGCTTGATATGACTAAGGTGTATCGTAGACACCTCTCTGTACACCCAACAGACCAAAGTGATATCTACTCTCGATAAAGCACTGGGTAGTTTGCCAACATCACTTCAGCTCTCGTCTCAACAACACTTTCTACCGCCGCCGCTTGCCAAAACCCTAGTAAACGTCGTAGACTCGTAGCGTAAAACACTACACACGAATCATTCTTCTTTCAAGTCCCGAGATACAGAACATGTCTGGACCAGGTTACTCACGCAAGCACAGCCTCTGAAGTGAATCTGTCTCAGCCAATTGCCTCATGGTGGAACTTTAATGGAAGCAGAAATATTCATGAGCGTCAACTTTTATCGCTTCCAAATCATTTATTAAATGATAGAAATGTTCGAGACATGGCTACATGCTCCAAATTCACTTATCACAAATCAAACGATCGTTCTGAAAATAAAAATTACTTTATACAGATATATAACATGAGCGCTTGCAAGCTAAATCACACAATACAACCAACCTCAAAAGCAGAACGCCAAAAAATAGATGACACGCCCAAATGAAACTTGCTTCATTGAAGAGATACAACGCACATCAGTACCTGTACCATAGGGGTTTTCGGATTTGTACGTCTTCTCTTTCTTTGGTATACACAAAATTTTCATCACAACTCCTCCTCAAATACAGTTATCCCAGCTGAATAATGTAATGAGGACACCAACAACTCCTCCCATGTTTTAATCACAACTTGATAACTTTCATTGTTCCCGTTTGTCTCATCAATCTAACCAAGAATTGTACAATTGATATCTTTTCCCTCGCATCCATTTCGCAACAAAAGAATGGTCGTTGATTGATTTAGACTTTGTTGAAACTCGTGGTAGCGATATTGCCGGGGGTAATGTAAGAAGGAAACGCTTAAAAGACGTGGACGGCACCCCAATGTTGCTCACATCCGAACTCTCCAGCTGGCTTCCATGGGTCATCAACGTAGGAGAACATGACGGACTTTCCACCAACGCTTTCGGCGATCGACTTAAGAGCAACAGCCTGAGCTTCTGGACCTGGGCAGGCCTTTCCGTTACATTTTCCAGCAGATGGCCATCCGGTCTCCAAGTTGATACCAGTCTTTCCTGGGCAGAGACCATCAACGATATCAAGTTGGGACTTGACGAAAGGTCCAGCTCCGGAAGCCTCGACATCAGCGTTGAAGAATGGGTGAATGTTGCAACCGACAACATCAACGGCACCACAGAGAGCACCGCTGTTTGCTTGCCAGGTATTGAGAGGCTCGGTGGTGGTGCATTGTCCAGAGTATCCGGCAGCGGCAAACTTGGACTTGGCATCGGTGATGAAGCTAGCAAGAGCGCTGGCAGAGCAGTAACCGTTGAAGACGGCCTCGTTACCGATAACAATAAGATCAACGAGGGAGAATTTACCCCAGCTGATGATGTCGCTAACCTGCTCGGCAGCTTCACCGAGGCCAGTGCTGCTGATGAAAACACCAACAATCATACGGAGACCGGAAGCCTCACAAGCAGCACCAATGTTGGTGAGACCAGAGCAGTCAGTGCTGTAGACACGGACAACAGAGAAGCCAGCGGCCTTGATAACGGCGATATCAGACATGACAGATGAGGCGCTCTTACACTCACCAGACTTGGTGTATGGGGTGTAGGTCATGGCCCATTGGTTTCCTGATGACCCAAGTTGGCCAGGGGTGGAAGAGGAGACCACGCTGACGGACTTGGCTGGAGGCGCAGAGGCAACAACAACGGCAGGAGGAGAAGAGGCAACGACTACTGGTGCTGGGCTTGAAACGACGACTGGAGCGGCCGCTGGAGTGGTTGGTGCTGGGGCAGCGCTTGAAGCGGTCAATGGGCAGAAGATAACGTAGTTGGTCTCTACAATGGTGGTGGTGATAGCCTCACGGGTGTAGGTCCCTGGGGTGAAAGTCGCCGGTGTTGGGTAAACCAAGACTGTGGCGGTGGAAACGCTAGTGGTTGAAGGAGCAATGGTGTATGTACCGGCGGATGGGCATACATAGGTGGTTGTCTCGATGACGCTGGTGACTACACCAGAGTTTGTGGAAACGGTGGCATATGGGCAAACCTATAGTATCATAATTAGCCTCTTGACCTCCCCATTTCATATTGCCTGGTTCTAATTCCAGGCCTGATGCCATCGAAGACCCGCGGTCGGTTCTAATACTGGCCCTTATCCTCCTTACAATGACCTAGAGAACAAAAGGAATCTCGTGAGACTTACAACGGTGGTAGCGGTCTCAACAACAGTTACGACACCTCCGTAGGTGTGCTCACCGGCTGGGACGGAAGTAGTAGCGGCACCACAGACGGTGGTGGATGCAGTGATGGTGACTGTGGTTGCTGGGATGGTGTAAACACCTGGAGTTGGGCAGGTTGATGCCAGAGGAGTTGGGACTGGGATCTCAGGGGTCTTGGTGCTTGTTGGAATGGTTACAACTGGAGCAGGAGGGGTTGAGATGGTTGAAGTGGTTGAAGCGGTGGAGGTGGAGCTGACTGCAGCGACACTGGAGGTAGAGATGGAGATGGCGATGGAGGAGCTTGGAGCTGTGGTAGCTGGAGCTGGTGGGTTGTAGACTGTGACTTGAAGTTAGCGATCTGATCTACTTCCATGTTCCGCCACCCCGAAATTCCATATCACGTACGAGTTCCTTCTCCGGTGATAGTGGTGTAGATGGTGGTGCATCCACAGGTCTCCGGAGAGCCAGTTCCCGTTGCCATCAATCCTCTCTCCAAGTGAAATGCCTGGTGGGCATGGCGACGCGCCGCATGGTTTTGCTTTGCGTTGACACCAACAGCAACCGCCGCAGCGATTGCGAGAAATCCGGCCTTCATGATTGTTTACAACGTTGAAATCGATATCGGTAGAAAGGGATTAGGGTGAGGGTGCGGAATTAGTATTTACTTCTAGGGGAGAAGAATAACAACAATAACGAATGCCCGCTGAAAGAGTGAAGCGGTGGTGAGGAAAGAATGTAGAGCTCTGACGAGGATCACAACATCAACATCTAGGAAAAGAGACGAGAAAACAGCAGAATTCGGGGACGTCGACGAGGTAAAGAGGCTGCGCGAGAGTGATTGCGGGTCGGGGAGGAGCAGGGGCAGCTAATGAAAAGAGGGTCGCCAGCATGAAGGCCTGTCTCTCGTTGGCCCATCAGGGGACCAGGAGGACATTCACGCTCGAGCAGACCGGCCTGCAGAGGGAAACCATTGTCGCCCACCGCGCCAGTGCCGTCACAGGAGATCATACCGAGCATCTTACTCCTCTTAGCCTCCTAGCCACCAAGAGAGTCATTGCCTCCTATCGACCCCTTTTGCTCGTACAAGATCTCCTCCGACTCGAATACCGTTGGATGCCATTTCTCTCCCCGTGGAGGAAGGAGATGCTGTTCGTCTGCCACATAGCCGGGGTTCTCCTCTGAGTGCAACGCTGTGTCTTCTGACGGGGAGCGGTCAAATTAGATGTTGTTGGAGAAGGCTGTATGGTCGTCGACCGCTGGCAACGTCTAAAAGGAGGTTGACGGTTGTTGGCGAGGCAGGAACACGGCCAATCACACCCGCTAGCCAATTTGCGGGGTGCTTCTGAGCGTTCTGTCCCTGCGTTAGTTCGTCCAGTTGTGTCCGCAACTCCCGCGCCACCGCTGCCAATCTCAGCCCGCAGCGGTTGGGATGAGCACAGGAAGAGGAACACAGCACCCAGAAAAGGAGGTCGACAAATCAGAACCGTCCTGGACCTGACAGGAAACACCACACCTCGTCCCTATGAGGTCAGCAATGCAAAGAAGGTTCGACAGCGGCGGGAAGCCAATTGACCTGTGCAGTCCCAAGCCGTTGCAATTGCCAGGCAATGCCAGCCGGTGAGCCCAGAGTCAAGAGTCAAGAGTCAAGACTCTCCTGGGCAAGAGGAGGCTCATCTTAGAATCGCGTTTGTACGAAGTGTACGACGGATCCGACCTGCCCTCCGAGAGCTAGTCACCCCCCTATCGCCCTTCAAGAATCCAAAATTCCCCAAAACAGCAGTCATGTCGGTGAAAACAATAGCGATCGCAATGGGAAACACAGCCTCAATGGACCCAATGGCGTGGCAGCCATGCGCTTGAGACCGTCACAAAGCCGTTGGCTCATGCCTCATTTCCTCCGTGAAGCCATTCGCACGAGTCAATCAATATATTTCCGATTGATCCGTACAATCTTCAAGAGCACAACCCTTTCGGATCCTGCTTGTCATCCAAACACTCCCAACTCCCGATGCTCCTAGATCCAAGTTCTTGTACCAATAATCCAATGCAACCAAGCTTACGCAAACATAATCATCTCCCGTCCCTCACATCATCGTGTGTCCCTTAATTAGACACAACTCACGGTTTGTCGGTCGGTAGCAGCGTCTGGCTTTTCGGCTCAGCATCTCAACTGCAACGTGCTGCAACCGGGCATCCGATTTTGGTCTACTCGAGTATGGTTACGCGGCAGCAGGTTGTCAAAATCTCGCACACGACAGACATCTAGATTCTGCACCAGGCGTCAGGTTACACTTCTGCACACACCCGTGGCGGAACCCCTTTTAGTCAGGCACCAAATCCCGCCAAATTGTATGCTTAAATTGATCGACCACCCACCACTGCACAAGCCTAGGCAAACACCCTTTAGCGCACCTTTTTACCCAAATCATCCAGGAGGAGATTAAATCGGTCGCTTCACCGCCAGCCAGTCGGCGCTATTTTCCATCGGAATTAAATAGGAGATTGCCCTACAGGAATACGGGGTCGTCGCGGGGGAGAAGCTTGGGGTGTTGTCGGGAAGCTCCATCCCTCTATGGGTCATCATCATTGCATTGTCATCGATGTCGTCAAGACAAGACTTTCTTCCTGACGAGTCTACAGCAACACACGATCGCACAGTGGCACAGATTCCCGGCACTTCAACGTCGTGGATGCGAATAAACGTTTCACTCGGTAATCAGAACAGTTGCTTTGTGCCAGAGACATCTCATCCCATCAGATGAGACATTGAGAGCTCGAACCGTGGGATAGTGCAAGCCACCGACGGTTATCAGACATGTTTTAACGCTAGACTTGCCACAGAGACGATAACTGAAGATGTGACATCGATAGCGGCGAGACAATATGCTCAATTGCCGGATTAATTCATTGTCATGTTTTGGTGACTTCCCTATTTATTTAACCATGTCTTTTACACACCCTCACGACTCCAAAGTTCATGTTGACATAAGTTATACGAATCTAAACACGATCAAGGGATGTACATTATACCGCTCTTCGGTTATCGAATGCTTCAAAAGTTTTGTGAGAAAATGAGTGACCGCTCTTCCAAACATCTAACTCCCTACCTTCTTTTTGCATTCTCTACACGTTGAAGACTTAGGAGTTTATTCTTCGCGAGCTCCCCATCTATCATTATGGGATTGGGATCACAGTCCATGCTCTTCATATTGGAAATCAACTCGACCAGATCCGCCACGCGTTCTGATCCTGAACAGGTAGGTTCCTATAAGGATGGTCTTGACCTCTGAAAATAGTTATCAACTATGATGTGTTGCAACTGAAGAAGGCAGGACTCTTCGCTCTGCACTGGAAATATACATTACAGTTTTGACCACTGAGTGAGTGTTCAAAATGTGGCGGCCAGTCAATGCCAGTTTGGATGTTCAGGAATTCTATATTGCTACATAAAATTCCCGAACTGGTCTATCCATCTTACACTCCCCACTTACTTCATCTACTTACAGCACCTGGTATTCTCATTCTTACAGTCAAAAATCCTAATATGCATCTTTACATCGTGTCGAACAACTTCTCTTCAATCAGAAATACCACTTTCCCTTTTTGAATCGTGCCAAACAAGAATACCAACTTCAAGATTATCTCAAAAGAAGCACATCACCTCTTCCCCTTTCTAAGAATTCTCCGTAAATGGTTGAACGGACAGAGTCATTAATCTTCTAGCAAGTTCAACGCCGACTGTCTGAAAGAGTTCTTGACTTGATTGTTTTTCGAATTAGCGAGAAAGAGATCGATAGAAAGAAAAAAGATGTCGTTGATATTATGAGATACGACACTTCCATGCTTGTTCTCCTTATTTGCTATGTCTATAGAAACCTACCCGGTCGCCATCAGTCTGTGGCGAACTGCTTGAATGAACGCCATTATAATTTATCTGATTCAAGAAATCTCACAACTATCAAGTTGAAAATTGTTAATACTTAGATAGATTGTGCCAAAGATGCCGGTCGAATCAATTGAATAATGCGTCCTCTCTACCTTAATCAATCACCCCATCTCGCCTAATTTGCTCAACACAAAAAACCTCCCACAAAAAAAGTAACCACCACCCAACTACCATCACAACCTCCCAAATACCATTTAGATACACCTTCATCTCACCTGCATTTACACTTGCACTCCCCAAACTCCCTTTCATCTCTGCAAAAATCGTCTCACCTCAACTCACCAAAATCCAAAAAGAAAGTGCTTGGACCGTGAATCGAACACGGGGCCAATGCAATCATGAATCCAGTTGACTGGACTCATTGGCAAGCATCGATTTTACCACTAAACCACCCAAGCTCTGATTGGTTGGAAGCACTTCGCTGTATTTTTATATATAATGTATGAAAATATGCGAAATGTGGAGTGGGTGGGGAAGTGTGGAGATGTGAAGGGACTAGTGGATTTTTGGGGGTTGGTGGGTTTTGTGTTTTCATGTTTAATGAGTCTAAATCTTGGGTTCGTATAGCATGTTTATGAAACTTTCTATCTGGTATGTTTACTTCTAGAGTGATGACTTTGTAAATTAATTTACTGATGTGAGGTCCATCTCAGATCGGGTTTCTGGGTCGGTGGCGAGATCCTACTTAGCATTGTTGGCATCAAAAAAACCTAGCAGCTCTTCACGAAAAACCAGACCAGATACTGCCCTAAAGATAACAGGCTCAAGGATGGAGTTCCTTACCGTCGAACTGCTGTTGTCAGTTCTCAACTGTACCTGGGAAGCAAGGGACGAAAGGTGGGGTCACCAAAATATCGACTACCAACACCACCTCGGATGCTTTCGAGAAGCTGATTGTATAGAGTTGTACTTGGTATAATGGATTCCGCCAGCTCTTAAATGTATGAGTGAACTCCTGGGACTCTAGCGTCTTGCTCCGATTCATTTCCAAGGTATCATCGTTGTGTTTACAGATCTAGAATGCTTTCAAGGCATGATCACCTACTCATGGAGATGCATCAAGGCTTCTGGGAAACTCAGCATGGCGAAAGAGGTGCAAGTTATCTTCTGGATGAGGGGTTGCTTTTGGAATTGGTCGATTCGAGAGTATAGAGAGATTCTTGAATCGGCACTACATGATGTTGCGATTTTGCTTGAAATTCAAACCTGAAGCGGGGATGTTCACATATACACGGCGTTCGAATATTGGTATGTAAAATGAATCTTTCCAGTCAGGAATTGGTTGTAAAGACAAACCACAGTGACTGATATCTTTGAAACACGCACTGCGCAGAACTGATTGTCATGAGTTTGATTTGTAACCATGTGTTTGATTAACCCGTAAGCCACCATCTAATAAGTAATTGCTTGGTACGTTCAATCGTAATTTTGATCTCCCATCTCATATTCACACTTCACCTATCTTACATTTATACAGGCCCCAGAATAATCCTCTAGTAGTGTGTTCGAGTAGGAATACCCGTTCCACGATCTCCAGAACCAGTACCATGATAACCCTTCATGCTCTTGCACAGTACTAGGTTATTCTCGAGAAACGCAACATCAACTTTAATCCCAGCAACTCCAAGATATTGCGAGTCTCTGTCTTTCTGGAAGAATGGTGCTTTGATTGTGATGTCTCCTACAATTGGTACTGGACGGTTCATACCGGTGGAGAGGGTAGTATTGAACATCATAATCTGATTGTCGCAGCCAACATCACCGTCAGTGAAAGCCGGCTGGTTAGTGACGTTGACGAACAGCTCCATAGGCCAACGCAAGTGACCTTGGGGTGTAAACTTGGTAGTTACAATTGGAGGGTCATTACTAGATGCGTTGGCAGCATAAGCGTCGTAATAGATCTCGCCGCGTTTTCCGTTTGGTGTGAAGGCATAAGCTTGGCCATTTGGACGGAAGGTGGCCGGGACTGGGATGGTTTTGTATGCTGCGACACCACCAATGGTGAAAGGATTGTCGGCCGAGATGATGAGGTATTCTTGGAAAGAGAAGCTGGAGTATCCATCACCGAGTAGATCAACAAAGGGGTAGGAAACGTGGACTGTCTGTAGGAGTTTGTTAGCTACCGAGATCGAGGGTTGATATTCAACGCAAGCTCATACCTGAAAGTCTGGAATAAGATTAACGCCGTTCAAACCAACATCATGATCAATGACCGATCTAATGATGAGCTACAAGTCATGTGATTAGCCTCCTTCTCGAATGGTATCATCACCTCGGGAGGATTGCCAAAACTTACAGGATACTGATCCTTCGGTAAAGCCGGGAGAATGCTTTGATATGCTTCCTTCAGGATACCAAATTTTTCTGGAATCAAACTGCGTGCCAAAGTATATGGAATTGGAACAACAACAATGGTGCCATTGAGAGTGCCCGTGATGCCTGTTGGGTAAAGAGTTCCAATGGGGTTTGGAGCTGATTCGCTGACGATAGTAGTATTAGATTGTCGTTCTTGAAGCGGAGCTGCTTTGATGACTGAGAGAACGCTCAATGCTGCGACTATTAAGCTGAATTTCGCCATGTTTACGAAGTGGATGAGAGAGATAAAGAGAGAGTTGATGATGTTGAAACTTCTTCTTTGACCAAAGTGCGATGAAAAAAAGTTGAAGAAGATCTGAAAAGATTCAAGCTTATATATCTATGAGATCGAAGCAATGGAAAGGTGAATTCGGCTACTTGTGATTCACAGATAAATGTGCGCAAGTCTCACTGAGAGGGCAGGGCTCCACCGGCTAGTCAATAGCCGTCCGGTACTTCCCCTCCACGCCACAACCTTATTAGTGAATTAGACCTAAAATGGATGATCTTTCGCAGCTTACTTGCTGGGATTAAGCTACGTAATAACGAGCCAAGCACCGAATTGTGGTTTCCGCGTCCCGGCGTTGTAGCTTTTGATTGTGGCTACCTGGGCATCTACCTCTGAAGGATCGGAATATCGCTCACAGTGAATGCATGAATAGGTAAGTAAGATGCCAAAGCTGTAACGATTAAATAGACCATGAGAAGTCTATTGTCGTCCCTTAAAAATGGCGTCACGTACAAAATTGTTTTACTATAGTCCATAAATTCTGGATGTATCATCCTGCATTGTTTATTATTGTACACAATGCCAACAGCAACTTCTTCCCGACGGGTGCCCGTGGCAAAGCAAAACATAACGACACAACTTTGAGTGCTTAGAGCGATCTGACGTGAGGCCAACAAGGCGACCGAATCAACAACAATGATCAACGGAAAGGCTCAAGTAGACATAAACTTCAATTTGTTGGCTACCCGTTCCTTGGGTTCGGCATTTGGAGGGTTGGGGCAGGGCCAGGGCGTGGGTGATCGAAATAGATCGCCAACAATTAGCGAATCTGTTGGTAAATATCAGTTGGACGTCCGATTGTTCTCAATCAGTATTCAATGCGGTTAATCCTATGATTTTTGATCTCATTTTGCTGTACTACAGATAGTAGGTCCTTACCGGAAACGCTGTAGAAGGCTTTTCTAATCGAGAGTCATCAAGACTTCATTGAATCTACCGCAAATTATTGGAATGTCTGAGAGATAGAAAACGAATGACCACAAGAAGATCATCTTGCCAAAAGTAAGATATTGAGATACTTGTCTCGTTGCCATAGTTGGGTCAAATGCCTTGGTAGATCGGTAGGGATCGTTTTCCACAACATCAATACTATCGACGTAGTTTAGATCCAAAGTTCCAGATGAAGTCCACAGTCTTAGAAGGGCGCTTTTCAAAATCACCCGTCAAGTCTCTTTTCAAAATGCCATTAATATAAGCCTCCTCTATTAGGATGCAATGATATTCAATTGGATGTAAAAAGACAGGGTATTTGCAAGCTAAAAGTATACAAAGCAACTCCCCAGGGAGTGTCGCTCGTGGGGCAAAACACGATTTGCCTCCGACGGAAATAGCGAGGGATTTTGAATGTATTCGTAGGCTTGCGGCTGATACAGCTGCATATTTCCCTTGCTGCTCTGAGGAGGTTTGCCCACTACGTGCTCTTCAAATTCTGGCGATGCGAAGTAAGATGCTTTTAGTACATGCCGAAGAACAAGGGCAAGAGCAAGGAGGAGTTGGTTGAAAAATCAAGATAAGGCTGAGAAGCACGAGCTCTCATAGGCACCGAGGCTCATAGATGACTTTGAACATTATTGATATGTTCAAGTCTTTATGAGACTGCATGCCTTTGGAACTGGCTCGGACGCAAGAGTTACTCTTTGCAAAGTAAGTACCACAACAGAAACTACAACACACGAGGCGGTTTGGAGGTAAAAAGTGGTGTCTTCCATACTAGAATATCACATCTCCATCTACGCGAGATACTTGTTAAACCAATCCTGTCCTTGTTTCTCAGACTCATCCATAGCCTTCTTATCTTTCTCCGAGCTCCAATCACTTCTAAGAGCAAAGCCATGGACCTGATCCTCATAAATCCTCAACTCGTGATCCACGCTCAGCTTTCCGAAAATATCCTGGATCGACCCGACACTCTTCTGGTCCAACATGCTATCCTCGGTACCAACAGCCAAACTCAGAGGCTTGGTGATGCCCTCGAAATCACCAGGGATAGCAACGAGAGAAGGATGGCACGCAACAGCTGCGTCTACTTCCCCGTGGGATAGGACAATGGCGTATCTTCCTCCCCAGCAGAATCCAATGGCACCGATCTTGCCGGTGCTGGAGTCATTACGAAGTGTGGAGATGAAGGAGCTGATCAAAGGCTTGACAACTGCCTCGCGGTGTCGGAGGAGCCAGGGAGGAAGTGTTGTGCCCACGTTTGCAGTAGACTTAGCTTTGTCTGTGAGCGTGAGATTCTCGCGATCCTTCAATGGTGGCTCGACTGATTGAAGAAAATCAATTGGGAGAGCATCGCCTTGGAAAAAATCGGGAATGTAGCAGTAGAACCCCTCCTTTGCGTAGTTATCCGCGAGCAGGCGTACGTTCTTGAATTCCCATCCAAAGACTGAGATACTGTCAGTAAATGATTTGAATATCTATGAAGGGAGTAACGTACTATCTGTGAGGAAAACAATTGACTTGGCCTTTGATCCATCTTTTGGCGCAGCAACATATGTTTGCAGGTTATCAATGGTTTCAACCTTTCCAGTTGGGTTTCCCTCGTGGACCTTGCCTGAAAGGCAGCATGAGCTCATTCCTACTCCTGTAGACATTTTGTATTGAATCTAAAGTGTAATTATTTATTTTTTAGTATAAACGTGAGGAGGCTTAGGGCATCAACAAACAAGAAGATGAAATATATTTTATTTCAACCCCTCAATGTTGTTCCAGACATCCCCCACTACCTATGACGTTTGGAGCTAAAATGGTCCAGGACTAATGCCGTGATGTCTTTGGGTCCTACCTGGTAGGATCAATACCCCTCGTACACTAATTAGTGATCGTCATGAACAACCCGAAATGGCGAGGTACTCCCGATGCGGACATTATTTGAATTTAGTACCAGGAGTGATATTAACGCCGACAATTATCATATTTGCAATCGGTCTTACAACGCCAGCAGTGCCAGCAGTATGTAGGAATACAGTACATCTTCGGTAGTTGTTAATTATGAATGAAGCTTTGCGCTATCGAGACATTCGATATTTTCGAAATATAGCTCTGTAGATTTTGATAGATATTTCAAAACCACGATTGTAATTCTAACTACATATCCAAGTTGCAAAGACCCAGTCAATGTATTGCTTCATTATGGTCCATCTTCTCAGTCTTCTACTGTAGTTGCAGTCACACTGTCCCCAACCTTTATAGTGGGACATTGACTTAACTTGGTTCCATCTGCTTGTTGTATATGGCACATATGCGAACCGAAAAATATTTTTGATTCAAATCTCCTCGTTCTCGCCAGCGTTACGAATGGCTCTTCATCTTTGTTAGCTGTTTCTTGGTTGATGCAAATCATATGACAGCGCCGACATGATCCTAACATTTTGAAATGTTGCTGGCCAATTCTGAGGGAGCTCCAGTGATCTTCGGCGTATGGCTGGGGTGCATCTACCCCGTATGACCCAAGTACCACATTCGCACGAAAGACAGAAGCAGCGACGCTTTTGCCTCCTGATCTGTTTATAGTCGAATTGAGCGAGTCGAGACTTGATCGATTGATGACAAGAATAGGACTCTCGTTAGATAATAGAATAGGCATTCTTGAGACTTCGCTATCGGAATCTGGAGGCGTAGGAGGACAAGGAAATGCACCTGGCATGGTTTCTTTCTGAAGAGAGTGTTTTGCTTGTCGCTGGTGTTTTTGCATATGTGCTTTGGAATGTCTCGTGCCACTACCTGAGCCACCAGCAGGAAATCTTGCAAGTGTACATGGGACATCAAGTATCCCGGAGAAAAATGCACTAACCTCCGCATTGTAGGTTTGTGCAACGATGCTATCACCACATACCCGAGAAGATAAGCATTTCTGGTTCTGTATGGACGTACAATATGCCGGATGAGCTGAGAGTGGGATTGATATTTGCTCAGTCATGCTCGAAGGGTCTCTATTGTAGCTGATATGCAACTGACCCGTCTCAAGATCAACACTGGGTCTAATGAGTGCCATTCGGGGATGTCTCTTTTGACTGAGAGCTTGCCCGGTGCCCATATGGATTAGACACCATTCCCTGTCCCAGGCCAGACCTTCCGGCTTAACATCCCACTGTGTATCTGGTGGTATACTGAAACCTCCGCAGCTCTTTATCGGATAGATGGTGAGACTCTCGACGTAAAGCTTCCCCGAGTCTTCAGAAGGATTGAGCTCGAAAGGTACAGGCATGGAAATGGATTCTGCGTAAAATTCTTTTACGAATTCGACAAAAGCATCAACGTCGCCGATCGTACTCATAGCGCCCAGACTTGCGCGCAGTATACCAGTGATTTTGCCAGCATAGATATCACTTTCAACACCACATCTAAATCCCGAAGAGAAATTTCTTCTAATCTCCCATGGCTCAAGTTCTAGGGATGTGGCAACGCCACCTGGATTGCACAGTCCACCACTTCGAATATGGAAGTTGCGTACGGCAGCTAATCTTTCAAATTCAACATTGCTGACCCAAGCACCATGACTGTTTCGAATGTTGAATGCTACAACAGGACCTTGCCTCTCGCTGGTGATATTCGAGCCGAATCCTGCAGAATGAATCACACAGACGGGTTCAGAATTAGCATGCCTAAGCGATGCTAATCCATCATGCAATCTTTTCGCCAAGAACGCAGTATGCTTCGCGATGCGGTCCATAGACTTATACAGTATTTTATGGACTTCCATTGCCGAGTCTAATGCCATGATGCTATGAAAGGGTAAAGTGCCATCTTCAAGACTTTCATGTAGAGACTGCCCTTTGAGTTCATGCCATTGTTCTTTGACTGACACCACGACATCAACTGTACCTCCACCAAAATACTTTCGTGCTTGTAGAATCCTTCCAGACTGTTTTCGAACAATCAAAGCTCCGAGGTCTGGAAAACCGAATATTTTATAAAAGCTTAGGACAGTAAAATCCGGCGCATTATCGTTGTCACTCAAATCTAATTGAGAAGTGGAAACAAGAGCAGAAGCGTCTAGTAACGTATACGGAGCGCTTGACGTCGCCGTGGCAAGCTCCTTGGATCGCTTGATCCAGGAAAGAGGAAGTCGTCGGCCATTCAGATTGGACTGTGCTGGGTACGCAAAGAGCGTAGCGAGAGAACTTCCACCGGATTCTTCTGTGTCTCTGGTCCCCTGTAACCAGTTTTCGACGCCTTCATCATCAAGACAACGACAGTTTGCAGAACTTTCTCTAACGCCAACCACACTCGTGTGAGAGTCTCTGTGATAAATGTAATTGAAACCTCCGTCTAATTCTCGCATAGCTTCCATAACTAGCTTGATTCCAGCAGTAGCATTTGCGATGAATACGACATCATATACATCGGGATCCGCTTTGAAGAACTGTAACACTATGTGGCGTATATCTTCAATTCGACTCGTGGTCAATTGGGAGGAGGGTGAAGCAGAATGTGGATTTCCATAGAGATTTGATACCATGTCAGTCATGAACTTCTCCATGAAAGACTTCGAGTGAAGTGTGGTTCCAGCATGGTCGAGATAGATAGCATCTGATTGTACAATTAGCAGAACTTCCTCCACTTATGGAAGCTGGTCTATACCTTTGAGCATAGGATACTCTAGCTCTCTAAATGCCTCTACATCAGCATTGTACTCAGCCTGCATCGTAGCTATAAAGCACCAGATTAGCTATAAAGCAAGTTCGCTTTTCCATGGGAAATGAGGCGAATGGTCCTTTCTTTAGGGGACCACATCTGCTCGTGATAAAGAACAAAACAAAATCAGTAGCCGGCGCCCAGCGCAGAGTGCAAGCTGCCGCCTCCTCCACTCCCTCCACTCTTTGAATTTCACCATCGGAGGTCGCCTTTCCTCGGTGCTTGCCCGCCCTCCGCACGGATTATCCTTTCGCCGGGAGTCGCCAACCTACAGACGCGATGGAAATATTTTGAGAGCGACGAGGACATACTCATCATAAGCAACAATGTTACGGCCCACCCTCGTCCCGCGAATAGGTCGCGCTCTCTTCACGCAGTCCCGGCGCTCTATCCAGACAGTTCCTCCATTGGCACACGATTTCAGGAATGGGGTACCGAACCTGCTGTCGCCAGGAGGTTTCGATTTGGCATGGACACAATATCAGAGCTATCTGGTGGAAAAGCTGAATGCTACCACAGCAGGTACGGAACTCCATCAGCAAGGCGCATGAAGTCTTCTCAAAAGTCTCAAGCATTGAGCCACTGCTACCACTCCTGGCTAGCAACAAAGCTTCAGAAAACATCAATTGCCGTACTGACCTGCAAGTATAGGTCTAGATCTGGCATCATGTAAACCGAAAGATATCATCCTAAAGACCGCTCGAGATCCTTCAGCTGCCGCCATCTTCAATTACGCCAGTATGGCGCATAACAACCATTTCTTTTTCAGTTGCCTTTCTCCGAATAAAACCGCAATGCCAGCGACTCTTAAACACAAGCTGGAACAATCATTTTCCTCCATCAACACCCTAGAAAGGGAAATTGTGCTCATGGCATCCTCGATGTTCGGCCCGGGATTCGTGTGGCTGATGCAGACGAAGGACGGGAAATTCAGCTTGTTGAACACATATTTGGGCGGTACCCCTTATCCACAGGCGCATTACAGACAGCAGCCCGTGGACATGAACACCGAAGATCCAAACGTTCCCGAATCAGTGCGGAGAAAGCTTCGCATGAACCCAGTAAACACGGTTGGTGCCCACGGTGTGAACAGTAAAGATAGAATTCCACCCGGAGCTACAGATCTCACGCCAGTTTTGTGTATCAACACCTGGGAGCATGTGTTCATTCAGGATTACGGCTTTGGTGCGGGCGGCGTGGGAGGAAAGAGAGCTTATGCGGAGGCCTGGTGGACGGCGATTGATTGGAATGTGGTCGCTGCAAACTCGTCTCTGCAATCCACCGAATTTGAGAGGTGATAGAGGGGGAGTCGATGTTGTAGCATATGAAAGATGTGGCGTTCAGGCATAGGTCGCTCTGATAAACCGTGTACTATATTGTATGATGGCCTAGAAGGTCCTTGTGGCTAGACGATATATGAAAACACCAATTCTACTGTTGAAGACGTTGGGTGGTGTGGAGAGCTGAAGCTCTCATCAAGCGTGCGATCAAACTAGAGAATTTTCACTCAGACCCGAGCTGCTGCTCAACCACCGAACCGGAAGCGACAAGGCGAACACAGCGCTCTACTTCAATTCTATATATCTATATCTCATTTTCGGATAACTGGGCAAGTGCCTTGAAACTTTCACTTTAGAAGTGAAAGTAAACATAGCACCAAGTGGTCGCGTGGTTTTCCGGTGTAATGAAATTACTCCCAAGAGCAAACCCATTTGGGGGGGAATTTCTGTTTTTGAAAATTTGCCAACACGTTTCACTTCGTTCATATTCAAGCAAGACACTTTTAATCACAATCTCACAAATTATATCCGCTTTACGTTACATGATATTTCAAAATTTCACGTTTATAAAAGCCTTGTTTAGTATAACTTATTTTGATAACACTCCTCAAATTAATCACTATATCCTATCCCACAAAGGAATGTCCATTTATCAACCCACCCCTCCCATATACATCTCTCCTCCCAACTTCCTACCATCTCCACACCACATCTCCAAGCGGAGAACACACGATATAAAAAAAGCAGAATGCAAAGCTATGCCACCCAAACCCAAAAACAAAACTCGCTAAGCAAAAAAAAGGGAGTGTTTATATACTTTTTGATAAAGCTCACGATTCAAATCATGCTCCCATTAACAGTAACCTCAAACCCCTCACTCTTCTGCTTCAACGCCTTCGCAAGCATCAACTCCCTCATCCAATCAATCCTCTCATCGCGGCTCTTAACCGCGAAATAATGCGTCTTGCTACTCGCCTTGCCATCCGGCGCCCCGCCACCCAACGTACTCTCTCTCTTTCGCAATCTCACGCCCTTCTCGATAGCCGCGGGGATCAACTGGAACGAGAACGCCGCTTCATCCTTCTTGGAGTTGCCGCGCGAGATGTTCATGGCCTTGAAGGCGGCGTTGAGCTTGGAGCCGCCGGCGAGCGAGGAGCAGGCGATGGCGTAGTCGTCGACGTCGATGTACTCGAGGGTTTCGAGGGCGGAGGCGTCCTTATGCATGGCGAGACGCGTGCCTTTGAGGGTGAAGTGGTGTTCGTGCCATTCGTGGCGGAGCATCTTGGTTTTGCGCTTCTTCATGAAGCCGGCGTGGCCCATGTCTTCGGTGGTCTTGATGGCGGTTACGGGGGTTGCGGACCAGGTGTGGGCGTGTTTGAAGGTGGGTGCGGTGGTGGTGTTCTCGTCTACGCGGGGCATGGAGGGGGCGAGGGAGGGTCGGCGGGAGGCGCGGGATAAGGTGCGAGCTGGTGGTAAAGGTGCTGCGTTGCGGTAGTTCATGTTTGGTGGAACGGATTGAGATGCTTCTCGTGCGATTGGGCCTAGGTTTACGGAAGTCACTGGGATATCCATCTCTGAGAATGGAGTGCCGAATCTGTAGAGTGTAGAGGGGGATTGTGTGATGTTGCGAAGATCAGGAGACATTGCTTCGGCACGATCCATGCGATATGGTGAGAATGCATTGGCAGATGCTGAGCGTGGTGGTGGGTTGAGACCTCCTGCTGGACGAGGTGGTGGGATGGCGAGTCTGGGAAGACCTCGAAGGGCAGTAAGCGGCCCTTTCAAGTTTGGGAACATCTCGAGTGGAGGAGTAGGTGGTTCTTCTGATGAAAATGTCATTTGGCGAGGGTCCATATGCTGAAACTGGATGAACTGCTTGACATGCTCTTGGGGATCTCGAGATATGACATTGCGGAGACTAGACTCTTCGAGAGGGCGGAACTGAGGTGTTGGTCCAGGACCGAGAACATCTGATGAGGCTACAACTGATGGAACTGTATCTGAAATTGGCCGAGTAGCTCCAGTCACTGCGTTGGCTGTGAGAGCATTTCCTGGGTCGCCAGCAACCCATATTGCTCCTCTCTCTGGACTGACCGGGTGCTCGTTTTGGAAGTTTTCTATCAAGCGTTGTTGCTTCCTCCACTTCGAACAGTTCTCTCCTTTTGAGCACTTGTGTGGCTTTGGAATGAGTTGTTCAATACCGACGATTGACACAGACTCGAGAGGAGTGATAACATCCCTTTTTGGTCGTCTTCTGGATTCATTGCGACTTGGGCGATCGTCTGTCGTGCAGTCGAGCTTCAGATTGTCCCTGCCCATTCTGGAACCTTGCCTTGACGGTAAGGCTGGTCTTGAGAACTCGGTCGCCCTGAATTCTATACATGGCGAAGCAACCTCTTCTATCGGCGTCGGTGGTTTTGGTGTGCTAGGCGCACTACCTCTGAGCACATGGATCTCATTCCATACCTTTGTCCGTTGCCCAAACGATTGAATGTCCAATTCTCTCAGATCCTCAAACTTCAGCGTAATTAAGATAGCACCGGAGATATCGTTCTCCTCAAACTTTTCCACAATCGCCGGCTCAAATCCTGCATCCCGCATCCACCTCGAGACCTGGTTTGGAGACCACGAAGCGACCTCGTATAAGTTTAAATGTTCAACAGCGTTAGTTAGCGAACTAAGGTGGCGATGCTGATATGGTATCTGGGGAACTTGTGGGGCGTCAAGCGCCGCTTCTTGTATATCTGAGGGTTTAGGGGTCATTGGTGACATCGCTAGTGTGTATTGTTCATCGGACGTAAGTGAAGAATCGACTGAAGCACGGAATAGATGGGGCCCTCTTGGTCCTTCCACTGGCTTTTTTACCACCGTTAATATATCAAAATTGAAGCCTTTGAATTCGTTCGAGTCCGGCGTCCGGATCTCCTCAAAGGAAGATAATGTGGTCTCACTCCTCCGGCCCGTCTATCGCTGGTGTTAGGTCGCGCCAACGGCGGTGAGCTTCAGAGTTACTCACTGAGTTCAAACTTAATCGCGGTGAGTTCTCTTCCTCAATCTCCATATCACTATCGTCATCCTCGAAATCCGTATCGAACATCTCAGTCGCATCCGACATTGGTCTCTCTTTTCTTGAAGGGTTTGTCCGCGGCGCCAGCGCCTTCATGTTAAAGAACGCATCTTGTGGGTGGCCCCTCTGGAACATCTCTATCCTCGAATCGAGGGGGGTTATTGGTGTCATTGAAGACTGATATGTGTTAGTATACGAGCGACATGACGTCTCTCACGGCGCAGAATGTACCATATTGTTGGGTATTGGGTGGGGGTATCTCTGAGTGAGGGTAATTGCCAGAATACTAGCGGTACCGTTGCCGGTGTTGTTCTTAATATGACGCTGAGCACGATATGAGGCAAACACAGGAAATCGCTGTAATGAAATACGGTAGCAGTACGAAAAGGGTCAGAAGCATCAAGAGGAGGGTCTTCAGGGACAGCGGCGCATATGTGAGTATATGTAGAACAGCAACGAGGGATCGTGGGCTTCACCGTCAGAGCGCCATAGGCCAGCATAATGCCGGTAGAAGGGCTTCAGCGCACATTGCTCTCTTTTTCGAGTGCTTCGGAAGGAGTGTTCTGCATGAGAGGGTGACTGTGACTATTCTGGACATGATGGCTGGCATAGCGCGGTCTGTCGAGTCTCCCCTCGCTCCTGTTGGTGGATGAAGCGGTCGCTTCGGGGGGGTTGCGCAGAGCGACGAAGATTACAGCATGGGAGGAAGAGGCACCCCCTCCACCCATGCTGGCAGCGTCAACACGAAAGGTGCAGAGCACTGCCAGTGGCCCCCGAGCCGGCCTCTGCTGCCAGTCAGCGGCCGCGGGCTGCAGAAGAGGCACAGCGATTCGTAGGATGGGGGAGGGATGGGGTAAGGGAGGGGGGCCTGTCGATGGATGCTGCCATCACGAAGGAAGTGAGCAGAGGGTCGACGAAGCGAGACGAGAGAGAGCAGAATAGATGTCGGGCGGGCCAATGGCGTCCTCGTCGCGTTGGCCCAGTCCAGACTCGGGAGTCTGCCATTTTCGTGATTCGCTCGCTAAGCCCACAATGGGGGTGGATTGTGCATTTTACGCGCCGAGGGTGTCTGCTTTTCACATCCTGGATACACCGCGCGATTCGTCAATTCGACGAACATCCACGGCCATCCAGACTTTCACAGAGCCAATTCAAGCAGATCGCTCCGACTAGATCCTCTCAAGCAGCGACTGAGACGGCTTCGGCGCGACGGGACGAGAACTCTCCTGCTCACTACTACTAGCACGCGGCCCGCAGCAGAGAAAGATCGATATCGGTCTGCAGACCAATGCGAATCGCAAATGCCTTCACACCTCTCACAGGACCCTTATTATTTACTAGATCGCCAGATAAAGTTCGGTCGACGATGGGAGGCGCGGTCCGCCAGAGAATAGCCCGCACAGGGGCGTGAAGATTAGGACCAGATCTTGCCCTTCCCCAGACAACAACCAGTTCAAAAGACCCTGAGTCGGAGGGGAACCACGGCTTTTACCGATATCATTCCCGCGATAGCATCTGTACGACCCCAAAGTACAGATGTACTCCGCTTCCAACATGCACTGCGATTGTCGTTGACGTCCTCTCTGCACCTGCATCTGCAACATTACTCCGCGATGTTGGAAGAGGGGGCCGGTTCGGTCCTATTCGCCATTCGGCAATATTTACACCTTTTTCCTGCTGCCCAGGAACCCATTGGGAGTTTATCCAGCATCTTTCCAACATGATCCAACATGCGATGCAAGCACTGTGCCGTTGGGTGCTTCCCGCCCCCATATCAGTGGTTAAAGAGAACAACTGAACTCTGCGCGTTCCGGGACTTTATGCTCGTCAGGAAGAAGGTGGAAAAGCAGCCACCCTGAAAACTTCCAAATCTCGATTAAGTAGAGCCAAAAACAACCGCCAGCTATATCCATATTAGTGCCGCTTTATCTGCCTGACAATAAGAACCCCGCCAGAGCTCAACCTCACTGCATAACGAGGCTTGACAATTATCGAAAACGTTTTCTCAATATCTCGACTCGAGCTTCCATTCCTGACACACATACGATAATTCATCTCATCACACGGCGAATGCAATTTCTCTTCACGGCCAACGATCTTCCCAAACCTGTTGATACCCAACTTGACATCTGATGTGAAGATATCCCGGCTGAGCGAAGCGAGGACGCGTGACTGTTGCTGGGCCGTTCTTTTCCGCAATACTAGTTGGATTGGCTATGAATCGCATCCTTCATATCAAGGAAAAGCACGATGGAGAAAATGTGCGACATTTCTCCGCCGTGGTTCGCTATGCTTGACCTGGTTTCCGAAGCTCAATAACTGTCCCTCAGGGTCCATCTAGCTTCTCCTTCCAATCGTATTCACAGAACGCACTCACACTTGCCTCACATGACCATATTCTGCTGCGAGGTGCCCACCTTCGAGTCACCACCAGTTCACAAACTATGAGACACACTATGTCATGAAGGTCCGAAGAGGTCGCGTTGCAGGCTTGGAAGAGCAATGGATAATTGATGGTATCATGACGGTGTTGTGAAAGCACCAAATCATGGTGGTGGAAGCACGAATCTTCCAAACGCAACGTGCCCAAGTTGGAAAGGACCGGAAACGGGAGCCCACATCTCCACTCTCACAGAAGCCATGCGGAGGCCGCAGAGAATGCGGATAAGACTAGCTTATCTTGACAGGTCGCATCAAGCATGCCAATCTCATATCGACAAGAGTTGGGGGGGGGATTTTGAGGAACGTCGTTCAACAAGTGGTGATGTTACGACTCAGAACGTCGCGGGGTACAAGACTAGGCTTGTCAAGCATGTCTGGTCCATCTAGAGAAGGGATGCGGTGCGCGAGTTGCGCGCCCCGTCTTCTTCAATGGCATTAGTTTGGATTAATGAGAGCATTATTAGGCGATCTCACGAGGCAACTCGACATCAGATTTCAAGAGACAACTGATGTGGGTGGTATCTGACCATCTTGGAGAGCCATCACTGCATCAGATCATGATCCGCACTCCGCGAGATGAGAAATGGCCTAATCGAGCGATATTCATAATGGCTCTCAGCCATCCAGATCGCATCCTGGACAGCCGACGATATCAGTGGTTGATAACATGGTGATGAGCAATAAGACCCTGACGAGCGAGGCAGAATCCAAGGGTCGGAGCGAAGGTCCAACGCCTGCACGTCTGCAGAAAATCAAGCCTGGGGAGAAACCTTCACCACGGTGGAGAAGAAAGGCGTAACGGGGGTCCAGCCGCAATCCATGAACGAAAAGCCAGAATTCAGGATAATTTGGTCACATTGGCAATATCACTAATTTGCCTGCATTGTCGTCACAAAGGCCAATAATTAGCCAACATTAGCCCTCGATGTGACGAGACAAAGGGCCCAAAATAGAACTGCATTGGGCGGTTAAGTGTGATTGTTGGTGCTGAGGTGCGTGGGGAAGGGCGGACATTTGGGGCCAAATTAGCAATCAATATTTGGAAAGAATGCTGGCTAACGTCCCGATCGGGCACAATTATGTTTCTTTAAATATCTGGCTGGTCTGAGCGGCCGGTGCGGCGTGGGAGGGAGCTCCATCCATCGTTATCACTGATTATGCAAGAAATGACAGAGGACGGGAGCATGGGGGTGAGCAGCATCAGGGGCTGTCGAGCTCTGGCCAGGGCATGACCTGCTAGCGTGCTGCACGAGTTTAACCCCGCAAGAGCTCGAGCTTGCTTGCGTGATACAATTGGCCAAAGCGGCTGCCAGGGCACGCACAGGGGAGCGAGGGAGCGGGAGCGCGGGAACCAACGAAGAGCTTCTTTGACGGAGCGCTAGTGCTCGGTTCGATCACGACGTCTGCTCGTCGCCAATCATGGCCGGATCGCATGCAACCTCACCAGGAAACCTGGCTTCGTCGAACCTCGAGAAAGCGGTGTCGCTGAGCCCCAGTCCGACAGCGTTGTAAGACACCACATTGTATCCACTACCGTCTGGAAAAGCCAGTATTCCAGTATTCGATATTTCTCGGGGCGAAAGAGAATGTTCTACGAGAGAAGCCCGAGCCGAACCAACCTTCAGACCGCTCTTCACTGGTTGAATTTTCCTCCAGTCCTCGTCTGACCGCTCTTTACGCTCCACGATTCGCGGAATCGTGAAATTCGAAGTGCTGAATGCTTGCCGGATCTGGCGATTGTACGACGGCTCGCACTTGCTCACCGCGAGACACCCGAATGACTTGACGGAATCGTCTTGAGCAGGGTAGTCTTTCCGGAGTGTGCAAATTTCGCTTGTTATTGTCGTCGTTATCTTAATGAGCATTTTAAAGTGTTTTCTCATATCAGACTAGAGTGTTTGCAAGGGCCTAAAAAGCCCTATAGCGCAGATGTGGTAAAATTTCCCCAGGCTTTTTGCTAATCATCCGCGAGATTAGATCAAGCATGAGAGCACTGGCTTCGGCGTCGTTGAGTGATGAGTCCTCCTCGTCGTGGCCCGTTCACTCGGCATAAATGATCTACATCTGCGGAAAGGCAGACAACGTTTGGCTCTGGACGTGCAGAACACGACACCATCCTTTGTACCTCGTCCACACGTATCTGGTGGACAGCTACCTCGTTGTAGGTACCCTTTGAGCTTGGACAGGATGGATAACAACGCAGCACCGTCATCGCTTGCGAAGGTTAATATGCGACTCGTTACACCAAGCTAGGAACGACGGGAGGCAATTCGCAATCATTTACAGAGAGTGGCAGTTGCTGATAGCTAGGATGCAGGACAGAATAATGGCGTGCTAAATACTGGACGTTAAATGTGCCAGGGTAGCTCCTCAGTGCATCTGCCATGGCGGTCGAGATGTCGAGGTGTGGTTGGAAAGTGGAGAACGGTGGATGTGCGAACAGGCCGATGCTATCGAGTATCCTGTCGAGTACATCGTCCGTATCGAGATGCAGACAACTCCATTGTTCGGCAGAAAGCATAGGCCACCACTCGTACCACCCCGACTCTGACCTCCACTTACCCACTCTAAGCACGCTTAAATCTTTTTGATTGCTGCCATTATTACAGAGCGTGCTATACTCTGCGATAACGCACCCATTATGACTCTGGTGAGCAACCCTAGGGACCCCGGATCAACAACAATTCAGACGAGGATCTTCGGCAAAGAATGATGAGGCTAAGGGAAGAGGCTAAGCCGGCAGCATTGAACAATGGCGGAGGAAATCCTGGCCCCACTGTTGGCAGTATCGATATCTCCTCGCTACCTTTTCTGCCATCTGCAATCTGCAGGACAGTTCTTGTGCCCAATGACAGCTGTCGGGGGCGGGGCGGTTGGGCAACGGCTGCATGAGGCGCCTCGCGAAAATAGCACCCAAATCGATCACCTCCCTCCTAAGTGGCTACAATTCTCCCCAGAGAAAGCCACAGATGTCTGCATTTCATCCTGCCTTCCCTTCCCGGACAAATTCAACGACGCCACTTGAGAATGGGGGCTGCTCGTAGGGCCTTATTGGTCCTGCGTTTGGGGCCATCTGTGAGCTCAGCAGTGACAGAGAGCGGTCGGCCGAAATCTTTTGACATGAACCCGAGAACCTGAGAAGGGAAGGGACGTACATGTACCTGCTGCTCTATACAGCTAAGTGCTACATCTTTTGTCCAATACATATCGTTTAACCGAAAGGTTCGCGACATGAGAGCGACATCTCCAAGTGGAATCCCGTCTCATTGTCGTCGACACAGTAACCGAAGAACACTTTCGTGTTATACCAAGTGGATACATCCTGTGCCTATCAGACCTCGAAGATCGAGCTTAGCAGTTCATCAAAAAGTCTCTCTTCCTGGTCTTGAACGGTACCACCCACCCCCGGCAGCTGCGTCTGCATATCTTTCTGCATGTGCTCCCCTGTTTTCCCTCCCCCCGGTCTCCCTCCCCAGTCCATCTCCTCCTGGTCGACTTTCCCTGCTCGACCTCCCCCAACCCCTACCTCTTCTCCCGTATGAACGTTCGTCGTCGAGCCGCACGTGTGCATATGCTGTTTGTCGCCAGAGGCCAGCGGCGGGAGGGACGGCCTTGCACACTGGCCAAAGGTCAGGAATAGCATACTCTCCCCATAGGGCACCCCAAAATAGAACCTCCACCACCCAATATCGAGGGCGCACACTGGCCGCGCTCTCGCGAATGTCTTCATATAAGGACGCTCACGCACACCATCACCACTTTCTCGTCATTGCGAGATTCAAGGTCAACAAGTGTGCAAGTTCTCGTCTTCAATCCTCCTCCACCACTCTCAAACAACCGCAACCTCACATCCCCCTCTCTCATCTCGACTTCGCCCACTCACCCACAAAGCATAGCTGGACTTGCTTTAACCCGTCACTCATTATTAGTAATTTAATCAGTCCCTGGTCTCGCCAATAATCGCACCCACCCACCCCAGTCGCTCATCGCCCGCGACTTTCACTCCCGAACCCGCTTGGACCGAGTCACGTTCCCCACCACTCACCTGTCAGGTACAAATGTCTACTCAACCCCCCAACTCTCAGTCAATGGGCAGATCGAACGTCGCAATGGCGGTCGCTCAACCAAAGTCCAAGCCTGCTCCAAAGGCAAACAACTCTTCAGCTTCCAAAGGCAAGATGCAGATGCACCGAAGATCGCGAACAGGTACGTTGCTTTAGGCATTGGGTTCTCACTCACTGCTGTCGCTTCTCGCTTGAGCTCCGTACTAACTGATCGGTAAAGGCTGCTATACCTGCAGACTTCGACGAAAGAAGTGCGATGAAGGTTCTCCAAGCTGCACCGCATGCAAACACCTCGGTCTTCGATGCGAATACAAGAGACCAATGTGGTGGAGCAACAACGATCAACGCCGCATGCAAAAGGATAACATCAAGATGATCATCAAGCGCAAGAAGCTGTCAGAGAAGACTAACACAACCACCAATACTCAAGTCATGACTCCTGGTTGCGAGACTCCTCCTGGACTATCACACTCACTGCCAACATCGGCTACGTTTTCAGACTCTTTAGACCGCACTCGATCGGCTTCGATCGACTCTCTTTTTGATTTCAACAGCACTCCTGGTATTGCCGACTACACTGCCTACAACGCTCAGATGCACTCTTCGCACTCGCAATACGCCTCGATGTACCCAGAATTCTCTCCATACGAGATCGACGTGAAGACCGAGAGACAGATGTTTGTCAACGATATTCCAACAAGACGCGAGTCAACAATATCGACATTCAGCAACTACCAGCCACCACCACCAGAGCACATGCTTCCATCTTACCCGGTCGAGAACGAATGGGATGGTCTTTACGATGCAAGAGAAATGGCAGAGGAGCCTTTAAACATGAACTTGTTTGACTTTTCACACGCTCCATCAACAGCCGTTCACCAGGTTGCAATGCAATTGGACGAGGGTGACCAAAGACTCCTCGATCACTTCATCACCGACGTCCTCCCAACCATCTTCCCAGTCCTCGAGACAAACCAACCCGGCTCTGCTCAATCTGACTACGTTCTCCCAGCACTCCAAAGCAACAAGTGCTATCTGCACTGCTGTCTCAGCATCTCGGCTCAGCATTACAAGTCGATCATGAACGTGCAAGGCGATCAAATCGACAACGATATCATGCGCCACCGATATGCAACAATTTCAGAATTATGCGAGGCACTCAACCGAGATACCGACCACCAGGAGATTTTGGAAGCTACTCTTGGCATGATCTTTTTCCAATGCTCAGTCGGCAGATCCGATGATTCTCTGCCTGACATCCCATGGCACCAACACTTTCAAGCTGCGATCTCGCTTGTCCAAAAACTTGACCTGAGTCGCCAGGTCCTCGAATCTCATGACACCCAATCATTCAATATGACACTCACCTCCTGGATTGACATTCTCGGATCAACCATTCAAGGCCGCGCTCCCACTTTCGCACACACCTATCGCGAGAAGCACCTTTCTCAGACCAACTCCTCCCTCGGTCTTCGCGAGCTGATGGGCTGCGAAGATCGAGTCATGTACCTCATCTCTGAGATCGCCTGCCTCGAGGCTCTCAAGAAGGATGGTATGGATGACATTCAACTTTGCCAACACGTCCACGCTCTCGGAGATCAAATTGGTCTCACTGAGATTGGCGAGTCTGGACCAAAGATCCCATTCAACGCACACGGTGTGCTCAGCCCAAAACAATTGAGCAAGAACATGACCACCGCATTCCGCCTCGCCGCTCGCATCTACCTTTGCAGCCTAGTACCTGGCTTCACTCCCAGCCAAGCTAGCTGTGTCGGTTTGGTCGAGAAACTCACCCAAGCATTGGAATTCATTCCAGCTGGTGCCAACGGCTTTGATCGCAGTCTCGTCTGGGTCTACCTCATCGGTGGAAGCGTTAGCACTGCCGGCTCTTCTTTCCGCGCTTTCTTCGACGAGCGTCTCCAACAGATCGGAGACCTCGCAAACCTTGGAAGCTTCGGCCGCGTGGCCTGCCTTCTCAAGGAAGTCTGGGGACATGTCGATGGGCAATATTCTCCAGGTGGTGGTGAGGCACACTATGTCTCCTGGCGAGATGTGATGCAGATGAAGGGCTGGGATTTCTTGTTGATCTAGAAATCTCCACGCTTGAAACTTTAACCGGTTTAAAGGTTGAAAACTTCATTCTGCAGTGCTCTACACCTTTCACTCGGGATTATCATCTCATCTTCACAGTCACTCACGACAACGCTTTTCTTTTTTTCATCTCGGATTTATTATTGGGGTTTGTCGGGAGGAACTGGCAAACCAGCACAGCATCACGATCGGATGGGAGCATGGGAAAGGAACACGCATATTGGATACGATACCCACGACCACGTCCATATTTCCTATGTCTTCAAAATTGACCTCTTAATTTCTCGAGGCATTTGCATTCTTGGGCATACCCAAATGGCGTTCTTCGGGTTTTGGCAGGAGGGACAGGCGCAAAGACTCCCCTAGATGGAAGGGATGTATTTATGTTCTGAGGATGGGGAGGGATGGGATGATACCAGTTTTTTTACTTCTTCTCCTGGGGATGGGGTTGAGCATTGCTCCTCCGATTACATAGTAGTTTAGTTTTCAGCTTGGGATAGATGAACCGAAAATAATATTCAAAAAATCAAAAACACTATAAAACATCACTTTACTCTCTTCTTGCGACTTGTGACTTCTGTGCATGGCTTCTGCTTCTTTCTATTTTTGTCTTGTGATTTCACTTGCACGACTTTTACTCTGCTTGCCTCGAACAATTGCACCCTTTAGCTTTCCTTTTCGAATTTGGCCACTGTCGATAATCAAGGCAGAATCCTAACTCAAAGCATTGAATGTGGTAATTAATTTCTACAACTCCGCTTTCATCGAGTCTGGCTGCCGAATCTGCCTACGCTCAGATCACCTTATGATCGCCATAAGTCGGCCTCGATTTCTACACCAACCATCAACTTGCGAGACAGAATATGCACCCCCACGATGACGCGGCAGTTCCTTGGTGGCGGTCTACAATATCGCTATCATGAGTTGTTGCCATCATGGGACTGGAGATTAAGGATATCGCATCTTGTGTTAAGCGATGTTTTGATGATCTACGCTTTCGGAAGAGGCGAGAAACAAGTAGGGCTGAGCTGGATCTACGGTACAGTCTCCGACACGATTCATTATACTCAGACTTGTGTAACTCGGGACTACCATAGGGACTGGCAACCAAGGACATTGTTTTATGTTTAGTTTCTGCATAATTAAAATAGCAGGGCGGAGTGCAGAATCCTCAGAAAAGATCTGCCGACAGAGGCAAACTTAGAACAACCTGTCGTGGGACATGAGCGGCCTACTGAAAATCCATCGCTGCGAAACCGGTGAGGCCTTGAGAGACATTGATCTCGACCAGGAAAAGGGACACGAATATTGACATGTGGGCTGTTGGTGGAGGGCTCTCCTCGGACCTTGAGACGACCGCGAAAGGAAGGATGGAAAATGTTGGTTGCAGCGGTGAAGAAGTATTGGTGGCGACTGGAGGAACTCGTAGTGGTGAAGATTAGAAGAGCTGGGAAATGGGAATACATGGAAGGAATTAGCGGAGAGGGAATTAGAGATGGGGTCGCGTGATGATGGCGACGGGATTGTTATTGGGAATTCTGGTGAGACGGTGTTGCGCTAGGTCTACAAAGGAACCAGTGAGAGGTTGGAGTCCAGCTTTTTTCTCTTGTGGTCGGTACGAGAGTACATTGGACTACCCAGGAGGTAACCTTATCTTGTTGGGCCGCAATGTCTGACCTAAAGATGAATCATTGTCGTATACGAAATGACCTATTGTTTCTGCTTAGTTCATTGCACGTTTGCTAGCAAACAAATCTCCTAAAGCTCCTGTTTCGGTCTTGGCACTTCCTTTGCACTTTCTATGCGCTCTCGTCCAATCGAGCGGCAAACCTTCCAGAATCCCAGCGGCTTACCCCTCCACCCAATCAACCACGCTGGTGACTCTCTCTACGCGACAACATTCCTTCGCAGCGCTTCCCACCCACTACTTTGGTCAACGCCAGCGGTAAACTCAGATGTCCACGCAAACGAACATTCCTCGCCCAGCACTGCCACACCCACGCTCCGGACCATCGACTGCCAAAGCGCTCGCCAGCCTGTCCTCGCGACCGCTCCAACAACCGCCCGGACGAGCTTGACGTAGCTATTCGCAGACGTGCCCCCAGTGGTGGTACGCGAGAAGAGCTATTCGCAGCGACAGGCCTACCGTCGAGCAACCTCATTCTTCGCGGATTGCTGCCAGACCGGGCGACAGGCCCTGATTGATTATCGACAGAAAAACATATGACGGAGACGTCTTCCACTATGCTGGGACTGATGCAGCTGGTGCGTCGTGAACAAAGGACATGGTAGGACATCAATTTCTGTTTCGGGATATATTCATTGTCTGTTCGGCTTCCATGATCCTTCCCGAGTCTCTGCGCTTCTTTTTTCTTTGTTCGTGAATAGCGCTCTTTCCTCCTTTCGGGCCATCGCATCACGCACGCGGTAGTTGGTTTCTTTGATTGCGAGACTTTATATTCTGATCATTCGTTCGAACGATCCTCTTCTTTTCCTATATCCATCGCTTCATCCTACTGCGGATCCATCCTATACCTACGTTATTGCTTCCTATTGCGCACCGAGCACTGCTCCAACTACTACAAGACCGGAAGACTGCCTGCGAGCGACAGCCCTAGGTTTCAACCACAAAAATCGAGCGGTTCTGGTGGAAAGATGGGACGATTTCGGATCAGAGAATTGGTGGTGATGGGGATGTGGTTGGTCATGTCGGCCGAGGCGAGAAATAATATATTCGCACGCCAATCGAGCAGCTGTCCGGATCCGACACAAAATCAATGCTCGGCATCATTACCTGCGTCGTTTTGCTGTCCGCCTGGATCATCGTGTGTAGAGTTGGCTGGCGGAACGACTCTTCTTTGTTGTCCACCGGGTGGGAATTGCAAGAAGATACAGCCGCTGACATGCGATATACAACAACAAAATGCGACCGCATTCCCTCAAAATGCTCTCAAGACGACAATCTTCGACATTCCATTAGCCAAATGTGGATCACAGTGTTGTCCATTTGGATTTACTTGCAACAATGGGACGACCTGTGACATCGACGCAAAGCAAGATGTTGCGCCGACCGCACCGCCTGCTTCGACAGGCACTGCTTCTCCAGGTGAATCACCGTCATCAACTTCTCCCGCATCATCGCAAGCAAATTGTGCCAAATTTCCTGTAGCAGCCGTCCTTTCGGGTTTCTTCCCGGGGCTCGTCTTGGGAATTCTCCTTACAATCGCCTCCGTTTGCGCTTTAGGTGCCCATCGTCGCTCAACGTCCAGAAGACGCTCCGAGTCATCATTCGGCAACATCAGCGAGCCGCAACCGATGGCAACAACAGACATGCGCACTGATTTTCTCCGCAAACCAATGAGTAGTCCCTCCACAGGCACCTCTACACGCAGCAAGAGCGTCCAACGCGTCCGCTCACTCTTCCGGAAAAGTCACGCTACTCCCAGTCCTACAACGCAACCAGTACCGCTAGCAGGCGGGCCAAGAAGATTCCAAGAACCACCAGTCACGCCAGTATTACAAAGAGAGCCCAGCTATGAGAATATCAATATCTTTGCTGATAGCACGACGGCGAACTCACTACGACAAGCTACGCCGCCGTTACAGCCGCCACAGGCGTGGAGGATGGACGACGGGAGAGCGAGCAATCAGACTACCTTTACGGATATGATGGAGACGTCTGGGCTGGCGGGGCTGCAGAAGGGACAACGTAAGTACAACTTTTGATCCTCACTTGCAATTTGAGCAGTCACTAACTGTGGAATAGCATATGTTTATAAAGGTCAATCACCGCCTGGTAACACGCCTTCGTTGCTGAGACCTGGTATGGCGTAAACGCCTAGGTCTGCGCAGTTTCTTTTGTTAAGAGCTTAAATTTTTCAAAATGTCCTACGAGACAGCTTTGCTTTCCAGGATTGGAGACTATCTATCATTTATCTACTTCTTTGCATTTTTGCGTCGGTGTTTGGGGGCTGGGTTGGGCTGTTTGTTGTTATATACCACTCGTTGCAAAATCTGTTTGTTGAGGCTGTAGGTCGCTCTTTTTGTGTATATATTTTGATAAGCGGGAGGGGGGGGGTAGATGTTTGTTGGTAGATTGAAAAGAATTAAAAGATTCAAAACGTGTCGTACGTTTTCTAGTATTTTTTTATTATTTTTATATGCGATTTCTTTTCCGAGTTGCTCAGCTGCGTAAATAGTTGGCGGGAGACTTATTTCAGCTGTCTCTATTAATTCCTCTTCAACATGGAATCCCGTTCCTTTCTGTCCAACATTGTAGATTTGGCTCTACAGTCAACGCCATGGAGTTTTCTAGGATTTGGCCATTAGCATCGATCAAGCATGATGCATCTCATGACTTTATGATAGTGTTGATAATTTATTTATCGGTTTCGTTCACGCACGATGGAAGTCGGAGGCTGGAGCCGACGAGCTTTCTATTGCTCAACGCTCTTTCCTTCTTTACTGTTGGATGCAATGAAGCTAGCGAGGGTTGATGCGTATCGGCAATTTTTCGACAACACGTCTTTCCTCCGTCACTCATCAACATTTTGTTTCTTCCCTCTTTCATCCTTCATCTCCGAGGTTAGGTTCACAGAAACGATTTCGAGCCTTCCCGTCAAAATGCACCCTCGTGCTTCAGAATTTCAAACGTCCTAGCTGCGAGATGTTCACGGTGTCCTCACATTGGATATGTCTTGCAAGAGGAATATGCATTTCCTTGGAACATTCAGAAGTGGGGTCGGGCTTGTGGTTCGACATTTATGTCTGCCAAAATGGAACGTGAAGAGGTTGGCGGGCGTCCATGAGGCGTCCAATTGAGCATGATTATAGTTCGTAGAACAGCTCGGAAAAGTTTCGCAGGTAACGCCACTCCACAGAGCTGAACTTCAGCGCCCAAATAGCATTACAAGGCTGACAATTGTTATAGCTGAGATTGAGACTTCTTCCAGCTCTGCGTGCATTATAGGTTGGAACTCCGCATTACAACTTCTCTTGTGCCTACGAAACATTCAGCAAAATCGTTGCAACGAATACAAGACACAAGCCTCATCGCTTGCGATGTCATCCCTACGGTTGTCTCGACGACTAATCGTATGCTGTGACGGAACAGCAAATGACAGTGACCGCAATGATCCTCTTACAAACGTCGCTCGAATATCCCGCTGTATCAGTGCTGAAGATGACCGGGATGGTTTCTTCACGCAAATCGTTTTCTACATGTCAGGTGTGGGCACTGGAACGTCGAGACTGAACAATACATATGACGGGATTATAGGAAGAGGTCAGCGTTCTAGATAACCCCGGAATACATTATTTATTTATTACCAGGTATTGGCCATGACATACGACAGGCTTATAGTTTCATCTGTAACAATTTTGTTAAGGACGCCGGCGATCAGATTGTGCTCATTGGCTTCTCTAGGGGTGCATTTACTGCAAGAGCAGTTGCGCAGTTGATAGATGATGTAGGAGTCTTGACAAAGAAGGGCTTGTACCACTTGCCAGAGGTATACAAACTTTGGAAGAGACAGTCCGCTGAGGATATAGCTTCCCTGAATCATGCGACCTCCAAAAAGGCATCCGAGCCAGTTCAGGGAAAACCGTCTGTAGACCTGATGAAGCTCAAAGGCCCACTAGGTCGACGTTGTCTCGAGTTAGAAGGAGACCTCTTGCTTCAAAGAGAAGTCCAAATTACCGCTTGTGCTGTATGGGATACAGTCGCGGCACTTGGACCAAGGATGCTTCATGGGATTCCTCAGCCATCGGTAAGGAAGCTTGCTTTTGTGAATTCTAAGCTTTGCCCCAACATCGAGCTCGCGCTCCACGCTCTGGCTTTGGATGAGGATAGGAGACACTTCAAACCACTGCTGTGGCATCTATCGAGGAAAAATACCCAGGAAATAGCCACTCTCGAGGAACTGAGTACTCAGAGAATTGGTAATTCTGAGACTAGGGTCGAGCACCCTAACGTTTTGAAGCAATGTTGGTTTAGGGGTACCCATAGTGATGTAGGTGGGGGTCACCAAGATAATGGATTGGCCAGCATCTCTTTGGCTTGGATGATTGCTCAGCTTGAAGGAGTAGTTGGCTTCAACAATGACATTCTCGCAGACATCACAACGTATGATAGCAAGCTGAAGAACATCATCAGCGAAACTCCAGGTGACAACCAAGCCTATTTGTTTACCGTCAGACTTCCACTCAACTACATTCGCGCAAATCAAGGTATGAACTATTCCAACGACAATTGAACATTGAATACCGCTAAAACCACGTAGTGACCATTCAAAATACCGCCTCGTCGAAACTACAAGGCTATGGTGGTGTATGCAAGCGTTTTCTTTTTGCACCATTAAGCTCCTTCTTGGGTACTCGGCAGAAATTTTGTTCTTCAGACACCAATGTCGCTTCTGAAGCTAAGAATAAAAGCATTGTGCTAACTCAACCCAGGGATGGCATGTACGGACCCCCGGTGAATATTTCGTCCGTCTACAACTCGAAAATCACGGCAATGTGGAAAGATTACATGCAGAGACTATACATTACAGTGTATATATACTCTACTCGAAAGGGGTCGTTGCAGACTGTCTTGGCGCCAGAAGGCTACGGAGACTACAAGGTCCTTCGCCACAGATTTATCAGTCCATCGACGACAAGATTCATTGGCTTTACCTTTCCGAGGAAGAACCAACCAACACTGAAGCTCAACTCTTAGCTACATGGACGGCTCGGAAACTGCTGAACTCCCTTCTTCCTAAATTTGTGGATCGAAAGGTTAGACTCTCGAACCAGAACGAAGTCGTTCCGATCTTCGCAGTTCTACATAATCCCGAAGCGTGGAGAGTTGCTCCGAAGCCTGATATACTTCCGCAAAGTAACAGGAAAAAGCCGAAGAGACAGAGTAGGATTGAAAATGGAGCTGCAGTAGTTTCTGAAAACCAGAAAGACGATGGAAATGATCAGTCGGAGACTTCAGGGTATGTCAAACTCTTCATTCAGGGCAACGTTACCGTCGAAGAACCGACAGGCGAAGTATCTCGACAGAACGTCGACATGGTGACGATGTTCAAATTAGACGCGAACTGGAACAACAATTGGATCTCACGGATGTTGGGAGACGGCAAGTATATGGAGTATCTAGTTGGTGATATCGCGGTTCCATTTGCGCGTACCGATGGACAAAATTTGGCGAGACCAGAACAGTTCTCTGCTATTGATCCTAATAGAGAAGTAGGTGCTTTGAGACGGGTGGAAAGTGAGAGCTATACGGGAAAGGGAAAGGGAAGGGAAGGAGAGATATATGTTGAGGTGCCGAGGGTTGATAAACCTGGTCCTTCGTCTAAGGTGATGTGAGAATGGGAGAGTTGGTTAACAAGTGTCCGGTAGAAAATGAATGATTTGAGTGTGTATCTAATGAATAAGTATACTTGGTGAATTGCAACTTTCATGATCTCGCTTAAAGTATAAAGTCGACTCAACATGGGAAGGACATATCTATTAAAGAGTCTTTATTCGAGTACTGTATGATTTATCTTCAGATATTAACTTCTTCTTCGTCAAACCAGTAGATCTTCGAGATTTTGGAACGCCAACTAGTTGAAACTACACTTGTGTTCTACTTGACGAAGCGACAACCCTCATTTTCATACTTGAAAGCCTCTACGTTCAGAGACGCAACTGCAAAAGATGACATGGAAGACTTGTTAGCCTCTCTACTTGAATCTGTTTTATCCTTAAAGTTGAGTGTATCAATATATCAAATGTGCTTATGTTTCTGAGGATACATGTCTTGAGTACTCGATTATGCTGTAATTTGAATTGATTTAAGTGTCTTCGATTTAAGGGAGAGAAGGCTCATGGTGCTGTTTGGGGATTGTTATATAAGAGGTCTTCGTGTTATGGTTACCTTTGGCTTTTTGCTAAGCAATGTTTTGTTCGTAGTTGGTACTGTGGTAGAGAATGGCCACTAAAAACTGCGGATGAGGGTAAAATAATAAAAGAGATTGAGTTAGTAAGTTATTTGGTGGTAAACCTGGAACTCCGTCATAAGTTATAATAGAAAGGTGTGCTATAGGAAAATAGTAGGTTTGTAAAGAGTGGTGTAAATAAACTTAATTCTAAGCTAACACACAAGTTACACAACGCTTGAACTTAGCTCTATCTATAGTCTAACCACTAATAAGTTATAGCCATTCTTTGAAGTTTCTAGGTTGAGTCGCCCAGGAAATTTTCGTCTCGTATAGTCTACAACATTATATAATGATTATATAGAGTATACTTACAAGCCTTCACTGAAATTAGCACAGCTTAGCCACTATTCAACGCCATCCTTACACACAATCTACTTGTAGCTCCTCTGAATAGCCATGTAACTTTAAACGCAACAGCAAGAGAGGATTTTATTAAAACGCAAAATCACTCACCAAAATGTCTTGAATGGCATTGCAATAATTTGGTTCTGAGCAGTGTGAGATAGATTAATATCCAATTAAAACTAAGTTTATTTTCCATAATACCGCTTCTACGCTTCATTTCCGCATCGAAAATCCGGCTGTGTACAAAGACTGTAATGGTGAGAATCTGCACATTGTGGTCCTTGCATAGGGACAACTAGTAATATAGTTGAGTGAGTGCAAGCGGTACATACCATGGCTAATGTCACATGTATTTCCATAGCAAGCTCCTAGTTTAAGAGGTTCATCACCAAAGCCTGCGAGCTGACCTCACCTGATTGAACTTATCCAGTTCGTTCAGCTTTGTCTCGTGCGTCTGAGGACGTCTCGCCTCCTGCCGGCCAACTCGTCTTGTAAATCGTCGAATTGTGATCTTATAAAGCATGGCGATGGAATCATGGAAGTTCTACATCCTGATGACTCTCAGCAAGCTGAGCTATTCCATGTAATTACGGGAGGCACCTCGAAGGCGTCGTAGTCTCTTGGAATCCATGCCGTGCTCATCACTGTACAGCATATAGATGCTAGGCTGTGTAGCTTGCTGTATGTTAAACTGCTACTGCTGGGATATCACCATCAATATCATTCGCCAATCAGACTTGTAAAACAGCCCAGTGGACGCTTCCACGCTAAGCGATATGATTAAGATGCGTTATTCATCATACATAGGAATTACACTATCCAATAACTATACACGCCCATTGTCCATCTCATATGTAAAATAACTACACTATGAACTCAACCCCCAATCCAACTCATTTTCGACCGACATCAATTACGCCTTCTTCTTCGAAGCAGATCGAGTGACATGAGTATTACCCTTCTCCGCCTTCTTAGCAGTCTTCTCAGCTTGCTTTCCCTCAAAACTCTCAATCTCATCCTGCTCTTTACGCTCGGCATACCACTGGCCTACCTGCAAGACAATCACACCCACGAGAACCAATGCCAGAATCGTATTACTGGCAGCCATAACCCTCAGACTATCCTCGCGTCCAATAGCTGGCTCGGTGGTTCCAGGTGGAGCCTCGTATTTGCCGAGCGTTACAATTCGCAGTCCTTTAACGATGTTGGTGATATAAACGACCACCCCAATGAGATATAAAACCATAGACGCGCCATCGAACAAGAGGTTCGCCTCGGAAGGCTTGAACAGCTTGATGAAGAACCCAATAAACCCGATCGAAATAGCCATGTGCAAGATTCGAGGAATGATAGGCGGCGACGCGTGAATGAATTTCAGATGCGTTTCCAGCTGATCGTAGTACGCATCAGGCGTGACATCAGACGTCCAGAGCAGCGGGAAATCGTAGGGGAACGACGAGAAGAGCATGCCCAGGAAGAAACATGTTGCTAGAATCGCGGTCAGTGTCTTGGTCTTCCGGAGGACTCGGCGCAGAGATGCTTACGCGCTATGATCATGTATGTCGCGAACGATGAAGAATCGCGCGAGCCCTTGGGCTTCTCGTACGTCTTGAAGATGGAAACTTTGGAGGGATCCATGGCGGTGGATGGTGTGAGACAGTTTTTCTACCTGCGTCTGTCGAGCTTATCGTTGATGAGGGGCTGCGTCGCGAGGAGGTCTGAATTGCGGAATTCCGAGGATTTTGGGCGACGGAAAGCGCAGGTGAAGTATCTGGACGCGTTTCTGAGCAAGCAGAAAACGGACAAGGTAACGAAGAGGCCACGCACGAGAGATGTGGTTGCGGTGCTCGGTGGATCTTTCTTGGTGATTTTTTGAGGCTCCGAGTTGTCGGGTTTACTTTGCGCCTGGACCGAGTGGTCACGCTTAGTGATAACATCCCGTTCGCTAACTGGCCACTAGACGTAACTAGGAAGGTGCAAGGAAAGTCACTTTGTAACTTCAACACAACATTTTTGGCATTTTGAGCTGATGAAGTTGGTTAGCAGTAATAACTCATGATAGGGTTGGTAATAGCCAGATTTTGTGTTCATGTTAAAGCTGGTCTTGTTTCGAGTTCCTTGCGCAGTTAGCATCTTGTAGATATGTCGCTCATCTCACTGCATATATGCTACAGATTTTCTGTTCTCGAACGCCACAGCAACAGTAATCTCGGCCTTTCCGACTCTTGGAAATACGTCTCTCTTTGGATTCCGATGAAAATGCACCGCCGCAAAGGCGGACGAAGTTGTGAAAATACTCGATTGACTTATCATTCTATTGACTACTCAAACGAAATATCTCTGCTCCTTTGCTTGGTGTATCTGATATGTTTGAATGTTCTTGCGCCTCGACTAGACAGCTGTTAAATGAACTGGAGGTCTTGAAAACATCCTCATCAAGGATGAGCTATAAATCAGTTTGTAGCACAAAGAACTATCAATAAGGGAAGCGCAATATGAGATGGCAACATATCCGATGCATATGTATGGATTTGATTATAATAAGTTTTAATGAGCCTCTAACTCGAATAATTAAAAAGAAGTAGCGAACTCATAATCTGGTTCGTCCAGCGATTTGAAGAACGGCAGTCCATCAATAATCTCTTCTCGAAACTCCCATTCCCTTTCTTCCCTTCTTCCCTTGGCTGACTCTTTTTGAATCGACCGGTTAACTCTTCAAAACCCGACGAATGCCTACTTGGCGGTATGTATTGCACAATGCTGGTTTCTAGTCTGAGTCTATGACTGTCTGACGGAAGTATTGGCAAACATCGTAGTTGAAGCGGCCATTCCAGCAAATTTGCATCTTCTTCCTCGCGCCTCCGGATTTGAGGTCACTCTTGGGAAACGTGTTTGGTCCATGATAAAACCAAAATAATAGCCGAGTAAGTTCGTAGTCCCGTTGTTCTTGTCTCCAAGCTGTGGACTATTCATCAGAACTCGAAGCGGGTGGTGCGAGTGAACTTTTCCCCTAGGACCAACGTGATTCTCGGCGTACAAATACCAAAATCTGGCGGAGGTGCTTCAGGCTTGCCCACAACTTTGCTAGTGAATTTGATAATTTCAAACAGCAGTGACAATTGGGTTTGCTCGAGCTTTCTCGTTTTCATCATCATGATCATCGTCTTTGTGGGTACCACCAGCCTTCTCGATCTCTTGAGCGATTTGAAATGATTTATCAAGAGTTGCTGCTCCACCGATGATGGCGCCATCCCCATCGAAGTGCTTCGCAATTTCTTCCAGAGGAGTGTTTCTCGTTTCAATGAAGAATTTGTACACGATGAACAACTCGAAGAGAAGCCAAACGTCGTAGAAAATATAGTATTTCCATGTTAATCTGTCGAGGGCGACTGGGTTGATGTACTGATTGAAGAAAAGCGACAAATCGATAGCGAGAAACATAATAGTCATGCCCTAAATAGTTTGTCAGCTCGGAAAAGACGTTTACTACCTCGTTCAACATACCTTTGCGCGGATGTTGTATGGTAAGATTTCCACTCCGTATCCGACTAAGAGTCCAGCGAAAGCAGTATTGTAAAAGATGTAGTACAAGAATATCATCACGACGACTGCATTCGCAGAAGCCCTGGTTTGGGTGATGGCAAACTGAGCCGAGCAGATTGTCCAGACAACAAATGATACGAACATGCCCGAGGTCGATATGAGGAACAAAGTTCGTCTGCCTAAGCGGTCGACAAAGAAGCACATTCCAGTCGCGACCATAATGTTCGTAAATTGGAGGACGCCGTTGATGAGAAGTTGCATGCTGGGTTCAGTGATCCCGATTTGATTCAGCACGATATGAATTTGATAACTGATACAGTGTTAGCATTTCTCTTCGACGAAATTCAGAGCAAAGATGTTCTCACCTGACAAGTCCATTTCCTGACCATTGCGAGAAGACTCCGAGAGAGACCAAGATAATAAGACGGTGTCGATTCCCTGGTTTTCCCCATAGCTCACTCCAACGGTTACCTTCAAGCTCTTGCTCGAGTTTCAGAGTTCCACGAATCTCCGCGAATTCCAGCTGAACGACTTCATCTAGTTTATCACCTGCCGCGTGCGCATCGGCAAGAATTCTCAACGCTTGCTCGTTCTTCCCCCGAGATATAAGCCATCGTGGTGACTCCGGAACGAACCATATAAAGCACAACTGTAGCACAGACGGCAATGCTTGCACAGCCGAGGGAGTTCTCCAGGCCCAATTCCCGTGGATTTTGTTTGTGCCTGATGTCGAGTTAGCGCAGAACAATCAAAAACATCGACGGGTTCACATACCGAACGTTAGCCAAGCAGCGACAAAACTACCCATATACCAGGTCGTATTATAAATCGCCGTGTAGATTGCGCGATGCTGAGGGTGGACCAATTCCGTGATCAAAAGGGGTGATGCACCGTGGGCGATGGCGACTCCAAATCCGATGAAAAATCGAGCGCTCACAAACATGCCAAAAGTAAACCCGAGACTCTGAAGCGCAACTCCACCAAGCATAATCACACATCCGATCATCACTCCAAACCGTCTACCGAGAATGTCGACCGTGTAAGGAACGAAAGGAAGGGCAACGAGAGATCCGACGGGCCATATCGCATTCAACAAGCCAATTTGTGAAGGAGGAGGATAGTTATAATCTGACCAGTTGTCAGCGACGCTCACATTCGCGACTGCAATTTACTCACAACCGCGCCATTGATCCAGGCTCTGCAACCCGTTCATCATCGAACTATCATAACCATTTGTCGCCGATGTGAGGACGACGAACAGCAAGCACACATACAGCCCCCGCATTCCTTTCTGTCTGTACCAAGTCACACGGGGGAAATGCTTCCCCGCCAGCTCAAACGTTCCTTTGGTGTGTTGGAAATCCATGGTGTCGGTGTCGGTGTCGGTGTCGATGTCGATGCTAATACGACCGACCGGGCGAGAAGCGGGAGGCTCGTCGAGGGCTCGAGGAAGTGACTATCGATTTTCAAAACCTGGAGAAGTATATGTACGGGGCAGACATTGATATTATACGAAGGCTTCGGCAAGTGAGCGAGCACTATATTTCAACGTTCAATCAATTCCGGACCACTGAAGGGCATACCTTATGCGCAAAGCCTGTCCAAACACGCGGCAGTACGGACCGCTTAATATGAATCTCTCTTTGCGGTGACCAGATGCTAGCAAAAGCTAGCATTTTACGGGGTGGACCAGTCAGCGCTCAGCACGGAGAGGGGGTGTGGTTAAGCCATGAATCAGCTCTCGTCCCAATAAAACGACCGGCACGATTGACGAAGGAAGAATTGCGCAGGGGGGTCGGGAAAAAGAATCAGAATGGAAGGTCAAGGCTGGGCCAGGACTGGGCCAGCAGCCAAACGAGCCAGACACGCTGACCGGATAATCTGCTTTGCCTTCCTGGGAACACTTTGATACATGGAAATTGAGCGTTCACGTTGCGGTTTTGCCTCTGTGTGGCAGGACGGGAGTGACGGGTAGAGCACGGAGACGGATCGTAGGACTCTTGCACCACTCTGGGACGGTGGTCTGGGGGGGTAAGCTGGGGGGCATTGGGGGACTGGGGAGAGGGGAGGGAGAGGGGAAAGGGGGAGAGGCGAGTGCCATGATGGTGCCTGCGAGCAGCATCTGTCCTGTCTTGTCTCCGGCGAGGATGACATTTGGGGGGGAGAACAGCACCGGAGCAGCAGCATCACTGAATTACCGTCTGCGAGCGAGGGAGACCGACAGCTGACAGGAACAGGTTCTCGATTCCATGCCTCACAGGTTCAGACGTGCCCCAGCTTTCGTCGCTATTTCCCCCGCATGTTATAGCGTATTATATAGAGCCCATGGGGTTCCTGGCCCCGTCGATGGCTCATTCGGGGATAGTGTCGTATTAGGACGATTGGGATCTTTGGCCGGCTGCCCCTCGGGTACCTCGATTCGTATAGGCAAGCACACCAGAGCACAAGTACCTCGTCGGGCTGTGACAGGAGCCGACCTCCAGGATGCGGGCTAAATGTACCAAACAACCAGGTTCGCTATTCGGGCTGAATTCGAGCATTATTGTTTGCGTGCTGTCCGCTGTTCGCTGCTGTTCTGCTCTCCTCCTGCTGCTGCACCTCGAAACCGAGATAGGGTGGTCCACCGTAGCACCGGTCGTCTGTCCCGAAGAGGCGCTGCGGTTCGTGTCTTTGATCAATCAGACGATTGACGATCAGGCCTTATTCAGTGTTTCTTGTCCGACGACCCAATCAAGCGGGTCCGATTAAGCCTTGCACTAGCCTGTACGGGCACCCAGTACTACCCACAGACGCATCTTGAGAGGGTCGCTTGCCTCCGTTGCCCCAAGACTCCAAGATCGCCCCAAGGCGTCCAGGCGTTTGTCGACGAACCTCAACCGTCGACTTCAATGGTGACCACAAATCGCCCAATCGATGCATTTTGGCTCCCTTCCCAAAACCCAGCTGGAGGGCAAGCTGCCGAAAAAAGAAATCTCAGGTAAACGGTTGTCGACTTCCTCCTGCCGGCCAGGCTTATTTCGCATTCCGGTCTGGGAGAGCACATTATTGGTGCAGCCGTGAATACGCTCCAAAGAGGTTAAAGCAGTGCCGACATTGGATTTCAGCGGTACATTATTATACTTTCATGCATTCGCATCTCGTGTCCAACGATGTACCTCCCCATTCTACCGAAGATTTTGCGACTTCTGCTTTAATTCGAAACACACGGCTCCGAGACGAGAACCAATCTCGTGCCGATGAAGAGTATCCAATATGTGCAACATATTGCAGCAGAAGTACCTCCGTACTCGCCTAGCGGTAGATTTTACACTCACCACATCTCACCCTTCTAATCTCGTGTAACCAATTCGTCCCGCGTCAGACTTCGGACCTCTTCGGACTATTGCTCGCATAATCATTTTCGCATCTTCCTCAGCTGGGTAACTGACGCTCCGCTGGCTCTCCGAGGGCCACTGCCGTGGAGGCCGTACTCAAGAGATGATGAGCCGAACCGATGTACAAATGCAAGTTGTATTTTGGATATCGAGTGTATCATGATTGGTCAACTCAACATTTCCACCGGTTTTCAAGCTCATGTCTTGAACATGTCTATCTACACTTCTCAGAGCCTTATATCTTATCAGGTAATTGCACGATCCAAGATAAGCAAAGTCCTTGTTCTAGTCCTCTGAATCGCAAGTCCTTGTATTCCTGCTCCGATTTGAAGTAGATGTCTTATGGAAAGACAATACTCAAAGAGGCTACCGACATACCTCGACGGCCCACAAGAGTTCCACAACATTTAAAAACTTCACAAGGAGATGTCGACCCACTCTATTACCTCTGCACCCTATCTGAAGTAAGTTCTCGGGGGTTGACTTATCTGAACAGATTGTTTGCTTATCGTCTTTGCTCGCAGGTTGTGGATTCTGATATCTACATGTCTTCTTGGAGCAACAAGCAATTGAGCCACTACATGAAGTCTCATGGTTATCCATCGAATGTCCATTGTTGTTCAATCTTCAATCCTGCTGTTGGCTATGAGGTCAAACGTCAAGCGCCTTGTATATAACATGAGTGTCACGTAACGTGAAAAACGCCGGAGGGTGAGAGGAAACCAACCATGGCGAACGAGATGGCTTCGGGGTTTGTATACCAGAGTCGAATTACGCCTCACCTTGTTCATGGAGGCGGACTCACCCACTCTTCTACTCAGGGTCAACACGTGTAACCAGCAAAACAACGGCGTGCCGCTCATCGATCGAGAAGTGTTGTCAACCACACGTTTGCATTCGCTAATTCGGTTCACTTTACCGCCCAACCTTCATCGTACCGAAGTATTCCATGTCCGGCCACGAGGCAGCGGATAGAAGGTCTTGCTAACATTTCCAACATACCTCTGATAGCGGCCACAAAACCGAGTTCTGTTGGTGGTCTTACAATTACGACCCGTGGAATTGGACCGGTGTGATCGATCAAGGCTTCTTTGCCAACTCTAGCAACATTCCTCTCACTTCCATCACTTGACAAGCTTACTCTCAACTAGGTCGTGTTGTAAGCGTTGGGATCCTATGTAATGCATCTAGGTTTCCGAAAATAGACGCATTGTAGTAGTCCTATTTCTGGGATATGTCTGGAGTTACAGTCCAAAATGTGTCTATTTCTGGTTGTATCTTGCTTGAGAAAGAGAGCGTCAAATTGGCGTCTGTGGCAGCAATCAACGGAACCAGCCAAGTTGGTTGCTATCGTATAGTCGTCCATATTTGGATTCAATACTCGACAGAGGGTGTATGTTGGCGCTGGGGACGGGCCTGCCACGAGGTCGAGGCAAAGAAGAGATCATCTGGACGAACCAGTGATCAACAAAGCCAATATTCTCTGATCCCATCATGGCGTTAAGGTTATGGCTAGCTCCGCTGCCGTCGAAGCATGAGATCAAGCAAGGAACAGCCATAGAAGGCTGGCAGGACAACAGTCCCAGAAGCGGTGTCTTTGACTGGCCCTTTGACAGTACATAGTATTGATTGCCTTCAGGGTAGGCGCGCGCCGCTTGAATGACCTGTTGGGAAGACTTGTGGTGCGGCACATATCTATTGGATACACAACCCATCGCAATGGTAGCAGCCACTCAAACCACTCACTTGAGCCTCTCTCCTACACTATTTTGGTCGACCCAATGTGGCGGGCGGCTCCCCAGGAGAGGCTCAAAGAGAAAGAAGCGCGCGGGATGTGGTTCAACGCCGCCATCTGGTTGAGAGGTAGATAGAACCATTCGCTTGAAGCGCCCCTGGTCGTAGAAGGTTTCCCCGCGATGAAGAAAATAGAAAGTCTTGCCGCGCGGGCACCGTTGTTACAGGATGGGGAGACCGCAACACCGAAGCGTCAACGTCCAGTACATAACTAGAGGGGATTCCAGTCAGCTCGAGCATTTCCAGACGGGATTACAAACACCAAGAACACCTCGTTTCTGTTTTCTATTTTCTCTCCTTGCTCCCTTTCCTTGTTCCTTTGAGCGGTCCTGCAATTAAACACCAGTACCGAATTGATTATTCCAACCGTTCCGAACTCCAGCACGTTCCGTACTGTACCACGGCTCCGGTTCATATTACACGCAGCTCCCCGGTCGCTCATCATCTTTGCCGCTTCGATCAACTCATCTCGAAGGCCTTGCGGTCCAATCAGCCTGACCAGATCCCCCTTTTGCAGACCCGCAGCGCGGTGATTTCGTCTCCTTCTTCGCGCCGACCTCGTGCCAACAGGGACTGGATCCTCCACTTCTCGAGTCTCAAGCACGATCATTGGTGGCTTCCCGAAATAGGACAGCACAGCACCGCGGCCGGCCCATCGCCAATCACCACTCTGAGTGCTGCTCCTCTCCCAAACGCCGTCAACACTGCACCCGCGAGGCGCGAATCACGTCCCATTGCCCGTCACCACTAATCCGCGTCCCGCCAGATCGAATTGCTTGACGTAGGAGCAGTGTTTCTGGCCACCAAGCCCGACTGCTCTTTGCTTTGCTTTGCGACTTCATAAGCAGACAACCCAGCTGATATCGATCCGCGACTTGACGTGCGCTCTTCTTCCTCCAGCTCCCGCTCCCGCTCTCGATCCGTTGTCCAGCTGTTCCTTGACGCTGTTGGTCCTTGTTGTCCCGTTTGCGCCATCCCCCAATCAAATAGACACCTGCCCCCGCCGCCGCTTTACCCACCTGTTTTCTGCCCTCAGCGACGAGCACCGCTCTCTGGCCTCACCACCACCACTCGCTCTATCGACAACAGAGTTGCTGCACCTCCGCTGCTGCATGCGCCTGCGTCTTCCGCCCCAACCCAAGCGCCTTCATCACCACCACCCAGGCCTCCCCGACTCCCAGTGCCGACTTGCTTCCCTCTCGTGGCCCCTCCTCCACCACTCACCACTCGTGCCTGCCCGCTTAGCACTGGCTGCTATATCGGTCGCGTATTCTTCTCCCCCCTCGCAGCTCAGCACTCGCAGCGACTCGAGCAACAGGCCTCGCACACGGACGCGCTGACATTCGTCCACCGCCCACCCACGACCGGGGAAACAAGCACCATTGACCAGGGTCACTCCACATCCATCACATTATAATACTTTCCTTCAACCCAACCTTCGTACCTTTCTCCCTTTCCACGGACTGCCCCGTCACTGCACCGTGTCAGCACCTCCAGAGCTTCAACTCTCTCCTTGATACTTGCGGTTCCTCGTGACTATCAATCCCCAGGAAGACAAGATGGCCACCGTTACTACCAAGCCAAAGCTCACCCAGCTCGAGACCCCGTTAACCTCAACCTTCCCCTCGGAGCTCTCTGGACCCTCAGCGCTTTCGGCAAGAAGCCCTTTGCCTGGCTATGCCGACTTCATCAAGCAAGAAGAGTTCATCAAGACTCCCATCACCCCTCCAGCCGCGTATACAGACTTCCTCAAGGGCATGAACAGCCCCGCGCTTGGGGAAAAGTCTGGACGAACAACACCTACCTCTGCCCCTTCAACCGGCTCGAGTGATCACAGCGATTGCTCGTGTGCTTGCGAAACTCACAAGTCGCCTACTACCACCACACCAAGTAATTTCACCTTCCCAACATCTGCTCCATCAACTGCTAGACTTGGGCGCTTACGGATACCACCATCTCCAGCCTTCTCACCCACCGCCGAGTCACCACGAAGCGCATCACTAAGATCACCATTCTCCGCGAGAAGTGCGCGATCGCCTTATGACTGGGACCTCAAGAGCGCAAAGGGAAGATATTTCGATGTCAAATCACCAGGCAAAGGTTCCCGAGCCAGTGTGCGTCAGGTCAGAGAGATAGTCACCAGGACTGTCACATATACACATACCCCCGTAATGAGCCCGGCGCCCAAGGGAAAGAGGAGAAAGGTTGAATAGATGCTTAAATCTGTTCACAACATCCAACATATTACAACCACTTTACAACGTTATTTCTTTTGTCAACATACATTCCATGGGTGGACTACCTAACCACACAACAACAACTATTTACGAGTTACGTCTTCGATTCTTGTGCAGGAAAATTTGGCGTAAAGAGATTTTTTTTCTTGAGTTCTGGAGAAAGAGTAGGGAGGGAATTTGGGAGGGCAAAACGTCGCAATGGCAAATGCATCTTCAAGTTATGCGACATTATCTTGCCCGGCGTTCATCCCGCCTTGGAGCATCGTTTTGGAGTCAGGAAACCAGTTTCACGGAGTGGGTAAACATTCTTGGTTTCCAGCAGAAATGGGGCATGGTTATGGAAATATGGCGTTCTATCTGGCGTTCTCTCACGAGATGCTTCTTTTTTTGGTTTGAAATGGTCCAATTTGGATCGGTGGGAGTACCCTTTTGGGAGGAGGCGTGTGTGATACCAGAGAATATCTTGACTAGCCTATGAAATCAAACAATAACAAATTACCAACATCCTGCTTCGAGGGAAGGAATATTGCTTTCTACGTAAGTTCGTGTAGCTGTGCCATTCCATGCGCCTTTCTACAACATTTCCATATCACACCAATCCACCTGTCAAGTCACCAACACAACCGGAAACTTTCTCTCACCAAAAGTCAGAACCGCCAACTATACGTATCCTGGTCACACAAGACCAAGTATTACGACTCGCCCGTGACTCTTTCGAAATGCGATGTCCTCTCATCGAATCAATGGGCCCTTAGGCCTCCCAATCTGCAAGTCGATTCACTCCCTTTCACATTCTCCGTACCTTACATACTGTATGGGAACAAGCAATCCCCCTTGAACACATCCCCATCCTACCCTGTTATCAAGAATCCCATCCTCGGCCCTCAGTCTAGCCTTCCCCAAGATACAAGCTAGTTTCTTCATCATCTGCTTACCACGCACACATACATACATACTGCACCTCAACCCAAAAACACAGTACAGATGATTCGGTTTCCAAGAATAAACAAGATCACCAATCCCACATGGCCTCACATCCGACCTCCCTCAGTTATGCTTAAACCTCCATACGCAGTTGGATTCCTCTGAAACCGGCTGGCTCCAACAACAACCCCTCCATGCGACATGGCCTAAATTTAACCCTCGACCACCGGTTCTGGCCATGTAAAGCAGCAATTGTTTGTCTGTTTTCTTTGTCAGGGGTTATGGGCGACCCTGGTCCGGCGGTTAAAGCATTGCCAATAGGAGGGTGTGGGACTGGGGGGTGGGGATTTGGGGTTGGGGTTTAAGCGCTGGGAAGATTGGGTGGGGAGAGGGGGGTGTGGCTTGGGGGTGTGTGGCTGGTGACGGGTTTTGGAAGGTCACGTTTTTGGAATGGAGAGGGAATAGGCTGATTACTGGGATGGAGGGTTGAGGTAAGGTACGTAGTTTAGGCGCTTTTGTACTGCGTGAGCAAGTATTGGAAAGTTTGTGAGCTGGGACTGTCACTGGGTATGGAAGATTTTTATTTTGTGTAGGTGTTCTTTCCAACAGTTTTCGGTCTAAAGATGTACTGACATATCACAATCATGCATGTTTTAATCAGATTACTGTCATCTATTCCTTAAATAAACATGTTTCATCCTCTCCACCAACGGTCCAACAACCCACTGCAGAAACCCGAAACAGAAACACTTGAAACGACACAACCACTCTATCCTCCGAACGCGGGACACGGCACGGCGGGGTGTCGAGCCCTACGCAGCAGTAGGTCTAAAAAGAAACGGCTCAGAAGTGCCGGGGGAAGTTTGTATGCTTGCTTGCTCTTGTGATCAGATGTCGAGATGCAGTTTGCGAATAGGCAGAATGGGCATGGCTAGAATGTGTGATCAGGGCTGCATCGTCACTTAACTTGAAAAAATGAAGATGGGAAAATGAATGAAGTGGGAATGGAGGGATGAGATTGTGGGATTTGTGCGTGTGATAGGGAGTCTGTTTGTTGTGGATTGAGTGGTGGTGGTGGTGGTACGCGAGGTGGGTTTATTCAGTCAGTACTGGGTTTATTGCGACTATGGAGATGGGGATACTGCGCTTGTGACGGGTATAGAGGGTAAGTTGTCAAAAACAAAGCTCACATATACTTTATTCAAGAGCTAGATATCTCGTAAAGTGCCACATTCCCATTCTCGTCGCCGTCGAACGAGTCAATCCGTTGAACTTGTGGCGGTCTCCAAAGTAAGTCTCTGTTCATCACATCAACAACCCTCCCTCACTTTACCCGATTCAAAATCGGCGGAGGCACGAGTTCCTCTGTCTTTACACTATCTTGCTCATGCGGGGAAGGGGGTGTTCAATTTTCCTCCTCTCGGGACGAGAAGAGATGGCTGTAGTGAGCCATGTCACCTCGCGCGAACGATCGACTCGTCTTGTGACTCCATGATCTTAACAAGCCATGAGGGTATTTGATGTTAAGAAGATGTATCGTACGAGGTCAAACCCTACATTGGTGTAAGTTGTTGATTGTTTGATTGATCTCGCTAATCATGCGAAATACAGATATATCGTCCTGTGCGGTTGTTATCATCATCATCAGCGGTTGAACAACGATTTCTCTGCTGCATCATGACTTGAATGTTGCGCTAAATTCGATGTAGAAGTTTCTGCATTGTCGGAGTCGTCACGAGCTCTCTGTCGTGAAGTGATGGTGTCAGCTGCGTCGCTGTCGAGTCAACCTTGTACATATTTTGCATAGCATGTGTTGAATATGTATTGGTGGGAACAGAGAAGGTTCACATGTGGCTGCCAGATCCTTGGATTGGTCCTCCACTTGTTGTCAATCCCATTCTTTGGGGACGTTGGTTGCGCAAGCCTGACAGTCACTGGCGCACAACTCAATAGAATGGGAGGAATTTCACTTCATCCAGTCAGAGGATGGCGAAGAGATCTAGTGCTACTTGCTAAGGCATCTGTTGAAGAGCTTTCGGGAGCTTCGGTGGTGCCTGATGTTCTTGGGTACATGTCTAAATGCCATGTGTATCCAAGAAGGGTCGAGCACCTCTCACTTCATGATCAAATAATGATCTAGTGAGGAATATATATGCGAGGGCTTCTTATCGCTCATAATAACACAGAGATATACATTGTGTGATCAAATGATCATAGTTTGCTACATTCAAATTAAGCTGTGGCGCTGTCGATGTGAAGCTCACGATGTGAAAGCTTTATTAGTCGTGGCAGTTGACATAGAAGGCAATGGTTTGCATTACTTCATGAGATCATCTGGCTCTCACTTGTATTCCTCATGAACTGCGAGCTTTATTTTCTCATTGATCTACGCCTCGGAACCAAAATATAAGATTACCATGTGTCAAATTATTGCTTGGCTTCAGGTCTCCTTCTCGTAACAGACTTGTGGAAGAGCAGAAATTGTATCTTTCCTTAGGATCTTGTGTCATCTCAAGCATTATATCAGTACTCTAGTGTTGGTGTCTTGAATATTATATACTTTATGCCCATATTCAGGACTGAGGAGGTTCTCAAGAGAGAGTCACCTCGTCAGGATTCTCGCTTAAATTCGGTGAGCGAAAAGCATCCAAATCGAGGCACTGAGCGCGTATGAGATGATCCAAGGCATGACAGACAGCACATAAGATTAGCATCCCATTCTTGAATTGAAGGTCTTATTATATGAAGTTGTTTTTCCAGTTTTTTTGGGGCGTGTACACATAGGCACTACCAATATACTAACAAAGTCAGATACCCCTATTGCACAGCTTGCAAGATTGAGCATGTGTTGATATATCTTAGTTTAAAACTAATTACAGTAAACCTTGTAGTATTTTCTTACTTCTAGTATAACTGTTTCCAAGACTTTCTTACAACTTATTCATTATTATAAGAAGGCGCATGATCACGTGAAGACGAGGACGATCTACCTTGTCCCACACAATCAGATAAGATGTAGCATGCATAGTTTTACTCAATGAACCCGAAGAACAATTACTTCCAAGAGAGATTGACGAGCGAACCTGTTTCTCAGCCCGAAACCGTTCTCTTCTTACTCACGACTCTCGCCATCCAATCTATTTTCGTCCATGACTGCATATCCCCACCCTCGACAACATCGTACAACATCCACCGTTACTATGAAGTACAGCATAAAATCCCACCACACCATCTATTACATGCAATTTCTCAGCCAGGACCCCTTCAGTCAGTTCCGACAATAATCCATAGCCGCCGAACATGACATGGTCACCTAACCACCAAGCCGAGTTCTTCACTTTTCCCGACGGGCTCCCACCTCAAGTACTTCCCGGCGATTTCCTGCATACACCGAGTCCGGAAACCAAAAATGCTATTTTCAGCAGCTATCTTCCTATTCAAGAAGCTGAAGCCGAAAGAGGAAGGGTGCTGTTAGCGAGACTGGAGAAGCTCGCTCCGAGTGTGGCGGAGAAGTTTACGGTGAGGGATGGTCTGATAGACGATTTTGCTTTGAGGTTGATCAATGAGAGTAGTGTTGATGTTGAGACGGATGGGGATGTGAGAAGTTTTGTTGTGATGTCTTATTGCTGGGATCCGAGGTATGAGGATAGGTGGAAGGGTGAATATGGAGAGGAATTTACTATTCCGTTTAGCAGCTTGATCATGCGTAAGATTAGTGCTTTTACTTTAATATTTTGTTGAATTGTCGAGGAGTTACATTCCAAAGGCGTAGATATAAGCATGTTTTAGTGATCTGATGACTTTCAATCGTATCTAATCAACTCATCCTACAGAAACTGTAATCCAAGAACGTCAGAGCGCTACCGAAGGAATCTGGATAGACCAAGTCTGTATCAACCAGAGATCAGAAGCTGAAAAGAATGTCGCTATTCCAGCTATGGCGGCACTGTATAAGCAAGCGAGGCTTGTTGTTGTCGCCATTGGCGATATAGAAGTCAGTGTGGAGGAACAAAAGGTTTTGCGGGATTTTATCTCTTCGTTGGAGACATTTGGTATTGTGACTACTCAATTGCCTTTCACTCGAACGGTACCACCGTTCATGCATCAAAGTCCGGTACTAAGGGGGTTTTGGGATAAGTTTCTGGGCAGTAGGGTATGTTGTGTGCGTAAACAATCTAGACTCCTGTTATTTATTGTCAAAATAGCAGTTTTGAGCTATTTAAGAGATCTTGAGTGTCTACAGACGCTCATCTGTGGCTTCCTTCGGAGGCTGTGATTCTGGATTTGTAGCTGACTTCTCTAGTGGTTCACTCGAGCGTGGTGTTCACACGAGATGCAACTGAGCCAGAACCTGCTCTTCGTCATTCCTTGTTCTTCATCAAGTAATTACCAAGACACGTCTCTAGTTTTCAAGTCGAGCTTTGTATGGTATCTTGCCATGCTCAGCGGAGAGATTCCAAGTTCCACCACTCGACTGAGCCGTATACGAGACATGGTAGCCACAAAATTCGATATTTACCACAACGAAAGTCAGGCTTCAAACACCAGCACTGTCAGCAACAGTTTTGTTACCCACACTCAGAACATAATGTCACTAAGCACTGGGGGGAATCCTACACTTGAAGAGCCGCTTAGGACCTGTGACGCCAGACGGGACAAGATTTCAATTGTACTAAACAGTGCTGGGTACGGGCTGATTCTGAAAAGAAGAGAAGAATTGCTGAAACTGTACTCGTCAGACGATGAGTGTTTTCGCCAACTTCTCACTGTTGCTATAGCAGCTGGTGATCCACTAGCACTTTGCTGTACAGGGCCATCACTCACATTTGAGACCCAAAAGTCATGGCTAAGTCGCCCTGGCATCAATGCTCGAGATATTGGATCTGATCCATCCCACAAAGCATTACCCGCATTCGCAATCGACAGCATGCAGATGGACGATTCACCCTCATCTAGCTGGATACAGCTGGACGGGTTCAAAATCGACAACGAAGTACCACCGTCAGAGGAAGCACTAACAGCGGCCGTGTTCATGACACTCAAGTGCCAGAGCTTAGGCATGGGAGTTCCTCCAGCAAATAGCGGCATTCCAATATTCAGTACGGGCCCCGGGTACGATTTCTGGGATCACGCGATTCACCGTAATCAAGACTTTTCCTCCTTCACAAGAACAATTGCCGCAATTCTTGACTGCGGGTTGGTCTGGATGTTAGAGACAGCTGAACTCTGCGGCTTTCCCCGCAACCACCTCGAGGGATGGAAGAAGGACGCAATGGGATACTTCCAAGAGGGTTTTCATGTCCAAGAGCTCATAAAGATGGGCTGGGCCGGTGAGGAAGAAGGTAGAAACGGTGTTAGGAGCCTTTTGCGTTTTGCAATGTGGTTGATTACATGGGGTGTCCAAACCGTCCACGAGTATCCTTTGGTATCGCAGGGACCTCTCAATTGGTTTCCCACTGTATATGAAAGTCTCCAGGGAGCGAAACTTTTGATCTTCTCGCGACTCACCGCTGCGCCTAGCACCAGTAGGAGTTCGGATAATAAGCCTTTGGAAGTGTTTGTGCCGAAGTGTCTGGCTGTCGATGGCTATGAGAAGTTAGCGAGATGTTGGCTAGTGACTCCTGGTTCGGCCTCAAAGAATCGTGAAGAAGATGAGTTGGAAAGGCTAGAGGCTGAGCCGAGTAATAATCTTACAGCCAAACCAATGATTCTGGAGAGTAAGACTAGAATATTCAGCGCGAGACCAATTGGTGGGTTAGGTTTTGATGTGAAAACTCTCAGTCATGTCAAAATTTACGGCGCGTAATATCCAATTGTACCTGTTGAACCAGATAAATCGAAAAAACCGAACACATTGTGGAATGAACACATTATGGAATTGGGATAAAATACCTCGTTTGATTTTAACACCAGTTAAATATTGATAGAAGAACTAGATGGGGCGAAATATAAAATGGTGTTACACCATATGCGGAAAAGAACATGAAACAGAATAAAGATTACTTCGCAACGTCATTCCGTTCCCTTATCCTGAACCTCTTTGATAATGACTAAAAGTACCGACATGGTAATTATCATTTCCAACTAGTACAACATGTACCGCTCATGATTGGGTGTACATAGAAATAATCCAAAACCTGGAACCCCATTGCCGCTCATGCTGTACCAAGCGTTTTCCAAAACGCCGTCCAATCCACCTAGAGGATATCAACAAAGAAACCTATAAACATGACATTACATACAGAGTAAGAATGCTGGACGATAGCAGCATACCTCCTATGCGTTCTCCCCCCCGGATACGTTGAATTTTTCAAAATTTTATAGACAAACGAAATCTTTTGATTAGATTTCATCGTTTCTCATAACGGTATGGTGGTGCTTGCTCCATCATCTGCGGAATTCTCGCATCGCCAGCTAATTCGTGAGGTCCATATTGTGAGGGCCTATGATTGATCCTGAGCCCTACCGGTACATCCACATCCGTCGTCATTGGTTGGAACCCACCACCGTGTACCTCGCTCCTTGGACTGCCATTGATCGATGGGCTGTGCTGGTGCCCAATATCATTGGCCACTATGCTACTATACGGCGGTTGTCGATCCTGTGATCTTTGTTGATTTGACACAACTGCTGGTAAACTTCGAGTTGGTGAAGCAAGGTCTCCATGTTCATCAACTGCTGGTCTAGCACTTTGTCGACCTTCATTTTCCATTGTGCTTGGGTACCTGTCATTATGACTCGAGTAATGAGCTAAACCCACGGGCGATTTGGCAGAATAGCCTGGAGACCCCATAGACATATGGCCCTTCTCGATATGATCCTCCTTATGATTTTGTGTCTGAATTATCTCGGATATCGTTCGCTGTCGACCACACCAATAGATCAAGACACCGACTAGAAAACATAAAGCCACGCCACCTATAACGATCCCAGCAATTGTACCTATTGCTAGAGGGTGACCGTGAGATTCAGCAGAAGCAGCAGTGGTGGCAGTCGTGGTGGCAGTCGTGGTAGCAGCTTGTGAGAGGCCAGTCGCTGTAGCGGTGGCTAGAATTGATGAACGGCTTGCAGATTCCTCAGCAGGGAAGTTCTCTCCAGGAGAGAAGTCGTAAGATGCATTTGCGGCAAACTTCTTCTGGACGTCGAGGGTTTGAGTAGCATTCTAAAACTGTGAGCATTAAGTATATACTCAACTAGTAGCTTACATACCGGATTGATGACGCCGACCATTCCATCTCGACACGCATCTGGTTCTGTTAGTTGAATTCCTACCTCAACGACACGAGACTATTTGAACGTACCAGGAGCAGAGCAGTAGAAGAAGATTGGTTCTGTATCATTTACTCGAACTTGGAACGTGGGTGGCTATATGAGTTAGCGACGAAAACACTTATATCAAGAGACCACTTACACTTGTAGCAATAACATTAAGAGGAAAGAACTTCGACCAAAATCCCGAGCGTGAAGGTCCCGAAAATTCATATGGTATACAGGGTTGTTTAAAATCCGATCTTGCGACAGAGTGATTTAATGGGTAGAATTGAAACTCTATTGCAGTTAGAGCTGAATATGTCCATGCGAAGCAATTGCCGCGTTGAACACTTACCTATGATGTCTCCAACCGCAGCTGTTATCACTTCTGGTGTGAACACATGGCCGTTCTGTATACACGCATTAATACAATAAAGTAATGTGACCCGGAGAAGACATACTGCTCCAACAGCCACCTTTGTTGTCGTGACTGGTTTACTGGAAGAATATGTCCCTTCCGCCTGAGCAAGACCAAAGTATAGAAGAGCGCAAGGAGCGACAAGCGAGAAAAGAAACATTTCTTCACAGCGAATTGAATATCAAACTCAAGAATTAAATCTCCGAATGAACGAAAAGGTAGTAGAATACATAACACAAACTGGAAATGCGGAACCAGAAGAAGATTCGAACTATCACGAAACTTTGTGGGAAGGCATGCTTGATATCATTACTCAGATGTACGAACATCTGCGCCAGAATTACAGACCGAGAAGATCAGCTATGAAAAGGCCATCAGCATGGTTTGTGGCTACAAATTTAGAGTGAACGCAGCTCTATTTGGATCTTGGCAACAGCACCTCGTACTATCTTTGACATTAACTTCCCTGCCAACCCGTGAGATTGAGCTAAATTTTGGTGGGGGCTGATGGCCGGCCAGGATTGAGGGATGAAGTGAGCCGGCAGGGTGCGTGATTGGCGACCAATATAGTGACAGCAGCCATAGTCCGTGTATGCACGACTAAGTAATGCACGTAACGGATGATTGGCAGTACTAAAGATTATTCTTGGCTGGATAAACGCAGGTTCCAGGAGTTTCAACTCGCAATTACCACATGGCAGAGCTGGTAAGTGTGCTATTTGTATAGCTACCAGGACCCACTAGCGAGGAGGCTCTCCTACTAGAGAGAGCTTTTGTTCGACCAAGGTTCTCGACACCCTTATTTTCAGCCGACACAACTCTTGCTCTTGGATATACAGACGGTGCTACTGGGTATCATCATTGGCCCAGGTATGCTGTTGTGGCCGTCTGCCGCAGCCCATAAGATGACCTGCAGTTGAGGCTCTCTGTTTGTCGGTAAATAGCCCCTGTCTGAAGGATAATGGCCTCGATTGTCCCAGGGAAATATGAGCAGACGAGTCGCCCATAAATTGAGAGAATCTGGCTGGCGACTGTTACACTGTCTCGCTTTCAGACAACCTTTTCGAATGTTTTCTGGATAGGTTTCGCAGCCTAAATCTTGAATTAATAAACGCAACTCTCACAGGACCTCTCCACTTACGTCGATGAACTTCTCCAAATCCTTATCCAGGTTTGCCAGATCGTCCTTCCTTTTCTTGTTATCGGCAATAAGACCTTGCTTCTTTTTTAAAAGTCCTTGTCTTTGCTCTTCTAGCGCTAGACGCTCCGCATGTTCATGATCTATTCGAGCCACCATAAGGGCGACCTCATCCGCGTTTGCATGTTCGGGATGCTCCTCGAGGAATTGTTCGATAGGAATGAGAGGTAGTTGTTGATATTTGTGACTGCGGCAAATGTTAATCAATGATCTCAAGCGATATTAAAACGATATCACATACTCGTAAGACTCGCAAGCGTTTATCTCTCCTTGAAGATGTCTTTGTTCATAATACAAGTTCTGAAGCTGTAAGTGTAACCGGTCAACTTCTTGTCGGGCTTCAGCGGTCAAAGCCTTCGTAGCTCTAGCGCCCAGATGTGCGTCACGATGGGAACCTCTCAGTTGCGCCAGATGTGCCAGAAGGACTTTTTGCTGTGCTGATATCTGCAATTGGTTTTCTTGTGTCGGATCCGCAATGGAAGAGGAGAGATCGAGGAGTGCGATAGCCTGGGTTCGTGCAAGCTGTGAGGTCTCCAAGGCTTGTTTCAACGCCGGATCCGTTATGGTATTATCGAGACCCATGATGAGAGTTTTCAGGGAAGAGTTCGAAAGATTCGTGTTTGCTTAAGGAATGCTAGGAATTTTGTGACGAAGGCATGGAAGAAAGAAAGTGAAGTCGCGACATGTGCACGGACGACAACAAGGCTGAGCTGTTAGTACTTGTAAGGCTGTGCTACAGATTTTGGAAATGTTCTCTTTACCTTCCGTTAAGCACTAGGACTTTGAAGCTTTTAAGTAAGTCAATTTCCCATGTCGATATCGTGGGGAGCAGAAAAGGGTCGGATGGCTTTTATATCTAATCATTAAAACTTTGATATTTTTCATCGACATAATACTTGCGTCAGAGACCAAGAAGCGGCTGCTGCTTTGACCTATACAATAGTACTACTCATTCTTCCAACATAATATACAAATACAGTACACATAGATTATTAAAACAAACCTATTATTGAAAAACCTGACATGAGCGATTGGGCATGAGTTCGGCGCAATGAGCGCTAGGCCACCGATTTCATCAACCACTGACATCGGCAGGCATGCCATTCCCAGAGGCTCTTTGCGTTGGGATCCACGACATAAAGAATTCAACATCTTTAGCAATCGCTCCAGGTACGGCCATATTTTGCACAAATTGTGGCAAAACCCCTTTCGCGTTGCTAGCCGTCGCCATAATCCATTCGATATCCCCGCTATCAGGTAGAACCCTTACTCGTTCGATGCTCGTGTATGAAGCAATAACCAAACTCTTGTCTTTTGCAAACTTAGAGTATGGTGACTTGTCGAAGTCTGTGAGTGGAATGGAAATGACCAGAAATTCCTTGGCTCCTGCCAACATAGCTGTAACTTGCACCACTGGGAATGTTCGGTTCTTCAGAGGCTTTGGGTCAATTTTGTGCTTCGACTCGCAAAGAACCATCGTTATGTTGTCCCACCTCTCCCCATTGACTTCAACCTCAATACCCTCCGTATCCCATTCCAGAGCTTTCCTCGCTTCCATCACGGTGGGCGTGAAATCCCGCTCAGACTCCGCATGATGGTCTTTGAAATTGTGTACGAACTCCCTCCATGTAGCCGTGCCTGTCTCTGCAACATCACGATGGACGCTTTTCCTACAACACCAATATTCATCCTTTCTATCCGCACTGAATTGGCTCATCCCCGATACCTGGTCTAGCTCCGCCCCTGGTACTGTCCATTCGCAAAGATGTACTGGTGCTTTAGAAGTTGGAAACTTCTTGGGCGCTCCTTTGGCCTTCCAAGTTGACGGACCACCGGACTTGGGAGCCACTCCATCGATGAAGGGAATTGATTCTGCAAGGATTGAGGTGATGAAGGAGAATATGTTCGCTGCTGAAATTGATCCATTGTCATCCCGCTCTTTAGGGGCCTCTGCTGACTCTTTCGAATCCGAACTCGCGCCATGAAGAGGTATGGCGCCAGGTGGTAGCTGTTGGATGGAAACGCCTTCCAACCTCACCCATGGCCCTAGCTTATAGGTCATTGTTTTTGCCAGACGCCTGCGCGGGGAGATTTAACTGCAAATTATTAAAGATGATTGACATGAGCGCTGGAAAATTCAAAGAAAATTAGTCCAAAGACATTGTTGGCGCAAACAATGTACAAATACTGCCTGTGACGCACTCAAAACGTGAATACCCTTGTAATAAGCTTCGGTTAGCCCCTCGATGAACAGCGGTTCAATCCAGGTACCGAGTACCATCCGACCATCGTTTGTCGGTATTTGGACAAGATGCAGTTGGTACTCCTTACCCTTACTCATGAAACGGTCTTTGGTAACCTGCATGGCCTACGTGCTGAGTGTAAAGGTACCAAGAAACGGTCAAAGCAAGACGTGGTGTTTGAAAGATGTACAAAAGGTCCTGTTGCAGCTGGCTGTGAGGTCGTGAGCGAGCGGCCTGGAGTGGATACAGAGGAAAGCTGATGAAAAGGAAAAGCTCCATGTCGCGAGAGCAGCAGAATACGTCCCGTAAGGAAATTGACAGGTACTTGTCATTTTCATCCGCCATATTGTGTGTCGTTCCCATCAAAGAGCGGGATGCAAGATGAGAAGAAGAGAAGTCGTTTCGTCCCTTTTGATCTCACGTCGCCTTGGCACCCACAGACCACCCAAAAGACGCCAACCGGTATGTGGCTCTGTAGTGGGGTTGTCAGGTCCCTTCAATGCTCAATGATCCCACTCCACAGAGTCAACAAGCAATAATACTTCCACCCACAAGCAACCATGGCATCACTCAAAGGACCTGGAGAAGCGCAACAGTTCGATGGCAGTGATCTGCGAATTGGCATTGTACATGCCAGATGGAACACCAGTAAGCTAAGCATTCCATTGCGCCTTTGCGATCGATCAGAGTATCTTGACATAGTGCTATTCCTCTTTGAAGGATTGTAAATTTCCCTCATTACTTGCGGGTTTTTGGGAACAGTTGTCTACATATGTTCAATGTCTAATAATATCACCAGGCATAATTGAACCACTCCTCAAGGGTACCAAGGACAAGCTGCTAGCCTCTGGAGTCAAAGAGTCAAACATCGTAGTCCAGTCCGTCCCCGGATCTTGGGAACTTCCAATCGCATGCTCTAAGTAATTGGCCCGCGCAACCCTAGACTCTTCTATCTACTTGCACCTCAGAATGCTGATCAGTCGAAGGTTGTTCTCGGCGTCCCAAGTTCAAAGCACTACCACCGGTTCCTCCCTCTCAGCCGGTGACCTCCTCGGTAGTAGCACCACAGATCTTACAGCTCTGGCTTCGTCCGCGCCAACAGCCACAGGGCCTTTCGATGCCCTAATAGCTATTGGAGTTCTCATCAAGGGAGAGACCATGCATTTCGAATATATCGCTGATGCCGTAAGCACGGGGCTTATGCGCGTCCAACTCGACACTGGCTGTCCTCTGATATTCGGTTTGTTGACAGTATTGAATGAGGAACAAGCCCTAGCGAGGGCAGGTGTTGTTAGTGGAAGCCACAATCATGGCGAGGATTGGGGATTGGCTGCCGTTGAACTTGGAGTAAAGCGAAAGGAATGGGCAGCTGGGAAGATATCTTGATCGATTAAGCTTGAACACTTTGCTATTGCGTGCTGGTCGGAAGCCCCTATGTCGCCGGCATTTGAAACAGAAAATAAACTAGAGAAAAAGAGGGGAATTCAAAATGGCAATGGAGCCGTATTATGTTACTATACAAATCATAGTGATTTGACAAACGCTGTGGACAACAAATAATCCAACTTTCAATCCACGAAAACTTTCTTGAACGCCGGATGCCATGCTTGTTGAACAAAATCTCCCTATGTTGCCAGCCCCCCTTTCATTTTGTTCATTGAGTGTAGCCCAGCATTTCCTTTAATCCATTATTGGAGTCCTTCTTGGTCCTCCATTTCGATTTCTTCTGCTCTCGTTTCTTAGCCATCTGCCCCCAACCTTCTTCATCATCTTCATCGGAAGCATTGCCGTTAGCCTTTACAGCTCGGATAGTGGCTCCAGGAGCTTTGTTCTCCGCGTTCCAACCACCCAAAGCACCTGACATTGTAGAGGTTCTCGATTTGTTGTCCATCATAACATGTGAGACTGGCCTGTATCTACCCGGTAATCCAATGTTGCTTCGCTCGGAGGGTGCGATAGAAGGGGCATATCCCATCCCCTGGGCGTGCATCGAAGGAGCATACAACGATCCGCGATTTTGCTGCATCCAAGGTGCAGCGTTTACATCCATCATAGTCATGGCTCGTTGTGGTTGTTGGTGAGAACTTCCCACACGAACCTGAGGACTATTAGGTCTTGGACCTGCCGATGGTTGCTGTGACATATGCCCGTTCATGGGGCCCATTTGAGGTGAGCCAGGCTGCTGACCACCAGGAGTGGTCATCATCTGCATAAATTGCATTTGCATCTGCATGAATTGCTGCATCTGTTGGTTCATTTGAATCTGAGCTTGATCACCTGGAGTGAGCATTGGCATCATTGGCATTTGTCCCATGGATCCCATCTGGCCCATTCCTGGGCCCATGGGCATCCCAGGAGACATACCATTCATCATGCTGCCCGCCGCACCTGGTGGCATTCCCATGCCATTGAATCCACCCATGGGTGGCACTGGAGAGTATTCACCTTGAGCGTTGGGGCTGCCTCTTCTCGCTGCCCGAGATCTTTCTTCCGATGCAATGACTCCAACAAGGCCACCGGGTGGTAAGCCTCGAGATGAGCCACCGTGTACTGAACCACCGCTGGTGTTGAATGCCATTGATTCTCGAGGAGCGTGATTAACGATTCCAGCTCCAAAGTAAGGGTCCTCTGGTAATTTCCTCGCGAAAACCGGTAAACGGGGATCAACAACTCCCCCCGCAGTACTCTGAGCTGATCCTCGAAGATTAGGATTAGAACCGGAATTCCTCATCGGAGGTCGGTTTTTGTTTGGGAATCCGTGTGCCTGTAAAATGCCTAAGGGTATCTCCTCGTCTTCCTCCTCCTCATCCGCTGGTTTACCTAACGTGGAAGCCAAGTTTGGACTGCTGTGGCTCGGGAAAACACTTGCTCGGACTGGTGGTGCAGCTGATGCCGACTCTCCTGTCACTTTCATCATCTGCTGCCTGTATACCGCCATGTGAGCCTCCTGCTTCCGTCGTTGCTTAGCGAGTTGCCGATTCTTTTCGGTCTCGTCATCCTCATCATCGTAATTAATTTCTTCCTCATCCGATTCCTCCTCTGTTTTAGTCCGGCCGCCTAGCATCTTGAGTCTATCCTGATCTTGCTTGTATCGTTCGAATTGCTGGGGAGTCATTACTTTGCTTTGGGCTCGAGGGGTGCTCCCTGGACGGGGCGGAGGGGATGAAGGCTTTTCCTGGAATCTCTGAGCAGCAGACGCGGACGCATACATTGAGGTGTCAAAAAGATCCTCATCCTGTGCTTGAGGCTCGACTTTCTTCGCTCGCGGAGTTGTTTCGACAGATTGATTTTTCCAGCTTGGAATTGAAGATTGCTCCGGGGTTCGCGATGATGGTGATGGGTTGATCCAGCTATCTCGAGCTCGGGAGTATGATGGGTCATTCATTCGCCGGCTAGCGTTCACTGATTCTCGCAGGAGTTTCGCGTCCTCGTCAACAGCCTCCCCATACTCTAGTGTCGATTGCCTCTTAGGCCCATTGCTACTCCGTCTCAGCCCATCTCCTGGTTTTTGAGGTCTACTAAACGGCATTGTGCTGCTATGTTGTGGAACTGGGGGAGGGCTGGCATTCCCCATCAACCCGTCATTAGATGTTTGACTGGCAACGGAATACGGCGATGCAACAGGAGCCATCAAGTCTCTATTCTTATCAACGTACAGGTTTGTCGTTCTGGTTTCCTCCTACAGAATGTTAGATTTTCAATCGAGAATCGAAATCACTTTACTCACAGGACTTCGCGAGAAAGCTCTGTTATTCTCCGCTTCCAGGACCTGGCTTTTGCGCTTTCCAAACCCAGAAAACATATCTGCGAAATCACCACCAAGACTCAGGCCTAGATCTTTGTCACCATTGAGCTTCGGAGGGGTCGTAGTGCTTGCGTAGCTTGACGCTGTCACTGCCCGAGCACGGCTAGTGGGAGTTGCCTCCTGTGGAGCTGCTGCTGGAGAGGCGGTTTCCTTGGGAGGTGAGGGTGCTGGACCATTCTTGTTTCGGCTCCAAGACATAGCCCTGCCAGCGTTCTTGAGGGAGAAGCCGGAGGATGATTTTGGTATTGGGGGCAGTGGGACATCGGAGTATGGTCTGCCATGGGGATCTCGCCATTCTTCAGTAGATGAAGGTGCAGTTGAAGCTGCGCTGAGCCTTGAAGAATTATCCGTCGTAGATGTGGTATTTGAGTTAGAAGCCCCACTGCCGCTGCAAATATCGAGTTAGTATAGTTGAACACCTGTTTTCATGGGATGTCTTTGACAATTCTGACTCACCGATTCTTTCCCAGATGGTCGAACATGTTGTCTTCCTCCAAGTGAGTTGTATTTGGCCGAGCTGCGGGAACATTCAGGGCCTTAGCATACTTCAGACCTCCATCAAACGATTTGCTCCCTGCGTTCGCTGGGCGCTCAAACACTTTAAACGAAGATACAGATCCCCCAACCGGCTCTTCCGGCGCGTCGTCTAATTCATTCGCGGTCGATTTTCGCCGTCCAAAGCCTTTGAAAGCGCGAGGCATAGAGAATGTGGTTCGATTGGGAGCTTGGGCTCCTTTGGCGAGAGTAAGGAAATATTAAATGTAGCGAATGAAGTCGATATTATGTACTCGAAGGTGCTGCAAAGGTGAAGGACAACCAACTGCTTGGGCGACTAGATTAAAAATATGATAACTGCAGACTATGGTGACCGTTGGTTTGAATGGAATTAAGGTGCTTCGTGAATAAACGCTTCGTCTAAAGAGGGGACTTCACACAGAAGTCGGAAGTTAGCCCAGATCAAGATTCCACTGCAGCTCTCCGGTATCTGGGGCTTGGTGCAGGGTGTGCCCAGGAGATAAAATGATGGCAGCTTGCAGATGCACGATATCTCTTCCCTTTCGACGATTTGCTCGAGCTCACAGGGGGTCGGGGATTATTGTAGGATGGCGATGACTGCGGATGGACCAGTCGCACAACAACATGAAACCAAACTCGATGGCGTGAATTCGAATGCGCCGTCTGTTTCGTAGTTGATAATGGTAAATGTCGAGGCTGGGGGGCTCGGTTGAGGATTTGTTGACGTTGCGATAAATATAGAAACCTTCGAAATGCACCAAGACTGCCCAGAACGCGTTTTCGACACACCAGAGAAGAATGGAAAAGCACTCACCAGCAAAGACCGCAACGAAAGTAGGAGATGCAATGCAAGGGAATTGGCGGGATGATCGATTGTGAGAATCGATGATCTGTCGTGAAGAATGAGAAAGCGAAAGAGGATGAGGTTGAGAAATGAAAAGGCTTCGTATCCGTGGTAAGGAACAGTGGACTGTGGAGGCCAGGGTGACAAGCCACACTAGCCTGTTGGAGCCTTCGGCTTTCTCGACTGCCTGAGACCGCATCAAATCACGTCTAGCCGGAACTTTTTCCTTCAACAACCTAGTTACTTGGAAAAAAATATGGATGAGGACCGGCTACTCCTTGTAATAAACGCATGAAGTGGTATATGATCCTAGAAGAGAAAACAAGAATGAGCACCAGATCTGTCGTCAGGGCTTATTATTAGGAACATGTTCGGCGGGAGATCATGCTTCGTTTGGAACTGGTAGATACGAATACCCTGTTGCGGGTGGCAAAACGTGAGTTAATCGTACCTGATGAGAGCCAAACATGACATCTGAATTTAGCTGCGTTAGACTGATGTGTCTCGACCGGGTGTCCGGTTATATATTTCCTGTTTTGTATCCCAGCTTTGTCTTTTTACTCCGTACTGGTATGTTCGTTGCTATAAGTTTGGTGGTAATCCACTTATTGTCTACACCCCTACTAAATTACTAATGTCCGTACCTCCTTTCATCTGAGCTTCAAATTACATGTCTTATCTGACCAGCTAAACAGATTACCTTGGCTTAGCAGATGTAGATTCCTCGGGACGGGACCGAGTCCGAGAATTTCAATAGTGAATCCCTCAGCTATTGGAGTGCGATCTATCGATGACTTGGACAGGCAAGCCTTTTATCCTCACACGAAAGACGTTCGCAGTTCCTGTAGGTATGTACCATAACGAAATGATTACTTACAAGGAGCGCACATTACTACAAATAATGCACCAGTGCCCGAATCTCGGAAGTCACCTCACACTCATCGGCCCACGCAATGAAAATGAAAATGGGAGCTTAAGCGACTACCCCTGAATAACAAGTAGATTTGACTCCATCTTTCGTCCGCCTTCCGGCTTTTTGAACAAACAGAGCATCACGACTGCTACCTTCCTTCTCCAGTTCGAGCAGACGTTCCGATTGCATGAGAGACATATCCGCATCACTCAAACCTATCTTCACGCAGCTTATCGGCGCTCCAAAAAATAAACCTCTTGCTCGAGTCAAGTTCCAAGGTTGGTCAAACGAAGCTTACCAACCAGCCCCAACCTACGAATAACCAACATTCTACGAGGATTCTGACATGATTAAACTATTACTTACAGCACACAGCGCCTTTTCATTTCACTGGGCGTGGAAGGTATCAGAAACTCTCAACGCAAGGCAAATGTAATGTACTCCATATGCTCTGCTGCGACCAACTTCCTGGAGTTCAACGCACTGCAAGTCATCCCAAGCGTAATCATGTCGTAGAAGCAGATCAATGAATATCATACCCAGCTGAGACAGGAAGCCGCAATCTCGGGTCAAACATATTGACGCCATACCCGATCCCTTGAGGTCGTGCCCATGCCCGTGTCGTGGTTATTTCCGACCTTTCTATTCGTCCAACGGAACATCAACACCAAGCGTATTCGGTGACAAACGATCCAACAACGCTAGTGGAGAAACAATTCGAGGCGCAGATGTCAAGGCGGAGAAGGAGACGTCGTGCGAAGAAGACATGCGGGGGGCTGGATCAGCTAGCATCTTAGCTACATTAGTTCTGTACCCTTCAATGTTGTGGCAGGTTTGGGCTCCGGATCTAAATAATTAGTGTGTAGACAATGAAGAAGGCTGGTTCTTTGGAAATCTGCATCATCATGTAACTCTAGAAGCAAATGAGCTTTTACGAAACTTACACCGATAATCTGGTCTAGTCCGTCGTTGCCGAAAAGTGTCTCATATAAGTTTCCTTTTGGGAATTTTGAGGACATTACAGTGTCTCACAAGCAGAGGAAAAAAAGAAAACCTTAGAGGCAATTGAAGGCCACGGAGCAGCGGAATCTCTTGATTTATATATAACAGTCGAATAGGTACAGGACCAGGGCTGAATGTCGGTCGCGTTCTGCAACGAAAACCACAAAACGACCAGAAGCAAAAACCCTACTCGCCCTGCTGTTGCATGTGGGTTGGTAGGTTCCAAGATGCATAGTCTTGGTGTACAAATGCACGGTCAACGAAGGGTACTGACTCTAGGACGTATTGCAGCGATTCTCCGAGGTCGTGGCTATCTCTCAGATGCATGTTCTCGTCAAGAACTATGTCGACTTCGACATTGAGTTTATCCCCAGCATGGTAGGCTTGGAGTCCTTGGATTTGTTTTATGGTTTTTGCAAAGCGCATAGTGAGGTATAGAAGAATATTCCGCTCGTCGGCCGTTGCAGCAGCGCCGGACAGGTTCCGGATGTGCCCAGCAGATGTATCAGCCCAGTTGAAGATCACAAAAATTGAAAGAAGGAGTCCACCCAAAGCATCAAGCCACCATAGCTTTGCGTAAAACCCAACTGCAGGAATTAGCATCACTCGAATGTTTCTATGACTGCGCTTCTTACCTAGTGGAAATATAATACTGAAAATGTTGAAAACAATATCGGTCATGGCATCTTGAGCTAGTGCTTGTACACTGGAGTTTTTAATAAGTCTGCACCATGCCCAGCAGGCAGCCTTGATGAGTACTGTGCTGGACATGATTACAATTGCCGGGAGGGTCAGCTCAATAATTGAATGATCCATCGAATTGAGTCGGTTGAAGCACTCAAGTCCAACTTGGCAAAAGGACGTAATCATAATGACGGAGAAGACAAGTACACCGATCGGCTCCAGCCTTCTTCGACCAACCGGGTACTTATAGGAATCTTGTCTCTCGATCAGCTTAGTGGTGGTCCAGACAATTGCAGTGCTGAGAAAATCCAGAGCAGCATCAACCAAGCTCGCCAACACCGACAGAGAGCTTGTAAGCACAATGACAGAAATTTTTCCAGCTAGGAGAATCGCGTTTGCGGCCAGATTCACATAAATGGCGATTTGAACAATCCTATCTCCGCTTTCTACGCTATCATCCTCCATTCCAGGTATTTCAGGCTTCGGGCCATCATCTCCTTCTGCGTCGTCGTCCTCGATGGCATCCGAGAGCAGAGGGGTATCTTCATTGACCACTTTGTACAAATGCCGGGGGGTACGTTTGACCTTCTTGACTGTGATACTTCCAAAACTATGATTTTTCGAAATCCCGCTTGGTGATGGGGAGCTTGCAGGCTCCTCAGTGATAGTAGCGGGTACCTCTACATCTTGTAGTCCCGTGCCGCTGGGCCCTGCATATGTGCCGCTCGGGGTATCGTTGTACTCATTAAGTAGATCATGCGGGAGGCTGGAGTCTAGCAATCGATCGATGTAGATATATTGTTGTACGAGATTATTCGTACGCTCGTAGTACTGCCGTCTAGTAGATATCAGCCAATGAAGTTGTGTGGTAGTGACAGAGTAACTCGTACAAAGGCTTTTTCATGGTCTTCAGTTCCTCCTCAGTCTTCCAATATTTCTCCCACTTGTAACGAGGATTGCTATTGCCGATAAGCCGTTGGCTTCGCATTTGCGGCCCGTTGAGTATTACACTCAGTCGCCTCTCATCTGTCAAACTCCGCCTGAAGTCTTCCGAATCATCGTTGGAGTTTCGTCGAACCCTCCTCCCCATCCCCATCTCCTCATCTGGGGTATCTCGACCACGAACCGAAGACGGCCGTCGTGTTCCGGCATGGAGTGAAACGCTAGAACGCGACTTTATGAGCTGCGAAAGAACACCTTGTCCATGTGTTACCATAGGGCTCGCGTCTTCTGCGCTGAGCGGGAGGTATCCTTGAAGCTTTGCGATTCTGCCATATCGAAGAGGTGAAGTTGATATCTCTTCGGAGGACATGATAATCGATAGCGGAAAGGAAATACTAGCCGCCCAGAATGAGCGATGTCGTAATTGATGAATTATGCAGAGGAACAATGGCAGCGACGCGCATTTTTGGTTCTCAATGCTTGAGATAGAATCATGCCAAGGTCAATCAAGCTAAGTGATTTCGGACAGAGATAGCTTCGGCTGCTGCCCCGCCAACTTTAATCCCCGCTATAGAAGGGCGATCTTTGACCTCACTTATTCAAGATCGCCGAGGAAGTTTAAAGAGTCAAGTATATCAGCCAAAAAGGACCGAAAACCATACTCAATAACTAACATTGAATGAAAAATATGTGCCTTCAGATTTTCATGAAACCTTGTTATTCCCGCTTCCCTACCTACAAGCTATTTACATAGTTTACAAAACAGAAACGCCCCAAGGGTATCAAAACAGGCATAAGAGTATGACCTCAACGCCATAATGAAATAAACACCTTCCATAACGCACATCACTTTATATGAACCTCTATAACATCCAAGTCCTCGATTTCCGAATCCCCAATGATCATCTCAGGATCAAGCGTTTCTCCATCATACTGGAGCGTCACCTCTTCATCGTTTGAAATTGCCTTTTCTTTCCGGAAAGCTGCCGCAATTTGATCGAAAGTTATGGCTGCCCGGGCCATCAGCTTATGCTGACCATGGTTCTTTGATTTTAGTATGATTCTAATTCTTTTCTCCTCCACTTCCTGTGAATTTTCCTCTTCTTCAAGGCCTCGTCGTTTCCTAGCTTCGTTCCTCTGATATTCCTCGAATAGATTTGGAGTCCATGCAAACAAATGAACCCTACCCTTCATTTCTCCTTGGTCATTGTTTACCAACCTACCTTCCGTATCAATCGTTAGACCAAGCGAATCGCAAGTTGTAAGATCGTACAGGCGCTTTCCTTTGTAAGTCAAGAACACGCAATTCTTCGATTCGGCCGATGGAAACATGGGTTGCCCATGCAGAACCTGCTTGTCGCACCAAGTCTTTCTCACTTCCTGAAGCCGGCTCTTCAATTTTCGCTTAGCAATTACTGGCTTTGACCCGTCTATGTGAGAAGTAACCAAGATTTCTAAGACTGGGTCAGCGTCCTTTTTGGGCTCGTCCATCTGAAAAAGATCATCGTCAATCATGTCATTTGAGCTTGGCATGTGATTCCGTTGCTCCAAATCTTTCGCTGCATTTTGCTCTACGAGTTTTTGTCTCGCACGCTCCTTCGCCTGTTGAAGTAATTCTGAATACTCATCCTCCGAGGACTGGTCATCGTCACTGAGAGCAATAGACTTCGCCGTGTAGTCGCTATCATCATCGATGGTAAAAGTCTGAGCAGGCTTTCCTGTGATCAGGATTGGCTCTTCGTCTTTATCACTTTCGGTGTCACTAAGTGTGGTAATTTCTGGCACTTTAGCAGGTGTACCCTCTGGCTTCGCTCGCAGTTCTCGGCTATAACGGCCGGAAAGTGTTTTCGGTGAGGCATCAGACGCCGTATTAAGACCCCTTTGCGAAACACGACTCGGGGTTGTAGGTTGGGTTGATTCTCTGCAGCGCAAGTATCAGCGCACTGCTTTTTGAGTTTGTAAATTCGCAAACTCACTTTCGTCTTCTGCTGGTATCTTCGTCTGAGCTATGGGCGCCTTGTGATGAAAGACGCCTCCGCTTTTCCTGCGAGGAAGTGGTTTCTGTTTTCTCGATGCTTGCTGAAGACCTTTTACGCTCTGTCTTGGCCGCCTTTTTCTCTCGTCTGCGTCGCTGTTCGTTCAAATGCTGAGGGAAGACCTCACGAGATCTCCTGAAGAAGTCTACCGCTTCGTCTTCTTCCGTCACTGCAGTGACAGGTTTAGGAACAGGTCTGTTGAATAGCGATCTCTTCTTTGGCGGTTGCTTAGCGGGAATTTCTGCAAGCTGGTCTTGCAAAATATCTGCCATTGCGATCTGACCCCAGGTCGAGGCTTATTGATTTTGTTTTTCAGTTAGACTCGAGGGCTTGAACGGTGGGCGACGCGACAATACAGCCATTTCGATGTCACGCAGTCACGCGGACCGTCGGACGCCAAGTAGTGCCCCACCTCCAACTGGAGGGACAAAGATGCGAGCTACTAGCTTCAACTTCACCATTACAACGATTCTCGAGCTTATTGCGACGAGCACCGAGTGACCTTGTTTCATTCCTCGACATATTTGGAAAGACCAAACCATCTACGCAGCAGCCAGCACGATAACATGGAGAACGGAACAGCAACACAGGGTGAAGGCAGAGACCCCTCTGGTTTCTTGAGCGAAATCATCGGAAGCCAAGTGACCGTGAAGCTCAACAGTGGTGTCGTATACAAGGGTACGTACGCTCCGTTGAGAACATTGTACAAATGTAGCTGATAGGGCTTGTGTAGGAGAGCTTCAATCGGTAGATGGTTATATGAACATTGCGCTCGAGAAGACTGAGGAGCATGTGAATGGTGTCAAGAAGAGAAGTTATGGTGACGCTTTCGTTCGGGGAAACAATGGTAGGGCTCTGCAGAATAGGGCACATGTCGGTTTTGCTAATTTAGATTCTGTGATAGTTATGTATATCTCAGCGGATTAAAGCAGGATACCCTTACGTTCTCGATGCGCTTTCAAACCTGGGAGCATTATTTAGCTGGGAGTTATGGATAAAATCAAGCATCTCAGGCGTCAGGATATCAAAAGAAAACAGTCTGGAAGGAGACTTGGGCAAGACCGGTTCAGGTGATGGAGTGACAGATATTCTACGACAGACTGCCTAGGTTATTCAGACACGAGATGTGAAGCAAAAATAAGTGCGAGCGTGGAGCGCAACCTCACCAGCAGCATTGCGTTCGACGTCTTCGCCCTTCAGAGCTGCGAATACCTGTTTCTTGACATCCTCCAGCTTCTGGCCCTTCAGCATAGCTATCTGGCTGAGTGTGTAATAGCGACTCCATATAGCCTCATCAGTTAGGTATACGGTCCAGGGAACTTCCTCTATACCAAGAGGTAACGAGAAATCTGGAAAGTTGTGAGTAAAAGTGTCTACCAGAGTCTGCAATGGAGTTGTCTCGGTCTGTGCTTCGAAGACTTTCTTCCACTCAAAATGTCTGAATCGATGTTGACCATCATCAAGTGACCAAATAATGTCTTTGAGCTTCTGCTCCCACTTGGAGCTTGCGTTCCATTCTAGAGGAGAATTGTCTAGTCGAAATTAGTCAATCTTCTGTCCATCAAGGAAAGTTCCATAGAACGTACAGTCCTCAATATTCCAAATCATTCCGAACGTGGCGCCAGGTCGAAGAACTCGATGAATTTCATTCAAAGCATCTCTTGTCGCGAACCTATAACAGTTAACATTCTTCTCGGTCACCAATCCTGGGTAATTAGTACCAGTGAAACGCCTAACAAAATGTTTCGTCACTTAATTGCTTATGGTCACTCTGAACGAGAAACTCACCTGTGCAGCAATGAGAGCGTCTCCCCATCCATCCTCAAGTGGTATATTGCAAGCATCGCCATCCACACTCTTGACACCTTTCAATTCTTTCTTCTCAAGCTCCAGTCTCATCCCCTGATGGGGTTCAACAGCCACAATCTCAAATTTCTCAGGCCTTCCGGCAAGCACTAATAATCAGAATCAGCAACAGATTGAAAATACCAATCCAAGCAAGAACGCACAACCGACTGCCATCCAAACAATTAAATCGAAATCCAAAAATAACTCACATTCAGTAAACTTTCCCGTCCCACTAGCCAAATCAACAACTCGAGCACCATCCACCCCACTCAACCCAAGGTGTGCGAGTAATTTCTCTACTGCTTCAGGTGGGTAAGAGGGCCTGAATTTATCATAACTTGACGCATCTCCAAAACCAATGTTAGCTCGTTCGTCGAGCTGAAATTTAGATGTCATGTTTGTGATTTTTCGAAGTGAAGTTTGGCATATGTTCCTATGTGGGAGTGATGGGGTGATCTACACCAAGTTCCTGATCTAGGATACTTGACGTGCTAGTACGTACTACCGAGAAAATACCGGTATCGGACAATTGATATAGGAAGAGTAGATCCGTTGAAGGAACTTGCGGAAAGAATAAATGTTTAGAAAAAACAGGGGCTAGGTGTTATGGCATTTAATTTTACGAGTTTGGTGACTTTCAATGTAATCCTCGCCTGCGAACTGGGAACAGAATCTATAAATCTAGCCGTCTAAATAGTAACCATGAATATCGACACTGCTCTAGTAGGGAATACCATTCGTCAGAAGCTGGAACTGGTCATAGACACCAGTGGAGTAACTGCTCTGCGACTTCTTGATCAAACCTCTCATGAAATCAGCTGCCTCCCTTTCGCTCTTCTCTGGCACAAACCGCTCTTTAAAGTGCTGAATGGTCTCGGGTTTGAAACACGGTAATCCAGAGTCCATCATCAACAGAACGAGTTGAGAAAGCTTTTCGATGTACTGTCTTGAAGCTAAGAAAGCCTTGATACAAAGCTCCTCAAACCACTTGTAAGCTTGATGATCCGTGCTTCCGCCCATGACAGAGACCATCTCAGTTGTAAGTTTGAATGGCGCTCTTTCGAATTTGACGCCACCAGGAGCGATATCAAAGCAAAAACCAAAATCTATATGTAGAATGTGACCGGCGTCGTCAATCATAATGTTACCATTATGACGATCTTTGAATTGAAGCAAGAAGGAGATAATTGAGTATGCGGCCATACTCTTGACGAAATTGCTTCTAGCCTCCTGGAATCTCAACGAATCCTCATTGCCATACTTTGAAACAAAATAGTCATAGAGTCCGTTCACGGCCTCCCGTCCAACCATGTCACGAGAAATTGAGTTTGGAAGAACGTCGATGACTCCACAACCTGGAGCTGTTGCAGTAACACGATATGGAAAGACGTAAACATCAAGACCAACGTTGTTGAAAATACCCCGGAAGGCTGCGATCATCTGTAGTGCCAGAACATCCTGGCGACAATCGTCTCCAACCTTGAAAATTGCTGACTGCCAAATCTCAATGGTGTTGTCCTGTGGTACTGATCCATTTTTGGTCGTTTCTTCTAGCATCTCATCGGTGCTCTCCAAGGCGCCTTTACTCTTCTGAATTCTGAATGTTGCCATATATGGAGCTTTCGCGTGACTCTGGAGAGGTTTGCCGGATTTTCGATCGATGCCAATCACAACTCCGTCCGGATTACTCGGCAAGTAAACGCCAACCTCGACTTTGATCTTCCTCAATTCTTCTTCGATTTTCTGCTTTTTCTCTGGTTTCGGGCGTTTGATAAAAGGCTTGAGTTTGCCAGATATACTGGTGACTTCATCGAAGAAGGTAAATTCTCGCTCGTAGAATATTTTATCATCTCCAGAGAACTCTTCAATCATTCGGTTCATTACCTTGTCCAGTGTCGGCTTGACAGCATCAGGCTAGATCAGTTAGTATATTACTTCAACCTACAACAAGGTGAAACTCACAATCTGGGAATCCTCATCCTTGTAGGCGTTTGCTTTCATGTTCCAGATAATTTGGTGAGCAAAGAGCTGAGAGAATTTGGCCGTCTCGATGATATATCTCTCCACATAACCTAGAGCATCATAACGCAGGGTTTGTACAATCTGAGGCACGTAAAAGAAGGTTACATCAACGGAATGGCTTTCCAACGCCCGCATGGCATACTGTAATATGAACGGATGATTACGGTATGCTGGGAGGAAAAGCGTCACAGCGGTGATGGGATTGACTGGAGCCCAGTATAGAAGGTACTATGGAAGTCAGTGATTGAAAACATCCTCACGAGAGCATATCTTACTTTCAATTGAAATGAGACATCCGCTGGAAGGCTGCCACCAAGAAGGAGTTGTACTGCCTCTGGCTCGGAGAGAGCTTTATCTGGGAAATTGAGCAGCAGCCAGCGAACCTCCTTGTGAAGTCGAGCTGACGGGAATCGTGTGACTAGTTGGATTGCTAAAGAAGGATTTTCGTTCCAAGCAGTTCTGATCAAACCCACAATAGTAGCCTGCAAGTGTCAGTAGACATAATGAAAAGACGCGATGCACATACCTCGGCCGGCCCTTTTGAAGGAACGCCTGTTACATCGCCCATTGGATGCAACCAAACATTCAGTCTAATCAGCTCGCTCTCCATCAAAGCGGAGAGTAGGTTTTCTTTGTTTGATATAGATTTCGACAGTGACGTCTGTGTATTCGCGACTATCTGGACATTCTTCAAAGCCAGTGAAACATCGCCGAGAAGTCGGATTTCTGCCTTCACTTGAACTCTGTTTCCACCGAACGACCATCTCGGCGCAAAACTGAACCAGTTCAGAGCCGCAGACAAGATCTTGTCCTTAAGAAGACATCTAGAATGAAAATCGAGCGAGGTAACATGCCGCATCACCTTGAGACCAAACAGGATAATGTGCAGCCTTATCTCTCTTGAAAGGGGATGCCCGGTAGAGTGCTTTAAGCCGTCCAAAGTCAAGTTCAACAAACGCAGAAAACACTTCTCAGAATGAGGGTTTCCTAGACGACCTGCGTTGAAGTGACTCTCCAAAAATTGCAACAGTCTCATATGTGGCTGTAGCAGGTTGTGAGCTGCTTGTTGGCGCTTGGAAAGCGCGTCCCTGTCACTTGGAGCGAATTCTCCCTTGACATAGAATGGATCAGGGTGCCTACTTAGTCAGTCCGGGTTATGTTTAAGAAAGCAAGAGTTTAAGAACTTACTGGAAGGACGTGTGAAAGATCCCAAGCTTCTTGTTGACTGTCAACTCCCATTGCTGAGCAACTTCCATCAATATCCGAGGCTCCATGCGTGGGTTCTCGTTGATGACTCCAAGCCACAGCGATATTCCAAGTTTGATAGACTGCTTGGTAAAGATGGCAAAAGGAATAGCAACAAGATGGTGGACGATGGCGCATTCATCTTTCTTGCTCCTACACAACAAGGCTGCTGCTCTGCGAAGAATGTCACGGAGCTCGTTGATAGGAATGAACTTGCGTCGAAGTGTACGGCTCTCGATATGGGCTAGAACTGTTACTGCATCTTCGCCTTGTTTTCCTGACCCTGACGCGGCTGAATCGCGTCTTTCTCCTAAATGCATAACGTGTAGCCATTCTGCATCGTGATCGGGTAGAGCTTCTGCGTAACGATACTCCTGCCGTGTGGTATATTGAGCGATAAAGTCAGAAGCAGTATTGATATTACAATCTCCGTGGCGGTCGAGAGCTCCAAGTCGTTGATCTGTACTTGGAATTGTGGAACCCATCTCTGAAGCAAAAGAACGGCCTAGTGATATGTGGCCATAGGCTCCATCGTCGTTGAATTCGGATAGATATGTCTGCAAGAGACCCTTAACATCAAGTGGAGCTATACTGATCACTGTAGATACCCAGACTTTGGCTTTCTTGTAAAGGTTGTTCAACGTGCGCCTCCGTAACGCATAGTCGTCAGACAGCTCCACGGTAACTTTTCCACGAGAAGAAGTAAATGACGATTTCCATTCGTATTCATCGGTTTCGGCTTCAAGGCAACTGGACCACATTATTGTCAACAGCTCAAGAAGGGCGAACAATGAGGACTTTTGACAAAGAGCCGATGGCACCTCCTGAATAACACGGTCCGCACACAGCATTGCTGCTTGCTGAATACGTTCAATTCTGTAGCAGCAGCCTGTAAAGATCTTTGCAAGTTGGTTCGCGACATATGGTGCAGAAAACAACGGGTTTGTAGCGCTCAGAGTGTTCTTGAGATAGGAGTCAACCACTGCAGAAGTAATGCCCTCCATTGCACTGCTCATGTCACCCTTCCGCATGCTGGGCTCTATGAAGTATATCAGTGCCTTAGTGCAGTCTCCGGTACTTGCTCGTAGTGTTTCTACTAGATATGCAGCTTGTAAGAAAACGACTTTTCGATAGCTTAGACTGCGAATGTCAGAAGCTTTATTCGGTAGGAGCGCAGCCAGTCTTTTCTTTTGCATTGCCTCGTGTTCTCCACTCATTCCTCTTCGCAGCACAGTATTGAGCTCAATGTCACTTTCCACTTGCTCCCCTCTCTGCTCCCCAACCAAGGGCCTCGAGTGGGTCGCCATAACACGCAACTCATTGATGTACTTTTTACCGCGTTCTGTATTCGGTGCGAATCCATGAACTGCAATATTGTACCACGCATCTCTAAAAAGAGACAGAACGTCCTCGCTGATGGTATCATCCGATATCATGTTATTCGTGGACATCAATATTGCGACTGGCTGCAATAGGTGACCGATATCCCGTGCAGCGACCTCAACATCTGCCTCTCGGTTGTTTTGCGACTGGTGGACGTCACCCTTACTTACAATCGCTTCGAGCAGATCCTCAAGGTAGATATCGTAAAGAGGTGTGTCTTTCTGCAAAGAGGACGAAAGAAAGTTTTGAGCTTGAAGAACCTATGAATTATAAGCTTGCATATTGGGGAGGCTCCAATATGGGCCTGACTTACAGCGTCTACCAGCACATCGCTATTGGTAGTCCCTGAGTCCTGCGTGACTTTGGCATAGACTTTCAAAAGAGTTCGGAACTCGAGAGGTCCACCACTCAAGGCAAGACTAGCAGCTTCTTTGATGATTCGTGCGTCTGTGGTTTTATTGACTTTGCCTAATTTTTGCAATAGCATCGACTGTGCAAGAGCAATGATTTTTGCATCCTTGCAACTGCTAGCAATACCGCAGATAGCTTGCACGACGTTACCGTAGACATACGAAGTCTCTTCGTCGCCACTAGTAGGTAAAGATATACTACTACCTGTAGATTGCTTGCCATTATAAAAGTTTGGATTCACGGTTCCGTCGGCCGCAAAATCCCCGAGGGCACCAGCACCTAGGGCGCGTTCAGCGGTCGAAGTAGAGCTCAAAACATTACCGAAAGTATATAGCGTAGTTATGATAGAATCTTGAGACAAAAGCTGAAGCACAAAAGCTAGACAGTTCGATGCCAGAGCAATAGTGTCGCCACGTGGACTTCCCTGTACAATAAATCTCGGGAGAAGACGACTGATGTTAGAAGCAAGTCCAGGAGATAGTTTTGCTATCAGAGCTAGGGAGCGAAGAACTACGCTAGCCAACGTCTCGTCAGCCATTTGTGCTGGGTCGGCGAGGGTATCCTCAAGCCATGCCATGAGAGCATCAACATCGGCAGCATCTTCATTCAACAAAGAGCAATTCAGATAACTCGTCAGAGCACCTGCTTTCACCGAAAACGCTAAGCGTTGCTGCCAAGTCGAGCCCAGACGAAGGTAGTCAGCGCCATCCTCTAGAAGACTCATCTCATCAGAGGCTATGTCAGCCATAATCTCGACTGTATCAAAATCGACCTCCTGGGCCTGAAGGGTATTCAATCCATTAGTATTAGTCATATGAATATTGAGAATATCGTTGTTCCGAAGAGTCTGCACGTCAGCGACCAAGAGGGAGGATACGGCAACAAGAAGCCACATGAAGCTTCTTTGCAATATCATTGCTCCAAGAGGTCGGCCTACAGCAGCGTAGTGCTTTACATATCTTTTCCACTCTTTTGAATGCGTATGGAGGGTGTGAGAATTTCGGATAGTGGAGAAAGCTGTTTCGACAGCTACCAAAAATTCTTCCGAGAGAAAACCTTTCACGCGCTGAATCAACAAAAGCCTGTCATGCGGGGTCCAGAAGTTGGCATGAGTTGCAGCAGCATCCAGAAATCCAAGTACGGTAATGGTCAGTGTAGTCACGCTCACTGCTTCGTCCACTTCAGCAGCGCTTCCATCATCTGAGTCCAGAGCTGGTGCCGGAGAGATAGCCTTTGCTGCGTCTACACATTGGCGCAAATATCCCCATATCTTCTCAGAGATCGTGTCACGGAGATGTGGGTGGTTAATTCCCAAGGTCAAAAGGGCGGTAGTGAGGTTATAACTCAGTGCTTCGATCGGTGACGGTTCTACGGCGCGGAAATACGGGGAGGGTTCAAAGACTTGAGAGTGAGCTTCGAGTATATACGGGAACAGTTGTCCCATGAGTTTCTCGGCGCTATGAGCATCGCGGACTAGAGGGGCTGCTTTGCATAATGCCAAAAGAACCTCGAATTCTTGAATACTCTATGGCCCATCAGTCGCAACAACGTAGGTACTAGCACTTGTTCAGCGTACCATTGGGGACCCCGCCAATGACCGTCCACCTTTTGCATGGCCATTGGAATTAGCATTTAAATTGCTATGACCTGCGTATCTTTTCGACAGTCTGTCTAAATCGGAATTCTCGTAGGACGTTGCGGGTGACGTAGCGGAAAGCGCTGCAAGTTTCTGCAGCGCCTTGAGACGTATGCTTGACGAAGCGCTAGAGTTTTGTTAGTACAAGTGACAATATTTAGAAATGAAAACATACTTCGCCATGGCTAGAACCCTAAATTCCCTTTGAAATGGTAGAATACCACAAAGTTGGGATTTGCGACGGGCCAGACCGTCTTGATGTTGTGGAGCGTACTTGAAGCTACCCCTGTCAGAAACTGGCGCTAGCGTTTATCAAAGGCAGCGAACGAGGCGCGTTCAGAGTGACAACCTCACCCAAAAAGCTTCCATTTACAACGTCAAGATACCCTGCCGGTCAACCCACAATTATAACGATAGCTCTCACTACATCAGAAAGAAAAGATATCGAAAATGGCAATGTTCAGTCAAAACCCGTTGATGAACGGCCCAAATTACTCCTTCAGCCAGACACCATCAACCGCCGCAGCTGGCAACAAGGAGCACAGTTTCTACCCGTAAGGTCAACCACCAGGCTTCATAGAGCGTGTCTAACAATGAATCAGATATACCGATAACGGAGGCTCAACTCTTGCGATCTCAGGTAACGACTTCACGATCATTGCAGGCGATACCAGATCCACATCCGGCTACAACATCAACACCCGCTACAGCCCCAAAGTCTTCAAGATCGGCGGCACAACCTCATCACAAGACGACGCGACGCTCGTTCTCTCAGTCGTCGGATTCGCCGCAGATGGAGCAGCCTTAAAAGAACGTTTAGACGCCATCGTCAAGATGTACCGATACCAACACGGGAAGCCTATGAGCGTAAAGGCGTGCGCGCAACGATTATCCACCATCCTCTACGGAAAGCGATTCTTCCCATACTATGTGACTGCTATTCTGGGTGGGCTTGATGAGGAGGGAAAGGGTGCGGTGTACTCGTATGATCCGGTGGGCAGTTATGAGCGGGAACAGTGTAGGGCGGCTGGTGCGGCGGCGAGTTTGATCATGCCGTTCTTGGATAATCAGGTCAATTACAAGAACCAGTACATCCCGGGTAGTGGTGAGGGTCACGCATTACAGGAGCGAGAGAAGATTCCACTGCCAAGAAATGAGGTTGAGGATCTGGTTAAGGATGCATTTGATAGTGCGGTAGAGAGACATATTGAGGTCGGGGATGGACTTCAGATGCTGATTATCACGAAGAGCGGTATCGAGGAGAAGTACTTGCCACTGAAGAAAGATTAGAGCGTTTCTGGTGTTCGGGCTGGGATATGCATCATTGTAATTTTAGATGGCGAGCAAGAGTGCAAGATATTCAAGCTTCTATGATCTTATCGCCAGAGGACTCTGACGATCTTTCAAATTATGCAGGTGAACTCCAGCTAAGGACATGCAGGCATCACTACTGTCCTCATTGGCTATAATCAACCCAGACTCCCCGGATTCTCGTTCGGAAGGTTCGCTTTTGCACCCATTCCTAAGATTCGCTGTCTTTGTTGAAGACTAAAGTTTTGTTTACATCACGCTTATGACGAATGCATCTGCAAAGGTATAGCGGGCTTCGATTAAAGAGGAGAGTTCAAAGAGTCACAAGAGCGATTACCAGAGACATCTAGACATAACATGTATATTCGTATTACATAATTTCCATTTATAATTCCATGTCGTAACTCATTAACGCCGCACTTTTATTCATCCATAATGAACACCCAATCCTTTTCTTTTTGGAATCCTACACTTATGGAATAGACTCTAACAGCAACGTCCTATGCTCGTAAAACACTAGCTTTGATGTATATGTTTACACCACCGTCCATCAATAGCTGCAGCCTACGAGCTCCCACCCATGACAGCGTCTCTAGCGTCCGCATAGAGAGGTCTGATACCCGTCCAACTTTGAAACTGTAGACTTCGTTAGTGATATGATATCTATAAGGGATAAAAACATACCTGATACCATCCTTGAGCACTCAAGACCTCAAGCCCCGGGATAGAAATCCATCCAGCATCGCTAGCCATTCTGACCAAAGGCGTAATAGTTGGCTTATACGCCATCTCCAAGAGGGTCCTTTGGCGTGCTGTGTCTGCTTTCGGGTGACGCAGAATCGCAGCGATGATCTCACGCATGTTTGACTCGATAGGTTTGTCTGCTGGAATGGTGCCAATCGCCACTCGAGGTACCTCAGACAGATTCTCTGCGTCAGAGATTTGTTTCAGTGCCTTGAGATTGAAATCAGCAGGGAAGGTTGATATCATGTCAGCAGCCTTCGAGGGAGTTCGCGAGACGATGTATATAGGACTGTGACCAAGCGATCGAAGAGCATAAACAGCAGCCCTAGAAGTGCCTCCTGCACCAATAACAAGGCCACTGCCCGGAGGACCCGAAGCTACCGTGGAGTAATTATGGGCAATGAGCGAGTGTGTCATGCCCAACCAGTCAGTATTTTCGCCTATTAGTCGCATGGAGTCTTTCGATGGGATTGGAACTATTGTGTTGACAGCTCCAATAAGTTTTGCAGCCTCGCTCACACCGTCAAGCAGTGGAATGATGTCAAGTTTGAGGGGAATAGTGACTGAGGCTCCTCCGAAGTCCGGAGAGCGAATAATTTCCTTCACATCAGCGGCTACATCGGTTTCCAGGCGAGAATAGTTGTGTGGAAGACCAGTCTGTTGGAACAAAGTGTTATGTAAAGCTGGAGATCGCGACTCGCTAATAGGCTTTCCGAAGAGATAGAATTGTTTTGGCTCGATCTCTCCTAAAAGGGACAAACTTTGACGAATCTCAGCTGCGGATAGTTGCCCTGGAGCAGCCTTGAATGGCAAGGCTGGATGTGATACGGGTGTCATGAAGCCATTAAGAACACGGCTAAGCTTGCCCTGCACACCCATATTGATGGCGATTAAAGGTATATTGTGGGATTTCGCAACAGTAGCCTTGAAGTTGGCAAGGGCAAAGTTGTCCTCCATACATTTGGCAGATCCAACAAGCTTCACAATATCACCGTACTGCAATGCTCGGTTATAATATTGTACCCAGCCTCCATTCTTCCAGGAGAGTTGACCACGTGGGTCGTGGTGCGATGCGATGATCTTGGAAAAGCCTTTAGCACTGGTGACGCTATCAAGCACCTCGTCGGGAAGAGTTATTTCGAGGTCGATATATTCAAGCCCCATACGAACAGCGGCTTTGTAAAGCTTGAGCGCCTCTTCTTGAGCGTCGTCTGGGAATTTTCCACCTTGACTGACTGTGCGGACAGTGAAGATCAATGGAAGAGGAACAACAGATCTCAGGTGCGCGATTTGCACACTCAAGAAATCAATTGAGGGAATACCATTAGTTGACTTAGGGTCTTTGAGTAAGTCCACTCTGATCTCGATAGCATCCGAGCCAACTGCGACGGTCGGTAGAATTGCTGCTTCAGCAGAAATATCTGGCATGGTCAAAGAAACGAAAAAGGAGTGCTGCTTCTTCCGAATTTCCTCCAAATGATTACTCTCGCCGGAAATTAATGACAAGAATCTAGCAAAGTCTTCTTGGGCGATTGACAATGCCCCAGAGTCACCGCTCTTACTGTGGTACTGGAAGTTGCTGCATTCTTGGAACCAGGGCTTTCGGCGTAGGTATACACCCATCATATCCTCAACATAAGCAGGTCGGGTCTTATCTATCTGAAGATATTCCATGACCTGTTCAGTATCTCGGTGCACCAGAAGTACAATGCCACCAGACTTGTGGTAGTCAGACAGGAGCTTGCGCGCGCCAGGCATTTCCACCACTCCTCCACCACAGGCGAAAACATAACCTGTCGGTTTTTCCTTGATCACAGACGAAAGCAAAGCAAGCTCCGCATCTCTGAACCAGTCCCAGCCTTTATTTCTGACCATTTCTGGTATAGTTATTCCGTGTATTCGTTCCATTTCGACATCAAGGTCAATATGTGGTCTGTTGAGAAGTCTGCCAGCCCATCCTCCTGCAGTGGTCTTTCCAGCACCTCGCATTCCGATGATGAAAAGAGACTTTTCTGATAATGCGGTCAAGCCAGAGTTCGAGACATGGCTACTTGCAACTTCTTTTCCGGAGAGTTTGACCTTGAAGGATTGTGAAAGAACATCCCACCATCCAGGCCAGGTCTTGCCGGTACACTCTCTTTCTTGAATAAGAACAGGATGTGGAGCTACCGTTGCAAGAACGCTGAAACTCATTGCCACGCGGTGATCGTCGTAGGAGTAAATGCCTTCTTTAGGAAGTTCTTTCAGTTCGCTTAATGGTTTGCCATCAATCTCAATCCCATCATCGAGTTCGCGGCATTCAACACCAAATTTGGCAAGCTGATCTTTCATGGCCGCTATCCGATTGCACTCTTTCACACGCTGGTTTGCAATACCGGTGATTCTTGTTGTTCCCTTCGCGACAGCAGCGAGAACAGACGCGGTAAGGAATGCATCTGTCATTGGCTCCATGTTAACCTCAGGTATTGCTCGTAATTTTCCTTGAGCCGGACCAATGACGGTCGTAGACTTTTCTGTTTGAGTAACTGAACAGCCCATGGGGCGAAGGACCTCAATCGCGAAGCGAGCATCTCCCTGGAGAGAAGCAGAGCCAATATTAGGGATCGTGCACGTCGTCCCTGAGATCGCAGCGACAGCTAGTGGGTAAGTCGCTGAGCTCGCATCACTCTCAACAACATACTCAGCGGGATTTTTGTAAACGCCCTTGGGAATATGGTAGGTGTGTTCCTCGGTATCAGACTTAATAACCTTGATGCCAAAAGTAGCCATCATTGCGGTTGTCATGTCGATGTAAAGTTGCGATATGGGCTTTCCCCCAACAAGACGGAGAGTCACAGGCTTTTTGGCGTAAGGGGCGCACATGAGAATTGAGGATACGTATTGAGACGAGACAGTCGCAGCAAGCTCAATATCCCCGCCCTCGAAGCCACCAGAAGCTTGAACATTGACCGGGAGACTGTGCTCTTTCTCCATATACTCAATTCCAACTCCATTTTTTCGCAATGAATCGACAAGTGGTCCAATTGGTCTAACTTTCATGCGTGCATTACCAGTCAAAATCGTTGACGAGGCGGAGGAGGGCCTGCATAGCGAGAGAACGGTCGTCAGGAATCGTGAGGCAGTTCCTGCGTTTCCAATATAGATTTCTTCACTGCAAGCATGCAGATCGCCTCCCTTGCCTTGGACAAGCAGGACTTCACCGGCATCTTCCCATTCATAGCTTGCACCACCCAATTTTGCGACCGCAGAAAGCATGAACTCAGTGTCATCGGAGTGCAACAAGTTCTTTATCCGACACGAGCCAGTGCCTAACGCTGCCATAACGAGCGCTCTGTTGGACACACTCTTGGAACCAGGGGGAATGACCTCATTCTCAAGAGATTCCGGTACTCCAGGCTGGACGATTATAGAGTCAGAGAGAACGATTCGTATTGGGCCATCTTCAACGACACTAGCTTTTTGTTCGTACGTCTTTCCAATTGCTGACAGAAGAACGATTTTTTTCTTCTTGCCGTCATTTTTCTTGTCAACTCCCATCTTCTGTATCAATACATCGACTGGACACCGTTTGCCTGCAGTGAGTTTCTGGACACGCTTGTCGTTCAAAGAAGTAGGTAATCCGTAGCTAGCAATGCATTTGACAAGGCGAGCAACGGCTCCGGGTTTCAAAACACCCAGATAACGCGCTAGTTCAGCTTCTTTCACCATCCCAATAGCAACAGCTTCGCCGTGCAGTATTTGAGGAGTCAAGATTGCTTCATACGCATGGCCTATGGAGTGACCAAAATTGAGGAGGTTTCTGAGACCACCCTCTCGCTCGTCCGCAGAAACTACACCAGCTTTTACTTTCGCAGAACCAAGAACGATTCTTTTTAAAATATGTCGAATGGGTTCTAGTCGCAAGGGCTTTGCGCGAATTGTTGCCATAAGAAGTTCTGCATTGGATTCAAGTGTGGAGAATTCCTCTTCGTCCCATATAGCCGCAGTTTTGACCACCTCGGCCATGCCATTGATAAACTCTCGTACTGGTAGTGTCTCTAGGAACCGCAGATCGATATAGATTCTCTGTGGCTGCCAGAAAGCCCCAATCAAGTTCTTTCCCATTGGCGTATCGATTGCCGTCTTTCCTCCAATTGACGAATCGACCATGGATAGTAAAGTCGTTGGCACCTGTACAAATCGTACACCTCTCATGAATGTCGCCGCAACATATCCGATCATGTCACCTATGACTCCTCCACCCAGGGCGATTATGACCGTGTCCCTCGTACATTCCTGCGAGAGCATCCAATCCTCAATTTCTGCTTTTGTTTCCCTTCCCTTTGAGTGCTCACCAGGAGGGATCTCGTAGGTAAGTAGCCGTGGGGGAGCATCGCGCTTGCTTGCCAGGCTCTCAAATCGCTGCTGGAATGCGGGTACGTATCTCGAGGATATATTGGTGTCGGTGATGAGCACGTAGGTAGAAGATGCAAGATTCGAAAGGAGATCGTCAGCGACAAAGTTCCGCCATATGTCAAAGTCAACAATTATATCCTCCTTGCCCAAAATCGCAATGCGCGTCGGGGTATCAGAGGTTGTGGGACCCATGTGGATGACAGAGTGGTTGAAGGATCTGCTGGTGAAGAAATGTGAGGGTTATGATCCCATGGACACGGGATGGAACTAAATAGTTCCGGAAATCTTCAATTGACTGAGCTTAAGGACGAGACGGGTTTCAGAGAAAATTTGTTTGATAGCGTTCGTAAGAGTCAACATATCAAAAATCCGGGGAAAGACCGCACAAGTTTTTTGACCCCTGCACGTCGCCAGAATTTTGAGTCACAAGGAATACAAAGTACAAGTACTATCAACCCGTTTTAAAGAAGTTCTTCTCATCGTCCATTGACAGCACAAATGGAGCTAATCAATCGTCTGGTTTTCGTCTCCTAAATGATCACGGAATTTTCACACAAATTATTTTGTCCATTACATGTTTCAATTTGTGCTAGATGAAGTGTCAGTGTTGTATCTCTGTTCAGACTGCATGGATAGGACTCCTGCTTGTCTCCGGTCTCGCAGGGTCTAAGCTCAAGCTGTTGACGATTGAGACTGTTCTACTTTCACTCCTAGCAATTTTCCTAGACTCATAGCTGCACATAGGAAAACTAGTACCTCATCTTGAAACGAGTATTGTTACAATGATCAACTGAGGACAAAATTGGGGAGTCCCGCATCTGACTCAACCTGCCAGCAGCATTCTGGGTATTTCCCGCATTCGACATAATGTTGTAAGATCTTACTAGCCCACCTCTTGGGTAATCTGCAAACATTTGACCAATTGAGTTAGTGAAACTATCTTTTTTTACTTGAGCAAATGGGGAGCCGAAGATTGACAGACTTTCAAGCTTTGTTAAGATTGACATGCCATTGAGCTTGATGAGTCTCTAATTGACAAAGTAGTTGAAGGTTGTTGACATTTGTTTTGCTCACCGAACCCCTGCGTTTTGAAAAGCTATGCCGAACCAGCTTCAAAGGGCGGTGATGAATTTTTCTGCAGTTGTTAAAGCCACAAGATAAACGTTACATTAAGTTCTTTAAATGCCGCTTATTGAGATCATCGAGTCATCTATTCAAATGGTCTCTTCTTCAACAACTCACTGAATGCTAACCTGAGCCTCTCAGGCCAACATTGACACACTTGTCAGACGGTCAAACTCACTCCAGCAAGGAGATCTACCACCAATATTCTTTTCCCGGGGAACCGGTTTCTCTAAAGGATGACGCGAAACGGCTTTTCGATACGACCTTCAAGTCAAGTCTTTCCAGCTCTTAAATCCCGACAATTACGCTCCTTTCGAATTTCTCGTTGTAACTCATCACGGGTCATCTTCGACATCACTCTATTTCATGTAAATAGCAAAACCGCCTTGCGAACTGCCCGATTCAAGAGTGTAGTGCTGGTAAGGATGGCCTCAAGCGTCAGGTTCGGTGGGAGTGTGATCAAGACTTGCATCAGAGATTGTCTGGAGATGACAGCTGAGGAGATAGCTGAAGATATCCCTTCTTACAATCAGCAAAGTTTAAGCGCATGGAGATTGTATTTTCTTACCAAACACAGGTCGTTGGTACCCCCATGGAAGCATGCCGGGCGCAGACTATCAGGAGATCGGAATGGGTTCGTTGACTGATAACTTCGGCAGTCATTGACAGGGCGTGTCCAATCCCTTTTCTGGATTTCTCTATCGATCTAAGTACGGAATTACTAATACTGGCCGTCCCGACTTGAAGGTTCACACCCGTTGCAGGGTCTCCATGTGTCGAGAGGACACACGACATCAGTTGGGTCCAGAGAATGAGTCTTCATTGTCCATGCTGAGTCGGCTGCAGGCATGACGCATCGCGCAAGGTCACGACACTCCAGACGTCGAGTTCATTGCAGTTGAGGCTTCTTACATCTCCATACGTTGGAGCGGATAAAATGGATGCCTAATCGTCTCCCTTCTCCTAGCCCTTACTAGCCCACACCCCGGCCCTCTCCCGGGGAGTCTCCGCCCATATGCAGGAACATAGGCGTTGGTTCATCTTGGGTGCACTCGACCCGTCACTCGACCGTTCGCTTCCGCTTTCTTCTCCTTCGATTCAAACGTTCCAAGACACTCACGAGCGGTGACTTGCCAATGGGAGTTGGGGTCTGAATCACTTCGCGATGCCCGTCCCTGGATCCCGGTGATAGCGACTTGTCTGGTGTGCGACATGCAGACTAGCCAATCCAGCGGGATCCTTTCGTCAACCTAAAAATGTCCTTTGCAATCCCTCCATTTTGCTGGAGTTGTCAGGGCCCCCAGGCAAAGGCGCTCTGCTTTGCAAGTCGCTCATGCCTATCGTAGCCTTACGGGTGACTGGGATGATCGCATTTCCTCCCGTATCCTCGAGATGCTTCACAGCGACAAAAGTCACACGTGCGGATCGCCCAATCATCACTCGAGTGAAGTTAGAATTAGGGTGAGGCTGCCTGTGATGTGGATGATGGCTGCTTGGGTTTGTTCAACCCGAGGTGCACCTGCGTCACGTCTTCGCGGCTACTATTGCTCTTAAAAGTCGCTCCGAGGCAGTGCTCAGCGTTCT